TTATGCATATCTACAGAATTTTTTAGTCTTAAAGGGATATGCGAAATGCTCAGCTGAAGAGTTTTGATAAATAGTTATACGTTTGTTTATGTAAAAGCAGAACTTCAGAGTTTTCCTCGTGGAGTAGAGAGACTTACTGATCTAAATCCTCTGACCTTTGAGCGTAGGGATCAAGAGCAAACACTCAATAATGACCTCTGAGACCCTGAGAATTTTTATCAACACCCCTAAACACTGATTTAAAATCATCAGACTCATTTAGACTCTGATAAACATCAAATACTTCCTTCATTTGAACCTTTTTCGTTGGTATTTTGAAACGTAGAGGTCTTGACTTGTGTAAGAGGTTTGTTTTACAACCGCTCACAGCTCAGCTTTACTCTCAGCGTCTCTTTTCAGCCTCTAATCTCATCACCACTACTTTTCTCATCTCCCCCTCTCCTCGTTTAGTCCCACCAGGATTAAAGGGTTAAAGACAAACAACAGATCTAAGAGAGTATTTCCTCTTCAGGCCTCCAACGGGATAAAAATAGCGCATTTATAAAAGAAATTGAAAAACAGTAAAATACCGCCGATTGCAGTAAATCCAACAAACAATATCTTATTCTAATTCAAGATTTAAGTGTTATCCCGTCCCTACGAGCCATTAGATCACGTCACTGGTTTCTGTCAAACACTCAGGTGGCGGCCTGACACGCCCTCTCGCCGTGATCTCCGTCCCGTGCCCTCACTCCATGTTTTGGTGTCAGGCGTCAATGTTTGCCGCCCGCTCGTCTTTAGATCAGGAGGGCAGAAGACAAGCTGATTAAGCGTCAGGATTTCTAGCAGCTCAGAGAATCTATTCGCGGCATCAGCCGGAGCAGATTATAGACCCTCTGAAGCTGACTGATGGATCTGGTCTGCCGGGAGGGACGGTTTGCTGAAAGCTCGAGGGATTTTTCATCTTTCGCTCAATTAACATGAGATAGTTTTCGAGAAGCCGACCGGAGAAGCGAGTATCTATCTAATGGAGGGTTAAACCACAGAATTGTCAGCTGTTATTGTGGAGTGGTGCAGAGATCTCAGGCTCTTCTAATTCAAGGCCCAAGAGAACAATCTAGAGACAAGAAAATTTAAAGCAACGGGCATTTACAGAAATTTAAAGATTAAAGCTGCAGCAGCAACAACTTATTTAAACAGGATTTAAACGGAAAACACGCCGTACTTTCTTTACAGCAGGTCTACATGTTAGTATTCCTGTTAAATTCAGTCACATCCAAAGTTTTTAGGGTTTGCCGAAAGTAAAGAAGATCCAAGACATTTCTGTAAATTTGTGATCCTGAAAAGTTCTTCAAGATCCAGAGAAAACATTTGGAAAACCATGAGAGCAAAGAAACTTCTTCAAGATCCCAAAGAAAATCTTGTAAATCCTGAGACATTTTGGAAAATATGTAAAAATATTCCAAGAACCTGAAAAATTTCTGAATTCTAAGAAACTCTTTTCAGATCCTAAGAAGTGTCTGCAAGACCCTCGGAAACTTTTTTAAGATCTAAAGAAACTATTTAGAAGAAACTCTCAAAAGTTATTTAGGAGGATCTTCGTGTTAGCGTAAAAAAAGTTGCAAAAAAAAAAACCCAAAGAAAATCTTGATATGATGCTGAAAATCATTTGGCAAAGATGGAGAATTTATGCAAGTTGATCAATTTTTGACGGAAACTCAGAAACTTCTGAATTCTGAGAAACTTTTTCAAGAATCAGAGAAGTTTTTTTAACAAGAACCCAAGAAACTTCCAGAAACGTTCAGAGAAGACTTTTCCAAGATGGGCGGAAACTTTTTAAGGGTCCGATAAACTTTTCAAGATTCTTATCGACAAAGAGGAGAACTCCCTCCCAAAATTTGGAAGATTCTTTAAAAAAAAACACGTTTGCAAGATCCTGGCCAAATTTTTCTAAGAACATGGACCACTTCTAAAAAGTCCTGAAAAATCAAAACGATTGAGTCTTTAAGAGTCCAAAAAGTTTTGCACAATCCTGAGCAAACTTAAATAAGACCCTGAAATTGGCCAAGGCTCCTTCTGGGCATGCTCAAGAGCTTCCACACCAGGAAGTCTGAGTCTCAGGCTCCCCCTGCGAAGCGCTGAATGATTCGTAGATTCGGTGAACGATCTTTTGAACGAATTGTTTCATGAATGGATTCTAAGGATTCAGTACATCTAAAAGAACTGTTCTTCCCATCACTAACTGACTGTAAAATATCCAAATCTCCAACTCACCAAAAAACAAAGATCTAAAAATCGCTAAAACAGTCATTTGAGCTGAAGAGGGAAGCAAAAATGAGCGACAACTAGAAACATCAATCACATCACCAGCTGTCCAGTAACGTCTGTCCGTTTTTCAATGTCACAACTCACTGAATTATCCTTCAGATTCTCATTAACTTTTTTTTTAACCTCAACAGACAGAAAATGAATCCAGAAGCAGCAGCAGGTTTAATCAGAGGAGCAGACACCTCCTCCTCCTCCTCAGGGATCATTACTCATTTCCTCCTCCTCCTACACGGCCCCTGCTGATGACCGAGCTCACAAACCAGAAAACTCAAGACACTCGAGGAGTCGTTCCTTCAATTCATCGACTTCCCTGTTTCCAATGTTTACTGAGCTTAATCTATCACCCCTGATGTTCCCGCTTTGCTCCAAAACGACAAGAAGAAACACATCGATCTCTGCTTTTACACCGTCTGAAACCATCTCAAACACTTTCTGGCTGATTTTGTGTCGCGTTAATTATCACTCTGACAGGAAAACCGGGATCTCAGAGCGATCAGATCTGAGATGGAAAATCTAACTCAGCCACCTTTCGACCAATCTTTCTCCAACTCAGTGGACTAAAGCGAGCTGTGCTTTTTATAACCCACAGTAAGCCCAGGATTATACCGTAGACCAGCCTGTACCGGCCCCCGATTCACATCAACAGGCTGCAGGAGACTAATAACAGAAACCCTGTGTGACAAAGTTGATTTAATTAAATCTATCAGAGTTTTCTTTGATTTCTCCCTTTTTTTCAGCACTCAACATTTCATCTTTAGAGAGAAACACTTCCTCCAAGATGAACGATCTCACCTCAGTCCAAAATTAAAACAATCCTAATCTTCCGGTGCTTCCTGGAGCTCTTCTCTCACAGAGGGGAATAAGAGCGCTCATCAGTCACTGCGGTTATGAAAGGTGGAGGAGACGGTGTGAAAGCTCCTCTGTTGCGTCCTGTGTTTAACTCACGGCGTCTCTTCCTGCCATTTTTGGTGTTGAGCCTCTGCAGGGAGACGCCTGTAAGTAAACAGGATAATCAAACACGCCAGAGGAACAAAAGAGGACCGTAAGGAGAACGCGGTTTTATACGAGGGATGATGTTGTCAGTGTCTTCACTGTCCTCTCTATGTACAGCTTTCCTTTTTTGCAGCCTCCTTCACCTGCATTTGCCCTTTGTCAGGGTCTTTATCAGGAAAACAGAGAGTATAGACCCAAATAATTCATGCATGGCCGCCCCCCTACTTATGTCAGTGTCCACCCCAGTTAAAAGTCTGGACACGCCCCTGTGTAGTTGGACCTGAACGCCTCGATACGGTCAAGTTTGCCCAACAAAAGCTGCAGGAAAACCCTTCTTTATTTATTTTGAAAGAATAAGAGGAAATATCATCAGACTTCTTCTACTGTCTGAGGAATAAGGTTAAAAAGGTTAAAAAGGTTAAAAAGGCGACGCTCGTACTGGCAAGAGGAGGATTAACAGTCAACCTGAGCGTAAAATGTACAAGATCAAAAGAGGGTAGGCAGGAATCCGTTAAAGACGCATCTTTTTTTGTGGTGTGTTCATACAAAAAGCTTTTAATATCAGTCAATAGCTATTAGTCATTGATGACATTTGGTAATATAATGATATCGCTGTGTTTTGTTATGTCTGTGTAGTCAACATTTTACATTTTTTGAGCGGCCCGCTCTTTCTGACTGTAAACAAAGCCATTCTTCGCCTCCCCAACCTGATTGGTTGTGAGGCAGACTCTGCTCCCCCGTGTCGTTCAGGAGCCCAAACAAAGTTATCGTGCTACAATATCAGACAGTAGAAACCAACCAGAAAGTACAGTAAATTGTCTGAATCCTCCTTTGGCCACGACTGCCGACACAAGCAAGAAAACAAAGTAAATACCGGAGACTCTGGAGGAATAACGGGCGCTTAAAAAGGAGGTAGACCGGACAAGAGCTAAAAAGCCGGGTCAACATAAACCATGGGGGACGCTTCGGGATCTTCGTGACCCTGTAACCTTTCTGCTGGACAGGTAAACCGCTTTAACAAAGTAAGACAAGTGTCTGTAACAGAAGTGTTTCTTGTCAAACGGACCTGCTGTAGCGTGTTGTAGCGCCATCGCTAAACTGTCCTCCCTCGGGTCCTGGACTATGTCACTTTATCCTAGTTGTAGAAGTCCTGCAAACATTGTGTTTGCTGGTAGTCTGTTGGCATCTACAGTAGCACCAATGCTTTTGACTTTCATGTTGACTGGGCCCCATTTGTAATTATCTGAAGTATTTATCTGCATTATATCTGAATTTAATTGAAACGATACGAGCGAGCAGGAGCGTCTGTTTGTGGGCGGGGTTTGCTGGAGCAGAGAGGGAGGGGAGAGGAGGAAGAGATAAAAACTAATGTCCTTGCAGTCACTATTGGGATATTTATGGTAAGAAATGTGTATGATAACAAAAAAAACAACACTTTTTTACTTTTGATAAATGATAATATTAACAGCCATCCCTTTCCTCCTTTATCTAAATGCAGCAGGTTGGGACTGACCCACTTCCTGACATATAGAAACTCATGAATCTGTCACAGGAGATTAAACAGCACTCTGTCCAGTAACAGCTCGACCCACTCTACTGAGTCTCAGCCACCCATAACTCACCATCAGCTGGAGAAGGCTGTGATTGATTTGAGAGAAAATGCTGAATTGTTGTTGAATATATGAAGGATAAAGAAAAAATAAGGATATTTTCACACGTTTATTGTATTGACTCGAATACAAAAGTGCAAAATATAATAAAAGAAACATTTTCCTCCTCAAACTGAAGCACTGATTAAAATTAAATTTCTATAACAACAGGAGGAAACTCATCAGGAGCTGTAAAATAAACTCTCCTTGGATGATTTTTACTGTTGCTTGATGCAAACAACAAACCAGTGCCAAGAGACCGGAGCTTTTCAATTATGTAACGCAAAACTGTAAATCCTCTTGGTGCCGCGGTGCCAACTGGGACCTGGAGGAACCTGGTACCCTCGCCGGATTATCAGAGTCTTATTAATATACACGGAAAATACACTGGAGCGAGGCGGATTATAAACCGCGGCCTGTTCAAGAGAACAAGCTCTAGGTTCTTGGTTTGGTAGCAAAGGTGAGGTACCCTGTGTGACCCGGGATCTCTCTGGGTGGGGTGGTGGTCTTCAAGGAGACAGCAGTCTGGTTTGGACCCGAGGTGGGGGCGGATTTCTCTGAGCCGTCCGGATGAGTCGGAGGGGAAGGGTCCGGACCGAAGTCTGGCAGCGAGAGGGAGACGGTTCGCACGTCGTGGACTCTCAGCAGGACCTCCAGGGTGCTGATCTCCTCGAAGCCCTGATCCGCCAGAGCCTCACACGTCCTCTGGACCTGCTCGATGCACGGAGAGAAGGAGCAGACACGACCGCCTGGAAAAAGGAATAAAACAACAACAATGGTGGTTTAATAGTTTTCCAAAACTTATAAAGACCCGTCGGTGACAAACACGCCACATCCTAAGACTTTTCCAGGTTTTTCCAACTCATTTCAAGGCCTTAAAAAGCTCCTGTGATGGTTTCTCAATCAGTCTGTTGACAACTTTAAACCAAACCGAACTTTCTCAATCGCTAAAAGATGGATTTATGGACTCCAGAGGTCGAATTACACAGACTTTGGTAATCCTCTGACCTTTTCTAATGCCGTAAAAAAAAAAAAAAAGTTTGATTCATTTAGCTAAAAAAAAATTCCTGGATGTTTCAGGACAAAATCTCAGAGCAGGTTTCTGAGGCAAATCCTACCTGCCATGTTAACACTTAGAACTCAGCTGGATCACCGGCGATCCCACGTGACACCATTAATATTGTTTACAGTTTCTCAGGAACTATACCGCGTATCTCTACGGGATAAAAAGAGTTCAAAAGCTGAACCTTTTGGCGATCTATCGAGGGTTTCCAGGCATTTCTACACTTGCCACAAGGTTTACAATCCAGCCACGAAAACAGGTGTTTGATCAAAGACGGTTGATGGTAAATCTGCAGTGATATACCGGTGAAAACATGATTATTTATTATGTTGTTGTGATAAAAAAAGATCGCTATCGCTAAACGCCGCTAATGTCTTCTGGGTTTGACAAGCTGTTTTGATGACACCTTTTTCTGCCAAACTCTTGACGAATTACATGTTCTCATATTCTTCTTCTATTGTTCCCTTGACGGTAGTGTCCAATAAGAGGCAACCAAAGATCAACGAGAGACAAGAAAGTTCCCTAAAATAAGAAATAATGGTCCTCAACGACAGCTGAGGTTGTCCTGAAAATAAAGATGTGTATATATTTGCTGTGCCTGAGAGGATAGAGTCACTACATGGATTTTTACAAAAAAGAAACAGGGGGACCAGAAGAAGCAAAATGTAGGAGGGAGCTCTCAGGGTTAACTGTAAAACTTTGACTATCTACACAATCAAACCTCCACTAAGTGTCTCTAAATGTAGTTGTGAGCAGAGACAGCAGCAGCAGGAACGAGAGAGTAAATCACTGTTGTTAGTCATTGTAATTTACTTTAAGTGATTGTGTTAAAGATCATGACCAGATCAGCGCAGATCCACTTAACCAGGGTGATCTGCCCGCCTTGTTCTCAAAGGACTGACACGGCGTCGAGGACGGTTTCTGAGATTAACCGTGGATTTATGAATGAGGTTCCTTACAACGATTACACAATTAACCAGACTTGAACGGTCTTTTTGGGCGCATGAGTACGATTTCCTGAAGCATGAAATTTCTCATCTATTTCTTTTCACAAAGCCATCTCTGTGTTTTTTAAAAAAATAACCACGGACAGAAGATAAATAATCAAACCAGGACAAAGAATTTCATGAAGACTCTTGGGAAATTTAGACTCCGGTGATGCCACTACTGCTATTAATAAAGTGGTTTTATTTTACACCCAAAAGCCCCTTTAAAGCGGATCTTTTACCCTACGAAAGCAGACCTGTGACCTGCCAGGCTCCGGGCTGGAGTTTGTGGATCATCAGGGGATGAGCAGACGCTCTGATCAACAGAGATCACCTGCCGGCTCCGGCCTCTCGTCTCTGGATGAACGCCTGCAGAGACCGCAGCAGGAGGCCGGAGCGACGAGCCAAGAAAACTTTCACAGGCTGACCTTTAAGGTGAAGTATGTGGCTGCGATCCGTACAGCTGGAGATGTGCAGGGTTAGAGGGAAAACAAACTGAGCTCATATATATTTTATCCTCTCCAAATCTGAGTTAAGATAATCTGATTTAAAAAAGGGAGGAAGGAATGGAGGAAGATCACTCTTTACTTACAGAGGGTTTTGCAGTTCCTCATTTTATCTCAGCCTAAAGGAAAAGAACTATTTCATAAGAAAAGGGCGTGTCGAAGTACCGACACATTTCATCTAATACAGTCTTTCGGTGCATTTGCTCAAGATAAACAAATTCATGGGGCAACATTTTTTTCCCATTTCTTCAAGCTGAAGCCGAGGGCTGGACGATATGGCCTCAAATCAATATCACGATATATTGATCAGTTCACCTCGATTAAGGATAAATAGACGATAACTACTCCACAGGCTGCTCACCCCCTTCCAACATTAACTTCGTCTACTTCAGCTGCTCCAACTTTTGAACCGTCCTCCATCTCCTCACCTGTCTTTCCCTCTTTGTTACCGACTGGATGGGGTGGAGTCAAGCTTCTGACGTAGGACAGCGTCTTAAAAAGACATGAGACCATAGCCTACCTACTAGGACAGGGCGATTATATGATTGTGATAAATTTCAGTTCGATCATGGTGATCAGCTGTGAGCTTAATTTTTAGAACAGATGCTTTAAAACTGGTAGTTTAAATAAAATACAAAAAAATCGTGATAAAAATCAAGATCTGATGACATGACAAAATATATCGTGATCATTTTTTTTGGCCAAATAGCCCAGGCCTACTACCTACACACATCCAAAACCAACTTTTTAAAATAACGCTTGTTATTGTCGTAAATTTTGGCATCAGTAAATTTTCGGTTTATCGCCCAGCCCTACTGCAGCCCCTCTCCTCTTACCGCTCTGTCATGAGCAGCTCGGATCAACCTGAAACAAAGTTTAGGAACACAGGGTCCTGCTAAGATTCGTGATGGACCGCTGTATCTTTAATATGTATTACGCAACAGCAGTTCAAACTATCGGGCAGCTACAGGTGGAGAGAGGAGAGCAGGGAGAGCTTGATCGGCCATAATCGAGCAGTAATAAACGGGCAGAATCTGACGCTTGATGATGGATGAGATGTGTTGTGTCTTAACATGTTGTCATGGCGTTTCTGACTGAAACAGGATGAAGTCTGCAGAGGGCAGCCTTGCTGAAGGCTTCATTGTGTCTGTGAAACATTACAGGAGACTTCAGGATGTTTCAGATACCAGCCGTTCCTTCTGCTAACAGGACCAGTGTTCTCCCTCGGGACGGCCATAAACACAACTCAATGGTCTCCTGGAAACCAGCATGAACACACAGGGAGAGGCCGGGTTGATCATTATACAAGGGTGTCTAAAGCGGGTATTAATAGCCTCAATCATCAGCCTATGTCCACATCCAACATCTACACATGTGTAAAACTATGGCTCCTTATCTGGCTCCTGAGTCTGTGTGTTTATGCGAGATGTTTACTTTCCTTGCAGAATAATTCTCAGAGTTAGAGGGAGCAGGGAGGGAGGATTAGGTCCGCGAGGGTCCTGGGTATTTCTCAGAGAGGAGCTAAATTCAGGGCTGGGCTGCAGGCCAAAAAATTAGAGGAATTACAACCCAGAGTAGAAAAAAAACAGATATTTCACTGCTCCTGCTACAGTAAACTACATCTCAGCAACTTCTCCTCGAGCCTGAGAACAGGTCTGGAGCCGGTCTGGTGCTAACGCTCAGAAAAATAAACGACAAGGTGATGAATTTCAGCTGCGGGTGATGCCACTCGCCTGCTGTCGTTCCCACTCTTCCTCAAAAAACTCGTCAGGTGAAATGCTTCATGAATGTTCAGCAACAAAAAGGCATGATAACCATGAAGTGCACGACACCTCAGTCTTATCCCAAGTGAGTTTGGGGTGTTTTTCCATCTTTCTGCAGTGTTTCGGGGCGGTGCTGCTCAGGAGAAAACAGAAAAGCCTGAACAGTGGGAAGTAAATCAAGCGTTCCCTTATGGAGACACATTCACCGTCTCGCTCCCTGCAGCATAACCCTGTATGGTCATGAGACTGCTTCCACAATGGCTGCGCTTTATCAGTATCTGTATGTGCTAGTGTGTGTTTGTGTGTATCTGTGTGTGTGCATGTGAGGGTCAACAGCTCATGAAATGTAGCAGTGGCACCATAAAAGGGATTCAGAGAGGAGGAGGCAGAGGAGCGCTCCTCTTCATACCGAGGTTTACTTTGGAACATGGTGCTGCAGGAAAATCGAGTTTAATAGGGCTGACGATCATAAACACTATTTTTCTAGTCGAACCCGAGGTCATGAAGATTAAATTCAATAAATCATAATTTGAATTTACTCAATAAAGAGTGATTTACTAAGGCATCTCTTGTCATGCTCGCTCCTTCCCTCTGCTTTACTAACACACCTACTTCTCCACAAATCGGTCTACCCTGTAGTGACTGGGATGCTGTGGCGTCTTGAAAAAATAGAACTCTTGCGATTGACTGCAGAGTCTGCTGAACCACAGCGTAACAGAAAGAAGATGGTGGAAATTGACACATTAACTTGAATGGAAACAATCAGCTGTGATAAGGGGATATGGCCTTTTCGCAGCCATTCCGGATGCGGTGGAAATTGGGGTTAAGTTCTTGCCCATGCTTCAGACCCTCTCTCTATGACTAAGTCCAGCTACCCTGTGGAGGAAACTCAATTCTGCCTCCTGTATCCACCATCAGTACCTACAGCTTGTGACCATGAGTAAGAAAATCAAAAACTGTCTTTAGGCTCAGATCCTTCTTCACTATAAGGGTCTGGGGTTACACACCTGTTTACCCCTGGAGCCTGAACAAGACCCTCAGATACTTCAATTCCTTAACTTGACGTTAAAGCTCATTCCCTGCCTGTTTTTACGCAGAGAACCACGTCCTCAGATTTGGAGGTGCCTTTTTTGGGCCTTTTTTATTTTCACTGTACCTTCTTTTTCTTGGAAATATATTTGCACACCGACACATTAATCATAATTTTTACGCTGATGACACTCGGCTGTATAAATCTGTCGAAATGTGTAAGTACGACTTTGTAAGCAACAAAGCCGCTTCGCTATATGGCTATTTGGAGCATTACGGTACACTGTGTCACTACCTTATCAGCCTCGTAACAGGACCCCTGAGCAGTCTACAAGACTGCCTGACTGTAATGTCTAAACTAGAGGCGCATTCATGTGAAGCAGCCTGCACTAGGGGTATGCACTAGCAACAATAAACCAATCAATGTGCCAATGCTTAATGCACCATATGATCCGATGCGCCTTATTGCCCAAAAATACAGTATTATTTAAATTTGCCAGTAAATTTTTGTTCTATTCAAGTTTTACTTTCACTTTGCAACATAAATAAATCTGAGTTGAGTTGAGCTGTAGCAACAGGAAACTTTACTTTTCTGATTTGCTTAATAATTACCCAAATTTGTGCTACATTCGTGTGAAAATCCGTCACATGTCAAGTAAATTCTCTTCTGGGCACAAAGCCATCACTTAACTGTGTTTTAACAGTCCCTCAAATGTAAATACCCACTGTGACTCAAAGCTGGGTCTCTTTCTATGCTACATGAACCTTTACTTTTCCCCTGTTCGTCTGAGTGATTTGCCAACCTGCCCAGGCATGCTGCCTCTGGTTGTCACAGAAACACCAACATGCTATCTGCCTCAATAGCTAACTTTATGCACACAAGCACTCACACGCACACGCACACAAGGGCAAAGTTAATGAGAGCTGTCGGCCTCGGATCGATGGTCGTTCAGGGAGTGCAGAGAGAGAGAGAGAGAGAGAGAGAGAGGCGGGGGTGAAAATCACAGGCTGGTATTTTAAAATGTGCGCAGTCACAGTCATGTTGCTGCTGTGTCGGGTTGAGTCAGAGAAAAGTCAGCAGCAGGTGACACTGAGTGTTCCCCTGAGACTGCACCACTTTTTGGTTCAGTGTTCTTAAACACAGGTACATGAAAGTCTCGGGTCTAAAATTTAAGCTACTGCAGAGTCTTGCTGTTTATACCTCGAATATTAAATATAATATGTAAATATCTCGATTCATTTAGACTCATTCACAGAAAATCAAATCCTGTTCCTCTCACCGTGTCTCTTCATCGCAGCCTTGGCGTGTCCCACGGCCTCCCACGGGCTCGGAATGTCCAGAAAGACAGCGTCAGCCACCCCTGTCACTCCGAATCCTTCTTTGCAGACGTCCTGGTTCCTCACGGTGACTAGATGATCCACCCGATGCTCCTTAAACTCCTCCGCCACCTTCTCGGCCCGCTGTTGGTGGAACTCCACAGTGTGCAGGTGACCCGTGGGGGCGATGGTGCGCAGGATGGCGTGGGACAGAGAGCCACTACCGGTACCTAACAGACAGAAAAGAGGAGGATGATCTTAGAGTTTAAGTCTAATTCTCAACAAGAAAAATTCTAATTCTCTTTACTTAGTGAATGTTAAATATTTCTTAGTCAGTCAAAAAGGCTGGACATGACCCTGCGAAAGCCAAACCTCAACTTTTGTCTAGGAAACACTGTAAAAAGTGACTCTCCTACTGGCGGGAAGAGGATTAACAGTCAGCCGGAACATAATATGAGCGAATAAAATCATACTTCACACGCACAGCTCTAACTGGCTCTCACAAGTCAGTCGGGAAAACAGTTTAAAGGAAATTTTCACCACACCGAGAGACGAGGAGGACTCTACTGTCGGTGCTAGGTTTACATTATAGAAATAAACATAGAAAGGGACATCGACCGGTCATTTATTGATGGTCCCTTATTCAACACCCGACGTTTACAGCGAGGGTGCCGAGTAGATTTAACCGCGCTGCTGTTGCTATTCCCGGTTATGGAGAGTGAGAAGACACCGGTAGATCCGCAGTGAATGTACGCCAAATATCCAACCTAAAACTAACTTCACTGTGGTATTTACATGAAAAAACATTTGTTGCCTCAGCTAATTTTTTTTATGCGCATATGTGCCCCTAAATACATTTTAGAATTGGCACACATCTATTTTTAGTCACAAATGCAAGTGAAATGGTCGCACAGATTCAGAAGAATGTCATATTTAAGTTCCAGTATCTCTAGTTGGGAATTCTGTGGTGAAATAATCTAAAAATGGCTGCCAGACCGTGTATAGTCTTTTGACGGATCCTCCGGTTGAGTATTTTAACTTCTCAAGCTTCAATGCGCCATCCCATTTCCCACCCATCGCCTGACTTCCATTCAAATAAAATAAGGCGCCAAGCCGGTAAAGAGGAAAAAGCCAAAATGTCTGATCGGGCCTCAGACACCCTTACAACTATCTATTCATACTGGGTGAAAATTGCTGTAGAGATATAAAACTTGTGAATAAGACAAACGACTTTACACACATTATTTGAGTTTGATTCCACTTCCAAAATTGCTTAAAATCTTCAGTTGCATGATTTGGTGAAGTACTGTACTCGTGAATTTAGTATGGCAGTAAGATTCGTCCAAAATTAATCCTACAGCTTTCAAAAACTCAGTGACTTCTGATGCTGATGAGGAAGATTTCATGTGTCCTGAGTTTTGATGAGATGATGCTTCATTAGAGATTCACATGCAAACCAGATTTCGCTGACATCACTATCAGATGCTTAACCTGAATAACGAAAATATAAAACCTGGTCCAATTCCACATTTCTCTGACTAAAGCAGGAGCATAGAGCTGCGTAATCCTATAAAACCTCAGATGTACATGCTGTTTTATCGAAAAAGATGACGTCCTAAGCTTCCTCCCTCCTGATTTAGTCGAGCGCACAGCTGTTTCTGCGACACACCCACATTTCCACACTGGCGCTCTCTCTCTCCTCTCAGCCTGATAAGTGGATGCTACATGTCCGAGTGGGCCCTCTTTACCCTGCAGTGCTGGTCTGTGTTTAATGCCTGCTGATGTGCACTTTGAAAGAAAGTGATGGGAGTGTGTGTTCGCTTACAAGACGTATAAATAAACCCGCTCACGTGACTGGCAGCTCAATGCCTGCAGATCCCAGCCTCCGCCCCCCCTTCGCCCCTTCTTCTTCTCCTGATATTACGTCACCGCCGCCTTTGTTAGCGTGGTGACAAAGAGTGCAATGTTTACCCGCCAGCAGCACTTTGACTTGCTAAAACCTCACACTGCTGAGTCTGAGGGCTTCTGGCTGGAAACAACAGGAAGACGGGAACTATGTCTGGATTTTGACAAATGTAATAAACTCAAATTGATGTGGACATGAAGCTATAAAAACAGACAAACTCTCCAAAATGAAATCCAAGAAACACAGAGAGAGATGTATTATTACAATTTTCTGTTGAATAGCATTAAGATAAAGACTTTTATCATAATGGGTGAAGAACTGACTGTACTCGCTGACCTACAAAAGAGAACTGAGACTATCAGCAGCGAGATTGCTGATAACTTTATCATGACTTTTAGCGCCTGTGTTCAGATTTCCATGAAGAAAAGTCTAGTTCATATCTAGGAGGGTTTATGTGTTGAGTCTGCTTGGCAGTGAGGAGTAAACTGTTGAGAAAGAGGAGTAACTCTTTGTGGATTAATCTCTTTTGACCTGTTTTTTCTTCCTTTTACCACAATATCTCCTTTTTCCTCTTAATCCAAGAGTTTTCTTTTTCTTTTTATTCAAGAAAATGTTCAAGAAAGTTCAGCAAGTCAATATTTTACCCTCTAATATTTTTTTCCTATTTATTGGCGTGATTATTTTCCAAATGCAAAACACAACAACATGATGTTGGCGTTACATAACAGCCATCAGCTGGCCTGCTCTCCCGCAATCCGCATCAGAATAAACCATTAAAACCCGTATCAGTTGACAGATAATCCATCTCATCTACTGGCTTTTGCAACAACTGCACGCTTTGCCAAAAGAGCCACATCACCAGGACAGCGGTTATTGGCGCTCATGGAAAATGTCTCTTTATCCAGAGAAACTTTGTCCAAAAAGATCGAAGGTTTTCTTTATTTAGGAGTGGTCAGCTGTGCCAAGTATAACCTCTGAACTGAAATGGACGTAGACTCCAACAGAACTGCTCAAATAACTGCTGCCTTGCATTTGTCTGACTGTTATAACTCCTCAACACACCAACTCTCATCTCTGAAGTTTATGTTGAGATTAAATGGCTGTGTGGCTCAAACAGAGTGATTTGAGAGCTCCGAACTGAAACACTTCCAAACTCGATCTGCATAAACAGGCGATCAATCAGCAGAGAACCGACTCTGGACTTGGGCTTTATGCCAGGCTGCTGACGGGTTCAGTATCCACACTCTTTACCCTGGAGCACAAGGTGGAAAAATCCATGAAATACACTCAAAATCATGTCAGAAACTCGTAAATACGGAGTGAAGTATGGCCACGGAGCAAAAACATTTAAACTTTGTTCTTAAATCAGCTTTTGAATTCATAAGCTGAGGTATCAGGAGGCAGATTTTCCGATCTGAGTGATTCTGCAACAGGAGGAAAATTTACAAGCTCGAGTGCATGAGATAAAAACACCCAAAGCCAAACAACTCCCCTCCAAACAGGGACCGCCTCTAAACAGTCAGGCTTAGGTTAAAGAAAGGCCAACACATGACTTACCACCCCTTCGCTGGATGTGGTTTGATGCAAGACAGGCTTACAGAATCTGATTTAGAGAGGAAGGAACACATGATAACAGCAGCAGCAGCCTGGAGTTATCATCCAAACTTTCTAAAATCAGGGATAATCTTTTACAAATATCACATGACGCCATCCAAGAAAGACAACGCTCAACAGGCAAAAACTACTCTGAAGACTAGTCAAACCCGCAACAATCAGAGGGCACGGTGACAAAAGGAGGAAAAAAATCTCTGACAAACTCTTTCCAGAGATAAAAATGTCATGTTGGACACCAGGTCGGAGCAGCTGTGGAATTTGAGTCCTTCAACCCTAATCTGCAAAAGTTAGCTGAGGGAATGACAGCAGTTTGTACAAAAGCTTGTTCTCAGTTTATTCATCAGTCAACCCTTCAAGTGTCGCCACATCGACAGCATCTCCTTATCTGGGGATTATGAATTCACAAAACTGTCAAACCTACAGAGCGTTTACTTTCACTTTCTTAAATCGTCCACTGAGAAAACTCCGTCTGTTAACCTCTGCTCTGGTTTTCCTTTCTCATACAGCCGGCCACCATGCAGCGTTTGACAGTAAATGCGGAACACAAGCCACAGTTGACCTGCATTTCAGGTCAACAGCCCCCTCCCCCACCACGTTTACATCCTCTTGTAGCTCAGCGCTCTCACACTGAAGCTTCCCACTAACTTCACGTCTTGTTCTGGAGGCAGATTAGAGACGAATACGACTCACACATTCACATCATCGCTCATTAACAGAAAAACTTCATCATCGTTTGTGTAACATGGTGCATAGTGAGTAGATGGACGATGCAGTGAGAGGCGTCAGTGTGTTTCTGTCCTTGATAAAGAGCTGGTTGGTCATGCGGCCCTGAAGCAGCTCGAAATCCTTCACTGTCACTCGTCTAAAGGGTCAGAGATTCATTTCCTGTCTGTCAAACCCTGAAGATATACTGCGAGGTATCACTTCTTTATTTGATGAAATGGTGCGGATAACACAACAGTGTGTGCACCAATAGTGGTACTAATATAGTGTTATTTTAAGCCATGCCAAGGTGACTGTGGTGACTGGTTTTCTCAACATCTGCTAAATGGATTACTATGACAATATGAAGAGATGATGATGTTCGCAAGGGGGTGCTAACCTTAAGGTTTAGAGAGTATACAATCTTTCCTTAAAGGTACAGTGTGTAGTTTTTAGCAGCATTTAGCAGAACAAACTTGGTAGAAAGGGAATTAAGTATGTTTAAATTTTATCGTCACCCTGGCCACTTCCACCAGCTCCTCCGGCGGGATTCCCAGCTGTCCCAGGCCAGGCGAGAGATATAATCCCTCCACCTGGTCCTGGGCCGGCCACGAGGTCTCCTCCCGGTGGGACATGTCCGAAGCAGCGGTTCTACTCTGAGCGCCTCCCGAGTGTCTGAGCTCCATACGCTCTCTCTAAGGCTGGGCCCTGCGGAGTCAACCCATTTTGGCCGCTTGTATCCGCAATCTTGTTCTTTCGGTCATTACCCAAAGTCCATGACCATAGGTGAGGGGTCGGCACGTAGATCGACCAGTAAATCGAGAGTCATGTTTACATAAGCTTCATTTATCTACATGTAGGCTGCCATCTTGCACTGCCTACTTCTAATGAAGCACAGAGTAGACAAACTGGTACCACATACATTTTTAATGAGTAGCTGGTTGTTTCTTAAAAGCCTTGGGAAAACTAGGGAAACAGACCATCGTATTTATCTTGGAGCTTATTGTCCTTGAAGGCTACCATCCCTTCAACAATGAGAGGGGTGAGCTAGGGAACAATTTGTTCTAGTAAAATCCATCCAGTCATGGTTTCAAAATGATGATTTTAAATAATGTAATGCAAGACAAGTTGTATTTTTAGATAACTTTACACTAAAATCATTGAAATATGGTTAAGGGTGCTGCTAAAGTTCAATTCAGTTGCTTTGCTGCAAAATATAGACCCTGCCTGAGTCAATACAAAGTCGACTTCTTCAGAGGATAAAGGTCTGATTCATCGAAAAGCAAAAACAAGTCAGAAGCGGTGTTTTGTCTTTGATTAGTGGTCTCTCCTCTGCTACCTCGGCACCCTCTGGCTAACTGAACTTACCATCTTTTTAAGGCTCAGTGCGCCGACTCACAAGCCCCTGAGCTACAGAGAGCATTTACCGAGCGCACTGGTATTTTAACCTGCTGGGGACAGGAAGACAAAAAATAAAACACACATTTCCAGAACGATCTAACCCCGAGGTGACGCTGCCACATGATCAAGTGCTTGTTATGTGATGAAAACAGGCAACAAAATTATCACCTCTTATCCCTTCATGTTTATACAGCTCGCTGATGAAGATATCTCCCCTGTGTAGGACAGGACATACTGGTTAAAGACTATCAGGCGGACATTATGAGTCACCATTGTGTCGTATGAATGCTGATTAGCCCCATATCCAGATATAATCGTACTCAAGGGCTGTGTGCAGCAAATAAAATGTTGCAATACATCAAAATAATCCAATAAACCTGCTGTTTAATACACTGAGATCATCATTTCTCTTAAAGTTAAAACAATAGGACCTCCAGCTGTTTTTATTCGATAAATCAGACTGTTTTAATGTAATGCAAACATGCAGACGCAGAGTGTTCAATCTTTACGAAAAAAGGCAGCGTAATGTGATCGCAATGCAGATAGCGCAGCCCTCGCCATACTTCCTGAGTGTGTGCTGACTGTACAGATTTCCAACAGACCTCGTTCATCACCCAAGAGACCCCTCCAATCTCTCTTTGCGCATGCACACACTCACACAGAGACACCATTTTCACAGGGTACAATCAATACACTGACATGGGCAGGGCCGCCAGCTGTAAAACATGATGAAGCACTGCAACACACACGCTTCAGCATCCTCTCCCATCCCCCCCTCCCTGCCCTTGGACCGGAGGAAACTGCAACCAGCTAGCTTTCACAAATCCCACCGACACACTGAGAGGGACTGCATTTAAACAGGTGAAAACTGAAAAATGGAGGTTCGAGTGTTCAAGAGGGGTCTATGCTTGAGCCAGGAGGAGGAAACAATAACAGACAAGTACTGGAAAAACTCTATGTTGAACCATTCTTCAGAAATCATCTGTGTCATTATGTGTAATATCAATAGCATTCGGTGGAACTAATCGCTGGATAGAAAAATAAAATGAAGCAGTCGGGTGATTTACATTTATCAAAATAACGCTGTTCTACAACCCACAAAGAAAGGCATTCATATAACATGTAGGGGAGGCTCTTTCGTTCTGCTGATGTTCTTTTCCACAGATCATATATGTAAACTCACTGTGGGCTGTTATGAAGATAATCTCTCTGTGTTGATCTTTACGACTGCCTACATGCAAACTGGTGCTGACAGCACAGCTTTAAAAGTCATCACAGACCCAAGACTTCATGAATCGAGGATTTTGAGCTTCCTCTACTGCATTATTTGAACAATTTTGAACTCAATAGTATCTTTAAAACATAAACTTGATCAGTTTCTTGTAGGAACTGGGCTTCATTTGAGATTACTCTAGCTGTATTTTGCTTTTTTTCTGCTATTTTCTATCAGTATCTGGTTCATGTGTTCATGCATGTTATTTTAATTACTGAGGCTAACACAGGAACAAGGTCAAACTGGAAATTCTGATTCATTTTATGGTGATTCAGTGCACAAATTCCAATATTTTCCAACTAACTTCGGTCATTTCTACACATAGACAATACCTGGACAGCCTGCCCAAGTATATTTCAGCAAAGTTTAATCGCAATGCAGTTTTTCATTTTTGTCTCTTTTTTAATCATGTAGTCTCACCATCTGTTATCAATAATTTAGGGGATCTCTTGTTACTCTCTGCCCATGTGTCTGTTAACCTGGAGCACCTGACATGTCTTTCAGTACCTCTCATGTGGAAATACACTGCTTGTGGAGAAATGTCTTGTCAACCATGAATCTAATTGTACCACTGTTTTAAAAGTAAAGTGTAGTTAGTGTGTGAGGTAACTCTCACCTGACTCGCAGACGACAGATCCAGGCTTTAGCTCCAGCATCATTGTTATGGTGGCGATGTCAGTTGTGTAGAGGATCTGTGTACGGTGTGGCAGGGAAACTGTCCACAGCTCTGGCGTGGGGTGAAGCACGTGGACCCAGCCACCTTTACTGCAGGTGACTTTTGACCCATAACGCTGTCCAATGAGGTCTGATGAGTGACGAATGACCCCATAGCGTGTCTGTGTTTGGGCGCCCTGCTGCACCTTGACTGGCATCATGGAGTCATGGCTCAGATAGATGATGGCAACATCTCCATCCTGGATGCAGTCTGAGTACTCTACAAAACTCATAGCAAGCACTAGAACTATATGACAAGGAGGAAAGAGATATAGTCAGAGAACTAATGAATGCTTTTGTTATAATAGACAACAGTAAGCTCAACTTCATTTTTATAGCACTTTTAGAAACACAAGTTTACAAAGTGCTTTGACAAACAGTCGTAAAGCACAGAACGTCAACATATGGAAATAAAAACAAATAAAAAACAAAACAAGGCCTCCAGTTGAAGGCCAATTTTATTTGTCATAGCAAACCCAGGCAATACAAGAACCCTACAACATAAAATGAGACCATGAAGACCAAAATAAAAAAATAAAATAGGTAAGAAAAAGAAATGTAATTAAAAGAAAGCAGGAAACAGGATAGTAAATATAAAAAGACGATATTAATAATGATGGAAATGTTAATGATAAAACTGAATAACAAAAATGAGCAGGAAAAAACAATAAAGTCAATAAAAGGCCTTAAAGTTTAAATAAGAAAAGATTATAAGGAAAACAAAGGCTAAAAGGACAGTAAGTCGAAATAAGATAGAGGTAAAAGAGAAAACAGAAAAGACGGCAGCACATAAAAGCTAGTCTGTAGCATCTTTGGTTTGGAAATTTTGAACATACATGTAGTGAACGCTTTGGATCAGTAAGAAAAAGACATAGAAGCTAAATAAGCCAAGCAAAAGAAAAAAAAAATCTGTAACTTTGTGCATTGACTTTTTTCACCAAAAAATTTTGACTTTACCCCGCTACCCTTACATTTGTTTTGATGAAATAATGCAGTTTTGCGAGGTCAGTTGTTTTTATACCAACTTTCGAGTGTAAAATTTAACTAGACAGCTCCATTTCATAAAACGGACGAGTTTAGATACAGCTAACTTAAGCTAACTCCGCATTAGCTATTGGATGCTAGCAATTTGGTTCCCATGGTAACCTAATTTCCGCGGTTCTTTTGACTACTGTCTCGCGCACAGGCCGGCGTATTTAAAACCGAGGAGCAACGGTCGATTCATCCAACAGCTTTACTTTCTACAGACGGAGACGGTTTTTGATTTTTAGCTCTTTTTTTTTGCTCTCCAAACGGACGTAAATATGTCGGACAACATCGATAAGATGTAAGTTAATTCGATAAATGATAAATGTAGTAATTTAACGCCACATTTGTGTTTTTTTTTCAAGAAGAGTTGGTTTTATGTCGAAGTTTAGAGCCTATAGACTGTTTGAAACCAGGTAATGTTCCTGTTTTAAGTGTCACAGAAGTTAGCTTACAGGCAAATCTCTGGTTTGGGTTTCGTGCCAAGTTAAACCCAGGTTAAAGTAAGGTTTAACACAAACGTTTGAGTTAGTTTAACCTTAACTAACTCAGTAATAGCAGTAGCACTGTTTTCACATAGTTTAGCGTTTATTCAGCAGTTCTAACGGTCGGTAGCTAACCTTAACGAAGAATACTGACTCGAAGTCTTTCTTATGATTTGCACCCTAATATATATGTGTAAAAGTCACAGTGCAGAATGGCTGTAAGTCAGTCCAAGCTTTCACATTAAATGGCCTGACTTGCTAACTCGCTAGCACACTGTCGTTAGCAACCGTAACCGTCAGGCTGAATCAGTGATTGAACCGTTGGTGACGTTCAACGTACCTTCTAAGATGGTGGAGGTCTTCGGACACGGGGTTCAAACTCGTATAGTCTATTATCGATGACCGGTAAACTCGCTATTGAATACCTTTACACGTACATGTGGACAGCGCTAACAGCTACCCATTCATTTCCCCGCACACGTGGTGTTGTTTTCTGAGGAAGTCGAGTGGACGCAGCCGGATGTCGAGGTCTTTTCACAAGATTGTAGACTCCTCCTGACACCAGAGTTCATTCAGATGGGCTCTCCAGGTGATTTGTAAATTAGAGGAATGCAGCTCATACTACAAAACGCCACAGATATCCACCCCTGATTTGACAAGCGTAAGGAATACAAGGGTTACATCATGTACCATAATAAAATGGGATATTTTGGTACCGTTACCTTTAACACTACACATAAATTAACACCACAACAGCTTTATAAGTCATTTCAGTGCAACTATTTTTCCTTAATTTACCTGGATGTTTCACATCCTATTCTGTTTTGGCAAAGTGGAACATACTGCTGACAAAGTTAAGTCTGTAGTGAAGGAGTCCCTACTCTTCGCAGCCAAATGAGCGCATCCAATTGAATGAATGGAGTGCAAACCCTGACCAATAGGAGGAGAGATGATCTGCTATAAAGGACGTTCTCAAGTCATCAGACTGACCGGAGAGCTGCTGGGACGCCGCTGCTGGTTTGTGAGCTCCTCGGTCGGAAAAATAGGGATCTTTGTATCAACCCCTGGTAGTTGTAGTAATCCACAAGTCCGAAAACAACAGGTAGGATAATTATTTAGTCGAATTTAGATGTATGATCCCACAGCTGGGATGTTTTTTTTGACGATTAAATGATATCAGAGCGCTGGAGACGGCCTTAGAGATATTTTCGGTTTTAATAAAACGCATTAATGCTTTTTGTTCCTGCATTTGATAGAATTGAAAATGATTAGACGCATTGAACATGTTTGATAAAATGTATTTCATGCTCATTTTTGCACCTGTTTCGGCGCATTCAGGACACTTTGTTCACTGCAGGAGATCCCATTGTCTGGATGCTGTTGTTCAGTCACTACAGCTAAAATATGACATGCATGATCATCTCTGTATGAGTCTAAACGCGATGCTGTGATTTTTTAATTTTTATTTTACATATATTATTATCGGTGCTTTCATCGTGTCCTCCCTCCATCCTCAAACCCAGGGATCAACCATGCCTTTCGGTAACACGCACAACCAGATGAAGCTGAAATTCAGCTCGGAGCAGGAGTACCCGGACCTCAGCCAACACAACAATCATATGGCCAAGATCCTGACTCCTCCTATGTACGAGCGGCTGAGGAGCAAACAGACACCCAGTGGATTTACTCTGGATGATGTCATTCAGACCGGGGTTGATAACCCAGGTAAAAAAACCGAAGCGCCATCTGTTCTGCCTGATCGACCGCGTTTAATGGCCGCAGCGGCGTTCATGTTCCTCCGAGGAAACACCAACAGCCTTCTGCACTGTGACCTTGTCAGACATTTAAGCTGCTGAATCAGTTAGAAACAGTTTTCTTCAACCCGCTTTATGGCAAATGGTAAAGATTACTAGGGTTACATAATGTATGCGGAGCTGCATCTGATAATCCACTGCAGCTTTCACTGTTTTCATATCAGTTACAGTCTGTAGGTTCATGTTTCAAACTCTCCCCTTGTTTGCTGGAGTGTAGCAGGTGACTTTCCTCACCCTGTAGACTGTGTTTCTGTTTAGCTCTGAGAGTATGGCCAGTCTGAAGCTGAAGAGCCTGTCAGCTGAGGATGAGTTCCCAGATCTCAGTCAGCACCACAACCACATGGCCAAGTTCTTAACCCTGGACATGTACAAGAAGCTGAGAGAGCGGGCTACACCCAACGGCTTCACCGTAGATGGTGTCATTCAGACAGGGGTTGATAATCCTGGTACAGTCCCATCCAAAGACCTGACGACACTCTGCACATTCAGTTAGAGAGGATGTTGCTCTGGGCCCTCCACTGTCTCCCATGTGACTGTGTTTTCTTTGTGTACAGGCCACCCCTTCATCATGACTGTGGGCTGTGTCGCCGGAGACGAGGAGACATACGAGGTCTTCAAAGAGCTGCTGGACCCCGTGATCGAGGACAGACATGGAGGATACAAACCATCAGACAAGCACAAGACTGACCTCAATGCAGGCAACCTGAAGGTGCAGCAGCCCTGAGTCTGTCCTCCTGATTCTGGGGCAGTTTGTTCAAGTGTTTCATTGATGTCTGCTTTATTAAACTAACAAGTGTGCTGCTTCTCATTTAAGGGCGGCGACGACCTCGACCCCAACTATGTCCTGAGCTCCCGTGTCAGAACAGGCCGCAGCGTCCGCGGCTTCTGCCTGCCTCCTCACTGCAGCCGAGGAGAGAGGCGCGCTGTGGAGAAGCTCTCCGTTGAAGGTGAAGAGGCCTCTTGAACCCTTTTTTGTTTAATTGAGGCACATTATTTCAGACAGTGCTGGTTCTCTGCTTCTGTGTGGTCTGCAGCTCACTGCACAGAGATCAGGCTGCAGATGAGGGATTCTGTTTTGTAAACCAAGTGTAGGAGGATGCCATTTAAAACACAGTGAATCTCCATGAAAACACAATGAGCCTGCTTTGTCTCACTTGTGTGGCAGTGGGGGCCCTCTAGTGGTGGTTTGAGGAATAACAGATTATCACACACTGTAAACAAAGAGGTCATCTTAAACTGGCTCCCTGTTATCCAATGTAGAATAATCCAAAATGGCTGCATCCAGCATTTAAATCATCTTAAATTTTATCTTCTGCCCGCAGCTCTGGCCGCCCTGAGCGGAGACCTGAAGGGGAAATACTACGCCCTGAAGAACATGACAGATGCTGAGCAGCAGCAGCTCATCGACGACCACTTCCTCTTTGACAAGCCGGTGTCTCCTCTGCTGCTGGCCTCAGGGATGGCCCGGGACTGGCCTGATGCCAGGGGCATCTGGTGAGAATTTTATCTCCTGTGTTGTAAGATTTAATTTTTGTAAAATCCAAGAACTTTCTAAACTTGTTTTCTGTCCAAAGGCACAACGATAACAAGACATTCCTGGTGTGGGTGAATGAGGAGGACCACCTGCGTGTTATCTCCATGCAGAAGGGCGGCAACATGAAGGAAGTCTTCAACCGTTTCTGCACTGGACTCACCAAGGTCGTCGGAAACAAATTACATCTACATTTTATATCTCCTTGTGTCACCAATATAAAGACTTGCTGAATGTGGTTCTCTTGTGTTCTAGATTGAGAACCTGTTCAAGGAGAGGGGCCACGCTTTCATGTGGAACGAGCACCTGGGCTACGTCCTGACCTGCCCCTCTAACCTGGGCACCGGCCTGCGCGCAGGTGTGCACGTGAAGCTTCCCAAAATGAGCAAGCACCCCAAGTTTGAGGATATTCTCAAGAAGCTGAGGCTGCAGAAACGTGGAACCGGTAATGTGGACGTTACTGTCGACTCTCCTAACACGAATCTGAAGTGGTTTCAAATGTGTGTTGACTGACTCTTGTCATGTTGTCATCAGGTGGCGTGGACACAGCCGCTGTGGGCGGAGTGTTTGACATCTCTAATGCTGACAGACTCGGCTTCTCTGAGGTGGAGCTGGTGCAGATGGTGGTGGATGGCATCAAGCTGCTGGTCGACATGGAGAAGAGGCTGGAGAAGGGCCAGTCCATTGACGACATCATGCCCTCCCAGAAGTAAAGCGTTTCAACGCCTCCCCCCCCTTTCCTCTTTCCCCTTTTCTCCCTTCGCAAGTACCACCCCCCTTCCCTTCCCTCTGTCTGAATGAATGTTCGACTCTGTCCTGGAATGCACTCTGTATTACAGTTTGGATTTGTTTCTGTATTTAAGACAAAACGGCTCCTGTATGACAAGGAAGAATCTGAAATAAACAATGTTCTGGTTCATGATCTTTGCAGCTTCACTCTGGATGTATTTCAAACACTGACGGCACCACAGGTCCTGTTTCACTCAGCTGGGACTGAATATTAAACCCAGTGGTGGAAGACATTTAAAGAACCGGATTCCCTACATGTACATATACAAGTTGAACAGACACTCGACCCTGATTCAAACTTATTTTTAGAGATTTGCAGACATGAAATTATGACTTTTAAATGCACAATTTAAATGGTGTGTTCAGAAAGACGCGGTTTAAATTGCATCATGGGAGTCACAGGATGCAAAGTTCAAGTTTGGCTCAAACCGGAGATGAAAGGATTCTGCATCTACTGATAAACGTGTCTCCACAGCTGTTAAACAAACTAAAGGGTTACTACAGCATCAGTCACCACACACACAAAGCAGGTCGACCTGTTGTGCAGCCTTTCATTTGTGTCTGATTGTGAATGAAATGGACTCTGCACTACATGTTATTGGAGAAAACTTGTTAATACAATTGAGAGGACTACACTTCTTGACTTCTGTTTACTATGTCACATCCACTCTGACTCGACACCGCCCCTGCTGTTTATTCACAGCATTTGAGGGCGTGCAGTAGGACCTGACAGATATGGATTTTTTGGGGCTGATGCTGATACCGATTATTAGGGGGGGAAAAAATCCGATTAACGATTAATTGGCTGATTTAAAAAATTTTTGAAGTTATAAAAATACATATATACTATAGATATATTGTAGGCTACAGCTCTTACTGCCTCAGTCAGAGAAGTAGCTCGATCACTAATGTGTACTGTTGTTTATTCTACCGTTACTGGCACGGCTAACAGTGTAGCAAGGCTAATAGCAGGTGGCTTACTCTAACGTTAGCTTGCATATTGCATGGTGCTTCACCGTTAACTCGGCGTGACCGAGACCAGCACAGCGGGGAACATGGTGAAGTGGGTTGAACTGAAACTTGTTGACTTATTGTTTATTTCACAAACTGGTTTATTTACCGTTGAGGCGGACCACTCTCCTCCGTGCGTCCCTGAGCCGCCTACTTCCGATCCGTCACTCTGCTGTGAGTAGATGATCGTCATGAGGTCGCTGCGCCATCTACAGGATAAGTTGGGGAACTTTTCAAATGGCGGAACATTTTCGAAGTGAAACCGAATCTTATTCTGCCCTAGCGTGCAGCCATCATGTATCCCCATGTGTAGTTATCAGCCTCCATGTTTCCCTTTTAAAACGTCTCTGCGACACTCAACAAACATTCAAAAATACTGGAATAAAACATCAAACAAGCAGCAGGAAGTGAAGCAAACATTTTTTATATTTTTGTCTTAACTGTGTCCAGTTACAAAATAATCAGTGTGAGACGGGACGTTCAAGTTGACAGACACTTTAATTGAGACATGAGTGACCCTCCCACCCCTCCCTCGTTGTTGTTTTTTTTCTTTTAAACCATGTGGGCATTTACACGGACTCCCCATCATCTCTACTCTTTTTTTTTTTTAACGAAATACAAAAAGAAAAAAAAAATGGAGTATTGCAGTGAAGCCATCTTGAAAGTAAGATACATTATTTACACTGAAAACAAAAAACGCTACGTAATTTTTTTCTTTTTCGAGGAGAAAAAAAAAGAAATAAATAAGACTAGAAATGTTTTTTTGTCCACATTCACAGCATGACAAATCATATTCAACTCGTTAATGTCGACCCCGTGTGGCCAGAATAGACTGAGATATTAGTAGGTAATCAGTGATTATTGCCAAAAGCCTTAATCTATACATTGTAATATTCAATACATACTCTGTATTTTGTTTAAAAAAAGGAGACATTTGGAAACTGCTACTTGGATGATTGTACAGCTTAAATACTTCTAGATATATATATGTATACTTTTTTAACCCTTTTGTTCATAGCTTTAACTCGTTGGCAACTTTGGAAGCAATGTTTTTGAAAGCGATGGATGATCCGGATATCCGTTTGAACCTGACGCCGTTGAGGGAGAGACGGGGCAGCTTGCAAACCTCCATCTCCCACTGAACCAGGTTCTCGGCCCGCCCGTCCCCGTGGACGCAAAGAAGCAGGAAACTCTCTTGCTGTTCGTAGTCGCAGTTGTTGGCGTCGAGCACCTTGCGAATCTCCCGCATGATGTCGCAAGGCTCCATGGAGCTGGTGGTCCTCATACTCCAAGTGAATCTGAGGGAGCGGGGTTTACCGTCTTTATTTTCCCCTTTTTGATCCCCAGGTACATGGCGACTGGCGGGAGAGAAAGAAAACACAAAAAAGACTTGTAAGATCGTATTTTGTGATGGTTTGTTTTTTCTTCAGCCACTTTGACCTTTGTTCTTCGGTAAACCTGTTATGTGTTTTTTTTAACAGTCAAAGCGGCTGCAGGATCAAAATTTAAAGGAAAAGTTCAACTTTTGGGGAGTTTTATTTGCCTTCTTGCCAAGAATCAGATCAGGAAGTTGTTGCTTCTCATAGAGCTACAGCGAGCAGACCTGTTTCGATCCTTAAAGCTCCTCTGAGGAACTTACAGGTGGTGTCAAATTTTGCTGATCTTAAGGTCCTTTCACACCAGGAGTGTTTTTTTCGTGCGATTATTTTGGACGTCAATATTTTTTTTCTGAACTTGTATCCTGTTAATACAAGCGTTCACATCATGGACGTTTTTCCATCCTGCGATATTGCGGCATTTATTTTTTCGTGTCACGGTTGATTTTTCTAAAGTTTCGCATACTTCGTGTCCACTTCTGACCAATCAGATTGCGTCATTGGTTGTTGGTTGTTTACGTGTCGGAGAACAGAGTACTTTTTTATAAAAAACACAAAGATAACGACCTGAAGGACAACTTGTGGAGAGTCATAGCGTCGGATTTCTCATATGACGATGGTTTGTGTGCTTTAACAGTTTGATAAACGTCTTTGTTTTAACTTTCATCTGTGCTAAGTAACTTTAGCTCGTAAGCTAACCTGTTCAGATACAACATACCATATGTATTTTCACTGTCTCAAACTCAATCACAGCGTTGCTGTCACAGCACCATTAGGTCTCGGTTGTTACCTTACGTTTATGGATTATAGTTTAATGTGTTTATCTGGTACTGGCCCTGACTCAGTACATGCTATCATGACAGACAGACATCTCAACACTAGAGTCTAATCAGAACTGAAAAACACTCAGTCTGCTGTTGGGTCAGTCTTCTCGCTTCCACCCGGGATGCGTCTTTTTCCCCCCCGGAAAGTTGCAAAATCGCATCGCGCACGTCAAAATTTGCCTCCAAATATTTCATAATTTCGCGTCGTATATTTTCGTCGTTCCTGATGTGTAAGGACCTAATCATTTAAGCTTAGAAACTTTGCACCATTTTTATCTTGTTGCTGATGGTTTGAAATTTTCCCAACAAGTTAAAAAACTCCCTATCGGAGCTTTAAAGACACCAAACTTTCAAACTCTTGTACTCGAATTTGCACAAAAAGAAGCATTTCAATGACAGACACGGGTTTAAAGTGGTTTGTTTCGAGGTTGTCCTGCCTTTTCATCCAACTCTCAGCAAGAAAGCAAGTTTTCAAAGTCTTGAACTGTTCATTCCTTTAAACATTTCACTCATGGCTGGTGTTTGTTCACACCAGAATATATCGTAACCCCAGTTTGTGCGTCTCAATGTTTTATCCTTACATTCAAGTCACAAAGCAAAGCACCCGGTCACTTTAAGGATGGGGAAAAAAAAGGTTTAACTGTGCATTATCATTTATTGTTAATTAATATGCTCTTTATGTGTCTGATGTTTGAGATTTTTACATTATTCTCCTAAAATTGAGCTTTAAAAACAGGAAAAGGAGGTCTGCAGTTATAAAAAAGTTTCTTCTTGAACAGTAGAAAGTGCTTGTTTTACTTTATAAGAATGGTTTATCGGGTTTTAAGGTCTTTTTTAGGTTTATTTCTCCGATAAAAAGCTCTGTGACTTTGAATGTAGTGTAAACTGGAGTTAGACACATCCATGCTAAATTAACGGCACTTTTGTTACAAGGTTTAAGGAGCATTTTTTTTTTTTTTAGGTTGACAACATTACAAATATGCCATGCTAACAGAGCAGCATACAAACACGGTGCCATGCAAAAAAAAACAAAATCAAAAAAAACAAGCCAAACCAGTCAAAATGCAAGGCTCAGTGCGAGAAGCTCCAAACACACCCAAACCTCCCGGAGAAACAAAGCAGGGCGGGGTTCCTGAGCGAGCAAGTCGAGGACAAACTGAAGACTACGCTTATGAAGGGGAGGGGAGGGCGGGGGACACATTTAGAGGAGGGAGGGGAGGAGAGGGGAGGGGGACAGGTAACCTCACCTTGAGCCCTCAAGTCTCCCGTTTCTCTCAAACTCGGTTGAGACTCTGAGGTGCATGAGAAGATCAGACAGGGAGGAGGGGGGAACAAAGAAGAAAAAAAAGATGTGGATTGTGCACGATAGAAATTATTTTGGATCAATACCAGAGACAAAAAAAAGAGAATCTGTGACGTGTGATTAAAAAAAAGAGGAGTGACACCGATGTGAAACCACCACCGAAAAACACGAACAGAAAAATGAGTGAAAGAACCGACTCCCAGTGAAACACCATGAGATACAAAAAAATAAAGAAACAGTGAAACATGTTCGAACCGTGACCCCAAAACTGAAAACAAAGAGTCCAAAACAAAGAAGAAAAAAACACCCGTGAGCACAAAGCAGGACAGACAATGCAGCTTGTGACTAGAGTGACTTTAACCAATCAAAACACGGGAGGAACGACAACTACAGTGGACAGGTAAGATTCAGGTGGGACAGATTAAAGGGAAGGAGGTGATGGTGTGGGGTAACAATCTCATACGCTTTCATTTTTACACATTTTCTTTTACTTTTATTAAAAAAAACTAAACATAAAAAGTCTTAACCTATAAACACGCAAAAAAAGTGTAGAGTTCATTTAAAAATTCCTTTTCAAAGTAAAGTATGAGCTGATGAAGTGCTCTAAAGGAAATGAAGCAAAAAAATGTGAAAAAAGGAGCTACCAGCTTCTAAAAACTGAGACTTTTCTGCCTTTTTTGCATCATTTTGTGACTGAATTTGTGTAAAAGACCTTTGTTTGATGTAATTTTTTTAGATTTAGAAGCTAATCTCTGCAATCAGGTAACTAAACATTCCTTCACTTACACAATTATTTACAAACTACTTACTCTACTTATTCATCAGGTACTTAAAGTCAGGATTAATATGTTGTCTCTGCTGCTGTCTTTATGTTGCTGTATTCATTTAGGGCCTGTGTCTACAACACTTAGGGCCTGTGTCCACAATATATATAGGGCCTGTGTCTACTACATTTAGGGCCTGTATTTACAATTGTTAGGGCCTGTGTCTACAACACTGTTGTCTGTACCCACATTTTCAATTTCAGGGGAGCTTCTCACCAGGGCACATTACAGCTAGATTACAGATGTCATGTGTCAAGATGTCATGGGGCTTGTTGTTTACATGTTTACTTCTGTTCAACTGGATCTTGATGATTCATAAATCAAAGAAAATATTAAAATATTGACACAAATCTCATAGCATTTTCGGCAGCTGTATACCTGGACATTTAACCCCTTGTAAACTTACAAAGATGTGGTTAGTTCCTCCTACATACAGTAGCGTGAAAAGTCCCGCCCCTTCTTGATTTTGATTGGTTGGTTATAAAGTAGGAGAGGAGTTTGTGGACATGGGCCCTATGAGTTTTATCTACAAGCCACTGCAAACTTGATCAATTAAGATGATTGAACTGAACTTTCTTCCTTCTTTTCTAAGACAATAGTTTAATGAAAATAAAAATGAGTTACAGTTACAGCATATGCAATCTTTAACGACTTTAGTTATGCTTAAAACACGATTATGAGATGTTTTAAAAAGGGTTATTGACTTTACAATCGAATTTAGTCCAAGATATCCGATTTACTTTGGAAAAACACCATCCTTATTTTTTTACAGGGGCTACTTCATAATCTAATGTGATCTGAAGTAATCTAATCCTAACACTAGAAAGAAGTGAACAAGATCCACGCCCACAGATAAAACCAGGACACCAGGACACCAGAACACGAACAAAGAGACTTTTCAGGGTTTCTGAAATGGGACACTATCTGGAACATGGAACAGGGCAAAACTCCAAAAGGAGGCCCAAAAACTACAAAAACAAAATGATCCTCATATAGAGGATTTGTTTGCTACGCAGACGTCCAACAAGCTCATTTTCACACTGTTATAGATTTATCCTCCCTCTGCAAACATGAAATTTACCCTCCAGTGAATTAAAAGGATGAAGGCGACGAGTTTGCTTCGGACTAAATATGGAGGGGGTGACTCAACTTCCTCAAAAATGAAGGAAAACTAATGGCTGGGTTACTCAAAATGTGTTTAAAACAAAAATGATGCAAGTGAATTATACAATATAAAAAAAAAAAATAGAGTAAGTTTGGATAAATAGCTCCTCAGACACTATGAAAGGTAAATTAGTGTAGTTACCCAACATCTCACAGCTAGACCTTCATAAAAAAAGGTTTTCTGATATCATCTGATGATGATTTAAAGAAATATCTATAAATTCATATATTTTACGGATCTGTTTTCTTGACTGGACAAAAACGACTGTTTTAAACCTGAAAATCCCTGCTCAAGTTATAAAATATAATTCAGAGCGCTCTTTTGTCGTCACAGTGGTCAGAGAATAGCTCTCCTAAATGCAGAAACACTTGTAGTGAGAGTTTTTGTGCGTCCGTGTTCATCTGCTCTTGGCGCTGACTCACTCCAACTGCGCGAGGAGAATTTCACATATCGGAAACGAGACTCTGAATCACTAGTAAACAAGAGGAAAATGTCCGGCTGATATCACAAGAGTAAAGCTCCCTCCCTTGCTCCCCCCCCCTTGACAGGACGGGCTTCCCAGCATGCACTGCAGCCTGGAGAAACAGAAAAACAGGACGGGTGGAGGAGGAAGCCACTCCAAACTCCCCGACAGCTAAAAGAGACTCGACAACAAGAGGACATGTGAGCAGACAGGACTGACAGCAGGTCCCGGGTCGGTCAGAGAGGCCGTGAGGATCACACAAGACCGAGTGGGGTGAGGCAAGAGGAGGAGGAAGAGGAGGAGGAAGGGGAAGATGGGGGTGAGGTGTGAGGGGTGAGTCCCTCCACATAACCGACACTGAAGGCTTCAAGTCTCAGAAGAAAGATTGGAGGGATTAAAACAGTCCCTTACTCTAGATCTTCATCTTCCTACAACTCTCTATATCTTCCGCTCCTGAATCTGAAAGAAAAAACGGGGAGTCTGAAAACAAAACCTGCGATTTTCTCAATGGAAACATGACAAGAAAAAAAAGAAAGAGAGAGGGAAAGAATATCAAAAATGTATGACATGGAGGAGGAGGAGGAGGAGGAGAGGCCAAAAAAGAAGGAAAAAATATGGACGGATGATGAGAAGGCAGGAAGGAAGGAAGGAAGGAAGGACAGGCTGAGAGAGACCGGAGGGCAGAAGACTTACTAAGGGTCTTTCCTCCCTGGGTAGAAGGGACGGCTGGCCCTGTTTTGGCCGTCTGCCGTTTGGCCGGGTCAATAGTGACCCTAGGCGGAGAGGAAGAGCAGCAAGAGGTCAAAGGTTAAAGGACGCAGGAAGGTTAGGAGGACAAAAAACACACAAGCTGTGAGGAGAAGGAGAGGAGGAAAGGAGGGAGGTGACTGAACCAAGGCGTCCTGAGGAAGAGGAGGAGGAGGAGGATGAAAGCAGGTTAAATCCAAAGATGTACGGAGGGGCCGGAGGGACAAAATGGAGTAAAAGGTTATCAGACAAGTTAAAAAGTTACAGATCAAATAAATAATAATGTTAGTTAAAGAAGTAAAACGGAGAGGGTTTGTGTTACCGTATTTTTCGCACTATAAGTTGCACTTCAAATCCTTTTGGCTTGTCGGAGTACTGCAGCTACCGTAGCCTCGCAGAGTTATTGACTGTTTTGTTTGGCTTAATGCGCTTTATGTATGAAAATAGACGCGTTTTTTGATGGTGCGCCTTGTAATCAGGTGCTCCTTATAATGCGAAAAATACGTTTTTTATAATTTTGTCCTTAAATCAGTTGGTTTACACGCTCACATCTCTGTGAGGCTCGATTATTGCGCAGTGGGGCTTTAATTGAAACGACAATGAAGAAAATTAATCCTTATTTATGAGCCAATCACGACCAATAATGACATTAACTTTAGATTTAAAGGTATTTTAGCGATTTTAGCAGATTTCATCCTCAGGAGAGCATGAACGGATGAACCTAATTTAATGACAATCTGTTAACCTACTTTTGAAATGAAAAGCTGACGCTGTAAAATTCATGGAGGACTTAGAGTATTATGATCAGATGTTCTTTTATACAGACACAGGTTTTTTTTTCCGTGACGAAGACGTGACGTTGACGAGCTAAATTTAAGTCTTAGATGACTAAAATGTGACGAGACGAATGTGCGTTTACGGTGACGAGACAAGACTAGGCGAAAACGTTAGTGGTGGACGACGAAGAGAGCTGCAAAATTCATGAGCATTTTGTCAGTCAAACGCTAAACATATTCTGCAGTGTTCTTTTCGAAAACAACACTGCCTTGCGGAGATGTTTTGACGTGCCGTCAACAGTCTTCCTCAGAATGTCACGTGATGGTTGTGTGACGTGTCTTAAAACAGCTGATGTTTCTGAAGGCATGACCGATTTGTCAGCTGCCTGCTTGCCCCCTGCAATATGGTGCTCCAGGTGTGGGATGGCATATACGCCCCCTCATCCCGGTTGACGGTCTTTGGGCCTGGCTTCCGGATCTCCATTGCCTCCTGATCCGGCGCTGATGTTTATGTTGATGTTTTAAGACGCGTCACCGACCATCAGGTGACACTCTGAGGAAGACTGCTGCCAGCATGTTGAAACATGTCGGCATGGTAATTAAAAAACCTGTGTCTGTATAAAAGACCATCTGATCGTAATTTATCCAAGGAGTTCGAGTATGTTGGCTGGACTTAAGACGATCCTCTGGGGAACATGAATTTGTAAACAAACTCTTAAGACTGAGATCTAATAAATCTGCTGCATTCAATCTAAATTTCTCTCCATTTTACTCCTTTAACGAACAATATTATTGATCGATTTGTCCGTCTTTGTCGTGGTCTTGTCTGATGACGCTCTACCACATTTTGCTTCCATAGAAATGAAGACAAACAGAGAAAAAAAAACTAAGTGAGGTGCTAAAGGTGAGATGGGAGATGACACCAGAGTTCAACAGAGCTCAGACAGTGCAGGAGGAAGAGGACTACACAGCCACCAGCCACCAGAGGGCACTGCTGAGCCTCCAGACAGCAGTCCTGAGAGGCCACAGCTGATACTGCTCACAAAACATGTTTCATTTTGACCACAGACATCCAGTGAGAACAACAAGAAGCTCGTCAAAGTGTATTTTTAGTATCCTGTCCAGACCCTGACCCTCCTGAGTGTGGGAGATCTGAACCGAACTGAACTGTAACCAGCTTGATAAATGTTTAAAATCAGAATTTACAGATAGTTTTCTTTTTCTGCTGGGGCACGTGAGCGAAACTGGAGCCCTGAAAGAGCTGCTTTTTGAAGAACAGGTTCACACTTGTTCAAGATTTCTTCCTAGAGAGCAGTTTTAGTGGTCGATGAGAGATAAATCCGACAGGTCTCGATCTGTTCTGCTAAAAATAACCTCTGAGTTTGGCTCGAGACGGTGTGAAACGTTTGGTGGAGAGGGAGGAACAAGCTAAATAAATAACCACCAAAGAGTTCAGAAACAAAAGCTTAAAGTTTAGAAAGTGGAGTCTGGTTAAAAAGCAAAAATAGAAAATAATAAAACCCATGTGAGAAGAAAAAAAAATGTTTAAATGATTCTCAAAAGTCAAGTTCAGGGGCAAAACCAAGAGAAAGAAGCACACAACAGGCCTGTCAGAACATTTCCCTTCACCTAAACTCAAAGTCTGTTGACAGATAAAACAAAACCGCACGAGCAAAAAGAAATCCTACACAAGAACAAGCGTCTACACGACTCATCCTCTGTGATTTTGACAAACAACAGGATCCGTTTTGTGGAGGATAAATACAGCAGGATAAAAAGTTTATGTCTGCGATTTAAAGAAGTGTGTTTTCTTCAGTCCAGAAAGAAAAAGAGAGAGAGAGAGAGTTCAGCTGTTTACAACAATCATTGTGGTTAGAAAACAAAACCACAATCAATGGTAGCTGCGAGAAGCGACCCCATGCAGGCGTTGGCGATTGATTAGTGGCAAGCTGCTTCGTTTGTAGCCGTGGGTTTAATCGACTGATTGTTCAAGGAGTCCGGTCTGCTCTCACAATCAGCCGTTATCCACTCAGACCAACCAGAGCCGCGCTGAGTACATTTACACACACACACGCACACACTCACACACACGCACAGACGAACACCAGCGAGAAGCTCATTAATGCACAAATCCAGAAGACAAATTCCTCATTTACATTTTGAGCTTCTGCTGATTTTCTCTTATTGGATTGCATCTTTTTAAACCTTTAATTTGTAAAATACAGAGACTCGCACCAAGAGTAGAAGTAGAAGAAGAAGAAGAAGAAGAAGCCACTCCTGTTTCTGCACAGCTGGAGCCAACTGTTAGCTTAGCCAGTCCCTGATATCTGCTTAAACTGGGGTATGAAAAACACCTGAAAACAGAGCTAATGTTCGGTTAGCTAAGCTCAGCGTAAAGCAGGGGGAACAGCTGGCGTAGCTCTTTAGAAGAAGTAAGATATCTGGCCTGCGAGCATCTTTGCAAAGCTTAAAATTTCAGTTTCATGTTTCTGTCGTGAGAATATCAAGAATCAACCAAAAAAGATAATTAGCTTAGCTGAGCACAGGAAGTTAAAGCTGAGGGTGACACAAAAAGCGCGCTTTTAAACAGCGGCGGGAAAGCAAGAGTCGAATTATCTCAAAGTAAAAAAGTTTAATTACTCAGTTTGTTCACAATTAAGACAAAAACGTTGATATCTATCATAGGGGAAATGAAACTGGGGTAAAGTCAGCCATCAGAGGAGGTTTGAGACGTTTTTTTGGACACACAGCTGGGGACAAAGCAGCACTTTCACACCAGTGACGTGTCCATTTAAAGGTCCTTAGTCACAGACATGTGGACGTTCACCACAGACTGGATAAAACATAGTCTCATGCTGCGTTCGAGTTACCTCAGAAGTCAGAAGTCCGTGCTGAAAATGACGTCACACCCGAGTTAAAACCCGAGCTAGAATAACTACGAAAGTTATTTTAGCGCTTGCCTTGTCTGAATATAAGGCAAGCGCTAAATAAACTTTCGTAGAAACGCCGGTAACTCGGGTGTGACGTCATTTTCAGCTCGGACTTCTGACTTCCGAGGTAACTCAAACAAAGCACAAGTGTCTGAAGCCAAACAAGGCTGATGGTCTGACTGGAAATGCTGACTCAACCAAACTTTCTGTTGACCTATCATAAAGCAAAGAGGAGGAGTTAAGGCGAGGCTTAAACATCCACGCTGTCAAGTCATCTGTGCCTCTAATATATAATCACTAATGAGTTCATAAAAATATCACCCACTGTGTACGGGTAAAGAAATAAGCTTTTCAGACTAGCCCCAAGTGGACACTCAAGGAACTGCAGCAGAGCGCGACAGTACGACAGTTTCACTCGCATTTGGATGTGTGTGAATTGTAAAATGTATTTAGGGGCACGTGCGCATAAAAAAAAAAAAAAGTGACAGCAGTGCGGTTCAATCTACTCGGCACCCTTGTTGTTGAATAAGGGACCGACAATAAATTACCGACTGATGTTCTCAAAAAAGGCTGTTTTCCTTCAATAACTTCCATGTCATGTGACTTACTGACCTAAAATTGATTTCAGATAACAGTACTTTATCGACCAATAAGACATTTGATCATTTTTCATCGCGCCCCTAACGTTCTTTGTGTGCTCCTTACCTTTTCAACTTAGGAGTACATGCGCTCCTTGTGAAAAAAGCTAGTGTCGAGCCCTGTGCAGTTATTAATACTTTACTCAGCTTTACCCCATTTCTTCCAGTTTTTATGCTAAGCTAAGCTAACGGACAGCTGGCTCCAGGTTGATATCAGCCATGCAGACATGAGGGTGTTATAATTCTTACTCTTGGCAGAGCACTAATGAGCCAAATTTGAGTCACATGGATTATTAACGTTAAAATCGGACAGTATCGTCTGATATTCATCTGCGTGCGTGTAAATGTACCCAGACAGAGTTTTGTTCTGCTAAGCGGTGTGTTAGTTCAGTGCCAGCAGCCCCACACGTCTGCAGAGTCTCAGAGGAAGTTTGTTTTTGTTTTTTTTCTGTGAGTTTGTTTTCGTTATTTTTGGCACAGAGCGAAAGGCAGTACAAGAGTCCTACCTTTTGGCAAACCTGAATGACATGTTTCTACAACAGAATCAGACAAAGAAACAGTGAAAATGGTGAAGGAAGGAGGAGTGAGAGGAGAGGAGAGGAGAGGAGAGGAGCAAGAGGGGAGGAGGGGGAGCAGGTAGGGAGGGAAGGAAGGAGAGGGAGAATGAGGAGTCTGAATGAGTGAACAAAAATGGGGTGATTGGAATCATCAACAGTGGAGGAGGGGGTTCATTTTTTTTCATGATTATCAAATGATTTCAATTCCTCATTTCAGCTCAGTCATTGCAGGAGTGATGTCGCTGGTCTGGCTGCCGCTCAAAGAGGACATGTGACGCTTTTGTGAAATTAAGGTGCTCTTCTTACCATCTCTTTTTGTCAGGTTTGGAAGAAAAATGACTTAAAATATATATATCTATGAGCGCACAACCCTTAGAAAAATGAATAAATAAAAGGTTTAGTTATGCTGCGTTCGAGTCACCTCAGAAGTCAGATGTAAGAGTTGAAAATGATGTCACACCCGAGTTACCAAGTGGGAAAAAAGCAAAATCGGAGGCAGAAACAAGATGGTTACATCTACCAAAGTTATTTTTGTGCTTGCCTTACATTCGGACAAGTCAAACGCTTAAGATTTCGTAGATGTAGCCATCTTGTTTCTGCCTCAGATTCTGCTTTTTCTGACTTGGTAACTAAAACGCTGGTAACTCGGGTGTGACGTCATTTTCTACTCGGACTTCTGACTTCCTAGGTAACTCGAACGCAGCATTAGCTAACTCATTTACTGTTAACCTCATCTACCTACGAGCACAAGCAAGGAGTCAAATTACAAATATGGGTGTTTGCATGTTTGGTTTAAAGACTCACACTTGAGAAACTCTTTTTAAAGCTTTAAATAATAAATATAAACAGAACAGGAATAGTCGACTCTATGTAATGCAGCTCTTTCTGTGTTTTCACTGACCGTTGTAATGTGACTGCAGATTCAGTGTGTTTAATAAGACAGGAGGAAAATGGGTCAAAATCTTCTGCAGGGATCGTGAAAAACATCCCGTTTTCAGGAAAAAGGAGGTCAGATTGCGGCTTGTTCGGAGTGGTTTCACTTCTCTTTGGCCGGCATCCAGACAGCGACAGATAAACACTTGAGACTCGAGAATAAATCACATCGTACAGGACAGTGAAGTGTTCCCCCCAGCATGTAATTTATCATCCTAACTCTACAAGGCACTGTGCTGATTGGCTTCTAATTAGACCAGACAGAGTCAGAGGAGATGGTGGTGTTCAGAGCGGGGCTGGAGTCTCTCCTCTCTCTGCTTCAGTCTCAATATTTACATTTAAGAGGAACGCGTCCGCTCAGAGACACAGATTTAGACTGACTGAGAGGACAGAGAGGAAAACCCCAGCCCTTCAGTGTGACGCCAGCGTGCCGTGTCCTCTCCTACCTGCGGGTGAGTTTGGAGGTGAGTTTGGAGAAGAGGTTGCTGGTTCCACGGCTGCGGGTCTGCGAGAGAGGGGTGGCGTCGTGGGAGAGTGTCGGCGAGGCCGGCGGCCCGTTGTACGTGGCCGTGCGGCGGTCTCTCAGCTGGCCCCCGTGGAAGGTGCTGCGGCTGGCCGTGCCCCGCGGGAAGCGGAGTCGGTCGGGCGTGGTGGCGTTGGCGATGCTGTGGATCGACGCCACCGGGTTCCTCTGGGTGCCGGGCGACACGGCGACGCTGCTGAAGTGAGGGAGGGTGGAAAAAGTGGCGATTAGAGCTCACGGTTAAATCACAGGTGCTGACGGTTTTTACACAGCAGATGTTTTCTCATGATGTTCCAGTTTGAGCAGGTCACATGATGCTCATTTGACATTAAAAGGTCAAAGAGTGTAAGAGAAACACCTGCTGTGGAAAAACCCTCATTAGAGCCGCATCAAGTTCCCTCCTCATGTAATCAAATGTGCTCAGTGAAGAAACCCTGATCAATAAATAAAAATATAAACCATCGATCACATTAACTGATGGATCCACACGTCTAAGAGCAACTTCACTTATTTCATAAACCCTCAAATAAACAGAGTTTGAGATTATCAGTGTTTAACCAACTTCTTTTTAGAGACACACAGAAACTAAAACAGGAACTGAACCGCAAACTGAGAAGTCCCCGAATATTTGATGACACTGACAAAATTTCATCTTTTCTTTGGAGTTTTTGAGCAACCTGACAGAACAACAAAAGGAGAATCTAAGAAAAAAATCATCGATTTACAAGATTAACGTCATAAATGTGCGAGAGTAAAGTCGGTGAATTTAAAAAAGGATATTCCGGCGTAAAATTAATTTAGGGTCAAATACACTGTAACACCGAGTTAGACACCCCCTCTAGAGATGAATGTTACAGACCGCTTGATTCTCTAGTTGTACCAACTTTAGAGACGACCGCACGATAGCAATACACAGTGGTCTACATCTCCACGCACAAACATCAACCAAAACGCCACTCTATAGCCACAAATAATGCTCAGAACAGCACCTAACTTCATCAACAGGACATATAGGGTCATAGCCACCAAACATCTTTTAAAATTGGCCTAATTTCTTTAGCAAAGAGACTAAACACAACTCACCTACTCTCTTCCAGCAGCCGCTTGTTTGTATTGAGACTTCAGGCCAGTCCATCACAGACTACAGCGGAGTTTCGCAGCTCGAGGAAGAACATATATGATCATTACTTCATAGAAATGCAATCAGACCGAGACGTTAAGGCAGAAGAACTATGATCATAAATGTTGTTCCTTGAGCTGCGAAACTCCGCTGTAGTCTGTAATGGACTGGCCTGAGGTCTCGCTACAAACGAGCGGCTGCTGGAAGAGAGTAGGTGAGTGGTATTTAGTCTCTTTGCTCAAGAAATTAGGCAAAGCTAAAAAGATGTTTGGTGTCTAGTACTATGGCTGTGACCCTATATGTCCTGTTGATGAAGTTAGGTGCTGTTCTGAGCATTATTTGTGGCTATAGAGTGGCGTTTTGGTTGAGGTTTGTGTGTGGCTCCTCAGACCGCTGTGTATTGCTATTGTGCGGTTGTTACTAAAGTTGGTATAACAAGAGAAGCAAGCGATTGGCAACGTTCATCTCTGGAGGGGATGTCTAACTCGGTGTTACGGTGTGTTTGACCCTAAATTAATTAGAGTACCAACTGTTCTCTCTGTTGTATTTTATTTTGAAGGAGAAGATCAGAGGAGCAGACGGCAGCTGCCTGAACTAAAACGAGGACTGTAGGGCATCTTAAACTTTGGTACAGGTTCCTTTAAAACTCTTCTAGCACCATGTTCCTGTAAGAATCAGAGTCTGCTATGAAGCCGTTTCTCTCCAGATGATCCATGTTCCTCGTTTGAGAGCAGGCAGCTCCTCTGATATCCCCTACATGTTATCTTCGCTAACACACAGATTACCCACAGGCTTAAATCATGACTTCTGTCTCATAAGATTACGACTCCATTCATCAAACTTCACTCTGGTAAATTTGCGACTTTAATCTCCTACATTCACGAGTTAATTCTTGCAAATTCTTTCCCCAAACCCTGAACATCAAGCCTCCTAACACGCACAGCAGCAGCAGTAGTGAGTTTTGTGTCTCTGTTCGGTTAGAGTCTAAACAAAAAAACAGCGATGGTCTGAGTGGTGGAGCAGCAGGGGGGAGCTCGGCCATCGTGTCGGACACCAACATATGAGGTAGGATCCAGACGGAGGAGATCAGGGGTCAGAGTTCACAGCAGAGGATGGAGGAGGAGAGATCAGGAGCAGAGCTGCGAGAGTTTTTTTGTTACAGCTAAAGATCTGCAGCGGAGACAAGCGCTCCTCCGGTCTACGCTCGGGCAGCAGGATGATGCAAACACGGAAAAATATGATCACGCTGAGTTCAAGCCTCGGCGGTTAAAGCGAGGAAGGCGGCATGAGCTTCAGCGTGAGGGGTCATATTTTTCTCTGCTTGTGCCTCCAGTTTTATCAGTGTCTGAAATCGGCGAGACCTGGTTTGTGCAGGTGAAATCTGACTTAAGTTGATCACTTGTTATGTTTTTGTTTGGCTGCAAAAATCTGCTCTGGAAAGTCGTATGAAGCAGAAAGCTGCAGCTGATGGTGACACCACTTCCTGCGTTTATTTCACTACAAACTCACTTTACTAAGAAGGCAATTAAAATCACTTATTTGTTATCTGAGCCTCACACATACAGATTTCTCTCATACAAGATTTAGATTTTTACTGTAGCTCCTGTTGAAGGTCTGTAAACTAGGATCATGTGTGCCGTAACAGAGCGCCGTAAAGCTCTACTACCTTAATGTAAACAAACACAGACGACTGTGGCTGGTTAAAATGTCGTAATACCGCTTAAACACAGACTCAGCAGATGGCTGTCTAACCCGAGTCTGGTTCTGCTCGAGGTTTCTGCCTGTTGAAGGAAGTTTTTCCTCCTCACTGTAACTTGATAAATGCTGCACACTCGTGATGGTGGGTCTGATCCTCCTAGATGAGACTATTTCATCCCATCATGATGTTAGAGGACGGACCAGACCAGCTCCTCATGTAAAGCTGATTGAGACTAGGAAAGTCTAGACAAGAAGACACTAAAATGCATGTGCGATATAATAAAACGCAAGTGCCGAATTCTAAAATGCACCAGTGATATAATAAAAGGCACGTTCGAGATGCTAAAATGCATGTGCAATATCATAAAATGCAAATGCGAGATACTTAATTGCATGAGAGATATAATAAAACTAAAGTGCAAGATATTAAAACGCACCAGCGATATAATAAAAAGGCACGTTCGAGATGCTAAAATGCATGTGCAATATAATTAAACTTAAGTACGAGATGCTAAAATGCATGTTCAATATAATACAACGCAAGTGCAAGGTACTAAAATGCACGTGGGATACACTGAGACCCAAGTGCAAGATACTTTATTGCATGTTCAATACAATAAAACTTAAGTGTGGTATACTAAAACGCACCACGATATAATAGTAAGGCATGTTTGAGATGCTAAAATGCCTGTGCGATACCATAAAACTTAAGTGCGAGATACTAAAACGCACCGGCAATATAATCAAACGAAAGTGTGAGATACTAAAACGCACCAGCGATAAAATAAAAGGTTAGTGCGAGATACTTAATTGCCTGTGCGATACAACAAAATTTAAGTGCGAGATACTTTATCGCACGTTCAAGATGCTAAATCGCACCGGCGAATTAAGAAAAATAAAAGTTCATGTCACCTCCTGGGCTCTGTAAGATTCAAAGGTCATGTGGTGTTTCTTTGCTTCAGCACTTTTCTACAGCAGTACGAACGACTAAAAGTCATACATCATTGTTTGTGTACAAGAGTAATGAGGTTAGGAAAAGTTGGCTCCCTAATTAAGATGAAGAAAAAAAGTATTTCAGACACTGATAAGAAAAACGCTGGACGCACGCTGTCCTTCTGCAGGAAATGGTGTCCATGGTTTAGTCGTGGGGTTACAGAGTGTGAAGCTGGCTGGATGTGCAGGTTAGCGAGGGGGGCCAAACAGGGGCTGACACATGAGAGGAGACAGACAGGGGGGTTTGGAGGCCCTGCCGTCTTACTTGGGCGAGCAGTAGTCCAGAGCGTAGTAGGAGTGGGGCAGCGTGGCCCAGCCTGCCTGGCAAACGTACAAGGGGCCGACGGTTTGATACCTCTGCCGCACTGAACTGGACGAGGCACCGAACGCGGCGGCCGCAAAGGCAGAAGAGGGGCTAGTGGCACAAGCCATCTCAGTCATGCTGGTCATGCCACGATGAAGGAAACAAAAAACAAAAAAACCCCGAGAAACCACAAACACACACAGGCAGAAATGAAAATAAGACAATTAGAAAAAGTAAATACAGGACTGAAAAAGAAAAAACAAAAGAGGGAACAGAAGAAAGAAAATGTGGGGACAAGAAAAAAAGGATCCTGTCTGGGTTTGAGTACAAGTGAGCGAAAAAATCAGACCTTTTATGGTGAAAAGCTGCTATCAGAACTCAGCCAGTGGGAGTTTAGAAGGCTTACAATTATTTCTGCATTTCTCCGTCCAATATCCATATTTATAAGTCATGAGTTTCGACCACATTTGTGTTCATAATAAGGATTTTTGCATTCTTGTCGGGGGAGAAAACCTCCAAAGCAGCGTTACGACCACAAAACTGGCAAAAAGGGGGGGAGCAACGGCTGGTGATGGAGAACAAACTGAATCAACATACTGGCTTCAGTAACAGGTCCCACAAGAATGTGCAGGCTCAATAATCTCATTAAAAACCAAGAAGGGGAAAAAAAAAGTATACTTCTTAAGATTGATTTATGTGTGCTGTTTACTCGACTGATGACAGGGATAAAACTGAAATTAAAGCAGCAGACAGACAGACAGACAGACAGACAGACAGCTCCTCTCACCTGTTCTCCTTCCCGTTAGGAATGACGGAGAGGCGGTCTGTGTTGTTTCTGTCACTGCAGACGTACGTGTTCCTCCTGGTCATTCCTGCCGATGCGGTGTTATTCTGCAGGAAAACAGAAGAAAACATTAGACCGATTTATGCAGATTAAAAAAAAATGCATGTTTTCTGTACATGAAATCATTTTTTTCTGATTTTCCTTTTATTTTAACTCATTCAGTGCCATTGACAGATTTGGACAGATTTTTCAGTTTTACTGTTTCCTGCCAGAGTGCGCTCCTCCCCAACATGCGACTAAGTTTGGGGTCGCTCTGAACGCACAAAAGCCGACAAATACGGCAGAATTGTGTTACAATAACAAAACAAGTTCTCGCCAGTGAGAAGTGTGTCATCAAATGTGCCAATTAGCCGAGTTGTGGAGTGTTTCTTCTCTACGAGGAGAGTAGGAAAAGTCATTAGCCAAGAGCAAACAGTCTCAGCGCATCGGCTCCCTAGTGGAGATCCCGGTACAATTTTCCGGCATGTCATTATGCCGCCGGTGCCGTTACTGGTGAACGAGACTGAGCCAGAATTCAGCGATAGTCCCGACTTGTTTCCGTCTCAGCGTTAGGTTCTCGAGAGCCAATACTCCTCCCAAACCGTGAAGTGACCAATCATAATCAGATGAGGAGTGAGTGGTGTCTAAGGAGGGAGGACCTTGATGCCACCGTTAAAGTAGTTTGAAGTGAAATAAAATAGACGATCAGAGTTCAGCTTGAAAGTCTCTCCGCCAGATCGGCAAAGATGATATGACCACGCTGCATTAAGCAGGAAATAACGAAACACAGGAGTGGGTTAGAGACTAACTTTTTTTTCTGGTGAAAGAAGAGAATCACCCCTTTCTTTTGAGATACTGCATTTAATTGTAGTCCAAGCACAAGATATTCTGTGGGTCCTGAAAGATACAGAAATTTCTATTGCGGTCAATAGTGGCACTGGGTAAAAACTGCATAAATAAACCTGGCACTGAATGAGTTAATTGTGTCAAACTGGATTTTATCCAAAGTCTGCTCCTCCTTTTAACTCCTTTTGGTTTTGTTCTTGACATTGATAAATGAACTCACGCTGGGGCCGGTGGTGGCTCCTTTCCTGCGGTCAGGGATGTCAGCCTTGTTGGGGTTGTTGGCGTTGCCCAGCAGAGGGCTGGAGGGCGGCGCCCCGCGGCTGCCCGGGGTGCTGGGTTTGCGGAGCTGGACTCCGCTCTCCTCCTTCGCGTTGTTCTCCGCTGTGGTGGTCTGACTCCTCTTTGGATGAGCCATCCCTGGAGGGACGTTCTGCCCGACTGCAGAGAGGGAAAAAAAACAGAGACGGAGATGTTTGACGGATGACTCAGAGGACGGGATTTGTACCTTTGGCTAAAAAAAAAAACTTTTTATTTTTATTCATTGTTTTAACCTTCATATGGAACAACCTATGACACCCACTCAGACTGAAAAAGGGATTTAATCGTGTGAGAATAAAAGAAGCATCACAGACGGAAGGGGGCTTTAGCTTATAATAAACGCTCCTCTTTTTTATATCCTAAAATAATGAGTTGGAGGACATATTTTGTGGCTTGGGCTGCTTTTTTATTCCTTAATCAGTCAGCAGAAAATCAGTCAACATCAATTTGGATCAGCAGCGATGCAGAAACGCCAAAAAGTCCCATGTTTAAGCTGTCAAATCGGAGTAAACTGTTGGTTTTCAGAGAGGACTGACTGTTTTTGGTGACTGGAGCGAATAAATCCTATTTCTTAATTTAAAGACCCTTTTCATAACCAAACAACCTCATAATTTATCATATTCAGTTAGACATTATTTTGTATTTATTGCACATGGATAATAATGTGCCTGAGATCCTTTAAAGCCTGCTGAGCAGTGTGTGTGTGTAAAAGGCCGGTTAAAAGGGTCTCAGTGAAACCATTCAGGCTGCAGATCCAGCAGAGAGGAAACAGAACAGACGGAGGTTATTGACAAAGCATTATATCACCGAGGACGGCACTGAGCTGTGCAAATACACGAACGCTTAAAGTGCCTCCGTCATGTGACTGATTTCATTCAACTGCTTTAACCTCCAACCTTCATTCAGAGGGAAGAGCTCAGTTTAACAAACACAGATTTAAAGTGTGACAGTTTTTTTCATCCTCGCTCCTCACCTTGTTCGCTGTAGCGCCTCTGTTTGTGGTTGGAGGAGACGCTCCTCTGGACTTTGAGGTGGGAGGGCGACTGGCCGTTGAGCTCGCTGTTGGGTCTGGGTTTGGCCAGAGACAGGTTGCTGCTGGAGGCCGACTCGCTGGGCTCCAGCTAAGAAGACAAAACACACACACAGTGAGTTATCCAAATTCAAGCTCAGAGTGATACAGAGAGATTAATGCATCATCTTTAAGAACAGAGGACTTCTTAAGATCTGTCATACTCTATAAAGTAGATAAGTTTATTTTAATACCAAAAGTTTTTGTTTTCTCTGCTGTATTTTTACTCAGTTTAGACTTTTGCTTGATTTCAGGGTTAGTTTCCTCCTTTCTCTAAATTCAATCCTGTCCTGAAATCTCTCACTATCCAGAAGAAGAGCTGATCTAAACAAACAGAGGCTCCAACAACAACAGAGCAAAGCAGACGAAATAAACTCTTTTCATGGACTTCTAATTAAGGTGGTTTAGTAGTTTGAGTTTAAGTTTCACCACCATGTCTGGTCACAAAAGAGTTAAACTTCTGAAAAATCATCCACTCTTGATTCCTCTCTCTCCCGTCTTTGCTGACCTGCAGGTAAAGTTCAGTTTAAGATCTCTAAAACACTCTGATGATTAAAAACAAACAAACTCGTATTCGTACCTCGGAGGCTTTCCTGCCCAGCAGCAGGTAAGTGGCTGTGATCTCGTCGTACTTCATCTTGGCCAGAGACTCCTGGATGTCCTCCAGGTTGTAGCCCATCCCGACCATCACATCTGCGCAAAATGACACACAGTGAAGCTCATTAAGGTCACGCCACAGGAAACCTTTCCTGTCCGGTGGTCATCAGACTCCTCCCTCAGAGACTCTGACACCCTCAGTCAGTCGTCTCCACCTGGACTCTGCTCAATGTTTATATCCACATGCGGTTGCATGTATCGGATTATTTGATTTTGCGCTCGTATAAACGGTGGATTCAGATTTTCTGATCCCTCAAATTTGTAATCGGATCAAGAAATTTTGCAAACATGTAAACACGGTTATAGAAAGACCTGGAAGGAAATAACGGCTTTACAAACACGAGTCTGGAGTCGAGGATTAAGGACTGGAGTCAGACTCGGACCTTGACTCTTTTCTGTTTTCTTTAAAGTGACTGCTGCACATGTTCGTACTAAATATGTGCATGAAGGCCTCCTCCTGTCGAGTGGATTACTCCTACACGTGTACATTTCTCTGCCACGTCATTTAACAATTAAAAGGAAAATAATCTATTTTCAAAAACAGCTTTTATATCACAGTCTGTGTTTGCTGTTGAGATATTTTGAGTGAGAAAAGAGAGAGACATCGAATCTGTAGAGAATCCAGATCCCACCATATGGCTGCTGATTAATTTTGCATGTGGAAATCCTCGCTCCGCCGTTTTTTCTTTCAGTGATTTCAGCACAAGGGTGTTTACGTGAGAAAATGAATCATGAGCAGAGCAGGTAATCACCCCTCTCCGCTCTCCAATCAGAATCTCTCTGCTTCTGATTGATCGAGGAAAGACCGGAGGAGTGTGTGCGATAGGACACGCGCACACACACAGGTTTGTGACGCGCGGCCTCCCCCGTCTACCGGCTCACGTTTGCAGCAGCATGCCGGGGAAGCAGGGAGGTGTATCCTGCTGCAGCCTGGTGTGCTTTAAACATTTATCTGAGTGTGTGTGTGTGTGTGTGTGTGTGTGCGATCTCCACAGCGTGCATTATGTGAAGGCTTTTATCCTTCATCCCGACACTACGCAGCACATTAATCTTTAATAGATGTTGGAGAACATTACTAATGAACGCAGATTACATCTTCAGAGATAAGACTGAGACAAAGCGGGTCTTATTGTTTCACATGTTTGAACAGAATATGTCAAAATATGAACAATGCAGGGGAATACCTCAGAAAGGTGCTGCAAAAACCTGCTTTTAGATGATTAATAAACATCAAAAACTCAATAAAATAAACAGATTTGTGGAGTTGGGCACATTTGTTATTCTGTCAGGATAGAAAAACCCATAATATTAATCCAAAACTTCCAAATTCAAGCAAACAAACACAAAAAAGGACTCTATTGGGTTATGATTTTAAGACCTCTACACCTGCTCGTGTCTCAGAGGGTGAAAAAGCAGCTGATCCCCCTGTTACCAGGCAGAATCCGCGATAACCATCTCCCGTCCGTCCCTCCTCCTCCTCCCTCACGTTCACCCTCCTGCTCCCCCCTCTCCACACTCCGCCTCGCTTATTTCCCGCCTCACAACGTGCTCTGTCCTCCAGCGTGAGACACGGACTTGCTCTTCTTTAAAGCAAATAATAACAGAGCGCCGTGATCCCATTGTGATAAGGTTTAGTAATAATCCAACAGGGAGAAACAGTATGCATGTTTTTAAGCCTCTTTTAGATTGAAAATGAGGGAAATGACTTTCTTCTTCTATCGGTTCAGAGAAGATATAAATTTATGTTATATAAATCTTCACTGCAGCTTCTTTTGGTTTACCCTCACTATACCCTCGCTGTATCTGACAGCTGACGCCCTCCTGCTGCCTCAGAGATGGGTTTTCCTGCAGAGGAGGTTCCTGTAGTCCTGCTCCTAAACCAGACTAATGGGAGACACTTTTTTTTCCAGCATCAGCAAACACAACATCCAACCACTGCAATTAATTCGAACGCTGCTCCCAGGCTTTTAACACAGCCAGAGAGGAAACCGTGTGACACCAGTCCTCGCTTTCCCTCTCAGGCTACCTGTGACTTTTAAGATTTGGAGGTTTTACTGCTCCTTTTTAAAGCCTTAATACCACTTACAAGCTTGACCACTGTCTGAGGTCTTCCTGACTCATAGTTCCAACTGAGGATGTCAGTCAGACTAACTTAGAGTCCTCTTTTTAGTCTCTTCTTAAAATTCATTTCTGTTATTGTTGATTTTTGTCACACCTGGTTTTTTTTATAATTATGGATTTCACAATAAACAGTATGAAATATATGGACCTCTTTGTTTGCATTTGTGTTGTTATTCATTTTCTATTTCAATAATTATCAACTTTGTTCTGTTTTTATATTCTCTTAAGCGCAAACCTTGGAATAAATCGATTTTGAGTGATGTTTGATTTATTTTAGTAACTATAAAGCAGTTTTAAACTTTTAACTACATATCAAATAATAAAAATACATTAAATATAAAAAAAAAATCTTCATTTCAAAAAATCATAATAACAGTCATCATGACAGGAACAATAATTAAAAAAAATGTTTAGATAATGATAATAATAATAATAATAATAATTATAATAGTTATTATTAAAATATTATGGTATCTTTATTATTATTATAGTAATAAACATCAATAACAATAATTAAAAGTCATAAAATAGATAAGTATATTATAAATATATTTTTATGATTTTTTTGCAATTATACTTATTTTCAAAATTATTATAATGTAATTGTTATTACTATCACTGTCAGCATTATCATTTATTATTTATATATTTTTTATTTTTAATGAATTTTTTAATGAATGTTTTTTGTTCTTAGTTGCAATTGTCATCATCATTATTACGTTTAGTATTTTATCATTATTTTTATTGTTTTAATTATTTTTTATTGTTACCATTATTATTATAATTGTTATTAATGTAATCTTCTTATCAATGTTTTCATTGTTACAATCATCATTATTTTCTACTTCCTATTATCATATTTGTCTTCCGTATCTTTATCATCTTTTGTCTTTTTTCGTACGTTATTTCATTATTTTTCTGGGAACACCTTTTCGACGTTCAATCTCTGATGTGTTACCTGTCAAAACAATAAAGACCCAAAGTCCTGTGACCGCCTCTCCGGGCAGTACTGTATTTCCTGTGTTTACAACCTTTTCAATATTGGGATTTCCCTGTTCTCTGCCGACTCTGACTCAGCCGCTGTATTCTCCATCTCTTTGGATATCTCCTCTCTATTTTCACCTTTGCAGTTATCACACCTACCACCGACTGCACCTCAACAATTAACGGCTCCAACTCCAAAATAAAACACTTTAAATTCCCCCTCTTTAGATTTACTGCATCGGCGTATATGAACCTCCTAAAGTCGTGACAGTCGGAGGTGAGACCCCCTCACTTCTTAAACCCTGGTGTGTTTTTTAATATTCGGGGGAAGCTTCAGTCAAAGTTTGATCTGCATTATTTAAGAATGGGGGATTCCTCGCTGAGCTTAAGAACATCCCTCAGCTTTCTGTTTCTCCGCTCTGACTGGGTGACTGGGAGTTTGCACCGGCACATGTGCCAACCTCAGCTGCTGTTATGTAAGAGCCGGCCCCCCTCCCTCCTCTGTTCGCAGCTTTCATCCAGGGCACGGCGGGGAGGCTTCTCCTCCCTCTCTGTCTTCGCTCTCTCATTCTCTCTCTGCATGCACCAGCACTTCTCCTGTTTACTTATTCATCATCACGTTTCATCTTCTCCTCTTTAAGCTTTTCAGCGCCGAAATAATGAGACTTTTTTTCTTTCTGCGCGGTGGAGCCGTAACCCCTCTAACATTTAATTTCCCCAACATCAGACAAAACCATAGAGATATATAAAAAAAACCCAGCAGATTTGAGTTTTCACAGCAATAAACAGAGAGGAAATTTCTGTTACTCCGGTGCACTTTTCTGATTACACAACAGGGTCTCACAGGCCCCGTGGTCATAAAAGTTGAGAAAAACTTAAATGATCAAGCAAACTTTCCCCCCGAAGGAAAGAAGAAGAAAAAAAAAGCAGAAATGGGATTTTTCCAGCCACATCAGCACCACTCAGAGCGTTCGTCTGCTTACCTATTCTCTTCTGGTCCGTGATGTCCAGCTCGGGTTCAGTGTAAGGCTTGAGCTCGTCCTCCTCGAATCCTGCGTTGATCCACCGATCCTTCATAATTTGCTGCAAAATTAGAAAGAGAGAGAGACGATATGAATGGTGGATATTAGATTTTAAAACTACGATCTTGTTCGATTGGCCTGTTATGGATTTTTTGGAAAACCACAGTATAGCTGATTAATAGTCCTGGTCCCCTTATGCCAGGACCACCAAACCTCTAACAGCGTGTAGAGCTGCCATTTGGTGCTTTATTATAATTTTGGACGTCACGCATCGGTTTGTAAGAGGCAATCTGAGACCAAAGATGGTGGAAATGCCATATTGGAAATGCTCATTTTGAGTGTTGGCTAATCAAGTAACCTGTGAAGACGTAGTAGGAGGGAGCTCTTGAGTCTGAAACTGTTGTTTGTACCCCGCTGTAAAGACATCTTATTTTGCTGTGATGATAATACGAGAGTTAAAGCTCCAGTGGGGAGTTTTTTGATGTTGATGAAACAGCCTGAAACAAACTCAAACAAGACCATCACTGACAAGATTGTTAATTTTTATACTCTAACTATGAATGCTTAGCACACACCAAGAGTGAGTAAAATCATTCGCGCGAATGAATTACATGTTGAGTCAATGCAAAGACGCGATAAGATGCTCCTACTACTCTGGGAGCGTGACGCAAACTGGACGGGAAGTGAAAATATCGAAAATGGATATTCGCATCGGGATAACTGATCAGCACGAAGGTTGCCAGGTGACGTATGAAAACGGACGGTTGTTCACTGGTATCTAAAATGGAGGACAAACTGATTGTGTTGGTGTGTGGGTGCCCCGAATTAGATGATACCTTTTCTTTCAATTCTCGAGACAGAATAAAAAGGAGCTCGCAAGTGAGTGAGAAGGTCGGATTATCTGGTAAATTGTAAAAAAAACCTTTGTCTATCACTCGATCCCGCCGGTTGAATTGGCAGGAATTACTGTTGAAATTACCGTTGACACGCAAATTCGCGTCCAGACACAATAAGTGTCTGGATTCGCGTGAATTAAGCGAGTAGATGATTTTACTTGCGCTTGGTGTAAACGCCCCATTAGCCTGGTGCGACGGGGTAGGCATCAAAAGAGCAGCTAAAGGGACAGACCTGTTCTTTTATCGATTATCAATGATTTACACATTTGATAGTCCAAAGTCAGCAGGATGAGATTTCGTCAGACACCGCTTCAGCATGTGGAGATCACGACACGCAAAGACCCCTATCTCCACAGGGGGCGCTAAACTGAAGCTTTAGTCCTCTGCTTTTCGAGGCCGCCTAAAGTGGACACCCAAGGAACTGCAGCTTTTTAACACTAAATCACTGTGTATTCAGATATTCAAGATAAAAACAATAACTAGTATGGTTTATAACAGGTTTACTCTGTGTTACTAAAATAGGGCGTAATATTTCCAGTATGTCTGAGGCTCCCTCTCTTTAGCCGCTGTAACTTTGACACAGAGTTGAATTTATGAAGCCATGAGGCTCTGTGCTTCAGCTTCAGCTGTGTGTTGTAAACCCTTAATGCAGAGCTGTAAATCAGACGTTAAACGGACATTTAAAGGACACGCTTAAATCACTTAAAACACTTTGAACCCTGGGATTAAACGGGAACGTCTATTGTCGTATTTCTTCTGCTTTATGTCTGTGAAGTGACTCGTTTAAAGCTCACAGGTTCAATCCACACGCTGAATGCGGTTTTATCAATAGACCTAGATTATCATCCTGCCCTTTCACATTATAGCGGTCAGACCTTTATTTTCAATTTGCAGCTGATCAATTCCTCTCTGGGGTTTAAATCAAGACCGAACCAAACTAATTATCACTGATCGTGCTCTGATGTAACCGCAGAGAACATGTAGGCCAATCATGAGGTGTCCAGGGCAAACCTACGTGACCCAGCAGCCTTTAGTTTATTCACCGAGATTCAGCCTGACTGTTGTTGCGAGGTGGAGCCGTTTCTTATCACAGATGACAGAATATCGCTTTGATTAAACGCTTAATTTAAAATTCACAAGTCTGCCTTCAATCCCGATCCAGTTTAAGACTCAAGAGCCAAAAATACCCCTTAAAAAAGGAAATAATGTTTTATATGTTAATGACACTCTGCTGGGAGTCAGGTAGGGCTGCACGATAACATCTACGAGACGATCATTAACACCTTTTTTCTGACAATGTGATCATCGCTCCGATTGATCTGTGGAACAATTCGCCCTGTCCTCTGCCTCTCGCATCAAACACGACTATTTTAATCCCAGCAGATGCTCCCAGGGAAGAGAGGCGTCTAAATAGCTCCATGATTGGGCGGATTTAAATATGGGTTTGGCAGTTTCGATTAAATAATGAGTCAAAACTTCAGAAATTACACAAGACTTTGATTATTGATGACTTGCTATTCAACGCACGATCGGTTTAGAGCCCGACTGCTCCTTCCACTCATCCTGAGGGACTTGGAGACAGAACAGCTGTGTCCGAAACTCTGCCCGCTATATGGTTCACTCTATATAGTGGACTCACTGTATCCCACAATGCCACAGGGGAAAGTAGAGCACCACCTGAGGTTACTAACCAAGCAATATGTACCACTAGTGAAATTCATCACTCAACATATTCACTGTTTCTACATCTTTGGGGTGCATCACTGTTGATTTGAGTCTGCTTCATGACCTTTAAAAAACTCCTGACTGGAGCTTTAAACATCAGTTTCTTTTCTTTTGTCTTATATTTGTTGATTTTTGTCAATAAGATAATCCATGTAGGTTAATCAAACTTTGAACTGCCTTCTAATCGAAATATTTGAGCTTCTCTGTGTTACTTGACTGACAGATTAGGGCTGGGCGATATGGCCTCAAATCAATATCACAATATATTGATCAGTTCAACTCAATAACGATAAATGGACGATAACTACTCCACAAGCTGCTCAGCCCCTCCCACATTAACTTCGTCTACTTCAGCCGCTACAACTTTTGAACCGTCCTCCATCTCCTCACCTGTCTTTCCCTCTTTGTTACAGACTGGATGGGGTGGAGTCACATCTCAACTCAGCTTTCATTTATTTATTTGACACCAAATATACTGATATGGGTAAAATGATAATTGATAATAAATTTGAGTATCAATAAATCTCTGGTTTATTGCCCAGCCCTATGACAAATGTACTTGTTTTAATCAGTAGATTAAAGTTAAAATTTTCTTTTTTGCAGCTTTGAATTATATCAAAAGTTTAGCAAACATTTAAGTTTAAACTGAAAAAAAATCTTGATTACAACTTTCCGATTTGTCCTCATATCTTCTAATTTCATCTAAATTTCACCGCTGGTCTCAGACATGAAGAAACCAATGTAAAAGGAGGATATAACCACCTGAACGAACAGGCCCGGTCCGTTCTTTTGTATTAATAATGACTTAACTAGACTAAGATGTTTTCTGTGCCCTCCCCGAACCTTGTGATGTACCCTTTACTCATACATGAGCGCAGAGACGCAACAAAGACCGTTTTTGGTACAAACAGAGGGCTGATGATGCATTATTCATGGTTACGACATCAAAAAGGAGGAGGAGTGTGGGCCGGCGCACACAGAAAAAGAGGACACCGTGGGTGTCGGAGAAGATGGTGCAGGAGGGGGAGATGCAGGAGCCGAGAGGAGGTGAAGGGGGTTTGTTGGAGAGGTGGAGGAGAGACGACATTCTCCGACGGTGCAGACGTGCTGTGGGATAGGGGGCGAAAAACTGAAAAGTATATTTACGTTTTCTGCGTCCTCCCTCACCTCGAGAGTACCCCGCTTGGCCGGGTTGAGCACCAGGAAGCGCTTGAGGAGGTTCTCGCAGTCTGTGGACATGTAGAAGGGGATGCGGTACTTCCCTCTGAGCACGCGCTCCCGCAGCTCCTGCAGAGAGGGGGGCGACAACCAGGAAGTTAGCAAAACACTTCAAAACGGGCTGAATGACAATAAATTTAAGTTTGGCTGACGAAATGAGAGGCTGCATGAGTATGAGTGTGACTGTAGGTGTGAAAGGTGACTAAAGAGTGATGACACAAAGGATGAGTGGTTTAGAGTTGTGGTTTCAGGGCTGCACTTTTTTGAGATCTGAGACCCTCTTACCTACATTTACACATCAGGTTAGGTAACTGAGGGTAACAAATAGGCAGCTGGGAGAAAATGAAGGTATTTCCTACCTTGAGGTTCTGTCCGTCAAAAGGCAGCGAGCCGCTGACCAGCGTGTACAGGATGACCCCCAGACTCCACACGTCCACCTCCGGCCCGTCGTACTTCTTCCCCTGGAAAAGCTCCGGCGCTGCGTACGGAGGAGACCCGCAGAACGTGTCCAGCTTGTTCCCCAGAGTGAACTCGTTACTGAAGCCGAAGTCGGCGATCTTGATGTTCATGTCGGCGTCGAGGAGCAGGTTCTCAGCCTAGGGTGCAGACGGATAAAGGTCAAAGGTTACCCTCCTCTTTATTACACACAGTACGACTGATCTAGTGAGTTTTTTTTCTCCCTGAAGATAAAATGCAGAAAAATCAGTTTTCTGCAATTTGGTAGATGTCTCACTCAACTCCTCCTAGGGCTGGGCGATAAACCAAAAGTTTACCAATACCAAAAATTATGTAAATTTATGTACAAATTAAATATACAAATTAAATGCATGATAGAAAATCTAATTAAGAGCGAAAATCGGTTTATGTGATTTTCCAATTTTTGTAAGACAGAGAAATCTTGAATGCAGCAAGATGAGCCTGTTAAACTTTCCACATATTTTAAATCCCTCTTTGCTAGAACAAACTCTGCATTAGGGCTGGGCGATAAATCAAAAATTTACCAATACTGAAATTTACGTCAATAACCAACGTCATTTTACCCATGTTAATATATTCAGTGTCAAAAAAATGAATAAATAAATATTGGTTTTGGATGTGTGTAGGTAGGCTATGGTGTCATATCCCTTTAAGAGGTAAAGACAGGTGAGGAGATGGAGGACGGTTCAAAAGTTGTAGCTGCTGAAGTAGACGAAGTTAATGTGGGAGGGGGTGAGCAGCTTGTGGAGTAGTTATCGTCGTTAATCGTTATCAAGGTGAACTGCTTAATATATCATGATATTGATTTGAGGCCATATCGCCCAGCCCTAACTCCTACATTTTCTTTCCTTATTAACCATTAACCACCAATTTCAAGCATTTTTTCCTCTAAATGAATATAATATTTTGTTAACATAATTTAATTTTGCTGGAGTGACTGTCATTATTGAGTAAAGAAGAAGGTGTAGGTTTAAAAAAAGCATAATACCTCATCCTACTCTTTTTCTGACATGTTGGGTTTGCATTATTAATAGTTTTAAAAGATATATATATAATTTTTTTTATATATTTTTTTCCTTTTGCTTTGATTGTTGTTATTGTTGTTTTGAATATTCTCACTGGTTATGTTTGTTTTTAATTTAATTTTGGTGTTGCACGCACGTATGAAAAAAAATAATAAAATGAAAATGAAACGAGTTTGCTATCCAGAATTGACACCCTGACTCAAATCACCAGAATAAACAAAATCACAACTAAACAAAATAAAACCGAGAAGCGAAACCTCCTCGTTAAAACTGTGTTTGACAGCTGATTCAATCGCCGCTATCATTTCTATTGAATTACTCATGTGTTAGTCATTTCTGCTCTAATGAGCCGTGTCCGCATCATCATCATCATCATGAGCGGATCTGGTGTGTACAGTGTGATGCAATAAAAACAGTTAACATCTCCTTTGTGAATGAAAAGGGTTTCGAACGGAGGCGTTAGGGCTTCGGCTCAAACATCTGCTCAGCGCTCGCAGTCGGGCCGGCTGTGGGCGAGAACACTAATTGGGGAGCTGAAGGAAAGAGAGCAAAGAAAATCTGAAATCAAGCAGAAGGACTCGGAGTCCGCCCTGAGAGGCTTTTAGCTGCACTGAGGGTGGAAAGATGTCACTGTGGCATGTTAGAACGTAGAAACAGGAGTTCGTTTAAGTACTGTGGTTCAGTTTTAACCGCCGTCACACCTGCAGCAGCGAGGACACCCCTCTTCTTCACACATGAAGAAGGCGGGACACACGTCTCTAACGTCTCCCTCTCTCTCTGCATCATTCATGAAACAGTTTCGATGTTCAGAGCAGACACACGAGATCCTCCTCGCAGCGTGACAAAAGCATTAATATTCACACTCAGCGGCGACATGACGGAGGATCTCTTTCCATGACAACAGGTGATGTGGTGAAGAACATGTGAGCCACCTTCTCGTTAACATCCCCCCTCTCGCTGCTGACGGTGCAGGTGAAGACAAAGACGAGGAGAGGGCAGGTAGCACCTCGTTAGCAGCATATGTGCATCACACATGCCGTCAGAGGAAATATGGGATGATAGTCACAGATTACGTAACGCTGACGTCAGCTTCATCCTCCGTGACCTTTTCTGTTCAGAGTGAGTCAGAGGTAATCAGCCTTTAAAGGTGAAGGCGTTTTGCTAATTTTAAGTGATCATAGCGCTGATGATGAGAGCGACGGAAGGTCATAAAAAAGTGGGAAACAGTTTAAAGATGACATTTCATGTTTTTTCCCCCTTTTAATTCACTTCACTGTGTTTCAACTACTCAACACAGAAACTTGACTTTTAATTCGCCCTAACATCGGCTGTCAAATCCTGAACTCGCTTTTTAATCACGTTAAAAGTTGCATTATTCCAAATTTACAACGTCGTATCTTTAATGGGAATCACATGAATGAATTTAATGGATCAGCTTGACTTTGGGATTAATGACTCAAATAAATGCAGCACTGCTCCTCATGTGAGGTTAGCATCAAGCTTTCAAGTGTTGGATCAGCAGGTTTGTGGTATGGTTGACGATTGAAGATATTGGTAATTATAATGAACCTCGCTTATATGGTGATCATGGTCCTATAGTGTGATCTCCACAAAGTGAAGAGAAAAAATAAGGGAAAAAATCTGTTCACTCTAGCAGGTGCAGGGCTGCAAAAACATTGACCAATGGGAGCCATCCGCCCTGGACAGCTCCTATTGGTCAATCTCCTGCTCCACCTCTCCATCCAATCGCCTCGCTGTATTCGACACATCCCTCTCCCGTAGTTCCGATTCGTCCCCTCCCACTCTCCCTCCCCGCCCACCTTGGAACTCTGAGCGGCTAAAAGTAGCGCAGCAGCTTAGCTACTGGAGCTGTGATGGAGAAGGGCGCAAAAGTCCCAACGCCAAAAGTGGTAAGAAAACGCACGCCGACAGAAGAAAGGGCAGAGACGAGGAAGAAATGACCAGGCGAGGAATCTGACTCGAATACACATCGGGTCACCCTTCGAGCGGTGGAAAAAGCTCCGCCAGGATTTGCGCCTGAAAACAGACGCTGAGACAGCAGAGTTTTTGTCAAACAGGTAATTTTTCTCTCCTTTTATCGTGGCACATGTTACATAAATAACTCTTATTAGTCTCTACAATGTCAACATGGTAGCTGTCCAGGCAGCTGCAGACGCTGCTCACTAGCTTGTTTCAACTGCTTCTCAGATCGTCAACCATGCCTTTAAAGTACTTAAACTCTGTTTGATACAAAGTGTGCACGCATTACTTTCACTTGACTTTCACTGAGCTGTCTGGGAATGTTGTGAACGAGTAAACGTGCCGTTTAAAAGCACAGCGGTGTCATTGTTTTCCATCGTGGCCCGAGGACAACAGGTGAGAAAGTGACCCACGCTGGCCTCCTCATGAGACAGGCTCTTGGAGACTCTGGGTGTTCCTCCCCATTTCCACTCTGAAAAACAGCCATCTACGGACCTGATTTGATATATGTGGTACAACTGGCTGAGAGCTTTCGGGAACACTTGAATCCGTACCCCGTTACAGAGCTGTGGCTCCATTAGTTTGAAAGGTCACGAGGTCACCCTTGAAACCAGTTTTGGCAAGCATTCGGGGAGGATAGAGACCCGGGACCGCTCCTTCATTACAGGTGACATGCTGAGGATGGTGTGTGATCATTTCGGTGTCCCTGACCCCGCTGGAAGGGTCCTAAAAGTGACTTCATAGGTCAAAAGGTGGCCTGGATAGACTTTAGTCTTTGTCAAATTAAAAAAGCTTGAGGTCCACTGAATATTGACCAGTGGGTTACAGTATGAATAAAACTGAATTCCTTTGATTCGACACAGCCTTTATATAAAAATACAGTTTTATCTACTCATTACAATGCTACAAATAAAAGAGTATTTGGTTGTAAAAACAGAACAAGAAAACACTTTTTTAACTGCACATTGAGCTGTAAAAGTATAAAGTTAAACTAGATCAAAATCAGGTGAAATTCTCCAGAGCAGCACTGATATTCATGTCTTTAAAAACGTGGATTTCTGTATCTTAAAAGTTTTGGTTTGCTTCATTTCGACACCTAAATCTAATAAATGACACAAGTCTAATGAATAAACAAGACTGTCACAGATGAGTCGACAATTTCCACACTGTAGGTTTAAACGCCCGGGGGGAAGGAGGAGGGTAGGTGTCAGATGAGACAGTTGAAAGACAGCGAGCCTCTTTGTGGGGTTATTTATTTTCTGTCGCCTCTGAACTCACCTTGAGGTCTCTGTGAACAATGTGCTTCTGGTGGCAGTACTGCACCGCCGATACAATCTGTACAAGGAAGAGAAAAAGACAAGAGTTTAGTCGAGCGTCTGCTGCTCTGTTTTCAGAGAGTGATAGAGGATGTGGTAGAAGAGGGGGAGTGGGAGGAGGAGGAGATGTGGTCGACAGCGACAGGAAAGATAAAACATAAACTCTCAGAAGGGGCTGACGACAGAAGGAGGTTGAGACAGAACAGGTTTCCTCTTTGCAGAGTCATTTATCTGTCTCACAGTCCAGGTACGAGTCTGCATTAATGGTGCGGAAAGGCTGTGATGGATCACCCATAATAATAACACCTGAAGGCTTTAGGACATGTTCACTCTGAGATCTCACTTAAGGCGGACTTCTTATTGTTTTGCATCTTCATCTTCAGGAACCTCTCTCCCAGCCTGGACACAATCTGTGCACGTGTTGTTGCTACAAACCCCCCCACGTTTGTTTTGTTTCTATTTTCATGTCTGCTGCTAAACGCTGTTGTATCCACGCCTAGAGACAGGAACCAGCTAATGAAACTGAACCATCTCTGTAAACCTGAGTGCAATAGGAAAAATGATGCGCACGTTTTTGTTATAAGCTCCTTTGTGGGTATGATGGGAATTGAGAGATGACAGAGCTGGATGTGATGGCACAACAGCAATCATTTCTGGTAAGAGAGGGAACACCCGCAGGATTTTGGGATAGCTTTCTGCTCAGCATGGGTCTGGGGGATGCCGTGTATGTGAAGCTACAGGAGTTCCACTGTTTCCACAGCGAGCGAGCAGCACCAGTGAGTCAACACCCTGAGTTATAATAACTCTAATATCAGTTAGGAGTCCAGCCTATGGGCACAAACTATCATATAAGTTTTAATCTGTATACAAAGCTAATTGAACAAAAATCAATCAATGAAGAAATGATAAAACCTCCTTATCCTGAATGATTTTGCAGCTTGTGGTTTTGGTCGTAAAACAGCTGATAACACAGAAGTAGAACTAACCAATCACATCTCAGCAGGCTTTGGTACAAGGGTTCCTACACAGCTGGAATTTCCATACTCCTCCATATCCCACTTTTTAGAATCATTTTTGGTTTTCTATTTTAGAAAACAGTATTTTTTTTACTGTGGTAATAGCCTGGAAACATAAACTCTTTTCCATACTTAATTTTTCATTTACCATACTTTTGAAGACCTGGAAACTGATGAAATTACTTCCATACTTTTCCAGACTTGCGTAGGAACCCTGTGGTGAACACAGGACTAACTGACTGTATGGAGAGCAAAAACAGGCTGAACACAATCTCCTTCTCAGCCACAGAGCTCCTGAAGATCACGGTTATAATGTTCAGATTAAAAACAAGATATCCTTTGTTACATTAACACACACTGGACTAACATAAAGTCTGTTATATTAAATATATCTTATTCTTCTTATACTGCTATCATCTCCCATCTATCTGCACAAATGTAAAACACTCTAGTGCAACTTTTGCATCAACTTTAATAATATTCATTTTTAGACCTGTGGTAGCCTGATTTTAGACCAGTCGTCTAGGCTACATTTAGACGTCTATTAGACCTCTTTTAGACCAAAAAATGTCCAGTGGGATATTAGTTAAACTTTTGGCTGTAAGTTGTTTGACTGGCTGCGCTGGAATAACTGAAAAGAAGTCATCTGATCCCAGACACATATACATAACTCATCCTTAGACTACAAATGAACAATGATGAGTTTCAGATTTCTACCTTGGCTGTTTTTAGATGCAAAATACCTACAAAAATGTTGGGAAACAGTCACAATTTTCATGTCAATATTCAGACATTTTTAGGCAAAAAAATCAAAATGTTTGGGTACAACAGAAGAATTGAATTGATGTTCTCATTCTCGCTTCTATGCAAAAACATCTTCGGGAATTAGAGTTTTTCATCTTGCTGCCTGTAAAGCTGCTGAAGTTTCCTTTTAATGCACATAAAACTGAGGAGAGTTTCACGAGTTTCTCAGCACCCGATGACTTTGGACTGACTGTCACTGAGAGGTAAGTGATGGGGACAGAAGGAGGTTTGGACATTTGTCATCAGTCTTCAGACGACAGATGTTCCTGTTCCAGAAACAGGACAGAGGACAGCGACCTGTCTGAGGCAGAGGTGGGAAACCAGAACACTGCAGGGGGGGGAGAGAAAGCTGGTTACCTGTCTAAATTTAGCCCTGGCCTCTTTTTCCTTCATTCTTCCATGTGCAACCAGGTAGTCGAAGACCTCTCCTGCAAGAAGAGAAACACAAGAGAGAAAGAGTCAGAGAGTCTGAAAGAGTACACAGGACAGAGGATCGGTGAATGAAAGTCAGAGAAGAAGAGAGGAAGATGGAGTGAGTCATCACTAAATCTGATCAAAATAACTTCAGGATGAACTTCTCCGCACAGCTGGCCCCTCACCATCACCCATGTGCTCGGTTCGAGGGGGTTTTTCTTGACCATATTGAGCCGAGCGCCGTGCCGCTTCCTCCACACTGACTGAGCCTCTCCTGCAGGCACAAAGCTGCCGCCGCCTATCTCTGCTCCAGCAGCCCTCGGCCCACGGTTCTGCACACTCGCAGCCAAAACGTGACTACGCTCGCTCGTGTGCTAATTGAACTCCGGTGGCTGTCTTACGTGTGCACGTCCATACCCAGGCAGAGAGAGAGAGAGGATCTAAACACAATAACCAGCAACAACGCCGCCTCCCCCTCTTTTCCTGCATCCTCAAAACCCTCCCACTCTCTCAGCGCTGACCTGCAGAGGCGGCCCGAGTGTTCGTTTCCGTACTTTAGAGCTCTAGAAAAGCAACAATTCATTGCTGTTCTCTGATTCACCTGCTAAAGACAGAGTGTGCCAGCTCACCCGCAGCATGTCAGAGCTAAAGGTCACTCTGTATGCCGCACATGGGGGTGAGATCAGGGAACTAACTGGAAATGTAACATGTAATCTGGCTTTAGATTTGAGAACAGCCTGTACTTTAAAGAAATGAGCAAAAAAAACAAAAGGAGGAACAAGAAAAACTAGAAACTTTATCTCAAACAAAAGTGGAACAGGAAGTTTGAAACACTTCCTAGTAGGAAAGAGTTCCTGAAAAGTTAACGTGGAGCTGAATGTCACATGAGGCTGCACAAAAAGCCTCTGTTTGGAAGCAATTATCCCCGGGCCATTATCTCCTCCACTGAATTTGGCCCCTTAACAGACACCGAACCTCCCAAAACGTGCACACTTTTGTCAAAGTTAACCCTGAAAGTGGAAAAAAATACACACACTCTGTAGGTATGTGACTGTAAACACAGAAAGAAACAACATCAGGAAGCTGCTGAGTATCAACAATAATAGTTTGCAGCCATACCAGCGGCTCCAGGGAGCTTTTCTCACAGCTAAATGCTAACACCTGAACGCTAACGTGGATACAGTGACCGTATAGGTATGCATAAGTGCCCTTAACATTAGCAGCTTCAGTATCTGGCAACGTTAATGCTAAATAATACAAGCTCTGTGTCCACACTAGGGCTGGGCGATAAGTTGAAAATTTACCTATACTGAAATTTACGACAATAACAGAAGTCATTTTGCCCATGTCAATCACATCTGATGTCAATAAATAAATTAAAGTTGGTTTTGGATGTGTGTAGGTAGGCTATGGTCTCATGTCCCTTTGAGATGTGACTCCACCCCATCCAGTCTGTAACAAAGAGGGAAAGACAGGTGAGGAGATGGAGGACGGTTCAAAAGTTGTAGCGGCTGAAGTAGACGAAGTTAATGTGGGAGGGGGTGAGCAGCTTGTGGAGTAGTTATCGTCCGTTTATCATTATCAGGGTGAACTGATCAATATATCATAATATTTCTTTTGAGGAGTTAGGGCTGGGCGATATGGCCTCAAATCAATTTTATGATATATTGAGCAGTTCACCTCGATAACGATAAATGGACGATAACTACTCTACAAGCTGCTCACCCCCTCCCACATTAACTTCGTCTACTTCAGCCGCTACAACTTTTGAACCGTCCTCCATCTCCTCACCTGTCTCTTCCTCTTTGTTACAGACTGGATAGGGTGGAGTCACGTCTTAAAGGGACATGAGACCATAGCCTACCTACACACATCCAAAACCAACTTTTGTCTATCTATTTTTTGACACCAAATACGCCGATGTGGGCAAAATGACTTCTGTTATTGTCGTAAATTTCAGTACCTGTAAATTTTCAGTTTATCGCCCAGCCCTACAAAGAGGGTTGAAAGTTTAACATGCTTATCTTGGTGCAAAAATAGAGAATCACATAAACTGATTTCCTTCTACTTACCGTTTTTAATTAGATTTCCTATCGTGCATTTAATTTGTGTATTAACAACCCTCTTTGTGAGAACTGTCCTGACTGTTTCCTTTTAATCTAAATGACTGATTTTCCGGGGAGGCCCCTGCAGCCTGGGATCAGAGCTAGACCGCAGTCCGTCACGCCCAGTTTGACGGGCTGAGGGGTCGTCCTCAAAAAAAAATCGATGTGAAATTGGAAGAAATATTAGATTGACTTTATTAAGACGTAATGCAATTGGCGCGTGTGATCGGACCTCCACATCTCAGTGGAAATGCGATTTGCTCTTCGGGGAGCGGGTCTCCACAATTTGCCGTCTGCGCTTCGCTCAGCATTATGAGCATGACCTTTACAAGAAATCAATAACAGCCTCAGCCTTTTAGGATGAGGGTGTGGGCGTGTGCGAGTAACGCTGCATGAAATGACAAATTACGAAAAGCTTTCCCCAAATGAAATCTCAAAAAGTAAACTCATAAAGTTGCAGAAGGAGGAAAAAAACTGAAGATTCTGTCCCTCTGTTTTGGTTTGGATGAAATCTTGTTTGGCTGCGTACCGTCACATTCGACAAACTGACACTGAGATGATAAATGCCATCTCAGAGGTTTTCTTCACTTGGTTCGGTTCATATGCCTCCCCTCTTTATCCTCTTTCATTCGCTGAATCTTTTACTTCACCTCCAAAGACTCGACAGATTTAGTCACAATCCAGCTAAAGAGGGCGAACACCGATCCAGGCGTTTAACAGAATAAATGGAGATGGAGGTGGTGATAAAACTCTCATCATCGCATTGTTTGTTTTGGTTTCAGTCATGCTCAAATCTACGGCGCTGAAAGGAGTCGACCGGCCTGTTTTTCTCGCTCTGACTTCCTCGTCTTTGTCTCGGCAGGATAGATAAGAGTCTCCACATCAGTCATACCTCTCTTTGCTTGAACCCAAGTATCAAAAATGATTGTGTAATCGGTTTAAAACATATTTGGCTGATTTGTGTAGACCCGTGATGGTGTTACACTCGACTGGACAGGGGGCGATCACGATGATTCAAGGATGTAAGGGTGGGCTAAAAAGTGTTTCGCTGCGGGGATGAAGAGCTGGAGTCGTATGGTGTCACAACAACAGGATGACATTTATACAGAATGCCAGACCAATCAGTGACGGAGCGCTGGGGGAGTACCTGATGTCAATAGAGCGTTGACGTTCGTGTCAAGACTGAATGGAGGAAGGTTACGGTCTGCGCCGATCACGCTGACGTTTCAGACTCTTCGGTGGACGCCAAATGAGTCACTAAATCTATTTTTATCCCACTTAAATTTGTTTTTTTAACCGTGAATCAGGATTATGACTCAGCTCTTTTTATAAGGTTTGAAATTTGTTAATTCCAACTGATTAAAACGTTTTGATTTGATGATTTAAACTCATATTTTCTGTAAATCATCTCAGGGATTCAGTCGGACTCCTGCCCCTTTTTTTATTTGTCCTCTCAGGTGGAAGGAAAGTCTGCAGACCCCGGAGTGCATTAATTATTCACACACACATTTATCACATCTGGTGTTAATAAATCATACTCAGGACTTCGGGGAGCTGCAAACAGAATCTACAGACTATATTTGGTCTTCTGTGCAGCAGCCGTTTGGATGCAGCTGTAAAGATTTTACTTATAAACTTTATGGTTTTACAGCCGTATCGACCTGCGCTGCACCTGTCTCTGTGCAAACACCTTTAAATGTGATGAGTTCATTTCAGCGTGAAAATACCAGGTTCCCTTTTTTGTGGTGGGGGACTTCTCCTTAACGACCAGGGTTTGTGAATTCATAAACATAAAACATTTATACTTGTGTCTCACCTCCGCTGGCGTACTCCATGACCAGGTAGAGCGTCCTCTCAGTCTCAATCACTTCAAAAAGCTTGACTAAAAAGAAAAAGAGACAAAGAGAGGAAATTAAAAATTCAATTACGCCTCAAGATGGGAGAGTTTAGAGCGATGAAATCATTTATTCATGGAAACGGGCATCAGAAATTGGCTGTAAACAGACGCTTGAAGAAAGCGGAGGGGAAAAAGAGTCGAGTCACGTGGATCTCTGCGAGTGTCGTGACCGTGTAAGCTCGGCAGCACTCAATATTTACCGAACAGTCTCAAAGACTTTTTTTTTTCTTTTTTACTGCAGTGTGTCGAGCTTGAAGATATAAAAGACTGTGTGATGAGCGGCTGAGGGCTGCACTGCTAAATTTAGACGAGGTGGGATGAAGACAATGAGAGAGAGAGGAGAGATGGAGATGGGGAAGCGTGCGGGCTGCTGCCGCCGCTGCTGCTGCTGGTGCTGGTGCTTACTATCGCTCTGGTAATTATAATCACATTTCTGCACAGCACATCACAGAGCGGCAGGAAACTAAATTAAAAGTAATTAGAGGGGAATCCCATCTCCAAAACCAAACACACCACCACGGCAGGCGCTGTGTGTGTTTTATGACACAAACATGTGTGTTTTTTAGTGTGTATATGAGGGAATATTCAGTGTCAATATGTTTCTGATCGGGATAAATGACTTAACTGGATTATTGATAAAGATATTTATACTTTTCTGACATTTTGATGATGTTAGAATGAACCGGCTGTTTAACCTCAATGTCTTTAAGTTACCTCGTTTCTGAAGCTTTAAAAAAAACGTCAGGATTGTTTAAATGCTAAAATGGCTTAATGTCTGTTTTCAGTTTTTTTTTCTTATCTATTATATCTTCCTTTCCTTTTGGTGTCTTGTAGGCCCACTCGGGCTGGGAACTTCCTGTGCATGACACCTTAAAAAAAGTTTCAATAAATCAATCAATCAATATAGAAAGGAAGGAAAGGAATTTCTACCTTTATTTTTCAAATAATATACACATTTATTTTGCATATAATCACTAACTTCAATTAACTTGACATATCTTCATTTTAAAACAACATTTTAACAATCCTGTGCCACAAAGGGGATGCTTATTCCAGTTATATTTGCAATTATTCATTTAATTTAGCTGTTCGATATCACCATCTACTGATATTAGATGGCGTTAGCCTGTTCAATTGTCAATATTCAGGGTTTCTTAGAAAACAGTATTATTTTTCACTGTGGTAATAGCTTGAGAACATAAACATTGTTCCATACTTTTTAAAGACCTGGAAATTGATCAGTTTATTTCCATATTTCTCTATCCTTTCTATACTAGTGTAGGAACCCTGGATATTCAAGAGCACTTTATTTCAACTGCATGCTCAGATTATATTTTTTTTTACATCTATAAAACAATTCTTTGCAGTGTCTTCATTTGGGAACCAAATTAGTGACTTCTAGATGAATAACTCAAAAGAAATGCTGCACTGCTGCGCTACAGTGATCTGAAACCACGACTGAGAGGAAGGACACACCTTAAAAAAAAAACAGTGTTCATGTTTTAAGGACAACAGTTTCTGCACATTCAGAAAAATGTAGGAGAGCGTGTAAAAACAGACCAATTCTGTGATAACCAGGGATAACCTCCTGGTTACCGTGACAACATTAAGACTTTGAGGGTGGAACAATAGTTTCACACATAGAGGACCAGAGAGACAACCAGACTCCAGTCTTCCATGTATCACCCATGATTCTACAACTATGATCAACCTCTGAGTCTCATCCATAAACTGATAGTTTTGATAGAAATCTTGTTTTTCCTTTTTTTTAATCTCTAAAATCTAACTCTAAAACTATTTTTTGGCTCCATTCTCCGTGTTTGACCTCTAAGGTGCTGTACTTTTATGAATATTAACATCTGCTTGGATTGTAAAGAGCACAGTGTAATCTCCAGTGAACTTTGTATGAACCAAGAGTCAATAATAAAGCAGTAAAAGCTGCACTTAGAGTACTCACAGGTGCATAAAACACAGACTGAAAGTACATGGCTGTCAACTTGAGAGCCCTGTATGACACAGGAACACCAGCAAACACCAGATACTGACCCGGTTCCCCATTTAAAACCTAAATCTAAAAATCTAAAATATCTGAATTTACATGCCAACAGATTAAAAACTGTTATCCAGATTATGACATAATGAAGTTCAAAGTCTGAGATGACTCGATGTACAATAAAGTGTTCGAGCTCCACTCACCTATATTGGGATGATTCAAGATCTTCATTATTCTAACTTCTCTGAAGAGCTGAAACAAAAACAGAAAAAACACAAACAGTTAATGTCCAGTTCACCACATTGAAACACACTGGTTTGTTGTTTATATTGGAGTGTATGTACAGTACGTGCAGAGACCACAATATGGAGGTGAAAGAGTCATTAAATTTGAATGATTGAGGCCTGAAATACTGGGTCAGTGTTGTGTCTACGCTGAAGCAGAGCTCTGGTTCATGGCTCCTGCTTTAATGCTCGACTACCCAGATGACAGATGACGTCTTAAAAAGTGGCGTTGTTTGTCAGTACTGGGATCTAGAGAACAGATAAAGCTGCGTGGTTTGATGTGTGATCCGTACAGGAATGTGGACGTGAACCTGTAAGGAGCCCCACTCTGCAAACCAGTTTAAACCCATTTACCCGCAGACGCTGTGATCCAGGGCCGAACGCAGACATGTAATTTTAATTCAGCGGCGGTGTGCATTAACACTCTGGCATTACTTGAGTTGATTACTTATTAAGCGGCTTGATTTCTAGGTCGCCGAGCAATAACTAATCCATAATTTAATTCTAAATGGATTTTCAGACTCAAACCCGCAGATTACATTAATTTAAAGAGGCAGTGTGAATGTTTTCCTGCCTCACGTCTGATATATTTGTATCCTGGTCACATCCCTCCTCGGGAGAAGGAAACGCATCATCAGGTCCCCCCATCATTCAGCAGCTCAAAACAGGAGATCATGGGTTCAGGAACCAAAACACAGACCCCTGTGTTGTGCCAACATCAACACGCTCGTCCAGGAAATGTGATTATTCTGTCTTTGTCGTCACGTCATCTCCACAAACAGGATCTCCTGCACCTCAGCGTCGGTTCAAACCAGCCTGAGAGATGCACCAGAAGAGAGGGGGGGGATCTGACTCTGAATTAAGTTAAACATGCGCCGTCACACACCCCCTCTTTGCACTAATAACAAGACACTGTGTCAACACACGCCCGCCTCCACATCAGCATTCAGAGTGACCAGACAAGCAGATTTGTAACAGCCAGAAGAGCTTTTTAGTCTTCGCTGATCGAGGCACAAAAAGGAACTGAGTGCTATTTATTATTGATCCTCTGTTAACTACACCTCCGTCCTCTTCCCTCCTCCCATAAAAAATATAAAAAGGCATCAATCTTTCATGAGAGCGGAGCTGCCACAGTCGGCGAGGCAGACAGAGCGCTCGAACAGACACGGGAAACGCATCTCTAACAAATCAACTCATATATGCAGCCGAATATACGCCGTTGCACACAGCGTCCATTGAAAGCCAGGGTCAAAAACAGTAAAGCGCACCGTCTGTTTGTTGTCACGTGAAGACAGTGACAGCCAATAAGGAGGCGAGTTCACTAGAGAGGGAAACACAGTGAGACACGACTGACCTGGAGAGGATCTCAAGCCGTTAGTAAACCACCATAGAAACAAAACTATTAGATCTGATTTTTGACATCATTCTGGTTTTTCTTTCTCTCTTTTTTAACACGTGTTCAGAGTTTTAACATCTTTAAATGTCAGGACTCCAAACTCAAACAAAAATGTGACTTTTTTTGCTCCAAATGTCGTCGATTATGTAAAAGTCAGATATTTGAGGCTCTAACTTTGTGACCAGACAACAACTAGAGTTAATCAGCTTCACACTGCAGTTATCTTCTCTTGGTTGACTAATCATTCTGGCAGCACAGAGCAGGACTGTCCTCCTCCTCCTCCTCCCTTTCACAGATTCTTCTTCTCTATTTACACCTTTTCTCCTCATTTGTCTCTGAGCTGTAATCTGTTCCCTCCGTGGGATGTGGAGTGAAAAGCAGCAGTAAAAGTTAGCAGGGAGTCACATGACGGATTCAAACCCACGGCTCCTAAAAACCACATCCACGGGGACAAACTTCCTTTTTCTCCGAGCCCAGACCGACGCCGTCTGCCTGAGAGGCAAACAGATGGTGACTGACAGCGGGTGATGTTTCCACATTCAGCGTGAGGCTCCACGCCGAGCTGCTTCGACACACATGTTTACAGAATGAAGCTAAAACATGGAGTTACATGCGTGTTTTTAGTAGAGTTACATCTGCGCTTCATCTCACAAATCAACCACGGACAAATTATACAGTTACTCTAGGGTGATCATACGTCCTCTTTTAGGACATGTCCTCTTTTTTGGGGGCTGTCTGGGCTGCAGGATTTTTTTTTTGTGTACGATGGTAGACGAAGGTCCCGCCCTCCTTCGCCTCTGATTGGCTAGAAGTGCTGTGCTCCGATTGGTTATTCCTTATGGCTGTGAAACATCATCATCTGTCGGGTTAGGGTTAGGGTTAGGGTCAGGAGATTCAGAAGTGTGATAATGTTCTGTAATGTTCTGTTTGATGTACGTAGCCGACAGCCCGTGCTCGGCTTGGGCGTGCGATGATGTTTCACAGCCAATCAAAGACGAAGGAGGCGGGACCTCCCCCTACCATCCTACGAAAAAATATTGTGTCTGGGCTGTCCGGGTTTGTCAGGCCTTGTCCGGGGAAGTTTAAAAAAAACCTTCAAAAACCTTAAAAAACTTTGTGCGACTCCGTGACTCCGCTCCCGTATAGTCGTGTCCTCTTTAAGGGAAATCAGAATATGGTCACCCTAAATTACACACATTCACAGGTGAATTTAAAGTCCCACTCCAATCGTGTTTTTTTTTACTACTTAAAGTCTTCTCAGTGGTCGTTAAATTGTGCTCACTAAGTTATTAGCCAAATCATGTAAACTGTGTCGTTTTTAAGGGTTTTTTCTTCTGCAGGGCTCCAGCAGCTCATTAGCAATACACCTCTGAGTCGCTGCTCTGCACAATCCCCTTCACGCTAGCTTCTAGCCTAACATTGCCGATGTAGTAGAAGTGGAAGGTAACATAATAGCTATTCAGCTCTCGGACACTTATGTCTTTAGGCTTTCTTACGAACATTGCAATCCGCAAATGCACACACTTGCTCTGCGGTCGTCCTCTCTATTTCTCCAAGTCTGGCCTGTATAGCAGGGCTCTGGGGGCGGAGCTTAGATTTGCGACATAGGAAATCTCACTGAATCTGAACCTGCCATTTGAGTCTGCCAGAGATTCACAGTGATGTAGAAATACTCTTATTTATACTTATTTTTCTCATGATATTTCCTGTAGCATCAGAGAAATGTCATATGAACATGTAAAAAAACAAACAAGACAAACATGATTTTCATCGGAGTGGATCTTTAAGTACTTTGATTTGAACAAAAATAAAATCCTGTAATAAAAAGGTGAGATTCCAGCTCACGTTCCTTCATTCAAAACTGGAGTTAAAAACCAAAATCTTGAAAAAGGACAGTAAACACAGCGGGAAGGTCAAAGGTTACGCTTAAAGGTTGCTGTATTGATTTAGAGAAAGGCCACATAGTGGAATGTAAACAGGGCTGGTGAATAAATCATGACCTACATGAAGCATGTGACTTCAATTTCCACTGAAGCGCCGACCCTGGGAAAAATATCTGCAGATGGAAGAAAGTCTGATCTATGTGGAGAAACGAGGGAACTGGAACTTTTATATATATATATTTAAAAAAAAACAGTCTGTATCCACCATCGTCTTCTTCAAAAAGACCTCACTGAACTTTCCACGAAGTGAAATCTACAGCTGAGCAGCATTTGAGAGGAAACCTGGAAAATAAATCTGAAGAACGTCTTGGAGTGGTTTCTTACCTCACATAAAAAGATATGACAGCTGCAGCAGCTTTAGTTTATTTATCTAAAGCGTGAACAGTAGAAACACTGTCTGCATTTGTCTTTTTTAGGAGATCCAGAGGTCGAGCTACTTTCCCCTTGTTATAAATGACAACAGTTTTTTATTGGACCCCCCTGCGCTGGCACGCCTGATGGAGTATATTTAATTTCTGTCTAGAAAGCAGCTATAATACAAAAATAAAAGAGTTGTAAAGATAATAAGCATCACTGGAAGTCATACAGCTCCAGACCAGCAATTTAAACACCAACATCCTGCAGTCGACGTCGGCTGTGGGGAGGTACTGAGACAATAAATCTCATTTCTGAGACGAGCGAAGGGTTAATTATGAGCTGCAGTCAGCAGAGCCTTGAGCGGAGTCGACCGGTTTAGAGCAATGTGAACAAAGTGAGCCAGGAGGAGGGGGAAGATGAAGAGGAAGAAGAGGAGCTCGCTCTGGAGTGCGCCTGAGGTCTCCTCACTGTCATTACACTCAGCCTGTGATCTCGCTCTGCCCGTCATTACGCTGAAAAGACTCCTGAGAGCTCGCAGAGTGCAGAGGAACATATCTGAGCAGGTTTTCCTCTCAAGGCCGTCCTACAAAGTCAGCTTTATCTTATTCACTCACTCTGAGCGCCGCTGTAAAACCCTCTGTAGCATTATAAAGACTTCGGCACACTCTGTACAGTCCTCTGTGGGGGAAACAGACTCTTCAACACCTGGGCAGCTTGAGAAACAGCAGGCCGGCGTGTGTATGGGAATACTTTGTCAGGTATGTTATGCAGTAAACAGAATTAGTGGGAAAGCAGCAGAGAGGCGGAGATGATTCACCGCATAATCCAACCATTAGGTCGAGGACGCAAACCTGCTGGTGATCCAGTCATACCGCCGGGATGATGCACAGCTGTCCCCGTTGCACAATCTGCAATCTTGTGATCAATACAAAGCACCTCTGGGCTGAGTGACACACGGTTTCAGGGTGAAATCACGCGTCTGTGCGGCTTTGTTAAGTCCGAGTGGAAACTTTCCTCCACTTTCCTGTTCGAGTTACTTCAATTACGGCTGATCTGAGGCTTGTAAATACAATCCCGTGGGCTCCACGTTAGATCACTCACTGTATGTTTTTGGTTAACGTTCATCCCACCGGGTCAGAAAGTCTGAGGTGAGTCACGACAAATTAGATCACGGCCTCTGCAGCATCAGCTCAGATTCAGAAGGACGCATGCCTCCTGGAAGTGACCCCCTGGTGTTTGTTTACCCCGAGAGCTTTTTTTATAAGCTCAGCTTTTTTCACTGAGAGTGAGGCGGCTGCTTCTTGGTGCAGTGATTAGGCCCATCTGAGGCTCGGCTGTTGTTGTTTCCATCTGGATACACACATTCACCTGAGGCGACACACTCGGCTTTAAACCAGACAAACTTCAGGAAATTCTGCAGAAAAATACTGGGTCCTCATTTCTAAACTTCTGAGCACCAAATTAATGAGATGTATCCTTTGGAATCATCTGAAGACTAAAAACGTAACATTAAAAAACCTTCTCAGTTTGTCAGTCTCATTTTTTCAGAGTCTCAGTTTTTCAGAGTCTCGGTTTCTCAGTCTTACTTTCTGAGAGTCTCAGTTTCCAAGTTTTTCAAACTTGTTTTCCATCTCAGAGTCTCAGTTTCTTAAAGTGAGAGTCTCAGTTTCTCAGTCACATTTTTTTCAGTGTTTCAGTTTCTCAGAGTCTCGCTTCCTGAGAGTCTCAGTTTCCTAGTTTCTCCAAGTCTCAGTATCTCAGAGTCTTAGTTTCACAGTCTCACCTTCTGAGAGTCTCAGTTTCCAAGTTTCCTAGAGTCTTCGTTTCTCAGACACTCAGTTTCTTAGAGTCTTAATTCTCAGTCTAACTTTCCGAGTCTCAGTTTCCAAGTTTCTCAGAGTCTCAGTTTCTCAGTCTCAGTTACTCAGAGTCTAACTTTCTGAGAGTCTCAGTTTCACAGTTTCCTAGAGTCTCAGTTTTTCAAAGTCTTAGTTTCTCAGTCTTACTTTCTGAGAGTCTTACTTTCTGAGAGTGTCAGTTTCCAAGTTTCTCAAACCTTTTATTCCATCTCAGAGTCTCAGTTTCTCAAAGTCTCAGTTTCTCAAAGTGAGAGTCTTAGTTTCTCAAAGTGAGAGTCTCAATCTATTCATCTACTCAGTTTCTCAGAGTCTCAGTTTGCCTCTTAAGAGTTTTACTGTAGCTTAATCTTACAACATGAATCCACTAATGAAATATGTTTTCTGGAGATTTACGGTCTGGTTTTCCACAAAAATGGTTCCAAAACAAACAGAAAAATCTTCTTTTTCGCATTTCCAGAAAAATCTACATGTAGGGGCTATGATTTGAAAACTATCTGCCCGTACAAACATCTGCAAAAAACATTGAGATGACAGCGGCTCCAGACCCAGGACAGCAAAAGGCGACAACAACTAAAGGTTTCCTTCTGATTATGTTTCTGCAGCCTCTTACTCTCTGTAAAAAAGGCCCTAAATTTGCTGAAAAGTACAACATGACAGTGAAAGTGTCATCAGAAAAAGAAAAAAAACAGCTGCTTTGTTGAATGGAGGTCAGATCAATCATCGCTGATGAATTCCAGGAAGTTGGGAAATCTAAATGCTGGCTGACGGTCTCGGCGCTGTGTCACACAGATTTGTGGCTCAAATTGAAATTTCTGATCAAAAGCAGACCGTCCGCCGCCTCACTCGCACTTAAAGAGATAAATTAATCATCAGATCGGGATGAGTGGGAGCCAGGAGGGTGTTTACAGACGGCAGATCTGTATCTCTGCTGCTTATGCTTTCCATCGAGAGTCTGTCCTGCTCACTCATTGGACTAAAAACAGCAAACTCTTTTAAAACAAGCTGCTGCTTTACGTCAAACAAGAAGGACAAGCTCATTAGAGGCAGAACTTTGCCCTGTTTGATGACTTTATGATGTCCTGTAGACACCCTGCGTCTCTTGGACAAAGACAATGTTCTAAAAAGGACAGGTAAGTCTTGTAATCTGCTCCTCCAGCATTCAAAGCAAAGCAAAAGCTCAGCGCAGGGATCAGAGCTTTTCCGAGACTCTGGGCATTAGACTGACATTGTTTACATTTAATCAAGACTTCCAAGTCTGTCGCACGCCCTCCCCGACCTTCGACCTAGACGACAACGCGACCGTCAGCGGGTTATATCAGGACACAGACGGACAAGAACAGAGCAGGAGCCGGGGGTGACAGATGTGAACGTCGACACGGCTCCTCCGAACTATTAAGAACAGAGGCTGAAAATAAACATTCAGGCTTCAGAGACGATATCCCCCGCTATCAGCCTCTCGCCAATTCTTGCGGTTACATAAGAGGTCAGGACACAGCCGTGCCGGCTCTGATGCAGGTTGGCTCTTTTCAGCAGCACCAGCTCAGAGGAAAGAGAAGAGGAAAATAAACACAAGATCCAAACTCATCCTGACCCGAGCGTTTCATACACAGACCCGCAGAGCCGGATGACGCTCAGTCGAGTCGAAGAAAACACCAGAAGAAGAGATCTTCTGAAGGATGAGGAGGACACGGTTTTCTATATTCCTCCAACAAGAGTAAACAAAGTTCCTCTGTCAGTTATTCCCTTCCACCTAGAGTCTGTCTGTGGTTGTTGTCTTTCAGCCCACAGGTCAGATACAGAGCTCTGGATCTGAGGCTCAATCGTTTCAAGAACTCAAAACTAATTTGTACTTAAGCGACCAAGACACTCTCCATCTTTTCACAGTGAGGGGAGGAACAGGAATATTCAGCGTTTGTACACGTAGTCGTTACAGGAAGAGAAATGTTGCCTCACAGGTGAGTTCAGGGAAGCGGGGGATTTTCAGGTTCTGTGAAACTTGTTTTCGTCATTTTACTGTCATCTGCAGCTCTGCCAGAGGGGCCACGCTATCTCCAAAAGTGCAGCTGCAGGCAAAGGTACACTACGAATTATCTTGAGGGGAGTTTTTGGACAAACAGAGGACAAAATTAAAAGTAGTCTTTTAATTAATGAATTAAAGCTCCTGTGAGGGACGTCCTGGTTGGATTGATATGAACAAAGAGGCGAGATTAGAACAGCTTCTCTAAGAGTTTTCTGACCGAATAATCCTTTATCAAATACCCATCATCTCTCTCGTGGTCTAGTTTTCTTTTTTGGGTCATACTGAGGCGTCACCGTTCATAACAAGCTTAAAACCGCATACTGTAGCTTTAATTGAATAGACAAAATCGAGTTTAATGGAGCGTAATGTGTCCAGTCACGAGGTACCAGTGAGAGGAGCCTGACTCTTCTCCGACATACGGCCTGAGCTTTACATTAACCTGTTTAAGAGAGAGAGATGAGGGTGTGTTTGTGCATTTATTCTCATCAGCTCTGCTCTCCAACAAAACAAAGGCATTGATTCTTGGGTACGTATCAGGCCGACGTGACCTAGATACTCTAAAAATAATCCACAAATCTAATTTATGTCAGGATTTCCTTTAACTTATAAAACAAAAGAGGAAATGAAGAAGAAAAGACAGTCGGCCTATAAATACCAGCGTGTGACAAGAGTGGGGCTGTTTAATGTGTCACTCATGAACAAGTACTCGAAAGTCTTGAGTTGTAGCTTCTTTTTCTGGTCTGCTCTAATTCCTTAAAATAAAACATGAAAAGAAATCTAAACCCCCGGAGAACGACAGGAAAAAGGAAAAAAAGAAAAAACAGCCCCACAAATTCCTAAAAGAGTTTTCCCCCCTTAGACTGTGACAAAGCACTAACCTAAAAACAACACGGGCGGCCGACAAAAGCTCTGCGCGCTTTGTGTTTCCGTGAACAGCGGCGCTGTCATGACTCAGTGTTTTTCTGTCAGCGGAGTGTCACAGCCAGCGCCAAAGGGCCCGGGCCTCCGACATACAAAGGCCAGAATCAATGGAGCTTTGGAAAAACTGATGGAAAACCACTGGCTGATCGCTGAGAGAGATGGAGGGAGAGAGGGTGAGACGGTGGGGGACGCGGGCCGGGGCTGAACATGAACGCATCATCACGCCGTCACAGACAACAACAGCAGAAGCAGAAGCAGAAGCAGCGGTGGCGGCGGCTGATGCTCAGTCTGCCCTGTCCGTTCTTCTCTGTCTGATAGGGAAGGGAACTGATGAGATTTTATTGATATCGATGCCATTATCATTTCAATTCTTTAACGATTCCTTTATCATTGTAGACTGAAGGTTTTCACTGTTAATTCAAAATTTTATTGAGTTTCTGATCACAAAAAAAAGATGAATGCCACCTTCAGTGAGAGTCTAAAAATAATCAAACAAAATGCTATTTGTGCAGCATTTCTGACATGCATTGTGCTCATGTTAACACAGGACATGCGTTAGGGTGAACATATTCTGAACCCCCAAGAAGAGGAGACTACTAAGTGGGGCAGACTTGTGTGTGAAATTTTGAGTTTTGGGGGTTTTTTTATGAGTTTTTATGCATGTCTAACTCAGTCAAAAGCATATTCTGAATTCCCAAAGACAGTGCATGCGTGCATCACGTCAGTGAGCGGAGGGGCAGAGCTGCAGAGAGCACTGATGCTCTGCACTGTACAATGTATACACGTTCGGGACATTTGAAGGATTTTATAAAGAGACACATGAAAACAGAGCGAAAGTTTGCTGCTCCATTTGACATGTTGTCATGATCCAACACTTGTGTTTTTTTTTTTCAGATATAACATTATATTTCTTCCACTTTAAGAAGCTAATGAGTGGATAGGATGCAGGGGATGCATTCTACGGCACAACACCTGTTGCCGGCGGAGAGCGTTGAATACATGTGACTCCTTATTAGAGCATGACACGGGAGCAGATTTTCACTACGGTCCCGTCCCACTCCCAGAGAAAAAAATCCCGTCCCGTCCCAATCCCGGACCGGAGTAAAAAAATTAATCCTGTCCTGTCCAACTCCCGTAGAATGACTCCCACTCCCATCCCACTCCCACTCAAAATTACTCCCACTCCCACACATTAATTAAAAAATGACTCCCATCCCGTGGGATTCCAAATGTCATCCTCTACTCCTTATATTTGATGCCGTGCCCCGTTGACAAATGTTTAAGCATGTTGCTGGTGTTTCCATCTTTGCATGTCATCACTGCTCGACAAACGTTGCGCTGTTGTCATCTTTCAAAGTAAAATTAAGCCACACTTTAACTCGTTTCTACCGAATTTTTAACCATCCGCCATGTTTTTTTCTCTGTCTGTGAAAGGAATCGTTAAGATAAAATGTAAATGATGTCGATGGATTGAACCAATTGGAAACAGTTCTCAACAAGAACCAGTTCTCCATTCCCATCCCTACTGTCTGATGGGGTTAAAAAGCCTCCAGAGCTTCAGCAGCAGCAGCCCTGTCGATTTCACTTCCAGGCCAAAATGTACAGCATCAAAACACACACACACACACACACACACACACACACACACACACACACACACACACACACACACACACACACACACACACACACACAGAGTTGAATATCTCTTGCTAATGAGTGACCACACAGACAAAAGGAAGGAGGGACACAGAGTTACGGGCAGCTCATTCAAACTGTAAAGTGAAACTGCTTTTCATCGGGGGAGAGCAAAAGGGAGCATTCACTCTCGCTCTCAGTCTCAGAAAATTTGCATTTTAAAAGCGAAGCCGCTTCCTGATGTGGTCGATTAAACAAGAAAAACAAAACTGTCACTCCCAGCCTCCAGACAACCACGCAGCATGAAGGTGAAAGAAAACTCACTCTCGGCGTCTCTCACAGGCTAATACAGAAAGACGGACGGTTTTTTTCTCAGCGCTCGATTCTCAAATTGGACAAATTAAAAACCTGAGAAGCTGAATTTCTCGAGCATAAACGACTGAATCAGCCCTAAAACAGATCCAGTCTTCTTTTTAACAAGCTCTACAAACATAAACCTTCATTAAAACCTGAGTGGAACAGTCCAGCTGAATCATCTCCTCCACCTGCAAAATCATCCCTCTGCAATCATAAAAGCTCTTAACTCTATATGGAGAACACATGCTCGGTCCCAGCATGCACTGCTTCCCATTTACACAATTAATACTCAATCTGTTGTGCTTCATGAATTTATAAACGAGCTCTGCCTCCGTGTGAGAGTACAGCAGCGGCAGAAAGAGAGAGAGAAGAAGAGAGAGAGAGAAGGGGGTAAATTACCTTCTGAAGGCTGTTTGGGTTCAGCTGCGTCTTGTCTATTATCTTAATTGCCACCTGTGGAGAGAGAGAGAGAGGGAAAAAACACAGCAGAGAAAGTGAGCTCAATGGGACATAACGGCAGAGGAGAAGTGTGAAGAAAGAGGAAGTGGAAAATGACACTGAAGTCAAAATGCAGAAAAGAGAAACACATCGAAAAGCAACTCAAGAGTGAATCCATCTGAACGAGAGAAAAACAACCTTAGAGGACTCTGAGAGGAGAGACGACGCTCTCTTCTCCCTGGTTTCATCAAATCAGACTCAATGAGGAACAAATTGGGGTGGATTGAGGGTAAAACGCTCTATTACTCTGGTGGATGTTGTACGGTGTGTTAAGGAGAAGCCTGCTCTTTCTCTTCATCAATTATGAACAAATCAAACCCTGAAAACATCCATTACTGCAGGCCAGGTTCAGAGATTCATGAGCATACAGCTCTGGTAAGACGATTCAACGCCAAAGATTACAACTCAGAGCTTTTTCGATCTTTTGAGGCTCAAACTGGATTTTTCTTCAGTTTCTTGTTCTCGGTACACAAGTGTGAAACGGGCCAAATTCTGAGTTAGATAAGAAAGTGTCAGATCTAAAAACGAGAAAACAAGACCGACTGCTAATCGATGCCAGGGTCTGAGACGTCACAGTTTCTCACTTCACACTGGGGACGGTACAAAAGGAGCATTGAGACACAGCGTGTAATGAATCACTGACGATCAGTCCAGGTGTGTCATCCTCTGCCAGAACATCAGAGAGGGGGGTGATGGGTAAAATACAGAACTAGAAATGAAACTCTGAGTTTACTTATTCTAGTCTAGAGTGCAGAGTAGGGCTGGGCGATAAGGCCTCAGATCAATATCCCGATATATCGAGCAGTTCACCTCGATAACGATACATGGACTATAACTACTCCACAAGCTGCTCACCCCCTCCCACATTAACTTTGTCTACTTCAGCCGCAGCTACAACTTTTGAACCGTCCTCCATCTCCTCACCTGTCTTTCTCTCTTTGTTACGGACTGGATAGGGTGGAGTCACGTCTCCGAAATAGGACATCGTCTTAAAAGGGACATGAGACCATAGCCTACCTACACACATCCAAAACAAACTTTTATTTATTTATTTATTTATTTTGACGGCAAATATACTAACATGGACAAAATGACGTTGCTTATTGTCATAAATTTCAGTATAGGTAAATTTTCGGTTTATCGCCCAGCCCTAGAAGAGTTGAGTGAGACATCTACCAAACTGAAGAAAACAAGATTTTTATGCATTTTATCTTCTAAACAATTAAAGGAGTGGGCATTCGTCTTGTTTTCTTCAGGGAGAAAAAACTCTCTCATTTTTGGTTTATCGCACAGCCCTAGTATGGACACAGAGCTTGTATTGCTTAGCATTATGGTGCAGATAAGTAAACTGCTAATGTTACGGGCACTTATCAATTCCCAAATTTCGGTGTCGGTAAATTTTCGGTTTATCACCCAGCCCTAAGTCAATCTAACAGGGAATAATCTGCAGATGCTTAAAGATACAATAGACCCACACCAAAGGCGGCTTACTTCCTGGTTTAAATGGAAATTTAACCTGCACAATATAGTAAACACAGGATCAGGCGCTGCAGGTAAGCTTCGCCAAATGCGGTCAAGAGTGAGCTAACACTAGCAGAACTAGCACCGTCCGCCTTTGGTCTGCGTACATATGTCTGTGCTCTCACCAAACTTATCTTACAAACAACTCTCACTCCGAGTCGTGAGCTGTTGTCTGTGTTTGTTTACATCCAAGTAGTCGAGCGTTGACACATCCAACACAAACTTTTATTTTTTCATTTATTTGACACCAAATATACCGATATGGGCAAAATGACGTCAGTTATTGTAGTAAATTTCAGTATCAGTAAATTTTTCGGTTTATCGCCCAGCCTTAGTGCAGAGCTTAAAGTAATAGTCTGGTTTGTGTAAGTGAATAGTGGGTGTATTACCCTAGTTTAGCTGGACCCTTTTGTTGAGAAAACCATAAAGCTATCAAACCACAACAAAGACGATCTACTCTGCCACATAATCAGGCTAATTTTAAGAAACTTTAACTCAAAGTCTGAAGTCACAGTGAGGACTTTCACAGCACTTCACTTCGCTGTCAGTCCATTGGTTTTTTTTTCACACTACAACACCCACATGTTCCTCTGTGGTGACCCCGTCTGCTGCAGTTTATAGCTTTCATTGTCGGTCTCTAGCCAAGCTGAACTGATGATTGTTCTCCACACCGATTGTTGGAGCTCCCCCTCGTTTTTGTAAATAAAGTGGACTAAGTATGAGGAATGCCTTTCAATACGAGACGCCCCAGAGCCAGTCGCACTTTTCGCCCTTTTTTCCCCAGGATTAACGTGTCGAAACTGAGCGGTAACCTCCAGTCTGGAGAAATGAAGCCGAGCTGTCTGCAGAAGCACTGGTAACCATGTAACACACCGAGCCAAAAACAGCCGGTATTCAGGGCAGACAAACACGTTTACAGCCTGGTTTAAAAAACAGTTTAGGTCTGAGGAGCTCGAGGTTCCCACAGCAACAACTGTACAGGGAGTAACGCTCTCATTTTGACGTTTTTAAGGTTACAAGATCGGCGAATCATAGACACGGCTGACTTGATTGGCTGTTTGTAAGGAGACTTAAGACCCGCCTCTTGTAGATTGAGCCAGCAGTAATAATATGGCAAGTTCCTGTCACAGTCTTAGGTTTAATCACACTGATGTATAGTGATCATTTATATGTGTGTGTGTGTGTGTGTGTGTGGGGCTCACCTCTCTGCCGGTAAGAATGTGTCGGGCCAGTTTCACCTTGGCGAAGTTGCCCTTGCCGATGGTTTTGAGCAGCCGGTAGTTGCCGACGTGCGGCTGCTGCGGCTCTTCAGAGCTGCGGGATCGAACGCCGGTCCGACCCGAGCGTGTGCCGACCTCTTGGCGCCCATTACTGTGAGACGTGTGCTGCGGAGGGAAGAACAGATTCAGATGAGTTCAGGTGGCGCTGTCATAATTGAGATGAAACCTTTACATGAATCAGCTGTGACTCATGTTGACCCGCTGTGATGGATCTACTCGAGCTCAGGAGGGAAAATAACACACACACACACACACACACACACACACACACACACACACACTGATATTTATAGTTCTGCATCTAGACAGGGAAGGATGGCACAGGTGGTGGACTGAGGCTGGATTTTCCACTGTTTCACCATTTCTGCATCGAAGCATCAGAGCCTCGGAGCTACATGTTCTGCTGCAGAGATTCACCATCACTAAAAAAATCGATTCACATAAGTATTGTGAATTTCTGTTTTACAGTTTTTAAATCGATTTTTATGTTCAAGAATCTTTCTTTTGTTTTTTTAATTTAGGAAAAATCTTAAAAAATGTCTTACATGTAAATGTGTATTTTTGAGGAAATATGGTTCCTGGAATAGTCAGTAGACAATCCTAATCATTCAACTGTTTCACTGGTGTTAAAAATGCAGACTAAATATCGAGAAAAATCGAAAACATTGTAGAATCGCAATTTAAATCGAATTTGCATCCAAAAAATCAAAAGAATTGAATTAAGAGAAAAGCATATCGTTCCAGCCCTACTCATAATGATGTCGATTATTGTCGTAAATTCCATTATCTGTAAATTTTCAGTTTATCGCCCAGCCCTAAGTTAATCTAACAGGGAATTATCTGCAGATGCTTTAAGGTACAATAGATTCACACCAAAGGCGGCTTACTTCCTGGTTTAAAAGGAAAATTAACCTGCAACAAAACAACTCAGCTAGAGGAAAGAAAACACCCAGAAATAAGTCAAAATTTTGCACAATTCAGTAACAGGATCAGAGTCTGCAGGTAAGCTTTGTCAAACGTGGTTGAGAGCAGCTAACGCTAGCAGAACTAGCACCGTCCGCTTTTGGTCCGCGTCCACATGCCTCAAACAACTCTCACACCATTTTTCGGAATAGCAATGCCAACAAACTGCAGGACACTTCAAGTCGGGAGCTGTTGTCTGTGTTTGTTTACATCCAGGTAGTAGAGCGTTGGAGCGTTTCACAATCACTCAGTCAACTAAACACACATCCCTGTTTGGTACTAATATCAAAAGAGCTGAGAGAGACAATTATTACTTGTCTTTTAAACTGAAAAATATAACCGTAGATAAACTTGTGAGTTTATTTGTCTAACTTCATCCAGACTGCAGACAAACAGATCAGCTCAGGCTCTTTTTTTGCTGCTCCTTCATGATGACCTGGTTGAATCTTCGCTCTCAGCTCCATATGACACCTAGACTGCACAGAAAAGCCTTCCTCAGTCCTTTATAGTAATGAAGGTCACGTTCTCTCCAATAACTTGGTTTTTCTACAGTGTGAGCAGGTTAAAGAGCTGAGAGAGAGCCGTGCAACACGTGAGGACAATGTTTGTGCTTGTTTTCGAGCGTGTCTTCCTCTTTTTCTCAGCTCGTTCTGAACAGTCGTCCGCTCACTCCTAACCACAAACAACTGAGACAACGCAGATGCTCTGTTTCTCTCTCACACTTTTATTACATATCGTTGTGCAATTACTGTTTCGCTGTGATGCATTATTTCTCATTTGCACGGCTTTATGTTTGAACGCTGATTGAAAAGGAGAACTCGCCAAAAGCTACAACTGAACTTGACACGGTCTGACTGGCAGCTGCTCTGCCGGCTGTGCCCTGCGGTTGGCATGCAGACTTGGTGAAAACAGGATGTGGCAGAGCATAAAGAAAATAAGGTTTCACAAAGGTTACTCAAAGTTAAAAGGGTCAATCTATAACAGCAGTCTGGTTCGCTTTCAGTCGCCATGCCTGTGTTCTGATTGTTTAGATAAGTCTGAATATGACCCAGATCTTGACACAGCTCACCCTAGGTCAGATCGGTCGGCAGATCCAGGATCAAGTAATATTTATAATCATTAGACAGCTGGTATTTCTTTCGTGTGTTCAAGCTGGCCCGCAGACTTCTGTAATAAAAACCACAGACTATTTATGTAACGGTCTGCTCCTTTAAATATGAACAAAGAGTCAGCATTTACAGTGGCGCAGAGGCTAATGGTGTCGTGATCTGGTGGTGCATATCTCTGACAGCACCAGCGACAGAGGGATCGATCCCTTTAGGGCCCTGCGTTCAGACCCACCCCGCTGTTTCACATCAACTAATACAGAAGAAAAAAAAAGCGGACAAATACTCGGAGCCTCGGCCTCGAGTATCGACTGTCCGATTGATGCCTCATTAGCTGTGGCGATGGCCTCTGCCCCGCCCGGCTCGACCCATCCACCCTCGATAAAAGTGACCCCATTCACCCGGGAGACGCTGGGAAGGGGATGGAAAACTAACACAAACAACTCAAACTGTCACTTTTCTTTAAACAAACTCACAAAAGGGGAGAATTCAAAGTAACATGAACACATGACAGCTAAAAAAACTTAATATAAAGTTCACCACAGCAGGATAACTCTTAAAATATCCGATTATTAATGATGTAAATGCAACAAAATGATATCCAGATTCTTTCCTAGGCAGAGCACACACATAAAGTCACAAAGCAGATATTTTAGGACTTGCAGAGTGTAAGCAAAGAAGATAAAAATACCATCAACAAGGATAAGGTCACCGCTGAATACCACAGACACACAGCCACAAAAATATGCCGCCTCTGGGAGCGATAAACCTGTTTTTCCTTCCACCAGATTATCTCCTAATCACAGAAAATGGCAGAAACTATATTTTCTATGAACCGCAATTTCCATTTTCCCCCAGCTAACAACTTCCTGTCATAAGATAGTGGGGGAGACTATCCCCTCTGTATAACCTGATCCTTTCCCTCTCAGCGGTTACTCACGAGGCTGCGGTGTCTCCTGGCTGCATGAGCGCCCGTCATGTTCAAACAGGAAAACACTCTCTGCCCCGCTGGTGATGCCCATAGAGGATCCCACCACAACACCAGATTTTCCCAACTCAGCCACAGACACAGAGGCAGCGCTGATCTCGGTCAAGCCCGCCGCAGGCCGGCACGCTGCAGACCGGATACCAGATGTTATCCTTTCAGATTAAAAGCAGCTCAGACGCCTTTATAGTGTTTGAGAGCTGCAGTCCAGACCTGTTCAGGATGAGTGTTTGCTTTTTATACAATTTTGACCTTTCAGACTTGATTTAAAAATGCAATGTGTAGAATTTGACGACTGTACTATGGATGTTAACCCAGTTTTGTTTTGTTTTTTTGTAGCTGAGGATAAGCTTTTTTTTCTGTGGACTGCCATCTTGCACCGCCATATTTCTAAAGTAGCCCAGAACAGCCAAACTAGAAATGCCTGTTTTTGTATCCGGTAAGTGGCTGCACATTCTTTTACACGCAAAAGAATCAGTGTTGTAGTTAAAACTGACAGGTGTGGAATCACACCTTTGACTCAACTCAAGAGCCTTTTGTCCTTGAAGGACACCGTTGCATCACAAACAGGAGGGGTGAGCAAGGGGGCGTTTCAATTTAGAATCCAGCGACTGCGTGTTACCAAAAAATCTCTGTTCTACACACTCAGTATGTTTACATGACACTCAAGAAAACCGAATTATTGCCTTACTCCGATGAAGACCGGACAACTGAAGTGCATGTAAACACCTTAAGGTCCTTACACACCGGGACCATTTTTATCATGTGATTATTTTGGACGTCAATATTTTTTTTCAAACCCGTATCCTGTCAATACAAGCGTTCACATCAACGACGTTTTCCCGTTCCCGAGTTTTCTAAAGTTTCGCACACTGTGTGTCCACTCCTGATCAATCAGATTGCACGTCTGATTCACCATATCCAACATGGATGTAATTTTGGATGCACCCATGTGCTACGTTTCTTTTTCTTTTGAGAAAGCAAAAGGAAAACCAATTCACCATCACTTGAAGTTAAAGTAGACTCCATTTTTGTCTTCTCGTTTCCACCCGGGACGCTGCAGGGTGGTAAGGGAAGGTCCCGCCCTCCTTCGCCTCTGATTGGCTATGAGTGCTGACAGTTTGGCTTGAGCATGTGTTGACATTTCCAGCTTTTCTAGCCAATCAGAGGCAAAGGAGGTGGGACCTTCCCCTTTTCTCTACCATGTAACCAGCATAGTCAGAGTATGATCGGAAAATGTGCGCCAAGAAGTGGCACTAACATTTAAAGAACTTTCGACTCAGAAGTAGGCCTGGACGATATAGAAAAAAAGCATATCGATAAAAAATAAATCATATTGATCGATATCGATAATTATCGATATAATTATTATAATTATTTAACATATATTTTAATTGCAGCCCTGGATGTTTTATGCTATTGCTTAATGACCTACTTTTAATAAAGAACACACAAGCACTGAATTCAAATTCAAACCTTTATTTAACCACCTTTTTTATTTTACCACAACTGAAAGTTTTTTAAAAAAGAACTAAAAAAAAAAAGAAATCAACTTAAGTGGCCTGAGTGACGTCAGTAAATACTGACAAACATAAAGACTAAAGTGACCAGAAAATCTGATAAATAAATATTTAAATAGTCTTTTGATGAAAATAAACAAAACAAACAAATACATAAATAAACAGAATAGCTTTAGGTGGGAATAGCATACTACCAGTTTTAACTGTGTGGGAAACTGCCCACAGCCTGGTGTCTGAACACTGAAATATTTCTCCCGGGGTCGGGAGATTTATTTTTTTTAATTATCATGTGATTGACTTAATACACAAACTAAGCACGAGAAGCAGGACTTATCCAAGCCGGTGTTGTGTCGTAGAATGCACCCCTGCCGAATGCACCCCCTGCTAGTAGCCATGATCCAAATACTCGCATCTTTGTAAAATATGAGCTCATTTTCTTCCACTTTAAGAAGCTAATGAGTGGACGGGAACGCATTTCCTCCGCACCCTTCTCACCTTTTCAACCCCTGACCCTTTTTCATGCCTGAAGCGCTGTGTTTGAGAAATACTCGCGGCCGGGCACTTCATATCGCGGGTCGAGAGTGGCTAGAAGCTGGTCGAAGCCAGGCTTTTCAACGGTAGTTATTGGCAGTATGTCCCTCGCTATGGAGCATGTTACTGCATGGGTGATGTCCTTATGCCGCTCGGACGCTTTGTCGTATTTTGGCAAGAAACGAAGTCCAGTTTGGTCTGCTTCACATGCTTTGTGCTGGTGCTGGCAGCGGTTCCAGAGGATTCCTCCGACGATGACGTGGAGCCGCGGCGCGGCCGACACAGCTCGTACTCCTGCGGGTGCGATCGGTTTAGATAGTAAAAACCAAGTCTGGTAACACAACCAACTTGTTTTACCAATTCTCTGCAAATTTTGCAAACGACCGCTGGTCGCTTTTTGTCAGACTTCTAAAAACCAAAACATTGCCATGCTGGTGAACTACTGAAACCTTTTTTCGGGACAATGTCCTCCGCTTCTCCTTGCTGTATCATTTTTTCTAATACACGTGCTGTCTGTTGTGGTTTGATAGGGGCTGGGCTTGGTGCCGTAGCGTACCTGGGTCTGCGTTTGTGATTGGTTGGGAGGAAGTAATGACTGTAGTAAAAGCTACATGATAGGCTATGATGAAAAAGAAAGGGAAACTGTGTTTTTCTATCGAACTTTTTATCGACCCGTTTTTTTTCTATCGCACCACACGTCTATTGATCGATATATATTGTTATCGAATTATCGTCCAGCACTACTCAGAAGCAACTGCAACATGGCTGAAGCACGAAAGAATGTCCACTTTTGGAACGACTAGGAGAGCGCCGTTATGCCTTCCCTCCTGACAGAAACGTACATTTTTAAGTATTTGGACGGACACAAAACGAGGAATGGAGCACTGCTACAAAACAACACCCATATCACCCCCTAGTTTTGGGGAGGAGGACACGTTCATGTCAATGATTCGATTTTCTCAGCTGCATGTATACGAATTAGTCTGATTAAGCTGTGCATGTAAACACACTGAATGTTACAGTAAAGTGGTGTTTGTGTTTCATTGACATGCTTCACGTTGGAACGGTTAACTCTATAACTTTAGATCTTGGACAAAACAGAGAATCATTCTGGACTTCTCAACTATTTTCTCAAATTCACTGACTAAACTAGTGACCTACTACTTGATGATTAAATTAACATCTATAGTTGCAGCTACTTATTATAATTGGTTGTTAGTGAGGATGTGTACTTTTAGTTGACTAAGAGATCTTATTCCTGTTGGTCCAACCACCTACAACAATGCTTTAATAATGCTCTACAAGCTAAACATGAAACTCCGAGACGCAGATCCATTAGATAACGCAAAATAACTCATTGATTTATCAGCAATCAATACTGCAGCCAATAGGTTTCCTTTCAACCAACAAACAAAGAACATTGTTTCCTGTTGTCTTCACTGGTTTCAAGCTGTCATTTTCCAAACTCCTCAAGCGTCCTTGTTTTACCTGCTGGGATCAATAAGTTTCCCTGCGTCTTATCAGCGCTCAGCTCTGTGTTTGTGCAGGATTGGTCTTATCTCCAGCTGACTCTCTGCAGCTACCGTGCTGAGTCACAAGATTCTGATGATATCACATAAAGGCATTATGTGCTTGCATTTCACAGATGGGGATACAGAGAGAAGAAGGAATGTGCGCAGGGATACGAGAAAAAGGAGATAAGACAAGTATAGAAATGTATACAACCCGCTGCATTCAGCCGGACACCTGCAAGAAGGGCGGCTCTAAATATTTTCCCACAGATGAAGGATGTGTAAGAGCATCTGAAGATGAAATGCTAGATAACGATTTATGTAACATAGCTTTGCTGCTCCCAGGTTTATGATGGTAGTAAAAAATGTGTTTTTACAGTGGCTCACATTGCTCAATTTCCTGTAAACAGACTTGCTGCTCTGTTGCAATAAAAAGAAAAAGTTCTCAGTAACTTTTCAGGCCATGAACGTCAAATTAAAAGCCAATTTTCTCTTCTCTTCTCTTCTCTTCTCGAGATGCGCAAAAGATTTAATAGAGGAGTCAAGCTTCAGAACTAAGTATGATGGATTCTTGGAGCATTTTTGAGAATTTTCTTGCATAAATATGGTCAAAATTAAAGCACTATTGATAAGTTACTGGTATTTTAAACTGTTGGATAGAAAATAATATTAATAAGTCAATTAAAAAGTCGTTTATTGTAGCTGGGTTTGCTTTGGGGCTGTTGGGCTGGGTCTTGAATTTTTGGGTTACGTCGAATTTTCTGTAAGAATTTTACAAATTTAGCAAAACCAACAAATATACTAAAAAAAATTTTTTTAATGCACCGATTTTTACCACTGACTCACACCTTAAATGTTTTATTTTGAAAATCCTGCCCGGACAACTTCCTGCCGCTACCTTGACATTCTACTTTCAGACAGGATATTCTGCTCGTCACCCGGAGGCGGGACTCCTGAGGTCCATATTTGGAAGCTGAACGGCTGGAATCTTTGAGTGACAGCTGAAAGAGCCAATTGCGAGCCCGGGCAGAAACTACTGTTGCCTGCCAGAACCAGCAGGCAAAGTACTGTAGTTTTGTTCGTGGTTGGGCCTTAATGTCCCGTCTACATCCTAATTACCTGTGGTCACATCGAAACTTGAACAAATATGTTTAAAAGTTCACTTCCTTAATATGATAAAGTGTAGTTTAAAGAGTGGGTTTGGTGCACAGGATATGCGTGTTTACAATTTACCTACAAAGTGCAAACCCGTGTGAAACAATTATCAATGATGCATTCAAAGCCGTTAATTACCTCAGTCTTCATTATGATTAAAGCATCATCTCAATACTTCACATTTATGCACCTAAATACCAAAATAACCATCAGAAAGCCTTTAATACTCACACTTTCCGTCACCTTCTCGTTGACCGTCGGTAAAGGAGTTTTTGTTGACATCTTTTGTCAGTCCTTCTTCCACCGGTCCACGTCTAATTGTCCGAAAAAAAAACAAAAAAATCCACCGAAACTTCCTTTTCAGACCACCAGCCGAAAAGTGAGGTTATCGCCCAGCTCAGCAGCTCTCTCAGGGGGAAACCGTCTCAGCATGGATCGTGACAATTTTCAAACCAGACCGGACGTGTTAGAGCCGAGCACCTGAACTACACCGACCGAGAAAAAAAGAACAAAAAATCCTCTCTTTTAATCCGAAATTAGAGATTTACATGTCGCGTACATACCGTTCGCGGCCTTTGTGTTAACTCGACAGCGAAACGAAAATCAGAGTCCGACTGTCCGTCAGGGTTGGAGTCCGTGAAGGTAACTAAACTAACGTTAAGGCGCTGTCGGTCTTCACTTCCAGGTTTCCTTCCCCGCTAATGTAAAACTGTGTCTAGAAACAAGTCATGGCGTCCGGTGTCAACAGCAGGCAGTTGTGCGAGGGATTTAAGAGGTTTAGGAGGCTGAAACACTCGCCGTCGACTCGGTTTCTTCCATCTCCGACGGCCTAAAGTGAAGCTGGTCTGTCTGATTTAGGTGGGACCAAAATGGCTACTCAGCGGCTGGGCTGGATTAGGCTGCGTTCAGGGACCCCTCAAAGGCTCCGACACCAAAGCTTTGAGAAGAACAGTCGAAGAAGAAACTGTTTTATTGATTTATATTAAGGATTCATGGTAAAATAATAATTATAATCATGATCATTTTAAAAATCTCCAGGTAAAATCAGAAATACCATACTGAATAACAGTTCAGGCAAGCATCCATTCAAATATTCCCATTTTCCTGGGCCAACTCCTCACTTTTGGTAGTTTTCTGTTACTTATACTGACTTTTAACACCAGATATATGTCACTTGTGTCATAAAGTTACGGTGGCCGAGGACCGCCACTGCAAATAAAAAAGAATGGAAAAAAAAAGAAAGAAACCACAACGGAAGTTACTGATGCAAAAAAAGAAAAAGAAACTGAAGCCAGCTGCAAATAAGAAAAGATGCGGTGCAGATGAAAAAAAATTCCATGGAAGTTAATGATGAAAAAAAAAAAAAAAATGACTTACTACAAAAATAAAAGGATGCTAATAAAAAAAGCTACACCAGAAGTGAGCTGCAGGGGACCAATAATGATGATGCACCGGCGTTTTATGATCTGGGCACTGAGGATGACGACGAGAAGACGGCAAAGAATTTGGTGGAAAGGTTATCGTTTAATTTCGCTTTTCCTTTGCCAGCAATAAGTAACTTTTTTTTTTTTTATTCCATCACCCCTTTTTTTGCGTCGTTACCTTCAGTTGTGGCTTTTTTATCTGCACTGTTTCTTTTTTTAATTTGCAGCGGGCTTTGGTTTCTTTTTCTTCTTTTTTTTGCATCAGTAACTTCCGTTGTGACTTTTTTTTTGCATTCTTTTTATATTTGCAGCAGTGGCGGTTCTTGGCCACCGTATAAAGTTACAAAAATACAAATAAATAAACAAAATTTTTATATTAATTTGTGGTTTAGAAAAAAAACATTAACAGGGCTTTTTTTTTTACCTGCGATACCAAGATAAATAGGTCAAAACCTGGATGAAGGATGAAAAAACCATGGACGTAAAATCAATTAATGTTTGTTTACCAAAATCTTACGAGCAGTTTGGAGCCCAGAACAAACTTTTTAACACTAGATATCTGTAATTTGTGTCATAAAGTTACAAAAATACAAATAAATAAACAAATGGCCTCAACTCACCTCATTATTGTGGGCAACAGTAGCAGCATGGTGTGTGATGTATGTCTTATTGCCGTGACCAAGTTACTGCTGGGTCAACAGTAAAAATTTTATCACCCCAAAATTTTTACATTAATTTGTAAAAAGCTCTAACACGTTTTTTTAAACCTAAGTTACCAAGAAAAATAGGTCAAAACCTGGGGAAAAGATGGAATAACCATTGAAGTAAACTGCTCGAATGTTTGTTTACCAAATTCCTACAAGCAGTTTGGAGCCCGGAACAAGACAAAATGTGTATTTTTCCTTTTTTATAAGTAATATAGCTGTCACATAAGTGAACTGAAGCAATAAAAGTAAAACATAATCCTCTTTTAAGTTGTGTAAAAATGTAAGAATCAGGGATATTCAGTACCTTGAAGTTGTATTAATGTACAGAAGCTTCATAAAAAGGACTGCTTTGTATTTACTCCTCAATATATTGCTTGTAATTTAAAGTATTTTTTCAGTGTCATATAACGCTTTTAATATTTTATCTATTAAGAATACTTACTGCCATGCATTTGTATTATTTTAGGGGGCAGGTTTAGTTAAACAACTTTATGATAACTTAATGGTGTTGTAGTATTTTTAAAAAAGAAAGAAAAAATGAACATCAAAGTTGGACAAAAATATTTAAAAAACAACCTGTAACTCTAATGTGTGTATTGGTATTTCTGAAAAGGAAGGAAGTAAAGTAATCTATCAAACTGAGATACAATATAATATAACAGTGTCCTGACTGTGATATAATTCTGTGTTGAGCATATGGAGGAAATGGTAATGTTGAGTTTATGTATATATATTTACACGTCCATTGATAATGTAAAAAACATAGAAAACGTACGTTGTAGTTGATAAGAATTACGGTGTGTACGTTTTAAAAAAACAACTCCGAAACGTGAATGCTAGTATTTCCTACAGCCCCTGAACGCAGCATGAGTGTGTCCAGCTGAACGGGTGGAGGAAGTGAGGAAACCGGCTGACCTCAATCCCATTGGACCAAAAGTAAAGAGAAGAAGGCTGTCATCATCAGGCAGGAGGAAACGTCTCTGTGGGAAATGATCTGGCCTCAGAGGAAAAACATTTTTTACTCATTTGTTCATTCACAGACACAGATATTACCGAGAGGAAACAGAAACAAAAGCAGAAAGCTGAAAACAGATACAATCGTGCTGTTTTTGAGTTTTGATCCCTGTGGTTTTGGGAGTTGGTTCACAGAAACTGCAGTAACTTCTCAAACTTAATACAGTCCAGCTTTCCTTTAAAGATATATTACTTTAACCGAAATGCAAAATTAGATCATTAATATATGAGTGCGCCTGAAAGGAGTTCATTATCATCTAATAAATCAAATGAATGTTTGAGAAATCCTGGACATATTCAGGGTGAAATGTTTTGAGCATTTCTGATTCAACCCAGACACCTATTTCCTAAAGCTGTATGATTTAAATAAAGATTAAAAAGTCAAAATATTGCAGTATTTCATTACATTACCTCATATTTACATCTTTGTAATTGTAGACAAATATTTGGCTTATTTTCTTCTTTTGTTTTTCATCTTTTGATTATGAAAATTTGAGTGCTGTATGATGAACCCTCGACATATTTGGCACACCAAAAATATAGATGAATGTGTGTACCGTCTGTATCCGAAAGTAGGAAATTCTGCGTAAAAAGAACGAGGATGTTGTTGAAAATTGTGGCTAAACTTGTAAATCAACCAAGGTATAGTTTGCTACAAAAACAAGCTATAGATTACTAATTGTCCTTGAACTATTCCTGCCCCAGTGACGGAAAACTCACCAGTAAATATCTGAAATAAAACTGAAGCTGTTTCCACTTTATGGTCTGATGTGCAAATGCAGACAGTTCATCTCCGCAGAAAAACAAATGAGGCCGTTCATGATCGCTCTGAAGGGATAACCGTGACATATCAAACTTTCAAGTGTGGTGGATAGCAAAACATTCATTCTTTATTGACTGGAAAAATACAGGGACCAAAAAAAAAAAAAGAGAGAAAAAGAACTGTGCAGTCAAAATGATCCCCAAACACCCATTGATTAAAATCCCCAAAGCGACTTCATATCACCAACTGAATACATCTCAAAATTACAGAGTTAATGTGCAGCAAGTAAAGCGCTATGTTAAGTCATGCCACGAAGCAGGGGAGAGGGATGTGGGAGGAGAGGAAGAGGTGGTGAGTAAAGGAGGGAAAGGCCAGCCGTTTAGGGCGTACAGGGCATCGCGTGCCAAAGCCACAACACAAGAAAAGCTTCATCATCATCATCATCATCATCTTCTTCTTCAGTCTTGGGTCTTTTAGATCGCATCGATGTCGATGTCGTCCTCTTCCTTCTCAGGCGTGTCTGGCTTCACCGTCTCCACTTTGAGCTCGCGGGCGGAGGACGAGTACACAACCTGAAAACACAAGAAAAACACAACTGAGTGAAAAAGAACAGATCCAGACATTAAACACTGAAGTTTCAGAGTTTTAAAGTTTTAAAAGCTCTGAGAGGTAAGACACTCAAACTTAAAGAACTGCACTGGTCAGGTACAGATCCCAGAGCATCCTAAAGTCAAAGAGGAGACCTACAGGGACCAGAAGAGATTCAAGTCTGACTCTTGATTTGGATTTACTGCTCTGCACAGTTGCAAAAGAAAAAAGGGAATCAGGGAATTTGGGAAGTTGATTAAAAATTTAGAAATGTTCAAGTTTAATCTGGATAAGAACGATCTGATCCAGTTCATTTGGGTCCTGCTATTTTAACCTGGTCTAGTTACAAACTACAATCTATTACTTCACCTGAATTAGGGGATGATACACTACATACTTTGTCCACAGGGGGAGCTAAGATCCACACAAACTGATTATGTTAAGTATCATTTTCACAGTAAAAGTGTTGTTTTGTTTGACCCTATTAAAAGCTGGATCTCCTTTAGTGCCTTTACCCTGGCCTCAGTCCTCTTCATCATTTGTCTCCTGCCTCTCGTCTCTTTTCTTGTCTTGTGTGAAGAACTTTGAGTTTCTTTGTCGCTGAAATGTGCAACAGAAATAATCTTTCCCTGCCTCATCGGCCTTAATCTAAAGTTTAGAAAAACTGGAGGTTAAAATCCAGGACTGAATACCTGATCCAGTCTGATTCTGTTCCCCTTGTTATTTTCTTTTGGACCACATTTTGAAGACTTGATCTCTCCGATCTGATCAGATTACTTTAAAACCACCGGGTCCTGGATTTTATCTGCTGTTATTTGCTCTCTTCTTCAAAAGGTTGACCAGAAAGTGATCAAAGCGCTCTATCAAGCTATTGAAATCAGAGCAGCAAACTTCAAACCAAAAATCTCTTTAAATATAGAATCAAAGTGACCACTCTAAAGAAATCGCATGTTTTAAAACAACGCGATCCACCTCAACGTTCTCATCGTCCTCCTCCTTTTCTTCCTCGCTGCCCTCGCTCTCCTCCTCGGCCTCCTTCAGCCATTTGACAAAGGGGGCAGCCTTGGCGTGGATCTCTTTGGCCAGCTCCTTGGAGACGTACTTCTTAGAAACCTAGAGGAAAAAAGACAGACTGGTTAGGAACAGCTTCAAATAAATCTAAAGGTAATGCAAAACAGTTATTGAAATATTTTATCTTTCAAACAGAAGCCCTCTTAAAAAATGCTTGAGGTTCAATAATCAGAGTTATTAGATCATGTCATTTGAAGGCAGTTTAATTTAGAAGTTTTCAGACACTCCTGAACACGGACCTTCTCTGCCCAAGCGAATATGACATCTTCCTCCAGCAGGTCTGCATCAAACAGGTCTTTGAGGATGAGGGGGACTCGGCTCAGCAGCTGGACTTGATGCAGCTTCACCACGCACTCAAAACCTCCCAACAGATACTTCTGGGCCTTCTTGTTGTTGTGGCAGAACTGTGAGGGGGAAATAAATCATGAGACAAACGCTCACTCACTGGAGTTTCATGAAGAAAAATAAATGCAGCGAGGGAAAGAAAGACGATCACAGCTGCAAGAGACACACATCTGTGCTTTCAGTCCAAGAAAAATACCCACTCAGTTTCTGTTTCAACACCCAGAAATAAAACACAAAAGACCAGTCACCGGCTCGTCGACTTACTCGCAGGAAGTGGCGTTTGTACTTCTTGATCTGCTCGCGGATGTTCTCGTCGAAGAGCAGCTCGCTGAGGATGAGGGGGCCCATGGCCTTCACATCCAGGCGCTCTGCCTCAGCCAAGATCTCCTTATCGGCTCCGTCGATGGTTCCACTCTCCTTCTTTTGCTGGAAATGGAAAAACAAAGTTAGACACGACTGTTCGCAAGACACAGATAACAATAAAAGCTCATGATGCGCTGGATATTCTCAGAAGGTGACAAACCGTACTTTGACAAAGTTGTAGAACAGGTTGACCCTCTCCTCCAGAGGTTTCTCCAGGTCTTCACTGAGTGTCAGGTTCTTGGCATGGTCGCTGATTTCCTCCATTCGCCGCCTCTGAGCTTCAGCTGTTGTTTCCTCAGCCCAGTCCTCATCATCGTCGTCTCCATCCTGGAACGAAAAACACAGGAAGGTCAGAAAAATATAAAAAAAGGTGGTCCTGCAGATTTAACACCAACACCAAAAAGAAAAGACAGACATTGAGCCGTGTTTGTTCATAAATCATCTGACTGCACTGAGAGTGAAAAAGGCCGGCGCTAAAAGGACTCCTTGTTTATTCGAACCGCCTGAACCTGCCGCTCAAAAGCAAACTCGGAGTGACCTCTGGACCACATGTCAGCTGACTCTTAACGGAAAAGCCAAAATGTGTCAGAGCGGATAATCCATTTAAAGGAATATTACACCACTGAACTGACGAAAAACAAGGATATCTAATTATCTCAGGAGATGAAAATGTGATAAGAGAAACATTTCTGACATTTTATACTCGGCAGTTTTCAGAAATGAGTCGCTTTAAGAAAATATTTAACTGCCTCAGAGTTCCCACAGTGAGTAAATACAGTGTAACATGTCCTGAGAAACTCCCACATGTGCTCATTCAGCCGTCTCATACTCCTGAAGAGGCTCTCTAGTCGCCAGGTTCTGGACTAGTTCCTCCTGATTGGTCGAAAAGAACAGAAGAGGTCAGCGCATGAAGAGGAGAAACCCACCACAGCCTGAGGAGCGTCAAAGTTGTCGTGGTTTCCAGCCTCTCCGCTGCCAGAGCCGTTCTCCTTATCCTTCTTGCGGTTCTTCTTCTCCTTCTCTTTCTTTGCTGACGCGGATCCACTGTCAGTGCTCTCTGTTATTTGGAGAGGGAAAAATAGCTATTATCATATCTGCGGGAGTTCAAGTTCCTACTGTGTTCCAGCCGGGAGGACGATGACCCCGAACTGTGAGGGCAAAATAAAGCCGGGGGAAGAATGAACGTAAAGACGAAGAGAAGGAGCGATGAGAAACCAGAGATGTTAAAAAAACTTCGGATGGTAGAAACAAGAAAAAAACAGACAAAAAGAATCAAAACATGACACAGCAGAGTCTTCTCACCTGGTGGGTTTTTGAGGATGAACGTGCAGAGTTTGTGTCTGGTGTCAAGCATGCCGCGGTATCCACAGGCCTTACAGGAATTGCCAATGGTTTGTTTCTTGGGATTGACATGCTTTAAAAAAGGAAAAAATAATCATATTTAGAGCAAAAAAAAAAACGACTTCTTTCTGACTTAATCTCACTCTGAGCAGCTCAGTCTCAGCCTTGTATCATTTACTCTTTTTAAAAGATCCCTGCTGCAGTGAAATACTAACCAGATCAGTTTCAGGGTTATCACACTCAGGACACAGCACAAATTTTCTGATGAACCCATCAAGCATGTCCTGCAACTTGTTCGCCTCGTGGGATCCGTTGACGATGTAACGGTCGTTTTTGGTATCAAACTGGGTCTGCGCGCCGAGTTCACAACCAAAAAACTTGGTCGGGTCTGAAAGAAAGATCAGAGAAAAACAAAGTGAAATAAAATAAACCACTGACCCTCTACAAAACATGACAGGCAACAGCACAAATACATTAACACACCAAAGATATAAATGTTTAAATCCTGGGAAAATGTGTTCAGAAACAAAAATATTATGGGCTAAAGTCAAGAAGTTGAAGACCAGCGTTTAGATCCACTTTGGATACTGAAATCTTCTGAGTATGAAAGAGCTCCACACAACCCTATCACGTATGCAAAGTGAAAGCTGAGCTCTTAAAACATGAGCTCCAGCATCCAAACTCTGAAGAACTTACCACAACAGCTGACCAAAACACACTGCACCACTCTGCTCAACTCTCAGCCCGTTCAAGATCAAAAGCCTGTTTCATCTTCGTAGACCTGCAGCCCTACAAGCTGTCAAATGAGGGAGAATCTCCACTGACAGCTCAGCAGACAAGTCTGACTTCAGAGCATGCAGCTTCTTTTTGTTTCTGCAAAACAGTCTCGACACAAACGGACCGCACTTCCTGACAAAAACCACTTATTTTGAACAACCTGAACTGTTCGGACTTTTCTGACCATGTCCTAGCGTCAGTCACATCGTCGTTTTTTTCCACTTTATCCCTCACCCCAGCCACTTCCACCAGCTCCTCTGGGGGGGATTCCCAGGCGCTCCCAGGCCAGGCGAGAGATATAATCCCTCCACCTGGTCCTGGGTCGGCCACGAGGTCTCCTCCCGGTGGGACATGTCTGGAACACCTCTAACGGGAGGCGTCTAGTTGCTAGTTGGCACTCCAACCAGATGAGTGCCAACTAGCCGCTCCGATCCGCCTGTCGATCTCGCGCTCCATCCTACCCTCAATCGTGAACAAGATCCCGAGATACTTGATCTCCTCCACTTGAGGCAGGGTCAGCCCTCCGACCCGGAGAAAGCAGTCTATCTTTTTCCGACTGAGGACCATGGCCTCGGACTTGGAGGTGCTGATTCGCATCCACAGCCGCTTCACACTCGCCCCAGCAAGAGGTGAAGGTCACTGCTCGATGAAGCTAGAAGTACTACACCATCCGCAAAAAGCAGCGACGCAATCCTTGGTGATCAGTCACCAAAAAGAAATTCATTTTTAAAAGTTTATCATCGACAAATTTCATCTTAGTTCTGCATGTCGTGAGATTTTAAGACTCGCACCTGTTTGGACGACATGCCGGCTGACTCAGCTCACACTGCAGTAATCAGTGAAACTTAAATGTGTCGAACTCTAGTTTAAAAACAGCGAATCCTTTCCAGCTTTCTCAAACTCACAAGAAAAAAATGAAGAGGCCAAACAATCAATGACATGTTGTCCATGATGAGCTCTTTGTTTCTTAAGATGATTAACCCCAACTTGATTAAAAGTAGAAACATGGTGTTTGAATGGACTTTGTTGTAAACCACAGAAACAGGTCGGCAATGATCAACTGGGGGTTGTTACTTACATGTTGGAGGCCTGTTCAGTGCCTTTGCAACATCAACCATGTTGACAATGACCGTCTTGATTCCATTCCCTTTGCCTTCAACCTAAAAAAGGGAAAAACATAAAAGAATATCAAAACACAAGCCTGAGATTTTCCTGAAAATGACGGTGCTAGACCTCCAGCAGGAGTTCTGGCACCGTCAAACTTAAAAATCCTCGGATGTTGAATCGTTACCTTGGCAATCAGACGGGGCATCTTGTAGCGGTAGAACTGGTCTGACACGCTGCGGTTGACGTTGACAGACATTTTGGCTGGATGTTAGCACTATCAGTAAGATAAAAGGATCTTGGTTGGGGATTTTTCGGGATCTTCTGTCTGGAAAAGAGGGGATGACATAAACGACTGCAAGCGTGCTCGGTCTCTGACATGAAAAACGCTGTGCCGCTGTGGCCGCAAGCTCCTTGCTTGAAGGCTAGATTTCCACCACACAGGTTCCAACGGCTGCGCAACAGCTCTGAAAGAGGAGAGGGAGAGAAATCGATCAGTATTTGATTTTTTTTTTTAAATAACAAACAGTTTAACACTCAGCAGGGAGGGTTTTATTTTCTTCAAGACCACGTCAGCAGATATAAAACGGTGTTGACATTTTTCATGTTTGCTCCAGGATTCAAAGAGAAACCGCCAAATTGTTGTGTAAATACAATCTAGTTTGCATTTAAGTCGAGTCTTTAATAAATGACGTTCTTGTTTGCAGCTCTTTCCTGGAGCACAGTGATAATACTTGAAGCTCATCTCAGCCAACCAAACCGTTAGAGTTTCAGACAGTTTATCAGGCCGTATCAGCAGCTTGAAGCCAGAGTTAAGGTTCCTGAGGCCTTTCATAGAAACTTTCATCATTTCAAGAGTGTGTGAAAGCTGATAAAAGCTGAATGTGATGGTTTACAAATTATTTTAACTCTGTGTTTTATTGAAAATAGTGAAAAGACAACAGATCAAAGGCTCAAACTGGAACACTTCGTTTTCTTGAGATGTCCCACTCTTGACTGATACAGGATTCCAGCTGGTCAACAGTTTGTAGTCCCCTTTATCCTATTTTTTGATTTTGTGGCGTACCTAATGTTTTAAATCTGTCACGAGTCGGTACTGCAGGCGAGTCAGTTAACCACCTGGACTCTTCTACTACCAGGACCTGCTGTTGTCATATATCCTTAAAATAATTTGGCGTCCTCTTGCTGACATAAACAAAGGCTACCTTCACACTGCAGGTTATGATGCACAATTCAGATTTTTTGTTAAATCCGATCTTTTTGTGCGGCCGTTCACATTACAACAACGAATGCGGCATCTAATGCGAACGGAATGCGTTCGTGAAGTGACCCGCATGCGCACAAAGCAGGTTGGCGCCTGTTTATGTTGTCGAATAATGGTGAGCGTCCACACTGCAGTCACATGGGATACATATCCAATTTATATCCACATACAAAAGAGGTCTGGGTCGGATTTGAAAAAAAATCAGATATGAAAAAATCAGATATGTGTCACATATGGTTAAAAAGTCAGAATTGACCTGCAGTGTGAACATAGCCCATGTCTTTTCTGAAAATGTAATCATCTGGATGGCAGCATAAAGGGTTAAAAAAACTCTCTCTATATATATTTTTTAATATTAATGATGCCTTCCAGATATGTCAGCTACCTATGCGACTGATACTTCGGCACCTGAACACTGTCAGTGACGCTGGCCTTATAAATGTGCGCTGATGTGAATCCAGGTGGTCCTTCTCCTCTTTAGAGTGCAGAATAGGTGTGTCCATGACTTCAAAAAAGATCGTCAATTTGGATCAGTGAAACCACCAAACAGTCAGCCTCAGTTCACCCTGGATGGACTCTGTCAGAGAAGCTTCTGGATCTTATTTATAAACCGTTTCCTCTGCGCATGGTTCAGTTTTGTGGATGCAGGAATGAACTATGTTATTTCTACTACAGTCATATTTATTTTTAATGCAGTGCTGCCTGAGGGTCGGAAGATTGTGTCCATCCAGTACCGGTCATCGTCTTTGTCTCCTTCCTCCAGATTCTCTGAGTCTTAAAATGACTGCAGACATCTTTCTGTCCGATAGACCTGAAGGCTCTTTTTGTACCCAGTCATGTTGTTAATCTGCTGAAAGGTAATGTCATTAGAAAGGAGATGTTCCTTTGGCTGTTTTTGAATTTTTTCAGCATTATACAACTCTCCCAGTGTTTTCTTCTCATACTCATTGTTTGAAATCTACTGCTGGCATCAAATTCAAAATTACAGTATATTTTTTACAACTCAAGCTGGTTTCAAAGTTAGTTTTTTGTTTTTAAAATAAATCTAAAGGCCTTGAAGGATCTGCCAGCATCTGCAGTCTGTCTATTAACATTGTCCCGACAACAGTGTCCCTACTCTAGGTTTGGAGGTCGTATTTCTGACAGTTAAGGTGCCTACAGAGAACACAGAGGACAAACACACTCCACAGCAGCTGAATCCCTTATTATCTCTTTTTTCTTCTGTAGTTAGACTGAGTCATAAAGGTTTGTCAGTACAGAGGCTATCAGGTATATTTTACACTTGATTAAATAAAATTTTTCTCAATTCAAACTAATTTAGACGGATATATTGCTGTGATGACAGATTAAAATGCTGACAGGATCAAATCTCACAAATATCCATGTGATCCGACAGCGCACGAACACTGCAGATTATCCCAAAGAATAAAAATAAACCCCCAGCCGGTAAAGTGGCAGCTTTTGTGGGCATATAGGTGCAAAAATTGTTTTGTGAAAGCCCTTTGTCTTACACCAGGGCCCCTGGCTTTAGTCACATAAGGCCGTCTCTTGTTATTAGGTCAAAAACAGGAGGCCTAGCAGCTGCCAAACAACTCTCCCCCTGCTGATGCCAAATACCTGATCTTTGCATGTTATTTTTCCCCCTAACAATGTCAGTGTGATTCGGCAGGAGTTGAATCACAGCTGGCGTGACAGTGACCAGATCTGAGGTGCTTTAGAAGGGCAGAGGTCGAGCCTATTTCAGGAGGAGGAGGAGGAGGTGGAGGCTAGCTCGCTTAGCTGGCTGCTTGGTTGGTGCAGAGTGCGTCATACAGTCCCTGCACACGAGTGACGGGAATGGGAGACGCCATTTTGATACAGTGGCACAGAAAACATGCCATATTGCACAATATCGCTCACAATCCCCATCTCGAATCATTTCAGATGTCAAACATTCACATGATTCACAAGACTTACCGTTTTCGCAAAACAAAGACATAAACACAACGCTGATCGTCCAAGAGCCGCAGTGAACGGTGGTCGATAGCTGGTGCTGGTGTTGTATCGATTACAGCAAAGGGGGGGTTCTTGACGGGGTTTTGGCTCTCGAAGATGCACAGTTAAACAGCCTCAAGCGTCCAAACTGTGCAGATGTCAGGGTTTAGAGACAGGCAGAGGTGATCTGGAGCGTCTTCAGGGGGGGTTTGGGGACCTTTAAAAGGGAGAAGGAGAGGACTGTCACCCGGGGAGCAAACAAGCGTTAGCACCATCAGCTCAGGGTACCAGGGGCTTTACAAGGGGTGGGGGGCTCAGACTCAACCGTCACCAACAATGTTAGAGGAGATTTAAGGACTCCCACGCGCCCCCGTTATGAAAAACCGTTATAGTTTTCTGTTGCTAATTGGATATGAGGCGTAAATGACGACGAGCTAACGAGCTAAAGTGACCGTTACACGTGTTTCATCAACAAATTCTTAATTATTATTATTAATCCAAGCGTAAATAAAACATCCATTAAAACACGTTAATATTCATGTAATCTATTACTAAATTTAGCTTTACAGTTGGTCGTAGGAGTTACATAAACAGCCACCCGTAATGATAAATCTCCAGGAAATAGTCGGAGCCCAGATGCTAAAGCGCACGAGCCCCAGCGCTGACGAAGCGGTTAGCTCTGATAATGTGATTAGGTTTTATCTTTCACAGCGGTTAAACAGCTTCATTTTCCCTCTGAAATAATAATCATCGACTAAATCTACGACATAAAACGCAGAGGAAAATGTTGTGAAATAACTGCGCATCTTACCTCTCGAATGTTCTGAGAAATGCTGTTACTCACGTCGCTTTAACTGACGAACGATAAGTTGACGACAACAACTGTGTGACGAACTTCCGTTGAAGGTAAAGTCACAAAATAAATGTTTAAATTCAACGTGTTGTTTTTGACGAAAACAGAATATAAAAACGACCTTATTGTAGAAGAAAATTTCATCCAACCAAAATCAAAATGAACGATTAAATTTGGACTAACCAGGGGTAAAATATCACGAAATAATCAAGAGTCAAGAACAAATTACATACCAAAAAAAAAGATAATAATAATAAAAAAAATAATAAAAATCAGGATACAGATTTTTTAAAGAAAAAATTTACCAAAAATCCTAGATAAACAATTGATCATCAATACAAAAGATGAATAAATAAATAAATAAATACATAAATAAAGAATACCAAAATAACCCCTCCCACACACACACACACACACACACACACACACACGCACAAAATCTTTTTCAGAAATAATTCACAAAAAATCCGGAAGGCAAGTCAGGCAAAAGCGAAAATGATTATAAATACAAAAATAAATAAATACATAAATAAATACACAAAAACACAAAAGCACCCCCCCCCCCCACCACAGAAAACATTACTATAAATACAATAAATACATAAATGAATAAGAAATAAAAAAAACAAAAAATAAGGATATGGATTTTTCGCCATTTGACAGTCAGAAAGTGCAGTCCACTTTTTTGCCACAATATTTGTCACAATACTATTACTACTTTTAAGTTTTATTTTGAAAGAAATCAAGGAAGTGTCCTTATCTGGCTTGACGCCTACGCACGGATACTCCGTTCTGATTGGCTGACGACTCGACGCTGGACGTGCGTAGGTGCTTCCTCAACTTGACTAGCAGAAACAGCAAAATAGAAGATGGTGAGTATGAAATGGCGAAAAGACTTACATTTCCGACATTTAAAGCATTTATTTCAATTTCTCTGCCTGTAGATGTTATTTTAAAACAGATGTGTGCGCTGGAAGAGCGAGAATACGGTCTCACAGTCACAGTTTGAGGGGTTTTTAGTGTAGCTTGAGTCCGGGATGGATCAACGATCACATGACAGCTGATCAGACTCCCCAAATTCAACCCAACAACCCACCTGCACATGGTTATTCACTCGGTTTGCTTGCATCGATACCTGTTTGTTGTCATTCATATTTACCAGCCATTCTTATTGTATGATGCAGTTGTTGCACAGTCTTTGGTACTTTTTCCTGTTGGCTAGCCAGTTAGCTGTCTTTGCTAACAGGCTAACAGCGACTTTACCATGAAGTCACATTTTCTCTGCAGGAATAACGATTTTAACAAAGTTTTCAGCGTAAAATTTAACTGTCAGTGACCTCAGAGGTAAGCAAATTGGCTAATATAAGGATTTCCCTCACATTAGAACCACAGTTAAAGATGTACTACATATTTTTTCATTCATTTTTTACTGTTTTCAGCTTCAAAACGTGTCCATCTGTGCTTCAGGAGTTTGAAATAAGATGTTTTATGATCAGCAAGTTTGAGTTAACACAATCAACACTTTTGTTTGCTTTATTTCATGATTTTGCATGTGCTCCCCCTCAGACAGAAACGTTTTAATTTGCTTTTATCATTGTCACTAACCACCAACCTTTCACAGCTGATTCAACCACATTGTTGTTTAATATCAGTCCACGTAATCCATTCACTTTTTAATTTCTAATTTCAGTTTTCCCCTCTTGTCCCGATCCTTTTCTTTCTTTTTTTTTTTATCTTTGATCGTACTTCATGTCGTTCTCTCCACGCACATCCTGCCTTCCTCTCTATCACACCTGCTCTCCTCCTCCTCCCACTCCTTTTTGCCTGTCTTCAATCAACCAGGCTGGTCACCGGGTAAGTTCCCTCGCTCTGTGTTGGATCCCTGTTTTCTGCTCACTTTTCTAACTGACTCACTAACATTTAATTGGGATTGCTTAGCTGGTATAAAGGTCGGCTTTGTCTAGGTTTCAGCTGCAATACAGTGATCTGGTACCCAGCAGGCTTTATGATGCTTAAAGGGATATTCCGGCGTAAGATTAAGTTAGGGTCAAACACACTGCAACACAGAGTTAGACACCCCCTTGAGAGATTAATGTTGCCGACTGCTTGCTTCTCTAGTTATACCAACTTTAGTAACGACCGCACGATAGCAAAACACAGCGGTCTGAGGAGCCATAAACAAACCTCAACCAAAACGCCACTCTATAGACACAAATAATGCTCAGAACAGCACCTAACTTCATCAACAGTACATATAGGGTCCTAGCCACAGCACTAGCAACCAAACATCTTTTTAGCTTTGCCTAATTTCTTTAGCAAAGAGACTAAACACGGTCGTTACTAAAGTTGGTTTAACTAGAGAAGCAAGCGATCTGCAACATTCATCTCTCCAGGGGGTGTCTAACTCTGTGTTACCGGTGTGTTTGACCATAACTTAATTTTACGCTGGAATATCCCTTTAAGTTACAGCTTCCTATGGCTTGTGTTCTTCATAAAGATTCTTAATTACTTATCTATAGCAGTGGTGATCGAGGTACATAAAAATCAAGTGAAGAGAGTGAGCTTTGCCAATAAAAACAAAGAGTTGAAACAGAAGATTGAAACAGATTTTCTGAAGCACCACCGTTTTCAGTGTGGCATTTATTAAAAAGAAAAAAAAAAGGGGGAGAAGCCAAGAGTAAAAATAACATCGCCATGGTGTCAATACAGGTATAATTGTTTCATATGAGAGTTTAAAATTCTGACATTGTGACCACTCTAACCTGAAGTAATCCAGAAATAAATGAGCTACAGAATCATAACATTCCTTAAAAATTATTTCAAGAAACTTTTTTCAATCTCCTCTTCAAGCCACGATTAAAAAAGCCAAACTCCTTAATTATAAAAGTAGTTCAAGGTTTAGTTTATGTTTCAGACTGATTTACGGTTTAGCTTAAGACCCCTGTTGAATTTATTTTACACCTAAATTAACATTCACAGCATCTTCACAGGGTTGTTTTTATGTTTCAGGATTACTTCAAGTTTGTTGGTGTTGTTGAATCTAATTGACGTGTGTGTAAAAGAAATAGTTTTCTTTTTTTATCCTCATCTGTTATTGAGTGTCTGGAATCCAGCTGTGCCGAGGTTTTCCAATTAAGACCTAATTTTTATTCAAGTTTTTAACAGAAATTTAAAGTCCGGCTTGAATTCAGACGCTTAATAAACTCAGCTTGTTTCTCACAATCGATGCTTGTTAAGCTTTATGAGATGAGCCTTGGTATTCATACTGTGGAGCTACTCTGAAGTGAATTGTTTGGGTGCATAATATCAATCTTGATCCTGTTTTTGTGGTTGTAAATAATCTGTGATTAAACTCTATAATAGGGCCTGACCGATATGGATTTTTTGGGGACGATGCTGATACCGATTATTAGGGGGGAATAAAATCCGATTACCGATTATCAGCCGATTTTTTAAAAAAACTGGGAAGTTATTAAAATATATATATATATATGAACTGTAGACATATACAGATACTATATACTAAAGATTTACTGTAGGCTACTGTTCTTCACGCCGACAGGAAAACCGACTGATCAAACTCGGACCAGAAAAGCGTTTTAAACTACCCCGCCGCTGATCGGTGCCTCCGCGTCTTAACTCCCGTTACTCATTTCCGGTCTGGTCTCATCTGGATACATGCAGCTGCCTCAGTAAGAGAAGTAGCTCGATCACGTAATGTGTACTGTTGTTTATTCTACCATTACTGGCACGGCTAACAGTGTAGCAAGGCTAATAGCAGGTGGCTAACTCTAACTTTAGCTTTTACCAAATCTTATTCTCCGCATTTTATTTCTGAAAATATTGGCAAAAATCGGCGAGTTTTGGCCGATTACCAATTTGTCTTAAATGGGCTAAAATTGGCCATTTAATCGTCTCGCCGATAAATTGGTCGGGCCCTACTCTATAATAAGCAACTAAGGAGTATACGCGTTCTGGTGTATTTCGGCTAATCAGTGGCATTCCGCAAGGCTCCATCCTCAGCCCACTTAGCTTCTCAATAAAGCTACATCAACCGTTCTGAACTCTCTTAACCTCTCTCTCTGTGTATGTATGTGTGTGTGTGATGCTCAGTTGGTCCTGGTGTTAGGTGACCTGCACATCCCCCATCGGTGCAACACCCTCCCAGCCAAGTTCAAGAAGCTGCTGGTCCCGGGGAAGATCCAACACATTCTCTGCACAGGCAACCTCTGCACCAAGGAGAGCTATGACTACCTGAAGACTCTCGCCGGAGACGTCCACATAGTCCGAGGAGACTTTGATGAGGTGTGTGTTTGTGGGCGGAGCCTTGTTAACAGTCGCCTAAATACCATCGTATCAGAAACAGGGATGTGGATTTTCTAATCTGGCTTTGTGTTGAGTTATTATGTCAAATCTAATGGGATGTCAGTGTTGATATGAAAATTAGGTGTCAGGTGCTTCTTTCCTGCTGAATTTTTTAAGAGAGGTTTTGAACATTAGCTACATGGGAGCCAAAAAGGCCATTAATTCTATTCCTGAATATTTAATGGCCAAGTGTGAGGAAATGGATCTCTTGCTGATACTAAAGACTAATTAGAGTGTGATGAAACTTTAAAAGCTCCCTTTTTGCCAACTGACTCTTACCTGCTTGCTTCACTATTAACAGAAACAGTTTCAGGTGAAGATGTGGTTTATCAGCAAAAAAAAGCTTTACTATAAGAAGAAAAGTCCCGTCAATTAAACTCATCAATCGTCATTCTGTCTAATTTTGTTTCTCAGAACTTGAACTATCCCGAGCAGAAGGTGGTGACAGTCGGCCAGTTCAAGATCGGCCTCATCCACGGTCACCAGGTGATCCCTTGGGGCGACATGGCCAGTTTGGCGCTGCTCCAGAGACAGCTGGATGTCGACATCCTCATCTCCGGGCACACGCACAAGTTTGAGGCATTCGAGAACGAAAACAAGTTCTACATCAACCCCGGCTCTGCAACAGGAGCCTACTGCGCACTGGAAAGGTAGAGAATCACGAGCTGATGAACTTCAAATGCAAATAATCTAGGAAATCCACTGATAGTTGTTAGTCCTGATTCACAGATGAAAATTTTTAACTTGAATTTTTTTTGTTTGTTGGTCCAGATTTAGCCTAAGATTTATAGTCAAACTGTGTCTCATGAAAAAAAAAAAACAGACAGGCACACTCTCATGGAATTTAATGACCAGCCTCATTTGACATTTTACTAATCCGCCTCTTATTATCTGCAGATTTAAAGGGATATTCCGGCGTAAAATTAAGTTAGGGTCAAATACACTGTAACACCGAGTTATACACCCCCTCGAGAGATGAATGTTGCCGACTGCTTGCTTTTCTAGTTTTACCAACTTTAGTAACGACTGCATGATAGCAGAGACCTCCGGGCGAGTCCATCAACTACAGCTGGGTGTCGCAGCTCAAGGAAGAACATTTATGATCATTTCTTTATCATTTCCTTGAAGTAATAATCACCATAATAATCTGATTGCATTTCCATGAAGAAATTATCATAAATGTTCTTCCTTGAGCTGTGTCACCCAGCTGCAGTCGATGGACTCACTCGGAGTCCACGTTATTTGTGGTTATAGAGTGGCGTTTTGGTTGAGCGCATGGCTCTCTGTATTGCTATCGTGCGGTCGTTACTATAGTTGGTAAAACTAGAGAAGCAAGCGGTCGGCAACATTAATGTCTAACTTGGTGTTACTGTGTGTTTGACCCTAACTTAATTTAACGTCGGAATATCCCTTTAAGACACATGAATTGAATCACATGGAAATCGCTTTTTTTTGGGTTTAGCCTTTGTGTAGCTTATAATTTACAGTGAAACTGAGACTCAGTATAAAAAATGATGATCTTGTAGTCCTTTAGGGGACTTCACGAACCCAAAAGAGGCAGAATTCACTGTGCTGACATATCGGGGGGGTATTCATTTAGTCTCCCTTTGGATCTGAACTCTCAGTCTCGTCTGAGTTGCTTATTGGTTGACTAACAGAGCAGCACAGTGAAGAGGAAGTCTTGGCTGCAAGTTATTCATTGCTAAGAGATTGCAACACAGAGCATACCAAGTAGTTGTGTTGAGTTCCCACAGGTGAAGCGACAGTGAAATAGAGCGCAGACCTCCTAAAACACTCCTGTCCTCTCTGTCCTTACAGCAACATCACCCCCTCTTTTGTATTAATGGACATCCAGGCGTCCACAGTGGTGACGTACGTTTATCAGCTGATCGGCGACGACGTCAAAGTGGAGAGAATCGAGTACAAGAAATCTTAAAGGAGAGAACAGTTTGGTTGACGTGGCTCAGTGTATCATTTCATTCCTTTCCACCAGGGGGCAGCAGCTCCCCCTGCAGTCACCACGATGTTAATGCTGTAACAAACTGTTCAGTAACTTAACTCTAAAAAAACACCTGTGTATTATATTGTTCATATGTCATCAGCAGCAGCTGCTTGTATCTGAGCTGTCGTTTGGTAACTGTAGAGAATCCAATAATGTCTCATTTATTTGTTTTAAAAGAAAAAGATATTTGGTGCCATTTTCTCTTTTTTTTCTGTCTTTTCTTATTTCTTCCCTTGTCATGTCATATCTATGTAACAAACAGGCCTTTAGTGAGCTATAGTCAGGCTTTTTTCATTCATTTTACCCCAAAATAAAAATCTCAATTCACTCCATCTGTTGGTTTGTCTGAATTGATTCTAAAACACTGATATATTTATTGATTTGATGGTGTAAATCAGGGGTGTCAAACTCAGCCACAGCGAGGGCCGTAATCTGGATTTAAGTCTAACCTGAGGGCCCAACAGGGTCAACATTTAACCCAAACTGTCAGCCTCCTTTTCAAACTATATAACACAATCAGCGATGATTATAAACCACTTGGAAATTCAAAAAGTAAAAAAGATAAATTTAAAGGCACGATATTAAAAATACAAAAATAAAGCTTTAAAAGAGCAAATATCTCCTTTTAATGATCGTTTCCTGTTTTTGATCATAACGAGACTCCAGTAATAATTTAAGTTTTTTCATGACCAGTTAAAAAACATCAACAGGAGCTTTAAGTCGATAAATTCACATTGTCTTTAATTCAAGTTGAAACAGCAAACATGGTATATCATCACACTACATGACAAAAAGTGTATAATATATATAACAGCTTATCTTCACCATAATCTTGAGTATTGCTATCAATAATGTTGCCTGTTCTTTATAAACTACATTTGAATGAACAAGTCAAAGCAGTGAGACATGATCGTATTGTTCATCTTTCACCAGCACATGCCTTACCACCGGGCACGTGATTTCCTGTAAATCACAACCAAGCATTTTTTTTATCTTGCGCTGCCACTAGGGGACGTTACGAGCAGTATTTCCTGCACATGTTCAACTCAACATCAACGGTAGAAACTCACAAGGTTTTCCAGTTTTGCAGTTTTCCGTGTGATGTGGCGTCTCGAAATTATAACAGCACCGTTGAACACTTTCCTCATTCTTTTTCTTCAGGAGCTGCAACAGAGTGATCCTGCCTCCTGTAAACAAAAACAGAGATAAAGTTGTAACCAATAATGACTTATGAATATTTCAACTTGGATAAATTAACTTATCCATTTACATGATACAAGTCTCTCAGTATTTCTTGTTTTTGTGGAGGTATTTTGTCCCACCTCAAGTGTCTGCTCTGATTCATAAGAAGAGTTGGTTTCCCAAGAGCCTTTGCACCTCTGTCTATCTTCTCTTTGAGCTTAGACTGCGATGGAGCTCCAGATCGAGGTTTATCAGACCCTGATATGTCGACAGAGGGAGACTCAACAAGGACACCTCTGCCGGGGCTCTGACCTGCGAACAAATTCACCACAACCTTCAAGATAAGAGTTTTGTTTAAAATCTCAAATATGATCATCCTAATGTGTGTTAATCCGAATTATTAAAGTGTAAAAAGCCTGAAAGTACCATAAACCAGAATTCTGTACACATTTTTGACTAAGAAAGATGTTAAAATCAAACTACTACCCTATCAAATTCTTATTTTATGAGTTCTAGTTGCAAAAAAGGAGCGATCACCACAAAATATGCAAACAAGAGTAGTTAATGCGGTAAAATTGGACCTTGAAGTCACATTTGCTGCTGAATTTGGCACTCTTGAATAAAGCTCAATGAAGATCTAATGTAAAAAAATAAGTGCAAACAAGTCTGCAGCGTATCTCCCTGCTCACCTGCTTGTATACACCTGTGCAGCACGTTCATGTAGTGTTGGTTTATGACGTTTCGCACATGTGCTGTGCTGTAGGAAGCTGCGATCGTGTACAGATACTTCTTCTGAGCTGGAGTTAGTGCTGCATGCTGGAGGACAGACAAAGGGAAAGGGTTTATAAGTAACAGACTGACACTCAAGTCATGATCTGGGGAAAAAAATGAAGTGGAGTAATTTTATACCTGAAAGTAATGGACAGTATTTGAGGGAGGTGCAGTTTTACCTTCAGAAACGGGGCTGCGGTCATGGTTTTGGGGATTTGTATGGCTGGTGCCTCTTGGAGTTGTCTTTTGGCTTGTGGTTGAATTTTCAAATCACAGTTTAAGTTCACGCCACCTGATGTAAAAGATGAAATCAGCAAGAAAAAAACCTTAATCCGATCACTGAATGAACAGGACAAAAGAGCTAAATTTACTTAGAGTCACAATAACGACAGCAGTTCAGCGTAAAAGTTTTAGTCTGAATCTAAGAAGGTGAATTTGATTGATGAAGCTGTCCGGGTGTTGTTGTAATTCGGTACATGTGAGCATAAACAAGCCTTGTATGTGGTCTTAGTTTAAGTGTCAAACCAAAGAGCTTCTAATTAGAGAACAGCGCAGGAGAGAGCTTTCTTCCTGTAACTTATCAGGTGTGACCCGGGTCAGGTTCAGGTTCAGATTTCCCTCTTTTTTTTTCCACTGATCTCCTCAAACTTCTCCGTCTCTCAAGTTTCGAAGCAGAGAGGAGACTTGTTTTTTTACATGCATACTTTAAATCTGTCACAATATTTATGTTTGACGTTTTGAGGTGATTAAACTCACCTGTCTTTGGCCCAGTCGTCTCAAAACTCCTGCACCAGAACAGGGAAAGAAAAGAGTCCTCTCAGATACATGATCGAGTTCAGGAGTTTTTGTTTTAGATTTGCGTTCATCATGATAATACCTCACCTTGGAAAAGCCTCGTCTTGGTGCAGCCTGTGGACCGTCTGACTCTCTGAAAAAGTCACCTGTTTCTTCATTTTTGGAGGATGTGGAAGAAGCAGCAGCAGCAGCAGCAGCCGGTTCGACTCGAGTTAAAGATGCATCTGCCTGCTCTGAGGTCAGTCCAGATAATTAGAGATGGGGGAGGTTGTCTGATCGGCGGGTGTGACTACCTCCACAGCTCAGGCTTTTTTTCTAACAATTTGAAACCCTAACCGTGAGTCTTGTCGTAAAAAAATCATAAATTTAACCATAAAACAACACTTTTATCAGAGTGTATGCTGTCTCGTTTGCAGGTGTTTTTGTGTTTTTAAGTTTACTTTACACTCTCACATTTACAGATCAGGTTAAAAGACTTATTCATCTTGTTTTTTAATCACTGAGTGATGTTTCAATCTGCGTAAATGACCATTAAAAAGCAGGAGAATGAGTAAACTTGTATCAAGCTGAATTAAAGCTGCTATAAGGAACTTTTGGTGTATGTTGACGCTTGTGCCCCCTGTGGACAAATTGATGTCTATTATCTCTTCTGAGTACTGTTTTCAGCCAAAAGCGTTTTTAAGGTCATCAAGAGGCAGTTCGGTCTGTTTATCCTTTTCTTAAAAACTCCTCACTGTGCCTTTAATTATGAAAACAATATCGGTGTGTAAAGCTCCTGTGAGGAACATTTAGTTTATGTCTTTTTTGGCGCCCCCTGTGGACAAAGCAGTTATTAAATATTTTGTCCTTTACCTGCTGGTGTTTGACGGCCAAATTATTTCTCTGTTGTGAAGATTTTGTGTAAAACAGGTCTGTTTTTCTTCATCTGGTCAGCCGACACCTACCCTCTCACAACTGTATCAGGTATTAAAAATGAAATTTAAAAAGTATAAATCCTCTCATTGAAGGTTTTTTTGCTTTTGTAGGTCATTAAAAGGCTTCAATATGAATTGTAATCTATTTCATAAAGTAAAAAAACTCCTCATAGGAGCTTTAATAAAGCCTTATCCTGCATGTACACTTTTCCTAAAATACTTTGTCTTTTAACTGGCTTTGTTGACTTTTCGGTACTTTTCACTGGAATCATATCTCTGGTTCATTCAACTCCTGATAACACAAACTCCCCTGAAAATGGACTCTGAGCTCTGTTTAAAACCATCTAAAAAAATATATCCAGATTTATTGTTGGGGATTGAGGGGAATATCCAGCTCTTGTGGTATGGAGAGCAAGATAAACAACCGAGCTGTGTGTGCAGGAGAGGGCAGGGATTCACCCTGATAAAGTGCGAACGGCTTTCTCTCTCGGTGAATGCCTCTTGTTTCCTAAAGGTTAATCGCAGCACGACACACCCAAAGATAAAACGTGCAACTCTTCCTGAAAAGGTGTTTCTTTGTATTAACTTCAACAAGAGTTACTCATTCATGTGGAGGGTGTCTGCAAATGTTCATACAAAACACAATGATCCAATGAAATGACATAAAATTTCATTTTTGAATCGTCTTTGTTTGTCTTTCACTTTCCATTATTTGAAAGCAGAGTAGTTCATGCACAGAAGTGTGGGGTTTTTTTCCCCCGTGGAAACATCTTACCGGGCATGACTCATGAAAATAGCATAGTGCTGAGGTAAACAAAGACTCCCACGCGCTTTCTTACCTTCTCCGTCTTTCAAGACATCAGCAAAAGATTTTATCGAACACATAATGAAGCCATAGATGAATTTAAAATAATGAATAAATGAGTTGTGCACAAACTTTTGTGTATTTCAGTTCCTGGGATTTGTCTGTTGTCTTGGTAACACCTTAAAGGCAAAATCTGCCCGTGTGTTTAAGTTGCATGTCTATCAGTTCTTATAATCTTGAATGTAGCATCTGGAAAAGAAGAAACTTAACCTTCATTTACAGAGACCAGAAGAATAGATGATAACAAACGCTCTTCCTCCATGTGTTGGTTAAAACGTGTTTACTTTTCATTGGCCCAGATTGAGTCGTGCAGAAAACAAACCTGTTAGTCTGCATTAATCGTGGGAGCAAAATCATGCAAAGACAAGATTACTACACCGCAGTTAAAGAGGTCAAATTCCCTCCAGGTTCATAACCAATACTCATAGATAAGGTGAAGAAAATACACAGTGAGAAATTTATGAATGTGTTCATCTACTGTGTGTACATACCTGCTATCATTAAAACAAGATTTAAAGTACTTTAACCTCCATTTATCAAAATTTGGAGCTCCATTGTTTTCACCAGCTGTCTGCGAAGCGTAAAATCCGAAACAATGAGCTACAAGAGGCTAACATGGTCATTTACAGCAAAGTTTTAACAGATTGGACACAGTCAGAAATGTCCTTAAAATTACAAAGTTCATTTGGGCCGCAAATAAGTTAATAAAGATAAACATCAAAGTGTATTTCTACTTTAAATAAATCTACTATAACTACAAAAACCGGCACTTCTACTTCTTCTTTGACCGTCTTTATAACTACAACTGTTACTCTACTATTGTTGTTACTATAATCACTGTAACTATCTACTATTACTGGTGACACTTTTTACTAAAGTCCTTGTAATAAGCAATAATTAATAGTTTATAAGCCCCTTGTTAGACCTTATAAGATACTTATGAACACTTGTAAGTGTAAATAGGCTCCATAGGATCATTGTTTGCGGTTAAAACCTGCTTAATTAGGTATTTAAGAAACACTTTACTTGATGCCTATCTCTATAACGCATATAAAGCATTTTTTCATGACTTACAAGGTCAGGTGTTATAATGTGTTATAACTGTTAACAACTCACTGACAATGCCCACATAGATAATGCATTATACATATATTAATCATGTGTTATAATTTGTTATAAACTATCATTATAAACACTCATTAATTATCATAAGGCTTTATAACAATAAGCATAACACATTATAATACCTGACCTTGTAAGTCGTGATAAAATGCTTTATAATGTGTTATTATTATTGCTATAAAGTATTATTAATAACACATTAGTTCTACAGTGCTATAACGTGACTATAACACATTATACATGTATTTATAATGCGTTATAGAGATAGGTGTCAAGTAAAGTGTTATCAGTATTTACTTTATTGAGTAGTGTTAGCAGTTCGAATTGCACTTCCTTTAATACTACTGGTTCTGCTATTTTTAGGAGTACTGCTTCTACAATTACCACTACTACTACTGTTACTCCATGTCTACTACAACTACTACAATATCAGCTATTATTATATCCACTACAACTCATTCCTCTGTCACTATTATTCCTCTTTTATTTGTTACTTTAAGTACAGTTTACATAAGCAGAAGTTAAAACAGCTCTAGTATTGATAGGGATGTTATTGTTGTCCTGCCTAACATGATGCAACCACTTTCACTGAGCAGGCAAGCTTCCTACAACAGGAAACCGAAAGTGTCGGTGATGTGAGGGGAAATCCCTTTGATCTGCCTTTATAAGGAATCACAGCTGCTGACTCGCACATTAAACACCTGGAGGCAGCAAGGTGCAGTAGTCTAAGGAGACAGACTATCAGTAAAAATCAAGACTAAACAATCAAACTGTAAAACTGTAAAAGTAAAGATGAAAAAACTCTTTTCGAAACGTGGGAGGACGAGTATCAGCAGGACACCTTTGATCGAGAGAGACAACTCTTCCCAACAGGGTGAGTCTGTTATCTTTGTCATTTTTTAACTGTACTTTATTTTTCCTTAAATTAATGTTGGTGTATCGTAGAGAATCCAAGAAATTTAGATGCAAAGTGTGGAATAAAAACCCCTCGAAAAGGAAAAAAAAAGTAGAAATATGGCGAAAAAAACTGTCTGTCAGAATTTGAGTTTTATTTACTTATTTAAAAAGGGACTGTGTACAAATGTAAATGTGTCCGAGTAAGTCAGAGGGCTGAGTCTCATTTCTAAGATGTTGTTAGACATTAAAAGTTAAATTAAAATCATCGGTGTTGACATTGTTGGTTCCAAGTAAACAATCACTTCCCATTATGATCAAATGTATAACAGGATAGAGGCTCTCCGATTGATTTCAACACTAATTTAATGCTCTATATGAAAGACAACCTGCAGTACGTCTAAAGTAAAATACGTCTGTGTCGTGTGTTTTAAGATACACATCTCCAGAAAAGGTATAATATAAAAATGTGTCAATAACAATGAAGCGGTAGGGCACAATTCAAAGTGTTTAAGTGTTATTTAAACTAGACCAGATCAAACTGGATTGAAGGTGACATAATACCAGTATGTCGGGGATTTCCAAATACCTGAGTGGATTTGAAGCATGTATTCAGAGAAGACAGCTCCACACAGGTGTCTGAGTTATACACATCAACTTCCAATTGGCTCTGATTTCATTCCACTCACTTTCATGAAGTAACCAAACCTGTTATTCCGCTTTGATAATACAAAACTATTATAGGCATGAAAACACTCCAATGAAGTAGATGAAGTAGAGGTGCATGAAAGTACCTGATTTGCTTATCAAACTTGATTCTGAAGGGACTATGACTCCAAGGTTATTTGCATGGGTTTTTTTTATGGAGAGGATGAATAGGCCAAGATGAGGAGAAATGCAGTGGACCTGACAAAAGTACTTCTGTTCAATTCTTGTTCAATAATGAGGTCCAGTGGAGGCAAATATGTAGAGAAGGAGAGTGGACCGAGAGTGGAACCCTGGGGGACACCACAGGGAACTTCGGTTATGCTCAAACACAACCTTAGGGATACGGTTCACAGTGCTCTAACCTAAACCCTTGAATTCACTTTCTTTCATAGGTTACGATCTGGCACTTGATGCGAACGACAATCATCCAAGCATCTTGAACACCAATGAGGAGCAACCCTTGGAGGTTCCTGGGGAGATCTCTCTTCAGGTGCTGGCTGAAGTTCTTGGTGTTGTCCCTGATACAAACACCACCCTGGATGGAGTCTGGTCCGATTCAGACCAGCAGAAATCTCTCATCCAAAAATCGGTGGACCAGCACTTCCCAAAGCCACCAGCAGATCTTGACGGCGACCTTCCTGAGCACCTGAAAAATGTGCAGAACACTGTGCACAGTGAGCTCGCGAGGCTGCATCTTCTGTTGGATGGCATGGTTCTGGGAGAGTGTCTGATTGATTGTTACCATCGTCACACATTCAATCACCTCGATGATCTACTGCAGGAGATCTGCTCATCCAAGAGTCTCTTGGTGCTGATGAAGTGGGTCCTTTACACATATCCGAGGTAACTAAATCCACATTTTTACCTCGGTGTCTAACACTTCATTCTCATTCTCATTTTTCAACAACTGCTGCAGCATCTGATGTTGGTTTTTGTTTTACTTTTCCAGTCAGGATCTGCTCAGCCATCCAGGCCGTGAAGAACCAGTGACCAAAGTCGACCCCTTGATGTTCTCAGAGTGGTTTGTTAAAGCAAAGGACAAACTGCTTGTGAATGTGCAGGTGAGGAAACTCGTGCCTACAGTGTAATGGCTGTATACATTAAGAGGTGCTGTTCACCATTTTATCGCTTCAGATGAGGATGGCAAAATCACAGATTCAACTGTCAATGCACAAGAGTAAAACAATGGCCGCAATGTCAACAGAGGGTAGGCCATCTATGCATATTATTAATTTTGGGGTTTCTTTTGGTCTGCAGAAAGAGGTCAAAGGGCAACTAGAGAAAATCCTACAATTTGAGCAAAATGAAGATGGCATGTATACAGATGAAGCTTTTGTTGGATTTTATGTGGACGTCATTGGGGTATGTAGGTTTAGTTTATTCCTCATGTTTAAAATAAAAACACTTTTTAATGATTCTATATTTATTTATTTCCTTTGTTTCTTTTTTTGTTTTGTTTCCCCCCTAAAGTGTACTGAGGCCATACCCAAAGAAACCCTCAAAATCAGCTCTGAACTGTCTCATCGTGTGCAGGAGGTTTGTTTCAGAGCACTGCTGGGGTTTCTGGACAGGTGAGAGTTTCTATTTTTTACCACAGCAATCGAAAACAAAAGAAATGTCAAAAACAACCAACTTTTATCATTTCCAAACAGTCTGTATGTATCCTCAATCAAACAGGTGTCTGTCAAGTCCTGTTTGCAAGGCTTAAACCAGACGTAACCTTTTCTTCTTGGTTGTAGGTACATGGCTGAGCAGACTGAGACTCTTGGCAAAGAGGCAAAAAAGGAGAAACCAAAAATGTGGCTCTTCTTCAAAACTTTGAATACCTGTGAAAAGCTCAGGTGAGTTTGAGCTCCTCTGTCTCTGCTGAACATTAACTCTGCTCACTGAAGGCAATATTTCTATTCATGTTCATCAAAAATCATGATAGTGTGTGGCTGATCTATCATTAGAGTGGATTTTCTTTTTCATGTTTCCTCTCAGAGGGTACGTCCAGAACAAAGGGTCAGCTATCCAGAGATCCCTTCTTGAGCACATTGTGGCAAAGCTTGACAACATAGAGAGCCTTGCTTTAAATCTCCTGCTGGAAAAGGTGGCTGACATTGCAGAGGTAACTATTCATTCATCATCATCATTGTAAATGTAGCAGCGGCTTTTCTCTCGTGTTCAAATAGCATGGGGATAAGAAAACCGTTATTGTTAATTCAGTCCTGATTAATGCATGAACGCTGACAGCCCTATGTCATAAAAAAAGACAGGAAAGGACCCAAATGCAGACAAAAAAAAAGGATTTTTCTAAATTAACTCAATGAAAGGTAACAAAAACTTACTTAGGCTACACAGACAAGCGTACACATAGACATACAATGAACCAACAAAGAAACAGGGGAACACAGGGACTATATACACACACAGGGAAACGAGCAACGAGAGGCAGGTGAGACACTGAGACACAGGTGTAGACAATTACTAAGGAGGCAAAACAAGACTGGACTACAACAAAATAAAACAGGAAGGACTGAAAACTGATCGAAAGAATAAAACACAGACACAAACTGAAAATTCACAAGACAGGACTACAGGGGTAGAGAAACAATAGGGAATATAAACACTAGGAAGAATACACAAAATAAACTCAAATCACAAAACCAGAGAAAAACTGAATCAACAGAAGATATCATGAAACCCTAGTTTTTACTTTTAAACTTTAAAACTTACAGTTTTAATTTTTTAAATCTCATTTTTTCTCTTGCAGAAAAATCTTAAGGATTACTTCAAAACAGACAACAAGCGATTCTTGATGTCTGCGCTGACGGATGATTTCTCAAAGACACAGTGCAGCCAAGAGATAGAAAAGGTAAGAGTTTCATATCATAACTTAGAAAATAGAGCTGCCCGTCTGTTAGTTCAGGAATATTTGTAACTAAACTGTGTCTCTCTCTGTCTTTGTTTCTTGCAGAAAGTAATGGATGAAGTCTATGAGCTTGTTGTTCGCATTTACCTCAAACATCTTCTCAAGAGCAGCAAGAGCAGACTGCAGAGGTGCTGGAGTTCTGATGTTGGACGAACAATCCATGAAGATGCTGACCTACTTCACTCCACCTTCACAAAGCTGGTGAGATCTTCATATCATACTTCATGTGGTTGTGTCCATAACTTTGCTGGTTCTGGTAGATACTGGAGCTCTGTTTGTGTTGTCATTTGTCAGGCTCCTGGTGTCCAGCAGTGGAACTTTGTGCTGCTGAGAGTGTCAGAGCTGCTGGAGTGCAAAGACGTCGATATGGTGAAGCTCACAGTTGCAGTCATGCAGAAAGAAAGTCCATCCTGGAGGTAAATGAGATTATTTTTCTGAACTTCCCCAAAATGTATGACTATATCAACTTCTAAAATGGAGAGAAACGTGATAATCAAATGATTTCGTTACATGGCAACAGTGGAGGAGGCTTCTAGAGTTCTGGGTTTCTGAGTGCTTTAAAAGAGACTGTATGAAAGGGGTTTCATGCCCCCCTCTGTTAAGTCATTAGAGGAACTGTACCTCACTGATCTTACCTGGTTGTCTTGTTCTTAACAGAGGCGATGTGGAGCTTCTGCCCAAATTGCTGCGATGGGTGGGTCTCTCTGGAAGCAGGGTCAGGGAGGTGCTGGACGCCATTCCCGGTCAAGAACCCAGACATGTGTCCTGGTGCTTCAGTCTGAAGTGCTGGTAAAGGCTGAGCTGCTCTACAGATGAGCAAAGAGGGCTAAACTGACTGTTCACTCTGATGTTATTGCTTCTAACTTTTTATATCTATACTCGCAGAAATATACATGAATGTACTCTGTATAAAAGGGATGTTAGAATCAGCTTTTGGCACTTAATCTCATTTTATTGACTATCTATGGATACTGGGTCCTAATCCTAAACTTGCATTTGCTTTGATAACAAAATGATCATATTTCTTATATTACAAGGGACTGTTTTCACTTTCTAGTTTCACATTTTTCTACACTTTTTACATTTTAGCCACAGAACAATTAGTACTGTATTTATTTTTATCGTTTTTTCCTGAAGTAACACCACTGTTGTTATAATAATAGATACAATTGTAGGTGGTGGGCTCTTTTTTTGGTATTTTTGACTGTGAAAAATCATATATACATGCATTTTTGGGATGTTAAAATACTTTACATTTGATGTGGTGGGTTTTTTCCGTTTCCTTTTTTGCTTTACATGCTTTGATTTTGAGGATAGAACAGTAGATAGAGTAGAAACAGGCCGCCCACTTCGTTCAGGTAGTTTAGTAAAGCCTCTGTGGTCAAATGATAAGCTAAACTGACGCACTCAGGTGGGTGATGACTGAAGGATAACTACAGCACGTTGTTGCACACTGTAGCTTTTTGTAAGACTACAACAACTACGTTCATATGAAGTTCAAGGTTTTATGGTTGTGCTCTGGTAATCCAGAGACAAGCGTTACATATTTCAAAAGGGTTACGACAAATGAAGATGTTCATTTTTGCTTTTCTTTTGTTTGAAATCCCTGAATGGTTCTAGTTTTTGTACTTTTAGTTTACACACAGCTGCTTCTGTATTTGCACCTTAGACACTAAAAGTCAAAAACAGTTTACTAAAGCTGATGAATATGTATTTCCATGTTCTCGTATGCTGAATGTTATTTATCACTCTATTTATTTTATTTATGAGTGTATTATTAAACAAATGTTGTTGTTGTCACTAGCCAACATGTTCAAACTTGACTGTTAGTGTAGTGATTCATACGTTGAGTTATTTATCAATTATTGATAACCTCAGGATTTGTTTCAACTTGAAACCAATAGTTTACGTAATGTGAACTTGTTATGTGTCATATAAGCAAAGATCATCCTCAGATCATCACAAAACTTATTAAAGATACAAGCCCCTCTTAACAATAAAGCTTATTTTATTGTGTGAGGTGAGATGTTTTCGTTTTTTTTTGTTTTTTAAATCTCCTTTTTATATGTACTTTATATTTTTACTACAATATTTTGTGTTTTTTTAAGACTCTAAATCAGGTTGTGGGGATACTTGATCATGCTGAGAAATAAAATCAATAAACTTTGATTTAAAAAAAAAAAAAGTTTTTGTCTTTATTGTAACACCACTAGATGGAGACATTTTCTTGCTGTAATGTATCTAGATGGGGGATTACTTATTACAGATCCTTGTAGAGTCACTCAGTGGGTCTAAAGGTAATATGTTTTGATTTCTTACTATTTAGGTTAGTTATTGTAGAGTGGCCATTCTGCCACCTTCTTGTATAAACATGCAATTACCGTTGTTTGTTTATGGTTGGCCAATATATAATAATAATAATGATGATAATAATAATAATAATAATTATTATTATTATTATTATAATACATCAGATTTTTATAGCGTCTTATCAGAGACCCTCATAGCGCTTTACATTGGATACATCATTCATTCGCTCACACAGTTACACCCTGGTGGTTGTAAACTACCTTTGTAGTCACAGTTGCCCTTGGGCAGACTGACGGAATTCAAGATTAAGCCTTTAATTGATTTTTCTTTAATTTTGCGAAGCCATCTTGAAAAAGTTTCAACTGGTCATCGAGCCTCTTTTTCTCGGATATCTGTGTGATTGCCAAGTCACCTCTGAACGCCGCCTAGCAGGCCCATCCTCTGAGCCAGAGTGTTGCAGTGAGGCCAAAGGAGCATCCAAAGGAACCATAAGGGTTTTGTTTTTGCATTCAGGCCTGTGTGCTGTGACTCCTGGCCTGTCCTTTGTCTGACTTCGGTCCTCTTCAGAGCTGAACCTCTTGAACTGGTAGTCTCGGACCTTCGGAACCTGCTCCATCCTCTCCAAGGACCAGCCTTACTTAAGTATGCAAACCTCCAGAGCTCCAAACAGGGCTGATGCTGTCTCATGCTTTATAACTCAGATAACCTTCAAATTTATCTTTACATTAAAGTTAATGTTAGGTTAATGTGTTAGCGCATATTCACTCACTATCATTAACTTTAGTAGACCTAGCCTGACTCAGATTCTTTAATTCATCTGTTATTACCTATATTCATCTTATCCTCATTCATTGCATGGATGTTGTAACATCATTTATCCTGTAATAAACTGATCATTTATTTTTCTAAGTTCCTGCCTGTTAGTGTTCTTCCAGAAGTGGAGTCCCTGAAATAAGAATTTCAGCTTGAGATTTATCAGCAACTGATAGTTCTTGTCATCAATCATCGTAATGTTTGATTTCTGAATTAAACTTTTGTTTTTCTTTATTTTCCCACCATTAAAGGTGGGTGGTGCCCTAAGTGCATAGATGTCATAAATGAAGATTATTATCAAATATTAATCTTTTAACATTTATTATAAATTCAGATCGCTACAGGACAGACAAATGTCTATGTTGGTGGACACTGGAGCAACACACACATGTGTAAGTCCTGAATACCTCTTACCTTTTTCCAAAGGGTGGCCTCAGCATGTCACACCCAAAGATAAAATGTGCAACTATCACTGAAAAGGTTTTTCTTTGTATTAACTTCAACAAGAGTTACTCATTCGTGTAAAGGGTGTCTGCAAATGTTGATTCAAAACACAAAGATCTAATGATATGACATAAAATTTCACTTTTGAATGTTCTTTCTTTGTCTTTCACTTTCTCTTATTTGTAAGCAGAGTAGTTTGTGCACAAAAGTGTGATAACAAATGATCTTCAGCTCTATAACTGCAACTATTACTCTACTATTGTTATTACTAAAATCACTGTAACTATCCACAATAACTGGTGACACTTTCTACTAAAGTCCTTGTAATAAGCAATAATTAATAGTTAATAAGACACTTGTAAGACCTTATAAGATGCTTATAAAAAGAGTAAATAGGCTCCAGAAGATCATTGTTTGCTGTTAATACCTGCTTAATTAAGTATTTAAGAAACACTTTACTTGATGCCTATCTCTATAACGCATTATAAATATATGTATAAGCATTATAATCACGCCATAGCGCTGTACAACTTCAGTTATAAACACTTATAAATGGTCCTTCTTTTACTTGTTAGTGCAGTTTACATCAGCACAAGTTAAAACGGTATTGATAGAGATGTTATTGTTGCTCCTCCAAACATTCTGCAACCACTTTTACTGAGCAGGCGAGTTTCCTACAACAGGAAATGGACAGTGTTGGTGATGCAAGCGCAAGCCCCTAAACTTTGCCTTTATATGGTATCAGAGCTGCACATTAAACACCTGGAGGCAGGAAGGTGCAGTAGTCTCAGGTGACAGACTATCAGTAAAAATCAAGACTAAACAATCAAACTGTAAAAGTGAGGATGAAAAAACTCTTTTCAAAATGTCGGAGGACGGGTAGCAGCAGGACACCTTTGATCGAGAGAGACAACTCTTCGCAACAGGGTGAGTCTGTTATCTTTGTCATTTTTTAATCGTACTTTAATTTTCCCTCAAACTAATGTTGGTGTATCGTAGAGAATCCAAGAAATTTAGATGCAAAGTGTGGAATTAAAACCCCTCGAAATGGACGTTAAAAAAAAAGTAGACATGTGGAGAAAAGAACTGTCTGTCAGAATTTGAGTTTTATTTACTTCTTTGAAAAGGGACTGTGTGCATTAATCAACCTAAACAAATGTAAATATGTCCGAGTTAGTCAGAAGGCTAAGTCTCATTTCCAAGATGTTGTTAGGCATTAAAAGTTTAATCAAAATCATCAGTGTTGACATTGTTGGTTCCCAATAAACAACAACTTCACATTATGGTCAAATGTATAATAGGATAGAGGCTCTCTGATTGATTTCAACCAGAGATGGGAATTGTGGAGTCACCAAATCACCCCCATGCCACGTATTTGTTCCGCTCTGTCACTGAACCAGCTGCTTCCGATGAGCAGCCAGGAAGGTTAGCTTATTAGTGAAGGCACCTGAGTTCAGTAACTGAGCAGAACAAATACATGGCAAGGAGATGACTTGGTGACTCCACAATTCCCATCTCTGATTTCGACACTCATTTCATGCTCTACATGAAAAGACGACCTGACTAAATGAGGTTTTCCTTATTGGATTTGTGCAGTCTAGTCCCAAAACACTGCTGTTTCTGAACAGGAAACTACATAGGAAAGTACGTCTGTGTTGTGTGTTTTAAGATAACGAAGCGGTAGGGTACAATTCAAAGTGTTTAAGTGTTATTCAAACCAGACCGGATCAAACTGGATTGAATGTGACATAATACCAGTATGTCTGGGATTTCCAAATACCTGAGTGGATTTGAAGCATGTATTCAAAGAAGACAGATCCACACGGGTGTCTGAGTCATACATATCAACTTCCAATGGGCTCTGATTTCATTCGACTCACTTTCATGAAGAAACCAAACCTGCAATTCCGTTTTGATAATACAAAACTATTATAGGCATGAAAACACTCTAAATGAAATGTAGCCTCTGGAATGACAGGATGAAGTGAAACTTCCTTTAAGTACCTGGTTTGCGTATCAAACTTGATTCTGAAGGGACTATGATGCCAAGGTTATTTGCATGGGTTTTTTTATGGAGGGGATGAATAGGCCAAGCTGAGGAGAAATTCAGTGGACCTGATAAAATTACTTCTGTTCAATTCTTGTTCAATAATGAGGTCCAGTGGAGGCAAATATGTAGAGAAGGAGAGTGGACCAAGAATGGAACCCTGGGGGACACCACAGGGAACTTCGGTCATGCTAAAAAAAAAAACTGGTTTTAGGGATACGATTGACAGTGCTCTAACCTAAACTCTTAAATTCACTTTCTTTCATAGGTTACGATCTGGCACTTGATGCGAACGACAATCATCCAAGCATCTTGAACACCAATGAGGAACAACCCTTGGAGGTTCCTGGACAGATCTCTCATCAGGTGCTGGCTGAAGTTCTTGGTGTTGTCCCTGATACAAACACCACTCTGGATGGAGTCTGGTCCGATTCAGACCAGCAGAAATCTCTCATCCAAAAATCGGTGGACCAGCACTTCCCAAAGCCGCCAGCAGATCTTGACCGCGACCTTCCTCAGCACCTGGAAAATGTGCAGAACACTGTGCACAGTGAGCTCGTGAGGCTGCATCCTTCGTTGGATGTCATGGGTCTGGGAGAGTGTCTGATTGATTGTTACCATCGTCACACATTCAATCACCTCGATGATCTACTGCAGGAGATCTGCTCATCCAAGAGTCTCTTGGTGCTGATGAAGTGGGTCTCATACACATATCCGAGGTAACTAAATCCACATTTTTACCTCTGTGTCTTACACTTTATTTTCATCCAGATCTTTTGAGAGATCACCACCTGGCAGAGGGATAGCATTTGCTCCTAGTACCATTTTGGTCCAAATTCTGAGATAGTTAAATCCTGTTTTGCGCAACACAAGATGTACAGAGAAAGAGTTTGATACTTGGACATGGTTCTCTTGCTTGCATGATCATTTCCTCATCCAGAAAATAAGCTACAAACAGCAAAGAGCTTTTTTTCTGTGCAGCTCCATTTTTAAAAGCTATTAGAGGGTTTAGAAGGGCATAGACGATTGCGTAGCTCACCCAGGGGATACGCTGTTTGAGCCGAGCGTCATCACAGCGACTCACCTTCTGAAGGCGCACAATGCCACCACTTGCTACTGTGCAAGGGGTGGTTCCAGGAAGTGGAGAAAATCCCAGAAATACAAAGAGCAATTTGGCTTCAAATTCGTATAATGATGAGAGGCGGAACCAAGTTGTCCATAGTATATACAGTCTATGGTCTTGAGCTATAATCAAACCTGACTATTTTTGAGTCCACCATGGCCAAAGCTGTTAATATTAATATATTCATGCAAGTCTAAACAGACAAGGACATAAACAGACAAAGGCTTATGAACAACTGCTGCAGCATCTGATGTTGATGTTTGTTTTACTTTTCCAGTCAGAATCTGCTCAGCCATCCAGGCCGTGAAGAACCAGTGACCAAAGTCGACCCCTTGATGTTCTCAGAGTGGTTCGTTAAAGCAAAGGACAAGCTGCTTGTGAATGTGCAGGTGAGGAAACTTGTGCCTACAGTGTAATGGCTGTATACATTAGGAGGGGCCTAAGCTGTTCGCCATGTTATCGCTTCAGATGAGGATGGCAAAATCACAGATTCAACTGTCAATGCACAAGAGTAAAACAATGGCCGCAATGTCAACAGAGGGTAGACCATCTATGCATATTATTAATTTTGGGGTTTCTTTTGGTCTGCAGAAAGAGGTCAAAGAGCAACTGGAGAAAATCCTACAAAATGAGCAAAATGAAGACGGCATGTATACGAATGAAGCTTTTGTCCGACTTTATGTGGACGTCATTGAGGTATGTAGGTTTAGTTTATTCCTCATGTTTAAAATAAAAACACTTTTTAATGATTCTATATTTATTTGTTTCCTTTGTTTCGTTTGTTGTTTTGTTTCGCCCCTAAAGTGTACTGAGGCCATACCCAAAGAAACCCTAAAAATCAGCTCTGAACTGTCTCATCGTGTGCAGGAGGTTTGTTTCAGAGCACTGCTGGGGTTTCTGGACAGGTGAGAGTTTCTATTTTTTACCACAGCAATCGAAAACAAAAGAAATGTCAAAAACAACCAATTTCCATCATTTCTTAACAGTCAGCATGCATCCTCAATCAAACAGGTGTTTGTCAAGTCCTGTTCGCAAGGCTTAAACCAGACGTAACCTTTTCTTCTTGGTTGTAGGTACATGGCTGAGCAGACTGAGACTCTTGGCAAAGAGGTTAAAAAGGAGAAACCAAAAATGTGGCTCTTCTTCAAAACTTTGAATACCTGTGAAAAGCTCAGGTGAGTTTGAGCTCCTCTGTCTCTGCTGAACATTAACTCTGCTCACTGAAGGCAATATTTCTATTCATGTTCATCAAAAATCATGATAGTGTGTGGCTGATCTATCATTAGAGTGGATTTTCTTTCTCATGTTTCCTCTCAGAGGGTACGTCCAGAACAAAGGGTCAGCTATCCAGAGATCCCTTCTTGAGCACATTGTGGTAAAGCTTGACAACATAGAGACCCTTGCTTTAAATCTCCTGCTGAAGAAGAGGACTGACATTGCAGAGGTAACTGCTTTTCTAAACTACTCAATCAATGGGCTCTATTTTCGTGCCTCGCCGGCGACGCGGCGCATGCGTGGCGTAAGTGAGGTCCGCCGTGCCGAAAAGGCGTTCCCAAGCACAATTTGGTATTTTGGTGAGCGGTGCAGCCCGGCGTAAGTATCCCCCCTCCCTAACTCAGCTCCTCCCAGCGGCGTATATATATATATATATATATATATATATATATATATATATATAGTGTGTGTGTGTGTGTGTGTGAGAGAGAGAGAGAGAGAGAGAGAGAGAGAGAGAGAGAGAAACATAAAAAAAGTACAATTTAAAAATCATGAGCAAAAGCATGAATGCTAGAGGGAAAAAAGGGAAAGGACCCAAAATGCAGACAAAAAAGGATTTATTTAAAATTAACCAAATGAAAAGCAACAAAAACTCTCACATAGACTAAACAGACAAGCATACACATCGACATACAATGAACCGACAAAGAAACAGTGGAAGACAGGGACCTTATACACACACACACACACACACACACACACACACAACAACAACTACAGAGGAAGGAAAAAACTGATCTAAAGAATAAAACACTGAGAACAGGAGGGAAACAGGGTCAGACACAAACTGAAAACTCACAAGACAGGAAAAGAGGGGAACAGGAACACTGGGGAAAATACAAAGAAAATAAACTCAAATCACAAAACCAGAGAAAAACTGAATCAACAGAAGATATCATGACACCCTAGTTTTCACTTTTAAACTTTAAGACTTATGGTTTTAATTTTTTAAATCTCATTTTTTATCTCACAGAAAAATCTGAAGGATTACTTCAAAACAGACAACAAGCGATTCTTGATGTCTGTGCTGACGGATGATTTCTCAAAGACACAGTGCAGCCAAGAGATAGAAAAGGTAAGAGTTTCATATCAAAACTTGTTGTACTTGCTCTACACAGTTTCAGGCAGTGAAACCGTAAGGATGCCTAGCTCAGGTTCACACCTAAAAGAATGGAAGGTCCACATAAATGATCATTTTGAAAAGCTTTACAGGTTACAGATCTGCAGAGGTGGGGGCTTGACGACTCGACTTGAGACTCGACTTGGACTTGAGTCCCGTTTTTGACTTGCTTGATGAAATCAAGAAATGACTTGGACTTGCTTGGGACTTGATTGCTAAAGACTTGAGACTTGACTTGACTTGAGCCCAGTGACTTGAAAAGTCAAGTCAAGTCTTTTCAAGTCACTTAATACCTTACAGCGAGCAAGCCCAAACCGTTTAAAAAGTGTCGCATCAACTAATAGTCAGGAATTACGGCCGTTGGTAACACTGTGTTGTGTTTCCAAGTCTGCGTATTTCCCGCAAAATAATTTCGTTTTTTTTTTTTGCTTGTTTCTGCAGGTCTGTTTCCTTATTTCTCTCACGAAACTTGGCAACACTGTCTCAAACCCTAGCCTCCCTCATAACGACAACACTGGGAGGACTGAACATAAATCGCTCGCTAGTATTGCCCGCCTGTTGCCTTGTGTCTCTCTTTTGTTTTGTTTTGGAACAGTGAATTAGAGTATTACTTTAATGTTTAATTGTATTTGAGTCTTCCTTATTTTTCTGCACATTGTCTAAGTTTCCAATTATTGAAGTTTATCTGATTATTTTTTGTATGACATGCAAAATAGTTTGGTTAAAGCTGCACCATGTAACTTGACACAAACAAGGACCCTTGTTTAATAATAAATGCAAATAGTAAAAAATGCTCATGACTTATGTAAATCTTTACATATAACAAATGGTTTATGGCTTTGATATGACTTGTTTTTGACTTGAAAGAAACGGTAAGGACTTGGTTGGGACTCGAAACAAAAAGTTCAGGACTTGGACTTGACTTGAGACTGAGAGCAAAGGACTTGGACTTGCCTTGGACTTGAGAGCAAAGCCTTGAGACTCAACTTGGACTTGCAACATAAGGACTTTCCCCCACCTGTGCAGATCTGGGTTACAGCTTCATCATGCCACAAGTGTAACAAAGACTGGTCTGAAACTGCTCAAGTATATGTAATCATCCATGTTTCCAAACATTCTGCTTGTATCTTGTTGACCGGAAGGAGAGTCCATGTAGGGTTATTAACAAAGCACTTTTGGGAGCCTGAGGAATGTTAAACATGTGTACAAGGTCCTTGTTGAGGATGGTTGTCGGAGGCCCATGGCTCCAGAAATCTTGCACCAGAGTATCCATGGTATTTGAGTTATGCAGCTCCACCACCCTAAAGGATGACATGACTGGCTCAAGAAAATCACTAACAGAAACAAAGAGCAAAAAATAGAGCTGCCCGTCTGTTAGTTCAGGAATATTTGTAACTAAACTGTGTCTCTCTCCGTCTTTGTTTCTTGCAGAAAGTAATGGATGAAGTCTATGAGCTTGTTGTTCGCATTTACCTCAAACATCTTCTCAAGAGCAGCAAGAGCAGACTGCAGAGGTGCTGGAGTTCTGATGTTGGACTAACAGTCCATGAAGATGCTGAACTACTTCACTCCGACTTCACAAAGCTGGTGAGATCTTCATATCTTTCTTCATGTGGTTGTGTCTATAACTTTGCTGGTTCTGGTTTGTGTTTGTGTTGTTTGTGTTGTCATTTGTCAGGCTCCTGGTGTCCAGCAGTGGAACTTTGTGCTGCTGAGAGTGTCAGAACTGCTGGAGTGCAAAGACATCGAGGCGGTGAAGCTCACAGTTGCACTCATGCAAAAAGAAAGTCCATCCTGGAGGTAAATGAGTTTTTTTTCTGAACTTCCCCAGTTATAAACAAATGACAATATCAACTTCTAAAATGGAGAGAAACGTGATAATCAAATGATTTTGTTACATGGCAACAGTGGAGGAGGCTTCTAGAGTGCTGGGTTTCTGAGTGCTTTAAAAGAGACAGTATGATGGGAGGTTTCAAAAAACAATAATCTGAGATTTGTGGAGAATTTTTTAAGCTCTAAATGTGAAGTTGCAAACTGAGCTATCAAAGCTTAGAGATGATGAAGTTAAGAGAGGAACTGTACCTCACTGATCTTACCTGTTTGTGTTGTTCTTAACAGAAGCGATGTGGAGCTTCTGCCTAAATTGCTGCGATGGGTGGGCCTCACTGGACGCATAGTCAGGGAGGTGCTGGACGCCATTCCTGGTCAAGAACCCAGAAGTGTGTCCTGGTTCTTCAGCCAATTTTTCATAACAGTATCAAAATAAAAAAAAGTTCACTGCCAACTAATTAAACTGACAGAAGACACGCCACAGGCTCCTGCCACCGGAAAACCTGGTCTTCAAAAACGGAATCACAGTCAACAATCGGGAGGTCTGCAACACAAGTGACGGTTATGAGGGCTGAGAGAGAGTAAGTTGGTGCAGCTGTGCCTTCTTATATTCGCCCCCACTCATCACACCAAGCAGGTTCACCTTATACACCTGGGGAGGAATCTACCAGAGAGACACACACACAGCAGAAGACACAGCACACCGGTACCCACAGCCATAACAGCTGGTAAAGGCTGAGCAGCTCTACAGATGAGCAAAGAGGGCTAAACTGACTGTTCACTCTGTTTTAATGTTATCGCTTCTAACGTTTTATATCTATACTCACAGAAATATATATGAATATACTCTATATAAAAGGGATGTTAGAATCAGCTTCTGGCTGTTAATCTCATTTATTTGACTTTCTATGGATACTGGGTCATAATCCTAAACTTGCATTTGCATAGCTAACAAAATGATCATATTTCTTATATTACAAGGGACTGTTTGTGGACTGCTTTCACTTTCTAGTTTCACATTTTTCTACACTTTTTGCATTTTGGCCCCAGAGCAATTAATGCTGCATTTATTTTTATCCTTTATCTCTTTTCTGTTTTTCTTTTGTTTGAAATCCCTGAATGGTTCTAGTTTTTGTACTTTTAGTTTACATACAGCTGCTTCTGTTCAGAAATATATACATGAAAATACTCTATATAAAAGGGACGTTAGAATCAGCTTTTGGCACTTAATCTCATTTAATTGACTATCTACGGATACTGGGTCATAATCCTAAACTTGCATTTGCCTAGATAACAAAATGATCATATTTTGTTCTTATATTAAAAGGGACTGTTTTCACTTTCTAGTTTCACATTTTTCTACACTTTTGGCATTTTAGCCACAGAGAAATTAGTACTGCATTTATTTTTATCCTTTATCTCTTAGGTAACACAACTCTTGTAATAATAATAGATACAATTGTAGGTGGTAGGCTCTTTTCTGGTATTTTTGACTGTGAAAAATCATATATACATGCATTTTTGGGATGTTAAAATAGTTTACATGTGTTGTGGTGGGTTTTTTCCGTTTCCTTTTTTGCTTTACATGCTTTTATTTTGAGGATAGAACAGTAGATAGAGTCGAAACAGGCCGCCCACTTCGTTCAGGTAGTTTAGTTAAGCCTCTGTGGTCAAATGATAAGCTAAACTGACACACTCAGGTGGGTGATGACTGAAGGATAACTACAGCATGTTGTTGCACACTGTAGCTTTTTGTAAGACTACAACAACTACGTTCATGAAGTTCAAGGTTTAATGGTTGTGCTCTGGTAATCCAGAGACAAGCGTTACATATTTCAAAAAGGGTTACGACAAATGAAGATGTTCGTTTTTGCTTTTCTTTTGTTTGAAATCCCTGAATGGTTCTAGTTTTTGTACTTTTAGTTTACATACAGTTGCTTCTGTAGTTGTAAGTGTCTAAGTTGTACTTAGACACTAAAAGTCAAAAACAGTTTAGTCAAGCTGATGAATATGTATTTTAATGTTCTCGTATGCTGAATGTTATTTATCACTCTATTTATTTTATTTATGAGTGTATTGGTAAACAAATGTTGTTGTTGTCACTAGCCAACATGTTCAAACTTGACTGTTAGTGTAGTGATTCATACGTTGAGTGATTTATCAATTATTGATAACTCCAGTATTTGTTTCAACTTGAAACCAATAGTTTACGTAATGTGAGCTTGTTATGTGTCATACAAGCAAAGATCATCCTCAGATCATCACAAAACTTATTAAAGATACAAGCCCCTCTTAACAATAAAGCTTATTTTATTGTGTGAGGTGAGATGTTTTCGTTTTTTTTGTTTTTTAAATCTCCTTTTATATGTTTATAATTTATCTTTATATTCCACATTTGTACTACAATATTTTGTGTTTTTTTAAGACTCTAAATCAGATTGTGGGGATACTTGATCATGCTGAGAAATAAAATCAATAAACTTTGATTAAAAAAAAAAGTTTTTGTCTTTATTGTATCACCACTAGATGGAGATATTTTCTTGCTGTTATGTATCTAGATGGGAGATTACTTTTTACAGATCCTTGTAGAGTCACCCAGTGGGTCTAAAGGTAATATGTTTTGATTTCTTACTATATAGGTTAGTTATTGCAGAGTGGCCATTCTGCCACCTTCTGGTATAAACACGCAATGACCGTTGTGGTGTTAGTTTATGGTTGGCCAATATATTACCAAATGCAAAGACCTGCTATCTCCCAGTCAAGACGTGTTCAAGTCACTTTTCTAAGCTGTTCATTGAACCTGTCCCAATTTATTACAGCTAAAATAGGGATAATGATTTTTGGCAAAACATTGAAATTATAATTTTTTAAAGAAGAAGAAAAACAAGACTGTTTACCCTCGTCATCCAGTCAAAATGGACATTATTAAAGGATATTCCAGGGTAAAATTAAGTTAGGGTCAAACACACCGTAACACTGAGTTAGACACCCCCTCGAGAGATGAATGTTGCCGACCGCTTGCTTATCTAGTTATACCAACTTTAGTAACGACCGCACAATGGCAATACAGAGAGCCACATACTCAACCAAAACGCCACTCTATAGCCACAAATAATGCTGAGAACAGCACCTAACTTCATCAACAGGACATATAGGGTCCCAGCCATAGCATCAGCCACCAAACATTTTCTTAACTATGCCTGATTTCTTTAGCAAAGAGACTAAACACAGCTCACCTACTTTCTTCCAGCAGCTGTTTGTTTGTAGCGAGACCTCTGGTCAGTCCATTACCTCAGCGGGGTGATGCAGCTCAAGGAACAATCAAACAGGCAAATCTAAAAGGACATTTGGTGGCTAGTACGATGGCTGGGACCCTATATGTCATGTTGATGAAGTTAGGTGCTGTTCTGAGCATTATTTGTTGCCACACAGTGGCGTCTTGGTCGAGCGTGTGGCTCTCTGTACTACTGTCCTGTGGTTGTTACTAAAGTTGGTATAACTATAGAAGCAAGCGGTCAACAACATTCATCTCTCGACGGTGTGTCTATCTCGGTGTTACGGTGTGTTTGACCCTAACTTAATTTTACACCGGAATATCCCTTTAACTGTAAGCACAATTAGTTCTGTGTATTACCAATGAAGATGTCAAATGCGTACAAAAAAATATAAAATGAAAACCAAACATGACACAAATCACAGTCCACCACAAACATATCTGACACCACTGCTATGAGCGAGACAGTGTCACTGGTTTGGTCTGAAGAGCACTTCATAACTCCTGCTAGCTTGCAGCTGCCTGCCACTGGTGGTGGGAACACACACTCTTGGTCAGATATTCCAATAAAAGTAAAAGTTTTTCAGTCACATTACTGCTTTAGTTAAACTACTATGTAATTTAATGTTAAAAAGGTATTCAAAATGCTTATTTAACAAATCTCAAAACTCTGATATAGTTTCACAGAGCATGAATGCAGTCAGTGGTATATATTCTGCATAACCACAGGCCACAACGTTTTAAAGGCTCATCTAGGAAAAGCAAAAAACCCGTCAGTGAAAGTCAAATCAGACTTTATCTGAAGAATCTCAGATGTTGGTTTCAGATATGGCCTGACTGATGATTACTCCAGGTTTAACCATGGAGACCAGAGCACAGTAACAGTAACACTACCTAGACAAACTCAAGTGGCAGCCTCCTGTTCCATGAATGACCACTTGGGCCAAACTGCTTTTTTCTTTTTCACAACTGATACTCTGCTTGAGTCAGTGGACAAACCACTCATGGAACAACATACCTACAGTTAAACGTATTTCCGATTGGATTTTAGAAACGGTAAGAAAATTCATGCAGCAAAAGTAGCAGTAAATGTGGAAGGGTCACAAGTTTTAAAACAGATGGGCTCATTAAAAAAAAAACAATCTCATCAAGTATCAGTGACAGTAACTGGATCGATTGCTCACAGCAGGAAAGCACAGAGGATTTCCACTATCAAGATTCCAGTCAAGTCTGTATTCCCAGTACAGTCCAGTGCCGACAACTTGAATGGGTTTGTCTTCCTTCCTTTTCCTCCCGCTATCCACAGGAAACTTGTGGCAGTGACCCCATCTTCCTGAAGATTCTTCCTCTCAGAGCCATTAGACGAAAACACAGACTGACTTTCAGGAAGAGAAACCAGAAATTCACAGGAACTCTCTATTCCTCTCCGTCTGTGGATATGTATGTAAAAAATAATTACAGCCTGGAAACACCTCAGCTCTCTGTGTGTGGCCCCTATTCCCGCACAGCAGGGCCAACGACTTCCCTGAATTGTTGAGCTGTGTTTCAGTTGTGTGTGTGATACTTGTGGGTTAGTCACTAAGCTCTCTTTGAAGAAGTGTTTTAATGCTCTCCTGATGAGCCGGCCGAGAAGAAAACTTCCCTAATGTGGAAAAATACCTGATATTTAGGTCAGTGGATGCACGTATTTGAGAAATCTAGTTTTTTCCATCCATCCATTTTCTACCGCTTATTCCTGTTGGGGGTCGCAGGGGGGGCTGGAGCCTATCCCAGCATCATCGGGCGAAGGCAGGGGACACCCTGGACAAGTCGCCAGTTCATCACAGGGCTGACATATAGAAACAAACAACCATCTACGCTCACATTCACACCTATGGGCAATTTGAAAGTGGCCACTTAACCAAACCCCACTTCTGCATGTTTTTGGGATGTGGGAGGAAACCAGAGTACCTGGAGTAAACCCACTCAGACACAGAGAGAACATGCAAACTCCACACAGGAACACCCTGACCTAGATTCGAACCCAGGACCTTCTTCCTGTGAGGCGACAGTGCTAACCACTACACCACTGTGTCGCCCCATCTACTGTATTATTCCGTCAAATTCGTCAGTCTAGTTTTTTATCTGCTTGAAACTGAACCTTCGTTTGTCACTGATGTAAAGGAAAAACAAATATAATGATGTAAGAAAATCAAAGTCAAATTAGAGGTTTCACCACATTTATTTATAAAAGTTAAATTACATTTTCTTTGAACAAATTCTGTACACCATAAAACTATAAAAGTATAACTGAAACTCTCTTATTATTGCACATGGTAGGATAAAAAAACTATAACACTGATTTCACATAAAATGACACACTTTCACAGATCTGAACCCACAAAAAAGCAAAAATATGAGCGTAAACTCTCCACCACACGACCTGAACCTTTAGCAGTAAAAAGCAACAAAGTGACCTGTAGCTTATACATTTTTACAGTAACTCAAGACTCGGGACTGATAATGACAGCGACCAGCTCTTCAAAGCTGCACAAAAACATTCAATAATATACAAAAATGTTCAAGCGTGATCTCAGCCAACTCAAAAAAAGGCTGAAATGAGGAGAACTGAATTTAATACCGGGGGTGTTTGGCTCTCATTTCACCTGGACTTTGGAGAAAAATGGCCGACTAACGACAGCGCTGGTTTCCTTCAAGTGATCAGACAGAGTTTCTTTGACCATTTTTCTGTTGGCTTTGGTGATGTTGGTCTTCAGCTTGAGCAGGGCTGAAACGTGTTTCTCACTGCAAGAGAAAGAAAGAAAGAAAATTCAGATTTTTAACTGGTGAAATTTACAAGTACAGGCCCTGTGTTGCAGAGCAGGACTTGTGTGTTTAGTGTTCGGCTCTGCCAACTCTCTGAGTAAACGGAGCTGCTGTATGACTGCTTTTTGCTCCTCGTATCATCCTGCTGCCAGGAAACAGCCGAGCATATTTTCACTTCCTGTTATCCCTCCGCTCTCTCTGAAAAAGTGAATTTGTTTATACTCACTCTGGAGTAATGTAAACCGCTCACATCATGGTGCTATCCTGTCCTTATTAGGCTTGTTTGACTTGTGTCAGCACGTCTGTGTTAAATACTGTTTCGTTTCCAGGTAAATCATTTCAGGTAAAGGCTCACCTGAAGTCAGGAAAAGCCGCTCCGAGAGATACGACTTCCATCTGTATGGCTGGGAGATCTTGGAGCTTCAGCACTTCTGCAATCGTGGTCAGTATGTCATTCAACCAATCCTCCTTTGACCCCTGTGGAGACAGTTTTTGAACATTTCCTCATTATCTTTTCCTGGTTAGTCCTGGGACAGATTTGTGTTTGGAATTTACAAAATTTAATAAAACTCAGTTTTGTCTCACCGTTTTCTCAAATAGCTCCTTCAAACTCTCTGTGTTGGCTTTAATCCTCTGGTAGGCCTTATGCTGCTGCTCCTTGTCCTTCAGTTTGACTTTTCCTTTCAGGAGCCTCCTCACATATTCTAAGGTGACTTCCTGGTGCAGCTGCCCAGTCAGCTCCTGAAAGAATCCAACCATCACATGAGAAACATCATGTCAACAATGAAGGAAAAAAAAATCACAATTTTATCACAATCACTTCTTGGACAGGACAATTCTGTCAAAACGTTTCAACATAGCAAGAACTACAGCATCCTCTTTCAACATAAAAACAGCTGTGTCTATGTGTTTTATTCTTTTTTTTATGTACCTCATGACAGGACTGAGCGGCACCCTGCAGCTCCTGAAGTTCACTCTCAATGCTGTCCAGCAGCTGCTCAAACACAACAGGTTTATTCAGCCAGTCAGTGGTTCCCAGCTTGCTGTATTGAGGCTGTGGGAGAAACAAACATAACAGTGTGGACTTTAATCAACAGTTCCAATACAGCAACAGCTTTTTAAGGCACAACACTGATTGGATGTTTTAACAAAAAGCCTTTAAGACTCACCCTGAGGCTCTCGTGGACAGGTTTCAGCAGGTATATGTGGGCGCTTTCTTTCATGACTAGCAGAATCTGCAAACAGTTTTTCTGCACGTCCTTCTGGAACAGGTGGTGCTTCTTATTGAGGACCTCCCTGCAGGCAGACAGGCAAACGAGTTATATTAGCAACAGAAAGTGGCACTAATAGACTGGCTCTATTTCATTAGACGTGTAAACAAAAGGAATTTCTCAAGTAAACTGACATGAACTGTTGGATGCAGCCCAGGTTTGCCTTGATGAACAGCCGGCTGTTTGGTTTGTCTTGTTTCATGACGTTGTTGTGGAAACTCTGGAAACTGAAATTTGTTTGGGTTATTTTCACTCACATCTCCGTAATCAGGAAAATCACCCTATCAAGAACAGGATTCATCTTGTTACCTCTGCATTAAATCTTTCAGCTGACATGTGATTATATGGGCCTTGTGCGGATCTCCCAGGACTGTAGCAGCGGATGATGCCACACCATTGATAAGCTGAGGACAGAAGGAGAATACAGATCAATAAATCTCATTCAAAGAAATGTAAAGCAGTTAAAGAAACAGGCTTTTGTGGGATATACTTTTGACTACATTTACTGGCTTTTTGTCCTGCTTGATTTTTCTGGCTTAGTAAAAACACTGTGACCTACAGCCAACAGTGTAAACAAACAACAGTGCATCTCCTCTTGGCTAACCTTATCTGAGAGTTTAGAAAGCTTGTTTTCTTTTCTATTTTGGCTTCTATTAGTTTGTGTAACAACCTTGAAAAATACTGTGTGGAAAAATACCAAATCAGGTCCCAACTAAGCCGAGATATGCTGGTCTGAGTAATGAATCAGAACACATTTTAAGATCTGGTTCTCCTATTGAGTTCATCAGTGAGCATGGAAACACATCCACTGTTTTAATCAGTAAGTGCTTTTGATCAAGGAAGAACTTCTAGACAAGTAGAACCTGGAACAATGGATTGTTTTGCTTGTCAAAGGCAGTTGGGCATGTCAATTGTCTAATATTCACTCTTCTTTTTGCTCTGTTTTTGTCTCTGCCAAGTCCTCTGCTCACCAGTGAGTGTCCATCTATTGTTTGAGTGGGCTGGTAGTGCAGATATTGATTAAACCTTCAATGAAAACATGTTACCCGATCAGCACCGTACCTGACTGATGTCGTAGGCCACATGACTGACAAAGCAGCCGTCCTCTCTTGTCGGCTCGTCCCCTCTTCTCCACTTCTGCTCTGCTTCCTCCAGAACACGACTGATGAAAGTCTTCAACTCTTCCTGAAAAGACAAAAACAAAAACACTACTATCACGTCTTTGTAAAGAACCTAATTTTGTCTGCTGAATCCCACACAAAAGCTGAAGTAGTGGTTAAACCATCTTTAGAAGTAAACAACTACTGTAAATCTACAACAAGTACGAAACCAGATCTTTCGGGCCCTAACACAAGAGCATGCATCCACTGGCAGCTTAAACCAACCAGAGTCCTATAAAAACAAAGCAGGTATCAGCAGCTTAGGTTACCTGTTGTTTGCTCAGGTATTGATCTTCCAGGGGTGCCAATAACTCTGGAGACAGCAGCTTGCCCAACACTTCAGGGTTGATTTCAGAGGCCAGCTCTGGTTTTTGAAGGATTCTGAAACAGAGAATAAACACAAACCTTTACTATACTATAAGTAATATAGCATCCTAACTGTGATTTCATGTGAATGAATTGAAGTGTCATTAAAATCATGGTCATTATGTTGTATACATGTTTATAGGAAAGTTTCAAAACAACTTTCTCTCTGAACACCTGTGTGATTATCACCTGTGAGTGGTTGAGTTACAAATTGAAAGCTAACTGAAGCACAACAAGACAAAAAAGTCTTCTTTAAACACCCTTAAAATGTTCCTCCTTGGCTTTCAGGCTCCCATTTTTTATTTGCAATTCATTATAAACTTTAAAATAAGACACATTCATCAAATAAACCCATGTATATTTTTGTAACACATGACATCCCAGCGATAACTTTTTTTTTTGCCGTTTTAGAGAATCAAAACAGCATAACAAACAAAAAACCCAATATCTTAACAGTATAGTGATTGCTTTAAGCTACTAAGAGGAACCACAGAGGTGTAGAACTTGCTCTTTGACAACAAAATTATATCGTGGATGTACACAGATCAGATCTGACCCATTAATATGAGGTTTAAGTCGTGTAAAACATGTATGACTTACTGTGGATAATACTCATTGACCCAGCGCAGAAGGAAAATACAGTCTTTGTCCTCCAGGCCAAAGTCTGCGATCTTTCTGAGCCTGGAGCTGAAGGTCTGGTGGTACAACTTGGCATAAAAGTTACAGATGTCCTGCTCGGGAGGGTAGCATTTCTTCACCACTTTGACCACCAACAGCAGGTCCTCCTTCAGCTGCCTGCCCATACTGTTGATGTCCGCCTGGAAAGATGACTTATCCACCTGATCAGGAGGGGGCGTCGAGGGGTTGTCCATGCGATCCTCCACCAGCTTGCGAAGCGTCGAGTCATGGAGCTTCTTCCAGTCTCCTTGCCTCCAGGGAGGTAGCAACCTGTTTCTTTTTTCCCACTGCTGGTCTTGGTCTATTTCCTGATTTATAGCCTTCACTGCAGACGTCAGAGCCTCCACACTGACCTCTCCAGAGCTGAGGGAGAGACTCAAGCTCTTCAGGACAAGACCTCTCAGGTTTTTATAGTTTAAAGCAAGCTTATCCACTTCTTCAGCATGATGTGTGAGGGAATCAGTCTCCGTTGTGTCCCCAAACAGATGCTCCTCTCTCTGTATCAGCTGCTGGCTGGCTTCACACAAGTGTTGTACATCTTCTGCTTCAAAGATTTCTTCTGGTGTGAGAGCCACTATGGTAAAATGCACTGTATTAGCTACACCACATCAAAGAAACACATTCAGATACACTTGACACAAAAAGATGCTCAAAATAACAAACACAAGAAGAAATATTTTACGAACTGCAATGACATTACATCTTTGAATGTCCCTCAACTTAAATATTTGAATTTAAGCGCTTTAAAATGAAACCAATCATTATCCCTTTATAGCCTTTTGTATTATATTTGATTCATACTTTTATATACTTCTTTCAAATCAATATGATCAATAAATTACTAAAAAAAAAACACCTGAATACAGTCCGATAAATGATATTTAAAAAAAAGTCCTCTGGTAGTTAATCGGTTTCCAAAAACATCTAATGTATCAAATAAGATAAATAAATATATGTGTTAAATTTTAAGGAGATTTTGATTGTTTTTTTGGTTTTAGTAGTAAGTGAAATAAACATTTCAGCTCCAAAAAATTTTGAATTTTCTGGACATAATTTGTGGTTTCAGGCATTAGAGGGCTACTTCTCCTGCTCATTTTTGTCCCTAATGGAAAAACAACTCAGAATTTCATGTTTTAAGGCTCTTCAGTGGTGTTTAATGGACAAAATTAAACTTTTTTCGGTCTCTTTTTTCACTTTTTAAACTTTCTGAGAGGTTGCAGTCCCAACCGACCGTTACTGTTGCCAAGGTAACATCGGTTCGAATTTGAAAGCCGAATTGGAACGCACGCCGCCGGGTGTCTCTGATTCGACTCACCGGGTTTGGGCTCCTCTTCCTTGGGTGAATGGTGTTCAACAGCCGTGGTGGAGTCGGGGATGCCCACAACAGCCTGAGTCGGAGCTTTGTTGCCTCCCCAAAACTTCGGAAGCTTCATAAACCGTCTTCCTCCGGCGGGTTTCCCACTTTTTTCCGGGGGAAAGTTCACCCCGAGACCGACTGGGTCCGCAGATTGAGACCGGGTCCGCATTCTTGTCCGGGAGAAGAAACGGAACCGACAGCGTGAGAAACTCTTTGACAAAGCTGTGGGGACAAAACGACAAAGAGTCAGAATTAAACAGGTTAATCTCACATTTAAGTCCGATAATAGCTTGAGTTAGCACACTTTATATTAGATTTTTTTTAATCGAAATGAGCATTTCGTTTTAAATTTGCTGGCAAATGGCTCTTCTGCTTTACTATCTTTCGGTTTTTTTTTTTTTTTTTTTTTTTTTTTTTAGATGTTAATATTTTTTTTAATTTCCAAACGTTTAAAATCACTGTTTTAACAAAATAAATAAATAAATAAAGTTTTAGAAAGGTAAACGTTTCCCTAATGACCTTAGCAGTACTTCCGGTGTTAAAAAATAATTTTTTTTTTTTTTTTTTTCCTTTTTCTTTTTAAAGAGCACAATATTTACAAAACTACGTGAAGTCTTATACATGGAGTCTAAATTTAATTAGAGTAATAATGGAGAGTCCGTGTCACAATGAATGAAAGAAACAAAAGTTTAAAATCAGTAACCATCACTTTTCCATTTTTGTTTACAGGGACCAGTTCAAGTCTTGGAGATGACACATAACCTAACTTTTTACATTTTACAAGAGCTATTAATTGAAATAAAACACCTGCTAACTTAAAGTAGTAGATAAAGATCTAATTGGTCTAAATATAGGTTAAGTTTTACATTTTTAATAACATCTCCCCCTTCAGTTTTTACTCACCCTGGTCTCAGGATCTCTGCTCTCTTCACAGCACTAAAGCTACAGCTGCTGAGAGCTGGAGAGTGTTTTTAAAGGGACAGACTCCTCCTACTCCCACCCTTTCTTTAGACTGTGTACATGGATATCATTCTCGGGGAAGTCCACCCACAAATCCACAAACACATGCAAACGCTCACACAGTTCAGTCTAGACACAATAACTGTGAGGAAATGTCGGGCTCTCTTGTTTGGTTAAAAGGGACTATTTTCAATATATTCTTTCTCTTATGTTATGGATTTTGTGAGGACAGTCTGTGGAGTTTTGCATTTAACAATTTTTGCTACTTGTTGTTTTCACTATTGATCACCAAATTGATTTATAATTGATTATTTTGTCATTAAAACATAGAAAGTATAATTTCATGGAGTCTGAGTCTTTGAAATCTGATATTTCGACCATCTACAGTCAAAGCTCCTGTCAGAGGCTTTGAATTAATACAGGAACTCTTGTGTTTGACTCCTGTATGATGAATTTTTTTATGTATAAAGGAGTGGACCAAGTTCACCATGTTTCTACAGCAACACAAAACAGACAAAGTAGTAGCGCATGTATTTTTGTATTTAGTTGGTGGATGTTTGAAATGCACTGGTTTGAAGACAAAGAAGAAGAGAGAGAAAATGACTTTGCAGAAGACATTTTAGATTTTAGTAAAAACTTGACAAATTGAGGATCAGACTAAATACATCATAAGAACTGCTTGGCCACCGTAACTTAATTGGTGGGAGGGGTAAGCAAAGGAGCATTTTAGTCTAGAAATCGTTATATCTTTAATTGTGACCTTGCAGTTTCTTTACATATTTTCAGTTTTGATCCACATAGCAGAGTAGTTGGCCTTTCAGACTACAATGCTAGAAATACATAATTATGCCTTGTATATAACATACAAAACTGTATGTCTAAACAGTGTTCTGCATGGCTATCAGCTGTCCTACTTTGTCATAATGGGTATCGGTATTGGTCACTGAAAAAGTGATATCAGTCAACTGCTGTTTTAAACACATATTACACTAAACCTGAATTTGTTATCTGATTCTCATATACTTTTTATACAGAACATATTTCAAACAATTTATGCATACATACAATAACATTCACAGTGTACATTTTGAACCATGTGCAGTTCTTATAAACTGTTTATTTGGTCAATGTTTATCAGGTTGAAAATACTCACTACTCATGGTTACTAACACCTGCTAGTCTAGAACAATCAACCGATACCTATAGACCCTGTTGTTGAAGTCAATAATCTGTCGATTTTCTTACCTTCTGATCTGCAGGGTCTGCAGGGAAAGCAGCTGCGAAGCGTCAGGCACATCTTTCCTGAATGCAGTGAGACTCTGAGAAGTTCATCTGTGAGTGGCTTGTGAATAAACCCCTGAACCAAAAGGTAAGATGTAAATACGATAAGAGGCAGTCAGGATGTGGGTTTAGTCAAAACTTAAAAGTCGGCGCTGCTTTCATTTTTGCACCTGCATGTTGCACCTACAGTATATGCACACTTCCTGTGAGAGAATAGGCTTTGTGTAAGAATGCCGAAAATGTGGTTTCAGAGGGACACTTGCATCTCAGAGCTTCTCAAACTTTAGGTAGAAGAGTGGGAATCTTCATAACAACGACTCCTCAATTCAATCAGAACTCTGACGTTTAACCACAGACAGCCTTTAATATTAATAACATTTCAAAAACTCACCTATATCTTTACAACAACATGCTGTATTCATGTTCTTAACTGTTCTCAAGCCCCAAAAATGAACCTGTTAAAACTGTTTTCACTTCCCTAAAAAACCAGAGAAGTTTAAAGAAGCAAAGGTTTAAATTGGTTGTTTCAATCTTAGACACCACACCACGTGTTTTGATTTATCGTTTTGATGTCAGCGGATGCAAAGAAAAAAGAAAGATTTTGAGAAAAACTGCGTTATTGAATTTGATATTTCTGGTTTTGGTGTTGCAAATGATATAGTGGTTTGTATTTTCACAGTTATTTTAAATTCTTGACATTTGCTAGAAAATGGTTAACTTTCCACAATGACTCAAGAACTAATGTCGTTGTGACCTGCAGTCACTGTGTTGCACACTTTACCACTGCAAACCATCAGCCAGATGAAAGTGAAAGTATCTGATGTGCTGCTGCCTAAATTAGCACCAGCTTTAAAAGGAGTATTTTAAAAGCAGACACCACAACACTCACACATGCACACGTATAGAGAGGTTTAAGAAAGCAGTGCTTTTACAGGAAATAACTTGTTTGTAACCAGGATTTGTCAGAGGTGATGCTGTGAGTGGAGGAACTGTGTCCTTCTCCGACCGCTGTTTATGTTCTCACATTGGAGAATAAGCATTTGAAAGGAGAAAGGTGCTCTTCTCAGGGGTCATTTCTTTCTTTGTTATTGAGAGAAAAGTTGGTTTGTATGTTGTGCAATCAAGGAGCAGAACAGAGCGTGTTTTTTACAGTAAAGAGGGAACACTCACGGGTTAGGGAAAGACAAAAGAGGAGATGATTAATCCTGGGTGATTCTTTCAGGGAAATTTGGTGGAGTTATCACGGTCATGAGGATAAAGTTTGGAAAGCTCTAGTTGATAACCTTTTATCAGCAAGGAATAAAAGCATTATGATATGGAGAGCTTGGTATACCTAACTGAATCAATAGAGACTCATATGTTGACACATCTGACGTGTAACTAAAGAACTGTTTCCCAAAAGTCAGCAAAAAGTCCACTCAGACCATGTTTCCTTTATCAGAGAGTCACTACAGAAACTCAGTCTTCAACAGTCTTCAGTTCACAATCGTGTTTGTGAAGATCTGGGTGACATTTGACTGCAGGTATGTGAGGGGAAAAGGCAGGAAACAGAGAAAGCTAAACCATGGAATCCTTACAGACGAATATGTGACGGGATTTCCCTCGTTTGATCATTAGCAAATTAAACGTAGAACTTATCTAACCCAAAATACATAAAGAAAGATGCTAGAAATCAAGTTTCTTCATTGTACAGACAAGTTAAGCTCAACTCACCTGTTTAAAGGAGCCCAACCCAAACCCTTCCTATGATGTCTAAAACACAAGTTCTTTACGCAACTTAAGAAAAATGTAAGGTTTTCAGGTTTAAGCTTAATCTGCAATCCACTCAGACTATGTTTCCTCCATCAGAGAAACTCTGAACAGTCTTCAACAGTGGAGGAGAAACAAACTCTTCCACCACTTTCCTGCGCTGAAGGAAACATTTGAACTCTTCATCGTGGACAGCGAGACCAAACTCTTTAGAAACACATCTCTCAAGTCAACAACTAAAGAAATGATCCCTGAAAGTATAGTCTTGGTTTGATCTGGACGTTTCTAAACCTCTTGTGTTTGGAGTCAAGAACTTTTACCGATGGTCAACCCCTGGCGACGTCCATTGAGACAATCACCATGTGTAGTTTTCCTTATTCATAACAGGGAATAAATTGGACTTTTGAGGATTTTTCCAACAAAATTGTGAAAGACTCAACTGTTGACTCTTGTATTTCCTGTGAAAATCCATTTTCAGCCTTCAAAAGATCAGGGCTGGCCACTTTCTTTTCTTGACTCTCGCTGCTCTAGAATTCTTGAAAGTCCAAAACTCTCGGAGAAGTGCAAGGGGACATTTAAAAATAGACTTTTTGAGACCTAAGCAATTTTGAAGTTTTAAAACTTGCAACATCACTAAAATGAAAACAGGAACTAACAGACTCACCCAAAGTTATGTTACACAGGCTGTATGAAAGTGAGGGCTGATAGGAAACAATCAATTTATCACTTTTTGTCTGGTGTAAGCGCATAATGAGGATCCTTCAGATACAGGAAATGAAGTTTGGTGTTAATTTAAAAAGACGCAGACACATTTTTGGTCAGTGACTCTCAGGAGTTGACCATCAGTAAAAGTTCTTTACTCCAGACATAAGAGGTTTAGAAATGTCCAGATCAAACCAAGACTATACTTTCAGGGATCATTTCTTTAGTCCTTGACTTGAGAGATGTGTTTCTAAAGAGTTTGGTCTCGCTGTCCACGATGAAGAGTTTAGATGTTTCCTTTAGAGCAGGAAAGTGGTGGAAGAGTTTGTTTGTCCTCCACTGTTGAAGACTGTTCAGAGTTTCTGTCATGACTCTCTGATGGAGGAAACATGGTCTGAGTGGACTTGCACTTCTGAATATTACAGCTTCTAAATAAATTTTGTTTTTTCATTTTTTACTCTGCACTTCACATTTAGCTTATAAAAAACTTTTATCATTTAGCAAGATGTAATGTTTGTACAGTGTTTAGAGTAGGTGAGAGTAGACTTGTGATTTGAGTGGTTAGTTGGACTACAGTTTCTTTGGCATTTTTAGCCCCACAAAACTCTGAAAGAGTGATCTGTTTGTTGTCTCCCTGATCTATTTTCAGCCTTTAGTATGTCAATGGGTGTTTTTCAACTCCAACAAAGACTAGTCTTATATCAGGCAGCTCAGGCTTGATTCTTTCTCACTTTCCCTTCTCAACATTTCTCATTTCAGTATTTTTGAAAAGCCCAAAGCTCTCTGTAAAGTTTATGCATAGACGGTGTTTAAAAATAAACTTGTTTAGATGTAAGAAAGATTGAAATTTTTTTTGCGTCATCACTGAAATAAAAACAGGAACTAACAGAAACCACATCTACTTGTGGGGATATTTGCACACACGGACAAAGTGAGGGTTTATTTTAAATGATCAATTATTCTCTTGTTGTCAGTGGTGGAAGCAGAATGAGGATCTGTTTTGTTTTCATTAGGTTTTATGTACTGTTGGGAAGCTTTTGGACTTCCTCTCTGCAGAAGAAAAAAAATACATTGGGAAAAACTCAAAGCTCTGTGGGCTGTGTTTGATAAACAAAGGGCTGGAGGACTCAGAGGTGGAAATTATGAGTAAAAATGTGTTAAAATGAAGCCACATATATCATGAGACAACAGGAAAAGTTTTAACAGGAGATGAAGAGTGTTTATGGAGCTCAGGAGTTGACCATCAGTGAAAGTTCTGGTCTCCAAACAAAAGAAACTGAGAATCATCCAGATCAAACCAAGACTATACTTTCAGGGATCATTTCTTTAGTCGTTGACTTGAGAGATGTGTTTCTATAGAGTTTGGTCTCGCTGTCCACGATGAAGAGTTCAGATGTTTCCTTCAGAGCAGGAAACTGGTGGAAGAGTTTGTTTCTCCTCCACTGTTGAAGACTGTTGAGAGTTTCTGTCATGAGTCTCTGATGGAGGAAACATGGTCTGAGTGGACTTTTTCATTCTGTTTTTCTACCAAGATTAAAACCTTAAATCCTGATGACCACACAACATGACCTTTTATTGCACAAGAACACAGCTTGAACTAATCAAGATAAAAACAACGTTTCGAGGCAAAGAAGAAAGAAGCCTCAAGAGACCTATTTAATATCCCAATGGACAAAAAATAATAATTTTTATAACAGTGCAGTTTACATCGGAGGAATCGTACTGTATGTCAGAAGGTAACAGCTCACTCTCAGACTGGAGGCTGGCGGATGGTTCAGAAAACAGTCTTTGAGCTTTGAGAAACATACAACTATGAAACTTCAGCAGCAGGTAGAGAGGTCCACCTGAGGTTGTGTTTCTGCAACTCAGCTCCAAAAAGTGTTTTATAGTTTTGGCATCTTAGTTTCCAAAAGTCCAAATAATATGAACAGATCCTCTGTCAGTCTGCTGCTTTAATGAACTAATGAAAACAAAAATTCTACCTGCACAGGTGTTCGTGTTTTCACTGATGAGGTCTGGCTGAACTTCTGCTTGTTCCTACCTCACCCTCTTAAGGTTAGTTGTCAGGAGTTTATAAAATATCCCCTTTTTCACTCTTTAAATCACATTTAGGTTTTCATGGTGCAAAGCAAACTGACAGTTCAAGTTTATATACTTGCAGTTTCCGAGGAAATCTGCAGCATTTAAGTTTCCATGATTGCATAAAAGGGCTTTAAAATTCTCATTCTTAACATAAAACCATTGCCATAGTTGGAAAAAAAAGTGTCCACTCAGACCATGTTTCCTCCATCAGAGAGTCATGACAGAAACTCTGAACAGTCTTCAACAGTGGAGGAGAAACAAACTCTTCCACCACTTTCCTGCTCTGAAGGAAACATCTGAACTCTTCATCGTGGACAGCGAGACCAAACTCTTTAGAAACACATCTCTCAAGTCAAGGACTAAAGAAATGATCCCTGAAAGTATAGTCTTAGTTTGATCTGGATGTTTCTCAGTTTCTTTTCTGTGGAGTCAAGAACTTTCACTGATGGTCAACCCCTGAGCTCCTTAAAGACCCACCTCCTACTTCTACTGCTGAGCTAAGAATTTATGTTTAGTGAATAACTCTGTCAGTAGTTCTCCTGTGATTGACCCTCCATTAGTCAAAGCTGGTGCTGGGATGGGACGAGGACTTTGTGTTTAGCTCAGGAGCTCACCATCAGTTAAAGTTCTAGTCTACAGACATCATAAGCTAAGAGACATCCAAATCAAACCAAGACTATACTTTCAGGGATCATTTCTTTAGTCCTTGACTTGAGAGATGTGTTTCTAAAGAGTTTGGTCTCGCTGTCCACAATGAAGAGTTTAGCTGTTTCCTTCAGCGCAGGAAACTGGTGGAAGAGTTTGTTTCTCCTCCCCTGTTGAAGACTGTTCAGAGTTTCTGTAATGACTCTGTGATGGAGGAAACATGGTCTGAGTGGACACATTGTTTAAAGTATAAAAAAATAACATAATCTGCACTGATCAAAAATATAAATGCAACACTTTTGTTTCCGCTCCTATTTTTCATGAGCTAAACTCAAAGATCTCAGACTTTCTTTTTATGTTCACAGATGACCTATTTTTCTCAAATGTTGTCTAAATCTGTGTTTGTAAATACTTCTCCTTTGCCGAGATAATCCATCCACCTCACAGGTGTGGCATATCAAGAGGCTGATTAGACAGCATGATTACTACACAGGTGTGCCTTAGACTGGTCACAATAAAAGGTGCAGTTTTACTGTATTGGGGGTGGTTTAAAAAACCAGTCAGTCTCTGGCATGACCACCACTTGCCTAATGCAGCGCAACACATCTCCTTCACATAGAGTTGATCAGGTTTTTGATCGTGGCCTGTGGAGTGTTGGTCCACTCCTTTTCAATGGCTGAGTGAAGTGACTGGATATGAGCATGCTGTCGCATACGTCAATCAAGAGCACCCCAAACATGCTCAATGGGTGAAGACGCACCTGTTCTAGTGGCCTTTAATTGTGACCAGTCTGAGGCACACCTGTGTAGTAATCATGCTGTCTAATCAGCATCTTGATATGCCACACCTGTGTGGTGGATGCATTATCTCAGTGAAGGAGAAGTGTTCACTAACTGACACAGATTTATGCAAAGTGCTCAACCTTATTTAAGAAAAAGTGTTATTTAATTAACATAGAAAGAGTCTAAGATCTTTGAGTTGAGCTCATAAAAAGTGGGAGCAAAACACTATTTTTTCACTTATATTTTTGTTTAATGTAGTTAAAAATGTTCATAAGGGGACATAACAGAATGACAATAACTTAAATACTTCTGTTTGGAGCTGAGACTTCAGCATTATATAAGTTATAATCACAGTAATAAGGATCAGAGTCCACTCAGACCATGTTTCCTCCATCAGAGAATCATGAAAGAAACTCTGAACAGTCTTCAACAGTGGAGGAGAAACAAACTCTTCCACCACTTTCCTGCTCTGAAGGAAACATCTGAACTCTTCATCGTGGACAGCGAGACCAAACTCTTTAGAAACACATCTCTCAAGTCAAGGACTAAAGAAATGATCCCTGAAAGTATAGTCTTGGTTTGATCTTGACGTTTCTCAGCTTCTGATGTCTGGAGTCCAGAAGTTTCACTGATGGTCAACTTCTGAGCTACACATGAAGTCCTTCTTCCATCCCATAAACCTCTTTTACTGGTGAAGGGTCATGACTATGTGATTATGTAAGGAATTGTGTGACAAATATCAGCAGAACCACTGACAGAGTTATTCACAAAACATCAATCCTCAGCTCAATTGACCTTCATCAGTAGAAGCAGGAGCTAGGTCTCTATGGAGCTCAGGAATTGACCATCAGTTAAAGTTCTGGACTTTAGACAAAAGAGGCTGAGAAACATCCAGATCAAACCAAGACTATACTTTCAGGGATCATTTCTTTAGTCCTTGACTTGAGAGATGTGTTTCTAAAGAGTTTGGTCTCGCTGTCCACGATGAAGAGCTCAGATGTTTTCTTCAAAGCAGGAAACTGGTGGAAGAGTTTGTTTCTCCTCCACTGTTGAAGACTGTTCAGAGTTTCTGTCATGATTTTTTGATGGAGGAAACATGGTCTGAGTGGACTCTGATCCTAGAATAGTACTTATTGTTACTTTAAAAGTTTAATAATGCTGAAATTTCATCTCTAAATGCAACATCTGCTTAGCAAGTATCAAAGTCATTAGCCTTCCTGTTACATACTTTCATGAACATCTTAATCTACACTGAACAAAAATATAAATACAACACTTTTGTTTCTGCTCCTATTTTTAATGAGCTGAACTCAAAGATCTAAAACTTTTTTTCTATGTTCACAGACCATCTATTTTTCTCAAATGTTGCCTAAATCTGTGTTCCTAAACACTTTTCCTTCACTGAGATAATCCATCCACCACACAGGTGTGGCATATCAATAGGCTGATTAGACAGCATGATTACTAAACAAGTGTGCCTCAGTCTGGTTACAATAAAAGGTGCAGTTTTACTGTATTGGGGGCGTTCAGGGGGAGGGTTAGAAAACCAGTCAGTATCTGGCGTGACCACCATTTGCCTAATGCAGCGCAACACATCTCCTTCACATAGAGTTGAACAGGTTGTTGATCGTGGCCTGTGGAGTGTTGGTCAGCTCCTCTTAAATGGCTGAGTGAAGTTGCTGGATATGAGCATGCTGTCGTATACGCCAATCCAGGGCATTCCAAACATGCTCAATGGGTGAAGACGCACCTGTTTGAGTGGCCTTTAATTATGACCAGTCTAAGGCACACCTGTGTAGTAATCATGCTGTCTAATCAGCATCTTGATATGCCACACCTGTGCGGTGGATGGATTATCTCAGCAAAGGCGAAGTGTTCACTAACTGACACAGATTTATGCAAAGTACTCAACCTTATTTATGAAAAAGTGTTTTTTAATTAACATAGAAAGAGTCTAAGATCTTTGAGTTCAGCTCATAAAAAGTGGGAGCAAAACACTATTTTTTCACTTACATTTTTGTTTAATGTAGTTAAAGATGTTAATAAGGGGGCTTAATAGGATGACAATAACTTAAATACTTCTGTTTGGAGCAGAGACCTCAGCATTATTTAAGTTAAAATTACAGTAAGGATCAGAGTCCACTCAGACCGTGTTTCCTCCATCAGAGAATCATGAAAGAAACTCTGAACAGTCTTCAACAGTGGAGGAGAAACAAACTCCTCCACCACTTTCCTGCTCTGAAGGAAACATCTGAACTCTTCATCGTGGACAGCGAGACCAAACTCTTTAGAAACACATCTCTCAAGTCAAGGACTAAAGAAATGATCCCTGAAAGTATAGTCTTGGTTTGAGCTGGATGATTCTCAGCTTCTGATGTCTGGAGTCCAGAAGTTTCACTGATGGTCAACTTCTGAGCTACACATGAAGTCCTCCTTCCATCCCAGAAACCTCTTTTACTGGTGAAGGGTCATGACTATGTGATTATGTAAGGAATTGTGTGACAAATAACAGCAGAACCACTGACAGAGTTATTCACAAAACATCAATCCTCAGCTCAATAAACCTTCAGCAGTAGAAGCAGGAGCTAGGTCTTTAAGGAGCTCAGGAATTGACCATCAGTAAAAGTTCTTGACTCCAGACATAAGAGGTTTGGAAACGTCCAGATCACACCAAGACTATACTTTCAGGGATCATTTCTTTAGTCGTTGACTTGAGAGATGTGTTTCTAAAGAGTTTGGTCTCGCTGTCCACGATGAAGAGTTCAGATGTTTCCTTCAGAGCAGGAAAGTGGTGGAAGAGTTTGTTTCTCCTCCACTGTTGAAGACTGTTCAGAGTTTCTGTCACGACTCTCTGATGGAGGAATCATGGTCTGAGTGGACACATTGTTTAAAGTATAAAAAATAGCAATGGTTTTATGCATGCTGTTTTAAGGTAACTACTGAGCAGTAATTTGTGACTCAGCTGCACTGTGAAGAAATCTAGTTATCCTTTTGTTTCTGTCACTGATAAAATATTTATTCAAGCTGAACTCATGTTTCACTGAGATCAAAATTGTACACAGTTTCTTCATATCCTGATTTCTGAAAGTTTCTTAACTCGAGATTACTTCATGTGCAGATGGAGCAGATTAAGTGTCATCACTCTGATCAGTTTCAGATGTTTTATTATAAAACGATAAAACACATTTCACTCATCAGTTTTTCTCTTTAATCTCTGATGCCTCTAAATAAACACTTGGAATCTAAAACAGAGATGTCTCACAGGATTCATGAGACGCTGAAGTACCCGATAAAGACATCAAATGAGGGAAAAACTTTAAACCCTGATTCAAAACAAACTCTTCACACGTCCTGTTTGATAACCAGAACATAAATATAAAGAAGAACAGGAATACAACAATTACTGCAAATGTGCAAAAAGAAAATCAGGTTTTCAATCTAACAGGATCCCACGAAAACAGAGATTCAAGAGAAAGACAAAAGTCATGCACAGTTCACAAGAAAATCCTCATATTTCAGTTTGAAAGCGGCTTGCACAACTCAAACATAAAATTTCCTCATCTTTCAGGTTTAATTCCTCACAAAACAGCATCAAATTTTTTTATCAGCAGGTCTGAGACTCTCAACTCAAACTGAGCTCCATTATTTGTGTTTTTATTACTGAGAAAAACTCTCCCACAGAGAACGGTTTGGCTCTAAAACTTACAATTTTACTCCTTCCATCTGCTGAAAGCTTTAGCACAGAAAGTTGCACAATCTCTCTCTCCCCATCCCCCCTTTTCTCCATGTTGAACGTCACTCTGATTAGTTTGAGGAACGTTTTCTTTCCCGGTAATGACTCCTCCTCCTCGCTGAGCTGGGATCAGAAAACGTGAAAAAGCTTTATTAGTCACAGTTGTTTAACTTACTGAGTGAGACTAGGTTAGTAAACTCATTTTTGAGTCTCAGTTGATTAAAACTGAAGTTCATGCAACTTGACTGTAACTTGTGTGGGGGGATAGATCCTCAAGACCTCCACAGACTCCCTTCTCTCTTTGCTAGTTTGTGAATTAACAGTCAAAGTTAAGCTTTGCAGCATTCGCCTCATGAACAGTCTGTGTTGAATATGTGATGATTATGAGTACAAAGGAAAAAGCACTCAAATGTTCACCCCACTCCGAGCTCATTTGTTTGTCGAACTGGTCCTGGTACAATCCAGGACTGCCTCATCCACAGGGTTCACTTTGGCAATTATTCAGCGGTTTTAGAGAAACAATGAATCTGAATTTGACACTGAACTTCAGGGGGAGCATTGTAGTTCTCAGGCAGAGGAAACCGCACCAGGAGGCCTCATATGTGGGAGGACAGAAGGTGGGAGAGAGGGGTGAGGGGAACGAGGGGGAGCGACAGGAGAGAGAGAGGCATACTGTAGGTATAAACTCATTTTGCAATTTTTCTTGTAAAAATAAAACTACAAATGACAAAATCATGACTCCAAACACTGTGGTTTGTTCGAGGTCTGACACCTGTCTGATGTGGCTGAGTCTCTTTGACAATAAACTCTCTTTAGCGCTTTAGCTGAAGATGCTTTTTCATTTTTTATTACCTATTTTCATCACCAGGTCATGTCTTCATCCAGCTCTATCATCTTAGCAGCCTTCACCCGTCTGTTTCCATCACTGTCTGGAGGATCGATTTTGCAGCTGCTATGGGTAGCATCAGAATTTTGACAATGCGTCTTCTGTCTTTAACTTCATTTAGTACCATAAAAACCAGCAGATCATTACTGGATATGTGAAATTTACATTTTTATCTAAAAAGTTGGCACTTTATTGTCTCTTTGTACCGCATCTATCTATTTCTGTAGCATCTGTGCAAAAGGTTTAGATATTCTCAGTTCAGCTGATAAAAATCCCCTCCATTTGTGTGTCACACCACACTCTCACAAGCTCTTAGATTCAGAGTTCTTAGTCTCCGCTTGTTGCTCTAGTTGTTGGGAAGCAGGAAGTTGAGGCAGGAGAAGGGCAGATTGGAAAAACAGTCTGTGTTGACGGCGACCTGCATGCCGCTGAATAAAACGTGGTTCCTGTCGCAGACGTCGTTGCCTTGTTTCTTCTTCAGCTCTGAGAGTCGCCGGAGGATCAGCTGGTATTCTCGACCTCTTGTCAGGCCTCTGAAATACAGGACAGCCACCAGGTGCTTCTTACTGCAGAGAGAGAAAGGAAGAGGGCAGGGATTCAGTCAGTTATTATGGTCACTAAAATTTCACTGATCGTAGAAGTGCTTATGTCTGTCACCAGGGTTGACCATCAGTGAATGTTCTGGACTCCAGACAAAAGAGGCTGAGAAACATCCAGATCAAACCAAGACTATACTTTCAGGGATCATTTCTTTAGTTGTTGACTTGAGAGATGTGTTTCTAAAGAGTTTGGTCTCGTTGTCCACGATGAAGTGTTCAGATGTTCCCTTCAGAGCAGGAAACTGGTGGAAGAGTTTGTTTCTTGTCCACTGTTGATGACTGTTCAGAGTTTCTGTCATGACTTTCTGATGCAGGAAACATGGTCTGAGTGGACGCTGAGTTCTGTTAAGTCAAGCACGTGTCTTTGTGGGAGCATAAGACAGGATTTGTCTTGACACAAACACCATAAATAAATTTGAATTATCAGTTCGCTTTAGATCATAAAAATACAAGAGTAAAAAAAGGGATACTTTAAAAACTCTTCACAGTTTACCGTAAGAGTTTGAGGTAGGAACAAGCAGAAGTTCAGCTAGTTCTTGTCAGTGAAAGCAGTAACACCTGTGCAGGTGGACTTTTTTGTTTTCATTAGTTCACTAAAGCAGCAGACTAACAGAGGATCGGTTTATCTTATTTGGACTTTTGGAAACTAAAGTTCCAAAACTATAAAACACTTTTTGGAGCCGAGTTGCAGAAACACAACCTCAGGTGGACCTCTTTACCTGCTGCTGAAGTTTGAGAGTGTCGTGTTTCTCAAAGCTCAAAGACTGTTGTCTGAACCATCCTACATCCTCCAGTCTGAGTGTAACCTTCTGACATACAGTACAGATCCTCTGTTGTAAACTGTGCTGCTATAAAAGCTCTTTTTTGTCCATTTTGATATTAAATATGTCTCTTGAGGATTCTTTCTTTTTGGCCCTGAAGTGTTATGTTTTTATCTTGATTAGTTTGAGCTGATCTCTTGTGCAATGTAAGTTCCTGATTTGTGGACATCGGGGTTGAAGATTTCTTATTGGGTTTTATTATTGTTAGAATAACAGAGTAAAAAAGTCCACTCAGACCATGTTTCCTCCATCAGAGAGTCATGACAGAAACTCTGAACAGTCTTCAACAGTGGAGGAGAAACAAACTCTTCCACCACTTTCCTGCTCTGAAGGAAACATCTGAACTCTTCATCGTGGACAGCGAGACCAAACTCTTTAGAAACACATCTCTCAAGTCAACAACTAAAGAAATGATCCCTGAAAGTATAGTCTTGGTTTGATCTGGACGTTTCTAAACCTCTTATGTCTGGTGTCAAGAACTTTTACTGATGGTCAATTCCTGAGCTCCTTAAAGACCTAGCTCCTGCTTCTATTGCTGAAGGTCAATTAAGCTGAGGATTGATGTGTACAAAATGACTGTCAGTGGTTCTCCTGTGATAGTTACAGAGTTCCTAACTTAATCACATAGTCATGACCCTCCATCAGTCAAAACTGGGATGGGAGGAGGACTAAATGTGTTGCTCAGGTGTTGACCATCAGTGAAAGTTCTGCTCTCCAGGCAAAAGAAACTAAGATTCATCCAGATCAAACCCAAGACTATACTTTCAGGGATCATTTCTTTAGTCCTTGACTTGAGAGATGTGTTTCTAAAGAGTTTGGTCCCGCTGTCCACGATGAGGAGTTCAGATGTTTCCTTCAGAGCAGGAAAGTGGTGGAAGAGTTTGTTTCTCCTCCACTGTTGAAGACTGTTCAGAGTTTCTGTCATGACTCTCTGATGGAGGAAACATGGTCTGAGTGGACTCTGATCCTTATTAGTAGTGAGTTATAACTGTTAATGATAAGTAATGCTAGAGTCTCTGCTCCAAACATAAGTATTACAATATTTTTTTTTCTTATTACTTCTTTTCAATAACATCTTAACTTAATACTAAACAAAAGTTTAAATGCAACACTTTTGTTTTTGCTCCCTTTTTTCATGATCTGAACTCAATGATCTAAGACTTTTTCTACGTACATTCAAGATCTCTTTTATGTTGTTGACAAATTTGTCTCAATCTGTCTTCATGAACACCTTTCCATTGCTTAGATAATACATCCACCTCACAGGTGTGGCATATCAAGATGCTGATTAGACAGCATGATTACTTCACAGGTGTGCCTTAGACTGGTCATAATTAAAGGCCACTCGAACAGGTGCATCCACTTTACTCATTGAGCATGTTGGGATGCTCTGGATCGGGGTATACGACAGCATGTTCATATACAGCAGCTTCACTCAGCCATTGAAAAGGAGTGGACCAACACTCCACAGGCCACGACCAACAACCTGATTCACTCTATGTTTTGTACTGCATGAGGCAAATAGAGGTCACACCAGATACTGACTGGTTTTCTAATCCACCTGGTCGCCCCCCATACAGTAAAACTGCACCTTTTATAGTTGCATATTGTTGTGACTAGTCTGAGGCACATTGTTGTGACTAGTCTGAGGCACAGCTGTGTAGTAATCATGCTGTCTCATCAGCCTCTTGATATGCCACACCTGTGAGGTGGATGGATTATCTCCGCAAAGGAGAAGTATTTACAAACACAGATTTAGACAACATTTGAGAGGAATAGGTCATCTGTGAACATAGATAAAAAGTCTGAGATCTTTGAGTTCAGCTCATGAAAAATGGGAGCAGAAACAAAAGTGTTGCATTTATATTTTTGATTAGCATAGACTATGATGTATTTAACTTTTACAGTCACAATAAGTACTATTCAAGGATCAGAGTCCACTCAGACCATGTTTCCTCCATCAGAGAGTCATTACAGAAACTCTGAACAGTCTTCAACAGTGGAGGAGAAACAAACTCTTCCACCAGTTTCCTGCTCTGAAGGAAACATCTGAACTCTTCATCGTGGACAGCGAGACCAAACTCTTTAGAAACACATCTCTCAAGTCAAGGACTAAAGAAATGATCCCTGAAAGTATAGTCTTGGTTTGATCTGGATGATTCTCAGTTTCTTTTGTCTGGAGAGCAGAACTTTCACTGATGGTCAACTCCTGAGAGTCACTGACCAAAAATGTGTCTACGTCTCTTAAATAGACACCAAACTTCATTTCCTGTATCTGAAGGATCCTCATTATGTGCTTACACCTGACAAAAAGTGATAAATTGATTGTTTCCTAACAGCCCTCACTTTCATACAGTCTTTGTAACATAACTTTGGGTGAGTCTGTTCGTTCCTGTTTTCATTTAAGTGATGTTGCAAGTTTTAAAACTTCAAAATTGCTTATGTCTTAAAAAGTCTATTTTTAAATGTCACCTTGCACTTCTCCGAGAGTTTTAGACTTTCAAGAATTCGAGAGCAGCAAGAGTCAAGAAAAGAAAGTGGCCAGCCCTGATCTTTTGAAGGCTGAAAATTGATTTTTGTAAGAAAAACAAGAATTTACAGTTGAGTCTTTCACAATTTTGTTGGAAAAATCCTCAAAGTCCAATTTTTTCCCTGATAGGAATGAGGAAAACTACATATAGTGATTGCCTCTAGATGACCATCAGTGAAAGTTCTGGTCTCCAGACAAAAGAAATGGAGAAACATCCAGCTCAAACCAAGACTATACTTTCAGGGATCATTTCTTTAGTCCTTGACTTGAGAGATGTGTTTCTAAAGAGTTTGGTCTCGCTGTCCATGATGAAGAGTTCAGATGTTTCCTTCAGAGCAGGAAACTGGTGGGAGAGTTTGTTTCTCTTCCACTGTTGAAGACTGTTCAGAGATTCTGTCATGACTCTCTGATGGAGGAAACATGGTCTGAGTGGACAGCAGATTTAGTTTAAATCTAAAAACCTTACTTTCCTTATCAGTCGTGAAGAACACGTGGATTAAAAATCATAAGAAGGGTTTGGTTTGGGTTTCTTTCAATAGGTTAGTTGAGCGTGAGCTGTCTGTATCATGAATTTTTATGTACGTTGGGCTAAATATGTTTAAAGTTTAATTTGTTAGTGATCAAACAAGGAAAATCTCCTCACATATTCGCCTTTCTCCTCACATACCTGCAGTCAAACGTCACCCAGATGTTCACAAACACGGTGTCAGATGTCACACGTGCGCTCTGGTTGACTCTGGTTAATACGGTACTATTCAGTGATAACTGTGTTTGGATTTAGGCCACAAACTCTGTCATGGGACTCGCACCACAGTCATGTCCTCTGCAGAGGTTGTGCCTGTTTGTGTTTGGACCAGTTTTCTCATGACCACTGTCAAGGTCTGTATGTAAACATTAGAGGCAGCCAAACAATCACTGACTCTGTTTGGAGTGGATCAGTAACTAAAGAGTTTTTCTCTTTGACTTCAGTCACATTTTTTTTCTATTCTTTTTTTTATTTTATTATTCAAAGTCCAATCAGATGAATTTCCATCTATTGCAACTAATTTCTGCACAAATCAACTAGCCTCTGTCTGAACCTCCATCAGTTTAACTCTTACATAATCACAGAGGGGATTTTTTTGTTCCCCAGCAAACTTACAGCATCAAATAGACATTAAAATTCAGGATGTTGGTTAAATTTCATCACCATGGACTTTTTCCTGTCCAAGTTGATCCTCTAAGCTCACAAAACTTTTGCTTTTCATCACACAGACATGCTGAGGCGTGTCAGTCTCCTCCATGTTTGTTTCGCTTTTACAAAGCAGCTCTGTTTATGAGAAATAAACCGTCAGAGGAGAGAAAGTCCCGACCCGCCTTGAACCGTTTGACCTTTGAGGGGTCTGAGGCAACACTGCCACCACATAACGCTCAGAGATTTTGGACGGAACTTAATGTGGTCGGATGTTTGTGTGGAGGTTTTGGAAAGGGTTAAACTCTGTGAAACTCTCACCTGAAGTCTGGGTAGTGCTCCACTAAAGGCTGCAGGTGGTCCTTTATGTCCGCCTTGTTTTTCTGTATGATGATGTTGCTCAGATCATCTCCTACATGGTGGAGCCATTCGTGAGATGAATTCTTAAATAGAAAACACAAAAAAAAGTTAAAATATGTTTTTATTCCCCAACTGCAAAATTTTTACCAAGGCAAGACAGTATGTACGTTTATTTTTCGTAATTCTCAGATTAACTTTTGTCAAACTGGACAGAACAGAAGTCGAGTGTTGCTATGGTTTTTTGTTCTGAATTTCCCAAGTTTTGTGGTTTTGTATTTCTCAGTCATTTCCTGTTTTATTTTGTCTCTCATCTTTATCAGTTTCTCTAGTTTTGCATTTTCACTTTTTTCTTAAGTCTCGAGTATTTCCTTTTTTTAATTTTATAGTCCTTGCTCCCTTTGTTTCACTTCCTGCTCTTGTGTGTTTCCCTCTTATTAGATTACCCTCCTTAGTTTCAATTGCTTTGTGTCACACTTGCCATCACTCTTTATCCTTTGTGTTTCATCCCATCTGTGTTGGTTTATAAGCCCCCCTTTGTGTCTAGTTCACTTTTGCATATGATTTATTCTATTCACATTGAATTTCCTTTAAATAAGGTAAAAATAAACCAATAAACCCTTGATCCCATATTAGCATTAACCCATATGTCGAGTTCTATTAAAGCTCCAGTGAGCAACTTGTGGATTTTGTCAGTTTTGGTGCCCGCTATGGACGAAGCAATCTTCTCCTAGCTTGCCCTCATCATTCTCAAGCTACATTTTTTTGACAAAAAAAACTTTCTGCTGACTTTTGCCAGTCATATTTATAATTTATTGCACATATTCTACATGGAAAATATAAAAACAAGACAGTTTTCTGCCTAGCTGACGCCTACCCTCTCGCACCAGTTTCAGGTATTAAAAAATTGCTCTATAAAATATTCAATCTTGTTGTTTATAGTCTAGTTGGCATTTGAATATCATTAAAAAGCATAAATGTGAATTCCAGCCTATTTTACAAATGTAAAAAAAACTACCCACAGGAGCTTTAAGGTGTTTTAAATTAAAGGGCCAGGCCTCTTGCAAGGTTAACATAATAAATGTAAGGAGTTCTGAGATGACTGACAGCAGAGGAAAAAAGACTAACTATACTTAATCTACCTTTTGACTCATCTCTGTTTACTTTCTGATTACTGAATATTTATTTCTCCAATTTTTAAAACTATTACACAAGTTAAAAGCAGAAATATCTCTTTGGGGGAACCACGAACAACTGAAAGATGTTTGAAATGCAGAAACGGGCAACACATTTGTCACAGGACAAAAACACCATTTTGTACTAAATACACCAAACATGAACCCTGAATATGTTCAGGATACTTTTCAGATAATTCAGTAAGAGGCACAATATTTTCTTTTTTATATGCAGTCAAGTTAAAAAAATATAAAAAATGAGCTGGGATTGCTTAAAAGTGGATGTGTGCTTAAGTTTTGTTAGGTTGGAATTAGGGCGAATGTGCATCAATTTAATAGTTTAAATGACTGTATAGTGTGAAAAGTGTAAAATATGGATGATGTGAACATATAGTGTTTTTTTTTTTTTTTTTTTTACCATTTCCTCAAACAGATCTTTAAGTTCATCCCACTGAGCACGGATCTTTGTCGCTGCCTTCTCGTGTTTGCGGTTCTTGCACGAGTAGTTATTCTTCATCAGCTGCCCGATGTATTCCTTCACCACATGGTAGTGCAATCGACTCGCAAACTCCTGTTGCCAGGAAACACACACACACACACACACAAATGGAGTGAGATGGCAGAACAACAGGATGGGTCTAGAAAAAAAGGGGAAATGTCAGGGCGTCAGTCTTTATTCACCTGCCGCATGATCGGCAGCAGCCATCAGGTCATCTGCGCTAACACCTCCACTTCCACCTATTCATTTCGCTCCTGTTGCCAGGATTTGACCCCCCTCGTTTTTTAAGTTGTCTGTAGTCACAGCATCCAGCTCCAGAACAATGACGCCAAATTTGATTCACTGGAACTTCCAAGACAAAAAAAAGCAAATACGGATTTCCCTCCTGACCTCAAGAGTCATTAATAAGATTTCGAGAGCCTTATCACTAAAATGAAACTTTTACTCTATGATCTGCACCTTCTCCCTCTTTAAATCACTCACAGCCAAACATTGGAGTCATTGTTGAAGCTGATTAGATATAGTGTGCTTGATTTGTCTGACCGGGAGAAGATAAGTGCCGCTAAATCTTTGATCCTGACTGGAAGCTTTCTTGGCTCATATCCCACTCCAAAGCATGAATTAAATCCTCATTAATAGGTGGGGGGTCTTTCCTGTTAGAGAAATGATTTGGCTTGTACTGTAAGTGATTAATGAGAGTTGGAATCTCCCCATAGCTCCTTTCACACATGCACTACACTCCTGAAAACTTTCCAACGTTGCTCCAGAAGGATGCAACCAAGGGTGGACTTTTTCTTACCGACCCCCAAAGTAAAAGCCTCTCTAAAAGTTAGGGTGATTGGAAAATTGTCCATTTTTCTATTTTGTAACATTTCTAATCCACACTTTACCATGGCTGTGCAGTCAGTCCCCAGTCCTCTGTTTTCTTCACTGCCTACACATTGATACGACCCGAACTATGAGCAGTGAGATTGACCCTGAGCTCTCGGTGCTTTCCGAGAGAGATGCAAAAAAGCTGCACCTTTTCCATGACACCATTTGCAGACTCCATTCACATCCACCTGCATCCTCAACAAGTGGCAACTTTTGGTGTTGAAATATAAAGCCAATCCAAAAGTATATAAAGTATAAAGTTCACTTCCTCAAGTAAAGCAGGCTGCAAAAAGCCTGGAAGCCTCATTCACACATACAGAACCGTTCTAGCCCATTTTTTCTTTCTGCACACGCTTTAAAGTCCCACTCTGATTGTTTTTTTGAACTACTTAAAGTCTTCTCAGTCATCTTTCAATCATGATTATGAAGTTTTTACCAAAAATCACGTTACCTGTGTCATTTTCAAGGACTTTTTTTCTGCAGAGCTCCAGTATCTCATTAGCAATTCACCTCTGAGTCGTGGGCAGAGACAGCGCTGCTCTACACACTAACATTGCCGGTGTAGCAGAAGTAGCAGGTGACATAGGAGCTATTCAGCCCTCGGACACTTATGTCTTTGGGGACATGATGAAGTTAATATCATAGTTAGCTTTCGTATGAACATTGCAATCCGCTAACTTGCACACTTGTTCCGAGATCGTCCTCTCTATTTCTCCTCTATATGCAGAGTAAGGCCTTAACAGCGGGGCTCCAGGGGTGGAGCTTGGATTGGTTACGTATGAAATCTCACTGTTTCTGAACCTGCGAGATTCACAGTGATTTGAATAAAGAAATACTCAGAAAAGCAATTTTGCATTTAGTTTTCTCATGATATGTCCTGTAGCATCAGAAAATGCCATATGAACATGTACGCAACAAGAAACACATTATTTCATCAGAGTGGGTCTTTAAAAGGGTGATTTTTTAATATATTTGAACTCTTTAGTTTTGGAGACATTTAGGACAGACTTGGTGGGAGGAAAAAAGCTGTGAGTGGGCCCAGGGGGAGTCCAGTGACCTTTAAGTGTAAACAGTGTCTGAAGAGAAACATTTATTTAGCTCTTCTTCCTCTCTGAGAGGGAGCGTCCTCTCTTCCTCCTATTACATTCACTTTTTTGAGTGAATTTCTGTGTTCATTATCTACAGCCAATAACACAATTACCAGTCACTCAGATATTTTGGAGTAACCACTGCCAGTCCCGGATCGTTATAAAACACGACACTGTGACCGTGGTTTTGTCTTAAAACATGCTGTTGGTCATCACCATCTGACTCACGGTTTAATTTAGCTCACAGTCGGGGACAACCCTCCTACAACCTACGGTGACAAACTCTAGCTACGTTTACATGGAGCCAAATATTCCGAATAGAATCGGAATAGAAGCCCAATCGGAATGAAAATGCTCCATATAAACACCTCATTCGGAATAAACAGGCCCATTCCGAATGGAATTTCATTCCGATTCACAGGGGTAGAATATTCCTTTTCCCATTCCGATAAAAGCAAAATCCTGTCATGTAAACGGTGAATCGGAAAGTTGTCAGGCTGGGTTCTGTCTGCGCATGCTCTGTCCTGATGTAAACAAGCAGTGACGTATGACTCACATGGTGGGACATCATGTGACAACATCACGTGACAACATCACGTGATGTTTGAAGGTATCACATGTCTGTAAATAGCTGTTCCGATTGAATGCCGTGGCACATGTAAACACCAGATCAGAATAGATCGCTTCCATGTAAACAGTTCGCCTGGGAGCTTCAATCGGAATGATTATAATCCGAATGAGAAAAAAGTCTGCATGTAAACGTGGCTAATGTCTAATATCCTGAACACTGTGACTGTACCAGTGTTTACAGTCTGTTCTTGAATGATAGATGCAGACTTGGTGAGAGTAAAAGGAGGAAAGCAGGAACACAGGTTGCTTTTCTGTAAGACAACCTCCAAAACATTGTCTATTTTTTAACAAGACTCGGTACAGGGATTTATTGGCAGTAACTTTAATGGTGCTTTTGCATTTGTTTGGTGGAGATGGCCTTCCACGCCTGAATGCCCCGACCACTCGCCCTTCTTACTAAAAATAAAGTATTTTAAGTTTAAGGGCCACAACTGACAGATAATGTCCTTGTGTGCTGCACATACGTGGACAGAATGTCCCTGAAAATATCCGGCCTGTTTAGTTCATGAGTGAAAGGGACTGCTGACTTCTTCTAACTCTCTTCCTTTTCCTTTTCCACTTCCTCACCTGGGCATACGGAGGCCTCATAACAGCGCAGTGCTGAGACAGCAGCTCTGTCCGATTGTGAAGATTCTTAAAGTCCTCCTCATTGGTGAGCCACTTCCTCGTCATCATCCTCCTCAGGAAGGGCTAGGGGGAAAAAAAAACAACACAATTTATTGCTTCTTCTCGACCTCTTACATCCTCTGGAACACAACGCCGACTCTTAAACCTTCAACATGTAGCTCTTGAAACCTTAAAATGTCTGAATTAATTTCATCTTTAACTCATGTGTCTGCTCTTTGGTGAAGCGAAACAGTAAAATTGATGCCTTCCTGAAAAGCACCTGTGATCATCGTCAGAGTTTGAGGAAAAAAGGAACCTGTCGTTTTCAATTCCCCTTTGAGAAACCAGAAAAGAAAATGACCTCTCTTCATGTGAGAACAGAAATGATGAGGGCACAGTTTTTACTTTGACCTACAATAGCCTGGATTTGATTTACTGTGTTGTTATTTTACCGTGACATCCTCTTTGTATTGGTCCTCCAGGTTCTGAGAGAGTCGGACAATCAGCCATTTTACTTCTTTTCTGAACTCCTCCGTCTCCTGAGGACACTCCAGCTGGTAATCCTCCATGTGTCCCCTGCAGGAGGAAACACGACAGGAACTGAGCGACCCTCGCTGAGGTTTGAAGATAAAATTTAACTTTAATATACCCTTTAACCAAGAAAAAAGGAAATCATAACAAAAGTTTTCTCATCATAAATCTCTGCATGATTGGACAAAAATTTGGGTACTTTCCCTGTTAAGAGCTGAGGTTTGGGGGGGCCTACACTTCTTCGCAAAATCTTCAGGAGGACTGTGTTGGTTCTGAAACCTGTGGGAGTATTTCTAAGGTATGAAAACAGACTCGAAGTCTGGCAATGAGGCCCCTCAACGGAAAGTAATTACATGTGGGAGGACAGGTTGAGTTTGCTGTTTTAAACAAGTTGCAAAAAAAGAGGAATAACCTGCCAAAACTGCTCCAGCACCCTCCAGCAAGAATGCTTGCACAAGAACAAACCCTATCATTTCGTCACATTTAGGAGTAACGACAAACATACGACTCAGATTTTCCCTGCAGGAGTCTTCTCAAAGTAAAAGCCTGTGAATTTGAACTGAATCTGAGTTGAATCTGAAGCCAAGGTCCCTTTCTTCTCCCTTCTATCCAACACTTTACTTGAGCTAATTCAAGGCTGAGTCATGGTGGCAGCAGGCCCATGAAGTCCACATTAGCAGCTTTGTTTTCAGCATCCTTTCCAAACTCCTCCTCGTCTTTCGGGCCAGATAAGATCATATAAACCCTCCAGCACGCTCTGGGTTTACCCCGGGGTCTCCTTCAAAAACCTTTTAAAAAAGCATCTACAGACATCCTTATCTGTACCCCAAGCTCCCTCTGGATGCCCAAGCCCAAACTTCAGCCCACTGAGACCGGTCATTTTGGTATCATCACTATCTCATTCTATGAGTCACATAGTAGAAAATCTGATAAATCAAATACTTTGTCCTCAGTTCAGTTCCTGTTCATTAACAAAATTCAGAAAACCTAAATACACCTCATCTTAGCTCATCTTACTTCAGTTCACATCATCTCACCATATCCTTAACCATCTCAATGTATCTCATACTTTCTCACCTTTCTCCATCATGTCTCATCTCATATCACTTTATCATCTCTGATCTCACTTTATTTCAGTTCACTGACCTCAAAAACCTCATCTCACTTCATCTTATTTGATCTTATCTCATTTTACCTCATCTCATCTCATACTATCACACCACACCTTACCGTACTTCACCTCAACTCATCACTTATCTCATCTCATCTCATCCCACCTGTTGTCTAGTCTCATCTTTTCTCATCTTTTTTCAGTTTGCATCACCTCACCATATCTCAAACTATCTCAACATACCTCAGCCTTTCTCACCTCACTCCATCATGTCTCATCTCACCTCATATCACTTTATCCTCTCTGATCTCACCTCATCTCAGCTCACTAACCTCTTTTTACCCTCTCTCATTTTACCTCATCTTTATTCACCTCATCACATTTCATCTCATTTACTGTAACACACCAAACCTCATCTCACCTTGTCTTATCTGATCTCATCTCATTTAACCTCATCTCATCTCATGCAATCAAACCCCATATTACCGTACCTCACCTTAACTCAGCAATCGTTATCTCATCTCATCTTGTCTCACCTTGTTGTACTAGTCTCATTTGATCTCATCTCACTGCACTTTTTGCATCTCATCTTTTCTTTCTCATAAGACTTTATTGTGTCTGTTTCTGGTACTTCCCAGCAGTTATACTATATATTGTTTTCTGAGTCAATCAACAATTTCATACGTTTCAATATCAGGATGAGTCTTCTAATACATTCAACCTTTACAACATTAACATTAACCTTGACATATTTCTGGCATTATGTGTATTTTGCATTTTAAATAACTATACTACTAGATCGGTATGTTTTCTCTTTCCTACATTGGGCTGAACTCTTCTGCAAGAATTTTCCCTCTGGATAAATTTAGTCCATCTTATCTTTGTCGTCTAGCAACAGCAGAGATAGACGACAGGAAAAGGGAGGGAGATGCACAAAGGCCCCGGCCAATTCCACAAGATGAATTGGAAACAATTAAACTTGACATGTATATTCATGGAAACACAATTTTAGAAATGCAGGTGCAACATTTGAGTGGTTTTACTTCTGCATACATTTAGTAAATACCATGGACTACAGAACGAAAACCTCAAAGACTGAGAGGTCTAATGTGAGAGTGGTGCTGCTGAAACCTCTGAACAGCAAGAGATTCAAGATAAGACAAGTTTTGAACCCGGTCCCACGCTTCATGGCTTAAATTAATGTCTTTCAGCAACCGAGCTCCAACCCACATCTGTTTTTGTGACAGACAAACACAGCTGGAGGGTTTTTTTTGAGGTTTAGCAAGCTTACTTTCTCTTTCCCTTGACTTTTAACAGAGCAGAGTTTCTCCCTCACTGCCTCGCTTCACAGAAATCACGTGACTTGACACCCTTTCCATGGCTGGCACTTTAATTTTATCTCACACGCGTGACCTCATCTCAAGTGGGTCTGCCATCAGTCTGTGCTGTGCATATCAAGGACATGGTCTCCAAACAACTCCCAGCCTGAGAGAGGGAATGCAGCCCTGCAGCTCTGCAGCTCTGACAGAGAGGTCTCACAAAAACTAGGCTGGCACGGATCCTGGAAAATCCCAAGTGAAGTCCTGAATAGCTCAAAGATGAAATCACACAGACAAAAGCGCTACTCTCTAATGATCTCAACATCCGTTCAATTCTCTCTTTACTATCTTTTCTGTCTGTTCTTTTTTTAACCAGGCTTCACAAGTTGGACAGGTTTCACATTATTTAAAACACAGACATGCTTAAAATACAGGGTAAATTTTAATTATTTAATGTTAAATAAGTTAAATAATTTAGAAAATAATAATGAATGATGGTTGACTGGCTGTACTATTGTTTTTTAGCCCCTTTAAATCTCATCTCAACATCACGCTCCTCTTTAGCATGAGGCTCTTCATAATATTCTCCAAGGAAAAATCTAAAAAAAGTGATGTATTTGAATGTTAAAAGACAGGAACAAAACTTTGACGAAGAGAAAAAGATAAACAAAGAGATAAGAGGTACTGCTTTGCACACAGGGGGCGCCAAAAAGGTTTGAGATAACGTTTTTGGCAGTTAAAGGCACAGTAAGGGATTTTAATGTTGATGTAACGTGATCCTAGCAGCGTCTTGGTATCCTGGCATGCATTTGTTATGTAAAGCAAATACATGGAAGACATATCTTTTATTTCTTGTCTGTTGTCTTTGTTTTGTTTTAGATTTTCAAATTACAATATAAAAATGGCAAATCCTCTTACTGAGGGGCTTGTTTGCTTTAGTGCAGCATAAAAAGACACCAGCATGAATTTCAGCTGATTTCACTAAAAACCTGCTCACAGGAGCTTTAATTAAAAGTTCTCTATGGTGCCTTTAAATTGATATAAAAGTAGCAACAAATGCATGTAATTACCTACTGCTATCAGGATTTTAATATATGAGAAATTTTATTGTTCTATCATTCTGCTTACCATGCATCCAAACTGAAAGCATTTCAGATGGAGCTCCTAAAACCAGTCCTGATTTTAGCCTCATATTTTTAACCTCAGACAGCTTGCTGATTGCTGTAGGGTAAGGTCCTTTACCAAGGTGCCTTCTGGGTATTCCAGGCAGTCACGTGACTTACTGTAAGGCTGTAAAGCTGTTGATGTAGGTTATGTGATACTCGGTCCAGAGAGGCTGTGGTTTGAGAGCGCCGCAGTGGTTCTTGAACTCTGTTTCAAATCTGCAGAGGAGAAAAGAGAGACTCGGTGAGAGAAGACAAACAACAGAGACAGGGAAAAATCCTTATTGCTCTAACTCACATTCCACAAACATGTGGATCGGATTTACCCATGAGGCCCTTCAGCTTAAAAAAACAGTCCCACAGGGGGTGGACAAGCTGACAGACACGTTACACTATCTGAACCGAATCCAAAAAATGCATGTTTGCCATTCATCTATGTCTCTTTTTTCCAATCTAGTGTTGAGCAATTCTACCTCCTTATTGCTTAATTCTCATGTCTGGTGTATCATTTGCTGCTGCTGCAGAACACGGTCTGATAGAGGAAATAAATCACATTAATTGGAACATTTTTATGAGCCTAAGAGCGTCTGAAGAGGCCACATGATCCTCAGGTGCTTCTCTAAACGCAAAGCAGCAGCAGAAGTAAGTTGTGTAATTCGGTTAAAGACAAAGTTAGTCATGCACCAGCTTACAGAATATTCTCATATTACCCAAGAGGAAAGTCACACAATAACGGTTATTGCACGAAAGGAAGGATCCTGTTTTTTGGTTTGTTTTGGTGTTTTCTTGCAGGCGGGTGCCCCCCTGATGTTTCCACTCTTCCCTATTTTACTTCTGTGTTGATGCTTTTTCAATAAATGCTTGTTTTTCCTTTTCTTGTTTCATCAGGTGATACTTTCCTCCTCTAAACTTGTGACTTTACAGATCTTGGGTTTTTCCCCCAGTCTGATAAATATTAGAGCGGGCGAACAATTAAAATGCATAACAACTGGATTAATTAATCATCCTTTTCAAACTATGGGAGCTGCCGTCACTCATCCCTCTGTGCCACCTGTGATATTTAAGTTAAATTGCGCATGCACAAGTGAGATATCTGTATACTTGTGACTTCTGGCTGAATGATGATATGGTTGTCATAGTAACAGGCTGAAAAACTCCAGCTTACAGGGTCACTTATTCAACTGTCACACCAAAGTCATCCTCAGGGAAAAAATGAATGATTTGATTATGATTCTTTGCTGTTCTTGGAGTCTGTTCTTGTCTGAGGAGTATGTGTTAATAGTCTGAGGAAAGAACTTTTGACTTGTCTCTACCTGAGGGGGAAGAGAGATTAGGACTTGAAATGAGTTGTGTTGGATCTTTAGTGTCACTTACGTGTTTCTATTTCTGTTTTATTTTATCTTGAAGGAACCATAAGTGAAACTCTTCCTCTCTGAGATGCGTCTGATGACCCTGCAGCCAAATGTGAGTTCTCTTCTGTATCAAATATTTATAATCTGCCCGATTAGGACAAATAACCGGCTTCCTCTTGGGGTAAATTATGACTGCCGTGATCCCTGATGTTGTTGAATATGTCTGATAAATCAAAAGATGTCATGCATCTTTTTTTGAACCGACCTCTTGGGGAACTGTTTCAGCTCTTTGAGGCAGGAGGAAATCACTCTCTGAGCCAGCTGAGCATCAATATTTTTGGACAGGTCAACACTTCCTTTCACTCTCTGTGGAGAGAAACAGAAACAGCATGAAATATTGCAAGTGTAGCAGTAGGAGGCTCTCTGATGCCCCCTTGTGGTCAAATAAGTGTAATATTTCAAAATAGCTAAAATGAAATTACAAATGATATCTCACTCTAACAACAACTCATCCATCAACCATCTAGCCTACTATTCTTGAAGTTATTTGAGTCTGAAAGGACTGTTAAAAAATTGTAAGCAAAAAACACACGTCAACAAAATTACACAAAATATAGACATAAAATTTTGTTAATTTAAGACTATTCAGCCACATACTTAAAAATGGCTTTAGCAATAATTTCAACGTCATTTTTTTACCATTTCAAATTTATACAGTTGATGATTGTTAGTTAATAAGCCTCAAAAGATTTTCAGGTCAAAAAGTATTGGATTATTAAAAGTGCTTCAAAATAAAAGCACAAATCTTTGATCAGGCTGCATAAAGACATGAAAAGGACACATAACCTTTCCTAAGTATGATTAAAACTGCAAATTGGTGTATAGAAGTGTATCTGGTGAGGGGCAGAGCAGCGCCGTACCGTCCAGATATCCATGTTAATGTGACAGACGAGGAAGTTGTCTTCCTTTTTTGGAGAGTTTCTATGACTCCAAAAGTCCTCATTTTCAAGCTCGATGAGTCGGCCCAGAGAAAACTTCATGTCCTCCTGCAGTTGAAAATACAATTTATGAAAGAGATCGTCTTGTTTTTTCAGTTTCCCTGAAGATATTTTCTGGACAGTTGAGAACCAGCGCTGAACACACAGTAGAAGAAAACACTTCTGGAAACAGCCTCAAACATTTTTTTCTTGAAAGCCTCAGCCTGGTTTAGTCTCTGTGCTCCTCACCCTGACTCTGCTGCAGTACTTCTCCATCAGCTGCTTCAGGAAGTCATCCTCCAGCTGCAGATCGGTGCTCTCATCCGTCATGTCCGGCTGTAGAGAGGGACTTCCCATGATCCTCTCGCTGTTGTGGTTGAGATAAGAAAATTGTCAACAACATTCAGTCGACACAGCACAGTCCTGGAAACGTGTCGCTACATGTCTGAGGAGAGATGCTGTCAGGCTGCAAACTTGGTAAACAACAACAACATTGTCTCATTTAAACATACCTGTCTGTGCTAACTATGATCCGTCTGTCTGTGTTCACTGACCTCTTGTAGCGGTGGATGATCCAATCCAGCAGAGCGTACAGATCTTTCAGCTCCGTCACCTGCACCTCCAGCTTCTTCAGGTGCTCCCTGACGACTCTGTGGTAACTCTTCACGTAGGTGCTGAACACCTTAAAACTCGGGGGGTACGACCACCGCAGCTGCTTCCTCACGTTCTCCAAATCCTCCACGATGGCCTTCCCCAGCAGGCCCAGGTGGACCGACAACCAGGAGGTGTTCTGCTCCTTCTGTTCCAGGTGAACACCCTTCACCTTCACCTGCACCCCCTCGCACACCGCCTCCCTCCAGGCGTCCATCCAGCTGTCAGGGAGTCCGCCAGGTTTCTCCGCTCTCCGCTCCTCCTCCTGGATGATACGAGCCACATACACCAGCAGCCCTTTGTTTCTGGAGGGAAGAGAGTTAGAGTCGCGTACGATGGTGCAAATCTTTTCCATCATGGCCCTGTAGAGGAGGTTCAGGTCTTTCTCCTTCTTGGCGAGCTCCATTGGAGAATCCTCGCTGCAGCTCTCCTGCTCCTGCTGGAACTCCTGCCGCAGAGCGAGGAGGTTCAGGTAGGCCTCCTCCAACACCTCCATCTCAATCAGGTTACTGATCTGCATCACTGCGAAACAGAAAACCCTTTAACATCTCACTTCAATGCAATAACAGAGGAGTAAAGACAACAGAGGAGCAAGCAAGGACACTTTATTTCCTTCTGTGCGTTCACTGACACATCCACATAGTTTGAGTTCAAAAACTCAAGCGAGCGTCAGTTCCTACCAGCAAACTGAACCTCTGTGTATTTACAGCAGGACTGAGATTGCCATCTTAGACTGCTTCTGTTGCCAAAACAAATGACGATAAAGAGGAAAGTTGAATGTACCAACAGAAAGACTGTGTCTGGGAACACTGTGGGGAAAGGTTGTATTCAAAGCAGTAAATGTGGCACCTTTCCTCAGCGCAGTTTATAAGATTTTAGACTTTCAGAAGCTAAAGAGCTGGATGTTGGAAAATGTATGATACTGTTGCTAGGTACCTGCTGGATGTGCCAATAATCACATTTTTGAGTTATTTAAATCAACACAAGATAGCTGTACCCTGATCAAAAGAATAAAGTCCCAAAGAGCTTCACATTGCTGCCCTCAAGAAGTCAACACATCTAAAAACATAGATGACATAGATGCTAAAGGTGATTTCATGATTTCAGAAAACTAAACTTTTGTAAACATGTTTCCAAACAGAAATCGAAGTGTCTGTACCTGACAGCGGTGTGTGAGGTAACTCTGGCAGTGAATACGTCTCCTCAATCTCCTCACACACCTCCTCCTCCTCCACCTTTTCCTCCTTCTTCTCCTCCAATGAGCTTTCAGGAAAGATGTTCTCCAGCCCCGGTCTGCAGGCTTTATTTTTGTCTCTCTTCGAGCCTAATCTTAAGCTTCTGTAGATGGAGTTGCCTCTATTAATGAGGGACTCACCGATCCGCGGTGCTGAGATGGAAAACACAGAGTTTAAGATAGGGCCTGCAGCTCACACAAAAATGAGAAAATTGTGGAAAAGTCCAGTTTCTAATCTAACCTGTCAGTGAGCGTGAGAGACCACTGCCTTTCGGTGAAGTGGTGCCCCCATCCTCTTCGTCTTTCTTCTGGAAAAGGCCTCCCAAGCTCTTAATGGGAGAGGTCACAGGAGAGCCGGCACTCAAGCCTGACGGAGAGAGAGGGAGATAACCAACAGCTCTGAAAATTCTCCCCATGAGTCCTCGTTTCACAATCGCATCTTTCTTTGTCAGAAATCTCAGAGCTTTAAAAAGCTGATTAGGTTTTGGTTTTCAAGTTCATGTTGAGTCATGTGAGCGTGACTTGGCAGAGATCTGTCCTTACAGTCACCTTCAACGGGCAAAGAAACGCTTTAATGAAGGGTTGATGAAAACAGGCATCAGACTGGCTCAGCTCCAGAATAAATATTTGAAAGTTTTAAAGATAACTGTCTTTCGTTTCTGCTAACAAAAGGCGAAGACTTTTAGAAACCAGGGAGCTAAACAAAACTGTAAGAAGAGAGTAAGACTTCCATGTAATCAGACAGAAGTTTAGGAGATGGAGGAGTGAGCTAAAAGATTAAAAAGGGCTTTTCATTAACAATAGGGATTTTATATCTACAATCTTCGATGTTAAAAAGTGAGGGCAATGCAGGAGTGCAAAGAGCTGCAGTTCCTTGACTGTCCACTAGAGGCTGGCTGCAGAAGTAAAGGCGACACCAATAGGTCCCATGATAAAATGTTCATTTTTAACACAAACTGAAACTCATTTGGTAAGAAATGGTCTTTGGTTCATCACAATATTAGATTATCATCTGACGATTATTAAGGCCAGAAAATATCACAATATTATCACAATGTCTCTGGAAAACGTGAAAAAACCCCCACAATCATCAAATTTAAGAACGGCACAAGGACAGAGCAGCACATTGCTTCATATACAGATCCAGTTAACTTACGTGTAATCACCTATTTCTAATGATATTCAAGTTCATGATTTATCCACATAAAGACTTTATATGACCAAGGCTGGACAAAACCATCACACTGTTGATAAGAATTTAAGCTAATCCCATGTCACATTTTTAAATTTAGTGTCAGTGTCCAAAACTCAAATGTCTGAGAGGACACAGCATTATTTCAACCATGTCATCAAAACATGTTTTATTATTGTAAAAACTAAATGATGGTTTTCTACCAAAGGAAAAAAAAACAGCTCTGTTATGATTTCTGATTCTTCCCACGCTGTAGCTTTTACTGACTACCACACAAACAAACACACACACACACAAAGTGGGTGGTAGAATTCTGGGCTTACATTCATTGGCTTATATTTGGAGGTCCGGGGAGGTCACTGAGGTCCAAGTTGAACACTAAACTACCACCGATGCTACAACAAACAGACCACCCCTTTGGTGTCTGTTGGCATGGCGTGGACATGCCATGAGTCAACTTTTATTACCCTTGTTGGCACTCGTTGGTAAGATCAAACCAAACCACCAAGCAACCGAAAAACAGTTTTGACGTATGAGAGAGTGCAAAGAAATGATGAAAACCAAATTTCCTGTAACATGTTAAATTCTCGACTTTTTTTCAGACACAATGACACCAAGATACGAATCAGTTAAGTGTCTTAATTTCATTAAATAACCATGCAACTTACTGCAAAAGTTGAAGACAACTTGAACAAACAAGCTGTATAAAATTGATCTGTTTTCTTATCCTGGAAAGAGAACTTACCTAACTTTGCTGTAAAGTTTAAAATTTTAATATGAGCTCTTATGGGGACTAGCTCACATCTCAGCCCAGCCTCTAGTGGCCATAAGATGAACTGCAGTTTTCTTCTTCAGGAGGCTTCTGCTTGTGCACACCCCAACTTCCCCACCCTTTGACCTCAAGATGCCACATAACCCCTCAGTTCCTGTTATAAGGGAGTTTTCATAGAAACCAGTATGGTACTTACTGGGTGATGGAGGCGGTTTCAACTTGGGCTCATCATCATCATCTGTGTCTTTTTTGGGTGTGACCTTTTCCCCCTTGCCTCCTGATGACAGTGGGCTCTTCTTTGCTGCTTCACGGATACTCCTCCTGAATGACTGAAGCCTAACCAGCGTCTCCTTCACGGCACCTTTACCTGGTGACTGATCATTGCTCTTGAGGGACACTCTATCCTTGTCTGAGTTTTCCAAAGGGTTCTCCATCTTTTCAGACATTTTGATCCATCAAAAAACAATCCAACTGTGAGAAAAAGGACATCAAATATTACAGTCAGAAGAAGAATTTTGCACCTACTATCTTTTCTTTTGGCTCAGTGGCTCAGGAGTGTTGCTGGTTTGAGTGGTGAGAGTCATGAAAAGGACAGGAGGGGCAGTTTTGTTTACTGACAACAAAAGACTTGGCTGTGTAGTTCATGTCAACACAAGAGGAGACAGAAGTGAGAAATGTTGGGAAGATGTTCAAAACCACTGCTAAAGACTTTAATACAATTTTATACTGAAGCTTTTGACTGATTTCTTGGTTTGGTTTTTTAAATAATATTTTTTAGACTTTATGCAGCCTTAGATAGAAAGTGTCTCTCAGTTTAGCCGAGTCTCTAAAGGGTTAAATTCCTTATCTCTAAACAACAGGTTTCTAACTGCAAAACTACTTTTACTTTCCCTTAAACCAGCGGTTTGTTTTTCCTGTTTTTAATGATGAATTGCAGTCTCAAGGCCTTGTTGTAAAGTAAAACAGGTACTCTCCACTGCAAGTGCTAATCGTGTTAAATAAAACTGCAATGTCGGATCTATAAAAGTTAATCATTTATTCAGGCCCTTTGAGCAAAGATAGAAGGAGCAGACCTCTTTAGAAAGGTGGACAACATTTGTTAAATATAACCCTTTTACCATTAAAAAATGGAACTTAAAATCTGATTTTTTACTGAGTCCCACACAGTAATTCTTGTATAAATATGAGTATGCAATGTTGTGTTGTAATTGTACAATACACCAGGATGACTATGCCTTTAACTTATTTTCCTCTACAAAACAAGTTATTAGTAAACTGAAACTAATTTAACTATTATTATCTCTGACATGTTATAGACACAAATTTATTAAAATTTTTAATAATTTATGAGAGATTATGAACTTGGCAGGTTTGAAGAAATGTGATTAGATATTTTTGACACAAAAAAAAAACGAGGAAGCCACTGCATGGAACTACCATTGTATACCACACACCACAATGTCACTTCAAACACATTCATATAAAATAAACTTATATTTCTATGACGAATAATGTTCAAAGATACATCTATGGAAATCAAATAGGCTCATATCAATGGAATTAATATAATCAAAACATGTGACAATATCACTTCGAGTGAGGAAACATCTCCTCTCTAATTTAAGGTATGATGAGATATCAAAGTTTAACCTTTATACCTGTCAGGATCTGGTTTATATAGCCTAGGAGAGTTTTAGAAGAGTGTGCTGATAGGAACACCAAATATTCTGCTGTATAAACACATGAGCGCCATAGCTATCACTAATTTGTCTACAACAGGATTAAACACTTCAAAGTTTGATTATAAAGACAAATACCTGCCAGTCAATCAATCAATCAATCAAATTTTATTTATATAGCGCCAATTCACAACAGTCGTCATCTCAAGACGCTTTCCAAAGAACAAGAGCAGGTCGAGACCACGCTCATTGTTTGATGATCAAGAACCAACCTAAGATGGGTTTTGGCCCATCTCAACTAACATGAGTAGCAGTGGCAAGGAAAAACTTCCTTTTAACAGGCAGAAACCTTGGGCAGGACCAGACTCATGCTAGACAGCCACCATGCCGCTGCTGGGTTGGGGAGGAATGTAGAGAGAAGAGGGGAGAGGGGGAGAGGACAGGGGGAGGGAGAGAGACAGCAAGATAGGGGAAAGGCGAGAGAGAATTAGTATGGAGAGGGAGGGGGAGGGAGAGAGAGTAGGGAACGAGGGTGAGAGAGAGACAGGAGGCAGCAGGAACAACAGCAACAACGACAACAGCTCATGTAATGGTGAAACAAAAAGACGTTCAGTTTACAGGTTTAGGATATGAGAAATAATGGACAATGCCAGTGTGCTGAGAGTGAAGCTTGTAGGTCAGGAGAAAATATCTTCTTACCTGTCACTGTGTTGCCCAGGTAGAAAATCCCCTCCAATCCTATTTTCGCCGCTTTATAAACTTTCTCCTACCTGTTGCTTTTACTTTCTTTTTCTCTGCAGGTGAGAGGGAAACAGGTACAGCAACCCAACTCGAGCCAAGTTAAATACAGAGGATGAAACAACATTCAAAGACAAACTCGTTAGTGTGGCTGGTTTAGTACAGGTCCTTGTCGGTCAGTTTCTCCTGGGAGAAAGAAAAAGTCAAAGCTCACCTTCGAGCCTCTGCTCTGATTAGTGTTGGCTGTAGGAGAGAAAGCGTTAGTTAATGATTAACGAACATGAAATAAAGGAGGAGAGGTGTTCATAACTGCAAGTCAGACGGTGTGAAAAACTTCTGTTTCCATTTAATCAAAAGTTATTAAGAAATTCAGTTTGAATCTTATTGTAAACTTTGAATTTACAGGAAGATGGTGTATTCGTACCTGGAATGTAGCGATAAGGAATACAGGTATACGCTGCGTTCACGTTCCCTCGTACAAAGGTATTTCAAGGTCGTCGATAATCAATTCAAAGTTAACGAAGCAATAAACGGTGAATCTACATCAAGTCAATGAGTGGTGCATCAAAGTGTCAGTCATTTGGATAATCTTCATGACAATCCACCAAAGAGTTGTTTCTATTTAAAACTCACCAAAAAGCAGACTTTAGTTAAAACTTTTTTAACTTTTTTTTTTATTTTATTTTATTTTTTTTACTTATTTTTGTGTACTTTTTGAGTAATCCTAAAAACATTGGTCTTTTACATTTTTTGTGTGTGTTCCTCAAACCTTTATCAATTATTTATTAATTATTCCATTCTTAATACGTGCTGTCAAACTTTAATGCGCATCTTTACTGGACATTACAACGAAATTACATTATCAGAACTAGTTAAAAAGAAAATTAATTCCTCCATCTGTCGACTCTATTCCTAACATATATATATATATATATATATATATATATATATATATATATATATATATATATATATATATATATATCTTTGAAAGTTTTAATTCAGACAGAAATCTCTTGGTTTTTGTCTCAGGTTGATTAAAGACCCTCATGGGACTTGTGCTGGCTGATCGACCTTTACGTCTGAAATTTCCGATGGTCATAAACGCAACATCAACTCCACAAAGCGGCAACTGGGAAGTGGACCAAGTGGATCGATTTCATGAGAGTTTCCTGCATCGAACTCGTCCAAACTAAAGACCCCACCATGATAGCAGCTCAAATGTGTGTCACGTTTGTTCTCCTGTCCTTGACTTTAGCGGAGGAAGTGAAATTAAAGTATAAACCGGCGAGAAAACCTGTCCGCCTGTTCACAGACGAGGAACTGAGGAGATACGACGGTAGTGAGGTAAACATGAGGACTTAATGTCAGCTCAGGGTGTGTGTTTGTTTGTGTGTGTGTGTTTGTCTATTTCCATCCACAGATGATTTGATAACAGTTTAATCTCCATTTAACTTCCTTGTGTTAAAGGAGGAACTACCCATCTACATGGCAGTAAAAGGAGTGGTATTTGATGTCTCCAAGGGCAAAGGTGAGTCAAACCCAACCTCTGAAATTAGCCTTCAATATACAAGATTTGCAAACAAAGTAGCATAAAAGTAAAATTAACACTCTATGGGAAGCTTTCCAGTCCATCTCTAGAACTAGACTGGATTTAAACTGACTCCTTATCTCATAAATCACAGAGTTTTATGGCAAAGATGCTCCATACAACGCCCTGGTTGGTAGGGACTCAACCCGAGCTGTTGCCAAGATGTCCCTGGACCCTGCTGACCTGACATCAGATATTGTAAGTCTGCTGTGTTATCAACATTCACAGTCATGCTTTTTGCACACACACCCACCCACCAGTTAAGACCGCAAATGTATTTGTCATGGTGAAGTCCCGTGAGAGGAGAGCGTACTCACATCTGATACCTGAGTCTCTGACAAAACAGCCTTACATTTAAAAGCTTCATAATAAGACTGAAACCAAACAGATACGTCTGAATGCTGTGTGACAAACTGATGCTGGAACAAGATCAGTCATGCAAGTCTGGAAACACAGTGAGGAAGACTGGTATATTGACGCCCCTTGTTAATGCATTTTCATGCTTATTAGGTCAGAATGTCCCAAAAAAGTTCATTTTTCCCCTCATACTCGAATTAAAAAAGTGAAAGTCCCATATATACTAATCAAGGTCCCTGAGTCTGGAGTAAAATCGGAGAGGCCCTGACAACTGCCTACAAATTCAAATTCCAATTCAACTTAATTTTTATGGTACTTTTCAGACAAAAAATGCAGTTCAAAGTGAACAAACAACGATTAACAACAGTAAAACCCAACCCTTCCACCCATGGACCCACACACACACACCCACCCTCACTCACTCACACATACACACAGTGTAAGAATTTAAGATATATTGTTAAAGAGACATGGTCTGACACTGAGACATTACGTGAGGAAAGAGCGACCTTTAGGAAACACTGGAGATAAAAGATAAAAAATAAAATAAAATAGAAATGGTAAAAAGTAAAACCCGATGGACTAAAACAAGAAAATAATATTAAATGAACAGATAAGTAAAAGCTCTTTACCGTGTAAAAGGGGTAACAGAAATAAAAACTTCTAAGACGGGAATTAAGAAAAAGACTAAAAACAGAGATAGTTAATAAAATGACATAAAATAAACATTAAGAACTTTGATTAAAATGAACATTTGCAATAAGAGTATTATAAAAAGACAATTAGTGAAAAGGTTAAAAAGGTAAGACTTGAGCCTCTTCTTAAAAACATGTGGCTCAAGCACCAAAACTACCAGAAACTGGTTTACTGTCCATGGGATTAATGTGCCTGATTGGTCAGCCAACTCCAGCACCAGCAGTACCACAGACTGGTTGACTACATTCATTTTATAAATCCTCTTTTTTGGACTGGTGTTTTGTGATATTCTTATGTTTTAAGATAGTGGACGTTTTATTTTTGTGACCTTTAAGCCAAAATCATCAAGATTCAAACAAAAAATGTCTTGAAATGTTTTCACTTTGTTTGTGATGAACCTAGAATAAATGGAAGCTTTACTTTTACAATTCAATTACAGGAAAAAACAGCTTTTTTGGAATTCTTTTGAGCTTTACCTGTTTATCATTGAGGAAATTAACCTTTCTCAGTGCTGGTTTGATTGAATTTGACCAGCAGAGGGAGGTGTTGTAAAGTCTTGGAAATCAGTCACAGACAGTTACTCTCTAACTAAACAACTATCACCACTATAAGCTGAGCTTCACCTCTGTCTGGAGATCTGGTAGGATGCCAATTACAGATGGTACTATAAGGAGCTACACGTCTGCATAAAATCTACATGTTGCTGAACACAATATTAGTCTTAAAGCAGGAACACAGTCTAAAATACTCTATAAACCAGTGTGACTTATGAGGTGGTGATTTACAATCTGTAGAAAATAGAGAAGTGAGCTACAGAGAACAAACCCTTTTTTTTCTCTCAGGCTGTAAACATGTTCAATTCTCCTGTAAAGATGGATATTTTCAATAAAGACCTAAATGAGAATTGTCTCATATTTCAAATCCAGAAACTGCAGTTTATGACTTTTTCATGCAGGCATATTTGTTACTAAACCTTAGAAATGAAGGTTTTATGTTTTACTTACTTCCCCGCTTATTTGTAAGCTTTGTCTCAATACCTCAACTCCTCATTTATTTCCATGTTTCCATCCACAGACGGGACTCACTAAGGAGGAGCTGGACTCTCTGGAAACTGTTTTCAAAGACACGTACAAAAAGAAATACCCCATCGTGGGTTACACAGCATCTCGCATCCTCTCGGCAGACGGAAGTCCGAATCAAGACTTCAAACCAGAAGACCAGCCTCACTTTCAAATCAAGGATGAGTTTTAACATCATTCAGTTGTTAGATTTTAGTTTTTATACAGTTTCACTCTACTTGAACCAGAATCAGAAGCTGAAAGACTTGAAATTAAAGCTCATGGATATGATTTTTACTGTATCCGAGAACTGTGATGTGAATTGCTGCAGCTTTATATTAAAATACGGTTTTTCAAGATCAAATTGAGGCTTTTTTGATAATCACCAAGAAGGACAGGGTGGATAGGTTACATCCAAGTGAAAAATCCTCTGTTTTAAAGACGAATGTGACCTTTGTTGTTTTTGTCTACCTTCGTAAAATATGTTTTAATTGTTCCTATGTTGTCCTGATATATCTAATCCTGTAATGAATGACGGATATCTACAGGTATCAGGTTTCCATATCACACTTCTGCAAGTTGCATCTAGATAAAGACAAACTCTGCAAGTTGAAGACATGCAAAAGAAGTCTGACAGCCTCTTCACTACTTTTCAATCAAATCTGGATCAGGTCATGATTACTGCAAATGTGAACAACACTCTTATTCACACACATGGACCTTTTTTTTTTTTTATCAGCTGTATTTCAACAAAGCCAAAAACTCCCCCGTGAGTTTCGATCAAAACAAGCCTGCTCTTTTTATTCCCTCTTGTTGTAAAATCATCAATAAAGTTTGAAAATGTGAAACTTCTCAGAGTTTGTTTGCTGTCGTCCAGATGCGATCTCAGTTTGTTCTGTTTATTGCGGCTCATGACTCACTCGTGTCTTCTCCAAACAGGCAGCAGAAATAGTACGTCCCAGCCTTTATAGCCTCGCTCGCTGCGTTCAAAGGTCAGCCCAGGTGCTGAGACAGGTGATTGTCCTTGGGTGGAGCTGTGAGTCTCACTCCGGTCGGGTCGCCGTTCTGGAGGTAAATCTGCCTTTTTTTTTGTGATAGTAACGAAGCTGATCCTCCCACGTCACTGTGAGTGATCTACAGCCCGGTTCAAAGGACACCAGCCCTGCCCTTGAGTCTGCCAGCTAGAGCTCAGCGGCGGTCTTTATCAGGTGGAGGTTCTGCTGGGAGTCGGCCACTGCAGCCTCAGTCAGCCTGGGAATCACTTTCTTCTACTGGAGCTCGCTCACCAAACAGAGCCAAGATGCCCAAAACGGTAAGACCCGTGATCTCTTATTCCTAAATGTGTCTCAAACGTCTTTTCCTGGTTTGAGTTCGACAGGAAGTTTGTAACTCTTATCTGTTTGAACATTTATACTTGATTATACACGGAGAAGGATGAAAAAAGAAAGGTTAGATGATGTTTATGTCACTTTTTTTGTGTGTTTGAGCTGGTGAGCTACTTCTAAGAGGCACCTATCCGTCTTGACATTTACTCATTAACCAAATGTAGAGTTTGACCCACACTGCACACATTCACAGCAGCAAGAAAAGCAACATGATGGCTAGAAATGGACCTTGAAGGGTCACGGTTTTTAAGGATTTTACCAGTGATCACTCATGTTATTGTTGCATGAAGTTGAAAGGAATAATCAAACATAACTCCCGTGTTTTCTTTCTGTAAGATCTTTGGGTAGTGTCACCTAAAAAACCTGCATCAGTCTGGAAAGAAAGGCCTGGCTTTGCATAACGTCTATGATATTCTGCTTACACCAAAAACCTAAATAGAAAGACTTTCTCCAGTGGTAGTGAACATGTTAAACCAGCTCTAAACTGATCAAATTTACAAGTCATGGCACCAGAAATGGCTTTAGTTGTTCAGGAAAACGCCTAAATATAATCATGCACTGATTTAGAGTTTGAATTTGAAGATCTCACATCTAAAAAAAGCTAATTTCAAGCCTGGAAATATCGACAAAAGACCTTCAAAGCTGGGTGTAGAGAAATATTGATAGAAATGGATTGCAGCTCCATTATGGTGATTAGCACAGTTAATGATTTAGAGAAAAGGTGTTCGCTAGCAGTCAGGAATGCCTTACTGTGCGCCTGCTGCGACCACAGAAAGTGGAAACAGTTGAGAAACATGCTGGATGTTTCATAAACGGATGTTCCAGTTTTTGTCGCCAGAGTTTCAGTGGGTTTTTTTTTTATCTTTATGACAGCTAGGGTGTGCTCGAGTGTGGCTTCATAAACTGATTGTGTAACTTCTACAACCCCATCCTGGCCTGCAAACACGGGGTCATGTAGTTGTCGTGCATTTTGGGAAATATTGTAAATCAGTCCCTTTTAAATCTCGAAGGAAATTCATTCAAGAAACACTCAAGGGTCGGATTGATGCCCCTGTCTGGTTTATTAAGATGTTGCAAAGCCCTTGATAAGACTGAAGGCAATTTGGCAAGCAGCGAGTATTTTGATATTTAATCTGTGCAGCCTTATGGTACCTTGAAGGATAGTCCAAAGTCTAATGAGATAGTGAGCAATTATGGTTTATGAACAATCCACCTCACAGCTCCACCAGAGAGGAATCCTTCACACAACTGAATATATAACCTGAGTTTTTTACTGCTAAAAAAGGGGTCATGGTCAGATTAGACAGCAGCGGATCATTTAACTGTCAATGGATTCAGATTTATGTCAGGGTATGAATGTTTAACACATGAGATGAATGGAAATAAGAGGATTAAGTAATTGTTTCTAAAATTACAATCTTTCTCATCACGTGACCAAATGACCTTTTCGCTGCAGGTCAATGTGCGCATCACCACGATGGACGCGGAGCTGGAGTTCTCCTTCCATCCCAACACGACAGGGAGGCAGCTCTTTGACCAGGTCTGTATGAGAAACACAAAAATTATTGGTAGTTAAAGATGTCATGACACAAGAACCACCTTAGGTATCCAGACAGTTTAGGTCAACCAGATGAATCTATCAAAGGTTGTTTTATTGAGGAGTTAAATTATCTTTTGCTCATTCCACAACATAAAACAATACAATACAATACAATCAGCTACAAAGTGACACTATACCATACAATACGATACAATGCAATACGATACGATATGATAAGATATGATATGAAATGATAAGATACGATACAAAAAACCCCCAAATAAACGATACAATAACATATGATATAATGCAATACGATATGAAATGATACAATATGATATGATATGATACAATATGTTACAATACCATAGGATACAAATTGATATGATACGAAATGATACCATACAATACAAAACAAACGATACAGTACGATATGATTTAATATAATGGGATATGATACAAAACAAAACAATATGATACAGTTTGTTACAATAGGATACAAAACAATACCAAAAGATATGATATGATACAATACGATACAGTTCAATATAATGCGATATGATACAAAATAATACAATATGGTATGATACGAAACGATATGATACAGTTTGTTACAATACGATAGGATACAAAACGATACGAAAAGATATGATACAATACGATATGATAATCCAAAATACAATAGGATACGAAAGATAGGATAGGATACAAAACAATACAATACGATATGCTATATATTACAATATGCAATAGTACAATGCAATACACTACAAATGGAAATAATATGATATGACTTGACACAATACGCCACCATCCCATACCATATGATGCAATGTTTTATATGATACTTTATGATTTGGTATCATACAGTCCATTACAGTATGATATGGTAAGATATGATTTTGAGTTTTGTTATGATGATACAATGTGATATGATACTATACAATATGATATGGTACAAAATGTTGAAATATGAGACAGTGTTATGATATATAATACGATATGATAAAATACTATGATACAATAAGATTTGCTACTGCTGTATACAACAGGACACAACACTGTATGATATGAGAGACACAATAAGATACAATATGATACATCAGGGTGTCACATAATATGATAGGACATGACGGGAGATGAGATACATTGTGATATGAAATGATATATGACAAGAAAAAAAATGACAAAATATAAGTGACTTTTAGAGAAATGACAAATGAGATGACAGACAATTGAATTTCCCTTCAGGGATTAATAAAGTTCTTATTCTTATTCTTATATGGCACAATACCTTAAAACTGTTGAAGTTACAACACTCAATGCTGTTATTATATCAGTGTGTTAAACTACTACACTCACATCAAAGCAACATTTTGATTTATAGTCAAAAGTTTATGTTGTATTTGGGTTTTTTAGTCCGTCTCTTGATTTCCTTCTCAAACTGGTACAAATCTGTCACAAATTCCCCAGACAATGAGGCAGCCCTGTGTGTACCTGAAAGGTTTACTTATGAATACACTCAACCCAAAGGCTAAATTATCATTAACTTGTACCGGGAGGTGACATCACCCCCTGACTGTGATATCCTCTTTCCATGGAGCTCCTTGTATGGTGTTCGATCACTTAAACCTTTGTACTTTACAAGAATCCAGCTTGTGATAACGTTTATGCCCCACCTCAGCTAAAGGTATTGTCTTATAAGAAGAGACCAGTGTACATGAGGGTGCTGGATCAGGAATTCAGATCTTTCTCATGGTTAAAGGTGCCAAAAAACTGAAGGGTAAAAGCACAAGAAGGAAAAAAATGGTTGAGCCAAAAAAGGTTTAAATGGAAAAGTTAAATTATTGAACAGTTTAGACACAAAAGCAAAAGACAAACTTCATTCTGTTGAAGAAATTGTCCAAAAAGGATTTTGATAAAGATGAACAATTGTGATAGCCTGCTATGTCTGAATTTGTTGCTTTGGTTTCCTTCTTGTTGTTTATCTTTTATTGCCTATTATTTCATTAACATGTTAGAAAAAAGATTTACTTCAGTCAGTCATTTTGATTTTCAGTTAATTAAATTAAGCACTTTGACGTATTTAAGATAATTTTAAACTGCACCTAAAAACAACTGTGCAACAAATGTTTCCTGGAAAAAAAAATAAATAAATTTGATGCCATCCTGAAAACACTCAGCATAAATGTTGTTACACAAAAGGGGAAACAGTATTGTATCATATTGTATTTTATTATACCAAATTCTATTGTGTTATATAAAATCCTTTCTTACAATACTGCTCTATAGTTAATTAAATGTAACTGTATCAAAGGGTATTGTATCTTATCATATCATATTGTAACGTATATTGTATCGTATATGTTATTGTATAAGTTATCATCTATCGTATCATATATTGTATTGTATCATGTATGATAGCCTATATTGTATTGTATCTGTTATCATATATTGTATCAAAGGGTATTGTATCTTATCATATCATTATGTTTCGTGTATCGTATCGTACATCGTATCGTATCGTTTATTGTATTGTATATTGTATCGTATATCATATCATATATTATATCAAAGGCTATCGTATCTTATCATATCATATTGTATCGTATTGTATATCTTATCGTATATTGTATCATATATCATATTATTGTACATTGTATCGTATCATTTCATATTCTATTGTATTTTATTGCATCAAGTCTTATCTCACTATATTGTTCAATGTGATATTGTATCACATCGCAGAGTATCACATCATACCAACTCACATATAATTGTATCACATTATCTTATATCTCATATCATACCATATTGCATTGGATCCTATGTATTGTATGGTATTTAGGGTATTTAGGGTGTAGTATCTTGTTTTCATAGTACCCTATTGTTTCTCATGTACTGAAGTTTACTGTTTGTTGTTTCTCATCACGTTATAGTTTAGTCTTGTGGTTTAATATAATATGATAAAATATTTCATGTTGAATCATTCTGTATCACCGTCATATAACATCTCATTGCTGCGTATGATATCATATTATTGTCCTGTATATCTTCTCATAATATCACTCTATATTTGGTGATATCATATGGTAAAGTATATGTATCCCATGGTATCTTGTCAGCTCTTCTCTCTTATTCTCCACTCCTCTGTCTCAGGTTGCCAGGACGATCGGACTGCGTGAAGTTTGGTTCTTCGGGCTGCAGTTTGTTGACGTCAGAGGTTTCGTCACATGGCTGAACCCTGACAAGAAGGTAAAGATGTTTATTAATAACTTTGGTTTTACCTTCCTCTGCTTCACTGTGCTGTATTTGCCCTTTGATATGCACTATAACTGAAGATTGGATTCAACATCACGATGATAAGCTATGATTTGATAAGATTTGATATTATACAACAATGTGAGTGAAGATTTGATACATAGCCGACACAACAAGATATGATACACATATAAGATATGAGACAATACAGTGTGATATGACAGGAGGATATAATACAACATGATAATCCCAATTTTCTCTGCTCAGGTGATGTCCCAGGAACCAAAGAAGGAGACCCCCCTGCAGTTCAAGCTCAGGGCCAAGTATTACCCCGAGGAAGTGGTCGAAGAGCTGATCCAGGACATCACCCGGAGGCTCTTCTTCCTGCAGGTGAAGGAGGACATCTTGGCGGATAACGTGTACTGTCCACCAGAGACCGCCGTGCTGCTGGCCTCCTACGCCATCCAGGCCAAGTATGGAGACTTCGACAGGTCGGATCACCAGAAGGGTTACCTGGGCTCTGAGCACCTTCTGCCAAAGAGGTGAGTGTGAGGTGACTGGAGGTGGTTTAGAGGTTTCAGACAACTAAACGGTCAGCATGTATAACAGTCTGACTACTTAATGCTGAAATAAGTGCAAAAAAGTTTATAAAAATGATAGATTGATCAACTTTAGATTTCGTAAACGATCCAGAAAATCGACTCATAATGCCCTGAGACGCTTTCTCCAGTGTGTTGCTGACTCCTCATCTCTCCCCTCAGAGTGCTGGACCAACACAAGCTGTCCAAAGACCAGTGGGAGGAGAGGATCCAGGTTTGGCACGAGGAGCACAGATACATGCTGAAGTAAGCTTTTTATGCTCGGACAGAAACATCCTGTTTGAACATGACTTTACTCACTATCCTGTCTCTCTCTCTCTGTATCTAATAATCTACTTACAATTATGAACATCTGAGTGTTTGCGTGTTTCCGAACAGGGAGGAGGCCATGATCGAGTATCTGAAGATCGCCCAGGACCTGGAAATGTACGGCGTGAACTACTTTGACATCAAGAACAAGAAGGGCACGGAGCTGTGGCTGGGAGTGGACGCTCTTGGACTGAACATCTACGAGAAGCAGGACAAGTAAAGCAACAAACCTGTGACGTAACCCGATGGTCAAACAGCACCTGAGAGCCCCCCCCTCCATAACATCACATGTGCAGCTTGTATTGATCTCAAACAGGGTGCACACGAGCAGTCGTTGACCTCCGCTAACCTCCCCACGAGTTTTAAATAACATCTGAACGACTGGCTGTTGTTGACCCAGTTACCCAGAATGCACCGCTAAAATTTGTCTAATCATCCTTTTGTTTTTTTTTCTTTCCAGGCTGACTCCAAAGATCGGATTCCCGTGGAGTGAAATCAAAAACATTTCTTTCAGTGATAGGAAATTCATCATCAAGCCCATAGATAAGAAATCGACTGTAAGTATTTATAGACGAATCGAACCCTCAGTAAAGCGTCTGCAATGATAAGCATTTAAACTATAACTTAAAGCACCTGTAAGTAGTTTTCTGACATTTAGGGAGTAGACTGAAATTCATATAGATGTCACAGCAAACTGTGATTGTGGCACAAAGCACTCCTTTCAAATGCAGCGTCAAATAAAGATACTCTTTCAACATCAAGATCTTCCTAGTTCTCTAAATTAAACTGTCTCCTTTGGTTTTTGTCGTTTTTCAGGATTTCATTTTCTACGCTGCAAGACTGCGAGTGAACAAAGGCATCCTGCAGCTCTGCATGGGGAACCACAACCTGTACCTGCGCCGCCGCAAGACCGACACCATCGAGGTTCAGCAGATGAAGGCTCAGGCCAAACAGGAGAGGCTGCAGAAGAGGATGGAGAGGTATGACGAAGAGCCTGTCGGCTTTAAAAATGAGTCATTTTCAGGTGTAGATGATTGAAATTCAGGATGTGGTTGTTTTGTCTATGTGTGTCTGCAGGGATCAGCTGGAGAGCGAGAAGAAGAGGAGGGAAGCCATCGAGACGGAGAAGGAGAACATGGAGAGAGAAAAGCGGGAGCTGATGCTGAAGCTGTACGAGTACGAAGAGACGACCAAGAGAGCAGAGAGAGGTGAGGTGGACATGACTCAGACAGACAGTTTACATAGTTATTAATAGTTCAAACTTCAGCACCAGACGTGACTTTGCTGCCCTCTTCTGTCTGTTTGATTGAAATACATTTTAAAAAATTACTTTACTAGTTATATTTCAATCTCAACGTCTTTTGAGAAAGAATAGAAACCTTCACCCTTGTTGCACACAGTCTAAAATAAGGAGAAACTCAGGGTTGACAGGTGTAAACTGATTCATCGAAGGAGCAAGAGTCTTTTTTCTTGATTCAAATATCCACATTTTTTCATCCCAGAAAGCACTGCTGAGTTTCCTCCACGTAATGTGTGTTTAAGTTGATCATTTTCCCGTCTGATTTCATCCTCCAGATCTTCAGGAGCAGCTGGAGAAGGCCATGAGGCTGGAGGAGGAGAGGAGGAGGGTGGAGCAGGAGGCGGCCCGGCTGGAGACTGAGAGGATGGAGGCCATAATCGCCAAGGAGGAGCTGGCCAGGCAGGCGGAGGACCAGATAAAGACCCAGGAGCAGCTGGTGGGTACACTTTGCGAGATGTACTCAAACATTACACGTGAGAGAGTCCCCAGAGAGAAAAACAGTCGTTGAAAAGTAAAGCCTCGACATTCAGGGTAAACATCTATTCTATCACAAGTCTAGTTCTTATTTCTTCCCAACAATTTAAATTAAAAGTTTATTTAATCCTTAATCACTAAACACAATAAGCTCCTTCTTTTTAGATCTTAAAGTTGAAGCTGCTGGGATTATGAACAGATATTTTTAAATCACAGAACAATCAGATGTTCTTGTACTGAATGTCTTCATCCCAGGCTGCTGAGGTGGAAGAGAGCCTGATAAAGGTGAAAGAGGAGCTGACATCAGCCTTTCTCCTCCTCCTCCTCCTCCTCTTCCTCCCTCTCCTCCCCTATAGGCTGCAGAGTTGGCCGAGTACAGCGCCAAGATCCTCGTGCTGGAGGAGGCCAAGAGAGTCAAAGAGGAAGAGGCTGAGTCATGGCACAGCAAGGTGGGTCTCCAACACGCTTTCAAAGGACGTACCTGAGAGGTCACGGGGATTATCAGGAAAACGTTCAAGTCATTTTTCTATCACAAGTCTTATTTTTATTTCTTCCCAACAATTTGAATTAAAAGTTTATTTAATCCTTAATCACAAACATAAGCTCCTTCTTTTTAGATCTTAAAGTTGAAGCTGCTGAATGAACAGATATTACATTTAAAGAAAGAAAATAAAACACAGAACAATCAGATGTTCTTGTACTGAATGTAAAAAAATTTACCACGATACTTAACTGAGTCTCATCTTCGTCCCAGGCTGCCGAGGTGGAAGAGAGTCTGATAAAGGTGAAGGAGGAGCTGATCACCGTGAGGACCTCTTCTAGCGCAACTCCTCCTCCCGCTCCGGCCTCCTCCTCTTCATCCTCTTCCTCAGACAGCGAGAGCGACCATGAGCACAGCGAGGAGCAGAGCACCTACAGCGCCGAGCTGCAGGGCATCAACGACCACCGCGAGGAGGAGGAGCGAGTCACCGAGGCCGAGAAGAACGAGCGCCTGAAGAGACAGCTGCTGGTGAGTTCAGGGTTTCAGGAATTTCGTAAACAGTGGAAAGAGTTCTTCTGCCTTAGCATCTCCCTGATTTTGGAATCAATCATTTGTATTTACAGCCCTAACACAAACACACAATCACAATTTCCTGACAAAGAGCTAATCGAGTCAAACAAATTAGTTTTAGGGAATTAATGAGAGTTATTACAGACAGATTTATTAGCACCAACGATGAGAAAGGGATGTAACCCATCTTCATTTCTCATAGAGGTTGATTTGTCATGAAAGCAACTAGATCTATGAGACCATTTATTGCAGTCTCCTTAATCAGGGTTAGACACCTGGTTGAGCAAAAACACTCAACATACAAAATCAAGTGCAAATATCAATCAAACATCCGATATAGAAACAAATATGCCAAACAGAAAAGCTAAATTAATGACCTGGTTCTGCAGAGGTTATTTGAGGATGGAGGAGTTTGTTCTGAACAAGTTTTTAGATTTGTTGAACACCACCACCGAGACAAAAAAAAGAGAATTGCGAGAAAGTCTGAATTTGAGTATTTTTAGCGCGACAGTCTGAGAGGAGTGTGTCTCCAGCGAGTTAATAACCAGAGTCTCTTTCTTTTTCCACAGGCCCTGAGCTCAGAGCTGGCAGACTCCAGACACGATAGCAAGAAGACCCAGATGGATCTCCTCCACGCCGAGAACGTCCGAGCTGGCCGCGACAAGTACAAGACCCTGCGTCAGATCCGTCAGGGCAACACCAAGCAGAGGATCGATGAGTTTGAGGCCTTGTAGAAAATCACAGAAACCTGACGCTCTCTTTCTCTCTCAGATACCTCGTGAAGGCCCATTTCAGCTCTGTTTTATCTCTTTTAGCTGTCTAATCGAAACTTCACCTAAATTTTCCAGACCCAGAGAAACCTGCAGCTCCATGAGTTTTATTTTATTGGTTTAACGTTAAGCTAAGCACTATTATTTTTGTTTTTCCTTGTAGCACTCAAACATCTCCAATGTGCTGTTTGGTCCAAGTAAACATTAAAATATTAAATATCAAATAATGAGTTCCTGGTGTAATGTGTAAATAAAGCTGCGTCATGAAATCAGGTTACTATCAATGACAAAAAGCTCTGGGAGTCAGTTAAAATTAAACTTAATATGGTTGAACTTGGATGTTTTTAAAGAATATACCGTATAGCAGTCACTTTAAACTGCAACTAAAGATCATCTAGATCACTAGATTATATAAGAGTAATTCCTAGTTGTCATTTTGGATATGAATTGTTGGCTGTTTACTCAAAAATCTACATGTTTTCTATCTATAAAAATCCAACGCAAAGAAAAGAGTCATATCTACACATTTAAGATCCTGAGTTCTGGTAAAATTTTCCACTTTTTGATCAATAATTGACAAAAGACCCTTTTTCTATAATTAAAATTATGATTTTTTTTTTGACTGATTGATCGAATAAGTGTCGAATAAGCACCTGGATGGAAGACAAGACAATCTTTGGATGTGAGGGTAAAAGAGTATTTGCCAGTTTTACCTCAATATGTTCAAAATCCTTATTTGAACACTTAAAGGGATATTTTGGCGTAAAATCAAGTTAGGGTCAAACACACCGTAACACTGAGTTAGACACCCCCTGGAGAGATGAATGTTGCCGACCGCTTGCTTCTCTAGTTATACCAACTTTAGTAACAACCGCACAATAGCAATACACAGCGGTCTGAGGAGCCATAAACAAACCTCAACCAAAACGCCACTCTATAGTCACAAATAATGCTCAGAACAGCACCTAACTTCATCAACAGAACATATAGGGTCACAGCCATAGTACTAGCCACCAAACATCTTTTTAGCTTTGCCTGATTTCTTTAGCAAAGAGATGAAACACAACTCACCCACTCTCTTCCAGCAGCTGCTTGCTTGTGCAGATATCTGGGCAAGTCCATCGTCAGAAACCAAGAGAAATCAGGTTGTGAAAGTAAAGGAGTATTTGCCAGTTTTACCTCAATATGTTAAAGTTAAGTGCTGTTCTGAGCATTATTTGTGACTATAGAGTGGCGTTTTGGTTGAGCGCCTGGCTCTCTGTATTGCTATCGTGCGGTCGTTACTAAAGTTGGTATCACTAGAAAAGCAATCATGAATCACTGTTTTTGGAAAATGCTAAACAAAGGTTGTACGGGGAGCATGAGTGGAGTGACTCCTTCCCACTGGTGTTATTTGACATTAAAAATAACTAACTATAAATAAATAAAAATATAATAAAAATAAAACAAGTGATCACTCCTTATGTTTTTTAGCTCATCAAAAATATCAACCTTAATTCCAGCCTGTTTCACAATCAAAACTTGTCACAGGAGTTTTAATATTAGACACATTAATTATTAAAAGCAGCTCAGAGTAGCTTTCACTTTGGCGCCCCCAGTGGACAAAGTCTGGTATTTATTTAATGCACTGACAATCATGAGGCTGTTTGACTTTGTTCCAGACAGGAGTTCGTTGCTTCACCACTTGAGTAAATGTCACACAGGTTTAGAAAACCCATCCTAAGACTGAGCTGACAAATGCCAGGTTTAAAATTAAGTCAGTTTGAGACACTGAGACTAAACTTTTACAACTATCAGCCATACTGTCAACCTTTTTCCACACTTTTTTTCCCACTGTGGGTGACAGTTCAGTCAGTGTAATAACCTGGAGCACCTTCAAACCTCTGCTCTGAGAGTAAAGGATGTGTCTCTCCAATATTGACTCAGTGAAAGGGGATGCTTGGTTATCGTTAGGTTGCTAGACAACTTAAGAAGCCGGAGGAGCTACTTTGTTGAAATAGGCTCTGGGTAAATATTTCATCAGCGGATGAACACATGAATCATACTCCGTGTGATATTTGACGACGTTAAGGACTTCTTGTTGGGAGCTGCGGCGCTTTCTGCTGCAGAGAAGAAGACAAACTGTTTATTTTGGCTCCAGGGTTTGGGGTAAAAGGAGTGTGTGCGTAAAAACCTGGTTTGGTTTGGTTTGCGCCACAACTCCAAGTCGAAGAAGACTCTGACAGTCTGTGGGATTGCCCTGAGTTTCTTTTTCAGCAGAATCTAATTATAAGTCGGTGACAAATACTCCAAATACAGTAGCAACCCAACTGTGATGTGGGGGTGGTGCTGAGAGAACAGCTCCGTCTCCAGAGTCACCCTCCACCACCTCACCCATCCCATCCCCACCCCTCTGTTGGATCCGGAGTCCGTCAGGAGACGGTCGCAGCAGCGCTCCCACCACCTCACACTTTCTGCCTCTTTTTCTTTTTTAACTACCATGAAGAGGCAAAACGCCCGGACCCTCGCCCTCATCATCAGCATCCTCACCTACCTGGTGGTCGGGGCGGCCGTGTTCGAGACCCTGGAGTCCAAGCAGGAGAAGAGCCACAAGAGGAAGCTCGACGCCAGAAAGTACGAGCTCATGCGTAAATACAACTTGACCAAAGAGAACTTCGAGGAGCTGGAGCACGTCGTGCTGCATCTCAAACCTCACAAAGCGGGGGTCCAGTGGAAATTTGCGGGCTCCTTTTACTTCGCCATCACTGTGATAACGACCATAGGTGAGCAGCTGATTCCTCATTAACACGGTTTACACCTGAGCGAAAGCGTTTCATTAAGAGGGGATCAGAGGCAGCAGCAGGGCCGTAGTTAAACCCTGAGGTGCTGAACCCCCCTGAACAGATATCAGGGTCATGAGGGACAAATGAGGGATTATTTTTATATTATTACTATTTTATCTTCTTTCTTAAAGTAAAATAATTAAGCCACAATGTTGAGAATAGAGTTTAAGTGTTGGGGAAAGGCTTCAAAAAGTTTGTTATGTTGAATATCACGTGTAAAGACAAAAATTAAAGCTCCAGTAAGGGACTTTTGTTGGCACCCAATGTTTGGCAACAAAGCAGTCTTTCTTTGTCTTGTCCTCTGAACGCTTATGCGGTGTCTTCTAACAATAAATCCAGTCAAGTTTATCATGTGGAAAATATAAACAGGGCCGTTACTTCAGTACCTACCCCCTCACACCAGTTTTAAGGATAAAATACTAAAATATTAAACTTATAAATCTTGTTTTTGTTTGTGTTTGCATGTCAAAAAAAGGGCATCAATATGAATTAAGTCTGTTTTTGAAACGTTAAAACCCTTCACACAGGAGCTTTAAAGTGAAATCACTGAGAATTAAAAAGTCAGATTGTAAAAGATAAAATTTAACATCGTTACAATACAGATTTTAAAAGGTGAATGTTTCTGAAATCAAGTCAAAAATGTTTAGAAAAAGGTTGAAGTGTAAAAAATTAAGTTGAAATGTTGAATATGAGGCTTAAATATCACGAGTAAAGACAAAATTTAAAGCTCCAGTGATGAACTTTTGTATGCTTTAATGTTGGCACCCAATGTTTGGCAACAAAGCAGTGTTTGTATATCTTGTCCTCTTAATCTTTAAGTGGTGACTTAAAACAATAAATCTCGTTGCGACAGTCAAGTTTATCATGTAACAGGGCCGTTACTTCAGCACCTACCCCCCTCACACCATTTCAAAGCATAAAATACAAAAATATTAAAATCATAAATCTTGTTTTTGTTTGTGTTTGCATGTCAAAAAAAGGGCATCAATATGAATTAGGTCTATTTTTGAAACGTTAAAACCCTTCACACAGGAGCTTTAAAGTGAAATTACTGAGAATTTAAAAAGAAAGTTTAGAAAAAGGCTGGGGTGTAAAAAATAAAGTTGTAATGTTAAAGATAAAATTTCAATACTACAAATATATCATATGTTCAGTTAATTAGTATTTGTGTATTTTCCTCATGTTCCTGTTCCCCTGTAGTCCAGTCTTGTGAGTTTTCAGTTTTTCTTTGACCCTGTTTCCCTCCTGTTCTCTGTGTTTTATTCTTTAGATCAGTTTTCAGTGTTTATTTCCTGTTTTATTTTGTAGTGGTTGATTCCTTGTGTTTCTAGTCTGATTTTACTACCCTAGTTTTCCCTCCTTCGTTAATCACTCATGAGTTTCACCTGTGTCTCGTCAGCCTCACCTGTTGCTCATTTCCCAGTGTGGATATAGTCCCTGTCTTCCCCTCTGTTCTTGTTGGTTCATTGTTTGTCCATTTGTGCGTGTGTATGCTTAGTTCTTCATTGTTTCTTTGTTTACCCCTGCGTGTCGTGACAAAATAAAGTTAAAGATGACAGTAGCTTGGAATAATGAGTTTGTAATGGACTAGAAATCAAGACTAGAAAAATCAAAATACTGTAAACAAAAACAGGGTTTGTGCTCTGCTCTGGGGCCTTAGCGTCGCTCCTCAGGTCTGGCATCTTGTTTCGTCAAAAAGTCATGACAGAATTTAATAAAAACTCACAATTTCCCCGTCTTTCAATCTACACTGTGCTTATACAACACTCAACTTGTCGTAAACGTGTGGTTTGGGCTCCTTTGCGTAAATAAAGGGAGCTCAGGGACGTGTGTCTACATCTCTCTGAGGCCCAACCATAAGTCCAACAAAAACAAAGAGGAACGGTTAAATTTAAATAATCGGGATTAAGTCAAGTGGTTTGTTTTAGATTGAAAATTTTTAAAATCCAAATATCAAAACTTAACGTCAGAACAATAACGTCAGAAATGTGTAAAAGATCTTTTTTAGTTTGCTGAACAACCAATTTTTACAAGATAAACCTATTTCCAGTTTTGCTTTAGTTGCATAAAGAATTCATATAAACAAAGTATCCCAGAAAAGGTAAAATGATGCAGGAGTGTTCTGTTATACAAGTAGAAGTTCCTGGATTTAATAATTTCCTAGACAGAATAATAATGATGGAGAGATGTAAACGTGGTGTAGCTGGATAAACAATGGGGAAGAAAGTTAAAATCCTTCCTCTTGTGCAGACAGGTTTCCTTTATTATGCCAGATGGTTTACGAGTCTTAAAAAGGACTTTGGAAATATCTTCAGAGGAGCGATAAATGTTGTCAAAACAGCCTCCGGGTTTTCCAGAGACTGACGGGTAAAATCGTGAGATTAGCTCTGTGACCTACATCAGTGTGGAGGGGCGCTCAGTATCACATGTGAGGTGAACCAAACTACAGAGGAGAAACTCAAAGAGGTTTGCAAAATAATGACAAAACGTCGAAGACCCCACAGATGCAGTAGCTTGTTGTATTGCAAAAGACATGCTACCAATAAGCACTGCTAAATTTCATTTTTTATATCGTGATATATATCGCTATTGACTGAAAAATATATCCTGATAAACTTTTTCACATATCTCCCAGTTCTACTTACTAACAATACCTCTTAAAACTGTAGTTTGGGATCATTTGTGTGGAAAAACAGGAGCGACATCAGTTGACCACTCCGATTTTAGCTGTTTCTTGTGATACATATGAGGAAAAATTAGTTATTTGCAGTGATGCCAAGGTCAAGCAGTATCCGCTTTCACATTGAGGCCAATCCAGAAATGCAAAAAACTCAATTTGAGTAAATGTCACCAAAGAGACCCTTCATCAATCCCAAAGGTTTATCATTTTCATCCGTTTCTCCTCTTATTTGGTCAGATCTTTGTGTCACTCTCCTCCTTAAAAAGACTCCGGGTATAACAATAGAAAAACCTCAACAGCCGGTCCAGTATTTAACCACATGTTCACAGTCCTGACTCAGCATCTGTCAGGATTATTAGGCCACTTCCAGGTTCTGAAAGTGAGGAAAGAGGTGTGAAGTGACATCACGTTTTTACAGCATCTTGACTTACGACCACGTGGGAGTTATAAATACAAAGCTGTGAATTCACATCATTAAAGTCAAGCTGGATAGTGTGATCGGGCTTTTTCTATTAATGAGAGGATTTAGAGGAGGAGTGTGTGTGATGGTTTCTTTGGATTTTGTTCCTGCGAAAACTTCAGGTCTGGTCCGCATGTCGGCGAGTATCAAAAATCAGCCTCTCCAGAATAAAAGTAAAAAGATTTGATGTTCGAAGATGTAAATCTGGCGTCTTCTCTTCCAGGTTACGGCCATGCGGCGCCCAGCACCGACTCAGGGAAAGTGTTCTGCATGTTCTACGCCCTCCTGGGGATCCCGCTCACCCTGGTCATGTTCCAGAGCCTTGGCGAGCGCATCAACACGTTCGTCAGATACCTGCTGCACCAAGCCAAGAAGTGCCTGGGAATGCGTCAGACCGAGGTCTCCATGGCGAACATGGTGACTGTGGGCTTCTTCTCCTGCATGAGCACGCTCTGCATCGGGGCTTTGGCGTTCTCACAGTGCGAGGGGTGGAGCTTCCTCCACGCTTTTTACTACTGCTTCATCACGCTGACCACCATCGGGTTCGGGGACTACGTGGCTCTGCAGAGGGACAACGCGCTGCAGAACGACCCTCGGTACGTGGCTTTCTGCTTCGTGTACATCCTCATGGGTTTGACGGTGATCGGGGCGTTCCTGAACCTGGTGGTTCTTCGCTTCCTGACCATGAACATCGAGGACGAGCGGAGGGACGCCAAGCAGAGAGCTTTAATGTCCGTTTGCAAGCCCAGAGGAGAGGTGGCTCATTTACTCCCGGTGTCCACGTCGGCTGCGTCCACACCTGCGGTCGAGGACACGACGAAGGCGAAAAATTTAAAAGGTGCTTACACCGAGGTGCTTCATTTCCAGACTATATGCTCCTGTTTGTGGTACAGGAGCAAAGAGAAGGTGCAGGGCTCCACCATGATCCCTCAGGAGCTGACCTTCTCGGATCCATACCTGCAGCAGAACAGTGACTGCCCTCACTACATCGAACCCGGATCCACAGGCTGCGTTTGCAGTCCACGCCAGTGTTCGAGCATCAGCTCCATAACGACGGGCTTACAGATTCTCTCCCCGTTTAGGATGTTCAAGAGACGCAGCTCCGTTTAGCCTTCAACACGGCAGATTTCACTTCAGCACAGCGCGTCCAAACTGCCAAGTGGACAGCAGATACTTGGCAGGCCTCGCGGCGAAGACATGGCTGCAGAGTAGATGTTTGTGGTGCTAATAATCCCAGTAAACCAACAGTAGGACACACACAAAGGGAAAAGCACATACAGTACTGTAAACACAAAAGTCTTACTCAAATAATCCAGAAAGCAAAGCAAGCAATCTTTTGACCCGAGGTCTATTCTTCAGGGCCGTCCTGTGTGCTTAGACAAATCATGTACAAAGCAGCACAGAAGAAGATGCTGCAGGAGAAGGTTCGGGTCAAGTCAGCTGAGCAAAAAACAGACAAATTACGTAAAACCTCCTCGAATGCAGTAACTTACCGTTTTACCGCTCACTTCTAAAGGTTGTCGTGTTGTTTTTCTTTGTAGGACCTGTACCTCACAGGTCCTCTAAGACATTTCCCATCATAGAGTTTATAAGTTGCCTTACAATTCCCTGACAAACTTACTCAAACAAATCGTGATTGTCAAAACGTTACAGAAGCTTTCACACACACACACACACGCAACAACAACTCAACGATATGACTCACCCTCTGTGCGGCTGCCTCTGTTATTGTGATTCCTCAGCGCTCTCTGCCCAAATTTTGCTGGTGCATCAGTCACAAGCACGGCTAGGTTACGTAACGTCACAAGTGGACAAGTTCAAAACATCACGATGACATACCCCCCGAATGTGGAAAAAGTGCATCAGGAACGTGGTGCAGCGCTCTCAAGTAGACACTCAATGGCAATAAATGGAGCGCTTGAACAGGACGACGAAGCTTTAACCAATACCATGAGGGTGAATTGAAACGTGTTACAGCTCTGTAAGTCGGGTGTTGTAAAAATAGCTCCTGGGGGTCCAAAAGTAAGTCCAGATCTGCTTTGCGATGTGGTTTTATGAGTCCTTTAGGAACTTTGTGAAACCAGATTGAGGGGTTGCAGGGTTAAGGGATGTGAGAACCATTTTCTGAGAAACCTCTCTGTTGCTCTGTTGGGATAGTCACGAGTTAGACAGGAAGATGGATAAACTATCTAATGTAAAGTTTGATTATATTTAGTTAAAGACCCACTCTGATGAAAATCATGTTTTTTACACGTTCATTTTTTCAATGCTAGAGGACATATCATGAGTAAACTAAGTGCGAAATTGCATTTCTGAGTAATTCCTCAACAAGCGTGTGCAGTAGCAGATTGCAATGCTCGTAAAAAAGCTAATCATGATATTAACTTTTATCATGTCCCCAAAGACATTAGTGTCCAAGCTAATGGCGCTTCTGCTACTACGCTGGCAATGTCAGGCTACAAGCTAGCATGAAGAAGAGTGTGCAGAGCAGCGCTGTCTCCGCCCACAACTCAAAGGCGAATTGCTAATGAGCTACTGGAGCTCTGCAGAAGAAAAGTTCTTTAAAATAACAGGTAACAAGATTTTGGCTAAAACTTAATAAACACAATTTAAAGACCACTAAGAACATTTAAAGTAGTGAAAAAAACACATCGAAGTGGGACTTTAAGACACGTTTTCATGAGCAGGCTGGATTTTGAGCTTCGGACAAAGCCATACTCGCTTCAAAAACAACCAGCTTGACTCCAGGTTCATATTCAGGATACACACACAGAGGAGTGGTTCTACTTCTTCTCTGACACTCTGCAAACAAAAACAGATCGGCAAACTCGTCCATAACTGAGGCGCTGTTTGCTTTCGGTCTATATATGAGGCGAGGCGAACTCAGCTTCAAGGCTTTAGCTCCAAACTTAACCCGCGGATATCAGAGTGAAATGGTTGAACTATTCCTTTAAAGATGTCAATTCCTCTGACTACCTGTAACACCTGTTACCTCTACTGTTTTTAAGCAGCATCGACTGAATCTTAACTGACGTTTGAGGTGTAATTCTGCTTTTTTTTTTTTTTGACCTGAAGGACTTTACAGACACGAAAACACGCTGACACGAAGCTGTCCAAATAACTTATAGATGGAAGTGTGGATACAGACTATTTTAGGAGCGGTTTGGAGTGATGCAGATGGGAGTGGGTTTTATGTGTTTGTACAAGAGATAAAAGGCTTCTTGTCAGTCACAGACAATATGCAACAGGAGACGCAGACTCTGTGAGTGACAGAAGAGGGAAAAAATCCACCCTCAGATACTCATTTTCCTCGTTTTCAGGGTCTATCTTGGCGTTTGAAGCGTATCATATGTAGGCGACAATATGGGACGTCACTGGCAGCTACAAATGAAAGTCATACAAGGAGAGTTTGGAGTCACTTTTATTATTTAATCATCGTCATATTGTTCACAAAAACTCCTGAAAACTTCTTGTAGTTTTGCAAATTTGCACCCCAGCTGCACTCGCTGTTTTTTCTTTTTTCAGATAGCCTTCCCTTTGTAAAATTTCACATCAAACCAGGATGAGCTGGAGTTAGAAAGCAGCAGGAACCGTTTATGAAAGTCTCCCCTGAGTGATCAGCGGGGGCGATGATGTTCGTTTCATGCAACAGATGGGAATGCGAAAGAGTGACACGCGACAGGATGAACAAAAACATCAGGGGTTGAAGGAGGAGAAACGCTTTCCAGACAAGAGCGGCGAAGATTATAATCCTGCACATCACTCACTTCAGCTCAACACGACAGATACTAGAGCTTTAAAGATTTTCATGTGATCATAATGACAGTTTGGTTATAATCTGATTCTTTGAAGGTGGATTTTTTTCACTGTTTGGCTCAAAGAGATGAAAATACACTTTAATCCAGGTCATGTAAGAAACTCATCACATCATGAAGGAGGATAGATGATGACACAGATGCTACTCTCTGTTTAATTCAAGTACTGTATTCATTCAAACAAACTGAGTGATCACTTTTCTCTTTCTTTTTCTTTACGGACGATGGGGGAATAGTACTTGAACAAACTAGGAGTACTTGAAATAACTGTATAGCATTTTTTTATCTTAACTTGCCAAGGGAAATGTGCACAGTTGAGACTATAACAAGATAAATCTCTAAAAAAAATGTACTATTTTGCCCAGAAATTTTAAAGAATGTCTATAGAAAACATTAAAACATGGATATTGAATCCGAAACCTGTGTGTTTTGCGCTTCATTCGATGTCACAATAAGCTGAAAACCACCTTAAACTTCATTTTTTTAAGAAATGCGGCGTGTATTTCTTAGAGTACGATATAAGATGAAGTCACGAATAGCTGCCGTCTCCATGCTGTTTATCATTATGTGCTGTGTGAGGAAAAAAAACCCTGCTGAATGTATAGAAATAGCGTTTTGGTCCAGATGGTTTCCCCCTGTGAATTCTGACTGAAGTCCAGTTCCGGACAACCTACAGCAGGTTAGTCACGAGCTGAGAGTACGGCGGTGGATCAGTACGCCGTCGTTTGTAGCAGTATGTATGTTGGTTATATTAAAGTCAGACAGGAGGTGGATAAACAACAGAGACAGTTTATACCACACTGCACTAAATGCTGTTAAAGACAAGCTTTCCCCTCAAATTTGGACTTCTCTGAGCATATTTACCTTCACAATTATTGCCTAAAACATATGACAAAAGTGTAAATATGCTGAGTCATATAAAGAGCATATACTTATAAAAAGACCTGAATGTTGTATTTTCCATTTTCATCGAACTATTTCCTACTAAAATGTAAATAATCATAAATCTCATCTTTGTCATATTGAAAATGTAATGCACTTTAATGCAAAAAAATGCTTTAAATCATTGAGTAAATACTTGATAATAGCTAAAATACCGTATCCTGAAACTTTTACAGCTAAAATGCTTTATTTTGACGTGCATAAACACTTTATTTTATATTGGATATGACCTCAAGTGCAATATATTTTTTATTTCCGCAGCAGGTTTTGCAAAAGTTGGATTTCATAAATGAGTGCACATGTTGACTGAAGCCTCAAGTGAGAAATAATCAGTATTTTGTATCAAGCAGAGATACAGAAACACAATTTAGACTATTTTTGATGCACAATCCTGATTCAAATGTCTTCCTCTTTCCTGTTGTGTTAATAATCAGTGGATTCCCCCTATTTATAAACTGCATACCTTGGGGAGGCAGTTTTCAGCCACCAATATGCATTAATATGAAGTTATCCTGCTGTAAGCATCAGTAAAATAAATAACAAGATCAACATCAGGAAGTGTAAAATAAATTCAGTCCTGGCACTTCATAAATGCAAGAAAAGAAAACACAAATCCAGTAGTTGTGATTGCCAACAACCCAAGTAAACTATCAAAGTCTTAGTTTTGACTGTACAGCAATTAGGACTGTGTGTTGTTATTAAAATGTACTTGCCACTGCAACAGCGAACCATCTTGTAAGGCCTGGCCCTGTGCCTGGGACTCTGCCTTCAGCCATTAGACGTGCCCAGAAAAGCAACAGAAGGAGTACCCATTCGAAAAAATCCCTGTTTTGACCTCCTGTGGCCGCAGCATCTGCTGTTTTCTACTTTGGACATAGACCTGAGTATCTATGTCAAGGATAAAAATAGTTTCACTGCAAAAGGTCAAAGATGGCGTTACATAACTTTGCTCTCTTCATTTCAACTTATGAACATTTTCTGACATTCTAGAATTAAAGGTGTCTGTAAAGTTTTATGAATATTTGGACTGTTGAAGTTCACATGATTGGAAATGTTTTATTTTAACACCAGTTTATAAGGCTTTAAGTTGAACATAGACTCATAAACTTTCTTAATTTGAGAAATACTGCTAATATATTAGCTGAGAGTAGGGCTGGGTGATAAAACAATAACGACATCTATCGAAAATTAATTTCCCTCAATATCAGTATGAAACATGGTCAATGTGCTCATGCATGTGTGGTCATGCATTCTGCCATGTTCTGGTAGACTGTACAAATATTCAATGAAAAGGTGAATTGCTCCAGGCCTGCTTCGTGCTGAACCAATCGTGAGCAGAATTAGAACCAAGTAGCAAACAACTGCATAGTAGCAGGCTGCAGCTACATGCAACTATAGCACTTTAACACGTGAAGCCGACAGCACTGTCAATACCTATAGAGTGGCTATAGAATATAGAATACCTCAAATCTTACACTGCCTGAAGTAGAGCCACGCGGCAGAGCACACGCAGTGCAAAAGGTTACAAACCCTGTGCCTGTGCAACTGAAGCTTTCTCTAGTGGAACATCTTATGACAAAACGTTGAAGAGACACAAAGACAAGTTATATATATATATGTATGAAAAAAATATATTGTGATAAACTTTTTCCCATATTGCCCAGCCCTAGTTGAGAGAAGTATGAGAAGTTCATTTTTTGAATTTACGGGTTGTGTTTACAAAACCAAAACCATCTAACTACTCTTGAATAACTATCATCTCTAAGTTGGGGCCCCTGAGTAAAGAATCACTGCTAATAACAGGGTAAAATAGAACCAACAGTGACAAGGGAAGAAAGTCCCACCAAAACTAAGTTAAGTTCTGTCTTTGTTTGTAGCTGAGTCCCAGTTTCAGTTTTTTTTTTTTTATGCTAAAATAATTTTTTTCTGCTTTTTTATTTAGCCAAATCCAGCTAACTTTAAGCTAACTTCTTCTTCTTTTTTTTACACCTAAATTGGGGTAATAAAAGAAGCTAGCTTAAAGTTAGCTTAAAGAAGCGTCCCACTAAATCTTACTCAAGTTCTGTCTTTGTTTTTAGCTAAATCCTGGTTTGTGTCTTTTTGATGCTAAATTTTTTTGCCCTTTTATTATTGAGCCAAATCCAGCTAACTTCAAGCTAACTTTTTTTTAAAACCTTAACCAGGGCAATAAAAGAAGTTGGCTTTATAAGGTGGGCTTATTAAACAATGAGGGAAGAAAGTCACATCAAAACTTAGTTAAGGTTTGTCTCTGTTTGTAGCTGAGTCCCAGTTTGAGTTATATTATTTATGCTATTTTCATTTTTTCCCACTTTTTTATTGGGCCAAATCCATCTGGCAGCTCCCCAGCTTTGTTTTTAACCGAGCGTCAGTGAACGCCTCACAGGGCGGTCTTGTCTTGTGTTTCTGTACTCAAAGGTCCAGAGTCCACAAAAGTCCGCTCGCTTGGAAAATGGACCTGAGACACACTGTCGTGGACGCCTTATCCCAGAATAAGAAAGCTGCTCTTGTGTTCGGCGGAGCTGGCGTCGCTATTCTGGGCCTCGGTCTCGGTTATAAATACCTGCGAAAGCCTGAAAAAGCGGTTCGAGTAGGCGTCGTGTCGCAGCTCCTAATTCACCCCCTAAAGTCCGGGAAAGCGGTGTCTGTTGCTCTGGCAGAATGTCAGGAAATCGGGTTGAAGTTCGGAGAGCTGCAGGATCGGTGAGTTCTGCAGAAACCATCAGAGAACTTTTATGCACTCCTGTCAAAAGGCGTGATTTAGGCACACGAACAGCAGGTTAAACATGATCCACTCTTGGAGACTTTAAGAGTTTATGTTCCTGCATTTCTCTATCATTTATAGCAACTCACAACATTTTGCCAGCTCTGGTAATAAAAACATTAACACTTCTAAAACAGGTTGGCAGTTCAGGTGTGTGTGGGTTTGCAGCCATCTATCTATTTTTTAAAAAGTTAATTACAGCTACAAGTAGTGAAAAAGTCAATCTTCCTTCTTGGTTTTCTTTCCAGTACCATGATGGGGATCAGCCTGTAGCACTGATCAGGTGTCATTAAAGGGACTCTGGCGTAAAAATAATTTAGGGTCAAACACACTGGAACACTGAGTTTGACACCCCCTTGAGAGATGAATGTTGCCGACCGACTCTCTTCCAGCAGCCACTTGTTTGTACGGACTACAGCGGGGTGACGCAGCTCAAGGAAGAACATTTAACACATGATCATAAATGTTCTTCCTTGAGCTGCGACACCCCGCTGTAGTCCATAATGGGCTGGCCCGAGGTCTCGCTATGAACAACCGGCTGCTGGAAGAGAGTAGGTGAGTTGTGATTAATCTCTTTGCTACAGAAATCAGGCAAAGTTAAAGAGATGTTTGGTGGCTAGTACTATGGCTGGGAAGCAAGCACTTGGCAACATTGATCTCCCGAGAGGGTGTCTAACTTGGTGTTACGGTGTGTTTGACCCTAAATTAATTTTGTGCTGGTATATCCCTTTAAAACCCAGGTTGCTTTGACAGTGGTCTGTATTATTTTAATATTCCATAGATGCTCTATAGATGTCGTAGTTGATGTTTTGGTATTGTGGGCAGGTGCCAAGTCTTGCAGAAGAAGGGAATCTCCACACTGAGGTCAATCCTGTTACCTGTGGACCTTCTCCAAGCACTTTTTTATTTTTAATACCTGATTAAAACGATTGAACTTTTGATTTGAGTTTCGAAAATGACTCGTCTTCCCCTTTCTCTAATAATTATTTATCATAAAGAACTATTCTGCAGAAAGATCTGCAATCCTGCAGGCTTGTCATAAGGAATTACTCATATTTTATTTAATTGTCCAGACGATTATAACACAAATCTGTGAGGTAAAACACAGAGGGGAAATGGCATGATTTCCATCCGATGGTTAAAAATAAACCTGAAGTAAATCTGGGGTTTAATGAGTCAGCTGTAACGATGGCAACATGTGATGTCATCTGTCCTGTCTCGTATGTACACGCCTTTATTTCTGCTTTAAATCGCCAAGAGCTCAGTGTGCAGGTTTCGGTGTCAGAGTGTTGGAACCGGCCCAGGGATGCCAAATGGTGCAGATGAGGAAAATCCCTCCCTCTGTTTGTTTTGATTGCAGACACTGGCTGGTGGTCACGGAGGACGGTCACATGGTTACGGGCAGACAGGAACCTCGTCTGGTGCTGGTGTCTCTGACATGCGAGAGAGGTCATGTTTGTCTCAACGGCCCGAGCATGGAGGAGCTGCGATTCCCCGTCACACAGAACGATAACGCCATCATCAACTGCAGGTTTTTACATCAGGGTTTCTTTCTGTTAGCACATCTCAGGACGTACCTCAAAGCTCCTGTTTCTCACTTTACTGTGAATTTTCACATTAAATAGTCCCACTGAGTGATAAATCTTAATACACATGCACAAAACAAGAAATACAAGAAATACTGCTCAACTCTCACCTCTCTCGCCACACCCACCTCCAGTTTTTATCTGTTTTCCATTATTTGCATTTCTCGCTCTTACGCAAACTCGTATAAACGTCTTTTCCACCTCGTGTCTTCGGGCTGCAGAGTGTTTGGAGCCGACATTCAGGGACGGGACTGCGGCGACGAGGCATCCGGCTGGCTGACTCGTTACCTGGAGGCAGAGAAAACCCACCGCCTGGTGCACTTCGAACACCAGATGAGAGGCAGGAGGCCGACGGAGAGCGATACTCAGTTCCTACAGTTTGAGGTAGACTGGACCGTCTATCTAGATGAGAAAGTTCTCACCTCACTCATAATTAAGACAAATGTTTAAGCTGTCTCTACACTTTCTTCACTCCTTTGCCGCTTTATTCACGTTATAAAAGGTCGTCATAAAAGTAGACTTTCGTACAGAGCTGTTTTAAAGCCCTGAAAGCTGAAAATTCTCATGTGTTTTCTTGTTTTTTTAGGTGGCCTACCCAGATGTGGCCCCTGTGATGCTGCTCTCCGAGTCCTCTGTGAAAGATCTCAGCAGCAAGTTAGAGAAAGGCGTCACGGTGGAGCGTTTCCGCCCGAACATCGTCGTCAGTGACTGTGAGGCATTTGAAGAGGTCTGTTCTTGAGTTTTTAATCACGAATAAGCATTATTCTCTTTCTGTTTCTTTCTTTTTGGAAATGTTAGTCACACAATCAAGTGCTAAAAAGTCTCAAAAACAGCAGATCCTGCTTTTCTCTGCCCGAGGGTTTTTCGTTGTTTTCCTTCCCTCCTGTTTGGAAAAATGATCATTTGGTCGCTCTCTTCTGACTCATACCTCGCCCTTTTCAGTGTGAGCAGCGTGGACTAATTTTATCTCCAACTCAAAAACCAACTGTTTTGCTTTTTTCAGGATTCATGGGAGGAGATCCAGATTGGCAGCGTTCGACTGCAGCGTGTAATGTCGTGCGGACGGTAACACAGCTGACGCCTCTCACAGAATCGAATCAAACTCCAAAGCACTTCATAAATCAACTAAAATCACTCCTTAGATGCAACAGTTTTGAGATTTAATTGTTCAGTGTTGTTGTGCACGGATGTTAACTCATGTTTTTGTCGTTCTCAGATGCGTTTTCACAACAGTTGACCCTGAAACAGGAATAATCAGCAGAAAAGAGCCTCTGGAAACGCTGAAAAGGTAAAGTTTGAACTCCAACTCTTAGGAGATGTCGAAAGAGATGAATCAGGAACACTTCACAGATGGACTCGAGTGTTTGTAGACTCATATTTGTTTTGAATAATTGACTCCTTGGTGTGTGCTGCTACCAAGGAGTAGTTTATAGGGTGACCATACTTCCTCTTTACCCGGACATGTCTTCTTTTTGGGGGGCTCTCCTCTTTGTACGGGGGAGTTTGTAAAATCCTTCAAATATCCACAGTTATGTACGGAAGTTAGAAGCGCGTAGAAGACACCCCATCTGACCTGAAAAACTCTCAGATTTAACTTTGTGCGACTCCGTTACTCCGCCCCCTCATAGTGTCTCTTTTTGGGGATTCATAATATGGTCACCCTAATGTTTACCTCCACCAAGGAGGTTATGTTTCAGTAGCGTTGGTTTGTTTGTTTGTTTGTTTGTTTGTTTGTTTGTTTGTTTGTTTGTCTTTTTGTCTGTTAACAACTTTACAGAGAAAGTTACAGACGGATTGACCTGAAATTTTCACCAGAGGTGCGTCTCAGCCCCAGGAGGACCCCATTACATTTTGGTGGTGATCCAAAACACACAAAAATAAGGGTGTCGTTGGAATTTTCAATGCTGAAAAATAACCAATGGGCGGCACAGTGGTGTAGACAGGCGGAACAGTGGTGTAGTGCTTGCCTCACAACCAGAAGGTCCTGGTTTCGAATCCCGACCTGGGCATTTCTTGTTTTAGGAACAGTGAACATACCAGTTTAAACACTAATAAAAGTTAATAAAAGACACGTAACAGTAAAAGTTTTGGTGTGAATAACAATATAAGGGGGGACATGAGCTGCTTGGCGGAGGTCTGCGCTTCTCCGAGTGCTTTTCTAGTTTACATATGTCCTAAGCAGGCTCTAGTCCTTTCTGTCAACTTTAATATTTCAGTTTCAGTTGTATCTGTGAGGAATATTTTCATTTTGAAGACAGCATCTTTCCTTAGTCCTGATAAAACTGCGTGGATATCTTCATGAGCAGGCAGTATTTTCAGCCACGCCCACTTTTCCTTTAATTAATGCTGATTGGTGCAGGAACAAACACATTAGCTTAAAGTTTATAACAGACACGGAGTCTGTCCGGTCCATCTGCTCTGCAAGGTTAACCATCTGCACCCAGAAAGCTGGACTTTGAGTTATTTTTACTGTTTGGAAGTTGGATACAAACCGACTCTTTCTTCATTCTCCAAAAAAAAAACAAAAAAAACAATCCTTGTCTTTCGATGTTTTTCAAGCGCTGAAATTTTCTGAGCTGTTTGTAAAAGAAAAAAAAAGCACTTTTTCTTTCCAGCTATCGTCTGTGCGACCCATCCGAGAAGCACATCTACAAGTCGTCCCCGCTGTTCGGACAGCTGCACACGGTGAAGAAGACGGGCATCCTGCAGGTCGGCGATGTGGTCTACAAGATCACCCGCTGAATGAAGGAGACCAAGACCTTAACAGATGTGATCAATAATTAACAGCCGGAGCGTCTGAATGTGGACAATCAAAACAATCATGACATCTTATACTGACTGAGCCTGAATCAAACAACAGTGTTATAATATGACGTACATGCTGCCTTCAAGGACAAAATTAAAACTACCTTCAGCTTTTCTAACTTTTCTAAATCAGGAAGAGAGGCGCCGACAGAGACAGACATCTCCTGGTGTGTTTTGGCAAATATTGACTCAGTGAAAAGACACAACCGTCCCGTCTTTGTGTCTCATGTCGGGGTAAACATTCTCCAACCTCGTGTTTTTATGTATTTGGCACTGTTATTGAGAAGAGTCCGACAAACTTAACACAGAAAGAGGGTCAGAAGTCACCGGACAGGACAAACATGTTGAAGCATTTGATGGAAACAAAGATCAAACCCGTGACCTCTCTGTTAATGTGCAATCTTTGCCTCCATGTTGGTATTTTTGTATATTTTCGTTTAATGTACAGAAAGCACAGTTATGAATGTTTACCTCTCTGCATGTTACTTCTTCAGTAGTTATTTCACGCCAAGCACATTGCCAAACATCTTACAAGTGTTGTGAATTTAGATCATATTGGATCATATCAGCTATTTCTTAATGAACTCAGTGCGAACACTTGCAGTTACATGCAGCAGCCAGTAGAGAGCGACGCTGAAATAATTAACACAATCAGTGCCTCTAGGGAGGAGGGAAGTCTTTCTGTGTTTCTTTCAAACTTCTTTAGCACTTGTTTTTAACTTTAAATATAATTTCTGCCTTTACATGAGTTTTATATTTACAGATTTGCTTAAATTTGAACCAGAAGATCTGCTGCTTTAAAAGAAAATGTCACTTAAGGAAACTCTTAATAAAAACATGCAAAGACAAACACCTGTACTCTTTTTTTTATGTTTTTAAAATATTTTTTCATTCATTTTAAATCCACAGATTGATAATGTGACCAAATATAGTTATTTCTACAGGGTTGTGGACTGGTGCAGTTTGGATGATGGGAGTGTTATTGAATTTGCAGATTTATGACTTAAAGGATAAATCTGACATTGAGGTTTTTTTCTGATCTGTTTACATAATTTCTGCAATCAAGGCACAATGTGATGCTGATAACTTTTTCATCTTGAGCTCAGGATGGGAAGTTCAAATGGTGTTTGTGTCCCAACAGAGGGAATTTGACCTTTAACTCTTTATTTATTGGTCAAATAAAATAAGAAAATCAGAAATTAAGAGACATGAAACCATCTCTAGGTTGCTTTTGAGTAAAACTGCAAACATGGCTTTTGAAAAAAAAAACAGTTTTTACTTTAAAAAGGTGCAAAATCAAGAGCTAATTGTACTGGCTTAATCTGTATAAAACAAATAAAAATATTGTTGAGTAAAAACAAATCCCAAAACAGAAAGAAAACACAACTTTAAGAAAACTGCATATTTCTGCATTCTATCAACTAGATTTTTTATTATTTAATTTTTATTTTTGTATTTAAGTTTGTGTTTTTTTTTGGTCTTCATTAAAATATTACAAAGTATTTGTGAGTTGACCTTCAGGGCCACCGTACTTTTCTTCATTTCTAGCCTTGTTATTAAAGAATCAAACTGAACTTTTCCTGTTAGAGAATAAACAAAACAAAAAAAGGTGCAAAATCAGAGAAAAAAAAGAGTTGTTTCTTCTCCTGTTATGATGGCCTACTTCTCTCACTGTAATTGTATAGTATATAGTACACTAACTGCATTCCATGTGTTGAACAGTACAAACTAATAGTATTGTAGAGTGTAGTAATTTCATAGACGGGGGCAAGTCTCCAACCCACCTGACTCCACATCTGAGAAAAACAGAGCTGTCAAATAAACAGAGCTGTGCGTAAACAGATAACAGGACTCCATAACAGGACAGTTTCACCACAGGATAAGTTAGAGTATAAAAAGTCTGAAGTATCAAGAGTTAAAACTAAAAATCACATCTCTCTCCTGCCAGGAATTTGACCAAAAAGACAAAAACACAAGAACTTGAAAGTATCCTCTGTTTAAAGAGAGACTACCATCCTGTTCTGTCATTTCACACGAGAGCTGAGCGCCGCACTTACTTACTTTAAAGGTGCCATGCTTCCCTTTAACTTCAAAGGGCCGCCCCTCAGGCAAAACAGCCGCAGGTAACGACACACAGAGTTAATAGGAGTGATTGCACAACAGGAAAGGAGCATCTTTACCCTTCAAAACTGGTACTTTTAGGAAAAACACACGGCTTTTTAGGCCTCGACTCACAGTTCCAGGAAGCCGTGCTGCGTCGTCTAAATCGGTTGAGCGTTTGGCACAAATGTGTAGTTGTGCGTGCTGGAGGTCTGTAATTTGTAAGGGTCTTAGGCTCAAAGAACTTCAACGTACACCGCAGCCTATAGAGGACTTTAATTGATTTTGAGCAAAACAGACCTGCTAATCTAGACCCACCAACGTTTCATTACTTTTTTGTTCTCTAATCAGTGTAATTTATGCTTCGTGCAGCATGTGCAGAGGTGGTTTGGCAGACGAAAGTGGTGGAAGAAGGTGGTGGGAATCAAGGATTGGGAAATTTAAACCTCTAAAACACGAGATCCACATCTTCTGTTAATGCCGTATCTGCTGTTTTGGATATTTCTGTATTTCACAAGCTTTACAACTTAATGCTTTACATGCTCCCTGTCCTCCTGCCGCATAATCTTTGTTAAAGTTTAGTATTAAAGACCCACTCTGATGAAAATCAAGTTTTTCTTGTTTTATATCATGAGAAAAATAAGTGTAAAATTGCATTTCTGAGTATTTCTGCATTCAAATCACTGTGAATCTCCGGCAGACCCAAACAGCAGGATCAGATCCAGTGAGATTTCCTATGTCACAAACCCAAACTCCGCCCCCGAAGCCCAGCTGTGCAGGCCAGACTCAGAGAAATAGAGAGGACGATCGCGGAACAAGCGTGTGCTACACAGATTGAAATAATTATGATATTAGCTTTCATCATGTCCCTGAAGACATGATTATCTGAGAGCTGAATAGCTCCTGTGTTACCTGTGTCTTCTCCTACACCGGCACTCAGAAGCGAATTGCTAATGAGCTATTTGACCTCTGCAAAAGAAAAGCCCTTGAAAACGACACAGGTGACGTGACTTTGACTAAAAACTTCATACTCACAGTTTGAAGACCACTGAGAACACTTTTAGTAGTAAGTAAAATAAAAAAGTGGGACTTTAAGATGTTGATCTGTATGTGAGAGCATCATAAAGTTTTGGATTAAGGAGTAATCTGATGTTTATTTCTCGTCCTGCTCACTAAATGTTGTTCCTTACGTGTTGTTTAAGGAACCCGATGGCATGATCCTGGATGTCGTTTCTTCACCTCCTCCCTGTCAATCATGTGCATTATAACATACGACTGTGTTAAACAGAGTGTTAAGGTTGTGCGATAAATTATACGGCTTGGCTTGAATATTTACGATATTAAGAAGATAAATCATCAGACCTTGACATGACATTTACTATTGAAGTGTAAATGAAGTGTGAGATGCTTAAAGGTGAAGCTGTTTTCACGCCGTGCTATGATAGCTACCGTGTGTTTGTTATGTCATGTTGATGATACACAAGATCGAGCTGGATTCGAGGCCATGCCCTCAGGCAACCTCTCTCCGAACAGTGCCAAAACCCCAGAGTTAAAAAAAGGTCACTTCAGCAAACATAAAACATCGTGTAAGAAAGAAAGAAGAAGCTAAATTCTGAGATTCACCCCAGAAAACACGAGTATGTTTGCACTCGGCGTAGCTATCCATGTACGGCAGTATGGCTGTAACACAGGCCGCAGTCTGCGTGGTTTTCGTTATGACCAGTTGTGTAAAGTTTAATTACAGACATACACTCATATACAGAAAAGACACACTTTCTTATGTTTATTTCTGACACTCTTATGTGTTGTAAAGTGAGAGAAAAAGTGTGAGAAGTTGTTTTTTTGTTTGTTTCTGTTTGCTGCTATTTTGTCCTTCAGACCTGTTTGATAGATTCTAATTACAAACAGAGTAGTGATTAAGTCAGACCAAACGATTTCACAACAGTCAGACATAAAAATCGGACTGGAGTGGTGTCATTACGAGGATAATTGCAGACAACAATTGTTCGTTTTGTGGCCTAAAGGAATAAGTCAACATTTAGAGGATATTTCAGGGATGTAAACTGGAAATAAAGGAAAGAGCTAGCTTGCTAAAACAAAGACGCAACATTAGTCTGCTTTAAAAGTTAGTTAGGAGCCAGGCTAGTGGTTTCAGTATATCCCTTATTGATGCTGAGGTTAACGAGCAGTGCAGTTCGTCCTCTTCTTGATTCGATGGATCAGGATGGTGGAGAGTCAGGGAAGGCATGCAGCAAAGTGTTGGGGTTGGTATCCACCGTGAGGTTGGAAAGCGTCTTTAAGGTTATTCCTGTTTCAAAAGGTCCCAAAGGTCCCTTAATCTATAAGGCAATCATGTCTTATGTTCTGTTAACTTAGTTTTCTTCTTCTCCTGGTTTTATTTGAGTGGTTCCTGTTCCCCTGTTTTGAGTTTTCAGTTTGTCTTTGACCCTGTTTCCCTCCTGTTCTCTGTGTTTTATTCTTTAGATCAGTTTTTTAGTGTTTATTTCCTGTTTTATTTTGTATAGTAGGGTCTGTTAGGTGAAAAATCGTTACACGGTGGATAAAAGCATGAAATTTGGCACATATGTCCCTTAGGTCATCCCAAAACATCCTAGAAGGGGTGCCCAAAAAAAAGGCTAACAGGAAGTGAGTTATTGACAAAATTCTAAATGGCCGCCTAAACAGGTGACAGTTTACTCAAAAAAAACACCTAAAGAATGTCCAAAAATCATAAAGTTTGGCACACATGACACACAGTGGTCTCCAGATCTTTTACACAAACTCAGACCAGAACACCCTTTGTTAGTTGGTTCTACGATTATGTTTCCCAGAGGATTAGCCCATTGTCCCTAAAAATAAAGACCAAATATTAAAACAAGGGGACATTTCAAAGGTCCCATCCTGGTTCCCAGTCCTTTCTTCTGATTGTTGTACATGGACTTGTCCTAACACCATTTTCATAATACGGAAAAGGGTTGGGACCAAGAGGATAATTTGAATTGAGAGAAAATAGGACAGCGGGAACATGGGACCTCTGTAACCAAGAACCATGGGAACTTAGGACCCAACAAAAACACAGAACCAGGAAACTTCCATCAATATTTTTGAAAAAACAGACCCAAGACGTGTTTCCTGAGATGTTACCTTGTTTTTTTCAACAACTGCTCATTTCACAAACAAAAAATTTACAAAACACAAAAACAGTTTTAAAGTGCGTTTACATTTTTGTTTCTAGAGTTTTCCCTGAAGTTTGTTCTGCATCGTTTGGTTTCCTGTCACATCAAAATTGGTCTCTGTTTCATTCAGAAAGGTGTTATAGACTCGTGGAGGTTCTTTCACTTTGATGCTGTTCTTCGCTGGTTTGTTCGGCCTCTGCGCCCCTTTACCCTGAGGGACTTTCTGCGATTGAATTTTGCCTTTTTTCGGGTTCTTCGGTGTTTTCAGAGTGTTACTTTTAAAATCAGCCGTAGATGTTTGATTATTTCTCGGTTTCACTTTGTCTTTAGCGGCCTTTACCACAGATGTCTTCTTGAATTGGTCCTTCTTCAAGTTATTCTTCTTAGCTGCCGGTTTGTTCGGTACTTTCTTCTTCTTCTGCGGTTTCAGTTTGTTTTTCTTGTCCAGTGATTTCCACTTGGGCTTCACGGAGGTGCTTGTCGTGGTTGCAAAGCTGGTTGGAGTTGCTGTCGATCTAATCTGGTTTCTTGTCACTGGCGGTTTGGTGGGTAGTTTGAATTTCCTCGGCGGTGGTCTTGTCGGTTTTTCATTCGTGTCCAGCACAGTCACTGAAATAGGACAGATGTTCGTAAGTTTGGCTTCTGCAGCCACATATGTTGTTGTTTTTTATGTGGCTGGGTTTCATTTTTGGATCTGAAAACGGGGCTGAATGTTTGAAATGTTTTCGTCTCTTTCTTTTTTAAGAATGTTTGAAGTAAAATAGGACTTCTTTTTATAGTTTTATATGTGATTATACAATTTGGCTGCAGGTTCTGCTTGAAACAAGAAGTCAGCGGTAAATGAAGACAAGTTGTCGGCCTGCCAGAACAAATTGCTTGCACTAAACTCTAACATTAGTCGAATTAACTTGATGATACGCTGCTTTGTGACGTTTATATCTACTCTGCTTAAATCGGACAAAATTATCCTCACTCTCAAGACTGAAAACATCACAGACATGTTTCAGTTGAAGGCTCAATTATAGAGGCTCAATCTTGTCAGACAGAAATTAACCTTTTAAATCACTTTTCAAAAGAGTCTGGTACGTGCACGTCGTAAAAATGACAGATTAAGTTATTACGAGAAGTAATGATTAAAAATGCAAAAGGCAAACTGAGGTGACTTACATTCCTTCGGCACAAAAGGAACCTTTTTTCCTCTCACTTTGACAGGCAGCGGCTTCTGCTTACATTTCCCCGGAGGAGCTCTCCTGTAAAGGTTCAAGAAGAAGCGTTGAGAGGCTCTTGAGGAGTTCAGGGATGAAACGTGGAAAAGAAAAACATTACAGGGTTTTCTGAAGTGGGTAAGAGGTTTTGATTGGATAGAACTTTTTTATATGCCGTACCCTCTCACTGAAATGTTGGCTTGGGAAGTATAAATAGTTTTCTTGTCAATGGAGTGGCAGAAAGACATCCAGACTTATTTTACTGATCTATATTTCTTGAGACAATCTTGGACACGTCAATAAGGTCATATCTAGCATCACATAAAAAATACCAATTGTCCTTTTTTTTTTTCACCTCTCTGAACCTTTGTTGTCGTACCAAAGTCCAGGACTTGGAGGTCTACGATTTATCTATCCATTCAGACTATTTCAATCTTGTTGTTCGTCTTTTTTCGATAAGACCCAGTAATTTATTCAGTGTTAAGCAGCTGGTCCGTTTGTTAAACCGCACGCGTTCAGGTGCTGTCTTGTTAAACTACACCGCCAGCCAGGACGCCTGAAGAAACGGCATGAATCTTCTGTTTTGCTTTCAAAGATTTTACTGCCAATTCAGATGTTTGTTGAAGAACCATTAAAGAGAAGAAGGGGATCTGCTTCAACTCCTACAGATACCGCTTCAGGTGATCCAAGCAATGAACGCATCTCATTGATTGATTACTTTTGGCTATACATATGCCTCCGCTAATGCAAGAGCACAACGCATGCATTCACATAGAGCAGATTAAAGACGACAGGAAGTCACACAACAAAACAACATTGAAATATCGGGTTAGTTTTCAGAGATGTTATGCAGGCAGTAAGCTATTGATGCTGCTCTATGCTGAACAGAGCCAAAAGTGATAACGCGGCTGGTTGCATCTTGCACGTAAACACCTTGATGGACCCAAACTGACTTTAGTGTTGTCAAGGTGCGGCCTACTGGGCTGGGCTTTGACCTGGAAGTTGATAAGCATCGGCGCATTGAAGACAACTGGAAAGCAGACTTGACTGACGAGCGTTAAACTAGCTGTTTGTAAGAAGGCTAAAGGCCTCGGGTCTCGGGTAGGACAATTGAAAGTTAGGTTGAGTCTTCATTATCGATATGGTGGCCACAAATAGGCCACCTCAGGTTCAGGTTGATGGTTTGTGTTCCAACTCCTTGTCTATTCGAAACGGTGTCCCTCAGGGGTCCATACTGGGTCCTATTTTATTTACTATTTATATTAATGTATTATGTCAAAATGTAACTGATGCCAATTTCCATTTTTATGCAAATGATACCGTTTTGTATTGCTCAGCTCCATCATTAGCTAGTGCAACAGAATATCTGCAGTCTGCTATTCAGAAAAATCTCTATCAATTAAGACTTGTACTAAATACTGATAAGACTAAAATGATGTGCTTTTCAAAATCATTGAGATCACATGATGTTTGTCAGATTGTTACTCTAAATGAGAAATTAGTTGAACGAGTTTCTGTCTACAAATACCTGGGATTTCACTTGGAAGAAAATTTGTCCTTTAGGCACCATATTGAATGTCTTACAAAGAAACTCCGGGTGAAACTGGGTTTCTTCTATAGAAACAAGGGTTGTTTCTCCTTTGGTGCAAGAAAAAGGCTTATACAGGCAATGTTTTTATCCATACTTGATTATGGTGACTTCTTATATATGCATGCAAATCTTTCTTCTTTAAAAATGCTGGATTCAGTGTATCATGCGGCATTAAGATTTGTAACTGGCTTAGATTTCCTTGTTATGTTTTTCCCCAGTACCCTTGAGAACTTTTGGATTTTGCCCCTTTTTTATTTATTTAAAATACTAAGTCTGATACTGCACCTTGAGGGGTCCATGAATTTATAAACGGTTCCAAAAGGAGATATGGCACTCGGGTACGCCGTGGCCAGAAAATACAGTTCACCTTAAAGAAACAAGAACACGCCATGAGTACAGATAACTAACCCCTAACCCCTAACCCTAACCCTAACACCCTAACCCTAACCCTAACCCTAACCCTAACCCCTGACCCTAACACTAACCCCTAACCCTAACCTTAACCTTAACCCTAACCCTAACCCTAACCCTAACCCCCTAACCCTAACCCCCTAATCCCCTAACCCTAACCCTAACCCCTAACCCTAACCCCCTAACCCTAACCCCCTAACCCTAACCCCCTAACCCTAACCCACTAATCCCCTAACCCTAACCCCCTAACCCTAACCCCCTAACCCTAACCCTAACCCCTAACCCCTAACCCTAACCCTAACCCCTAACCCTAACCCCCTAACCCTAACCCCTAACCCTAACCCCTAACCCTAACCCTAACCCCCTAACCCTAGAGATGGATTGAAGGATACCTGCTTCATCTTCAGCAAAAGAGATGATGAACTTGTGGTGATGGTTGATGAGTCCAGGGAAAGAGCAGGTCTTTGTGTTGCCCATGCAGACACTCTTCTCCTTCCAGGTACCTGTCGTCTTATCTTCCTCTAACGCCATGATTCGTCTGCAAGATGGACAAGAGTCATAGTCAGAGTTTATCAGTAGACATAGACAGAGGGATTTAATAATTCAATAAGGGTGATACAGCAGCATGGGAAACCATGACTTTGAGATCCAGAAAAGTGATAAATATATTTGTTCAAAATCAGAATTTCAGACTCTTCAGAAGTTAAAGGAGACCAGGAACAGACTAAAAAAAACTCAAATAAGTCATGGGCTTTTCTATAAATGTAAAAATGCAGCACAGCTGAGGAGACAGGCTAAAAAAAAACAGGTCATCTGTTTTTTCTTCACCCCCAATAAGCTGGAAGGAATTCAAGAGTTTTTTTTTTAAACCCAACAGTTGGAGTAAAATCTTTGGCTCAGATCAGCACAATCTTACCCGCTCATAAAGTCTCCGAAAATGTACAGGCCGTTCAGATTGGGTGATTCACATCCTCTGTACACATATCCCCCTGTCACAGACTTCCCAACATGATGGCTGTACGCGAATATAGGGAGGATGTCATCTGTGGTGGTGGCAGAGAAAGGATGAACAGAGACTGAGTAAAGCTGAAAGATTGAACGTGTTAAAACATCAGGCGTCTCTATGTATACTCACTCAAGGAGGAATTGTGGCACAGCTTCAAATCATAACACTCAAAACCCTCCTTGGCTCTCCATCCGTAGTTCCCTCCTTTCTCGATAATGTCGATCTCCTCATAGCGGTTTTGTCCGACATCTCCGCAGAATATCCTGCCTCTGCCGTATCGGCTGACCTGGTCGCCGCGGTCAACAGAGCATCGCCACATGTTTCTAACCCCGTATGCATAAACTTCTGGACGAGCATCTAGATCATCCAAGAACGGGTTATCAGGGGGGATCCTGTAGGGCCTCCAACTGGAGTCGCTTCCATCGACGTCGATACGAAGCACTTTCCCCAACAGAGCGGTCCTGGGTCGGAAAAAGAGGTGAGATGAGGGGTCTTCAAATGCATTAGCTGCAAAACCAGAACACCAGTTTTCTGACTTACTTGTTTTGTGAGTTTCCGTACTTCCCGAATGGATCTCCAGCTTTCCCGCCATCACCAGTGAAGATGTACAAATATCCATCAAGTCCAAACAGGAGCTGGCCCCCATTATGATTAGCAGCCGGTTCCTCGATCTCCAGTATGACCCTGAATGGAAAAAGGATGTCGTTGAGTTCAGTCACATCCTCCAGAGATGATAAAGATGTTTTACTGAGATATCTACCCGGGTGCCATGATTCTTAAGCACGCCCTCAGGTGAAGCTCTATCCAACATTTACCTTATCAACGCCAATGCTTGAAGTTATGTCACTCGTTCCAGAGCTGTAATTATTTGTCTAACACGAGGAGGTGATAACAGAGCAGGCCTTGGGGGTGAAAAAGTCCCCTACATTATAGAAAAATTAACATTCTTATGTGTGGAGCGAGAAGCATAGTGAAGGTCTTCTCAGGATCTGAAGCAGGTTAACAAAAAACTCTTGTTTCTTGTAGGTTTCCGTCTTTTTTATTAGACGTAGACGTCTGTCTGATTAGCTTTTAGCTTTTTGAAGTGTGGAAAACGCTGACTCAACCCAGCTTTCAATCAGTCCAGACTGTAAGGAAAGAGGAAGCTGAGACAGGCATTTAACCTCCTGGCAAACGACTTCACTAACCTGTCAGTGAAGTCAGCCATGCACCTAATCTTACAACACGATTGCATAACTTTAATCCATCAGATGAGCTTTTAAAAATTTAACCACCTGCACAGTGTGGACCAATGGAGAAATGACCTTTATATACTGGACTTTAAACATGTTAAATTTTGCTGTGAAAAAAACAAAAGAGCATTTGAACATGGGTCTAAATGGGGATTTCTGAGCTTTTGGAGCCAGCCTCAAGTGGACACTTTAGGAACTGCAGGTTTGTTTCCCACCTACAGATAGGAGTGGTATTGATCTAATTTAAGGAAAAAAAGCTTTAACCCTTCATTGCCTTTTGTATCATATTTGATACATACTTTTATAATACTTCTATCAATCAATATGATCAACAAATTACAAAAAAAAAAACACCTTAACACAGTCCGATAAATGATAAAAATGTCCTCTTGTGGTTAATCAGTTTCCAAAAACATCTGATCTATCAGACAAGATAAATAAATATATTTGTAAAATTTTAAGGACATATTTTAATTTTTTTGGTTTTCAGTAGTAAGTGAAATAAATATTTTAGCTTCAAAAAATATTAACTTTCTGGCCATAATTTGTGGTTTCAGACATTATAGGGTTAACAATATTCTTATATTTCAAGATTATAATAGAGAGATCTAAAAGCAATGACTGGAAAGTGACTTAAGCTGTGATATGAGTCCTCTTGTTGATAAGATTTTCAATCATATTTTGCCAGGTTGAATTTAGCTCTTAGCGGAAAAACTATAAACGTTATGGCATCCAGAGGAGCCTTGGCAGAAACTTGGGTTGACACCAATGATTTACTGTATCAAACTCAGAACATTTTTATGCAAGCTTTGGCACATTTACAGCCCAGCGGGTTTCTCAAAGCACAGCTCTATAACTCCAGTAGGTGCAGACTTCTAAAGCTGTGCATTACCAACCAAAACAAATAAAGGAATAAAGCTCTCCGTACCTCTCTGAGTAAGGATCAGCCATGTTCATGTCAGTGGCAGACACCTTCATCTCACTGATTCTGATTTTCTCCTGCTGCCCGTTGACCTGGATGGAGTAGTAGATAAAGAAGAGTCCGTTGTCCCTGTACTTTGGATGGAAGGCCATCCCAAGGAAGCCCCTCTCGTCCCCCAGCCATGGCGTCGTCATCACCTCTCCGCTCAAGTCCATGAAAGGTTGCTCCAGCCGGCTCCCGTCAGGCAGGTACACCCAAACAAAGCCCAACTGCTCTGCGATAAACATGCGATGGGTTTCATCGTTGCTGTGCAGCATCAGAACCGGGTTTCTCAGATTGTTGGCGACCTCTGTCAGGCACAGCTGGAGACACCCTTTGGGGTCCTGCACCACCTGTCCCAGGTTACTGTTGAGGTCGGTGCTTTTTAATACGTTGGGGTAGCAGTAGTCCTGGTCAGATAAGTCGACTAAGCTGCAGAAGGTGGACGCATCTCGCTCTGAAGTGTCCCTTAAGAGCTGGTTCTCAGTCAGATATTTGACCAGGTGACGACATTTTCCATGAAAGTCCGAGCAGTAGCTGAAACAAAGGCCAGGTAGCTCTCTGACAGGTGTGTACGGATCCTCGGCATCATAAAGGTGAGCTGCATAAGGAGAGCACTCCTAGACAGGACAACCATGAGACAGTAGGTTAGAGATATTATGACTTTAATGTTTCAGAGTGACCCTAGAAATCATTCCCCTTGACTTTATAGATAAAGCTCCTTTCAGGAACTTCATGTGTGTGTTGATTTTGTTGCCCCCTGTGGACGAAGGGGGGACCTGACACCTATAACTGTCACGCCCTCTACTTCTAGGGCCAGATAGGGGCAGCCTCTCTTTTCTCTTCTCCCCCCTCCCTCTTCTCTTTCTCCCTCTCTCTAAGCAGGTGTTGGTGTGATGCAGCTTCAGGGCGGACAGGTGCAGCCACTTACTAATCAGCGGATCGATCCGTGTGGCGGGGAGAGGAGCGCTCTCATTCATTCACCCGCTGCCATAAAAACCAGACGCTTCCCACAACCCGACGCTGGACCGTAACCTGAAAATCCCTTGCCCACTCCGCCTGCTCTTCCCGTCTGCGTACCCAGCTCTCCTGCTCTTCATCCCAGCTCCGTCCAGGACGCCGCCTCACGCCATCACCACCTGCCTCTCTCCCTCCAGTCGGAGTTCACGGACTGCCTGCTCACTCACTCTCTCGCTAGCTCTGGTAGTACCCGACCCTGTCTCGCGTTTTGCAGACAGCGCTTTTTGTTATTTGTTCTGACCCTGTCTCGCGTTTTGCAGACAGCGTTTTTTGTTAATTGTTCTGATCCTGTCTCGCGTTTTTGCAGACAGCGCTTTTGTTAATTATTACTGTTCCAGTCTCGCGTTTTGCAGACAGCGCTTTTTGGTTAATTATTACTGTTCCAGTCTTGCGTTTTTACAGACAGCGTTTTTGTTAGTTATTACTGATCCTGTCTCGCGTTTTTCAGACAGCGCTTTTTGTTAATTGTTACTGCCCACCTTAGTTCCGTTTTCCTATTTCTGTTTGCAGTTTTGGACCAAATAAATATCTGTTTAACTGAACTGCTCTGACTTGAGTCTCTTTGTCCGCATTTGAGCCTCGGTGCCTGAACCGTGACAGTACGGTCCAGCCAAGATGAGCTCAGCAGACAAAGAGACTGGCGCGGAGGCAGTCTCCCCCGCTACCACGTTTCAACAAGCTATTGCTAATCAGGAATGCGTGTTAGCTCAACATGATGAATTGTTGCGTTCCCTGGTCAGTAGTAATCATGTTATGCTTAATCAGATCTCTGAACTAACCACCCAGTTAAGAGGGTTGGCTGGTCAAATTGCTAAGACTGCTCCCCCAGGCTCAGCGTTAGCCGCTAATCCTGTCTTGGCTAGCGTTAGTGTTCCACCTCCCTCTCGTGAACCTGTAGTGCCTGTACCTGAACGTTACAGGGGGAGTTAGGATCCTGCCAGGCCTTTTTAACTCAGGTTTCACTAGTTTTTGAGATGCAGCCTCTCTCCTATGCCTCCGATCGTTCAAAAATAGCTTACACCATCGGGTTATTGTCAGGACAGGCGAGAGAGTGGGGCACGGCTGTTTGGGGACGCCAGGACAGTGCCTGTGAGTCCTACGCGGCGTTCGTGGCAGAGATGAGGAAGGTCTTTGACCACCCAGTAAGCGGTAACAACGCCAGCCACCGCCTCATGGCCATCTCCCAAGGGACAAGGAGTGTCGCAGAGTTTGCGGTGGAGTTCCGGACGCTGGCTGCAGAGAGCTCCTGGAACGACGGCGCGCTCCAGGGAGCCTTTTACAAAGGGCTAGGTGAGGCCCTAAAGGACGAGCTGGCAACTCGTGACGACTCTCCAGACCTAGACCACCTCATCGCATTAGCGATTAAGATTGACAACCGGCTCCGGGAAAGGAGGCGAGAACGCAGCGCCCGCTCTGTACTAGGACCCACCAGAACCCCAAGTGCCCCAGGCCCCAGAACTCAGCCGGACCCCCCGCCGGAGTCTCTCCCAGAGCCAATGCAGATCGGCCGGGCCCACCTCACTGAGTCGGAGAAGTTACAACGTCGGTCAGCAAACCTGTGCCTGTATTGTGGGCGTCCGGGTCACTACATTGCCTCCTGCCCCGCCCGTCCGCCAAAAGGTCCGGCTCGCCAGTGACGGGGGATCTGCTGGTGAGCCGTACTACTACTTCGCCCCCACAACGTCTCCAAGTGGCCATAACCCTGTGTTGGCAGCGTCAGCCTATCCCTCTTCTAGCCCTGGTGGATTCTGGGGCTGAAGAGAATTTCCTGGACTCTCGCCTGGCGTCCCAGCTCGGCATTCCCACAGAAACTCTTGACGCGCCCCTGGAGGCTCGTGCTCTGAACGGACTCCACCTGGCCCAAGTCCGCCATAAGACTGTTCCGGTCTCCCTGGTGGTGGGGGGCAACCACCATGAGACAATTTCCTTCCACCTCATCGACCAGTCTAGTCCACCCTTGGTTCTTGGGTTCCCTTGGCTCCAGGTCCATAATCCCCACATTGACTGGCAGCAGGGGGAGATCCGTTCCTGGAGCCGGGAGTGCTACCAACGTTGCCTGACATCTGCCCTGACTCCTGAAACTCGAGCCAGCCCCCGGGCCCTACCTTCCGAACCCCTCAACCTGGACCTTGTACCTTCTGTGTACCACGATCTGGCCATGGTTTTTAGCAAGGATCAAGCCCTGTCTCTGCCCCCACACAGACCCTACGACTGTGCTATAGACTTACTTCCCGGAGCTACACTACCCCGTTGCAGACTGTACAACCTGTCTAGACCTGAACAGGCCACCATGGAGTCCTACATCCGCGATTCTCTGGCGGCTGGCATCATCCGCCCCTCTTCATCCCCTGTCGGCGCTGGATTCTTTTTTGTCTCCAAGAAGGACAAATCCCTCCGTCCCTGCATAGACTTCCGGGGCCTCAATGACATTACTGTTAAGAATACTTACCCCCTTCCCCTAATCAATTCTGCCTTCACCCCGCTGCATGGAGCCTCTGTCTTCACCAAACTGGATCTTAGAAATGCCTACCACCTCATCCGAATCCGGGAGGGCGACGAGTGGAAGACCGCCTTCAATACTCCCCTGGGACACTTTGAATACCTGGTCATGCCCTTCGGCCTCACTAACGCCCCCGCAGTTTTCCAGAACCTCATCAACGACGTCTTGAGGGACATGCTCAATCGGTTCGTCTTCGTCTACCTGGATGACATCTTAATATACTCCCGAAACCTTGAAGAACACGTCTGCCATGTCCGCCAGGTCCTCGAACGTCTCCTCCAGAACCGCCTCTTCGTCAAGGCAGAGAAATGCGAGTTCCACGCATCCACTGTGGCTTTCCTGGGATTCATCATCTCCTCCGGGGAGGTCAAGATGGACCCATTAAAGGTGGAGGCAGTGACTGAGTGGCCCCGTCCCGAAGACCGGAGACAGCTTCAGCGCTTCCTTGGTTTTGCAAACTTCTACCGCCGTTTCATCCGAAATTACAGCTCTGTTGCAGCCCCCCTGACCACCCTCACTTCCACCACCAAGATCTTTTGTTGGACCCCTGAAGCAAACAAGGCCTTCTCTGAGCTGAAGCAACGCTTTGTTTCGGCGCCTATCCTGATCCAGCCAGATCCCGAGAGACAGTTCATCCTGGAGGTGGATGCCTCGGACACCGGGGTAGGGGCAGTCCTGTCCCAGCGGGCTGCGACAGACCAAAAACTACACCCCTGTGCCTTCTTCTCACGGCGTCTTACCCCCGCAGAGAGGAACTATGATGTCGGAGATCGCGAGCTGTTGGCCGTCAAGCTCGCTCTGGAGGAATGGCGGCATCTGTTGGAGGGTGCCCTGCAGCCTTTCATCGTGTGGACAGACCACAAGAACCTGGAATACATCAGGTCGGCCAGGAGGATGAATTCCCGCCAGGCCCGCTGGTCCCTCTTCTTCAGCCGCTTCAACTTCTCCATCACTTATCGCCCCGGGTCCAGGAACACCAAGCCTGATGCCCTGTCCCGTCAGTTCTCCGGAGAGAACGCCCTGCCAGACCCAGAACCCATCTTGCCCCAGACTCGCATTGTCGCCTCCCTCACTTGGGAGGTTGAGGCCCAAGTACTCCGGGCCCTAGAACAGCAACCTGACCCCGGAGGCGGTCCCCCAAACCGCCTGTTTGTCCCAGAAGCCGTCCGCCCGCAGGTCCTCATGTGGGGGCATACCTCTAAGTTCGCCTGTCATCCCGGATCTGCCCGCACCTTAGAGGTCCTCCGGCAACGGTTCTGGTGGCCCACCATGGAGGCAGACACCCGTGAGTTCACCCTGGCCTGCTCCGTCTGTGCCCGCAACAAAACGTCCAATCAACCCAGCTCCGGATTCCTGCGGCCGCTTCCCATTCCCAGGAGACCCTGGTCCCACATTGCAGTGGATTTTGTCACAGGCCTCCCTCCTTCCCAGGGCAACACCGCCATATTAACCATTGTCGACCGGTTCTCCAAATCTGCCCATTTCCTTCCCCTGCCCAAGTTACCCACAGCCATTAAGACTGCAGATCTTCTGGTCTCTCAGGTTTTCAGGATTCACGGCATCCCTTCCGACATAGTCTCCGACCGTGGTCCCCAGTTCACGTCAGAGGTGTGGAGGGCGTTTTGTAAGGCTCTGGGGGCCACGGTCAGTCTCTCTTCTGGTTTCCACCCACAATCAAACGGCCAGACGGAACGGGCCAATCAGTCTCTAGAGACTTTCCTACGCTGTGTGGCCTCAGAACACCCTACGACCTGGAGCAATCAACTCCCCTGGGTGGAGTACGCTTACAACTCCCTGTCTAACTCTTCCTCTGGACTGTCCCCCTTCCAGTGCGTCCTGGGATACCAGCCCCCCCTGTTTCCAGCTTCTGAAGAGGAGATTGTCATACCCTCGGTGCAAAGCTTCGTCAGGAGGTGCAAACGAACTTGGAGGAAGGTTCGGGTCGCCCTCCGCCGGGCCTCCTTGAGAATGGAGCAACAGGCCAACCGTCGCCGTTCCCCTGCTCCTGCCTACGCCCCGGGCCAGAAGGTTTGGCTCAGGGCCAAGGATCTCCCACTCCGGGTGGAGTCAAAGAAGTTGGCCCCACGCTTTGTCGGTCCGTTCGAGGTGGAGAGGGTCATTAACCCCGCTGCCGTCCGGCTTAAGCTGCCCCGGTCCATGAAGATTCATCCCACGTTCCATGTTTCGCAGCTAAAGCCGGTACGGGAGAGTCCTTTGGCCCCACCCGTCCATCCCCCTCCTCCGCCCAGGATAGTGGACGATGGGCCAGTCTACACTGTCAGTCGCTTGCTGGATGTCCGTCGGCGGGGTAGAGGGGTCCAGTTCTTGGTCGACTGGGAGGGATATGGGCCAGAGGAGCGCAGCTGGGTTCCCCGTCGCCAGATCCTGGACCACACGTTGGTCAGCGACCTCTACCGCCGCCACCCAGAGAAGCGCCTTCGTGCACCTGGAGGTGCACGTAGGGGGTACTGTCACGCCCTCTACTTCTAGGGCCAGATAGGGGCAGCCTCTCTTTTCTCTTCTCCCCCCTCCCTCTTCTCTTTCTCCCTCTCTCTAAGCAGGTGTTGGTGTGATGCAGCTTCAGGGCGGACAGGTGCAGCCACTTACTAATCAGCGGATCGATCCGTGTGGCGGGGAGAGGAGCGCTCTCATTCATTCACCCGCTGCCATAAAAACCAGACGCTTCCCACAACCCGACGCTGGACCGTAACCTGAAAATCCCTTGCCCACTCCGCCTGCTCTTCCCGTCTGCGTACCCAGCTCTCCTGCTCTTCATCCCAGCTCCGTCCAGGACGCCGCCTCACGCCATCACCACCTGCCTCTCTCCCTCCAGTCGGAGTTCACGGACTGCCTGCTCACTCACTCTCTCGCTAGCTCTGGTAGTACCCGACCCTGTCTCGCGTTTTGCAGACAGCGCTTTTTGTTATTTGTTCTGACCCTGTCTCGCGTTTTGCAGACAGCGTTTTTTGTTAATTGTTCTGATCCTGTCTCGCGTTTTTGCAGACAGCGCTTTTGTTAATTATTACTGTTCCAGTCTCGCGTTTTGCAGACAGCGCTTTTTGGTTAATTATTACTGTTCCAGTCTTGCGTTTTTACAGACAGCGTTTTTGTTAGTTATTACTGATCCTGTCTCGCGTTTTTCAGACAGCGCTTTTTGTTAATTGTTACTGCCCACCTTAGTTCCGTTTTCCTATTTCTGTTTGCAGTTTTGGACCAAATAAATATCTGTTTAACTGAACTGCTCTGACTTGAGTCTCTTTGTCCGCATTTGAGCCTCGGTGCCTGAACCGTGACAATAACTCTTCACAGAGGTTACAGATATTTAACGTTTAGTGTTGTTTTCATTGACGATGACGTTGACGAAAATATTTCGTCGTCATCGTCAACGAAAACAACACTGGAGAATATATGTTTAGCGTTTGACATAATGAAATGCTCATGAATTTTGCAACTCTGTTCGTCGTCCACCTCTAACGTTTTCGTCTCGTCAACGTAAACGCACATTCGTCTCGCCACATTTTAGTCATCAAGGACTTATGTTTAGCTCGCCAACATCACTTCTTCATCGTGGAAAAAAAGCGGCGTTGACAAAATATTTTCGTCAATGAAAACAACACTGATTTAACGTTATATTTCTTTAAAAATGTCAGTCTTGTTAACTGTCTTGCTTGCTTTTTTGGGAGTATGAAGAAGTTGCTCATTTCAATCTGTTTGATAAGATGACAAAATCTCCTTACAGCTTTAGTCAACTTATGAAAATTGTGTGCGTCTTTTTTTTTAATTCTGGAACTTTTTTTGCAAAAAGAGGGATTGCAAGTAGAAATGAAAGAGGCACGCTACCTGATTAAGGCGCACAAACTGGGTTGAGCTCAGGATGAGTTACTGGTTTTCACTGGGGCATTTCAGGTTTCAGGCACCATGATCTCCCGTAACCCCTTTTCTCTCCACTGTTTTAGGATCGTTACAGCTCACAGTAAAGTTTGTCTAATATTATAAATACATGGCTCCAGTATATAGTGCTTGACTTTGGATATACTTGTGGTTAAAGTGCATCTAAGCATAATTTTGCTTTCTTGAAATCATTGTGAAATCTTGGTCAAGTTATACTTATCCATGTGTCATCTCTTTTACACTGAATTGTCTCAGTTTTTTACTGTTTGGTTTAAACTACACAAAAACAGTTGGGGTCATGTGTACGAATTAAATTACAATGAATGAAATTAGAGTTGCACAATTTCAAAATCCCCTTTAAGTTACATTTAAGAAGAGTTTACTGGGGGTCATATATAGACCAGAAGTTTTTATTTAAAAGTTGATTCAGAGATTTTGATTTACACATGTAAGACTGTGCCTCTTGACTATAATTTTAAGACACTGTAGGTTGTTGAAAGATTCCTAAGATTCTCCAGAACTGAGGAGAATGCAATAAATCTTCACTTGTTGTGCCAGAGATTTTAAACCCATCTATTAAAGCAGCTCTGAAAAGGGAGATTAATGTACCTGACACATGATTTCCTTCAGCATGTCTCCACAAAGCTCATAACCCGCCTCTCCCAGCTGGTCAATGATGTCCCAGTATCTCTCTGCGATCGTGTTATCCGTTTTCTGGTCGCAGCAGCCAAACTCCTCGTACTGTGTGCAGAATTCCAGGTGCCACGGAGGTTTAAACGGGGGCTCGAAGTCCAGACACTGAGGATGAGCTGATGCTGGATGGGTCTGAAAGAGCAACATCGCTGACATGAGCAGGATAAACTGGAGGAGTCTCGGGGACTTTGTGGATGAATCTACAGCCGTGCGTAAAAACACACAACCGGCTCCGCTTGGATGGAGCGCAGCATCCCGCGTACTTGTCATTTTTGCCGTCTGGCCCCGAAAGGGTTCAACTGTTTGCTCTGCTTTATGTAGGAGCCAGGGGGTAAGTGTTCGCGCGTGTGTGTGAATGCATGTGCTACGCGTGCGCAAACGTCAGTCTGCCTCATTTCATACCTCACCTCCAGCACTAACAGGGAGAAACACCTTGTCTGAGTTCTGCCATGAGAATGATGAGTAATCAAACATAACTAGTCCGTCGCTGTGGTCAAGGTAATCGGAATTTAAATTTATCCTCCGCCGTGTGGTTTTCCACACCGCAGCAAAGTTGGCACAAGATTACGCACAATTAACTGGAAAGAGCGCGCACTCTCATGCACGCACACATGACATAGAGCAGAGCGTCGAAGCATGCAAATATCAACAGGCTACCACAACACAGACTGTAATTTAGCCTCACATTCATGTTTAAGCGCCTCGGGGTAACGTGCTGTTTGTGCAACAATGTTTGCAGCTGCTGCGCTCCATCCTACACATCGACTGTCCCGGCATGCAACTCGCATCTGAATGTAAAAGTGTCTGTCATCAGTGTAGGCGCGTGCCAAAGTGAAAAAAGAAAAATTCTCATCCAGAGTCTGTGCTCGTTCAGTGAGATGCTTTAGTAATCAAGACCAACGACAGACTCGAGTCTGGAGTGAGATTTGAATAGGATAATGAGTATATGAGCATGTGACCTGTTGACATAAGAACGTGTAATCTGGGAAAAATTGGGTTGCCCTTATTGAACCGCAATTTAGATCAAATATGTGGCACAATACGTTTAAAAAATATAGATCTTGTGAGTTAAAGATTAAAGCAAACTTAATCTGAAATAAAAACAGAGTTCAGTAACAGATCCATAACAAACTGTCCTTCAAAGACAGCACCAGACACATTTGATCTTATGTGTTCATCACTTTAGTTAATCGAAAACTGTCTCCACAGCACTTTCTTCAAAGTTACATACCAACTTTGATATTTTACCCTAAAGGTATCACTGGGTGACAGGAAGGGGCCCCTTTAGTCCAGGGGCCACACAGTTTTCTGTCTGAGTGTCAGGCTTCCTGTGACGAGTTAATACCTTATAAATTAGGCTGGATGTAGTTCCACCTGTGCACTAGATCTTGAACAGTGTCTCTTTGTTAAAGTCCAGGTGATTGACACATTAGTTTTAGATTTGTGATGGGCACTTTGCTTTTTAGGTTAAGGTTTATTCATCACCTCACAGCAAACCTGGGACAAGGTACTATTAAAGTTTTTAGATAAGAAGTTTTAACCTTGATGTAAAATGGTCTAAAATTTAAATTGGTGCATCTTTAAAAGTAAACAAAGCTTTCGGCAAGACAGAAAGATGCAACATTCACAGGTACAGAACTTGAGAATCAAAGACTGTTTTGTCCACAAGAGGCACTAAAATCAAAAGCTCTGCCAGAGACAACCTGGTTGCATATGTCACATATCGGATAAACCTGTAGAAGGAATCCAGGCTGTATAAAGTTTACGATTTCACTTCTTACTGTTGACAAAATGGCAAATATCTGTCCATTAGCATTGGTGAAGGTCCAAGGTCACCCACACAGCATCCAAAATCATCAGCCTGCCCATTACAGACCTCTCACACTTCAACAATATCTCCATCACACGCATGGCCCGGACTATCAGCACAGACTCAGACCACCCTCTCCGCAGTCACCTCTGCCTGCTGCCTTCAGGCCGCAGGTTCAGGACTCTGAGGTGGAAGCGGGCATGCTTCAGTAAAAGTTTTCTCCCTTCTGGACAGTCTGAATCACTACTCCTGTGCCTCATCGGCATGTGTGATGTCCTGTGTGCCCCTCGGTCCCTTATTATGTAACGTGCCTTGTTTTCCTTAAGTTTATGTGTCCATGCCAACATCTATCTATCTATCTATCTATCTATCTATCTATCTATCTATCTATCTATCTATCTATCTATCTATCTATCTATCTGAGTGAAGCAGAGTGAAAGGGACATCAACCAAAGTGAAGAAAACAAAACATGAAGCAAACACAAACTGTAACAAGGTATGGGCTTTGGCAGTGTTTGTTAAAAATGTATACAGAATAAAATGATTATTTAAGGACTTTGAATGTGTTTTATGACAGTAAAGCGGTATGTTTTGACTTATATTTAAGTGAGAATGTTAAGTTTAATGTTAATTTGACTCGTTATTAGGATGATAAAATACCATTACTATGGAAAGATTACCAAACGTTAAATCTGAGAGACTAAAAAAACAATTAAAGTGTCAATTTGTTTGCATACTTATTTGGTAATGTATAGTGAACGGGTGACAAGTGTACAATAGCAGGATACCAGCTGCTTTAAGCTCAAACAATAAAAAAGAAACATCAGAAAAGATAAACTATCTACTTCCTTCACCTCTTACAACCCTGTTAGAATCAGTTATCAAACATTAATGTTGTTATTCCACAAGAGGGTCGGGCTACTAGTTCAAAACTTCAGTTTTTATCCAGCAGAAGGCAGCAAACTATCTCCAGAAACACCCCAGAGTGGACAAGGAAGCGGAACTTCGTCACAACGTTATATTTTGCATTTGTTTTGGTGAGGGGGAAGATTGTAAGTTACACAAAATAAAAACACTATACTTCCTCTTTGTGATTTTCAGGTTAAAATATTCCAAGGAATGATAAACTAAAATAGACGAAACATACGCGGTATAAACGTCAAATTTAAACGTAAAATTATCGTCAGTAATTAGAATTTTTGTTTGTTTACAAGACTTTACATTTCTAACCAAATTTATGCAGTCTCTTCTCCTGATAATCAACTTTGCCTTGTTTTATTTTGAAGGCTAACTATATAACTTCCGGTAACATTTTTGCTAACCGTTTAACATTTGACGCGCGGCGACGAGGCGCTGCCAAGTCTGGCAACAAAATATACGTTTTATTAGCAGCCTAATATTCTCCACCATGGTATCTTAAACCGGTTGAAGAGTTAGCGGATCCATGCCTCTAAGGTGACCGGAGTCGGTCCACTCACCGCCGTTAAACCGAGACAGTCCTCCCCGAAATACAGCCGCCCTGTGTGGACGCTGGAGAGGCTACAATGAGCTCGGAGCACCAGAGCGACAGCGAGGACGCGGACGAGTCGCGGGACAGGCCCAACAACGGCAGCGACAAAGAGGAAGACCCTGACATCGACGACTCGGACGTGGAGGATGACACCCCCCAGACGGGTTCTCCACCCCGGCAGGACCGCAGCGCGGCTGGGTCTCCGGCGTCCCGGGAGCGAGAGCCCTCTTCCAGCAAACCGTCCGACGCCGCGCCGCAGACGGGGAGCGGCGAGGGCTCCAACCGCAGGGGGAACAGCCTCTTTTCATGGCTGCAGAGCAGGACGATAAGACGAGGGGTGTTTGTGGATCCAGCTCGGGACAACTTCAGGACAATGACTAGCCTGTACTGCTCTATGAACCCGGCTGTGGAGTCTGTCAACCTGAGTACCCAGACCCATGGAGCGGTGTTCAACCTGGAGTACTCCCCGGACGGGTAAGGCACATTTTAGGCCTTTGACCCGGAATTTGTAACCCCAACTATTTATGAGATTTCTACTAAACCTAATCTAAAGAAATTCACTCTCAAAGATGTATAGAAAGGGCCTAGAAAGTGCCTAAACCGCATCCTCTATATCAAACCCATGTACCATTAAGTTAAAACTCAACATAAAACAATATTTTCATGACTTTGAGTTTTATTCAGTAACTCAAGTCATCTGAAGTTCCTGAATATTCCACAACAAACCTGGAAGTCCTCCTAAACCCTGCACAGCCTGCAGAGTTAATGAGTTCAAGCAGGATTTAAAGCCTCAGGTGCTCAGACAGCAGATGTTGGTACTAAATCCTGAAGCCAAACCAGGTCAGGCTGCATCCAGTCTGGGTCAAATGTGTTTATGTGACACCGCTGACGCAACAGACAGGCATCCTGTTAGTGAGGAGAATGTCAGTGAAAACAGACTAGAGAACTGAGCTCATCTTTTGGCACAGTTTTATAACCAGATCCACATTAATACAATTAGTCACTAAAGGGCAACAGGGAGTTGGGGTGGTGTTAAGGACTTGTTCACCCTTAGATATCAGAAGTTTTTAGGGAAAAGCATGTCGTATTGAGTTTAATTTGTGAGTTATCGCTGGATGACAAACAGCAGACTGAAGAAAATGTCGTTTTAAGACATCAGGATGAGGTTTTTGTCAGAAAAGATGACTTTCAGAATCGCCTTTATTGTCATTTTACACAGTACAATGAAATTTGAGCGCCGCTCCCTTTGGTGCAAAACAATGTTAATAAATAAATACTCCAATGAAAGCCATTTAAAAACACAAAGATAAGAAAAGTAAAAGGCAGTAATATATACTGGGGCAGGTTCAACTGGACTTGTTGCTGTTGACTGCAGTGATAGCTCTCGAGAAGACGCTGTCCCTGAGTCTGTTGGTCCTTGTTTTGTGTGACCTGTACCTTTGGCCCGATGGTAACAGGTCAAACAGGTGATTTCTGGGGTGGTGGGAGTCCATACCGAGCTGTGAAGCAGTATGCCAGGATGCTCTCTTTAGTGCCCCTGTAGAAGGTCACCAGGAACTTCTCCTCCGGGTTGTTTCTCCTGAGCACTCTCAGGAAGTGGAGATGCTGCTGGGCCTTCCTCACCACCGCGGAGGTGTTTGCGGTCCAGGAGAGGTCCTCGCTCATTCACATGCACAGGGCAGAAAAAAGGAGCTATCACTTTGTCCGTAGGGAGCGCCAGCAGCATCGTAAAATTTGATTCCAGCAATACATTTTCAAAAAACCAACAAACTCCCGGTCTGACTTGGAGGATATGAAACTACCCCATGTTCTGACGGGTAAAAGTGACACTCAATGGAAAAACACAGCATCCTTTTTTAATCCTATTAGACTTGAGTCAAACCTGAGTCAAATGTTTGTGTAATGAACCATATTTAACAAACACTAACTCTGTAACATCAGCAAAGAAATGTCTTTCGAGGTTTGTTACTAATTTCACTTCCCTTTCCCAGGTCTGTTCTGACTGTGGCCTGTGAGCAGACAGAGGTCCTCCTGTTTGATCCCATCTCATCCAGACACATCAAAACCCTGACGGAGGCCCACGAGGACTGTGTCAACAACATAAGGTGCATTAATTTAATCTGCAGTCCTGCAGGGAGAGTTAACAAAGAGAGTGCATCTCGAATAAAGGAGTCAAAGACCGAGGGAATTAAAGCTGAAGGCTGTTAAGAGTAAAAGATTCAGCGCTGCAGCCCTTAAATCATTTTTAGTGTCGGTCAGAGTGCACTAGATAAAGCTTCTTTTCACAAAACAAAGTGCAGAGGCCAATAAAAAAGCACTCTACAGGATCAAGCTGTTGTCTAGAATCCTGTCTGCAGGGAATCACTAGATGAAAATGTCTCTTGGTTCTCTTTTTCCCGCAGGTTTTTGGACAATCGTTTGTTCGCCACCTGCTCTGATGACACCACTATTGCATTATGGGATCTCCGTAAGCTGAACTCCAAGGTGTGCTCGCTGCACGGCCACGCCAGCTGGGTGAAAAACATCGAGTACGACACAAACACGCGTCTCCTCGTCACGTCGGGCTTTGACGGGAACGTCATTACATGGGACACTAACAGGTTTGTGCGAGAGCAGTAAAATGTGGATGTGAGAGTACAGTGGAAGTTAAATAAGGAAGTATTTCTAGAAAGCATAAGTGTTTACGTCATTCTTTATTAGAAGCAGCTCAATGAATCACAGTGAATCAGCACCTCGTTCCTCTCTGTGAATCATCCATTTTTACAAACGTGGAGTAAATGGACCGTTTGGCTGTAATTCAACCCTGATGAAAACTTGTGAAAATAACTTTCTTTACTTGTTCCTTCTCCGCAGGTTTACAGAAGACGGCTGCCCGCACAAAAAGTTCTTCCACACCCGCTACTTAATGAGGATGCGCCTGACCCCGGACTGCTCCAAAATGCTCATCTCCACCTCCTCGGGGTACCTGCTCATCCTTCACGACCTGGACCTCACGCAGTCCCTGGAGGTGGGCAGCTACCGTATGCTGCGAGCGCGACGGACCTCCCTCAGCTCAGGTCAGGACAGGACTATTTTTTTTTTGTATCATAGACACTTTGGATTCTAAATTGGTTTTTATTAAAGCTCACTTTCAATTTGTTGACAATGACATAGGTTTTGTGTATGTTGTTTTCTGCATCCTGCTGAGTTTTGGCAGCCAAAAGTATCATATAATGTGAGCGTTGTTTGTGCTGTTTCTGTAGCTACTGCGCTGACACTTACCCCTTTGCATCGTTTTCAGGCGTTAAAAAGTGAAGTATACAAATGTCAGTCTTGTCGTTGACGGTCTTGTTTGCTTTTGTGTATCATGAAAATGCATCAGTATGGATTTCATTCTATTTCATAAACATAGAAAAACTTCTCACAGGAGCTTTAATTTGTGTTTTAATCTGTGAAGCTGTTGGGTTGATTTTAAAGGTCATACTGTAATTTTTGCTCATAATTAAGTCATTTAACCTCATGTTTTGTTCATACGTGTTTCTTTCTCTGGTGTACAATGTAGATGAACTTGTCCAGTGATTGCTGCTGTGCCCAAATGATAAAAATAGATTTTTGTCCCACTTGTAATCCAACAGATGGAGGCACATCAACATCCAGATCAGCTGGAACTCCTCGTCAAGGCAACGACTCCAGCAAGATCCATCCTCACAGAGAAGGTCAGAGACAGACAGGATGTAAAACTGACTGAGCTGAAGTTTTCTCTTACTCTCATAAATTACAAACTGAGTGTAAAATGACCAAAACAAACATCTCTCTGCAGGTCTTTCTCCCAGGAACAGCCTGGAGGTTTTGACTCCAGAGATCCCCGGAGAGAGGGACCGAGGGAACTGCATCACCTCCCTGCAGCTCCACCCCAAAGGCTGGGCCACACTCATCAGATGCTCCAGCAACATGGACGACCAGGAGGTCAGACGCACCTGTTATTTCCAAAAACCACACGAATTTAGTCAGTTAGATGAGTTAGATTTAGAGCTAAGTTTGGTTAAATTTATCATTTTATTGCAACCTAAACAAGCCCCCAAATAGCCTTGCCTTTTTTGATATCAGCTCAGTACTTTGCCCTAAGTATCCAATAAGAAAACTATGACCACAAATACTGTAAAACCCAATACTCTGTACATTTATCCCAGCACCTCCTGAGAGTCTTCTTAGTTTGAAACATAACGACTGTTGTCCATAGCAACTTCTTCTCCTCCAACTTGTGTTATACCTCATACTACGTGTCGTGAAATTCTCATCTTGTTGCAGTACTGGCATCTGCACTAAATATGGAGACAATTACGTAAACCTCATAATTGCACATTGAGGCATTTATCTGTCAGCCATATGCATTTTAAATATTATTGCTTTCATGACAAGGTTTGACACAGGCATCTTAAATACTTTTGTCTTGTGTAAAATAGCATGTAGATATGGAATTTCATTCACAGCTGGACTCGTACATAAACAGCTTTAGTCTCATGCTGCTCTGCTCAGAAATCTCCTCACTCTTTTGTTTTGCAAACGAGCCGTATCTCCTGATAGCAAAATATGATAGAGGAGGATTTTATGCGCAGAGCTGCAATGCAAAGTGGTTGATAAAGTGTGGAAGGAAAGCAGGGCTGCAATGGATCCATGTTCATGCAGTACAAAAAATTAGTTGGGCACATTTTTGGTTCACTAAGAGGAGCAAATGCAACTTATACGATTTCTTTGCTCTTAGGAGGAACTTTAAGAAATGTCTCACAAAAAAGGAAACGAAAATAAAAATTTTGAAGCAGGTAGAACAAGCTGTCGTGCATATCTACAAACATACAAATGTGTTAATGGGCTACACCACCAGCTACCATGCACAGCTAACCACATTTGACACCTGCTACTCTGCTGAAAATCGGTCTCTGGTGTCAAGACTCAAAAATGGGGCAGCGGGTGAAGGCTCAGACAAGTTTTGTTTTCAGCTGCCTGGTAGGAGGTTTGATTTGTATTTTTTTCCCACGCTTCTACGCTGAATTATTAAGAGCACTCTCCCTCCATTCGGTCCGTGCATGTGCGATGAAGAGTAAGTGAAGGACTGGAACAGAGCAAAATATCTGTGCAAACCTTTAAAGCCTCATAAACCTGATAACTGTTCCTGTCAACGCTGATCAAATGTACACATAAACTTGCTTAAAGTCGTGTGGAGATCGAGATACTAATGTCTACTTTACCCACCTCTCATTACAAGTCGAGATCCAGTAACTGTTGGTCAATAAATTCAGACCCTGACTTTCTGTCTTTCTGTCTCTTCAGTGGACGTGTGTGTATGAGTTCCAGGAGGGAGCGCCAACCCGCCCGCTCGTCTCCCCCCGCTGCTCCCTCCGCCTCACCCACTATATCGAGGAAGCCAACGTGGGCCGGGGCTACATCAAAGAGTTGTGTTTCAGCCCGGACGGACGACTCATCTGCTCCCCGTACGGCTACGGCGTGCGCCTGCTGGCTTTCGATGAGAGCTGCGGAGAGCTGGCCGACTGCATGCCCGTCCAGACCAGCTGCCTCAGAGAGATCCGCTCCATCTACTCGCACAGTGACGTGGTGCTCACCACCAAGTTCTCCCCCACACACTGCCAGCTGGCCTCGGGCTGCCTCAGCGGGCGAGTCGCCCTCTATCAGCCCAAGTTTTAGAAAACCACAGAACGATGCACTGCAGAGCTGGGTGAAGGAGTTCAGTCAGGGTCCCTGCACGGGTGGATTTTAACTCTCCTTTTATCTAATATGATTTTTGTTATGGAAGTCTAAGTCTACAGTGCCCTGCTTCAGTATTCACCACCCACTGCTACAACCTTGAATCCAAATAAAACAATCTGGACTTTTTAATCACCCGTTTTAAACAAACGCAGTCCAAATTTTTGGGGCACACAAGTATTCACCTGAGGGCGATTGGTTGCACCTTATCTTTGTAGGGATTTTGCACTGCAAAGTATTAAAGCTTGCATATTTTAATTTGTAAATAGTTTCCCCTACTACTCACAATAATGGGCTGTTTGTTGTTTTGGTGTATTAAAACCAACCCCGAGTTTAAACTGCAGTTGTAGCATGCTAAAAAGTGTAAAGTTTCAATAGAGTTCAGTGTTTAAGAAAGGCAATCTACAAGCTAGTATGCCCCCCCTTGGTTTTGATTGGTCTAAATTATATGAAAGTTAAATTTTTTTAGAACTTAAGAGTCCCAAAAATCTCCCAGCATTTGTTTTAAAGTGCTTGGATGGACCAAAGATTACGGAATTTACCGAATCAAATTATTTGGTGACCAGTATGGTTGGATTACTGAGATTTTTTGAACTCTCTAACAGACAATCTGTGCAGAAAACTCCACCTATCTGGCATCTTAAAGGAACCCTAGAAATCTTTAAAGTACTTCTTCACCCAGGCCTGCAGCTGTGAATCAGACTGAAGTTTTGGATGTCAGGATGGCAATCTTCAACTGACAGGCACAAGCTGAGAAGGAAAAAGACAACTTGCGCTGTGGCCCATTAAGCAGCCCTACAGCAATGGAAAAAAACAGAAACACTTTGAAACAGCAAGACTGAGGAAACTAGACTTCTATCCAAGCTGAGGAGAGGATTAAATCCCAAACTACAGCTCGGCATTGATGAAAAAGAAACTTTGCAGTTCATCTGTGTCTTTTTTTCATACTAAAAAAGGATTTTGTCAACTTTGACTCATAATGAGACTTAGCACCTGGTTGCTGTCTCTAGACAAAAACATTAAGGATGCAAACAAACAGATTGACAGATATAACTCCATCCATCCTCTTTAACTCCACAGGATAAAGAAAAACTTGTGTCAGTCGTCTGCGCTGTCGTCGTCCGTTGACTCGGAGTCCTCTGTTGCGGTTCGTATCGCTCTCAGCTGCTCCGCTCTGCTCATGCCTTCTCCACAGGTGCTGCTTCTTCTTCTGCTTAAACAATCTGAACTTTGACCCCCCTCAGCTCAAACCTCCAGGACCTCATTGCCAACGCCTTTTCCCTTTCACCCACACTGTCAGTTTTCCACTCCCACCCTGTTTCCACCTTCATGGTCTTGTGGTTTAGGTTTTTAGTGGTTTTACTGGAGTATTTATGATGGCACGGTGTTTGCAATCATTGAGGCAGCTTATGGTCAGATTACAGTTTTCATTTCCCTTTACAGTTTGTGTGTTTTTTTCATCTAAACCTAAATGCTGTCTGGAAAATAAGAAGTCAAGGATCTGTGAATATCCTGGTTTTAAAAAAGTTTCTGTACAAACCTTTGTTACAAGATACTTCTTCAAAATCAACACTTCCTGAAGGAAAAGGCTGTCAATTCTGTATATTGATTTCTTGTGATTTATAAAGTGCGCAACATCTCCAACTGACCTAAAATTTCTTCTTTATAACCATTACATTCTGCATAAATCTTTATAAATGCATCCCGGTGGGGTGCAATAAGGTGACCTCTGAAGATTGTAGCAAAATAGTGACGTTACAAGGGACTACTTCCAGCTGCGCAGTAATAATAAGTTTATTTTCTGTTATATGTTTCATAAATTATTTGTTTTTTAATAGTTTTTGACCATGATTCAGCCTTAATGCACAGAAAAGTTAATAAATAGTTTTTTGAATGCACACTAAGCTCATGAGAGGAAAAAAATCCCTTTTTGTTTGGACTTTTCCTTGGATCTGTTGACTGAAAGACAAATATACAATACTGCCAGCCTAATCTTTTGTATAGGTATCTCATTAATTCTTTGTTCCTGTCAGTAAAGTTGCCTCAGCATCTTCAGGTTAACCTTTATGGGCTGAAATTGTCTGCAACCAACACTTAAATGGGTTTTTCAACCTTGTATCTTGTTCTGTCGGAGTCTGATAACCCTGCCGATCCTCATCAGTGTTTGATTTCCTCCCCTCACAAACATTTTTTTTTCCTTCTCACAATGTTGTCATAAAGGTGAGCTATCAGGTTCTTTCCTCTAGAAGGAGCAAAATTAGTGCTTTGACTGTTTCAGTGTGGACAATGCTTCTGTGTTTTTAACCAGTGTAGTATAGCTTCTATAGGAGACAAGCACATGTGTGAATGATTAATGTAAGCAGATAGATACAGTACTGACTACAGAATAGATTTTAGGTAAACATATGATTCAAATAGCATATACTACTATGCATACAAGCCTTTAAGAAGATTCCCCCTTTCTTATTTATGTATGTGTGGGTGATGATGTTCTGTGTGAAGCTATCAGATGCCAAAATATCTTAAGTGAATTGTGAGCTGAGGATTTTGAGACTTAGGAAACCTGCAAAACATATTTGAAAAGTGTTGCTAAAGCTTTTTTAAGAACATATAAGGGGAAAGAAAGAAGCTAATTTGTTTTGCTTTCTTGGCAGAGGTAAGACGAGTAAAAACCGCATACTTGCTCTATGAATATGCATTGATGTCACAGGTAGCAGCTGGTTAGCAAAGATTGGTTTTTCACAAAGCTCTACTTTTATTTAAGCCACAAATCCCTGATGTCTGCCCACCAGGACCTATACAACTCTTGCTAATCTTATTTATCATTTTTGATATTCATATAAAGTGTGTAAAAACAAGGGCCCTAAACCGAGAAACCGCCGTCTATCGTAGATTGCGGACCAGTCTATTTCCTGGCCGGGACCAGATACTTCTTGAATCTCATCAGGTTGCTTAGAAACATATCTGAGCAAATTCGTCTTTGAAATCTAGGTTTTGTACCGAGTAAACAACACAGCAATTAATTTTCATTGATTTAACTCTAACAGTATTTATGTATTGGTTTTGGTGCTGTTAAACTCGAGTCAAAGTATCTCCTATCCCATTTTCCTCTTCGTGCGTAACTAGCTAACCAAGCAGGTGTTAGCAGGTGGCGTCGTCTTACCAAACGCGACTTTTGGAGGTCAAATTGCTTGTTACGTGATAAAAAATAATAATAATTTAAGGTGAAAACATGAAATTGTGATTATTTAATATGTTCAGCTCGCACAACATGACCCTGTATGTACTGAGAAAGGATTCTTTTAACCACTTTGTACCTCAGTCAACTTCTCAAATATGGCTATTTTACTAATGGGGTCTATTTCACTTTCAGCTCAAACGATTCATGGACTGTCCTCCATTGGAATAACTATTCCCGTAACTCCCCTTTTAAACAGTAGATTTTGTTTTGACATTTCTTTCAATTGAATGAGCTGAAAGTTAAAAGATCTGAATGCTGTACATTCAATGCTGCTTTTATTTCACATATAACTGCAGAAGAAAAGTGTCTTATCTCATTTTCATTTCAGGTTTAGCAACAACAAAAACCAGGCTCATTTTTATGAATTACTTTTTTTCTGTTTGAGACACTCCTGTTCTTGGATTTAACTTGTATTCTGTTACTTGTGGATTAATAAATTGAATGTTCTCAATAGATCTCGTGCTAAATCCTGAACACTTTCACCTTAACTGATCACAGCTGGAGGGCAGATGCGAACAAGAGAAAAAAATTACTCATTTTTTTCCAATTTTTATGGCTATTCACAGCAAATAATCCTTACAGTAATACTAAACGTGGTACACATTATCACTGAAATGAAAAAGTCAGCTTCTTTTGCAAAGCTGTTGTTTGGGTCCTGTATTAATTTAAATAAAGGTCCACTAGATGGCAGACCAACTCAATAGAAACAAAGCATGAAATATTGGATTACAGGGGTTCCAACTTTTTGGTTTATGACTGCTTCATTAAAATTAGATCTGATGCCCAGATGTTGAACCATACCATCCTTGCTAATGTCTAAACCTATCATGTGATGGCACCAGCAGGTTAAATTCCAGGCTACTATTTAACTTTTCAGGATTGGTTCTGTATGAGACACTAGAAAGTAGATAACACAAATAAGAATTCTTTTATTTTTTGGCCCTACTGGACCGAAGTCAAACAATAACAGACAGTGTTTGAAAATAGCATGTCACATGTCAGACCAGCTGACAAGTGAATCCTCAACTACGTCATATTTAAAGATGTTTGAGCTGAAACATTCAAGAATGTCCATAAATGTCCATCGTGAAGTTACAAAATTTGTGTAACTTTTTAGAGATGACGCCGTTTTGTACGAAAAACTGCCCTTGAGTATCCTGTGAAAGTCTGTAGGAGTTTGTGCGTCTGTCGTGGTTAAAATGCTGTAAAAGGTCAGTACACCCAATATGTGGACGATATTTCAACCCTTGGCGCAATAATTGGGTGAATTAGCCCTTTAACAGTGTCCTCTCTTTGATTACCAGAAAGACCATGCCCCTGTTTCCAGCAGTCCGTTTTCTCTGGCCTATAATCAAGCCCTGAAGCTTCATGCTCTCCGGGCTCGTAAGGACCGAGCTCGCCTTGTGTTTGACCCTCCTTGGAGCCGCTGACCTTCTCTGCGCCGATTGATAGCTTTGGTGCTGGCTCGCAGTTTTCGGAGTCTCAGGGCCCGTAGACGCAGCTGCAGGTCCTGGGGGATCTTTCCCCCTTTAGCGCGGATCTCCTTCAGCATCTGAATGGGCGTCTTGGTCAGGGTGAAGTCGCAGATGGTGGGATTTGGCTCCATCCCAACGTTGCACCGTCGCATGGATGGGAAATAACCTTCGGCCCAAACCACCACTTTGTACTCGCCTGGGTTTAGGAGCCGCCAGTAGTCCCCATCAGCAGCTGAGGAAAGAAAAAGGAGACCAAAACTTACATGGATTTGTCATCCCTCGACCCAATATTTAGATAAAATGTCCTGGAAATATGATTCTGTTTGGAAAGTGGTTGTTGAACTCGAACTAAAAAGTTTGTCTTGTCAGAGATTAAAGATTCTGAGTCTGACCTGATCGGATGTCATGGTCATGGTCCTCCACCTTGATGACAGCATCCGCTATCCCCTGTTTGCTCTGCTTGTCTCTAATCACCCCTTTGATGCCTCTGTGAACCTGAGGAAAGATCACACAAAGAGTATGATATAGTTGGGGCACTAACTGTGAAAAAAAGACATTTAACAACTAGATTTTGATCATGTATACTGACCTGCTCCATGTAGACCAGCAGAGACTCCTTGTTGTTCTCCCACTCGATGGGAAGCTGACTAGCATGAGGGAACTTATCACAGGACAACTCCACAGTCACCTCGAAGCAGTTTGTGTGCAGGTAACTAAAGTCATTCATACCTGCAGAAGACAAAACAAAAACCCTCTAAAACTGCACTTCACAGAATTTATAATCTTAACCTCTGTCCTAGAACCTGACTAAGACTCACTGCCAGGGACGGTGTGCCAGGCTCCTCCATTGATGATGTTGTTGTGTTTTTGGAAGTCCTCATAGTGACACAAGCGGCGGTTAGGGTTGGCCATCACCAGGTTGGTGGAGGCATAGACTGTGGCAAGCCAGCGGAAGAAAGCGTTGTCTGCCGTGGGTGTGTCCTCCTGTGGAGCCCAGTCACGAGTGCAGTCGAAGGGATACGTCACCACCAGTTCGCCCCCATGGAGGTTTGCACTGAGGACGAAAGGGATATCCTGCATCCAGCTGATGACGGCACGAGTTTCTGGAGCAACCTGAGAGCAAAAGGCAACCTTGATCAGGTGACTATGTGATGGGAGTTCTGATATTTCAGAAAGACCCAGATGATTGTCATTTTTCTCACAAACTGCTTCGGTAATTTTTTTTTTCATTGTAATACAAGTTTTAAAAAATATTTAATGTTTTTAAAAATTTAAATTTACTATAAAACTTAAATTACAACACTGTATCATATGATACAATACACTATGGTATGATTTAACATGACAGTGTGAGATGATACAATACCATTCAATACAATACACTATTAACGTTACACGTTACCTTACATGACGATACAATATGGTGCAATGCGATGTAAGATGATACGATACGATGCGATACGATACGCATATATAGCCAAAATAAGTTTTTCAATTATCATGTTGAATTTCGTCGATCTAGCATCCCTAGTTAGAATATGTAACTAGAGGACAGGAAATAATAGATATGGTGCGGTACAGTAAATTCAATTGTATCGTCAATAAATAATCATAATTATTAATCATTGGATTGACTTTTTCAGTTAAATGCTTTCTCTAAAATCTTCTTTCCTATTTTACATAAGATGGAATAAAAGGTCTTTCTACCATATCTATTAATGAGTGTAATTAATCTACATATACAGACTATATTAGCTAATCAAAAATGTTTACATTAAAACAAGGGATGATTAATTTCATTATTATTGGGTTAAAAGAAACTGTTTCAGGTTTAAGGTCAAACTTTGGCGTTATTCTGAGTTTTGTGATAGTTTTCGCTCTCTATCTGTAATTCGACAATACACCATTGTTGACACTGATCGCTTAGAAAATATCAATTTTTCCCCTTCATTATCAGTGACATATCTTGTCCTGCGGGTGGTGCTCTTTTCTCTGTTTTGTCAGACCCCATTGCCCTCACTAACTTATTTTTAATATTACTTGATGACTAGACTGTTTCTTACCAGTAAGAGAAACCCTACCAGTAAACTTCTTCAATCATCACTGGAGCATTCTGAAAGTAATTTGTTGATTTCTATTTAATCTGGAGGCAAAACTTCAACATGTGTTTATTTTTACTGACTAACTGTTATGAAACATTATGTGACCAAGTTTGGTCTTCTGGGAAAACCCCAGTTCTTTTGGCCCCCAAATTATTTCCTTATTTCCTGCGGGCTTGCATTCCTCCATAGTGGAAACATTACTTTCCATCCCTCAATGTGTTCACAAGCAACCCTCAAAAACGGCTTTCCAGTGTGACCTACATTTAACCATAAAAATGTTACCTTTTTATGTAATTTTTTTTTCAGCTCAAGAAAACCAAAGTTCTTTTTACTGTTAAAATATCTCATTATCTAGGATCTAAATACATCTTCCACTCTATTTTGCATAATCTTAATAATTCGTTGTCTACTCACAAAGGCATCCTCTTGAGTGTAGTACTCTGGGATTGGGATGTAGTGGTTGGCAACTTTAGACTTATCCTCTGCGACCTCTTCGGCGTCCCACATGATGTTGTTCAGGTCTGGAAAGTTATGATTCAGGTCAATTCCTTCAAAGCTGTATCGTCCTTCAGCCCAGCCGGCCAGTTCTGAGCCCTGCAGCAGATCAGTCAGACAAAACCAACGTTGAAAAATGCGATAGATGAATAATTCAACATGAAATAACATGCCTGTCAATGGAGAGACTTTTACTCACCTTCTCATAAGCTCCCTCATATCCATCAGGGTTCATGGAGGGCAGGAGGTGGATCCGTGTCTCTGTCACCAGCCGAACAACGCGCTGGTTCCCCTTCTTGTATTCTTTGCACAAATACTGCATGAGGTTCAGGACCAGTTCTCGGCCGAGAGCCTCGTTCCCGTGCATCCCCGCCACGTAGCGAAACTCTGGCTCACCTTCCAAGACAAGCATTAAGCATCGGTTACTCGCCAAGTGTTGAATAAGTTGGGAATCTTAGGGTCAAAGCATGACGCCCCTTAAGAACACATTGTTCCTTTTGATAAAACGTTCAGTTGCACTTTGCCAGTAATCATACATGGATTGGCCAGACTCGACGGCAGACATTGCCTGAGTATAAACAACATAATGGATTCATTTCCAAATACCCTGAATCTGTTCTGCAGGAAAATGCATTTCTCACAAACCACAAATACAATGTGAGTTTCTCTTTTTTTTTCTGGGATTGGTGTGCCGTGTTTAATTTACTACAAGGAGAACTAAAAATCAAACTCAGCAGTTTACTCTTGAATAACCTGATACCCCATTTTATTCCACTTGGGAGTGAAGCAAATTTGAAACTTGTTGACTGTAATGAGTTTAAACTTTTCATCAAATGTAGAAAGACCACAAAATTCTGCATTTAGAGATAATGTCATGAAGAAAGATCTGCTTTGTTTGGTTGGGATAATTCTTTCTCCAATTTCAAACGTTATCAGTTTGTTTACACAAAAAGAGGCCGACTCGAGCCTCCCTGTGTGGCGGTCCTGCCGTGAAAAAAAGCCTGTATAAACACTGGAGGATGTTGAAACGGGCCTCCAGTGGTGTAACTCCACAAAGTCCAAGAAAAACAAGAACAATTCAAGGTTTTATCCAGAAAGACCTACCTAGTTCATGTTTTCTGGGGTTATCCGAGATCACCATGACATACAGTTTGAGGCCCATGTAGCTCTTCCCAATCGTGTAGACGTGAGTGATGTCCGGACACTCTTCGGTCACAGACTTCATGAGCTTTGGGGAGAGTAACAACAGATTGCATAAGAGTTAAATGGGTTAAAGCGAAAAGTGTGAGTAAAAACCCTGATGTTGGTTTTACTGGAACTGAAGTTACTCATCATGCATCAGATGCCAAGAGGCATCCATCGTGCCCACACCTTTCTCATCTCTTTATAGTTGTGGTGTCTGAAGTCCAGAGCGTCTTTCGATCCTCTTTCTTCTTCTGTGTAGATATCTGCAGGATCTGCGGAGAAACATCAACTTTGACCTCCTTTTCTGACTGATTCAGCCTTTTTGGTCTAAGTGGCCCATTAGTCACTTTAAACATTTTGCTCTGGGAGTTAACTGTGTTCATTGTGAATCATTATGAGTAACACTACACTACCATGAACACGACAGCCGAGTATCTCCGCTCGAAGGCAGATGGTCCCGTTGAAGTACCAGGTCTGAGGGTTGATGCGGATGAAGCGGGCCACGGTGGGAACAGGAAGGAGTCCGAGCACAGGGGTCTCTGGATTCTGGTTTCCTTCAAAGATCTGTACAAAGTAGCATCGTATAGACTTTAAAGCCACAGTAAGTAGTTTTGGCTGGTTGTTAAACAAGATGAAATTAATTATGATTAATAGTGAGATAATCCACAATTCCCAATAATCTTTTTAATGCTTGGAAATCATGTCGCAACCAAGGGATCAAAAAAGGAGCAACTGACTCAGTTTTTTCTGAGAAGCAAGTGTTGCTTGAAGTGTGTTGTTATGGAGTTTTGATCATTTCAGCGAAAAGAAAGGGCTTGGCTGTAGACTTGTTGATCTCAGTCTAGATCTGGATTAACACACTCTAATAAAAATCATAAGTTATGTTTGCCTGGGCGGTTTTCCTGTAAAGAGTAGTATCTTGGATCTGCACCAAAAACTAATCGTTTGCTTCTCAGCCTTTGTACCTGCTTGTTTCCAAGTCTGACTGAAATCTATTTTAAGGCTTTGAGAAACTGAGAGACAATCCAACAGGAATGAAAACAAAACCTACTTGGCAGACGTGACACCTTAAAATTGGAAACAGTGCAAAGAAGTCTGTGTTCACATTTATTTCCATGGAAAGAAATCGAACTTCGAGAGAAATTTCCAATCTCATGAGAGGGACAAAAGAAAAAATTGTTTGTACAGCGATGTTCAAACATCACATTTCATCGCAGTATATTTTAAAAAGAAGTTCAGTTTTGTCTGGTAGACAATGTAAGTTTAAGTTAAATTTTTTTTGTTGTTAACAGAGCATATTTCATTCTGGCACATGCTCTCCCTAATCTGTTTCCCATCTGTTTGAGGTCCTCTAACCACAAGAATGAACTCCCTGTATCAGAAAACAAAAAATGTGGTTCTTACTGCGTCTTCTGTCCCGTTCTGACAGGTTTCCCAGTTCACAGAGTCGTTACTCAGCTGGACTTTGTAGGTGTGGACCCAGTCCCAACTGTGATGAAGACAAAGAAAGACATGAAACTGACTTTTACTGGCCAGTGTGACGTATTGTCTTTGGAGCACAGAAAAAAAAAACAGAATTTCTCCATTAAAAGTTATGACCCTGAACAGGTCTTGCCTTTGTCCGTCATGCTCTTTGTAAAATTGGCTAAAGAGGTCTAAAAGCATTGAACGGTGAGAATCAGAACTGAAATGCAGTGGCAAGGAAATCTCATTTTACAATTCAACCAGATATGTTAGTTTACTCATTGGTTTCATTTGGGTTCTTTGCTAAGTGTATCTGAGTATCATCTGCATAACAATAGACTTTTACGAAGATTTTCCGAATTACTGTAAATTACTTTAACAAAGTTTTAGATGGTGAATACAACTGAACCCAGTACTGGACCCTGTGGAACTCCCAAATTTGCAGTATATAAAATATTGAGATCATTCTTAAGCTGAACAATCTGTAAAAATCTTATGATATAGAAGACAAGTGTCTGTGTGTTGACATGTTAATTTGAACGTATTCAGCCTTATCCTCATATAGTCTTATCCTGATACTACCTGACCTCCAGATAGAGTTTCGGCCCTGCAGGATGACTCCGGTGAACAGGGTCTGGTAGATGGCGTCTACTTCCAGCCACTGGTGCTGGTCTTTATACTCGGCACACCACGCTCCATCGTACAAGTCCCCGTCCTCGATGCCAGACTGCAAACACATGTTCCACAGATTTCTTTTTTGGTCTACTGTATCAAACCACAGAAAGTCTCCTGGCGCTGCTTGTGTGTTTAGTATTGCATAAGTTTCCTGTAATGACTCTGATTGTTTTATAATTACTTTCAGACGACAGCAGAAGTTTTTTTTTAGGTTTTATGAGCCAGCGAAAAAGAGGACAGGGTGTCAAACTTTATTTTAATAAGTAGAAACCTTGAACAGAACAAGCTAACTGATTGGATTCATCTGCTTTAGCGAATGGGTACAATTGAGTATCATCTGCGTAACAGCTGTTTGAATAGAAATTGTGTTGTATTGTCTGTTAAGATTTCTATAAAGAGCAGTTCACTGTGCTTTGTTTTATACCAGATCTGCACTGACCTGGATATTCAGCCTCCCCCTGTGAGGACCCAGACCTTCCCGTTGGTATGAAGACGCCTGAATCTGGCTGTCATCAACCCGCAGAGACTCCAGGCCAAGAGGAGGACAGTCTGCAGGGAAGAAGCACAACCATGAGATAAGATCGTCTTTGTCTGTGCATGTCTGAAAGAAAACAGACTGATGCTGAAGGGTTAAATCTCTTCTGCTGGATTCACTGAGTAAGCAAACACTCGGCTGATGTAACAAGATGCCTCAGCGCTTCCTATGTGGAATATTTCTCTGATCATCTGAGGTCAGTCCAGTGGAAGTTTGGAGGCCCTCTCTGGAGGAAAAGTGCCGATTAGTGATGCTAAAGGAGGGTCTGAACGTAATCTGAGACAGAGCGGAGGGCCGAGAGAGAGAGAGAGAAAAGTCAAACGTCAAGCAGAGCAGGAAGTCAAAGAGCTACAGCTGGAGTGGATTTTATGGGTTTGGGAACAAGCAAAAACAAACCCATTAATCACAAACATGAGCTGAAGTGGCCGAGAAAAACGGCTTTGTTTGTTCTCAGTAGGTGAGAGGATGTTGAAAAGAGTCAAATTGGAAAGAAGCAAAATAAACCCGCCTGGGTCGAGCAACCTTGGGGCAAATCACTTCAACATATGTGGAGCTCTGGAGTCAATCTGCAGATAGTTTTGAAAGAAAGTCACCAACCCAAGCAAGTCAAAGATTTTGATGTCCACTTCTCACTATTTTTCTAACAAACTAATCATCAGCCATCTTGCAGACATAAATATGGTTTCCACATGAGTCTAAGGTTGTAAGTTCTGTAGCCGGTCCAACGTTAAATTAAACACAGACCACACATTTTCCAGGATTCAGTTGGCGAGCTCAAATGTGTGACTAACATTTTATTATTTAAGGCCTGAGTACAATTATTGGTTCCTGGATCTTAAAATAAACAGAAGCCCCAATTAGACATGCAACAAATTTTTTATTCACTCCCTTTTTCTGACAGATCCTCAATCTGTCTTCCCCTATCCTATCTCCCTCGCTAATATAACCGATATTAGTATTTGACAGCTAAACTGTGAATACAAGATAATCCCAATTTTTTGATTGTATATCAAGACGAAAAAATCTCCTTCCTATTGGGTTAATGTGGTCGAAATATAAATTAACATTTAAAGCTCCTGTGAGAAACTTTTGGTTTGTGTCCATTTGGCGCCCCTTGTGGACAAAATGGAACAATACATGTCTGTTGATTGTCCTGTGTATATATATAGGTAGTATTTTCTGGTTTAAAAACAAAGCCCTCTTTTGGTATTTTTGACTAACATTCAGTCTTTGGTATTTGAAGTAGGTTGTTTACAAAAAAAACCTTCAAAAAGCTTCATTTGCTTTAGTAGCCCATAAATAGCGACGTGGGGGTTCATTTCAGTCTGTTTAATTACAAACTATAAACTCCTCACAGTAGCTTTATATCTACATGCTTTTTTATTACCAAAGCCAAGACTTCTGAGTGTCCCTGAAGGCATCATTCATTAATTGCACTTTACAGCTCTCTTAATTAACGTTCATAATTCAGTTTAATGAGCTTAAAATCCCCCTTGGTTTCAACACAGCTGTAGGTAAAATGTAGAACATGGCCTACTTTGTGAACTATAAAACATTTCTTGTCCTACCCAGTGTGTTTTTCTTCTCTTCTGTCTTGTTGTCTCCTTTCTTCTTTGTCTTTGTTGTTTTCTTCTTGGCTGTCCTCGTTGGTGCTTTTAGCGTCTTTCTGTTTGTCTGTAACAGAGGGGATAGCAGCGGTGGGGGGTTTTAAGGTCGTCCGAGCAGTGGTGGTGGTGGTGGTCATTGGCTGTGTGCTGTTCTCCTGCAGCTCCGCAGTGACAGTCGCAGCTGTACTTGTTGTGCTGTTGAGGAATAAATCAAAACTCCCATTTGTTGCATCTTCTGTCAGCGCTGACAGTCCTCCCAGAAAGCTCACGGCGGCCAACAACATGCACAAAGACTTCTCCATCTTTCTCTGTTGTTTGCTGCTGCAGAGTGAGAGCGGAAAAAAAACCTCTCTGGCAGTTTATGTGGAGATGAGGGAGCCAGACCTCCTCCTCCTCCTCCTGCTCCTCAGTCCCACCTCCCCCTTCCTCCCTAAATTCCAACCCAAGTCCTGAAGGAAAAAAGTGATTCAAAAACAGACACTGTAGTTTTACATAATGGGGGTTAGGCATGTATCACTGACCTATATCTAAACGCCACTTTGGATAAAGCGTCAAATATCTCCATTTCACAAAAGGATCTTTTAAATTTTTATAATTTTCATAAAAAGAAGATCCTTTTTAGTCTGTTTGAGTGTTTTTATGTCATTTTATAAACAGAAAAAGCAGGGGAAAGTTGCACTTTTTTGCATGTTATTCCTTTAACTAAAGACTACTTATAGCAGAGTTTAGGGGGTAAAAACAGAGACGAAATAAAGACAAAAATATGTTGTTTTTTTCACCTTTTATAAATAAAACTCAAAATTAGAAGAGCCAGATTATCAGCATTTCTTTCACTTGTAGTTTAAAGTTAGAGAGCAGATAATAAAGCATGGAGTTGACATGTTGTGCATGTTGTGGCTGAGGAAATAAAGTAAAAAATTCTAATAAAATGAAAAATACATTTTAAAAAGTTTTTTTCCAGGTTGGAAGTTTTCATCCTCGTTTTGTGAAAGCTGCTGACTCAAACCATGACTCAGAAACAGTTTAGTCATAGACTGGAAATTTAACCCAGTTTTCTTTTGTGTCCGTATCTGTTCAGTCCAAAATTTCTGAAGCTTTATTCTTCACAATCCATGATTCACTTCCTCCCTCAGCTTTAAGATCTGGTCTTACTTAATACTTTTTAGCTGATTTGGAGTTACCTGGAAGCAGACACCTGGCTGCAGAAGTTCTACTAGGTCTATTTATGATTGTGAAAAACTAGTTCACTATTTATTCTGTGGTTATACTTATTATAATCACCTATTGTATTATGTTAGTGTGTATGCTGCTTTGTGTTTGTTGGAAACCTGTGCAGCTGCCTGTCTTAGCCAGGACACCCTTTAAAAGAAAGATTTCAAACTCCAATAAATTTCTTATCCTTCAAAATAAAAGTCAAATAAAATACATTATAACTTTTATTTAAGAATGTTTTTTTTATGATGGAAACCTCATCCTGTCATTTTTAATACTACAAGATATCATCAGTGTGAATTTTTTGCAATATTTGACTCCCATAGAGTTGATATCCTTTAAATGTTGTTCTATTCAGGCTCTAACAGAAGACACATAATGTTTAATTAGGGCTGACACACACTCTTATGGGGGACACATCATTTCCTGTTTGTCTACACTTCATCCAAACATACATATTTGTGAACTGTCAGCACTTTACTCACTTTGCTGTCAACATCTGGTAAAATTAATCATGTTGCAATGCAGAGCGACATCAGAGTCAACAAGGCGTCAGTGTCTGAGCTGGGTGTGATGGATGTGTACATGACCTGTATGCATGTTAAATAAAAACAGTCTATACAGTGAGGCTGTATGTTTGTGTTTCCAGTACTGGCTCTTCTTTATGCTGTCATGTTTGATCTGTTCTTCAGCTCCGAGTCTCCAGTTCAGCTTTTAATTCACAGTCATTCACAGATGGGACCACTTAAAGAGACATTCGGTCAAATACACACTGTACAGAACAACAAAGTTCGGCAATGACATACCAGGATGAGGTAGACAACCCAAGACTCTGGACACTTTATTACATTTCATTCCCACATAACATCAGCGATAAACAGTGTCAAAAATGCCATCATGTCATCACACTTATTCTCTCTTTACTTATTTATTTTTAAGAACTGTGCATGGTTTTCTGCATTGATTTTAAATTTTGAAAATATTTTATCATACTCAAAACAATCTTGACAGAGGGTATGTTAAGAAGTGTCTGAAGTTAAAGGGATATTCCGGCGTAAAATTAATTTAGAGTCCGTAATGGACTGGCCTGAAGTGTTGCTACAAACAAGCGGCTGCTGGAAGAGAGTAGATGAGTAGATGAACAAAGGAAGTTGTATAACCATTGAACCTTACAGCAAATTAATCTCCCAATCACAGAGGAAGATGGGCGGCACCAGGGACAGCTTATCAGATTTCAGAGAAGGGTGCTGGCACCCCTGATGAGCCCTCATAGACACACCCCTGGAAAAGCTGGAAAATTAAGATCCCTCTAAAATTTGACCAAAACATTTTCCACTTTAATTCTCTACTTAGTCAATAATACAACCAGTTTTAATAGAGTGCATCTCTAAAAGACAAATTATAGTTGTAAAATCCGCAGTAGTTCAGTCGGTTCGTTTTGACGCTCAGCTTTTATTTTGAATTCAAGAATACGTGATTCTGATTGGTGGATCGCCGCGTGACGTACACACGGGAAATGGCCACGCAAACGAGCGGAATCACAACATTGCATTTGAAGTCTCTTTTACGTCCTCGTGTAGTTTAATTCGGGCGTATTAACACCACGTTTTCATGGCGTGTCTTTTTGAACACCCCTGACAATCTGTTACCGCAGAAAAACTTTAATATTTAGCTCGCAGTGTTGTGAAAACATGCTGCTGTCCGCTGAGAGATCTAACCTGCAGCTAACGCTAGCTAGCAAATGGCTGTTCGGATGTGATGTGTGTCACTGTGCAAAGTAAGTTTAACTATCACTCTGTGCACTCTAGCTTAGTAAAACCTTCTCAATAATTTAATACAAGCGATTATTCATCTTATGTGACTTTTCCGCTGTTATTCATCGTTGTTATTTGAAGCTAGGACCAAGTATTTGCAGCTAAATAACGGCCTGGTTTCTCACAGAGGAGGCTAACTTGAGGGTTTTGTTCACTTTTGTGTTTTTTAAGATGACAAGAAGACGAGTATAGCAGTGAAAGGTGAAGTTTACAGCATGTAAGCTGGTTTCAAAGATGCCTCGTCTGGAAGAGTTGGCCAACGTCGCCCTGAGGGTTCCCAGCATCCTGCTGCTGGACCTGCTCTATAAATGTGACATTGAAGGACTAACAGAGCACCTCAAGGCCAAAAATGAAGACCTGCTCTTCAAATACAAATATGTCATCTGGAACATGTATTACCTCGGTAAGAAAGCATGTGTTAAGTATATTTAAGTCATGATAAAGTCACAAAGACAAATATTTTCTGTCATGTTATGTAGAAACCAGTCACTACTGTACACGCCTGTATCCACAGCCTAAAATAACAGTTATAGTCTGTGTTTTTATGTTGCAGCGTTAAACTGATGCTGACTAGAGAGACTGGCGACTGATATCATTGGTTCATAAAGCTCTTAATGGTCTCGCTCCAACCGTTTTAATAGATTTGCTTTCAACGTATGATCCCTGTGAGAGCTCCGGTGCCTAAAGTCTGAATAAAGACCCACGGCGAGACAGTGGCTGCAGCCCACTTTTGTAAAACAGACAACTTCGAGAACTTTTTTATTTTTCTATTTCTTTCTTTCTTTATATTTATTTCTTTTAAAAACTGGGAACAGTACATATTGATCAACATTTACATGTAAATATGTGGGATTATAACCAAATGGCTAATTTCCATCCCCAGTCCCATTGGCAGGTTGATGTTAAACATGAAAGCAATAATGTTAAAGTGCAAACAACATGTCTAAGACAGTAAAACAATACACTGACAACAACGTACACAGACCAAAAACTAAGTAACCAATAGTGAGGGGACCAAAAAGATTTAAAGAGAATTGTAAAGTTTTGTTCTACCTTATACTTTGTGACTGTTTATTCACTCATTTATTCAGTTAAAATTGTAGTCTGTTTTTCTACGGAGTTTGTTTCTTTGGGTTTTACACAAAAAAGTTTAAAGCACTTAAGTTTAGTTCATTTTATCAACTCACACAGCAGCACTTCGTTTTTCCTTGTTAAATAAAAAGTGTTGAAAAGAAGCTTCGTTTTAAGTCTTCATCTTCAGCTTAAAGAAAACAAAGATGATAAAGATTGTCATCTTTTCTCTGCAGGTCATCTGATAAACGTGGTGGTGTTGGTTCTGCCATTGAGACACATCGTGACGCTCTACCTTCACATCCTCACCGCCCTCCTCCTTTACATGGGGCATCAGATTTCAAAGTGAGACACTCTTTCACACTATTACTACTCGACTTATGACTTCTACAGTTTCTGCTGCTACTCTTCTTATCTGATTTATTGAATCTAGATCAGTTTTTCCACCTGGGACTCCTCTCTGCAGTCACAGTGTCTCCCTCACGTTTGTTTTTCCTTCATTTTAGGAGGAGTCCTGTATCGGGTTTTGAGGCTTTTGTTGTTTACCCTTCAAAAGCTTTTTGTTTTTCTCCAAACCTGAAAAGGACAGGTTTTCTTTACAGGCCTCAGGCTAAACATCAAGATTACTGTAAAAAGCCTAAAAAACTACAATATCAAGAGAAGTAGATGTACGAATGATTAAATATATCAGAAGAGAGTTAAGGTTTCAACATGACGAGTCATTGTATCTATTACAGTCAACCCAGTGGATATTATAGTTATGTAGGATTAAGTTTAAGGAGTTCAAAAAGATAAACAAGCTTTACTTTGATGTGATACTATAGAAAAACCTGCTTTTTCATGCTTTCCTGATTATTTTTTCAGGGATTATGTTCGAGAGGAGCTGCAGTACGGTTATGAAGGAGCAGTGTACCTCGACTCTCTGGCCTTCAACAGATTTGTCTCTGCGATGACGAGTGAGTCCTGAAACCCAAACAAGTCTTTGCACAGCATTCAGGTTCAAATTTATGTTCATAGATTTAGTTACATTTGTGTCAAAGGTTTCCAGAAAGTTGTCTTTCATAGAGCGTCACCACAAATATGCAGCATCAAAGCTCCTCCTTGTACTGTCCTCCTTTTTTTCCAAGTTTTATAGTTGGAAAAATCGTGTCGTACTGAAAAGTCTGACCTTAAACGACAAACCGTCCTCGCTTTTAGTCATTACATAACTGCATGCTCTAAAATCTCAACCATTTCATTCAAATTCAGACAGCAGTGAGACCCCATCTTGTATTTTTTTAATTCATTGATTTCTTTTAAGCTTTTCTTGACTTTAGAAGTTATTGTTGGATTAGAAACTTTGAACTGACCGCGGGGCCAGGAGAATAAGACCGCAATTAACTGCAAACTTTTCTCATGTTTGTACCGCCAATAATCCACAAAAGAGACAGTGAATTTAACATTTAAAAAGGGTCAGTGGTGAGGAAGAATTTATCATGCTTACTTAAAAAACAGCGGTTTCAGTGGAACAAAATAGTCCTTGTATTCCTCTTACTCTCCTCTTTGATTTAGCTGATGTCCTCTTTGTGTCCTTTCAGAGCTCGGCCAAAGAGTGAGCGTTAATTTGATGTTACTATCCAGCAAAAACAAATAAATGAGCATCATATACAAGATACAAGATGCACAGTGGATGACTTATTTTAGGTGCGATCATGAATCACAGAGAGAAACTTAGTAGACCGGTAAGGGTAGAGGCAGCTAGGAAGTTTTAAAAAGGTGTAGTACACCAAGAGGTTAAAGTTAGAAGTGTGGGGATGTACACTGGATGATACCAGCCCAGTTCTAGTATTGCTAAAGGGAAACAACACCCCAAAGGTCTTCAGTGTGTTTAATACAGATGAAAAATCTATTTCAACTAAGTCAAAAACTCTAAAGTCATTTGTAAACTAAAGTTGTTCTTCATGGCGATCACAGCTGCCGTGGATTGTCTGTCCTTTCCCCCAAGAGAGACAGCATGAATGTTATCTTCTCCTCAGGTCAGATTATCCTCAGCACATTGTGTGCCTTCCTGATGAAGACCAGAAAAGTGTGGCTGTTCTCCGCTCACATGCTTCCCCTGCTGGCCAGACTCTTCGCTGTCCCTCACACCACGCTCCTGACTGTCAACACTTTCTCCATGGGCCTGACCGGAGCGGGAATCACCGTGTTCCTCCTCTCACATCTCTTCCTGCCATATCGACTCGCAAGGGCTGCCTATTCAGAGCTGCTGCAGCTGGAGGTACTTTTCCTCTGATGTCTTTTTTTTGTGTTTAAACTTCTCTTTTAAAAATATTCTGGCTTTGACCAGAATCAAGTATTTAACACAGCTGGGTACTAAATCATGCCGCCATGTGTAAAAGCGCCATATTGGTTTTAAACATGATTTAGGACCCTATGAGGGGACTTTATTTTGCCCCTTTAAGATATAAATTTGGCCTGTAAAGGTGTTCAAGTTTAGAAATAAACACAGCAAATGAAAAAGAAGAGCACGTTCCACATCCTACTCTAATTTCTCAGTTTCTTTTCTCACCCTCCTCATCGCCTCCCTGGCCTCTTGTCCCTCAGGTGATCGAGCTGTACAGACTCCTGGCTGTAGGGATCTCTCTGTGGAACCAGTTTGCCGTCCCAGTGCTCTTCAGTGTCTTCTGGTTCGTTCTGTTCGTCGTCCAGCTGTGCTCAGACGCCATGGCTGCCAACGCCTCAGTCAGCCATCAGGGAATCATGTTTTTCCTGCTCACAAGGTGGGATCAAAACTCCTGCAACTTCTTCTCCCTGACATTATTCAGTTTATTTTAACTTTCTTTTCGTCTTTGTTTGCTCCTGCAGTGTCTCTGAATGTTGTGCCACCCCGTACTCTCTCCTGGGCCTGACCTTCGTGGTGTCCTATCTCGCTCTTGGACTGCTCAACCTATGCAAGTTCTACCTGGGAGGTTACGCCGCTGTACAGAATGAGAACGTCATGCACAGGTGAGTCCAGTTTCACGACTCAAACTTGCAGCTTCAGGAAATTTCAGCCATCACATACGCATGACACGATAAACTGTTCTGCAAACACGCAGAGGTAATGACAGAGATGTTTTTCTATCTAGCTGAAGTATGTGAGTCCAGGATTCAGAAACTTGCAGCTCTGCATCAACTCTAGAGGTCAATAACTCTGTTTTTGGTTGAAGTGAAGCTCTGAGCAGACAGGGTAATAGGTTTTGAAGGTTTTCTCTGACAGAAAGCATCTAAACAAGACCAAGAATGATGCTATGAGATTGTCTAAAAGGATCATTAACTTTATTATTTTACTCACCCCATCAAGGAGCTGCAGAATCTAGTGAGGAGTCGGATACTTAAAACATTTTTGTACTCAGAGAGGTTGTCTCGGCACTTTTTATTACTTAATTTTGTGTAGGATCCCATGGTGTTCTTTTTACAAGCATTAAAGTTTGTATAGGGGTTCACTTTAAATTTTTGTATGGGGATATAATCTAATATTTGCACAGGCTTAAATTCTGGACATCCCTCAGGAGGATCAATCAAGTATCTTTCTAATATTAGTCTGAGCCGAACGTCTTTAAACGTGTTTATTTCCTCACGTCAAAGTCGAAAGATCACCCAGAACAATCACCAAGAGTTATGGTCTCAGAGATTATCATACACTCTGATCCAGCACAGTCGGACTTTGTCACAGGACCATAAATCATGAACTGAATAACCTTTCCTGGATTTGCTGGTGGATTTGCACCATCAGCAGTTTGATGATTTTAAGGAGTTCAGTAAAGTCAGTGTATGATCTTTAGTTGTAGTAGATGTATTCTTAAAAATCCTGTTCCTCTCATCTTTAGATCCTCTTCCATGTCTTCTTTAAAGCTATTTAGGCCCTCATAACCCAGACGCTGAGTCATCATGGTGTTGTACACAGATGTCTGCGAAGTTAATAGTTTTAAGAGGGTGAAAAGTTGTTGAGGTGTCAAGTGTTTGATTGTCAGAGCTCTCAGGTGTTTTTAGTCACCACTAGATGTCGCCTGAGTCTCATTTCAGCAGCAACCGTTGCACTTAAAATGGAGCTGAGACTTTATAACTGTGCTCAGAGATACATCAACTGTTTCCTCTTCTCTCTCCTCATCCTCAGAGGCGTAACCGAAGGCGTCACGCTGCTCCTGCTCGCTCTTCAGACAGGCCTGTTGGACATGCAGGCTCTGCAGCGCACCTTCCTCCTCAGCATCATCCTCTTCATCGTGGTGACTTCCACCCTGCAGTCGATGATCGAAATAACAGATCCAGTTATTCTGGCTCTTGGTGCATCACGAAACAGGTATCAGTCAACAGAGGAAGTCTACATTTTTAAAGGGATGTTTCAGTATTTTCAAGATGTATTAGTCACAATAGATGCTGTTTAGTCCTGCCCCTTTAAGCGTCAAGGTAAGGTGGGGACAAGTCTGCCTTTTTTTTTCCCTTTACTGCTTAAACTGAGATGAATCTTTAAGCCAGGGTCTCTTAAAAGAAGCTCATTTATGTGGCAGACTTGACCCCATCTGCAGAAAACTGTGGGATAGCTGGCATGTGGGGTCCTATGTCAGCCTCTTATTAAAGGGGCAGAAATTTCTAGCACTCACTCCTAATAAAGACATGTAACCTTCACAACCTCCCCCCAGAAACACTGAAATATCCCTTTAAAAGGATTTGGAATAATGTCCTTGATTTTTGTGTTTTCTGTGCGTCCTCTAGGAGTCTGTGGAAACACTTCCGTGGCCTCAGCATGTGTCTGCTCCTGCTGGTTTTCCCCGTGTTCATGGCTTATAAAATCTCCCAGTTCTTCCATATGGACTTCTGGCTCCTCATACTGGTGTCCAGTTGCATGCTGACTTCCCTACAGGTATGAATGACTGTAAGGGCGGTTCCCAGACATATTAGACTCTTACATGACCTCTATATGACTCAGGACTAGAAACGAAGTCTGCCTAAAATATCTGACTCATGTAATTTGTTCTATTCTTAGATTGCAGCTCTTGTCTGTTTCTCTAATAAGCAGATTATTTATGATATTCTGTGTGTAAAATGTGCGCTCTTTGTCCAGGTTACAGGCACCATGCTGATCTACTCCCTCTTCATGGTGGAGCTGTTCCGCAGTGACCCCATCGAGAGCCTGGATGAGGTCATCTACTGGGTGAACGCGGTCAGCCGGGTGCTGGAGTTCGTGGTGGCGCTCTGCGTGGTGGCGTACGGCACCTGGGAGTCTCTGTTCGGAGAGTGGAGCTGGATGGGCGCCTCTGTCATCATCATCCACTCTTACTTCAACGTGTGGCTCCGAGCTCAGTCTGGCTGGAGGAGCTTCCTGCTCAGGCAGGAGGCGGCGAAGAAGATCAACTCGCTCCCCAGAGCCACGGAGGAGCAGCTGCATTTACACAACGACGTCTGCTCCATCTGCTTCCAGGTGGGTCTCAATCGCTTCGTGTACACTGTAGCTTTTCTTGTGCCTGTCAAAATGGTCTCATTCAGAGTAAATGCAAGATGCATGTTTACACAGATCTAAATCTAGATTTTATTGAGCATCCATGAAAACAGTGAAGTTAAAATCATTCTGATTAACGAACTCTCTTTTCATGGATGCTCAATCAAATCTAGATGTAGATCTGTGTATACATGCGTTCACTCTGAATTAGACCATTTTGACAGGCACTTAGTCATGCTGCTGTCTCTTAAGGCCCCTTAACAGCTGAGAACCAGGCATTCTGGAAGCTTCCTCCACTGTTGCAGTTCATCAAAGCCGTATTTCTCTTGAATCACAGAATCTTTAATCGATGTTGTCACAATATGAGCGAATTTTAGTTTCATTCTGAAATGTTGTTTGTTTTTTTTGTTTTTTTTTATTCTCTTTTTATTCAGAAAGGCACATCTAGACCATCACACATGTACATTAACTCAGTTTGTCAAGAACACAGTGATGTTGTCTTTTTCTCCCACGGACCCAAACCATTCCAAGTGGACACAAAAACAACAGAACTGGGAAGCACACCCTTACACCCTCAATACATCACACAAAAAAAGATTACTAAAGAGTGTAGGTTTACACAAAGCACAAGTGTAGTCTGATAAAATCAGATGTAATTGGTTTTACATATTCAATCCATTTGGTCCAGATCTTAAAAAAGTTTTCTTTCTCAACTTTGAGGAGAAAGAAATCTTCTCCATAACATAAATCCCATAAACAACTTCAATCCATTCATCAATGGTGGGAGGTTCCACTTTTAATTATTTCCGAGTGACACATTTCTTACTAGCTGCCAAGAATAAAGTCAGCAGTTTTTTGTCTTTTAAACATTATATTACCCAGAAATGTTTGACCTTTTTAACAAATCTCTCAGAGTCTAAAACTTTGCCCACAACAAACATTTGAACTTGATTTTTGTTTATAAAATTATTTCTGCTACCTCTTTAATTTTTCACTGTCATCACAAAACAAGACAAGGACACGATGTTCATCAGTAGTACAGAGAGTGAGGGTGAAAATACAAACTTATCGTCTATCGTAGTTTTAGATCTGCGAGTAAAGTGAAGTTTCCCTCTCAAGAATCTTAGTTTGTTGTTTGTATTCTGGGTCAACGTGACAGATTATTTTGTCATGTGACGATGAGTCTGATTCTGACCTCACTTTCGATGTGACGTCTGACTAATAAGTCACCTCAGATGTCGGGTTGATGGCTTGGGTTTGGCAGTGTGTTGAGGAGCACCAGAGGCGATGACGATCCTATCAACTGTTCTCAACCGGTTGGATGAATTTCTGGCATGTTAGAAATTTTAGCCAACCAACAGCTTATTCAGGGAAAGAGAAGCTCGAGACGATTCACCGACTTTTTTAGGTTACGTCTTCACAAAGTGTTATGAAAGTCACTTTTTCAAAAGCTCTCTCAGTTTTCATCAAGATTTTCCCTTTCTCTTTCACCAACAAACTGGTGATCTTTGTGAAGGACAGGTACAAACAGGTTTTAAGAAAAACTGTGGCTGAAGGCCAAAGAGAGGGAAATGAACAAACAGGAAAAACAGGAACAACATACTTTAAAGGTACACACTCACTCACACACACAGTTTGAAGCATCTCAGATACACGGTGGTGTTTGTCAGTCTTTACTGTCAGCCTGCTGCATGCATGCAGCTGAAGTGTCAAATATCAGGTTACTCTACACCATATTGGTCCTAATTTAAGATGACCCCTCCTTTTCAAGAACCAGTTTTGGAAACATGGAAGTAAGAGTTCACTCCTCAGATAGATTTTAGTTGTTTTTGAGCACATTTCATGACCTACTTTTTAAGTCTCCTGAAGTGGACACATAAAAAGCCTTCAAAACAAGCTCTGAAAGTTTCAGACACATGTGCCGTTGACTCACCAAATGCTGATTTGAGAGCTAAATAGCCTCTTTGTTCGGCAAATGATTGAAAGTGTTTCATGTTGGATTATCTCCCTATAGAGGCTAATAAACATGATTAATTCCCACAAATCAAGATAATATAGAAAAATGACTAGAGGTCACCAAGTAATACGAGCCCTTTGGAACTAGGGCTGTACTTTATTTAGGATGTGTAACTTCCTCTTCTGCTACAACATTCGGTAAATACTGGCCAACAAGTGTTGAAGTAAGTCAAATACAACTCTTCCTCTCTTCACAGGAGATGAGCTCTGCTGTGATCACATACTGCGGACATTTCTTCCACGGCAACTGCCTCCGCAAGTGGCTGTACGTGCAGGAGACCTGCCCCATGTGCCACCAGACGGTCCGACCCACCCCGACAGGTGTGAGCCCGGCTCCAGAAGACGTTCAAGCTGCACAACCTCAGAGAGACGCAGAGCCAGCTGCGCCAGGAGAAGATCAGAACCAGGAAAATGACACAGAGGCGCAGAGTGATACTGCAGCTTCTGATCCTACCAAGAAAGAGGAGGAGGAGGAGAGCTTTGAGGGTGGAGATCATGAGATGGGAGATGAAGAACCTCAGAGAGAAGCTGTTCAAGGTCTGTGTTTCAGCTCCAGCGGAGACTTTGTTGGATTCATCAACCCAGCTACAGGCGCCTCTCCAGTAGGAGATTCTAGCTCAGAGTCTCCTCCAACCATGCACAAGGAAAATGAAGATTCTCCAACATCACTAACTCTTAATGCTGAAAATGAAAACACAGCTGACTTATGCGGAGCAAAAACCGCCGTCACTTCTCGCCCTGTAGCGGCACATAATGGAAATGAAAGCTGCGACGACTCCCCTGAATCATGGAGCTTTCTTCAATCAAACCATGCTGAATCAAACCCTGAGGAATCTGATATGAGCCTCGGTTGCCAAACATCTGTGAAATCATGCAGAGAAAACTCTGATCTCTCAGACTGCAACAACGACCCACAAACTCACAGCTACTCAGGGAGGCAGAAACTTTCCCTCCAAAGACCCCCAGACTGTCTTCCTCCTGCACAAACCCAGACCACAGAGACTGACCGCCCTGCATCAGTGCCTTGAAGGATTCAAAAGGGTGATTCTCCATAATGGAGAGTTTAACACATTTGCCTTCTCTCTGTGAATTGGACATATTTCTTAAACCAGACAGTGTAATGAATGTGATTCAGATAACAAGGACTGAATATAGAGACTGAAATCTGAGGGCTAAACGTGGAGCCCTTTATTGTACAACTGTAAAGAAAATAATGTAAAATGATCCAGAGAAATGATGTGTTATTTTGAGGCAACTATCTTAATACCAAATCCTAGCAGGTAACGAGTACATAATGTTTACTTTGAGGAAGTTGATTGACTTTGATTTAATATTTACCAGAGTCTTGTTTGTCAATCCTCATTTGTTGCGTTTTTGTGAGAGCAGAGTGCTAAAAAGGAAAAGCTGTTAACCATGAATCCATCTTTTGTACTCCATCGTCCAGTATTAGATTACTGCTGTGTACATGTACTCTTTTTTTTCTTTTTTTTTTTTTACTGTAGTTTCTAAATTAATTAAAGTTAATAAAATCATGACAGGTGCACAGTAAGGGGGGCTTTGTGTAGAGTTAATGGGGTCTGAACAGACAAGGCAGTACTACTGTTGCCTCAAGCTAAGAGAGTCCAGATGAGACTGTAGTCGACATGTTCAGTCGAGCTTGTTATAATAGAGTATTTAATATCTATGATATTATCAGGGATGTGATTCTTATTATAAAACTGAAGAGGTGACCTATATAACTCACAAATATGAACTCAACAGGTGTTCTGGTTTATGGCATGCTATGTATGTACCTCTGACTGTAAATAGAAGTCTTAAATTATCATAAATCTATCTTTGATTTAAAGCCCCTGTGATAAGTTTTCTGCCGGGTGTGAAAAAGACTGAAATTGATACAGACCCACAAAAGGAAACAAGACCATTAGCAACAAGAGTCCTAATTTCTACTTCATTCTGAATGTCTGTAACTGCAGTGAGAGAGTATGTGTCGGACCAGATGAGCAATGGCTGGTTAAAAATACACTTTCTTGACATTTTTATATGTAAAGTTTTATAAAAAGTGACACATTTGGCTGTTAAAGAAAGCAGGATGAGATTGTTTTGTCACCATAAAGTCTTCCCTTTTTACAAGAGGACAAATCAGTCCTGAAGTTTTGAGGTTAAACCCAAAAAAGGCGATTCAGCTGGGACTTGGAACTACTTTTTTGCTACTTTATAGACAACCCATGAACGCCCATTCCCATCAGAACAGAAACTAAAAAAGAGGGCAACAAAAAGTCATTCAATAGGATAGAGAGCTAACGAGCTTTAATTTTGACATGTCTTAAAAAATGGACATATCCCATAATTATGAATTTTCATAAACATTTTGACTGACAATTCGAGTTTTTAAGCTCGTAGTTGTTTTGTTCACCTGGGAAAATTGCGTTTGTGTCATTCTAGCCAGTCCTGTGTTTTTTAGTTTTTTAAAAGGAATTTCAACTTCCTCTATAAAAATTCCGACATGTCATCAACTTTTTTTTATCTTCCAATTTTAACTTCATTCATTATGAATCACACCATTCAACTTTTTACTTATTTACAGCAATTTCATGACTGTCATAACTGAGTTTATCTCAAGACTGTGACTGTTTATCTGTAACCATGGCTAACTTAACTTACCAGGGCACCCACTATGTTAATGGTCGGTTTCGACCCGTGTCTTAAATCAGCTGTAAATTACACTACTCAACTCAACTCAACTTTATTCGTAAAACACTTTAAAACAACCACAGCTGAAAAATAGTGCTGTGCATAAATAGACAAAACAACGCAGGCATAAAAATCAATCAAAAAACAAATAAAACAATGGATAAAATAAAAGCAGATATTAAAAAGTAAAATATAGTTTCAATGTTTTTAAAAACGAATTTAAAAACATAGAAACAAATATCTAAAAACAAACCATAAAACACTAAAACAGGAGCTGAGTCTCATTCAGGGTTGAAAGCCAATGAATAAAAATGGGTTTTAAGACGAGTTTTAAAAATGGACAGTGGGGGCTTGTCTGATTTGGAGGGATACCTCGTTCCATAATTTTGGGGCCACAACAGAAAAAGATCTATCCCCTCTGAGCTTCAGTTTGGACCTTGGTACCTCCAGGAACAGCTGATCTGCTGACCTGAGGCACCAAGCAGGGGTCTCTTATCATTCAATTTTATTCTCATCTTTAGGTTGACTTGTTAGGCTTCATTATCCATGAAAATATTTCTTAAAATATTTTTCGTTGAGGGCCTCTGGGCCTTTCTTTGTCAGTACACACACAGTTCACACAGACATCTGTACTGAATTGATCTCACATGTCTGGACATGCCTGACATTGGCAAAATGAGAATTTCCTAAATCTCACATGATCGGAAGAGGATCTGACTGTCAGTGTGGTGCCTGGCAGTGCACATATGATTTTAGTTTTTGCTCTAATTATTAGATATTAAACTAAGCGGGTCAACAGCGACCGGAACAGGACAAGTGTCATAACTTTAATAAGAGCATTTTATAATTTAGTCAATTATTTTGTTGATATAGTTTCCTGACAGTCAAAAAGTATTGATGCAAAAAAGCTAATTAAAGTAGTTCTTTTAAGCATTTGGAAACAAAAACAGGTCGGTGCAGACCCTAACACAGGAGGAGGGTTAATTTGTGTTAAGTTTAGTAATTTTATAAAACTATATTACAGTATGTATGTATAGTTTTAGCTAAAATATGAGATTTTTATCATACTATGACATGTTTTTAACATACTATACTATGACATTTTTCAACATACTATACTATGACATTTTTTGTCATACTAAACTATGACATTTTTTGATAATACTATACTGTGACATTTTTATCATACTGTACTATGAATTTTTTAGCATACTTAACTATGACATTTTGAATCATACTTTTACTATGATGTTTTTAATCATACTATACAATAATATTTTAGATTAAACTATACTATGACATTCTTTACCATACTAAACTGTGACATTTTCCTCTTACTATACAATGACAAAACTATACTATGATTTAGTCATTAGTTGTGTTTTAGCTGCTCCTTGTTTCATTTTTAAGGGCTCATAAAAGTTAAATGTTAAGCTGACATGTACTGACTGGCCTGTCTGTCACACTTGCTGGTTGTTTTTTATATTTTTTTTACTTGAAGCTTGTAACCAATCTGACACCACATCCGCCCCGTCAGTCAGCAGCCGAGCGGACCGCCTTCATTCGGAAACCTTCAAATACAAGTCGACAGCAGCGCGTGAGCTGCCGACAGCGTCCGAAAGCTAACGAACAGGAGGCTTTGTCCACCGGGAGATTTCACCTGACACACGCACTTATTCGACCGAAACCTGGGAAAGAAATCATCGAACAATCAACTCAAAGACGCGGAAACTTCAAGGAAAGCGAGGGTCGTCAAAGGACAGCGTAAAGTTTGCCTTTTGGGGCGAAAATAAGCTGATTTTCAGCTCAGCGTATACGTAGTTCTTCGCCCGCAGGCTAGCTAACGGTGCTAGCTCGAGGAAGAAAGGCCGTCGAGTTGACCCAGCGTCATATAATTTTGACGGATTGTGAATAATCCTGGCATACTACGGTTGCCACTCACTGCTCGCATCGGAAAACTTCAGATAAGAGAGGAAAAAAACACCGTGAGAGGATGGCTCTGAAAAGGATTCACAAGGTAAGAAAATGTCGAGCTGTCATCGTTAGCTGCGGTGTTAGCCTCCCACAATGCTCTATCCTGTAAAACATGGCGGTGAAACACGCTCGGAAAAGTTTCAGCCTCTTACGAACACGTAAAAATAAATTCCCTGTGTCCATTATTGCTCTAATTTTCTGTATTTTTGCCTCCTTGCTCCTGCTATCTCACACTGAACCGGCTGTACTTTCGGTTGGTTGGCGCATAGCTAACTTAGCATTAGCATTAGCACAGGTTCTGGTGTGTTCGTCGGTAGAAAGAGGCCGCATGAATTACTCAACACTTCTTACGTTTACATAAACACAAAACACGTTTGAGTGTTATCCACAAGTAGGCTGACGTTGATCCTTCGTGTCCCGGTAGGTGGGTTATATTACAAACATTTCACAATATCGTTGGAAGGTCCCAGAAGTCATGACTCATATCTTTGAGGGAATCTGTGTAAGCAGTCATGGCTGTGTCCATGATACACTTCCTTGGTATGTGATAGTATTTGTTCTTTGCCTGTGCACATCGCAGGGTGTGTTCTGGCAGTTTGCATGGAGGAAGTTGGCAGCAGAAGTGTGATATAACGTGGAGAAACACCTCTGAAGTGTTCACTAGTGATAAAGTAAAAAAAACACTTGAACTGACCCTACAGAATAGTCCTCCTACAACCTTTACCGGTGTCTGTTTGACACGCAGGGCAGCATGGTGTCGGGAAAAATGACACTGCGAGACGTTTTCCACCTGCAATATTTATTAGGGTGTGAAAATATCCAAATTAGGAACTTAACTTTTATTTGTGTCACACTTCCCGACAAGGAAATAAAGAAAATTACAGATAAACTCAGTGAAATCCTAACAGTAGAACGAAAACAACAACAAAGACCGACCGATATGGATTTTTTTGGGGTCAATGCCGATACCGATTATTAGGATTGATCAGCCGATTCCCCCTGCAGATCGGTGCCTCCGTGTCTTAACTCACGTTATTAATCAACGGTCCGGTCTCATCTGGAGACATGCAGCTGCCTCAGTAAGAGACGTAGCTCGATCACATAATGTGTACTGTTGTTTATTGTACCGTTACTGGCACGGCTAACAGTGTAGCAAGGCTAATAGCAGGTGGCGAACTCTAGCTTTAGCTTGCCTATAACATGATGCTTCGCAGGAACATGGTGAAGTGGGTTGAACTGAAACTTGTTGACTTATTGTGTATTTCACAAACTGGTTTATTTACCGTTGAGGTGGACCACTCTCCTCCATGTGTCCCTGCTTCAGATCTGTCAATCTACAGGATAAGTCGGGGAACATTTCAAATGGCAGAACATTTTCGAAGTGAAACCGAATCTTGTTTTCCGCATTGTCTTTCTGAAAATATCAGTGAGTTTTGGCCGATCACCAATTAGTCTGAAACGGGTCAAAATTGGCTTATTTAATCGAGTCACCGATAAATCGGTCGGGCCCTAACAAAGACCCACCAAAGCCGTACACTGACCCCAAAATTATCAATGTAATAAACACGCAGACTTCTTGTATATGCCTATTTCAGATGCTCAAATCGTGGTATCTTCGCACCTCCGTTGACCATTTTCTAAGAGCGTTTTGAAAACATCGGATCCAGGATGTTGTCCTCTAATTATGTGAATTTTCCAGGGACGCCTTAATTCTTATTTTGCCTCTTTTAACCACTGTAATACCTGCCTTCAGGTTAGGCCTGGGACGATATGCTTCTCTCCCCATTTGATTCTTCTATGATTTTTGGATACAGATTTGATTTAAATTGCGATTTCTACAATGTTGTTGATTTTTAGTCTGCATTTTTAACACCAGTGAAACAGTTGAATGATTATTAATGTCTACTGAGTATTCCAGGAATCATATTTCCTTCAAAAAAAACACATCAAATGAAAAAAAATCAATTTTTGAACATCAAAATAGGTTCGAAAATTGTAAATCGATTTTTTTTTTCTCCCACCCCTACTTCAGGTACTTTCTGGCACTTTCTAAGCGAAGTTTATTATTGTTTGTCCATCCTTTGTCCTCGCTGTGTTTACCGCCTTGTTGATGTTTCCACTCTGAAGTGCCGGCTGTACTGATTGGGGATTAAGGCTGGAAATCTGGCCCAGATTGTGTATGGATTTTGTTTGGCTTGTTTTTGTGGTTACACACATCTATTTTTGTCGTGTTATGTCTGAGCTGCTTTTCTCCCCCTTGTTTTAGTTTTTGTGATTGTAAAGAAAATAGTTTAAAAAGAAACTTACACTGGAAGGAAGACATACCCATGGCCAGTCGAGTGCAGACTTGTCACTTACAGCATGGCATAATTAAAATACACAATAGAAAGTCAGTCCTCAAAGTGACTTTTAAAGTCGTCCCATTAAAGTCCCCCCTAAAAAACAAAGTTGACCACCAGTCAAGCATTTGAAATGAGGCATGTTGCCCATCATAGTAATAGTGACTGAAACAGACAGTGTGAATTAAATTTCATGACAGTCTTTCAGTTGGGATCTTGACAGCTTAAAGAAGTTACGACATGAGACCTTCAGAAAGGTTTATAGGGTCTGGTCTCTGAACCATGATACGACATCAGATCTCAAGTACTCTCACACTGTTTTTCATTTTTCAACTCTGTGTTGTTTACTCGAATCCAGTTTGACTGAAATCCATAAACTTGTGTAATGGTGTGTGACAGACGACCCGGGGTGGGGCCGTGGCTTCCACCTCTCTCTAAAGTATCTGTAGGCCTAAAAATAACAGCAGTGTGTATGCACACTTCAGGCTCATCTGGCTGTTAACTGCAGGGGCGATAACAAAGTGGCCCCCTTCCCCCCGAGCCGGTGTTGTGTTGAACTTGTGGGAGAGTTGCAGGAGATAAGGAAGGTGTTGAGAAATAGATGGCGCGGACCACCTCATGTTTCACCTCCGTTCCCCTGCCCCCATGTTGGCATGTTGATTTCAGATGCTGCTCCTTTCCTTGTTTTGTCTGTGGAGATTATTGTGGTCTGCGTTTGTTATTAATCCCAAACTCTTTTTTCATTGCAGGAGCTCAACGATTTTTCTCGTGACCCTCCTGCACAGTGCTCAGCCGGCCCAGTGGGCGATGACAGTAAGTGTCCCATCATTTGAAGGCGAAGTCTTTAAAGTGTTGTTCTGTCTGACCTGAAATCCAAGACACAATCCAAATTACTCATGTATAATGAAAAAACAACAAAAAAATCTTTGCATTAGGAAACTAGGACAGCTTCTATGGCTGGAGTGTTTCCTAATTAAGGTTTCTTAAAGATCATTTGTTCATAAAATAAAATAATAAAACCACATTTTTAATGTTGCTCTCCTGAACCTCCATAAAAGTGATATTTTTAGAAGTGAGAGGTTTTTCTGTGGATCCTTTTTAACAAATAAAACTGACCCGTCTGCTTTTATGAATAACCTGTCCCTGATATTTTTAGCAGTGTGGCAGCAGATCAATTTTGCTATTGATTGACTAACCATTAAATCAATCAGCAAAAGATAGAGGAATCTTGTAGAGCTAGAAATTGATCTAAGATACCCTCATTGAAACAGGGGTGCTTGACTCTGATGTGAAATTAATGCATGATCACTGAAAATATAAGACAGTATTGATCATGACAATTATCTATAAAAGGAAATGTTTCTTTGAAGCTGTCGTGTTCGCTCTGAAACCTGTCAGATCATATACCTTTGACCTTTTCCTGTTGTTTAACATTTACTTTCTGTTCTCCGCAGTGTTTCACTGGCAAGCCACAATCATGGGACCTGTAAGTACAGACTTTATGGCACACAGCTGTTGTTTATTTGTACTTTAAATGCAGCACAATGTTATTATTTTATACGGGGGGTTTTTGCTCATGGCTGCTTTGAATGTGACCGTGAGATAAAGGTTAAAATTTGACTTGATAATAAGGAAGCTTTGGATCATTGACCTCTGAAATGTGTTCATGTCGTGCTTCTTTCAGAGCGACAGTCCATATCAGGGAGGAGTTTTCTTCTTGACAATTCATTTTCCAACAGACTACCCCTTCAAACCACCCAAGGTAAGCATAATCACACCTGAGAGAGGAAGCCAGACTTCTTGTAACACCTGAGACCTTTTGTAATTCATCTACAAATCCACCATAAACTTCCAGTGGTCTTTAACAAACTTAAACTCCCACATGATTTGTGTTTTGTTTTTGTGAATACAGGGAGCATGTGTCTCGTAAAAACAAACCGATGCCATGAACTAACTTTTATCTCTTTGACAGCCGTCATGAAGTTATTCTCGTCATTCCAGATGTAGATAGTCAGGAGTGTCAAACGTCAATGCCGCGTGGCGAGGAATTCCAGTTGCATAATGTCGATCTGCTGTGACGCCTGGTTTTACTCGCCCTCACTCCTGTGTGTTTTTGTCCTTTTTTTTTTTTTCAGGTTGCATTTACAACAAGAATTTACCACCCAAACATTAACAGTAACGGCAGTATCTGTCTGGATATTCTCAGATCACAGTGGTCTCCTGCACTCACTATTTCAAAAGGTAAGAAGGGTCACAAACAAGGACAATAACTTCACATAATGCTAGGTTTTCAAATTATTACATTGTGCTACAGAAGACTAAGAATGTGTCTGTGATACTTCTCAATTTGAACAGGATTAAACCGTATAAAAGACTCCAAATGGTTTAGATCTTGTTTGGTAGATTACAGAAACTCCCTTTGGCTCCCCCTGGAGCTCTGAAAGGACTCTAATGTAACTTAACAAACCACTGCCCAAAACATTTTACACAATTCACATAATTTTGTATAAGATTCCCTTTTTTAGGTCACATCTTAAGAACTCCTTATGATGAAAACAGTTTCTACTAAATCATTTATATTGTGCCAGAATTAACCATTAGTATAAACACCGTTTTTTTTTTTTTGCTGGTTACTTCTTGGTGTGTATATCTTTATCAGCCATTGTTAAATTTGTGTACTATCCGAGATTTTCACAGTATAGATCTACTATTCCACAAAACTAAATATGTTTCTATGAGTCTAAGGTGAACGGACTTGTGTCTAAGCAGAAGTGTCTGTCATTTGCACGTTGTGAAACTGGTTAACACGGTTATGTAATCTGTCTTTCTTGCAGTACTTCTCTCCATTTGCTCACTCCTATGTGACCCCAACCCTGATGACCCGTTAGTGCCAGAGATCGCACGTTTGTACAAAACAGATAACTCGAAGTAAGTCGTCCTTTTTAAAGATTTCTTTATTTTTAATTCTGTAACCTCTTTCTTTCCTCAACAAGCCTAAACCAACAAGGTCTAACAAAAAGACCGTTCAGTAAATCCTCACTACTTTAGGGGAAGGGTGATTTTGGAAGAAAGTGCATGCTATTTCCAATAGATTTAAAATAACAGGACTGAATGGAAACAAATGAAAGCACTGTTAGAAAGTAAAAGAATCAAAGTTTAGCACCCTCTTAAGATTGGAGGGTGGCAGCTGTCATAAAGAACCACTACAAGGCCCATTATTTCACAGATGAAGTTTATTCTAAGCACCTTGTCAAAACTAGTACAAAACTTAAAGGGGGTTCAGTTCGCCTACAATCACTGATTCTAATCTGACTGGTGAATAGTGGGACACATGTTAGCATAATGTAGCTTAACCGACCAGTTTGAGGCACTTAAGTCCAGTAACTGTTGAAGAATCATCCCGAGTCCTGTGTGTAACCTTGTCTCACTCCGTCAGGTACAATAAACTAGCTCAGGAGTGGACTACAAAGTATGCCATGCTATAGGGTAAGGCCAAGAGCCTGCGCTGCATCTTGGCTGTTGTTGGTTTGGCCTGTTACATCTTGTGATGCTCTGATCTCACTGACATAACTGTGATTATACTAATCCCTGAGTACGTGTACATGCCGAGGAGTCTTGGGAGCATCTTGGTACACTGTAGATGAAGTCTTCATGCTAAAACATACAGGATTGCAGCAGCGTCGTGGATCAAACAAGCGTACAGGGCGCGTATCGGCTCCGTCGCAGCATCGTATCGGGAGCAGCACTGCTAAAGACACGCAGCGAGTCTATTTTTGCTGCTCTACGCTTCCAATGCGCGTCAATCCACACAGAGAAGATCGTCCTGGACAGGAAGTCAAACATGAAAACCGCGCATGTCATCCGGTATTTCAAAATCAAACACCATATGCGGTTATGGATTTATCAGTAACACAGAACAATCCGACGGTAAATCCATGATCCATGTGGACCCCAACAGGAACATGGTTTACTTTATTAAACACGAGTAAACCTGCAAAAACCAAAACTTTAAAATCATGTTGCTTTTTCACATATAGTAGAGGCTCAATGGTCACTCAATTATATCCAAATTAGCAGGAAATAGAGCACAGATAGTAAAGACAATCAGTTGTGCGCATGTTGTTTCCTCTATACTGAGCCCAGCTGACCGGGGCTGCATTACGCTGCTGCTGCTACGCTCCTGTATGCGATACCCAATGCTGCTCTACAGAATAATACGGATGTTTTTGGCTTCAATGTTAATAAACAAGTTAACTGGATACATCTGACTTCCTGCCAGCTGGTAAAGGCCCGGTGATAGTTGGGGGGTTCATACAAATTTGGGCTGGCGTGAAAAACGGTCTCAAGATATCAATAAAGAAATGGTGTTAGACTTTAGTCATATTTCCTGCAGTTTTACCAGCATGTAACTCATTAGAAATGGAGCTGAAAACGGTTTTTATCTTTTCACCAGACCAAAATATGAAAAAAACACAGGCGCTTCTTTGTGCCTTGTGGTTGTTCTGGTGAATATAGTTTAACCAGATGAGTAAATTTCCCGCAGCAAAACATGAACATCTAAATCAAAACACACCAGTAGAGCCCTGGACAGTACTGAAACCTTTCATTATTGGGTTTCTAGTCGGTACCACAGACCTTTATTTCATTTTTAAGTGCGAGCGGAAATCACCTCGTAGAGATTTGTCACTTGCAGTCCATCACGGCCGATAATGGGTTTGCTTTTATTGTTCATAGTTGTTGTCGCATTGTGGAGCAGATGTCAGCGAAGGGACTGTACTGAAAAATGTTCTTGGTGGTGCATTCAAGGACATGCCAACAAGAAGAAACTCATTCATGAGCTACGATGACTGAAACCGGAGCCTCGCAGAGTGACAATACAGGCTCCGAGGGTTGGGTTTCACGTATGGAAAGGGTGGTGTCGAGTATATTATAAACCCTCGGGTGTCAACACACACACAAAAAAACAGTATACGTCAGCATCTCTATGACCAAGAGGTTATTAGCGTAGATGATCGCTCACTGTGACACACTTTTGTTCTCGTGTGTGTGAAAAGACGCCTGTGGCAAATGAGAGATTTGTTAAAGTTAAGGATGATTAATCTAATGAAGCTTTTTAATGGTTAATGATTGACAAGAACTATCAGTTGCTGATAACTTTCCTGCAAGTCAGCTTTACACACAGATTATCAAAACATAATAATCCCCCGTCAATGATGTCCTCTTAGATCATGAATATGGCTAAATCAGGAGACCAGTATAAGGGTCGACTTTATCGTTAACCTGAATTAAATCGATGTATTTTAGAAGATTTTTAAAGTTTAGATTTTGTATGCATGGAGCAAAAGCAACTAACACCAGCATGAAAGAGTTACTTGGTGCCGGATTAAATCAAACGAGGCCTTCGATGATTTCACAGCCAACAGGTCGAACGAGTATTTTACTGTCACAACTTCTGGAAGTGAAGTTTGTACAAAGAGTTGTTTTTATTTTTGCGTAATGCATTTTGTAAGGTTGCTCAAATTGCCTGTCCTATAAATGCAGTGTGCTCAAAGTGCATGTGCTTCCATGACTCTATATAAAAATTGTGTATTCAATTGGGAAGGTTTTATACTAAAAGTTGATGTTTATTGACGGTTATTTTGCCTCAAAGTCTAAATGTTTCTTCCTTCTCTTTTCAGATACACCAAAACAGCAAAAGAATGGACAAGCAAATATGCAATGTGATGGTTGGGAAGTTGGCGGGAAAACAACGTTGCTGGTTCAAACAAAAAAAGATCCAGGATTTTGTTTTTCTTTTTCACTTTTTTCTGTTTTGTTAATCAGAGCATTTTACCCCTTACTTTTTCCACCTGCGCTCATAAGAAGATAGTGTTTTCTCTTTAGGACACGTGCCAGTTTCTGTGAAGTTTCAACTCCTGTTTTGTACAGAGTTCAAAAAAGAAAAAAAGTAAAAAAGAAAAATCACCATGGTGCTGAACAGCTTGAGCATGCCCCAATAAGAGTTTTCAACCCATAATCGGTGATGTTAAGTTATTTACTCTGCACACACTTAGTAGAATTTGATGTAACTGGTTTAACACTGAACACTTTATCAACCCCACACTGATCCACTTAAATAAAACAAAAAACAAACCCATCAGGATCCTGTGCGGTTGATATTCGCTTAACTGTGGCCTGGATTACTCAAAGCACTTGAAGAGAAACCTGTCTTTGCCAAATATTCAGATGTTTAGAGTTTCAAATCGGCTAAATTCGGCTGCGTTTTATTTGACATTGGTAATATCTTAGAAGGGGAAAATGCCAATTCTCTGAAAGATTATAAAACTGGTTCACGGTTCCTGTATTTGCTTCCTGGACTGGTGTGACGTCAGTATGTTCTTCTGATCATTAGTGTAGGAATCTATTACCTGAGGAAAGATGTGTATCTTATTCCACTATCAAAGTGTGTGTACAGAGAAGCACAGCAGTATATATCAATGTTAAGGAAACAAACTATAAGAACTTCAATGTTGTATTTTATGCATGTTAATAAAGGTAGGATATTATATCTGATATGTTTCTGCAAACTAAGTGGATTGTCAGGCTGAACAGTTGGAAATTTGGTTCCCCTCAAAGGCTTTCTTTTACTTTGTCATTATTTAGAAGCCAGTAGACGAGTTTTTAGTTCTATGCCCACTCAAACACTGTCTTCTTGTAGCCCTAAAATAATGATGCAAAGCTGATGGTTGATAATCAACCTGCGGCTCTGTTTTCTTTTAGTTTCCCTTCAATAAAGTTACTCAAACCATAAAGTTTGTTGTAATCGTCCTGACTTTTTTGTGCGTGTGTAAAGTGTCTTAAATTGGAAGACAAAGTCCTGCGATAAATACGTCTGACTTGTGATAAACCTCTTGTGCCTGTAAAACAAAGGAGGCATTGTGAAAAGCTTGAATTTATTTGGAAACTGAACACATTTGAGTACGATATAAAAACAAACATTGGGTTTAAGAATGAGCGCTTGATTTTGGGAAGATTTTAACCAAATTGATGGATTAATAAGCGAAATGGTGGCACTGCAAACTACCAAAGTATTGATATTTAGCACAACTTGGTGTATTAAACAATGTAAAGTAAGAAATGTGACCAGAAAAAGGGGCTTACAACAGTGACTGCATGTGACCTGATGGGACTAGGAGATTATGCCACCCAAAACTGGTGGTTAAAAGAGCACCCAGCATTTCTACACTGAAATTTCAATATGAATAAAACACTTGAACACATTTTCTTAACATGTAGCGCATCAAAGAAGGTGTGCTGTGTTTTCTCCACTTACTGGTTTTGCTATTTTCCCATTGAATGGAGATCCTGTAGTGCTTTGAATCTAATTTTCTACAACAGAAGGGCAGTAAAATGTCCTAAAATCATCTTCTCTCTAGTAGTAAAGGAAACTAGAGAGCCCTGATAACCCTCTTCTACAATGGAAGGTCCTTGTAGGGGGCCCTGAATGCCATTTTATCAACTGGTAAGAGACCCCAAGTCCCCATTTCTTACACTGGGCCTGAATATTTAACTTCAAGGAAACTAGTTTACTTTTAATCGTTAAAAGTGTATATCTATGGGCGTTTTATAACCTGTATGGATGTACAAATGACATTTTAGCTGCATTTTATTGACATACAGGCACAACAGCCTTTAAATCTATCATTAAAAATAAGTTACTGTACAATAAGGGGTCAAAATTTTACCTTTCTTAGGGACTACTGCCAAAAAAAATACAGACTATAACTACAGCTAATATTTAAATGCAGAGATTTTAGTTTTTAGTGTTTTTATAAAGTAGTTTTGCTTTTATTACGTAATTAAAAGAATTTTAAATCGTTTTTTTTCCCCTCATAAATTTGATAAACATGTCCGTGAACGTCTCATATTTTCGCGCCATTATTCGTCCCTCGTGCAGCTCCAGTCAGCTGAGCAGCTCGTCGGTCACCTGACAAACAAGGAAATTCCTGTTCAGCTGCTGAAACCAAATAAACCCCGAATACTGAACTTTTTAGAGAGGATTCACTGAACTAAACTTTGACTAAATCAAACCTAAAAACATGACCTGGCGTTGGAGCGTCTGCGTGTTTGCTCTCGATGTTTTGTTTTGTTTATTTTACGGAGTTTTAACCTTTAAAGACCAAAGTGTGAGTCTGAACGGTAAATGGAGTCTGTCTAACTCCAATGGTTCACTGATATTACCTGCAGATGTTCCTGGATGTGTTCATACAGCTCTACAGAAACGGGGATACATCCAGGTAGGTACATTTATACATTAACAATTTACAATTTAATGTCTTAGTCCAGTTATTTTTTAGGTTATTTTCTTAGTACAGCAACAGTTTACTCACATTAGAAGAACTTAAAGCCAGAAAAGTAAAACTTTTTTTTAAAGTAAATGCATATTTTTGGTATTTTTCTGGGATAATAAGGTGTTTTTGTGCACTAAGGTACAAACTGTACTTGAGTTTTTGTGTTTTATGGCACTTTAACAACAAAAATCAGCATATAAGAGTACACAAAGTACACAAGTATTTTGTCTGACACTTTACTTACAGCCACAAAATACTCCTAACTAGTCCTTACAGATGTGTTATAGGATCATATAGCTGTTAATACCCTCATACAGTGCAGTCACATGCAGCACAGTAAGTCATGTTTTAGCCATAGACTGTATATAGAATATAATGTATAATATTTTATTTTTAAATAATAATATAATATAGTATATACAGTCTCTGGTTTTAGCATGTTGTGAGTATTAATCTGACATTTTAATAAGACTGGGTGAAGTTGTGAGAGTTATAATGTGTCATTAAACACAGAATTCAAAAGTTGCAGATTTTTCCTTATATGTTATAAATCACTCCTTTATAGGACATTATTCCTACTGCTTATTATCGGTTATAATGATGGTAAAAAAAGCCTATAGGTTCACAGATAAGGGTTTATAAATGTGCTTATGATGAATTATAGGAGGTGGGTTTATATGGAGTTACTAAGTTTATGAACCGTTGTTTAAATGACATGCAATAGTATCGATCAGTGATAATATTATGTTGTATAACTGTGTAATAAAATAAACTTAATCGCGCTAAAGAGACAAAGTGACTCAAAAAATGAATTTACAACACTTTTACTGAACTGAGTATGGACATCAAAATCATATTTTTATGTATTCATAATCCAGTTACTGTCCTTTTGTCAAAAGATTTAATTACTTGCATGAATCAGTTATATCTTGCGGTATGATTCCCTGTCCTTCCACATACGTACATGGAACACCTACATCAGGGAGAGCAGCAGTAGATCTATAGAGTCCAAGGTACATCTCCTTAATGTCCACAGACTCTGCAGAATCAGCAGCAGCTATACCTGTGTAAACTCTCCTAAATCCATAAACTGAGAGAGGAATCAAATCCAGTTTCTAATCAAAGTGAATCTTTCCAGCTGAACCCTTGTTTCCTCGTCTTTTAGGACCCGTACTTCAGGTTCAATGATCTGTCCTATCGATGGATTGCCTTCGATAACTGGACATACACGACAACATTTAACGTCCCTGGAGAGCTGAAGTCAGAACAAGACTTTATGTCACTTTTTATGGTTCATGTCTTCATTTTGAAGTTCTCTAAAACCATCTGTCTGTGCATGAACAGGTCCAGGCAGAAGATCCTGCTCGTCTTTGATGGTGTGGACACCGTAGCGTCAGTTTCTCTCAACGCTCTCATTCTTGGAGGGACTGACAACATGTTTCGTAGATATGTAAGATGACTGTAAATCAGTAGAGGACGAGCTCTCTTCACATGTCGTCCTCTTTATGTAACATTAGCTGTTGGTGTGCAGGATTTCTCAGTGAGAGAGCTGCTGACTGACGGGGATAACGTCCTGAAAGTCACCCTCTTTTCTCCGGTGGTTTACGCGTCTGAGCGGAGTGAAGCTCACTCTTCATACACAGTTCCTCCAGAGTGTCCTCCAGACGTCCAGAAGGGGGAATGTCACGTCAACTTCATCAGGAAAGTATGTTTGTGACGCCATTTTAACCTGAATAATTAGACTCTAAACTAAGATTTGTTTCTCTTTTATTGTTTTATTGAACATTTTTTTGTATTTTTAGAAGTTTTCTGCTTTTATTTAATCATTTCTCCATTTTTCTTCATATGCCGTCTGCTTTAGACGTGCCTTAAAATGTCTTTTTCTGACAGAACAGAGTCTAAGTCTAAAAAAAACAAATAAAAATACATTTATTCATGGGTGTTTCATATTAATACTCTCTAGTCTACCAGGTCAGTGTCGCTTTTTCTGCACAAACTGCTTGATGACATGAGTTTCAGTCTCCTAAATCCGTGTTTCCTGCGTTAAAAAGCTCTTAAATCTGTCCGTTTCTGTGCAGGAGCAGAGCTCCTTCAGCTGGGACTGGGGGCCGTCCTTCCCAACGATGGGACTGTGGAAAGAGGTTCGACTGGAGGGGTTCGACGTCATCCAACTCATCCAGGTTTCACCCGTTCCTCTTTACAGTAAGTTTCAGCTGAAGTACAAACTTGGTGTTGGTTAAATACTGTCAACAAAACTTGTTAATAGGAGCTCTGGTTTGAGCCAGCACCCCGCATACAAAGGGGTGCCTGCTTTAAAACTTTACTATGCTCAAATAAAAGGAAAAAAAACAAAATACTCTCTTTTATTTCTATTCTGCCACTTTCACTCTGTCTCCCCTCAATTGAGGTTGATCAACGTCTTTGTCTTCATAGTTTTTGTTTTGATAATCTGTGTCTCTGAGTAGATTCCAGCCTCTCTCAGTGGATGCTCCAGGTTGAGCTCCTTGTCGATGCCGTTCAGACGACGGACGGTAATATCACTCTCTCCATACCTGAGCTGAACTCGGAGGAGACCTTCACTGTGCGGTTTCCAACAGGGAGGAGCGGAATCAGCTTCACCTTGAATATCAACACGGTAGTTATTTGTCCAGAAATCAGAGAAACGTTGGATCTTTAGCTGAGATTTCTAGCAGATTTAAAGTTTAGTGGGTAAAAATCTTCATTTTCCTTCATTTTTTATTCTCCTCTTTTTCTTTTAGAGCAGCGACGTGAATCTGTGGTGGCCAAACGGACACGGTGACCGACCTTTTCACCTCCTCACCATCAGTTGCCTCCAGGATGAATTCATGATCCTGAATACAGAAACTAAGGTCAGACATCAAACCTGTCAGCTTTCAGAACCTCCCTTTATTTTATTATGTCTTTAAGTTCATGATAAATGCATGAGCTCCTGACCCTAACACTATGTTTGACCTCTTGTACCTGCAGTCTGGTTTGTAGATTCCTGAGCTGTGTCCGTGTTTTGACTAGCTAATGTCTCCTGCAGGTGTATTTTCGAACTGTAGAACTTGTCCAGGAGCCAATCCCTGACTCCACCGGCTTGAGCTTTTATTTCCGCATCAATGGGAAACCCATTTTCCTCAAAGGCTCCAACTGGATCCCGGCCCACTCCTTCCAGGACCGCGTCACCCCTGCTGTGTGAGTTGATCTAAAAAGCTGCTTTAATGTGGTTACACTCGCTGGAATTCAATTAATTCCAACAATGTTACTCTAGAGTTTCTGTTTTCTCCTCCTCGTCTCAGACTTGATGAGATCTTGTGTCAAACTCTGAGTTTACAGTGAAACTGAGGCCGCCTGCTGTGTGTGTTTGCTCTGCAGCTTAAGGAACTTGTTGCAGTCAGCTGTTGACGCGAACATGAACGCCCTCAGAGTGTGGGGGGGAGGAGTTTACGAGCAGGATCTCTTCTACAGCATTTGTGACGAGATGGGGATCATGGTAACAGCATCATCCTTCAGTACTCCCATCACTGACTGTATATAAAGACGCACAGGCTGTCTGTATGAATCTTTTTGATTCTGTAACAGTGACGATGACTCATGAACAGACCGCTGAACAGATGGAGGCTCGAAGTGATCAGATATGTGTGTCTGCAGGTTTGGCAGGACTTCATGTTTGCCTGCGCCATGTATCCCACCGAGGACGACTTCATCCAGACGGTGAGAGAGGAGGTCATCCAGCAGGTAAACTCCGCTTTTGACTCATGTTAGTTTCCTCTATTAGTCCTGAAGGTGGCGTATCAGGACACGAGAAAGTCAGGATCTGGTTCTCAAAGGGATTGTGCAGCTTTTGCACCTGCTGAACTAGACAAAGAGATACTGTGGAGTAAAATGCACATTCACTGCATATGATCAAGCCGATCAGACAGACGACTGCCTGTTTGCACTGAATAAACATAGTTTAAATGCTGGATATGGATCATTCTTATACATAAGATAAGGGGAACTGATAGAAACAACAAATTTAACATCTAAAATCTTTAAAAATTCTGACTTTTTTCTAAAAATGTTACAATTAAGTCAAATCTGTGACCTCTGATGAAGAATTCTGACTTTAATCTCAAAAATCTGAGAAAAAATATCAACATTTTTGCTCCTCAGGTCCAGCGTTTGAAGTCTCACCCTTCTATTATTGTCTGGAGCGGGAACAACGAAAACGAAGCAGCTCTGGCGACGAACTGGTTCAACATCCCGTCATCCCAGCGGCTCCTGTACCTGAAGGACTATGTGACGCTGTATGTGTACAACATCAGAGCCATCGTTCAAGAGGTGAGAGACTTGATACGAAATAATAACCGAGTATTTAAAGTAATGATTAAGATCACAGTCGCCCCCTGGTGGCCGTTTAGTGCTTGTGCTCAGTGAGTTTGTCCACCTCTGATTTACTATGAATACATGTCACACCTCTTTAACTGAGATTTTTTACCTGCATTGTTAATATAATCTTATTTTTTATCAATTGTAACCTTTATATTTTGCTGATTTTGCTATGATGGGCTTGTATCGTGTTCAGGAGGACCAGAGTCGTCCGTTCCTCGTCTCTAGTCCCACAAACGGGGCTGAATCGGAGCAGGAGGGATGGGTGGCGGAGAACCCGTACGACCTCCGCTTCGGGGACACGCACTTCTACAGCTACACCTCCGACTGCTGGGATTGGACGGCTTTCCCTCGAACACGTTTCGCCTCCGAATACGGCTTCCAGTCCTGGCCGTCCTTCTCCACCCTGCAGGCTGTGTGAAAAAAAAAACAGATTTCGTTGTGATAAAAAATTGCGATAAAACAGAAATGTCATTCTCAAGTTTGGTTGGTGTTGTAATTTGAGATTGTATTTAGTTGTATGTCATCTTTGTGGTGTTTCAGGTGTCTGTAGAAGAAGACTGGAACGTCACCAGTCATTTCTTCTCCCACCGTCAGCATCATGAAGACGGGAACCAGCAGATGTTGCAGCAGGCTGCTTTACATTTCCACCTGCCGAACTCCACCGACCCTCTGAAGAGCTTCACAGACACTCTCTACCTCACTCAGGTAAATTCTTAGAAAGAGGACTGAGGCTGTTCGAAATAACGTCTAATAATTTTTTATTTGGACTTTTTTGTTCAAGAAGGTGATTTGGCAAATATTGAAACAGACGGTTACAGCGCTGATTACATTTATAACTGATTTCCAGGTCATGCAGGCTCAGTGTGTGAAGGCTCAGACCGAGTTCTACCGGAGAAGTCAGAGTGAGATCATCGAGGGCGAAGGTCACACGATGGGCGCCCTCTACTGGCAGCTGAATGATATTTGGCAGGCACCTTCCTGGTCATCGATCGGTGCGTGGACTTACGTTATCACCAACACTTCAGTATTTATGATAGTGATTTAATCAATATCAGGTTGTCAGGATAAGACTTGAGTAAAGCTGAAGTATTTCTTTTAAACTTACAGACATTTGTTTTGATTAGACGTCATTATTACAAAAATAAAAACCTCTAACTTCCTTGTTTGCGTCTGTGTTCACAGAGTTCGGTGGAAAATGGAAAATGCTGCATTACTTTGCTCAGAACTTCTTCGCCCCCGTCCTGCCTGTCGGGTTTGAGGATGGCGGCACGCTCTTCATCTACGCCGTCTCGGACCTGAGTGACCTGAAGCTCCAGGCTGTGGTGTGTTTTTGGGAGTTAACTGTATTTTTACGTTATATATTTTTGTTTCTATTGAGACAGCAGGAAGTAAAGGATAAATACGGGTTCATACTGAAATATTAACGAGGGCAGAAGCTTCTTATTGAATCTGACTATTTGTACTCTGTCATGTCTTCTTATTTCGTCTATCAGATGACCATGTACTCGTGGTCAGATCTGGATCCAGTCTGCGCCCTGCAATCAGATCCACTCCTGGTTTCCGCGGGCAGCGCTGCGCTAATTTACAAACATAACGTTGATGCCCTGCTGGCGGGATGTGGGAACTGCACCCAATTCACTTGCCTGCTCACCTTTCACCTGCAGGACAGCAGCGGGCAGCAGGGTCCCACCAACCATCACTTCCTGTCCTCGCCTAATGTCGCTGATGGACTCCAGAGCCCCAACATCACAGTGAGACGCTTAATTTATGGACGAATAAACTATTTAATTTGTTTAATTTTCACATATCATGAAAACAGGTTTTACATATTCCTTTAAGCAATTCTCATTTTTTTCAGACGGTCAAAAAGTATTTAGTAATAAGTAAAAATAAGTTAGAAATATGGAACTATTTAAATGGGTGAGACGAAAAACAAATAGTGGTTCCCTTTATCAAACAGCAGAGGGCGCCAAATGTCCTCTACTTTTATCTGCTGGGTAAAATTACACTTGCGTTGGAGCTGGAGATTTTATCTGAATCTTTTATTTCCACACGAGACAAAACAAAAGTCAGAGTTTGTCAGATTTTACTGTATTTTACTGTATATTCATGTCTGTGTGATCATTTTTGTTCCCTATGATGATTATTGTAGATAAAAGCGGTTTTATCTGTCTGTCTGAAAACCATCCTATGTGTTTCCCTCCAGGCCAAAGTCCAGCAGGATGAGGCAGGATACTCAGTGACCCTGAACACCGCTGCTGTCGCTCCTTTCGTCTGGCTCGACGTTGGGAAAATCCCCGGACGCTTCAGCTCCAACGGCTTCCTGATGGTCACCAGGAACATGACGGTCAGTTTCACCGCGTGGCGTCCCACCAGCGTAGCCGAGCTCTCTGACTCCCTCACCGTCACCTCTTTAGGAGACATTTACTGACCTGAGACCAGCTGGACCCGGTACCACCGTATGTACTGTAGCCGTTTGGACGGGGAGATGAATATTATAGCTGCTGACGCACATATTTTCCAAACAGGTTTAGACGCCAAACAAAGAAGAAAGTTTCCAAGAAATGCTGAGAGCAGAAAAGCCTCAGACAACAGTCAGACCATTGTAGGAAACTAAACCTCCGCACAGAGCGACCCGCTGTTTTCATTCAGTAGAGGGAAAACTTCGAGACACAACAGGCTGAGAAGTTTAAACTGGTTATGAAATTAAAACTCATACCTCATATGAGCTTTTGAAGCAAACCAAACCAAACTTTAGGAACCTTTAGATACATTATTTTCCACCGCTTGAGCAGCAAATGTTTCCATCTCTATCCCCAGGCCTCTGAAACCCACCAGAACAGTGTTTAAAGCTGCTAATTTTGCATTAAAAGAAAAGTTACATATTTGTACGTATTGCACTAAATGTGATCTTTGTGCAGTGTTCCTGTTTTTGCACATCAAAAAAAAAATGACACTTGAATTTTGAAGTACTGTGACACTCTATTGCACTGTCCACTTTCTGCTTTTTATACTTCTTTGATACGAGCTCGCTGTAATTTGCCAACTTTGAATAAAAAATGAATTTTTGATGAATATGTCTGTCTGCATCTTGTTTTTAGTCTTAGTTATTCCACACAAAACAAACACAGTATGTGCAAAATTTAATGTGTTGTCTTTTCTCAATATTTAGTTAAAGGGATATTCCGGTGTGAAATTAATTTAGGGTCAAACACACCATAACACTGAGTTAGACACCCCCTCAAGAGATGAATGTTGCCGACCGCTTGCTTCTCTAGTTATACCAACTTTTATGATCTTTTATGAAGAACATTTATGATCATTTCTTTATCATTTCCTTGAAGTAATAATCACCATATTAATCATTTTTCACTGCAGACACAGTAGTTCTTCTGTCTTAGCGTCTCGTTCTGATTGTATTTCCATGAAGAAATGATCATAAATGTTCTTCCTTGAGCTGCGTCACCCCGCTGCATTCGTGATGGACTAGCCCGAGGTCTCGCCACAAACAAGCAGTTGCTGGAAGAGAGTAGGTGAGTTGTGTTTAGTCTCTTTGCTGAAGAAATTAGTCAAAGTTAAAAAGATGTTTGATGGCTAGTGCTATGACTGGGACCCTATATGTCCTGTTGATGACGTTAGCTGCTGTTCTGAGCATTATTTGTGGCTATAGAGCGGCGTTTTGGTTGAGGTTTGTTTATGGCTCTTCAGACTGCATATGGCCAAAAGAAAGTATATTGTTTGGGCGAAAATTGCAGAAAAATTTCCCTGTTGTGAGCCTAAATCAGTGTAAAAAAATCGAATTGATCTTAAGGGGTGTTAACTTGCAGTGGTCCTCAGCTGCCACTAGGCGGCGACAGCGACCTTCTCACACTTTCACGTGGAGTTATGTTTATGATTTTTTTCACCTCCCGGCTGATTCATAATTGGATGGAGACACCTCTGCAAACACTCATACACACGCGCGCACTGATGAAAGTGTGTGTTTTGGAGAGAGAGTGTTTGTGTGTGTGAGTGTGAGAGAGTGTGTGTGTGTGCATACCAAGAGAAAAAGTCAAGCCACAAAAGAAAGCATTCAGAGTGGGAGTTGCACGCGGTCGGTCGGTCGGTGGCTCGGTCACCTCCATGTTTGTTCCTTCTCTCCTCTGCAGACTGATCTTTGAACCTGATCTGCTCCAGATAGTCCGGACTGATCCCTCAGAGAACTTCAGAGAGAGACACAGAGCAGCAGCTGCATGAAGTGACTCCACAAAATCTGCTTTCAGGACCACTAAGACCCGGTTTCTGCTGCCATGGATCCGGTTCTGGACTGTGATCTCTCTGCTCGGACTTCATGATGTTTGAGAAGAGCAGATTCACTCACTGAAGAGGAAAAAACAAACAGCTGCAGAGATGTCGAACTTTAGTTTTTTAATATTGTTGTTGTTGGTCTCTGCGAGTCAGAGTGTGAACGTGACTGATCAGAGTGGACACAGTTTCCTGGAGGATATTTTACGGTATTATGGTGAAAATAAATCAATTTCCACGGAGAACCTGGAGGATTTACTGCTGCTGATCTCAGCCAGGAGACCTGCCTCTCTCACCGAGCACAATCCTCTGGAAAACAAGGAGGTGAGGAGAACAACAACAGGGTTTTACTGTAATATCTGTTTATTTCAAGGAGTTGACATTCATTTAGAAACCTTCTTATGTTTAAACTGGCTTACTAACCTCATTTTTACTGAATAATTCAATGAAAAAATACCAATTTGATTTACTGTCTGTTTATTATAATATTACAGTAGAAGTTAAACCATGATAAATTCCGTTATAGGGTACCTTTTTCCGCACTTTTAGACCTCTGTTTGACAAAAATGTCATTAAATCCCTTTTTATTACAGTTTTATCCTCAATATATTTTAATCTTCAACAGTAATTTGGCCTTTTATTGTGTATGTATCTTGAAATATGTTAAAAAGACACATTTAATGCCTCATTTCCAACATATATTTACTTTTGTGTGAAATGCTTTTGCTTTTTAGTGGTATTATTGCATTTTTGGATGCAAAATACTTTACCAAATTTGCCATTAAAGCTTATTTATGCCCTTTTTCTTAGTTTAGTTGCTTTTTCACATGTTATTATGCCTTTTTGATATTATTAATGCATGAATAGATTTAAGATTTGTCACTTTTTACATGTAGGTTTTGCTAATTTACCTCTGTCAATTCAAAAGTGTAGAAAATGTATCAGTAATGCACTTTTTACCCTCTTTTATAGCATAATTCTTTTCTTTCTCACCACAAGATTTGCTTTAGGATGTTTGAATATATTTAAAATGCAAAAATGTGGGATGTAAGATTCATTCAGACACTTTTTTCCCAGTATGAAATAATTATATATTTTTTCAGATAGTAGTTTTTGCTTTTTGACGGCTTTGAAACATATAAACATGAGGAAATGCTCTCCTTATGCAACTTAAAAACAGAGTTATTAGTATTTTTTACTTTTTTAAATATTTTAGATACATTAACAGGAGCAAAGTTGTGATGAAACATGTCAGTAAAGTAGCTTTTAGCCACAATTTTATCTATTATTTCTTCTTCACTGGTAATTTTTCAACTTGGTGTTCTTTGTGTATTTACAACCAAAAAAACAGATAAAATATTTGTGATCAAGACAGATTTTTGCAGTTTCTTCTAGTACTAGTAGTTATAGGTGCAAAATTGCTCTTAAATACAATAAAACCTTAATGTAGATGTTACTTTGTGTTTCTTAATTTAACTTTATTTGTTGTAGTTAAATGATTCAGGATAATTGATAGGATCTAGTTTTCTCCTCTGCTTGTTGTGTAAAACTTTAATGTTTGCCTTGTTTTACACTCAAATATCATATTACGTCACATCCCTGAGTGCAGGTATGTGAAATAAGCACAGATAGAGCAGAAAACTGGGTATTAAAGTTAAAGAATAGATTAAAAACAGTTAAAAGAGGTGTCTGATCGTCTCTCTCTGTGTCTCTCAGTGTCCCTCAGTGGAGCAGATTTTGTCCCACTTTGGCTTCAACAATGTGAGTCAGCTGACTGTGGGACATCTGGGCAGGATCTGCCCCGCCGTGTTGACCCAGGTGCTGCTGCCCTCCTGCCCCTTCACCGCCCCCAAGCCTGAGCCGACTACGCTCGACTACACTGGTGAGTTGCTTCATCGTGTTAAAGGCTGGTTTATTTGTTAAACCCCCTGCAAGTCAAATAATTCCCGGTTCACGGAGGTTTAAAGCCTTTGATTGAGTCTGCCGGGACTTTCATCCACAGTGACAGATTATTACTCTGTTACTGCGAAAACTGACGCTGCTGTTAGACTCTGTTTGTCTCTTTCTTTTTGATTGTGAACTTTAACAACAAGAAGATGTAGATTTTCATGGGATTAGCTGTGGAGTTGCTGGTTCAAATCCCTCCTCATAGATCTCCCTCTTCTCTTTATCTTATCTCTGTTGTTTCTCATGACTGTTAACTGTCTGCTGCACCTGAATGCTCTCATAACAAACCATTAAATCCTGTAAAACACGAACATAAATCTTTTCTTTATGGTAAATGAACAACCACGTCTTTAGATGTCTCAGTTTTCGTCTCACCACATTGTCTGTCGCCTTTTTTATCATGAAATTATCTCCATTTTATTGTGTTTTTACCTTAAAAACCATCATGTGGGATTGATTACACAGCTGTCATTGCCAAGGCTTAACACTGACTGCTGTTGTTGACTTTTTAAGCCGACATGGATTATGTTGTGAAGTGTGGAAACACCTGTTGACCTCACAGCAGGACAAATGTTCAGTCAGTGTGGACTGCTCCATTGAGGTCCAAACACCCAGACTTTTAATAACTTCCTTTTACACCCAAAAATAAATACTTAATTTGTACGACACAGCTGAAACAGAACGCTTCAGTTTATGGTGGTGTTAAAATATTCACTTGATTGTTTGTTTTAATTGATTTTAAAGGGAATATTTTCATTTAAAGCTCCTGTGAGGAGTTATGAACCAGGCTGAAATCAACATATACTGTAATTCTTAATACCTGGAACTGCTGTGAGGGGGTAGGTGCGCTAAAGAAACAGACTGTGATGTTTTTCCAGAATCAGAATCAGAATGCCCTTTATTGTCATCATACTGAAAGTACAATGAGATTGAAGAGCTTCTCCATTTCCAGGGCAATAGATAAAAAAAGAAAATAGAGACAGAATAAAAAGTACAAAAATAGTTGTGATAAAAAAGAATAGGTACAGATTATCTAGGTTTATATAGAGGCTGATCAATCTCACTGTGAGGAGATTTTCTTGTGAATTAACATCATTTTTACAGGAACAAGACAAAATCAGCTACAATAGAGTTACCATGTTGTCCACAGGGGGCGCCAAAATCAAGGCAGAAAGTTTCTCACAGGAGGTTTAAGTTCGTGTTGTGTCGTTCATGAATGATCGTTCAAAAGAACCCAGCTGTAGCAAGCTCTTAAAAAAGGCGCGACAGCAGAAGATAGGGGCGTGTTGTGTTCAAGTGTACCTCGGAGAAAACAAACTTTTTTTTAACTCTGCTAATTTGCCACCACAACAACTTGCGTACAGTGAACGAATCACTCACTGAGCTTAATTCACTGAGTAGATAAACAACATACCATTGGACAGCACACTAAAAACATCATGATTTATAAACACGTTTGTTTTTACACACCTTTTTGTCAAATCAACACAGCCACAACACTCGTCTCCTGGTCCCAGAAGATATGATCTGATCTGAATCCTGAACCGTTCAGCTGTGTATCAGTTCGGGAAGTCGGAGTCGCAGGCTCCTCCCACCAAGCGCGGAATGATTCGGTGATTCGTTGAACAAATCTTTTGAACGAATCTTTTTAGTGAACTGATTCTAGTGATTCAGTACATCTAAAAGGACTGCCGTGCCCATCACTACTTCAAGTTACTTAAAGTAGTCGGCGACTAAGAGCGTCCTGCTGTTGCCTGGATTGCAGGACAGGATCTACAAATAGAGTCGCTGTGATTCGTGGGTTTGCAATAAAACCGCTCAGATCTGATCCTGTTTGAACGTCCTGATTGATTCTCATGTGTAAATCTGGACTTTCCCCCTCCATTCATCTCAGTCCGGCTTATCTGTCTCCACTCCTCGCTGTGAGATAAAGACTAAAAATCTCTGTCACCTCCTCTGGTGGTCCCGACTGTCCTAGTTTGACTCACAGAGCGGCTGACCTCTCGGATTCACCGCCGTCAGACGCTCCTCCTCTGGGTTGTTGACACTGATACAGCCAACTGTGACTGTTGTTCGTGATGCACGCTGTTTTTCCCTCGCACACGTAACAGTATTTCTCCTCTGAAAATAAACACTGTAGGGTCTGTAGACGGTGTTTTTGAAGTGTATGTTGATAAAACTGTCAATATTTCTTTTAAAGACCTTAAATCAACTAAAAAAAAACAACACTTTGGAACGACAAGGAAGCAGAAACACCAAATCGATCAGTCTGATTGATTAAATATGTCATCCATCTTGAGAAGGAAACACAAAGATTTTAACACCCGTCCATTAGTGACTGTTTACCCTCCATATCTGCCCTGACAGTGTGGGGTTATGGATTCCTGGCGGTCACTGTGATCAACTTGGCGTCTCTTCTCGGACTCCTGCTGATCCCCTTCACCAAGAAGTCTTACTTCCCCAAAGTGCTGACCTACTTCATCGGCCTCGCCATCGGGACGCTCTTCTCCAACGCTGTCCTCCAGCTCATCCCAGAGGTTTGTAAGAGGTTAAATAGTTCACATGATGATCAAGAAGAACAAACGAATCGTATCTGAAGGTCTCACTGTCTTCCTGTGAACCCGCAGGCCCTCGGTTTTGATCCCAAAGCCGACAACTATGTGGCGAATGCGGTTGGGATATTTGGAGGGTTTTACATCCTCTTCTTCATGGAGAAGATCCTAAAAATGGCGCTCAGGGTCGACAACGAGGTAAGATAACAGAGTAATCAGAGAGCTCGTGATATGATTCATTCCAGTCTTTGTTTATCGGCTAATTTGAAAAACAAATTGCTGATTACTGTGAAACAAACAACCGTGTACGCGACTCACGTGCAGTTTTTTATTACTACTCTAATCATTTTACACTCGGAGCAGGAACACACGGATCAGAGATAGTGTCGATCAGCATCTGTAAGCTCCAAACCTAAAAGTGTTGACTTCAAGGTAAAGCAGGGGCACTAAAATGGAGCATAATGGTGGAAAAAATTGATCTTAAATACAAGAAAAGGATCAATTTACTTTAATCTGACACTGAGACACGCTGAGATTTGAACCACCTGCTCATTCATTATGCTGCTTATTACCTTCTTCTTCTTCTTCCTCAGTTGCCCCTCTGACATGTGGCGTCCCCCAAGGGTCAGTTCTGGGTCCCCTGCTATTCTCCCTCTATATGCTACAATTGGGGTCCATTTTTAGAAAGCACGGTGTTCCTTTTCACTGTTTTGCTGACGATGTGCACGTGTATTTGCCTGTTAAGGTGCAGGTCGTGTTTAACTGCTTGAATGATGTCAAGACATGGATGGATCTTAACTTCTTAAAATTAAATGAAAACAAAACAGAGGTCATCCTGTTCGGCCGCCCTGAACTTGGCTCACTTGCACCTTATATAGGATCCCATGCCAAGAATCTTGGTTTCATTATCGATGGTCAGTTTAAACTTGACAAACAGGTCAGCGCAGTGGTCAAATCAAGCTTTTATCAGCTGAGGCTTCTCGCAAAAGTTAAATCCTATTTAATACAGAAGGACCTTGAAAAAGTTATCCATGCTTTTATCACATCTCGTTTAGATTATCATAATTCTGTGTACGTCGGCATTGGCAAGTCAGAGCTCAACAGCAGCTCGTCTCCTAACTCGGACTAAGAAACGTGAGCACATAACTCCGGTGTTTTCTTCTCTTCACTGACTCCCTGTTAGGTACAGGATCGGTTTTAAGATTCTTTTATTTGTTTTGAAGTCTCTGAATGGCCCCAGAATATCTGTCTGATCTTGTTAAATTGCGGCAGTCCTCCAGAGCCCTGAGGTCAGCTGATCAGGTGGTTTTAGACATTCCTCGATCCTTTTTTAAATCTAGAGGAGATCGAGCATTTTCTGTCATGGCTCCCACTTTGTGAAACACTTTACCCCGACGGTGCGTACTGCTAACAGCCTTTCCATTTTTAAAACACTTCTGAAGACGCACCTGGTCACTTTAGCTTTCAGGGAAGCAGTGTTGTTTTTGTTGACAATGACGTTGACGTAAAACAACACTGCAGAATACATGTTTCGCATTTGACTGACGAAATGCCCATGAATTTTGCAACTCTGTTCATCGTCCACCGCTAACATTTTCGTCTCGTCGACGTAAACGCACATTTGTCTCGTCATATTTTAGTCATCTAGGACTTATGTTTAGCTCGTCAATGTCACCTTCATCGTGAAAAAAAAAGGGGTGTTGATGAAATATTTTCAACCAGTGTTGTTTTCATTGACGATGACGTTGACAAAATATTTTCGTCAACGTCATTGTCAACGAAAACAACACTGCTGGGGAGGTATAGTTACTTTTATTTATGTTTTTTATATGTTTTATGCTTTTATTGTTTTTATAGTTTTTATAGTTTCTGGCTATTTTACCGTAAAGCACTTTGGTAGGCCAAGCTGACATTGATATTGACCAATACCTACCAAACCTTTCCATTCATTAAACTTTGCTTTTCCGTCTTTTCACTTGTTGGTTTCTCTCTTCTTTACTCCTGTGTTTTCTCCCTCTTTCAGCACGGACACAGTCACTTCACTCCCACCGAGACAAATCAAGAAAACTCGCTCCAAAACGGGGACGTACTGGATAAGAAGGACTCCATTATTTTGACCAACATCAGCACCATCGCCACGGACAAGCGCAGCCCGAGCCCGGAGCCCGCGCATCCAAACGCGACACCTTCTCAGGTAACATTTCGGGATAAAGTCGTCTTTGCTTTTCACGAACTCTGGTCCTGACTCTGCAAACATGTCATATTAACCCACTCAGCTGTGCACTCAGTCATCTTTATCTAATGAGTGCCCAGTTATTGGAAAAACATATCGTCTTATCTGAAGTAAACATGTGCTTGATTGAAATGTGCCATCCAGCATAGTCAGCGATCACGGACACACCTTATAGGTATTCATCAGGCTGTACGGTTAGATTACAGCGTCTAAAACATCTTATCAGTTTGACAGTGTTCCAGTGACAGTGCGTGTCGTACAAAAGGTGCCAGCGTGCAAACATAAACGGCATTTTTAAGGGTGGTGGCGTTTCAGTCGGATTTGGATTTCCTGCTTCTGTTTTCGCATCAGCTAACCCGATCGAGCTGTTATCAGGGACCAGAGCTGCTGTTAATATTTAACAGTTTAATCTCTCCTGTCGTACGGAGGAGTCTGGCTTTAAAGGAATCCAAACACTAAACAAACAGACATACACAGAGGGATCCAGCAGTGAAATCAAGATACAGGCCTTTAGATCGTTTCCCCTCCTGGTAAATGCAGGAATTGTCCGGCCTGAGCACAAAGACTTCTTGTGTAGCTTCGACTAATAAAAGGGGCGTTTTGTCACTGCAGAGTATCTAAACCAAGACCCAAAGGCTCTGTTTATGTCCGCATGTGCTCAGGTTTCCCATTAAAAACACTTAATCCTTTTTATTTGTCATTAAAGAGTGCTGATGGAAATTCTCGGCATTCATTTGGGAAAAATATTTCCTCTAGCTGAGACCAGGTGGATGTGCTTTTTACATTAAAGCCTGCAGAGTTTATGAAACTTTGGATGACATTGATTGTTTGTCTTGGAGAAATCCCCCATTCACATCTAAAACTCTGGCCTGATTCTACTAAATCCAGTGCAGACATTTATATCTCCCTCAGGATGAACGAGTCTACTGATGTAACGGCTGATTGTGATCAAATAACATCCATCCCCTCCAGTCTTTCTTCTGATGTGTTGTTGAACACAGAGCTCCTACGAGGACTTTTTAGCCGGTTATGAAACAGATTGAAACTAATTCTGATGCCTCCAGAGAAACAACAGAAACAAACCAGACCAACAGAGACATAACTGATGATTTCTATCCAGACTGCTGTCCCTCTCATCACCGGGACAGGAGGCTGGAGTCAGATGAAGTTAAAGACCACAGACTAGAGAGCCTTTGTTTACATTTTCAACAGACAAGATTTGCATAAAAAAACAACCTCTAAAATTTACAATGGAGTTTAAGGGCCATGTAGAGCTGGGCGATATAGACCAAAAGTCATATCCCGATATATTTAGGCTGAATATCGATGTACGATATATATCCTGATATTGTTTTTGCAAAGTGAGAGCAAATGTTAAGTCACAGTAAAAGCCAAAAATGACATGACAAAATGACTCTAATTCCATTTCTCATTTAAAAATATGTCGATATATTTCTTATACCGATATATCGCCCAGTCCTAGGGCCATGACAATGTCAAGAAATGAAAATAAGTCGTAATATTACAAGACTACATGTGTAAAAAGGCGTGATATCATAAAATAAAGTTGTAATGTGGCTCCTGTGATGATGTAACGACAGGAGTGATTTGCACAGGCATACATAAGAAAACGAATCACCCACTTCATAAGCGTGTCTGCTTCACCTTAACGCTGTTGTGGTTTTAGATCAACAGAGTCAAAATGTATAAGGTTCGAGTCAGCAATGCCAACTGCTCTGAAAAATAATGTTTGCTTTTTATTTCTAATAACGGCAAAACTAATCCAAAAGGTTTATTCGGTCTGACTGTGCAATTTATCAATAATTCTTATGTCACAATCAGTGTGGTTTTTATTTTTATTTTTTTATCTTGACATGTTTCATCACAAACTTTCTTAAGTCTTCCTCGGTTGAGTCACATGATTTATATGACAACCAAACCTCCATAAATCAGCTGACAGACGGTCTAAACGTAAATGATATTCACAGACAGCAAAGCTTGTACCAACCACCTCATCATCTCCAGGTTCTCTCGGTGCACTGGTGATTTTTTTTTGTATGTGGGGTTTTTCCACCTCTGCATCAGTCTGTACAGGTGTGCTCCCTCTCTTTCTTCTGTCAATACTGAGGCAGCCAATCAGTGCACCTCATTATCAAATCATCCTTTTCCACTCAGGTCACTGCACCGATGATGAGGTTAGAAACTGAGAGGCTGCAGGTCCTTCACAGAGGAAACATTTATGATGTTTTTGCGACAGGAGAAATGTTCAACTTTCGCCCCCTTTCTTCTGGATGATTTGAACTTTGGGTTTTGAGCATACAGTTGTCATTGCTTCCTATCTTTTTGACTCTAAATCCACACATGCCCGTGTTTACACATGACTCATCTTTGCTAAAATCAAACAGTAGCATGTCTCCCCCTGTGTGTCTTTAACCAGGAGGTCCAGGTGTCTGATGTGATGTGTCACTGGCTCCGTGGAAAACGCATCTCCAGCATCAAGACTGTGGCGTGGATGATCACTCTGAGCGACGCGCTCCACAATTTCATCGATGGCCTGGCTATCGGCGCCTCGTTCACCGTGTCCATACTGACGGGGTTCAGTACGTCCACCGCCATCGTGTGTGAGGAGTTTCCTCATGAGCTGGGTGAGGATTTTACCATGTTTAATGAAATTCACAAGAGTTTTATAACTTAAAAAGAGTAAATTAGTGAGAAAAAATCAGGATGAGGGGTTTAAAAGAGGAGTTATGTTTTCAGTCAAACTCAAAGGGCCGTCAGAAATCTGTGATCTTTATTGACCTCTACTGGCAGACTGCAGTATTACACCAAAACATGTGCAGAGCAGTATCTCAGGACTGGTGATGTTTTTCCTTCATAAATATATTTAGTTTTTTTTAGCGAGATCTAAACTATTTGACCGAACAGCTTTAAATTCACTCTTTAATCTGTAGTTTCTAATAGTTACCTTGTTGTGCGTTTGTTTTCTCCACAGGTGACTTTGTCATCCTGCTGAATGCCGGTATGAGCGTCCCTCAGGCCATTTTCTTCAACCTACTGTCGGCCGTCTCATGTTACGTCGGTCTCGTGTTTGGCATCCTCCTGGGAAGCAACTTTGCCCCCAACGCAATCTTTGCCATCGCAGGAGGAATGTTCCTGTACATTGCACTGGCAGACATGGTGAGTCAGGTTACACCCGAGGACACTCCTCGCATTCTCATCGCTGCACTTTGTTCCCCCTCAGCACATCAGACCCCTCTAGCTTACAATTTTTAGAGTTGCAATAGTAACGTTTGTTTTATTTTGATGGGATAAAATGCAAACAGTGCATGGATGTTGGCAAATTCTTGTGATACAAACCCTTTAGAAACTTATCAGTCAACACTGTGATTAATTATCTTTCAGCTCCTTGTTTTACTTTATGCACCAAAGCATTACTGTTTTAATCTGGACTGCACTTGCCTACATTATAACAGCATCAAAATCGGCACAAACAGAAGTCTCAGATCAACCGAGTGGCCTTAAACTCAACACCTTGTAAACATGATTGCTGTAACGGGAAAAAATGTGTTTTTGGCAAAAAAAAGTTGGACTGAAATGGAGTCTGGAGAGTGAGTAGCTTCTGTATAGTGATTTTTTTCAGCATGGTGCATTATGGTACATTATGCTGCCATCTCTATGGACCTACAGGATAGATTCAAGAGGGGATGATATGGTGTTATTGGAGGAATTTGGTTGGGTTGGCATGTTTAATTTCTGGAGAAAAAAATGACTGAATGGTTGTGATATAAGTAAAGAACGAATAGAGTGCAATGTTGTTGAGAAGTTTTGTATTTTCCCATTCTTGCTTCAGCTGTTTGATAGTGTTTGGTCTCTTATGATGTGTCTTACGTTTCATTATCTCAAGTTTTAATAACACTGTGAACTTTTTGAGAGTTTTGAAGTTTTGTGTTTTCCCATTCTTGCTTCAGCTGTTTGATAGTGTTGGGTCTCTTTTGCTGTGTCTTCATTTTCATAATGCATCAAAAAGTTTTAATCAGAATCTTCCTCTGTGGCAGGATGTGGTTTGACATTATCTTGCTAAAATATTCTAGTTTATCCCTAAAAAAGGCATCATCTGGATGTCAGCAAATGTTTCTCTAAAACTTGTATATGCAGTTGGGCATTAATGGAGCCCTAACAGGTGTATAAGCGAGCCTATCCCATGTTCACTTATGCTTCTCTATCAGTCTGGAAAAGGTGCCAGCATTTCTGCATCATGTTTATATATTGTTTCCTCTTTGCATGGGGCAGTTTAACCTCCATTTGTGGATGCAACACCATAAAGTGTTTTGGAATTGATTCTGAGCCTATGCAGTGATTTCCACAACAGAGACATTCATTGCTTTCAATACAGTCCCAAATTTTTTATGCACAGGAAAAACTTGTTCGTACAATCATTTGTTTTTGAAGGATTTCATGCAGAGTTACTTTAGAGGCCTGAAAATGTACATGTGTCCACAAACTGACAGTATCACACTCTTTCTATATGTCACAACACATCGCCCTTGTTTTCACTGCTACACAATGAGGCCACTGTATGTCTTTGTCTGTAAAAGAGATGTTAGAGACAGAGATCTGATTGTCGTTGTTTTCGTTCTCAGTTTCCAGAGATGGACAGTATAGCGCGGGAACAGAAGGGTACGTCCACCAAGATCATCTTCTTCCTGATCCAGAATGCAGGGCTGCTCACTGGGTTCACCATCATCCTGCTGATCACCATGTTTGCAGGAGAGATCAACCTGGGCTAGGAGGAAGGAAAGGAGGAACATTCAAGAACAAAAACAAAAAACTGGAAATAAAACAAGCTGCTTTCATTTCTGCTTACTCAGGGGGCAGGAAAGTGAATCTAAGGTGAATGTTTTGTACAAACAAAACCAAATGTTTAAAGGGAAATAATGCTTTTATATCTTTTGACTATCAATGTAGTTTATTCACTGCAAAAAAAGGGAAAATCTGTACAATCATTTGATGTGTGAACTCTAGTCAAATTTGTTTTTATGGAGACAATAAATTATTTTTTCAGTCTTCATACAAAGTGACATACTTTGTATATTTCTTGTTGCTCGTGATGCTGTCGTGTAAATTGAAATAAGCTGTTGTTGTTACAGTTCTTCAGCCCTGACAGTTTCTGTCAGTGACTCAATGATATTTTAATTTAAAAATGTAAAACCAAAACACCAAAGGCAAGTTGAATTATCCCTCACTCATGGACATTTGCATTTCCCAACGATAAACTTCAAAGGTTAAGCATCATTTTTCAACTGTCTACGAGGTATTGAAAAAAATTGTGATATATCTCTTCACGTAAACACCCGTTGGTACATTTCAGAGATTATTAAAATATCATAAAGGTCCATGTATTATCCGTCCATCCATTTTTTAAAACTTTATTACTGAGTTGAATAAATGGGATTTATGTCTACTTAGGGCTTCCACATAAAGGAGAGAAATGTGGAGAAACAAGCTTCCTTTGGCCTTCATAAACAGAAATCTCCATAAACAGACTATATAATCGATATTTCTGGTGTCAAATACAACAAATCAACTGCCATTGTCAAATAAAAGCAATGAAAAATGATCAAATATATTTTGTGTAACTGTCCTCAAGGCTCAAGTTGGGACTGTGTTACTGTCTCTACCAGTCTGCAAGTCTCAACCAATCAGAATCAAGACAGGTGACGCACAGTTGTATTCCTTCAAGGTCGACTCGTAAATAAATCCATCTTTACCAAACAACGAGCAGCTCTGCAAGGACAGCGCACTGATTTTATTTTTTACGTCTGAATTTATATGTAGAATACGTGATAGTGCTCAGAATGTTAATATCAAAACGAATGAATGTAATGTAACGAAAATCTCGTCAAAGAATCGAAGAATATCTACTTTCCTGTTTTACGGGTGGTCCGTGGACGCAGCATCCTGTTGGTGAAGTAACCTAGCATGAAAGTGAAATAATGAGACGATTTTGACTCCAGACAACTTTGCAGCTCTGAGTGAATCGAAACCTGCTGTTTTCCACCAAGATAAAACATGTAAGTATTTCCCAATATTTAGCCTTTAATTTTCATGCTGGATAATTTCCTAAATAACCCAAAGTTGATGTCCTAATAGCGTTAATGCTAACTTGCTAATAGCTAGTGTGGAGTTAACTCTGTAACACCTTTTTCCACTTAAAACAATGCAAAATACTCGTTTTTTTAGTGTCAAACTATTAAATGCTGGCGTTTATCAATCGTTTGAAGAGTTGGCATCCTCTAAATAACCTCTAGACCGCTTAAATTGATTATTATGTGGCGTTTAAGGGTCAGGGGAATCATGTGAAGCTGATATCGACTGTTCATGGTGTGTTTACGGGCTGCAGGACTTTGTTTAACTTTGTTTATTAATATTTTAACGTGCAGAACATTTTATTAAACAATGAGTGGTTGAAGAAGTGAATATATAATTTAAGAGCTAGAGGATTAGGTAAACAGATAAAGGAGGAGGCCTATAAATAATAATGAATTGTATTATACCAAGAAAAGAAAAAACAAACTTTAATGCATCCTGGACTTTTCTAGGATCCAGGAATGAAATTTTTATGCCCTACACCATGAAAGCGAGACAATAAAAAAGCTTAAATGAGTCATTTTTGGGGAAAAAATCAGTTTATATTGATTTAAAATGTTTGCACAGTTTTCAGTTCGTAAAAGAGATCTGGAATGACCTTGGAGGAACAAGGTATAGGACAAAATATAAAGCAACAACAAAATATAAGTATTTTAAGTGAAACAAAACTGAATTGGATGTTTGAAGCTGATGTTGACGCTTTCACGATGTTAAAAAAGAAGGGTTAATTGGTAGATATCTCTAACAGAGGCAGGAGTGGACAGGGTATGTCTGCAACTTTATTTTTATGGCACTTTTCAGACAAGAAATGCAGGTCAAAGTGCCTCACAGAGGCTAAAAACAACAATTAACAACAATAAAACCTAACCCTCCCACCCACAAAGACACACACCCACCCTATATAAGATATAAGATGGTCAGAGAAGGCATAAGGTGCAGACGACAAAGTAACTAGGACATAGGTTACAAATACATAATGCTTAGGGAAAGGTCAAACAGATACGAATTGCCATAAATGGAACACAGACTAATCATCAAACAGTGATAAAGACAATAAAAGTATTCACAAAAAGGAAAGAAACATGATCATAACAAATAATGATGTATTTAAGACATGATTAGATGAGATTTTAATGATAGTTTAAAGGAGTTGAGGAGAGATGCATCCAGATTATTCTATAGTTACGGCCCTCTAAAAGTAATGTTAGACTGATGACTAGAAGTTCGACAGGAAGGTAACTGAAGATGGCCGAGTACGAGTGAAGGTTGGAGGAAAAGGTAAAAAAAGTTTCGGAAAGTTTCAGGAAGGTCTTGTTTGTTATTGATGAACTTGTGGACAAACAAACAAGAGTGAGTTAGTCAGTTTTCAGTTGGTAAAACAGATCTGGAATGACTTTGGAGGAACAAGGTGTAGGTCAAAATAAAATCAGCACCACATAAAGAAACAACAAAATATCAGTATTTTAAGTGAAACAAAACTTTTACAGCTTTTTATTCCTCTGTGTAATAAGTGGCTTTAATCAGGAGCACATAAGAGTGGTCACACATGAATGTTTTCACCAGATTTTTGGCAACTGCAACTCTGTAAATCCATCCCAAATGGTCAATTTTTACACCATAAATTGGCATCAAGGCAAGCTGACCAAAGTTTAGGACATCGGGATGGACCACTTGAGTTATCCGTTTAAATATTGTTTAGAAAAGTAGTTTAATGTTAAAAAACTAACCCATGTTTGGAAATTCTTCCTTCTGCTATTGGCTGTCTCAGGTTCCAAATTGGTTTCTGTTTGTAGCTCGCTGATGATTGCCCAACACAGTCTCAAATTGCAGTTCTTTAAGTGTAGAAGCTTGTAATGTGTTTATCAGAGTAAGCAGACATAGTTTATCTTAATGTGCAGAGTATTCCTATGAATTATAGGAAAGTGAAAGTGGTCTATAAATCATTACAAATTGGATTATGAAAATGTGAGCACTTCTCAGATATGCTTTGTAATGGTATGTGGCTCTGTGATACTTTTACAACAGTAACCAGATCTCAAATTTGTGTCCCAGGTTTTACAAATAGATGCACCATCAACCTCAAAATTTGAAAAGTAATTATTTTGAAGAAAAACCACCTCAATGGTTTTACAAATAACGCTCCTAACTTTAGAGATATTGGGAGGAGAGTCCACCTGATTTATTGATTGATTGTGCAATATTATTGGGTAACAGTTAGCTTAGAAATAGTTACTTTTTTCCTTTATCTCAGACATGTTATCTTTTTCACGTACCTCGACATGGAGGTACGTGAAAAAGATAACATGTCTGAGATAAAGGAAAAAAGTAACTATGTCTAAGAAACTGAAGACATAATGAACATCATTTAACTAGATATCAGCTTGTTTAATGTTTATTTATTTTGGCATCATCATCACACAGCTTTTCCAAGCCTTCTGTGTGTGTATATTGATGCAACATCACTGCATAGCCTGTATAGAAAAACCTTATTTGATTGTTAATGATAGAGAAGTACTGTAGGCTGTCATATGGTGATGATTTGCTAAATTTACTTCTTTAAAGGCATATTCCAGTGTGAAATTAATTTAGGGTCAAACACACCATAACCACCTCTAGAGATGAATATTGCAGACCGCTTGCTTCTCTAGTTATACCAACTTTAGTAACGACCGCAGGATAGCAATACACAGCAGTCTGAGGAGCCATAAACAAACCTCAACCAAAACGCCACTCTATAGCCACAAATAATGCTCTTGAGGGGGTGTCTAACTCTGTGTTACGGGGTGTTTGACCTTAAATTAATTTTACACCAGAATATCCCTTTTAAGTTCCATTTCAAAAGAATTAAATTTGTATTTGTAATTTGTCGTGTTTTGCCTCCTCTAATGTTTTGGTTCGATAAAGCAGAGCTGAGCCATGGCCAACATCCAGATCCGAAAGTATAAAGACGAAGACGCTGAGGCCGTGAAAGAGGTCTTCACCCTGGGGATGAGCGAGCACGTGCCTTCGTCCTTCATGCACCTCCTCAAACAGCCACCGACCCAGATGGTGCTCATGTGCACGTTCTGCTCTCTCATGGCCAGCTCCAAATCCTTCCTGCTGCCTGTCCTCGCCGTCACCCTCCTCCTGGCTGCTGCCCGCCAGTCTGTCGTCTACATGTTCAACAAATACATCGATACCTCCCTCAAGAAGGACCTCAACAACATCACTGAGACCTACCTAAAGGAGAAGGACTCATGTTTTTGGGTGGCGGAGTGTGACGGACGTGTGGTCGGTACAATGGCCTGCCTCCCTAATGAGAATACACCTGGATGTTTAGAGTTGAAACGCGCATCTGTACGCCGCAGTCACCGCAGGATGGGCATCGGTAAAGCTCTGTGTCGGACGGTCGCCGATTTTACTCGCGACAGAGGTTATGCAGCAGTGATCCTGTACACCTCTGTTGTGCAGACTGATGCTCACAAGCTGTACGAGTGCATGGGCTACGAGAAGATCAGAGAGTTTCCTGTCCCTGAGTTTATCGCCAAAGTCACAAACTTTACTCTGATAGAGTACAGGCTGGATTTACACAGAGACAGAAAAAACAACTGAGTGATGTTGAGCTGAGACACGCTAAGACTGTGCAGCATTTCAGGGCAACAGTACCGTCCATTCAGCCAACTTTAATGCTTCTGTTTCCCCAGCATGCATTCCAGTTAAAGCGAAAAACACTCTGAACAGGTTCAGTAACATCCAAGTGTGTTTACTCAAAATACGTGCAGCAAACGTCCGGGCATGTCTTCTCCTGTAACAAACACAGATGTGAAAACCTTACTCTGTCGTTGCTCATCCTGTTTTTGATTTAAAACCCCTTTTTGATTATTTAATTTTGTAAATTATTTTGATTTGACTCGAGAGAATAAATCAAACGGACCAAATATGCTCCAATAATTTAGTGACCTTCATTAAGACTTTTACAGCCATAGCATTATGAGTCTCCACTCGACCTGTGAAGGTCTTCTGTGGTACCTGACTGGAGAATCTGGAGGCAAAGTTTACACCTGGATCTCATAGTCATGTTGCTCCAGACCAAACAGCTAAAACAGGAGCACGCCCAACACATAAACTCCTGTCAGGTACACAGAAAAGTGAAAAAAGTCAACATCTGTGTCCAGACTGACTAAAGGCACCTCCAGGGGTCAGTATCAGCTCTCTGAGCAGTCTGCAGCTCCACAACCCTTTACACGATGAACTGTAATGCATCTTTAGGCTCCCATCAAAGTCACTTACATCCTCTTCATCCTTCCTTACATATCCCCTCACTAAGCGTCAGCTGCCATTACAAAGAGATTATCTGTTATCTACTTGAACTGTCAGTGGTCATAATTTAATGGCTGGTTGTTTTTGTCTCCATAGATTTACCCATACTCCAAATGTCAAGTAATCATTCCAGATTTATGTGTATTTCAAGACTTAATCATAATAATCAGAACATATAGACGTGTGATTTTATTAAAACTGCTTTTGTGAAAAATTTCTTCCACTAACTTTCCAAATCTTTCGCATAAAACATATGCAAGCTTATATTTAGATTTTCAATTGATGAACTAATAAAAAGTCCTAGTAATCATCTCATCTTGTGGTTTTCTTTTAAGCTTTTTTTGTTATTTTATTTTTAAGTAACTTATTTTGAGTTTTTCTGAATTCTGAGCTTTTTTCCTTGTTATTCCAATGCACGAATTCTCTGTATGATTAAGTGTATCTGTGAATGTTTACATATATAAGCCATATACAACAAACATCTTTCTATGATTAAACAGTTTTCAAAGTTATTCTAAAGTTTTGCGCAATAGGCTTTACATTTTTTAATTGTTAAATATTGGGTTGGCTCATCTCTGGATCTGGTGCTGCAGATATGAAACAGCACTGCTTTTGACAGAGCTTTGATACACGTGTTTGTTTATTTGTACCTCACCTTCCATCTAAAAATAAACCCACATCTTAAGCTCCTTTTTAATTCCAGGAAGCTTTGCCGTGTGGTAAAAAAAAAAAAAAGATCCTGCTGAGAACTAAATCGGATGTTTGCAAGTTTGTCTAATATTCAAGTTCTCCTTCTGGGATTTGTCTGGGTTTTAGACTGATCCCCACAAGCTATGAGGCTGAGAGGTCCTTGTTTTTATAGCCTTATAAATGGCTCTGTTTCATAAAGAGTAAAGCAAAGAGTACACCTTATAATAAACTTATGTGAAGCTCCTGTGAGGAACTTCTTCTTTGGGTTGAGTTTGGCACCCTCTGTGGACAAAATGACCCTATTAATCTCATTTGATCTTGTCCCAAACAAGCGCGGACTATGTTTTCTGTTTAAAAATTCTGTGTTCAAGTGTCTTATTCGCTGTGAAAATTTGCTTACAAGAGGTAGAAAAGGCTGCAACTCTTTAGGGTGTGTAAATAGCCCAATGTCAATTCACCCTGCTTATTATTCTGGCGCAAAAAAGGCCATTTTGTGAATGATTAACCTTCATGATTTTATGATTAGGACAGTGAACCATCAGTTTGTCACTTTAAGCTTTTATTCAGTTATAAATGAGTACAAAATACAGTTTTTCTAACCTGATACAAAGCCAAAGATATCACCGGGACCCTCTGTGTTTCTGAGGCGGGCCGAGTCAGGCAGCAGCTCGGACACCTCAAAGCGGATAAGTCCGCTCAGACCTCCATGGATGGATGTAGCCTGTTGGTACGAAGCTGAGCGGTTAGCCGGATTTTAGCACACAAACAGGTAAGATTAAGAGCGAATTTGTCCAATGTAGGAAATGATATGTACATATAAGACAAAAACACAACTATGTGAATATAAATTAGCGTGTGTCTCTTAAAAACTAACTCATTAAAAGCCTTTTGATTGTGTGCTAGCAACCGAAGCTAACGGCTACTTATGCTAGTAGCTGGTCAGGGAGTGTCCCAGTGACAGCTGACAGACCCAAATATCCACCAGTAAAAGCTTAATTTTCACAATAGTTATACTCCTATGTTACATTTACGTTAAAAAGCGACCAATAATCTTAGTCAGCACTATCACTGCTCCTTCATTGATCCTCTGGTGTTAATAACTGAAGCGACGGGGATCCGGATATTCACTCCTAATGGGATAACAAGGCCAATTTATTCTCGTTTAAATGAATTAATCACAAATCCAGATCATCTGTTGCTGATTGTTTCATCCAATTTTGTTAATCTGTCGAAAGAAAATGTCATGTCAAACGGCAGCCACACCCAAGCTAGGTTTTAGGATACTACTTAATGGATATATAAGCAAAACATAACTATAATTTCACATTTTTAGATAAACAGCTGCTTCTATTGTTCATAAATGACTGATATATTATTCTGTGATAGGAGGCAGAGGGATGTCTTTGGTCAGTTGTTTCCTGGCTTTGAACTCACTAGATGGCACCAGATTACAGATAAAGCTTTTATATCTAGTCATAAAGATTTAATACTCGTCTGTTTTATGCAAGTACAGTCAAAATTAGGGTCGTTTGTGTGAATTAGTGACTCTGGTTTGATGCACGTTGAGGTGGATTATAGTAACGAACAGGAGTAACCCCCCTTCTTTCCATGGATGACCTATTTTCCAGCAAGAGATCAGGCTGAATATCATTAACATGCCTAGAGGACAGGCCCAACATAATTGGATAACATGTACAGCCAGTTTAGGCAAAAATAACTCTTAAATACAAGTTCATCTTACTATGACTGAGTGAATGAATGAACAGTTAATATACCAAGTGCAGGATGAAACAGTGAAATGTAAGTCATCCTGTTTCTTCAATATTGATCAATGTACAAAGTAAGATCCTAAAACCGGAACAGTAGCTCCTGACAGACATTTCCTGATCACCATAATTGCAGAAAAAGTTTCAGTTAAGCTATTGAAATATACAAATTTGACTTTTAAAAGCTATGCTGTATATTTGAGCATGAACTATTTAAGGATTGACATAAATGTTATCAGAAACATAACTAATCATGCAACTCTTTGAACTTGTATATATTTTTTAGCTTAACTCATTCCTTTGTTCCCTTTTGGAGATGTGTTCGCTCTCATTTTCTGTATTGTTTTCCCATAGAGAAGCCACATGGCATCTAATTTGGCAAAAGTCACACTTTTTTTTTCTCTCAAAATGTTGGAATTTAAACCCATCTTTACACTGTACAGCACTATACAGAGGTCTACAGTGGTCTGTTTTGTCCAAACAATCACAATTGACTCATTTGGCTTGAAGTGGTCACATTTAAACTTCCCTCAACAGTGACTTTTGATCGTACAGTCCCTGCAGCATAAAGTCATACAGTGTCTACAACACGTATTCAACTTGCAGGCCAGGCTTCAAATTTGTAGGTTTTACTATTTTCCAGCAGATGGTGCTATTTACCCACTTTAGTCTCCAGGACTGAAAGCAATAGAGTTTAGAGAATTAGTCCAGTGAGTGTCGCTAACATTGGCAGAGTGAGCACCACCAGCTATTGGTCCTTCTTGCAGGTTAATGTCAGTATTATCTCTCCTCTGGTTTCACGTTCTTCTGGTCAGGTTGTTACATGGATTTCCCGTGAGGAACTTTTGCTTTGTGTGAATTTTGATGCCCCCTGAGGATGATGAGGTGATCTTTGCCGACTTTGTCCTGTACATGTGTAGTTGGTATTTCGTGACCAAAATCTAAACCTGCTGTCTTTCTACAGTTAGATTTATCGCTTGTTAAGAGCCTGTGCCACTGAAAAAGCTGTAAAAAGCTCCCTTAATTTTGACACTTCCCTCTGTCAATCATTTCAGACATTAAAAATAATCAACCAGATCCAGTCTCTCCCCTGTTGATGGTCTGGTTTGCTGTCATTCAGAGAGATCGGTGTTGATTTGAGTCTGTTTCATGACCACACAGGAGCTTTAACAGTGTCAGAAAACTGCTTGTTCTTTGGCCTTAAGTCACATCCTCACTTTTCAATCTAAAATAATTGATTAATAATGACTCCATATAAAGAAAAACAACCTTATTAAACAGGTTGATTTCTAATAAGAGAAATAAAGTGCTCTTCTTCTTGTGACGTACTTCAGATATCTTTACCTTGAGGACTCCTGACGAGGCAGTTTCAGCCATGATTCAGCGATTTACGAGCTATCTCTGTCAAGTCTTGATAAATACATGCACCAGGAATAAGAAAGACATGCTCATCCTTACCTCTGTCCTCGTGACATTGGTTCGTCCCTCCTGGACCTGCGGACACTTTGAGATGCAGGCAGCGTGTCTGTAACGCTCTGAGAGTGTCACCTCTGTTTCTGGAACAGCTCTGTGCTCTCTCTCTCTCACAGCAGCAGACAGCGTTTTGTTAAGCCGCTGGTTCCGCCTCTTTTCCCCATTGTTCCCATTGCTGTAAAGAGGCAGCTCTTTGATTATTTTTGGCTGTCTGCTGGCTGTCTCCTCTTTATATATTTTTTTCCTCTGTGAGAGATAAGCCCCCCTCTTCCTTTTTTTTAAATACAGCACCCCCTTTTTACTTCTGCCTTTGTCATTTACATAAAAGGGTGCAAAGACACTGCAGAGGTTTATTTTGTGGCTCTGAAATCCCTCAACTGTGTTCAACTCTCCCATGTCTGCTGTACTTTGCATAAAAAACTGAATCTCAGGAAGAATATATAGTTTGTGTCCTGGCCCATGTTTGTTTTCCAAAGCTTGAGTAATGAATAATTTGTTTGGGGTGAAGTGATGTCTCTCTCCGTGTCCTGAGGCTCGGTTTCTTCTGTTGCAGACTCTAAAATGCATACTTTTCCAGCATCTGTGGAAGGAAACTGAGCTTTTCCACTGAAACCCTGCAGCGCTCGCTCCTATTGCAAAAAGATGACAACACAGAAATAGAGGAGTGAGTCAAAAAAAAAAAGTCCCAGGCATGCAGTTAGCTGATAAAAGCTGATAAAGGAGAGTTAATCCTCGCTATGTGATGGGCCACAGCATCAGGCCGGGCGCTAATGCAATCTGCTGGCTCCTGCTTCCAGTGTGAGCTGCATTATCGTGCATCACCTGGGCCTTTTGTGTTCACTAACAATGAAACAGATTGAGTTGAACTGGCTCACCCCCCCTTTTCCCCACTCTGGTTCAGAAATTGCCTACTGCTGGTGGTTTTTGTTTTTAAATTTGGAGGCTGGATGGGTTGTTTTTCTCACAGCTTTCAAGCTTTTGGCACGAGGAAGAAGCTGAATTTGACAGCTATCTGACAGACTGCACTGCAGAATTTGGGATACATCACTCTCACCTCTTTTACTGCAGAAGGGAATAATAACTCAGAACTGTAGAATTTGGTACAAGGTGTTTTAGAGAAGAAATACAGCCGAAGTGTGTTTTTCGATGTGGCATCAGATACGCACCGATTATGAAAATCCAACCAAAAAAAGATGCTAGCTTGAAGTTAGCTTATTTAAGGCAAGTGCAGGGCTTGACACTAACTTTTTTCAGAAGGAGCACATGTGCCCCTAAAGGTCCTGACACACCGGCAAATATACAATGCGAAATTATGAAAATATTCAGAGGTGAATTTTGACGTGCCTGACTGTACATATCAAGCGCAATACGATTTTGCAACACCGCTCCACAGCTTTGCTTTTTTCACGGCTAATCAAAAGCAAGGTTGAGGCGTCGTTACCAAAACTATCATCGGGCTTCAAAACATCTCTTCAGAAACCAAAGCATGACATCGTCAAGACTGCATCCATGCCTGTGAGTTCAGGTTAAGGTTTTTCAACACAAAGAGACCCGCTGATTAAACCCTCCAGTCTCTGTGTCTCTCTGAAAAGACATTCAAAGAATTGACCCCAATTTTCATCAGCAAATCCTCAACTCTAAAGGTTCTCCCCTCCTTTCTTTCATGCCCCTTGGTTCCTCTTTTCCCCCTCTTTTCAGGAGGACATCAGCTTTCTTGATAATGCTTTGCTTGGAGGAAGGAAGCCTGATCTTTGACGTGCAAACCCCAGACTGCATGCTATCTGGCTGTATTGGTTTTATTTCCTTTAGACAAAAGGCTGTTATGTTTGTCCACTGTAATCCAATTAGAGTCCAAAGTTCATCGTCATTCTCCCAACTTTGTTATCAAGGAAGCCTCATCTTAAAGCTCATATGGGGAAGAAAATTGAAGTTTTTCTTTGTTTATTTGTCTTATGAGGACTTAAATTTCTCCCAAACAAACCCTAGAGCAGTTCTGATCAATCCCAAAACAACCCTTGATTCCTGCGTACTGCCAAAAAGCGTAGACATTCATGGGAATCGTGACAGTCAGGTCCATTTTGAGCAACTTTTTAGGAGCGTATTTGCAGGCTTTAGGACCCAGCACCTCGCTGAGTCCGGGCCTAAACCTCCCCTCCTCCTGCAGGAGTCAGCACAGACACTCACTCTGCAGCAGCCGCGCAGTGCTGCCGCTCAGCTGATGCACTCGCAGCAGAGCAAGCCCTCTCCTCTTTTTCTTTTGCTGTTTTCCTCTTTCAATCGGAGGGCTTTGATCGGCAACATCTGCCCCTTTAAACTTCCACCTCCAGCTAAAATCTATCCCGCCGGCTCTCGTCTGGGAGCAGAATCACGGAGGAGACGTAGGGAGTTTGTTGGAGCTCAAGCTGTGTTTCGAGGACCAGGAGAGGGATGGTGTGATTCTGTAAAGAGACAGAGAGGAAGAGGGAGACGCTCCAGCAGCATCACTGTACTCCCCCACCTCCTCACCTCTTTTTCAAACCCCTCTTCTGTCTGTCTGGCTGACGCTCTCCTCATCATTAAACACTCCTTCAGAGGAGACAGGGAGCTTTTCAGGGCGACTAAGAAACATGTCACAAACCAGGAGAAGCACATACACGAGGGTGAGTGAGCGCAGATGTTTACATCCCGGGATTGTCTTTTTAAATGGGCCAGACTGTGGTGTTTAACTTCGCCCTCATCTGCGGGCTTTTGTTCCTCCTCTGACTGAACCATTAGTTTCGCTCTGTCATCTTCTTCTTGTCGATTTTTACTTTGAAAAGAAGGGTCTCGAATCCTTTTAACGCTGCGTCCCTCTCGGAGTTCTGGTCTCTTTGTTTGCCTCAGATGCCCCTCAGGGTTGTACGATGCTCCTGCTCTGATGTTCAGGTTTCAGGTTCCATTTGATTTAGGTTGTGTTTAATGGTTTGTCATTGGGGATGTGCTCTCTAGTGGTCTAGTAATCTGACTTTATCGTTTTGTATCACATCGGATTGCATCATATTGTATCGGATTGTGCTGTATGTGCTGTATCGTGTTGTCTCATACTGTATCATAGCGTCTCAGGCTCTAGGGTATGATATTATATTATGTGTTGAAGTATGGTGTAATGATATACTAGGGGTGGGTGATAAACCGAAAATTTACTGATGCCGAATTTTACGACAATAACCAACGTTGTTTTGCCCATGTCAATATATTCGATGTCAAAAAAATAAATAAAAGTTGGTTTTGGATGTGTGTAGGTAGGCCAGGGTTTCCCCGACATGCAATTGATCGCATCGCACCGCCACGGCTAAATAAAAAAAGTTTTTATCTCACATAGTTCTACCTTGGACTCATGTATCAGCAGTGTTTCCCCTACATTGTTGAGCAGCGGCGCACTGCTGCTGCTGAATTACGTGCGCCGCTATTGAAATTTCAAATGATCATTAATATCAATGCGCCACTAATGATTCTACTCGCACAACAACACACAATATTATTTCCGACTTGTTTTGAGTCTTCAACGAGCGCATCAAATTCTGTCGGACCCTCTTCTATCAATGCAGCATGAATGATTTCTACTTGCACTGTGTGAGCACGACAACACAGGACGTTATTTTTGACTTGTTTTTAGTCTTCAACCAGCGCGTCAAATCATGTCGGACCCTCTTCCACTAATGTAAAAGGTAACGTTTAAGCTTATACACGGTCTGTATAGCAAGACAGTGGGGGTAACGACTCCCCTCAACACACACACCACCATAGCTGAAAAAATTCTAGAGGAAACACTGTAGGCCATGGATTCATGTCCCTTTAAGACGCTGTCAGAGACGTGACTCCACCCCATCCAGTCCGTAACAAAGAGGGAAAGACAGGTGAGGAGATGGAGGACGGTTCAAACGTTGTAGCGGTTGAAGTAGACAAAGTTAATGTGGGAGGGGGTAATCAGCTTGTGGAGTAGTTATCGTCAATTTATCGTTATCAAGGTGAATTGCTCAGTATATCGTGATATTGATTTGAGGACATATCGCCCAGCCCTATAAAATATATTGTCTTGTATCACATCAATATAAAACGTGTGGTTCAGTGGCAGAGTTGGTTAGCTCTCAATCATGAGGTCGGGGTTGCATCCCAGGTCCTGTTGTCCACATTCTGGAGTATCTTTGGGCAAGACACTTAACCCACAGACTGCCCCTGATGATGTGCCATCAGTGTGTAAATGTGATATGTAAATACTGATGCCACTAGTGTAGAGACCTGTCATGTAAAGACACCTTGAGTTGTCAGAAGACTTGGAAAACGTGCTAAATTGCTTTTAAAATCACCAAAACTATTGATCAGTTCTTTCAGTGTTTAGCAGTTCATTCTCTTTAAATCAATGAACTGATGTAGTATTTCATTTGTAATGAAGATAACATGCACAGAATGCCTTTTGTTTTCTGGACTGGAGGCACAATTCAGGAGCCAGGAACCTTCCTGTTTGTCATCCGTCTCTGAGTCAGTCGGCTTTCCGGTCACCAGGAGGGATGACATCAGTGCTGAGGACGGTCCAGCTTCTCTGTTCTGTTCCTCTGATAACAGAAAACCTCGTACATGTGGAGTAAAAAAAACAGATCTGGTTCTTTATAATAGATAATGTGGTTAACTTATTTGGCTAAAACAAAACAGTACCATCTCTGGGCTAACAGGTCCCCTCAGGGCCTCTATTAGTGCGTTACAGCGCTGCAAATGAGGCGATATCAGTGTTTATATCTTTTTTTTGGCTTGGCCGTTTGCGTGAGGAGCATACTTGTGTTTTAAGAGTAGAGTGGCACTAAATAATTCACCGCGTCCTCCTCGGGTCCTCTGTCTACAGCACACGACAAACAGGTCAGACCAGCAGTAACCCAACAACACTGGAGACCATCCACAAGTCTGTTCGCTGGAGTGAGGCAGCGTTTTTATGACCCTACATAAGACTGGGGGTGTAAACAACAGGGGATGTCTGATTGTAGCTAGCTGACAGGTACATCTGAGCACCATGCTCCTTCTCCTGTATGAATCTAAAATGATTTAAGGGCTTTAAATAGACTAGAGCTTGAATAACAGATCTGAGGGTTTGACTGTGATGAAAAAGAGAAAAAAGACTCAAGTATGCATTTACTGCACATTAGCAGTTAAATTCGTCCGCCTCTACAATGGTCATGATGAATTATAAGGTAGGTTCATTAGATTTTAAGTAATCAGGGGAATTCAGAGCTGGCATCAAAGCATCTACATACTGAATATATTATCAGGGATGTTCATAAAAAAGCAATCTCTCCAGACGTTGCCATGCAAGAAGTGAGACAGTGGAAATGAACGGTGACCAGAAGTGAGTCCTGAACACTCGGATATCTTCTGCTGTTTTAACCTTCAAAAACAACCCAAATGAAACTGTTTCCTGTGTAGAAAATGAGTGTCTGCTTCCTCATTATTGTGGCTGGAGATATTTTTCTTTAACTACAGTGACGTCTTCTAGAAACTAAACCCGCAGTGAGCTGTAAGCGGTTCAGAGGAGCTCTTAAGAAGTCACATCTTAAGCTTAGGTTTTTCTACACGATCCATGAATCCTGAATCGTTAAAATTCTTGGAGTGATTTTACACGGGGGCCACGATGACATGAGATGGAGCATGAAAACAAAACCCTCTTTATAAAGCACATTCCAACCCATGCTATGCTTAAAGGCCTTTACCTTGTGACGTATAGCTGACTGTGAAGACCTGGTCGAGGATGCTAAAGATACAAAGCAAGGAATACTTTGTAGATGGGAAGTTTCTCAGCGTCGTGTGATTTCTCCAGTTTGGCTCTTCTTAAGCTCGATCATAATGAAGCTTGGAGCTATAGAGAATAAACCCTTAACCTGGTGTGGGGGTCTCAGAAAGCAAGATACGGCTATCAACAAGTCAAACTTACCGGATATCCAAGATGGCAGAGTCCGGCACGATGATGATGACAGTTTTTGTTTTTATGCTGTAAGCCTGTTTTGGTTCGTTTGGACGTTACCCTCTGCTGTTCCGGATGAACCTCATGTCTCAACAATGACACAACTCTGGTTACAAACGAACTCGTTTCATTGTCAGGTTTAGTGTGGACTGAAGACACTACTCTTGGAAAAAGGCTGATATCGTGTAATTGGATGATTATCTGTATTGGCTTCTTCTTTTGCAGATGACTGCTAGAATAAATTCATTATAAAGTGTGCTACTTGGTCCCTCTGGGTCTTGTTTTCTTGCACTACTCAGTCTCATCTCATCTCTGACAGGTCATGATGAAATCTGGCAGGGGTGTAGACTTTGAAGATAGTGACTCATTAAAAAAATTCCCATCACTTCAGTTTGATTCAGATCTGCAGAAGTGATTTATTTTCACCTTAAAGTCGTCACAGTGGATTTAAAAAGCATAAAAGTGAATGTTTGTCTGTGAAATGATGTTGTTAGGTTGTTACAAGTCTTGAATGAAAACCCAAGGAAATTCTTATTCGCTTGAACAAAATTGGTTATTGGTTGAGATTCAGGAATAAAAGGACTTGGGTCTTTATTGAGAACATATGAAGGACCCTGTGATGCTGGAGTCAGATAAAAACTCTAAAACCATCCTTGTGTTGCTGCTGTGTGTCTGTTTTTGCTCTGCAGAGGTTTCCTGAGTTGTTGAAGTTCAACATGAGCACGTCTGCGGTGTGTGTTTACAGTGGGCTGAAGGAGAATGGTTGTGCTCGCTCTGTCTCAGTGTAATAATATCTGCTCCTCTCTCTCTCTCTCTCTCTCTCTCTCTCTCTCTTTTTCTGCTTGTCTGCTGAGTCACCATCAGTTCTAGGACATCACTCTGTAAATTGGGTTATGCAGGATTATTGGATTATGAAATATTGCAGCGTTACGATGCCACAGTACCTTTTTTTCCCCCTCTAACATCAGTTCAGCTGTAAAAAATCTCAGTTTATTGTTCCTGTTGAATTATCACAAACATGCATTGACATTTAGAGAGAACAGGACAGGGACACTCTTTACTTTAAGTGTGGTCTGCTCAGCTCAGTGACTCAGACAGACTATAAATCCACCTCCTTTTGTGTCTTTTCCTGAAGGACTTAGACTCTCATATAAAAGATCGTTTTAACACAAATTTGTACTGAAATCAAACAGACACATTGATTAATCAGGGATGTTCTAATCCGCGCTGTGATCCCAGATCTGATCTTTTTAACTCAGTAAAGACCTCTAAAGTCTGCTATAAAGACACAGAAGTCACACCTTGTCTTAAATGACCCTGTATGTTGTCTCAAACTTTAAAACAGCAGAGTATATCATGGATCCAAACGCTCCTAAACACGCCTAATACCTGCAATCTTTGCTATGATGATGGGTTAGTTTTCCAAACCATCTCCTTGTTAATCTTTTTGGCGTTTTCACTCTTTGAAGATGTTTATCCTTCTGCTTTAATCTGGAGTTTGTTGCTTTTTTTTCTCTGTCGGTTTTAATCAGTTATATTTTGTTTGAGTAAACCTCCTTTGAATTTCAAATCAGGTCATTTAAAAGGGTTTGCTTATTAGAAAACCCACTCAAAAGGATCAAATATTCTCACATGTTTGAAGTGCAATGAAGTGTGGAGTTTATTAATCGAAAAAGCAACAAAGTGAAACCATTTCTAAACCAGTTTGGGGAAATTAAAAGTCTAATATTTGTTGGTTTTAGCTTCTTGAATTCAAGACTTTTAGCTTCTTTTCTCTGACATTTATGAATAAGCATGAACTTTTTCATTACCTGGATTTTAATCAGTCGTGTTGTTTTTGGATTTTATTTGGGCATCCTTTTATGTGTATTTATGGAGGTTTTGATGGTCAGATCTTGATTATACTCATCATTCATCATTGGAGCTTCTTGTCCTTGAAGGCCACCATAGCTTCACTTACAGGAGGGGTAAGCAAGGGAGCATTTCAGTCTTAAATCCCCTGATGCAACTGATTTTTAAAACCATTAAGATGTCTTTTTTTCTAGCACAACATATGCAGTGCTATGAGATACTGTCTGTTATCTGTACTTGCTTGCATCCAGGTAGTAAAGCGTTGAAGCTCTGTGGCAGCAGACACTACAGTCCCTGCAAGTGGCTCGTGACTTAGACGCAACATATGACACATTTATGACCTACAATAATGAGATTAAAAATAATCAGTATAAATATATAGAGTTTCTGGTGGACTTTTTTTTGCTCATCGATCTAATAGCACACATTGAGGAAACTGAGATGGGATAAGTAAATATTTAGATGTGCTCTTTGGTGCACTCCCTTTTTTTATGTATGTTTAAATATAGATATAGACAGAAGTGATGGTGAACTTGTTTACCTGTTCTAACAGTGCACTCTCTCCCGCTCTCCACAGACGACCAGCAGCGGCAGCAGCAGGATGAGCTCGGACGGGGGCGGGCGTCCCGTCAAAGTGGGCTCCCTGGTGGAGGTGATAGGGAAAGGTCAGAAAGGCACCGTTGCTTACATTGGAAACACACTCTTCGCCTCGGGAAAATGGGTGGGAGTCATCCTGGACGAGGCCAAAGGGAAGAACGACGGCACTGTGCAAGGCAAGCGCTACTTCACCTGCGAGGAGAACCACGGCATATTTGTGAGACAATCACAGGTAAACAAACAAACAAACAAACGAGATCTTTGTCCTGAGCGAAAGATGAAGCTCTAACATCCTCCATCTGTCTGTTGTTTAGTTTCTTGTTTTGTACGATGTTTGAGGTTTTGCTTTTTCTCTTTATTTGACGCAGTTGGCTTGTGTGGGGGTTGATATTTTTCTCTGCTGTCCTCTGGGTGTTAGACTTTTTCTGCTTCAGGCTGCTTTCTCAGCTGTTTTCTGATAAAACATAAAAAAGTAGCGTTATTCTTTCTTCAGAGAAAAATACTGCAAAGTGCCCTGAAGTGTGTTCTAAAGACATCATAGTTTATTTAGAGTATGGTGGCCTTAAGAGGCAGGCCAAACAACAGCCAATTTTTTAACACAGTTGCTGAAATTTCACAGAAATTTGATTAATTCTGATTAACTTAACATGTGGTCCATTTTATATGCTTGGAATCGTGCATGAAAATGATGGCTCACAAGGGCATAACATCTGCAATGGCGCAAATTCTCCCTTTTAAGAGAAAATGTTGAAAATGTATAAATAGTGCATAATCCCAACAAAAGCACCAAAAAAAGGACACTGGAAAATCTTTACATGAATAAAACAGTAAACACAGATTTAGAGAGCACCGTCAGTGGACTCAAAGATTGAGAAAAAAACAGCTGTAATGTTTGCACACGTGAATATTCGCCGAGCACAAACAAAATGACGGATTCTGATGTATTATGTACGGAGCAGCTCTATCAGAAGGCTCAAACCCCTGCTATGCTCCTCTTTTCTGTAGTCCTGACATAAACCAGAGGCTGTCCAGGAATGTGACATTCAGTAAAAGTGTCCAGGAAGGTTTTATTATTAGAAACAGGCAAAGCTGTCATGATGGGCACTCATTTGTTTCATGAAAGTGAGAAAAGGATCAAGTTTGTTGTCAAACATCACATAATGATGTTTTTTTATGATGTAAGGTAGGTCACAGAATATTCATCCTGTTTTTATTACTTTATTACTGTTTTTTGTCTGTGAAGAATCACTCCCAGGTTTTGTATTTGATTTGTTTTCTTTTTCACCATCGAACAGAAACATCAGTCTCATGGTCCGGTGTAATCAGTCTGAGAGAGTAGAAGTCTGTCAGTAGGAAACACTTTCTGCATTTACAGTTGTTTTTAGCGCTTGACCCCTGTAGTCACTGTACTGCGGTCATAAAGGTTGCTAAGGAGATATAAAATTCAAACTCACTTGGGTAATACTGTATTTAAATCTATGTTAATATACCAGCCTACACATTTTGTTTCATGATCTACCTTTGGTGTGTTTTCTTCCTCTGTGCCAGCTCTGTTGATGGAAAGATCTTTGTGATATTTCGGGTGACATGATGACTAACTGTCTGTGTCTGTCTCTCTGTCTGCGTGTCTCTGTCTCAGATCCAGCTGGTTGATGATGGGGCTGACACGACATCTCCAGAGACACCTGAGCCCGGCACGGGAAAAGTTCCCAAACGAGGTAAAAATAAAAAAACCAAACAGACACTTCTACACTTCGACTGTTTTGTCAGGGAAAGAGAAATCGAGACCTTTTGGAAATAGAACCTGTCCAGTTAACATGTTATCAGAGAGTATTAGACATGCAGTAATGTTTGAAATCACGTATCTTAAAGTGGAGACATGAGCATGAGCTGGACTGATGCTGGTCAGTCAGAGCCTGTAGACACTAACTGCTAGTTAGTCAAACCTGTCTTTAGACAGGGCCCGGACAAACCCATCCTAATTACCTACTGAGTTGTTTTTTATTTATTCAAAGCAAGCACAACCTCCACATCACTTGTCTTTTTATATTCTGTGATCAAGATGGTACATCAGCATGGACGTGTTGTCCACTGGCAGTTTTCTCTGTCTTTTTCATACGGATGTATAGTTTCATCTTTGCATGGCACTGGCATCAAACCCTGTTCCCAGACCGTGGTTTTTAGAAGTTGTTTTGAACCCATGTAGTGATTACCACGACAGAGTCATGTCTGTTTTTAACGCATTGCCACCTGTGGGCCTTAAAATCACAACCATGAAGTTCCGTGACATTGGCTGTTGTATATTTTAATTACATTTTCTATGTAAAAATGCTACAAACGCCCTTTCAAAGTCAAATACACTAAATAGCCAACATGCTAAATAACCATTAGATTAATAAAAATGACTTTGCTGAAAGAAAGTATGAATCCTGAAATCATATCTGCCTCCATGCAAATATAGTATAGTAAGTTTAAGGAGGTGTTGATTGTCTCCGCCCTGGTGCTGACCATCTGCTTTAAGGACATAAATCTTGTTGACTTGCTCCCGGATCTTCTTGGACTTTCTACCTTGTAAAAAAAGAGTAAACAATCCTGATCATTGGAAAGTTTGTGTCTCACTTTCTTTCTTTTTTTTTATTTTTAGAGATCCTGGAGACGCCCAAGTCCACTAAACTGGTGAGTCAGATCACTCTGGACTGTCTGTGATAACAAAGTTCCCCTGCAGGACACAAGGAGCATGAAGAAGAGATGACGACACACACACACACCTGCACTGCACACACTCACAGAGGCAGGCTGACACATCACCTCTGTGTTATCTAAAGTAAACACTGTGTGTTGCTGTTCATTGCCACGCTTCATCTTCTTGTCTTTGTCAATCTCTCTGACATTCGAACAAGAGTCCTCTTATTAGAACACTTGTACTGATTTTATTCACTTTTATAGATTTAATGTATTTGTTTTTATATGTAGTTTACTGAAAATCCTAAAACTGCAACAAAAATATCCTCATAGTATTTTCAGAAATATACTGACAGTCTGCAGCTTAGATGTGGTCATTCAAAAGTTCAAATGTGAACATAAAACTGTACTTACAGTATAAATATATATCATATATATATATATAGTATAGTATTAAAAAAGCTAGATTTTATGATTTTATCTTGATAATAACACATCTGTCCTCTTTCAGGCTTCATATCTGACCACTAGAGGGCAGTATTTACTGATACATAGTGAAACATGAGGCTGCTGACAACTCTGTCAGACAGCTGAAGTAAAAAACCAGAAGAGCTCAACTAAAATCAGTTAAATCTTTAGTATTAAAGTTATATGTAAGCCTTTATTTTTGCATGATTCTTGATCAGGAAAGTAGAGCACCATAGAGGATTTATTTATTGGATTAATACTTAAATTAAATACAGTTTACCCAAGACTCAAACCAAAGAAGTATGAAGTTAAAGGCAGCAAAGTGTGAACAAAACATATATTTAAATACACAAATGACAGACCTTACAGCCCTAAAAACTGATTATGTATTCATGTTTTACAAGTATTGGTAATTAAACACTTATAAAACGTGTAAGTCAGAAATTTCAGACATCTCCAAATTTCAACTCATCCTCATGATTACGACTTAATTGAGTAACTGCTCCAAGAAAGATTTCAGTGAATTTTCATCACTTATGTAGCAAACATCTTTTTTAGAGAGCTCTTCTGTTGCTCTTTCTTCATTAATTTTAAAATGTTTTATTCATGAGGACTCTGTCTGCATGTTAAGTAGACCATCCTGTGACAAAAGACAAGTGCAATTTTAATCTTTATTCCACGGAGCTCAAAATCAATCAGAATTAGACGAAAAATATCCATGAAATCAATGACTAAGGGTCTGTAACATCAGATTATTTTATGTGACTCGTTATGTGAAGATTTGAAATTCGTAGTTTTTGTGAAAATGATCCGAGTGAGAATGAAGAAAAGTGTGTGAAGCAGATGGAGAGTACAAGGCTCTTTATCCACCTTCTCCAATCGCCACAGCCCCCCATCACTTCCAGCTCACCTCTGACAAACTTCTGACCTTTAACCTCCATCATCCCTTCCTTCCTCTCCTTCCTCACCTCCTCACTTCCTTCCCTTCTTTCCTCCGACCACGCAGCGAGGAGTGAAACCTAAAAAGGTGTTGCATGTTTCTCTAAACTCGGTACAGTGGTAATGTTATGTTTGATGACCTAAGTAACCATGGTAACCGTGGCTCTGAATGGCCTCGCTGCTGCATGGCAACAGGGCCCTCATCCTCTCATTCACCCACGATTCCCTGCTCCTCACGCCATCCCGATCATCGGTCTGAACTGTTGTGTGTTTATTCGAGACCGAGTGGGAGAGGGTCAAATAGCGAGCGATGCCACCTGTCTGCCATGAGGCCACGCCCACTTCTTGTCTGTCACATGACCTCACCATGCTCTGTCGCTCTGGTCTGTTCGTCTCCGCTCTGTGGCTCATGATCTGTATGTGTGTTTGTCCGCTCTCTGTGCATTTTAAAGCATGTTGGAGTCGCAATGAATTCATCCCGGTGTCGTACTGACACGGCCAGGAAACTGTCCTGTTAGTGATACGCTGGTTATAGACAAACTTCAAACAGGATACATAAACAAAGGCCTTTAGATACCTGAAGTGGTATTTAAAAGCTTTTAGAGAATACATAAGGGTTAGAAAATACAGCTGAAGTGAGCAGAAACCTTTGGCTCTGAAAAAACGAAGCCTAAGGAAGCAGGAAAAAGAACTGGCCACTTGAGGTTTGCTCCAAAAGTGATTCAATGATCATCTGCCAACATGCCAAATGCTTCAAAGCAGGATTTAACGTCTGAAGCAGGTAAAAAACAGGCTTTTGGCTTCCTGTCTACGCTGGGGAAGATTTTGTTTTTGACATGACCTACCGTTTCAAATGTGTCAGGGCTTAGAGTGATGTTATACACAGAGGCACGGTCTATGCCTCCACTCTTTAGACTTAGCGATGATGACTCACTGAATTTAAGCTTTTGGGAATCCACCATTAACCTCATTAATGGATGGTGAGGAGTTAAACGAGCCGCAGCAGCCAGTGTGATGTTTTCACGTGGTTTGTTTACTTCCATTTGAGGCCTCAGGGCTGACCTCGCACACATTCCTCGGTACCTCGTTTTTATCAGCTGACTAGCTTTAACCCTGACAATTTCTACACAGATGTTGAACATTGTGACTTGTTGAGAAGTTGTGCTTTTTACCTGCTTTGAGGAGGAAGATGATTAAGTCAGACATGTGGGAAATTTTGGGATACCGTCTTTCAGTTTGATGTCAAGAAATTACTCTACGATATAAATAGCATTTTTCCTTCCTTTCGTCTTCTGTTGTGGTTAAATCTGGATCGTATCGCATGTCTAGCCATCCTCGCAAGCAACTGACCCCCAGGATTCTTCATCCTGTGGTTAAATATTTTCTAACTTCTACTTCCGTTTTTTTGTTTTTGTCTGTTCAGCTCACTTTGGTCTACAGTCGGTCAAGTTAAATTCCTTTCACACAAATAGATGATAAGTAAAAAGATAGAAAAACAAACCAACAGCTTTAATAAACATCCAGATACTAGCGCAGATCGAGACGACCATTTAGCCAAAAAGGTCAAGGAGTAAATCTGTACTCAGCCCAGATTTCTAACAAATAGACGGAGCTTCGAAGTTCTAGTTATGGATGATATTCAAAAGACAGATAAAAAACAAACAAGCCACATAATACTATAATACATAAAACACATATGATATGATTTATGGTGATTTCAGTGCTGCTCTGGGATTCACCGTTGAGATCAGATGCTCTTTAACTCAGCTGAGTCATGCATTCAGACGCTCCTCTGCTGCTGCTGCTGCTGCTGCTGCTTTGTAAATGTCAGACTGTGACTTTGAGGTGAAACCTACCTCCTTCCAGCAGAGATCAAACCTGCAGAGTATGGATTTCCCGTCAGCTCGGGTCTACTTTACGGCGCTCTGTTCTGCGTCTCCCTCTCGGCAGGTGGACTTGAAGGATCAGGAGCTCGGCTCGCTCTCAGGCAGGAGGATTAACAATCGGAGTTTAAAATCAGGCTGACAGTTAATCTAAAGGAATAAAAACTGTCAAAATTGGGGACACTTTATTATGATTATTACCACCAACTCTAATCAGATGGTGAAAAACTCACTTACTCTGTAGGAGTTTGTTTTCTGGTTTGTTTGCACAGGTTTATCATGCGCTCACTCTTTACTCATGTGATTCATTCCTAAGAGAGTTTCTCTGCACCTCAAACCACGTCTGACTCGCGGCGCTCTTGTAAAGACATAAATTAGAGCTAAGTTGTTCTTTGATGGCTGCAGATGGATCCTAGAGAGTTTTCTTGAACACAGTCAGTTCTTTCTAACTGTGCAGGAAACACTACATGTACTATGAGTGAAAATCAGGCCTCAAGCCTCCAGATACAGTTCATAAACATGATAAATATGTAAGCTTCGATGTTTGTGCTTTGACTCCCTCCATCCAGCGTCATAGTTTCTTCAAGCACGTTAGAAAACAGTGACATTGCAGTACAAGCTCAGCGTGTCGGGTTCTGCTGTGTTAACGCTTCCTGGACGGTAATTTTATCTCCTCTTCGTCCTGCTGGAGGCTGCATGGACAGCAAACCTCTCTCAGTGTGAGTGCTGTTGGAAGCAGGAACTTGATACGTCTCCACCCTCTCTCTCTCTCTCTGTCTGTCTGTCTCTCTCTCTCTGTCTTTCCCATCACTTCAGCTGCAGTGGATGTCCTCTCAGAGCTGCAGCAGCACTCAGTCTTGTGTGCGGTGAGAAAGTGGCGGGTTTACAGAGAGAGATATTTAATATTTTAAAAGGACAGATTTCCCTCGGCTGCTCTGTAATGGATACACTTAAACAGATTTCCTCTCTGCCTCAGCAGCTCAGACTCTCAAGGCCCTTCCCTCTTTCTCTCTCTTTATAAACTATTTTCCTTCACAATTAAAATCACTCCTTTATTCATACGACAGCGCGTCTTTATTCACCAGAGTTTCCTAAACTATCTCTGCCAGTTCTCGTGCCTACAATGTGGAAATATTTCAGGTTAAAGCTCGGAGCTAATCACGCTGTATCCCCATTGAATTAATCCTCTTACATCCCTCTCTCCTCCTGCCGAGCTGCTGCTGCTGCAGAGAGGAAGATTAGTGAAGCCGAGGAAGATCCTACGATTGCTGCTGAAAAGGCTCTGGGCTGTTGAGAGAGGAATAGACCTAATAAATCATTTTTTATGCTGAAATCTTTCTCAAACTCACAGGATTGCTTTTAAGAGCTAACATTTTGAGTCTTAATTCGAGCTGCAGGGTATTTCTTTTACACACTTTGGTCTCCTTTGTCATAATTATGCACTAAAAACCACCTATCAGATGTTTTAGACTTTTTATGTCAGTATTAGCCTCGTCTAATGCCAGTGCTGAAGTTTGATTTAACAGTAACTCCAGTTGTGTAATATTTAAAGTTAAATAAGGCAGTACTCCAGGCAGATAACCAGGCCAGTACCAGGTGAGTGATACCTTAAATACCCCTGGTTGTAATCCACCTCACTGCCTCATGCCAGGATTGGATTTAAAGGAAGATGCCAGCTGCTAACAAGGAGTGAAACAGTTATATTACTCCGTCTGTCCGCTTTTAAGAATATATATGAGACGGCTGCCCTAACAAACAGGAGATGCTTCTGGTTGTATCTGTACGGTCGAGGTAGGGCTGGGCGATAAACCGAAAATTTACCAATACCAAAATTTGCGACAATAACCAACGTCATTTTGCCCATGTCAATATTATTCGGTGTCAATATAAATAGATAAATAAAAGTTGGTTTTGGATGTGTGTAGGAAGGCTATTGTCTCATGTCTCAGAGACGTGTCTCAACCCCATCCAGTCCATAACAAAGAGGGAAAGACAGGTGAGGAGATGGAGGACGGTTAAGGCAGCTGCTGAAGTAGACGAAGTTAATGTGGGAGGGGAAGAGCAGCTTACGGAGTAGTTATCGTCCATTTATTGTTATCGGGGTGAACTGCTCAATATATCGTGATTAGGGTTGGGAATCGAGAATCGATGGGAATCGGGACTAAAACTTCGATTCTTCCGGTATCGTTCAAATATTAAAATTTCGATTCCAAGTTTCGATGCCAGAGTCCGCCGACCGGAAGAAATAGCCGCCGAAAATCAACGAAGAAGAAGCCGCTTAACACCAATGAGGACGGAGCGTATGAGACGAAGCCACACAGAGAGAGGAGAGAGACAGAGAGAGAAAGTACATTGCAACCCACAGCAATGCAGCCGCTGTGGGTTACAATCTCTCTCTGTCTCTCTCCTCTCTCTGTGTGACTTCGTCTCATACGCTCCGTCCTCGTTGGTGTTCGGCAGCTTCTTCTTCGTTGGTCAAAAGTTTGGCTAACTTTAGCAGGAAGAATGAGCTCTTATCTCAATGCAACATTAGCAATACAATTATATCATGCAAAGGAGGGTAAACGACCAACATGATTAAACACCTCAGGATTCATGGAGGAGAAATACCCAAGTGCTCGTCTTTGACGCGCTTCGCCGGTGTTGTGTCGTAGAATGCACACCTGACGGGAGCGCGGTTGAAAGTACACAACAAGGCGAAACAATCCAAGTTTTTCTTACCGTTGAACGGAATCTAAAGCGTGTGCCTTTAATGATTTCATTCAGGCTATTCAGATATGCCGAAAACAATAGCCCTCTGATTCGGAATATTTACTGTCCTGAAAATATAATGTTCTCTACATTAACAGCTTACTGTACAGTTTATATACCCAAGTACACCTTTATCTGTGCATTTTTGAGACACATACAAACAAAACGAAAGTTTACTGCTCCATTTGACACGTTTTCATGATTTAATACCCGTGTTTTATTAAATATGAGATCATATTTCTTCCACTAAGAAGCTAATCAGTGGAGGGGAGGCATTCTACGGCAGGGGTGCATTCTACAGCACAACACCTGTCTTCCGCTAACCAGTCAGGATCAGATAAGTGAAACAATAAATTACTTCTGTCCTCTGCTAACTTTGAAGCGGTAAACAAATTGAACTGTGTACGGTGAGTAAACTTAAATATCCACCTAACGTTAGCCCTTGTACTTTTTCATAGACAAACGACCTGAAAACAAAATTTGATATTTATATACTGGTTGAAAATAGCTCTGTGAGAAATTCATAGTAAAGTTCTTAAAAAGTTAATGGGATTTAAAAATTCATGGAGAAGTTCAGAAATTTCATCCAAAAAGAAGAGCCCCGGTTAGCACCCTCATTCAAACCATGCTTTTTTTTTTCTTTTTTCTTTTTGATATCCTGCCTTTTAAAAGAATCGAATTAGAGAATCGATAGGAATCGGAATCGAAATGAGGAATCGAAATTGGAATCGGAATCGTTCAAAATCAAACGATACCCAACCGTAATCGTGATATTGATTTGAGGCCATATCGCCCAGCCCTAGATTGAGGGTTCAAGTCTGATCCTTATCCCATTCCTCCAGTTTTAGTTTAAGAACTTTTGAGGCTTTTGTTTTGGATCAAAATCTCTGAAATTTGTCTTTAAATGTTTGGTTACATCTAGAGTGTTGTTACTGGTGGTGGTATGGTCCATTACCACCACACACTGTGTTGAATTGACCCGTTTTAAAAGTCTCACCAAGCAGCAACTTCCAGGGTTAAAAATGAAGCCAGTGCAGATTTGACTAACAGGTTGGTCTGTTGTGGCTTGAATGCTAAAAGCCTGGCTTCATTCTTGGCTCGCCGGACTTATCTTGTGATTCTTTTAGCGTCCATCCAAACAAGCTGGTGGACTCTCAAGAGGGGGAAGGTTTTAACTCAGCCTCAAATGATGCAACTGTTAAACAGACTCCTTGGACGTTGAAAACATCTGAAAAAAGTTGATGTTGTCGGTTAAAGGAGATTGATTAAACAAATGTTATCTTTATTGTGTCAGTCTGGGACACTGACAGAGTAGTTTTAGTAGTAGTTTCATCATTATTCAGCCTGAGACCAAAGAGTTTCTTTGTGGCTTTGACAGGAATAAAAATTTAGCCAGCTTAGCTTCTGGGTGTTTTTCTTTTTTTTTTTTTTTTACATCTTTTTTTTATTTCACAATGATATCGCAACCAAAGAAAATGTCCCCCTTTTTTTTTTCTTTTTTTTTCTAACCACATAATTTCCTCCCCTTCCCATTATTCCCTAGGGATACAGAACAGAAAGAAAAATAAATGAATAAATAAATAAAGAGTACAGAATCAGACAAGTACATTAAAGAGGAACTAAATAAGAAAAAGGCAGCAATGGTGATATCCATAAACACCATCCAAATGTGTATACATATAGGCTGTATATATATATATATATATATATATATATATATATATATATATATATATATATATATATATATGAACATATTCAGACAAATGCATACCAGCTAAATTACAAATAATCACTGGTCCCTCTTAAAGACTGGATGTTACTTTTTACACAGTTTTGTCATCATGAAATTTCCCGAATGTTAGAAAATGTTAGAAGCTGTTTGCCCGCATTCACACATGTGAGCTGTTGTTATATAAGCTTCTTTTTAATCAAGTAAGAGCTTGTGGTTTCGAGCCTTTATGAAACAGCGAGGTCGAGTGTGTCTTTGACTTTGACAGAGCTGAAATAAATCCCTCAATGTGACGTGACGCTGAGTGACGGGGCAGGACTGTGCTAACGCCAGTGTAAGGGTGTGGAACGAACAGCTGGTGACGCAAACAGGAAATTCTACATCGGTCAGCACAGACTGGACCGTATCATTTCAGTTCAGCCTGAGAAGTCGTTTCAGGGAACAAACCCGGTCTGGGTTGCATGTCCACTTTAAAAGAGTTTTTGCTACTTTTGGTGGGTTTTTTTTCTCCTCTCGTTTATTCAGAGTGTAAAGAAGAAGAGTAGCGTAAAATTGAATCTTGAACATCAGTGCATGATTGTATATAGCTTTGGAAATTGTTAGAAATACTCGACACAAAGAAGAAAACAGAATCCACCAAACAAAGTCAGATAATTGGATTCCTGTTCTGTGATTTTTGGGGACGAAGCGGCCGCAAATTTGAATCGAGTAAATCTGAAAACCTGCAGAACTGACATGGATATAAATCATTTGTGATGCAGATCAGGTGCAGGTTTCCTCCGTGTTATTGTCTGGTTGTAATGAGCCCATAGGATGGCTCAGGGAGTGTTGCTAGGAGACAAGAGAGGCTTGCATCAATGCCACTGCTGCCGCCGCCGCCGCTGCTCTTTTTCCCCCTCTCACCTCCATTTATGCCCCCCCCCCCCCTTCTCCCTGTCTCCACACCCACTGTCTCACCCATCCCTCCCACCCTCTGCCTGTCTGTCTGTAGTGGAGGTGCTGATGAGTGGGTGGGCAGCACGGGGAGGACTGGAGAGAAAGAGGGGGAGGAGGGTTGCACAGTGATGTAATGCAAGAGCAGGGCATTGGCTGTGCCGGCGAATTACAATACCGAAGAAACAGAAAAGGGGGAAATGGGAGAGAAGGGAGGAGGGAGAAGAGGGAGGAGACGAAGGTTAGGGGAGGCGAGGCGTCTCCTGTGAGCAGTAGCAGGTCGGAGGCTGGCGGCGGCAGCATGTCAGAGCGCTAATCGAAGCAGAACGGGAAAGGGAGGCACCGATAGGAAAGGGGGGCTCCGGGAAAAACTGGATTATGAGAGGAGCTGAGAAGGAGGACATAAAGGAGGACAGGGCGGACAGGGGCAGGGAGGGGGGAGGAAATATCGCTGCGGCCATTTGCACCACTGCGGCTTCCCGGCCTGAGCGGCTGCTTGTCTGACTGTTTGTCCTGCTGAAGCCGGCGTCTGTGGATCGAGCATCTCTGCCTGTTTTTACCACCTCCCTGTCTGTGTCTGTGTTTGTGTGTGTTTCTTTGTGACTGTGTTGTGTGTCTTCTTCTCTTGCAAATATGATGAGACAGACTCCTGCACCCCGGAAGGTACAGAACGATCGTCTTTACCTGTTGGGATTTTCTTGTTGCTGTTGTCTCCATTTTTTGTTGTTGTTGTTTTTGAGCTTTTGGAAGTTTCCTCATTTGGCTATTCCCGGGAATCGCCCTGTTTTTTTCTCTCTCAAAGTGATATTTGATATTCCCGGTGTGGACGTATAAACATATCTGCAGCTTGTTTGCTCCTTTTTGAGTTGATTTCCTCTTAGTGTTGTGTTATTTTGCCCTTTTTTTGCAGAATAATTTAATTAATTTACATTCGTGTGCAGAAACTTTGGTTGGGTTTCTCTGTCATTTGTTTCATTTGACCTCTTCATGCTGAAATCTTTGGTTATATCACTGATTCATATCTCTCACAGGAGAATCAAATGATTTCCCTCGTGGTTGTATTTGAATCAAACGGTGTAGTGTAGTGATTCTCAGTACAGCTTGTTCTATCACCTCCAGCACGACACGGTGGCTTAAGAAGGCTGTCAGCTCTTATTTTGGTACAGCTGTTAGCTCAGGGTAATTTCTGCTGAATGGTCCAGCTCTAATCCAATAAAGGAACGATAACTAGCCAAAGCTACGGCAGAGCTGAAGCTGAAGCAGAGAGAGAAAGAGAGAGAGTGTTTAATGGATAAGAATAGGTGGGGAATGGCAGAGAGACCAGAGAGAGGAGGATTTAAGATAATTTTACGTTATTGTAGTAAAGATATAACAAATCTACACAAACCTGGGTTAAATTTAAGATTCAAATAGTAACAGAAATGCTAAAATCTTACATTTTCATAGCTGTGCCGCCCTCCTGTAGATTTAGTTCACTCCAGAAAATGTTCTATGATTCCTTAAAAGTTTTCAGAATCAACTTATATCTAGATATTTAAGAGCCAAAATATTATAAAGCGATGGATCAAAAAAGCCAACAAGATTTTGAATTAGGCAGCACAAATGTGAAACTTAAGCTGATAATAATAACAAGTTACAGGGTTCCTACACAAGTATGGAAAAGTATGGAAGTAATTTGATTAATTTCCGGGTCTTAAAAAGTATGTTAAATGAAAAATAAAGTATGGAAAAATATTTATGTTTCTAGACTATTACCATGGTTAAAAAAAAAAAAAAGAAAGAAAACACTGTTTTCTAAAATAGAAAAGTAGGTATGTCCAAAATTATTGTAAAAAGTAAGGTATGAAAAGTTATGGAAATTCCATCTGTGTAGGAACCCTGAAGATAACTCCCAAGTTTTGATTTAAATTTACTTTTATTAGTTTAAGACTGATTTATAGATGCAGCTGAAAAAGCAATACTTCAGATTCAATGTTAAAATAGCTCTTCTATTGCAGTGTAATTCCTCAAATTCACATTAAATTTGACTTTTGCATCAAGTCTATAAATTGACCTGCTTCTTTACTGTTATAAATATAGTAACATTTCCCTAAACATCTGCATTCACAGCAGAGGGAAATGCTCTTAGCTTTTTTCTGTAAATATTATTAACAGATGCAGAAAATAACAGCAACTGCATAATATCCCTGTAAAGGTCCTTACACTCCTTCAGGTCGTTATCTTTGTAATGTTTGTGTCTTTTATCAAAAATCACTCTGTTCTCCGACACGTAAACAATCAGCCGGTCGTCCATGTTGGATATACCAGTGAATTAGACATCGCAACAACACGCAATCTGATTGGTCAGAAGTGGACACACAGTATGCGAAACTTTAGAAAAATTCAACCATGATACGAAAAAATAAATGCCGCGATATCGCAGGACGGGAAAACGTCGCTGATGTGAAGAAATGCTCCCGGTGTGTAAGGACCTTAACCCTTAAATTCTGTTTAAACCCAAACCTTATCATGGTTTGTGGTTGAATTTGGTCTGTTTTCTTCAATTTGGTTGAAGTCTCTCTGACACAGCCCTTAAACGCTGTCACTACCCTCACTAGTTTAGAGTTTAGGTGGATCAGAATCAGCTGTTTTGATGGACAGATTACTCTCCCCCACATTAGAGTACAGATGTTTATCGGCACTCTTCACTGAGTGTCTGCTCATCCGTCCAGCTGTGCTCCATGTCAAAAGCACACTCTGTGTAGCCGGATAACAATCCATTCTTCCTATGCTGTCTATAGAGTTTCAGAGCAGTGCAACAGAACCGGGCTCCCGACCCGTCCCCTGAGACACAATGCAGCCATTTAGGTCAGAGCAGCCGTACCAGCCACAGTGTCGGAGGGTTTCAGGATCACGTGGGTGGAGGAGATGAGGCCCCAGAGATCACATAGGACAGGAGGGATCAGAGAGACAACAACAACTGAGCTGTAGCAAAGATTCATTGTGCAGGAAAATCCTCGTCTGTAGCTTTTTGAATGTCTTGATCGAAGCTGAAATCATGTCATCCTCCCATTTTTTCCCTTTTGTCTGTGATTTCCTGTTCAATATGCCTCGAATCTCACTAACCCTGCCTGTTGTTTCCTTCCTTCCTCTCCTTTTCTCCCTCTCCTCCTCCTCCTCCTTTTCCTCAGACCACGGCCAGAAGGCCCAAGGTGAGCCCACTCCTCAAAGTCCTCAGGGCTCAGTTTGGATTATTTGTGTGATTGTTGTTGTGCGTGTGTGCGTGTGTGCGTGTGTGCGTGTGCGAGACATTAGTGACAAAAACATCACCAGACATGATTCACACTGAGAAATGGGTTTCAGTTTGAAGCACCAGTTGTTGTTTTTTTCTGTTTAGAAAAGCAGATGGCACATTTGTCTTCAGTTTCTCCACACTGATATTCAGAGCACACGTTCCTGCATCATCATATCTTGACTGTTTTTCAACAATCATGTTTAACTTGTGGTTATTTTCGCTGCTCTAGCAGTTGTAGTTAATGCTTTTGTTTTCATGTTTCACCATGCTTAATTTATTATTTCATTTTCTCTCAAGTTTTGGTCTAAATTGTTGCTTCACGTTGAGCATTTTTTCCTGTTGCAGTTTTGTATTTTCACCCTCGATCAGGTCAACATGGAGGTCCACTTAGATATTTTCCCTGAACTTAATTATCATAAAACAACAAATCTGTGGGTGCAGACAGGTCAGTTTTGTAGACAAATGTGTAAGTTAACAAGGATGTTAACTTAAAGTCTTTTGTGTCATCATCAAATTACATAAAAAGAAAAATAACTGCAGCACAAAAGAAATCCTGACACAGGGTCTCCAACTGAAGGACAAAAAGAGAAAGCAGAGCAATGATGACTTAAAGCACCAGTAAGGAGTTTTTTGACCATTACAAAACAGACTGAAATTTATGTTGAAGCCTTTTTAGACCATCAGTGAGAAGATTGACAATTTTTATTCTGTAATTTTAACATCAGCCCTTTATAGCAGCCCTTTTTTACATTTTCCACATAAGGTGTTTACAATAAATAATGCATTAGGCCGTCAAAAGTTCCTCACAGGAGCTTTAAATTATTTATGACGAGGTAACATTTCCATCAACTGGATTTTTAAATTCCTACCCTGACATATAAAGTCATGGATTTGATAGAAAAGTCATTTTTTAGGTGTAAAATATAAATACAGGGCTGTTTCTTCAGCTGCTTGACTGACACCTACCCTCCTCACACGAGTTTCAGACATTAAAAATGACTGTTAAAGAATAATCAGTGTTATTGCTGATGGTCTTTAAGTCATGATAAGTCATCAATATGAATTTCAGTCTGTTTAATAATTGTCAAAAAACTCCCCATAGGAGCTTTAAAGTTACGTTTTGGTCATTTTTGCCTCTATGAGACAGGAAATGTGGGAAGAGTGGAGTTAGAGAAAACATACAAACGTTTAGGTTTCTTCATAGTAAACATAATATCCTAAAAGAACAGAGGACTACAATCATAGGGACCTCCATTTGTGCCGCTTTCACATCCTCAATCAGACCTTAAAGCTTGGTTGGATCTTTCTTTGTTTGATTTTTGAGTGTTTATCTCAACGTTTTCCCCTCTTGGTTTCCACAGCAGCCCAGCCGAACCACGGGCACAGTGGGAAAGGGGGCCGCGTCCGGCTCAGCCTCGGCCTCTGCTGGGGAGATGAGCAGCAGCGAGCCCAGCACGCCGGCCCAGACTCCTCTGGCTGCTCCAGTCATCCCCACCCTCCACTCGCCTGGAAATATTCCAGCTCCTGGCCCCACCAAGGTCAGTCTAAAAAAATATGACCCTACTTTATCTTCCACAAACAATGAAAACAGGAGGCATCGCTTACAAACTTGAAAAACTTGCTGCAGTTTTGGCCGATTTTTAAGACGCAGGCCTCAGCTGTTAGGGGAGTCATTTATTATATGAGGTGGGGTGGAACAGGACTTATTCAGAACTCTAGATGATCAGAAACGTCTCAGGACTCTGTGCTTTAGCCGTAGCAGCAGAAGTGTGGGAGTGAAATGAGATGTGACATTTTCTGTGCTATAGCTCCTATAAATATACATTTTTTTTAACACAGCTGTCACTCGGTATCGGTGTCATCCTCGAGCTACAAAAATGAAACTCCACTGAGTTAGAGGCCCTGAATGTTATTTTATGTCACATTGAGAAAGAGGAAAGTATTGAACCGAATCAAGTCTCTAAAAAAGTGTAAAATATGGGTTTAATTTCCACCGCAGTACCAGCTGCTGCTTCAAATTATTAATTCAGAGGCTAATTATCTGAACAGCTCGACCCCTCCTGAGGTCAGAGGAGACTCGGGTCTGTCTCAGCATGACGTCAGCATGAGCCAGAGCGAAGCCTGCAAAGACTGTAATTGACTAAAAAATTTTTTTTTTTCCTTCTGTTTGAATAATCAGTTAAAATTTAAATATAACAGAAAAGAAAAAGGTTTTTGCTATTTTAAGATTGACTTAAAATAGGACTTAAGTCACTGCCCGGTCAGTCTTAACTGATTAAAACCACCCGCTGTTTAAAGAGTCCCTCCATCTGGCTGCAGATTTATCTGCACTGCAAGCAGGTCAAACAAACTGAAAACCTGCTCTGTCCTGAGAACTGTCAGCAGCTCCATGTGAGGACACTAAATATCATTGACTTTTAGTTGGTTTTAAGTGTTATCATTACACTAAGGCAATAAAACACTCAGTTAACAGTCAGGATTTAATACAGTTTATGGACGTTAGCTGTATCAAACATAGATGTTGACCCGTTGACAACAAGCAGAATTTTTAACATGGATTGATGATGGTCGCCATGTTGGAAATGCCGACCCATTCTAACTTTGTTGACATTTCTAGATCGACTTCATCTCTCAGGACAGGAGGCTGCTGCCTGATCAGTTATCATGTGCAAAGTTAGGTTCGATTTCAGGGGCCATGTGCGATATTACTGATCCATTACACTAAGTTATTCCTTTACTTACATTGTCATAAGCAGTCGAACTTAATAGGTAAGATTGTTATTTTGCCACAACCATGTATAACTACAATAACCAGTTAATTATTTTCTTGTCTCTTATTACCATCAATATAAAAACCGCCACAGCTTCTCTGCCTAGCTTAGCTTGTCAGTTTTTAACCGATAAATATTTCTCTTGTTTCCTCATTAGGCACTTTTGTCACCTGTAAACATTTCTGCATCCATAACCTAAAAATAACTTTTTAGTATCCAAACTTGAAACAGAAGTGGAGCGAGAATCGAGCCCTGAGGGATGCCACACCCGAACCCAGACCTCCAAAATGATCGTTCATGTAAATGAATAAATATCATCATGTAGATTTAACTTTCTTGGCATCATCAGACCACTTCACCTGGGTCTGGAACCATTCAATTTATTTTATTAAAGTGCATCAAAAGTTCCTCTGGAAGGTTTTGGTTTTGGAAGAAAACACAATCAGGTGGAGCTTTTTTGCTAAAAAAATGAAACAAACCCTTCAGACTAAAGTGATTCGATCGGGATCACACGGTCCTCTAATCCAAACTCAGTCCAGGTCCAAATGTTAATTGTTTTGCATCTGTAATGGACTTTGGTCTCGTCTTTAATCTTGAATTTGGGAAAGGTTAAGTCTCTTTTGTTTCATCTGACTTAGAGATAAAAAGAAAACGACAGGTGTTTGAGTCGTTTCCAGGTAAATGTCAGGGGTTTAAACTTTAACATTTTGAAAAAGTCAGCTGCCGTCTGGTGTTGCAGTTCGATAAACAGGAATCGTTTTTCATTCCCCTCCAGGAGGACGTCGCTCTGGAGACACAGGTGCAGTGAAGCGGTGTGATTTGATGTGACGTCTTTTGCGCTTGACTCTGAAGTGTTGCTTGTCTCCCACTAACATGTTAAAAAGCCGTCAGAGGTGCGAGGTTTAGTCTTTAATTGGTGTGCGAGGAGGACGCTCTGACTTCGCTCACGGGCTCGAAGGAAGTAACTGCATGATTGAATTAAGGTCTCCTGCTGTGGAGTGCTGTGTTTTCAGTTACACATTATGTCGGGCAATATGACGTGTGTGCGTGTTGACACTGACACCATCTCTCTGCAGGTGGATTCACTGCATGAAGGTGAAATTAACGCCTGATATTTTATTTTAATGATTTACTGAAGGAAAAAAAAAGTATTGTGAAAGAGAAACGGTTTGAGAAATGTTGTGGCAGCAAACAAAACAAAAAATAAAAAAATGTCTTATTTCCAGGAGGAGGAGGCGCTGCGTGGTCAGGTGAAGGACCTGGAGGAGAAGCTTGAGACTCTTAAGATGAAGCGAACGGAGGACAAGGCCAAACTGAAGGAGCTGGAGAAGCATAAGATCCAGCTGGAGCAGCTGCAGGAGTGGAAGAACAAGATGCAGGAGCAGCAGGCCGAGCTGCAGAAACAACTCAAAGAGGCCAAGAGGGTGAGGAACATTCGCAGGACTCAGATGAGGAAAACTGGTCTGGACTGTAAAGGGATAAAAGACTCACGATCATGAACTTTCTGTTGTGTAGGAGGCGAAGGAAGCCCAGGAGGCAAAGGAGCGTTACATGGAGGAGATGTCGGACACGGCGGACGCGATCGAGATGGCCACGCTGGATAAGGAAATGGCCGAGGAGAGGGCGGAGTCTCTGCAGCTGGAGGTGGACTCCATGAAGGAGAAGGTGGACGAGCTCACCATGGACCTGGAGATCCTGAAGCACGAGATCGAGGAGAAAGGTACGACTGAGACGCTCTTTTACTCCACGACACACTGATACAGAAGTGTGTTTGAAACCTCAGTGATTATTATTTTTATTTTCGTCAACCTTAGATAGTTTTTTCATGATTGCTTCAGGACAACCCCCCTCACCTCACTAGTGTCAGAATTAATCACGTTGGTTTCTTGTGGATCATTGTGGATGTTTTACAGGTTCAGATGGTGCTGCCTCCAGTTACCATGTGAAACAGCTGGAGGAGCAGAACAGCAGACTGAAGGAAGCTCTGGTCAGGTAGGTGTGCTGCTGATACAACCTTACATCTGTGTTTTATGATGATCTAGGGAGAGAGATCCAGCTCGACTCTTCATCCAGATCTTCTTAAATCGGTCTTTTGGATTCTGTTTTAGGATGCGTGACCTGTCGTCGTCAGAGAAGCAGGAACACGTGAAGCTGCAGAAGCAGATGGAGAAGAAGAACGTGGAGCTGGATTCTCTGAGGGGCCAGAAAGAGAAACTGCAGGAGGAGATGTCTGTGGCGGAGAAGACCATCGACGAGCTGAAAGAGCAGGTGAGGGTTTGAGCCCACCTTTGTCTCTATACCGAGGTTTTTATGATTATCTTTTTACTCTAAAGACGATGACGACGATGTGGTTTGTTTCAGGTGGATGCGGCTTTAGGAGCGGAGGAGATGGTGGAGACTCTGACGGAGAGGAACCTGGACCTGGAGGAGAAAGTCCGAGAGATGAGAGAGACGGTCACCGACCTGGTGAGTGAGAATAATCTCCAGTCTCACTGAGAGCAGCGAAGAACAAACAAAAACACAGACAGACAGGAGAAATGAGAAAAGACACACACATGCCAGCCTCTGTGTGTGTGTGTGTTTGTTTTGGTGTGAGAGGAAATGAAAGCGCCCGAGTTTGCTGACTCACTTCAGGATTGACACGAGGTCGGTTCATAAGTATCTCTGAGCTGCCCTCTAGTGTACAACCCTATGTAAATAAATTAGAAGTCTATTAGTGTCGTATTTAATTTTCATTCAGACCAATGACTCTGAGCGCTCTCCTCTTATTCTTTCGGACCGTGACATTGACATTAAGATCATCAGTACGACAAAAAGTGTCTGATCTTAATGTCTGGAGGATTTTAGAAAAACCCCACAGGAGGAGGTTTTGTACCCCTTCTGTGTTCTCAAACACTCACACGTTTCTCTTTCCTTCATCTGTCAGGAAGCGATAAACGAGATGAACGATGAGCTGCAGGAAAACGCCCGAGAGACGGAGCTGGAGCTCAGGGAGATGTTGGATCTGGGAACGTCCAAAGTCCGAGAGTCTGAGAAACGTGTGGAAGCGGCTCAGGAGACTGTAGCTGATTATCAGCAGACCATCCAGAAGTACAGGGAGCTCACGGCTCACCTGCAGGTACAACTCATACACTGTAGAAACATGGATATAGATTCAGTCTGCCTGTCAATCAGCTCAGATCTGTTCATAAAAGTGTGAACTTTGAAAATAAAAAAGTTAAAGGCAAATTCAGGAAATTAAATGTTGGTCTGATTATGAGGAACTTGTTGAGATATCAGTCAGACTAAAGTATTGACATGTGTTTTAGTGTTTTAAAAGTCCAGTTTTGGTTCAAGTTGTTCCATAACTTATCTTATGTAATGAAAGAAAGAGTAAGATGACTGTTTTAATCTCTTGCTCTGTTTTTTTGTTTTGTTTTTTGGGCTTAAACCTCCAAGGTCGAGAAATAAAACCAGCATCAGTGCCAAAAAAACTGTAGTTCCTTCAGTGGCCACTTGAGGCTGATTCCAAAAAAGAGTCAATCCCCATTAAAATTAAATTAAATTAAACACTTAAACCTGATTTAAACTCACCATGCATAATTGAGGTGAATGAATTCATACAGTAATATTTGATCACAGTCCTCAGAAGTAGGAGGAAATGTTTACCATCTCGTAAACAAATTCAACTTCACTGTAAAACTTTAACTGCAGTTTTTTTTACACTTGAACCTTGTCTCAGGTTCTTCATATCTACACACACTCAGACTCTGTGTTCAGCTGCAGCACATTGATAATGCGACATTCATGTTCCTGATGGTTTCTTTGTGTTCGTTGCAGGAGGTGAACCGGGAGCTGACCAGTCAGCAGGAGGCCTCAGCAGAGCTGCAGCAGCAGCCGGCGGCCGAGATGTTTGATTTCAAGATTAAATTTGCAGAGACGAAGGCGTACGCCAAGGTCAGGAACGAGAACGGCTCTTTGGATAATGAGAGTTTCCCTGAAGTGTGATAACGCTGATGTGATTCAGTATCTGCCTGAACGACCTTTGAAACTCTTGTTCAGATTCAGAGGTCGTTCAGTTAAAGCTTCAAAGATTAAACTTTGCACTTAGTTTGATTTAAAGTCAGGATCTGTGTTTTTTATGTACCCAGGCCATCGAGATGGAGCTGAGGAAGATGGAGGTGAATCAGGCCAACAGGCACGTCTCTCTCCTGACCTCCTTCATGCCAGAGTCGTTCCTCCGTCACGGCGGGGATCACGACTGCATCCTGGTGCTGCTGCTCATCCCCAGACTCATCTGCAAGGTGACCGCTCTCTCTCTCTCTCTCTCCTGCAGGATGGAAAAAAGACTAAAATGTGTTTCTTTATATAAGCGCAGCGTTCGTAAGTGTATGTTTGTGTTTGTCTGCAGGCCGAGCTGATCAGCAAACAGGCTCAGGAGAAGTTCGACCTGAATGAGACCTGTGTGGAGCGAGCCGGGCTGAGGGGAGCCGTCGGGGAGCAGCTGAGCTTCGCAGGCGGTTTGGTTTACTCTCTCAGTCTGCTGCAGGCCACGCTGCACAAATACGAGCAGTAAGTTTCATCACAGGCTCAAGAAAAAAAAGAGAGTAAATCTTAAAGTTTGGGGATTTTTACTTTTGCATTTGATCAGAATCTGTAAAACCATATTCAGATGATTTTTGGCTCACACATCACCTCTTTAATTCGTCATTTGTACTCTAATTTTCATGGTTGTTTTGCTGTTTTTAGTTTGAAACCAGAGAAAAATGAAAAATATACATGAAATTAACTGAAAAAGACATTTTAATTTACAAAGAATTAAGCTTGAAAATCCTCTTCGTAAACAAACAAAACCTCGCTGGTTATTTCCCAGAGTGACGCCTACAGGATTTATGAGATTTTCACGCCTCATTTCTTTAATACTCTTATATTTTTGTAACTGTGTGACTGAATCAGTTTAAAGGGAGCACAGAAAGGCATAAATGACTCTTGTGTGTTTGTGTGTTTGTGTCAGAGCTCTAACTCAGTGCAGTGTGGAGGTCTACAAGAAGATCGGCGCCCTCTACCCGGAGATGAGCGTCCACGAGCGATCTCTGGATTTCCTCATCGACCTGCTGCACAAGGATCAGCTGGACGAGACGGTTAACGTGGAGCCGCTCACCAAGGCCATCAAATATTATCAGGTAACGGAAAATAAGATTCATGATCTTCATTTTAAACCGTAACGACCATCATATCAGACTCAAATAGGACCTCAACTTTTTGTTTGTTGGCTTGTTTTATTCATTCATTTATTTAATTTTTTTCTTTTTTTAATCATTTATTTATGAACACTATGAACATAATTGTTATTAATTGTTAAACAATCCTGATATGGGATGAAGTGAGGGTCAGGTGGGTTGTTGTGGGATAAGAGTAGGGAAACTCTAAATACTGTAGCTTACCTAAAGTAGTAGTTGTTTAATGTTGGAGTATAATTCTCCCTGTGTCGTGTGCTGCAAAAAAAATTATGTTAATGTGTCAAAACTCAATAAAAATTGTTAAACTAAAAAAAAAAAAGTATCTCAATACAATGTCGAGCTTTTGAAGGAAAGATTGATGCATGTAGGGAAGTTTGATCTGCATCCTTGAGGATTTCTGGCTCGGCCAAAAGCTAAATTTTTTAAGGTTTGTCTGCACAGACTTGTTTGGACGTCTCAGTGTCACATCCACGTTTTTACGCCACGTCACTGCAGTGTGTGAATCCCTACTTATCTTCACATTGCCTCTCTCCTCAGCACCTGTACAGTATCCACCTGGCAGAGCAGAATGAGGACTGCACCATGCAGCTGGCCGATCATATCAGAGTAAGTCCTGAGGTTTATAACAGTCTATGAGGAGCACACTCACTCTTGTGATGGACTTTAGTGTACATCTATACCACAGTTAATCCTCACCTCTTGTTCGTCCTCCTGCAGTTTACCCAGAGTGCCTTGGACTGCATGGCGGTGGAGGTGGGTCGTCTGAGGGCCTTCCTCCACGCCGGTCAGGAGAAAGCCGACCTGGCCGTGCTGCTGAAGGACCTGGAGACGTCCTGCAGCGATATTCGCCAGTTCTGCAAGAAGATCCGACGCAGGATGCCGGGAACCGACGCGCCCGGTATCCCAGCGGCGCTCAGCTATGGACCACAGGTAACGAAACGATCAGCTGTTTGTGCCTCGTAAAACTCATCTCCTACGAACATACAGAAATCTATATATTTGTGGTGTTTATTTCGCACCTGCAGGTGTCGGACACGCTCTCAGACTGCAGGAAACACCTGACCTGGGTGGTGGCGGTCCTGCAGGAGGTTGCTGCAGCTGGAGCTCAGATGATGTCTCCTCTGGGCGAACAGGAGGGGCTTGCTGCCGTCAAACTGGAGGATGTGGCGTTTAAAGCAGGAGAGCAGGTACACGAGATTAAACTTCAGCGAACTTATTTTGATGATCAGTCCCAGTCAGACCTGGTTCTTGGCGAGTCTGCTCCAGTGTTTCACTCTCTCTGTCGTTCTCAGATTTATGGATCCCAGGGAGCGAACCCCTACGAGTATCTGCGCCAGTCCTGCAGCACCGTCATTGCGACCATGAACAAGATGGCCACAGCCATGCAGGAGGGAGAATACGACTCTGAGAAGCCTCAGAATAAGGTCAGCCAGAGTCACGGACCTCTCTGATCACTTTGATGTAGTTTCTCTTTGGACTTTTTCTGAACATTTCACTGTCGTCTTCAATCCAGAATCCTCCCCCCGTGGACGCTCGCTCTGCGGCTCTTCGTGCTGAGATCACAGACGCCGAAGGTCTGGGTTTGAAGCTGGAGGACAGAGAGACGGTCATCAAAGAGCTGAAGAAGTCTCTGAAGATCAAGGTGAGGGAACACTCCGACCTGCTCAAAGCTCAAGTGAAGAGGAGCAAATAAATGGAACCTTCTGTGACTGTTTTCATGTATAAATCCAGGAAACAGCTGAGACGTGATGGTTTGTGTTTGTGTGTTTTCAGGGAGAGGAGCTGAGCGAGGCCAACGTCCGTCTCAGCCTCCTGGAGAAGAAGCTGGACAGTTCCTCCAAAGACGCAGACGAGCGCGTGGAGAAGATTCAGACCCGGCTGGACGAGGCGCAGACACTCCTGAAGAAGAAGGAAAAGTAGGACTGAAGTTCAGCTCCGTCTGATCAGGTTTTAGAGTCAGAGACAGGAGTCTGATGTTGTCTTCTTCTCCGCAGGGAGTTCGAGGAGACGATGGACGCCCTGCAGGCCGATATCGACCAGCTGGAGTCTGAGAAGGCGGAGCTGAAGCAGAGGATCAACAGCTCCTCCAAGATGACCATGGACGGGCTGAGAGGACCGGGACAGTCAGGAATCGCCTCCATCGTGACGGGAATGTCTGGAGGTGAGAAGAGGCAGAAAAACATCATCAGTTTAACTTTATCTCTGAAGAAGCTGCAAAACTACATCTATCTGCTCTATTTCTACACTCTTCAATAACGTTTCTATTTAATCTTCCACTTCTGCAGAGGAACAAAAAGGTATCTCTCTCTCTCTGTTTGTATTGTTGATCCTGCATGTTCACTCTTTCTTTAGCCGAAACTAACCTAAAAAAAACCCTAAACTTTTTAAACAGAGCATGATTTCATAAAAGTTTAACACCATGATGCATGATCTGCTGCCTGGGTTTGAAACTCATGCTCCCTTAAACTTCCTCCTTCCTTTGCACGACCATGTAGGGCTGGGCGATATTTCCTCAAATCAATATCATGATATATTGATCAGTTCACCTCGATAATGATAAATGGACGATAACTACTCCACAAGCTGCTCACCCCCTCCCACATTAACTTCATCTACTTCAGCCACTACAACCTTTGAACCGTCCTCCTCGTCACGTCTCTGACGTAGGACAGCGTCTTAAAGGGACACGAGACCACAGCCTACCTACACACATCCAAAAACAACTTTTATTTGTTTAATTTTTTGACACCAAATATACAGATATTGGCAAAATGATGTTGGTTATTGTCATAAATTTCGGTATATGTAAATTTTCGTCTTATCGACCAGCCCTACATCCTTGTTTGTTGAAGAGAAGTGCAAAATAATATATAAGATTTATTTATTTTGGACATGTCTTCTATCCTACATCTCCAATATTATGAAACTGAGTATGAGTTTTGATTTATTTGGCACATCCTACAGAAACCTCATCCTCATCCTCATGCACGGTCCAGTTTGGCATGTAGCTGCAGTTTTAACGTTGACATCTTACAAATCAACATTAGGTGTGAAAGTATCATGAATGAATGAAATAAATTTTGGTTAGACATTACATTATCATGACAAAGCATTACAATTTGTGTGAATCTAAAACGACCAACGACCACGGTAACCCACTTTATTTATTATTCTGCTCATCTCCCCAAGTCTCTACACAGTTTGACATATATTGTATAATAAGTCAACAGTGTAATATATACAACATATAACATTTCTTATTTAACATATCTCTTGTTTTGTAAAGAATAGCAATAGATTTTGATAGTTTACGTTTGATATCTTCTATATGTGGCTTCCAACAGAGTTTATGATCTATAATGACTCAGAATAATTTTGTTTCATACACTCTTTCAATTTCTACTCCATTTAAAATCAGTTTTATTTCTCAATCTACCCAGACACCACCATAAAGAACTGGACATGAATCTCAATTCGAACTAGAACTAGGAAGAAAACCCAGAACCAGCCATGTGTGTGTTTAACACGGTCTCTCATTCTCACTTTCTCAGCCGCCATGATGTCCGGCGTCGGCCCAGGCTCGGGCGTCCAGGTGATCGACTCTCCTCTGCTGACTCAGCAGATCGAAGCTCAGAGACTCTGCATCAAAAACCTGAAGAACGAGAACAACCGACTAAAGGTAGACATGGGAAAAGACAAGAAAAAGAGTGATTTCTTTGTTTAGTGATCAAAGTGATCAATCAGTCGGTCAACGAAACGTCAAAACTACGAAATAGCCCTTTAGATTTCTTAGATTTCTACCAGTCTGGTTTTTATATTCTTCTTGTGTCGTACACTGTTCTTTCCGGTTTAAGACTAAAATCACGTTTTTCCTCCTTTCAGGCGGAAAAGATGCGCGCTCAGCTCGCCGCTCTCCCTCCTCTCCACGTGACCAAACTCCCCTCCAAAGACGGCCGTCCTGAAGTGCTCTCCAGCGCCCTCTACCGCAAAACCGACCAGCTCCTGGAGACTCTGCTGCAGATGAGCGCCAACGCCAAGGTGGTGGATATCTCGGGGAAATCTCCAGGTGAGTGTGAGAGCAGGACGGAGTCAGTTCTACTTATTTACGGTTCAAGTAAGAACACGGTTAACTTAATTTTTATTTTCTTATTTAGTGTTCAAGTAAATAAGTAAATAAAAGTGAAGTTAACCGCGCCGTCTGAGTGTGAAATGGCCCAGAAAGAGAGAGACTTACTTCCTGTTTGTCCTGCAGTGACCCCCGGCGCTCAGCTCCTGGAACAGACAGCCAGATTACAGTCCCTCAGTGACACTCTGGGCAGATTGAAGGTACACAAACATCTTTGTTAAGATTTGATTTCGAGCCTAAAAGTGGTTCAAACTCCTTGGTGAAGGATAGTTTAGTAAAAACTCGCCTTTCTCTTCCATCTCTCTGTCAGGATGAAGTAGCAGAACATGTCGTCAACCACCAACCTGGAGCTCGAGTGTCGTCTGATTTCGCAACATTTCCATCAGCCTCATTCGTAAAGGTGAGAGCGTCTCTTCTTTGGAGGGATTCTAGTATGAGACTGTCGGCTGTTCAGAACACTTACAGTGTTCTTAGTGGTCTTTAAATTGTGATTATGAAGTTTTTAGCCATAATCTCATTACCTGTGTCATTTTCAAGAACTTTTCTTCTGCAGAGCTCCAGTAGCTCATTAGCAATTCACCTCTGAGTCGTGGGCGGAGACAGTGCTGCTCTGCACACTCGTCTTTAGCTTACAGCCTAACCTTACAGTAGAAGAAGCAGGTAACATAAGGAGATATTCAGCACTCGGAGACTAAAGTCTTCAAGGACATGATGAAAGTTAATATCATGATTAGCTTTCTTACGAGCATTGCAGTCCGCTAACACACGCTTGTTCCATGATCATCCTCTTTTACTTTTCTGAGTCTGGCTTGTATAGCGGGGCCCCAGGGGCGGAGTTTGGATTTGTGACATAGGAAATCTCACTGTGTTTGAATCTGCTGTTTGGGTCTGCCAGAGATTCACAGCCATTTGAATGAAGAAAAACTCTTTTCTTATGATTTGTCCTGTAGCATCAGAGAAATGAACATATAGACAACAAGAAAAACTTGATTTTCATTAGAGTGGGTCTTTAACTGCATGTCCCATGAGAATTACTTTCAAACTGTTTTGTTTTTGTCTTTAGGCGAAGGAGGAGAAGCAGGGCGACAGCGTGCTGGTGGGCCGGGTGATGGTGCCGTGTACCCGCGGTCAGGAGCAGGTCCACCGCCTCGTCCTGTCGCAGACTCAGCTGCAGAGAGTCCACAGTCTGCTGAGAACCTAATGAACACCTGACCTCCTCCCTGCTGCACCACCTCCACCCTCCATCATCTTCATCTTCATCATCAGTTTAGCAGTGAGGTTTCCACTTCAGGGCCAAACATGACACACCTCGAGGTATTTCAGTCTGAGGACAAGTCTGGCTTTTCTCAGCTGGTTACAGTCGCAGTTTGAACGAAAATAAAGACCAGTAAAGTTGATATTAACTCCATCCTCAGTCTCAGAATTAAAGTATATATCTGTCACAGCACTGCTGCATGCTGCACAGACTCTTTATATTTCCTTTAATCGCACAAAGTCTTTGTAAACGTGGTCTTTGGCTCTGGTGTGGAATCTGCACAGCGTGGTTTATACTCAGCCACATCATGGTGGGATGTTTCTCTCTGTGTTTCTGTTTCACTGTTGGCTCTAATGTTAACGCTGCACAGGTTCATGACCGTGTTCATCAGGTGTCACTGTGTGTGTCTGCTACAACTAAAACCGTCTTAAGGGAAAAAATAAAAGCGTTATCTGTACGGGGTTTTCTGTTCTTTTACTGTGGTTTGATCAGAGAGGGGTTTTGGCAAATTTTAGGTCCGGAGAGAGGTTATTACTTTTGAGTGTTACTCCATTTTTTAGAAAATGAGAATTGGAAGACTGTAGTTGGTGGAAACACATCAAACATGAAAAAAAAGAGCTCTTTAGTCTCGTTTATTGAAAAGCAACAAAAGACGGTTTCGATATGAAGTTATTTCCACTTCCTTTTTGTTTAATACTCACTTTTACTTTTGCTTGGTATAACTAACACACCCACAGGTTTAGTTTAGAAACTAACAAACAAACCCAGAGCGGATTCGTTCGGCTGGTTTTCCGGTGTTTTTGTCCGAGCCTTAAACCTTCAGAGAGCCTTGAGGTAAAGATCGATCACCTGCCTTATTTTGATTTTAGACCAAACCTCCTTTAAAGCGAAAACCTCTTTGCCAAAGACTCTTTGTTTCTCTTTGCCATGAGCTAAACTAAAATAAAACACTCTCAGTTCATTATTAGGATGGGTTTATTAGACTGTTTTATGTTTGCACACTTGTGTCCTAACTTGAAGTTTGATTTGAAGGGTGAGTTAGTTAATAAATGGGTATAAAGCTTCGACTTCTGTGTAGCTGAATGCAGACATTTCCTATTTATTCACCTGGTTTATTATTTAAGTGTTTCTGAACTGACTCTGCAGCTTATCTAACTTTTGTCTTACCTTCGTTTTTGTGTGGCTTCCTGCTCTCGCACAAACGGTAAATGATCAATAAAGACATTTCAGCCAGTGTACTTTTGTCTGCCTTCACTGTGTCCAATAATAAAATATGATACTTAGCGAAAAGAAGGTTAAAAATCTGATTTATTTTGACATTAAAAAAAACAACTATGAAGCTGTTAAAACATGACAAACGTCTGTGAGTAGAAAAGAACTGTTCAAACTTTTTAACATTATCATGTAAAATTTGATTGCAAATAAATAATACAAAGATGATTTGAAGTTCAGGTAGTTTTGTTCTAAAAGTTATTAAATTTATAAAACTGTTTTCAGATCTTTGATTTTATCAATAATCAAATATCTTCAGTTTGATCAGTCCCACGCTGTCCGTCTGCCGAGGACCCGGCTGGTGATTCTCTGAAAGACAAGAAATAAGAGGACATCCAGCAGACGCACCGATGAAGATTGTCATGAGGTCGCTGCGCCATCTACAGGATAAGTTGGGGAACTCTTCAGATGGCCGAACATTTTCGAAGTGAAACCGAATCCTAGTCCCGGCAATTTATTTCTGAAAATGTTGGCGAAAATCGACGAGTTTTGGCCGATTACCGATTTGTCTCAAACGGACTAAAATTGGCCCTATTTTTTAACCTGGGCAATGACTCAAAGGTATTTTGTAAGAGTTACATAATACCTTTGAGTCGTTCAGATATCTTTTAGAAAACTCAGGACCAGAAGATAAAAAACACCTGAATTCCCTCCAACAGAGTTGGGATGTTTGTGTCTGTGTTGTACCTTGTTGTAGAGTTGAGCGTTCAGTCGGTAAGATCGATACTCGGCCTTTCTTCGCTCCTCCTCTCTCCTCCTCTGCACCTCCGGCAGACTCTCATAAATCCTGTGAGAGGAGCGACATTAAACCTCAAATCAGGATGCTGTTATTGTAAAAATCTGTGTTTAATCACAGCTCATCAGCAGCTCTTACTGTTTGGATCTCTGGATCATCTCCTTCCTGGGAACCGCCCTCCTGAGCAGAGCTGTACCTGAACGGACCGAGAGAGGTTTATCGGTTAGAAACAAGTCTAGTTCTGTGATTCTGATCTCTCTTCTGGCTTTCTGATTCGGTTGTTGAGTACCTGCAGGCCTCGGCAGCCTCCCCGGTCCTCCAGGCCGGCTGAAGAGTTCTTCTCTCTCTCTGCTGAAGTCGGCCTGCAGCTTCCTCTCCTCCGCCTGCAGAGCCAGACGCTTCACCCTCTGTCTGGACTGAGAGATGAAGTCGGGGCGACGTGCTTCCAGAGCCTCCTGCGGGGTCAGAGGAGCAAATATGTTTCTGTTCTAGACCCTCAACAAGTCTCTAAAAAGGTCTCATGAATACAAACAGAAACCGACCTGTAGGGAGACCCGGGCCAGACCAGAGGACACCACCTTGCTGCTTGGGTCTGACTCCAGATCATCATGAAGTCTGAAACTGGGCTGACTGTTTTCATCTTCGTAGATTTGTCTCTGTCTGAGCGGCTCTCTCCAGGGTTTGGTTCTGCTGTACGGCTCAAACCAGGCGGTGCTCGGCCTCCACGGCGGCTCCTCTTCCTCTGGTCTGTTCTCCTTCCTGGACTCTGATCTCAGTTCGTCCGCAGAGATGAACCATGAAACACCTGGAGGAGAGCGCAGACGTGGATTAGACTGAAACATGTCCAAAAACATCACAAACTTTAGTCCTCTTTGGTCTGACTCACCTTGAGGGACGGTCTTTGACGGGCTTTTCTTGCTCTTTCTGTGCTTCTGTGGTCCGTGAGTCTTCGAGGGGCTCTTCTTCCCTCCTCTTCCTCCTTCTACGCTGGAAGACGGAGATGAGATCCGCCTGGAGGTTCTGGCTTCACCAGGCGAGGGGAATGTGGTTCCCACGTCTCTCGTGTGGCGTCGAGTCACGTTACTGACGAGCTCCAGGTCGCCTGAGAGGAAAGGAGAACCCCTGAGTGATGAGTCAATTCTTTAAAGGGATATTCCGGCATAAAATTAATTTAGGGTCAAACGAACCATACCAACTTTGAGCTCCAGTTTACTTTTCAAATTTGAGTCAGAGGGTCTTGCGGACACATTACCTGTCACTTTAAACACTTCTACATTATTCCACCTTCTTCCTCACTTGTCTCACCTGCCTGGATGCTCTTGTTGACCAGTTTCACGGCCTTCTTTGCTGCCAGAGTTCTGGACGGGCCGTGGTGTGACGGGAGGGTGTAGGTGCTGGTCGACGATGCAGAATCAGCAGTAATCTAAAGACAGATACAGACTCACTCAGATATTTGGAGCTGTTAAATACCTCTGATTTACTAAAATACTCCGACTCTTACTGAGGATTGATGGCTGAGGTTGGTCTCTGATAGTGTGCTGCTGCTGCTGATGCTGCTGCTGTTGTGAGGTGCTTCCTTGTTTCCTCCCCTCCTCTCCTCCCTCCCTTCTCTCTGTCTGTCGATGGCGCCGTAAAGCTTGCTGAGGCTGGAGCTCGTCTTCAGGTGCCGCACTCTGTGGGCGCCGAAGGCTCGGATCAGCCGTGCGGTGTCGATGGTGGACATGGAGCCAGACCGGCTGGACACGGTCTCTGAGTCGTCTCTGTCTGCGGGACCGAGGTGTGGACTCAGAGAGGAGTCGTGGGAGAAGCTGGAGAAGGCGGAGGAGGAGTCACGTCTTTCTTCATCTGCAGGCCGAGAGGTTTCCGCGACCTGAAGACTTGGTGTCCACGTCTGATGAGAGACCTCCTCCTTTCTGCTCCTCCTCACCTCTCTAACCCTCTTTCTTCCTTTTCCTGCAGCGTCCTCCTCCTCCCTTCCTTCTTCATCATCGTTCGCTCCTGAAACGTTCGTCGTTCTCGTGCTTTGAATAATCTGTGACAGACGCTCCAGGCGCTCTAACAGCGACGCCTCTCTGTCTCTGGTCGGTCTGGACTCCTCTTGGCTCCACCGGTCACAGAACCTCTGCCACAGCTGGTCCAGAGTGCCGCCGCTGCTGCTGGGCTGGGTAGTAAAGTGAGGGACGTCCGAGTCTACTGTCTCCTGATCTTGCTCCTGTCCTGCCTGAAGAATGAGACTTTGCCCCCTGTGATGACTCATCCTGCTGTAGTCTGGGTCCACATGGAGGGGCTGAAATCTCCCGTGACTTGGCCCTGGATGATCCTGACTGAGGAACTGCACAGGACTGGTGCCCTGGTCTCTCCTGGAGGTTTCTTGGTTGCTGGATAAAGGCACTCTGGTGAAGGCGACCGATACCTGAGAGGACCCGGGCTTTTGAGACGCGCTCGTTTGAGAGGTTTTATCTGCTGAGACAGAGACTCCTGTGAGTGAGAGAGAGAGATAGAGAGTCAATCTGTTATAACTAGCTTCAAACACATAACTAGAGGTGTCCTGATCCAAATTTTTTACATCCGATACAATACCGATATTGTAGCCTTCAGTATCGGCCAATACCAATATTAATCCGATATTGGCACAAACTTGTGCATGACAAGTTTTGCACTCAGCTGTGGCGTCTTTTTTGAACTTTAACGAAACATACTGCCACACAGCCGACATCACTCCTATTCCTTGCTACTTTGTTAGTACCTTAGTACACAGTCAGTACGTTTATATGACACCCGAGAAAACTGAATTATCGCCTTATTCCGATTAAAGACCAGACAACTAAAGTGCATGTAAACACCTTAGTCTGACTATAATAGGAGTTTGAGAACTCCTATTAAGACACCTAGATAATGTGATTGGAATTCGATTTTCTCTACCATGTAACCGGCGTAATCGGAGTATAACCGGACAATATGATTATGTACATGCGCCACGCCCCCGTAACCCTGGAACAAAAACACCAGAGAAGAGGAGTAGCGTGCATCTCATCTGCAGAAAAAGTAGCGAAAAGTCTGTCTCTGCAAAAAACGAATTATGAGCTAAGTGTGATTAAGCTGTGCATGTAAACACACTGACTTGTTGTGATCACGTGGGCTCCGCATGCTAGAGGTGCCGGAGTGGAGTCTGGAATGGACTGCTTCTATTGGAGTGCTGATATCTGAGATTTTAGATGCAGGCCGATATAATCTGATATTAGTTTTTTGGCTGATACCGGGCCGATATCCAATATCAATATCGTATCGGGGCATCCCTACACACAACATGGAGAAGAGGAGCGTATTTGAGCACAAAAAGAGCACGTTTTTATTTGGCGGCATTAAAGAGTTTATTATTTATATGATGAAGGTGAAGTTTTTATGAATATTTATATAAAAATAAACAGAGATGATTTCCTTCACTGGATTTTTAAATGTCTTTCATATCAGTGATATTTTCTACTCAGCTAAACAACGACCTTTAACCTAAATACATTTAGTCTGAGTATTTGCAGACCTGTAGTTTATAAAAAGATGCTTATTCTCAATATTTAAGGATGCAGCTACTCTGACATGAGTGTGACGGTCCTGCTCACCTCTGCGTTCAGGCTCCTGCATTCTGAAGGTGGCTGTTTTGAACCTCTTGCTGTAGATCCCCTCTGAGTGTCTGATGCTGACTCCGCGGTCCAGCCCGGGGTCTCTGTGCCCGAGGACCTCGCTGCTGAAGTGTGGGGGCACGGCGTCATCTGAGCCTGGTAAGAATCATAAACACAAACACGATTTTCCCCAAGTCCATGTGATCAGATGGAAAAATGCAACGAAACTGTGAAAAAAACGTCTTTTTCTGAGCAGGTCCCCTCTCCCTCTGACACTCCACTGGGCCTCAGCTCTGCCTTTGTCTCACTCAGCCCCCGAACATGAATAATTAATGCGCTGCCTGGTGTATGTTACAATGGAGCAGCTGCTGCCTAAACAGGCTGAAGGAGCATGAGAGCAGAGCCTCTAGATCAAAGTGACAATTCAGGTTTCTAGATTTCAAACTTTCTGATTTTAATTCTGAATCAAAAGTTAAAATTAAACAGGAGAGGAACATCATCACATGGTTGTCAGTTACGGCCTTTTAATGCAGAGGAACAGGAATGTGAGTTTACCAGGGTGGGAGCTCTCCATGGTGGTGTCCGAGTGGTCGGTGGAGGAGGCGTCGGCTTTCGTTTGAGGGACGTAGAAGAGCTCCTCACTGCCACGAGGTTTATAAGGCAACAGGACGGGTACGACTGTCGGAGGAGAGGCATGAGAAACATGTAGACCTTTATAACAGTCCAGGGATGATGATCCCCAGACCCCTACTATGAATAATTAAACCAACAAGCTCTGATTTATCGTGTTAGGTCTACCTGGTGTTTCCGTGGTGAAGGGTCTTGTTGGCGCCACAACTTTGTGAAAAACTGTCGAGGATTGTGAGAATTTGGAGGCCTGTTTGAAGACGGTGGAGGTGTCGGCTCTTTCGTTACTGCGCTGTTTAACCAGCTCTTTATTGTCGTACCAGTCTGGAGGACTGGACAAACCTACACCTTCGTCCAGACTGCTGGCAGCAGAAGAGGAGGAGTGTCTGAGGGACACAAACTTTTTACCTGCATCAGCGTGAGCAGAGGGGACAGCGGCGCTCACGCTGGTGTCAGATTTAGGGGACAGAGTGAGATGGACGTGAGACACATGTCCTGTCCTGACTGATGATTCAGAGGTGGGTGAACCTGTGAGCTCTTTAACTCCAGAGGCTTGGCTGTCCTGGGTGTCTTTAGAGTTCACGTCTGCTCCTCCTAAACCCTGAGAGGAGAGAGGAGCGTCTTCTTCTAACTGACCTCCTACAGTGTCCTGTCTCTTCTTAATGCTCGGAGCTGACTGAGGAGTCAGGTTTGGATCCCTGGTGGTTTTGTTTTCTTCTCGGATGTTGGCTGCAGAGAGCTCTTCCAGGCGAAGAGACCCTGGTGCTGGACTGAGAGGAGGTGCAGGCGATGTGGAAGGAGAGGGGGAGGTGGAGCGCCTCCGGGTGGCGATTGTGATCGATGTGAGGGCCAGAGGCTTCGTTCTGGAGAGGGTCACCTCTTCTCTGGCTGCGATCTCTTGTACCTGAACCTCAAGATTAGAAGGAAGAAGGTTTTGAGGGTGTGTGCTGGGGTCAGAGAGGTCTGTGCCGAGGAGACCCTGCTGCAGCTGAGACGCCTGTTTGTCAGCACTCGGCTGATGAGTCTGATCTCGGCCTCCCCCTGGTCCTCTGACACTAGATGATGCGCTGCTCTCTGTATCTGTGCTCCCACGGCTCTGAAAGAGGAAACAAAACAACACAAGTCAGCATAAAACGGTTTTACAAAAATCCTGCACCGCAAAGATCCACTTGAAGGTTCTCTGATGCACTGCAGACCTCGTTAAAATCAAACCCCAACATGCACATTTTGACACGCCAAGCTCACAACAAATCAGGTACCTCAAGTGTGTCGCCTGGTCTGTCCAGATGAAGACGATGGATGACAACCACAAACATGTTTTTAAATGACCATTTTCAAGTTATCTTTAATTGAGAGAATTAAAGGGATAATCCGGCATGAAATTAAGTTAGAGTCAAACACACCATAACACTGAGTTAGACACCCTGTCGAGAGATGAATGTTGCCGACCGCTTGCTTCTCTAGTTACACCAACTTTAGTAACGACAGCATGATAGCAATACAAAAAGCCACGCGCTCAAGCAAAACGCCACTCTATAGCCACAAATAATGTTCAAAGCAGCAGAACACTAAGGCAGAAGAGCTACTGCATCTGCAGTGCAAAAATGATTAATATGTTGATTATTACTTCAAGGAAATGAGAAAGAAATGATCATAAATGTTCTTCCTTGAGCTGCGGCACCCCGCTGTAGTCCGTAATGGACTGGTCTGAGGTCTAGCTACAAACAAGCGGCCGCTGGAAGAGAGTAGTAAGAAATTAGTCAAAGTTAAAAAGATGTTTGGTGGCTAATACTTTGACTGGGACCCTATATGTACTGTTGATAAAGTTAGGTGCTGTTCTAAACATTATTTGTGGCTATAGAGTGGCGTTTTGGTTGAGCGCGTGGCTCTCTGTATTGCTATCCTGTGGTCGTTACTAAAGTTGGTATAACTAGAGAAGCAAGCGGTCGGCAACATTCATCTCTGGGAGGGTCTCTAACTCGGTGTTACGGTGTGTTTGACTCTAACTTAATTTTACGCAGGAATATCCCTTTAACTGTGATAATGAAGCTTTACATTCATGTCTGATATGAGGAGAATCATGATGGACAGTTTTACCTTTATGGGGTTTTTCAACAACAGCTCTCTCTTGATCTCTTCGATCCTCCGTCTGTCTTCTTGGTCCAACAGCAGAGGTTCACACTTCTGCCCGGATAACTTCAGTTTAATCCACTCTGCGACAAAGACGGCAGATATTTGACCCAGACTTCCCTCAACGCTTCTTTACATCTCCTCAAAAATATCAAAATCAAAGCTAAAGCTAAAACATGAAGATGTCGATCTTCTCACCTCTGGCTTTGCTCTCCTCCTGGTCCGTCATACTGGCTGTACTGGACACCATGGTCGATGGAGATTCGCTCTGCAGTAACTTGGCCACTCTGACCGCCAGCGAGCTCTCACTGCTCCCGTCGCTCATCCCGCCCTGATCCTCAGAGACGGGTGAGGAGAAGCTGCTCGGTGCCGGACTGTCAGGAGTTGTCTGCGTCTCCTCCTCGGTGACTCCTGCGGTGTCTGGAGGCGTGGAGGTGAGCGGTGCTGGACTCGGAGCTGGTAAAGGCTTGGTGACCGTGTTATCAGGAGGAGCGGCGCTGCAGCCCTCGGGCTCTGCTCTCCGGGCCGACTGGGACAGAACAAAAGGCGGACCTGCATCTGGGCTAACAATGTTATCTGGTGGGCTTCTGTGTGCAGCTGCTGCTGGAGCTTGTGTGGCAGGATAATTCTGCTGCCCTGGTGACGCTGTACTCTCTCGACCAATAGAGCTTCCTCGTACTTTGTCTGAGGTCAACAAGGAGTCAGAGGAGGATCTGGCCCAAAGAAGTGAGGACCGAGATCTGGGATCTTCAGTGGCGGAGGAGGAGGAGAATGAGGGGTCCTGGAGTGTGCTGGTTTTCTTCCTCAGTGACAGAAATATGTCGTTATCAGAGAGCAGACGGGGCGCGGCAGGAGAGGAGGTGACAGAAGACCCCGTGGATATGACATTGTCAGCCTGAGAGAGGAGTTTACGGATCTCCAACAGAGCGTTCGAGCTGACAAAAGAATCCGCCGCACTCCGCTCCATGCTACGACTTGTTTGCAAAGGTGACTCCAAGTCGGTCTCAGCGTTGGTAGACAATAAGAGCTCAGACTCGAACCTTTCTCCAGACTGGATGGTGCTCTGGCTGCTGTCCCTCTGCTGCTGCTGCTGCAGGGTGGACTGAAGCGTGGAAGGGTACGAGTCTTCATCAGGCTGTGGGGAGGCTGCCAGTCTTCGTTCACTCTGCGCATCATAGGTATCTGACAAAGGAGAAGCTCGCCTCGGACGCTCTGGGATGGAAACACTTGGACCGAGACTGTCCAGGCTGAACGGTACGGAGACACTCGAGTCCACTGACAGAACGCTGCATCGTGAAAACTCTCCTTTCTGAGGACTTCCACCTGTAAGTACGACATGTAAAGTACATTAATGAAGCACAACCAACCCTTACCAACCCTCTGCATGTGTGATATCTTTATCCAGTTGTTAGTACCTTCAGAGGGCTGCGCGCTCTTGGTTGGGGTGCCGATAGATCCTTTTATAGTACAGAGATCGGTGGGGGAGAATTCCGGCTCTCTGATTGGTCCTTTGGGCACAAACGGAGTTAGGATGGTTGAAGGAGACTGGTCGATACCCAGATTACGGAGATACAGCTGCAAGAGAAACAAAGACGAGGATTGTAAATAATACACTCAACTCAAATGAACTCATATTTTGAAGTTATCCAACGCTCAATACCGGGATTCTTTCTTCGATGTTGAGTTCTCGCTGCTTGGGTTGAGGTGGAGGTGTTGAGAGTTTTGAGGTCCAGTATGGGGCGTAGTTATCGACCTCTAGGCTGACAGCAGAAGAAGCTCCGATGGAGGTTCCTGGTTTGAGTCCACTGTTGTTACTGCCTTGGGAACTGGAGAGGGTTGAATCCAGATCGAGTGAGACGTCACTGAACTGTCCGAGGCTCATGAATGGAGAATGTTGGACCGAGGTGTTTCTGTTGACTGCAGCTGTCTCTGTTTGCTGATCTTTCTTTGTAGAAGCAACGACAGTGCTGATGGAGGAGTGGGACTGGGACCGGCCGTACGGTGAGGCAGAGGGTCCCACAGCAGACACGGTCTTATCTTTGTCACTGGGAGCGCTGCCCACTGCCTCTCCTCTTTTAGAAGAAGAGGAGGCAGAGGGAGCGGTGGAGGAGCTCTGTGTGACGTTCAGATTGGCAGCGCTGGAAACAGGAGGTTGTTGTAAACCCTTGGCCTGCTGACTCAGGATGCGATTCAGGGAGTCAGAAACCACGTCGTAGGCTTTCTTCTTGGGGGAGACTCCAGAAAACCCCTGCAGTGCGAGGCTGTCAAACAGAGACGTCTTTCCTGAATTCTGATTCGCCCTCCAAGCGTCGACTTTCTCCATAAAGTTGAGACTTGGGAGGGACTGGACTTTGGCAGAGGTCGCCTCCTCCTGGCTCTGGCTCGCTACCTCTGGGCCGTGGACGCCGATCACGGGAACAGCGTGATGTGAAGAGATCCCTGTGCTGGACTGGCGTGAGTTCTGACTGGATTCAATATCAGAGAGTTGTCCTAATCTAATCTTAACACTGGATTTTGGTGGGGCTCTAAAAACCCCTGGTGTTGATTGAGACTGTGGGAGGAAACCGAGGTAGGACCCATCAATCCCTGTTTGGTTCCCTGAGGACCAGAGATCTTGGTCTTTGTGACCTCGTTCGACGCCTGTTGAAAACGGCCCAGTCCACGGCAGGCCTCCTACGCTGGTTTTGGTCACACTTGGCTTGACTTCGTGCCTCTTAGTGGGGAACGGCGTCAGACTCTGGCCTGGTGGTGTAGGACTTAACGCATCCCTGTTGCGCCTCTCCACCTCACTCAGCAGCTCTCTGTGTAAAACCTCGCTGCTCTCATCAGGCTGGGTGCTCCGACTCCCCGTCGTGATGTTACAGACCTCAGACGACAAGGTTTTTGACTGGTTGGGGGGTGAATCTCGATCAGGTTTTTGTCTCTGCTGCTGTGGGGGGCAGACTTCCCCTGTTGGGCCTTCTCTCCTAAGAGAGCTTTGGTCAATACTTGGTTTGTTAACTTGAACACATTTAGCCTCTTCTGCTAAAGAAGCAGCAGTCTTCACTGAGGTCTCAGAGGCAGAGGAAACGGCACTACTGCTGCTGCTTGGCATCCCAAAGTCCTTCTGAAGGAGGTCCAGGAGGTGCTGAGCAGGAACATCTTTATTAAGAAAGAAAGTTTCATCCTCGGCCATCTCCTCTGCTCTTCTTGTTTGAGAGTCCGTTAAAATCTTTAACTCCCTCTTTCTGGTGTCCGAGTCGCCGATGGTCGACGCTCCTTGAGTAGCATCGGGGGAAATCGGTGGGATTTGAGCCGTCACTTTTCCTTTGTTGACGTCTCCTGGTGACAAACTGTGCTGAGAAAGAGAGCAGCTGCTGCTCGCTCCTTCTTCAGACAGGATGGTTTCCTGAGCCAAAGGGTGCTGGGACAAAGAGCCACACTCAGAGGAGGCCTGGACAGAGCTCTCCCGGGGTGGACAGTGGAACCTCTCTGATGCCATGGAGATGTCAGGATATGCCCTTTAGAAAAAAACATTTATACATAAATAATTCAGCTCTGAATATTCAAAAAGCATTCATAGTTTGATCAATTGAATGATTTTTTTTTACCTTAAAGGGGCAAATTCATGGTCACTTTGGTGAAATAAAGAATATTCAGTGAAGTTGTGTTCCAGCGCAGAGTTCATAGGCAGCAGATGAAGAGCTGGAGACAGGTTACTGTCCTGAAATGCTGTTGACAAACAACACTTGAGGTTATCCATGAGCACAGTAGACAGATTTAGGCAAAGACATCTCAGAGACTTGACACGAATCCCTGGCTCTCACTTCTCACTGTAAGAATCAGTGTGTTGTATAATTAACAACTCCAGGACTAAGACCTAACCACCTGTTTTTTTTTTAATAACAGACTTTGATCTGATCAAAATATGGTGAAAAAAGAGGAGGGACAAATTCTTTTTTTCCCACCTGGTGAAGTTTGTCGCCACGGCTGCTGCAGCTCCAACCCATCTGTCTCCAGCCTGTACTGCCCCCTTTCTTGACCAGGAAGACTACGACTTTGAGCTTCTGGATGTTGTAAGGATGTTTGTTTCACATCTTCACCTGCTGGCGCCTGAGTAGAAGCCTCCACCCTCTGTAAACCGAATCATTAAACAAAGTGACTCACTCATCTGGTTGTTTTGTGCACTCTGCTGTTTTAATGCTGCTTTTACTCTTGACTCTAGACTTGATACCAACATTTAAAATAAGACTTTAACTGTCCTACACATTTACACATTACGGACAGACAAGACACAACAAAATCAACATGATACAACAAAATATTGACAAATGACCTTGGTGCAGGACCCACTGTATACCGATACCGCCATACTAGGGCCAATATTTGTCGATACCCATGTTCAACCACTACATCTATGCATCCCTACTTCTATAGACAAATGAGTTGTGCAGTCTGCGGTCTTGTGGCGGTGTCGTGGAAGTTTTTCTCCTTCCGTTGCTGCTGGTGAATAATGAAATAGAGAATTCTGCCGGCCGACAAGGTTTTATTTTCTTTGCAAAGAAAAGGTCGATCTGGATCCGAGCGGGTAGATCAGAAAGGACCCCGAATCTAGGGGAATACAGAATATTTATACTTTTAGGACCGCCTCCCAGAGGGCAAGGAATGGGGCTTAGGTGTTGGCACCTTTTGTTGTCTGTGGGGACTGTTACTTCACCCCCCTGGGGTGGTGGTGACACCTGAAGCATCCTGCAGGATGTTGTCTGTTGATGTCTAGACATGCTGATTAACTGATATGTTGATTGGAAAGTCTGTTGTGAGGGGCACTTCAAGCAATTCTTAACAAAGACATTAAAATTACAATTACAGGCGGCAGTAGCTCAGGAGGTAGAGCAGTCATGCAATAACTTGAAGGTTGGTAGTTCAATTCCCCCCTATCCCTCGTCGGTCAGTTGTTCCTTGGGCAAGACACTTAACCCACCTTGCTCCCAGTAGTGTCCAGAACTGGTGTATGATTCTGAGTGTTAAGAGGTGATGGTCGAAGAGACGGTAGGGCACAAACTGGCAGCCTGTGACTACTAAGGTAGTTCACCACCACCAAGGTGTGACTGTATGAGCGAATGAATGAATGATGTATCCAATCTTAAGTGTTTTGAGGGTCTTTGATAAAGCACTATAAAAATCTGATGCATTATTATTATGAATAATGCTATATCTATTGCTCAAATATCATAGAGGACAAAAAGAGTGTTCACATTCTATCAAAAGGCTATCATCTAAATAATACAATGTCTTCGGGGTCAAATAGTATTTCCACGGGTCCTGAATTAGCCTACTCTATATATTGACCGTGCAAGTATAACCTTTTGTAACCAATCCCACATTTAATATCAACTTTATTTCTGTGTTTGCAGTCTGGTTAATTTGCTTCTCCATTAAGACTAAACGCTCCAGAGATGCCATCAAGTTGTCCAAATACAGCTAAACTAGGCGACATGCAACAGGTTACTGTTAGCTTGGAGAGTGGTAAGTGACTGTGTTGGGTATAATCTGTCATAATCCGTCATTCAAAGTTCTCTAGTCGCTCAAAATCCAAACGTAAACTGTGACATAATGCATTAATGTAAGTTCGGTTTAACAGTTTGTTCATCCGTCCGCAAACAAGCCACTTAGCAGTGCCGCGTTAGCATCTAACTAGCTAAACAAGCTGCTTCGACGGAACACGTTGGTAACTTGGATCACGGAACTTCGGCCGTTGCTTCGATAATAAATGCGGTTAAAATTATACAAACAAGCTGTTTTTGTAACTTTGGCGGACTACACGAGGCTAAGTTAACCAACGTACCTCTGGAGACTCCATGTTATTGTTGTTGCTGTCAGTCCGCCGCCACGGTAGGCGCGCTTCCCCAAACGCGTATCCAAGAAGCGTTGCTAGGAAAGGGGGTGAAAACCCGGAAACGAGGGCGGGAGGACAAAGAGCGCGAGAGGCGTTAAATTCAAACGAGAGTTTTTAACGAGAGCGTGTTTTTTCTGATGTTCGCCTCCATGCTTTCTGTCTATGTTCTGAATAATATCCGTTTTGTGACATTACTACGGCTGTTTATATCCTGGTATACAACTGCACTACAAAACAACAACAACCGCCTTTTGTAAAGGTGGTGTTTTTTTTCACCAGCTTCCGCCGTGATGCCGTCATGACGTACAGAGTCCGAAAGCAACACAAAAGATCGTTTATCAACAAATGTATCACTCAGTGGCGTTTTCAAAACTCAAAAATTTTATGCTTATAAAGTTGCCGTTGCTGTAATTCATTGCTCAGTTGTGTTAGATGTTGCTCTGTTGCTTTACCTAGTGTAAAAAGATCCACAACTTTGAACGTCGTAGTGAAATAACACAATGGGTCCCTTTTTGCCACGATGCCATATAAATAAAACAGAGTGAAAACTCTTTCATGTATTTTAAAGTCTTTATTGTGAGCAAGAGATGAGTGTTATAATTTCAATAAACCAATAAGACTTACCAAAATGTGTGTTTTGACACTTAATTGTTATCGGTGTGTTTAAAATTAAAAGTTTAAGATAATAAATATTAAGAATTTCTTTCCACATCTTGTTGCCTGTTTAAGGTATTTATTAGCAGTACACTTTTGACCCACTACCTTTGGCCTATTGAGGATGTTTCATTTATTTATTTATTTATTTATTTATTTTATTCGAAGTATCGTTAAGATACAAACATTAAAGGCATATTGTTGATACATACAAAGTGTTGAACCAGCTATCTTGATAAACAAAAGAACGACCAAAAAAAAAGAATGAATAAAGAAGAGAATGTGAGGGTCATATTCTAAGATAGTAAAAAAGTCCAGTAAAGAAAATCGTTATATGGCACTTTTGTTTTCCATGTAGTTCAAAGAATTTTCAAAGTTTATTCTGAGTTCGTTTATCCATCCATTAAAGTGGGGCTTCATTTTGAGGTGCTTATATCTTATTGAGGATTTTGGCCAGTACTGACTCTGTAAATCTAGGGTTGCCACCAAGTGGACCAAAACGTGCTTTTTTTTTTTAAGGTGGAATCGAAACCGATGCACAACCACAGGGGAATGTCTTAAGTTTCATATTCCAAGGAAACAAGAACTAAAGGCATTAAATTGCATTACCTATTGATAGCTTTCCTAAAAAGTATTATTATAAACAGGATCTCTGAAGTACTCTTTAATAAACTAACTTTTTTTTTTCCAGAGGGACATCAGTAAAGTACTAGACAGGCTTCAGATGGCAGGCTCCAGCTACCTCAGAACAGAGGCAATATAAAGGACTGTCCACTACAGATCAATGATGGCATGGAATTTATTACCTAACTTTTGCATTTCAGACATTAACAGAAGTTGCTTTAACAATTAAAGGTGTATTTGTCTACATATGGAGTAGCCTACCATGAATGAAATTGAGTTCAGTTTAAGTTTTCTTGTTGACCCTAAGATAAGTTCTGTTTTTCTTTTCAGTCTTTTCACTTTTCTTTCTTCATCTCATCTGTGTACTGGTTTATTTTTCAACAAGCAAGATTAGATTAGATTTTCCTTTATTCATCCCTCAGTGGGGAAATTAAGTCGTTAACATCAGCGGTACACACAACATACACATTCATACCGGGCACAAAAAAACAAATAAATAAGATAAAAAAATACCGTAAAAAAAAAAAAAAAAAAAAAAAAAATCATTATTTGTGGCTTTTTCATTTGCATCCTTTTATTTTCGCAGTGAGTAACTTTTTTTTTTTTTTTTTTTGCATCACAATTTTTTTTTTTTTTTTTTAATCTGCACCATTTCAGTTCCTTTATTTTGCATCAGTAACTTCCCTTGTGGCTTATTTTATTTTTTTATTTGCAGCAGTGGCAGTTCTCAGCCACCACAAAAACTAACTGGAATGTGACCTGTAGGGCACCAAAAGGTGGACAATTTGGGCCAGGAGGAACCATAAAAGGGACACAACAAACACACAGCATTTAAATTCCTAAGGATGTCCCTTGGAAACACCCAAAAGCAGCATAAACTTTACCTAATTCTCCTTATTCCAGATACAACAAGCGCAAATAGGAATATAAAGTTTTATATTCTTTCTACCTCACAGCATAAACGCTTCATTTCAATCCCGCCTACTTATTGTGGTTGACAGACATGACACCCAATCAAAGAGCTACACCACTACAAAATAAACCAATAATCACATCTGATTGGTTGAGCTTTAGGTGGGCGGGAGAAAGCCTTAAAGATCAAAATCAGGTCAAAAGACGACACACGCAGCAGTCGTCCGTGCACCTCAAACACGGAAAGAGGGAAATACTGTAAAAATTCACCCCGAACATCACGACAGAGACATTCAACGTTAAACCAACAGCCGGACGACAGGGCGAATAATTGAGATAATGTCAAGAAGAAGACTCCCCGTCAGAGGTAGGAGTGAAGCAGCAGTTTTTTTGGATCCTTGCAGAGTATTCGGTTCTGAGTTTCACTTACTGAGAACTGGACCTGCTTCACTGTTAGCATGCAAGCTAACTGCGACGTTCATATCAGAGCTGACTGTGAATTTAAGTGACATAAAACTGTGTGTTTATTATTATTATTATTAATTTACCTTACAGCTGTGGCTCCTGCGCCGAGGGTTCGAGAAAACCCAGGACTTGTGCGCGCACAGGTGAGAAGAATGATCGAGAGAACTTTTAATGTGTCACTGTTGATGTGGTTTAACAGGTCTGGGCACTGATGGGAAACATGTCAACATTTCCATATTTACTAATGAAATATGCTGTCTGAATATGAGCTGGCATTGTTTTGAATTGTCAGTCACAGCAGCTTATATAACACAAAATTATCATCAATAATACATCTGAACTCCTAAAGATAAAACCCGAGTTGATATCAAGTGTCTGTTAAAGCTCCTGAAGTTAGTGGAGAGCAGACAGAGACATTTACATCATATAATTCTGAAACTGTGATTCTGCAGCCTCTCTACAACAGTCCAGAAAGGAATCTTTAAGGAAATCGTTAAGATGAAGCGTAAACGATGTTGATGGATTGAACCATTTGAAATCGGTTCTCGATTCCCATCCCTTTCAGCCCCTCTATAATAGTCGAGACCAGATCTCTAGAGTCTGATATTGTGGTTTTGTACCAGCACCCTGTCCAAAGTAGGGATGGGAATTGATAAGATTTAAACGATATTGATGCCATTATCAATTCTGCTTATCGATTCAATTCTTTAACGATTCCCTTATCAATGCCTTTCTTTTGGATTAAAAAAAGTAGACGATTTCACCGTTGAGTGTCTGATAACAGAAAAAGAAGTATGCTACCTTCAGTAAGAGCCAATGACAAGCAGACTTATATCACTGGCTGTCATGAACAGTTTGATAAAAAACAAAACCATTCAATCACTATCGTCCAAAAATAATTAAACGACAAACTATTTCGGTCGGTATTACTTGTTGTACCGTTCGCCATGTTTATTTCCTGAAAGTCTCTGTTCTTGTTTGCGTTGACTGGCTCTCGTGAGATCGTTTTTCAAGGCACTCGGAAGAAAAGAACCGTTAAGATAGAATGTAAACAATGTCGATGGATTAAACCATTTGGAACCGGTTCTCAACAAGAACCGGTTCTCGATTCCCATCCCTAGTCCAGTGTGGTCTGGAGGTGACAAGAGGAATAAAATAATCCTTTAATGCATGCTCATAGAAAGAATAAACCTGGTACTGACTTTAGATTCTCATCAACATCCATGTCTGAGAAGTATTTAGTAAATAAGTAAGTAAAGTTTATTTATAGAGCGCTCTTCACCGATAAAAATCACGAAGCGCTGTACATAAGATAAGTGCAATTAGATAAACATAAAACAGTATAAAAAAGATAAGTACATATACATACACAAATACAAATACAGTACAGGTGAATATGGAAATAAGTGCAGATATAAAAGATAGGTACAAGAGACAAAAAAGCTTGACTAAATAAAAGAGTCTTCAACTCCTTTCATTGAGTCGATCAAACGGACGGAGAGGGGCAGATCGTTTTGGAGTCTGGGGGCTACCGTCTTAAAAGCTCGGTCTCCTGAAGTTTTAACAAACTCGGGGAGAGTCAAGATTGTGTGAACTTTTCACTACTCCAGAATCTGAATGATATCAAGTTCTACAAACATAACATGTAAACAAGCATATTAAGTGATTTATTTTCCTTTTCTTTTCAGGAAACTATAATGGATTACATGGTCAGAGCCTCCTTTCTTGATAGCATATCTCAAGGATTTTTTGGTGAGGAGTTTTTCTAAACTTACTGTTAGATTTCAATGACACTGTGGAGGACAAAGAGCAGCACAAACATTTGCTTTGAACTGGTACAAATGTCATATGTCTGATATGTCTTATAAAGCTTTGTGGCAGAGAACATTGTCAGGTCTTGAGGATTGTCCTGTTGGATAAAGAGTTCAGGATGTGTCAGATCAGAGTCTGACTGAAGTGCAGTAGAAGAACATGACTCTTACAGTCATGTAGTTTACATGCTCCTGTTAGTAATTATACTTTCATTGCTCTGGGTCAACATTGGTTCAGAGGTACTGTATGTGTTTATACACGATTTAGTTTTATTATCAGAGGTCAACATCAGGAAATGAGTCATGTTTAGAGACCAGTTAAAGGGCCTGGGCGAGGCTCTATCCTTCTACATCTACCAGTTTCTGTCGACTTATGTGACATCTGTGATGCAGCTCTATACGCCTGTTATTTATAACTTTGTCTATTCCTTTGGGAAGTCTTGGATTAAAGCTAAAAGTGGAAACTTTTAGTGTTTGTAATCGTTGGCGCCCCCCTGTGGACAAACTAATCTTTGCTTATTTTGTCTTTTACCAACCTCATTGCTCACTCAGGTTTCAACTTTTTAAGAAGCTTTCATGGAGACCCTGATGAAGACTACATTTATTCTGATTCTGATTCTGATGATGACTATTATGACGACCACTTCAGTTCTCCGTTTGATTCTCAAAGACCTTTAGAGCCACATCCACGAATAAGACAACTCACAGAGGAGGTATGACACTGCACTCTTATTTATCTGGAAGGGAAACCTAACGTATCCACCCATTTTTACTGTATTGGTTTATTACAGGTTATAAAAGCCTGAGGGACGCATGTATTTTGAAGAAACCTCTAAATAATCAGAAAACATGAGGAATTGTTCATCTTTAAAATGGAAATTGTTTCAGACTCGTGTTTTTTTTCTCTCTCTCTCTTTTCTGACCTTCTTTAAGGATCATAAAATGACTCCAGAGTTCATAGGTTGTTTTTGTGTCTACAGGAGGCTGACAAACATGCAAAAGAATTGATCGCAGAAGAGGAACGGCAGAAGGGAAGGACGGAGAGAAACAAGCGGAAGAAATTGGTGAGTGTTGGCATTATTTTTTTAGGATGTTGTATATGTCATAGAAATTTTGAAACGCTGCTCTGACAAAGAGGAACTCGACCAAAATCTGCCCTGTATTGCCTCCAAGTAAAGCAGAGTTTATTAATGTCTCTGTTCATCTGCTGTTCATGCTGTGGTGTAAATAGTCAGGCACTGGTTCTCTCTATCAAACCACAACACTGCTTACAGTGTGCATAAAACTTCTCCACACAGGAAATCGCTCAAATAATAGTTTCGAGTATTGTGGATGCAGAATTTGATGCTACAAACCTTTAACATGTCCAATAAGCTGAGCAAAGGCTGTGATTAGTAGTTTTAGTCGTATAAATACAGTTGATTTCCACATGAGAGGGGTGTGCCAAACCAGAAAAAGGACATGTCATGACAAAGTCCCGAAAAGGAAGGAAAGGCGAATGGCACAGACCTCAAATCTCTTTGTTTTTTCTCCCTGTGCTCACTGGGACACAGACCGACAGTCTCTGTTTTAGTGCTGTTATCAGCGCCGACAGGAGATTCAATCACCACTGAAGTCAAAAGTTTGATAACGTAATGTAGCTATGTTATAAAATCAAGTACCAACATGACCGCAGACTTTTAGTTTCGAGTGATTCTCTTGATAAATCAGCTGACACTTCCTAACAGATTCTAGGGCATGTTTGGTTCCTGTGTGGAGGTGTGATTCATCGAAGGGCTGGGCTCTCAGTCCGAGAGAAGAGATGTTTGACTCACAGGGAGCTATTAAGTAAAAAAACGAGCTTCATTTTCGTTGTTGGCATCACCCACACTTACATGAATTTTAATGTTGAGAGTCTGATAATTCAGTGTAAACATGTTTTCTTACACCCTATAATTGCTTTACACGAAGGTAGAATTTCTCCACAAACCAGCAGAACTTGATGAACACCAATCACGTGATGTAAACGGTAACGCTGGTGGTGAAAGCTCTTGAATTTTTCCTCACCTGATCTTAGAGTAGAAATTTTGCAGAGGGGCTGACAGGAACCAGGCCCTCAAAGACAAAAGGAAACGATCACAGACTTCTGCAGATCCAGAATACTCTGATCAGGACAGAGAGATTCAGAAGATCTTTTGTACCCGCATCCATCTTCTTTAAATTCATTAAGTTCTTGTTTTATATCGTACAGTAGTGAAATTTGAGGGTTGCTTTTCCCACTCATGGTGCATTTTTCTTCTTTCCTGCAGCGTAAAAAAGAAAAGAAGCGATTGGAAAAGGAGAACGCAGCTAAAAGCATTATACCTGTAAGTCTTACAATCTTTTTTTTCCAAATATAAAATCTTTCTGAAGCAAAACTGATTCATCAAACTTTCATTTCAGGAAGAAGAAGAACAACAAAAATCAGAGTCATCAGAAATTCAAGGCCAGAGTTCAACAATTGAAAGTTCAGCAGTAGAAAATGATCCTCCTGAAATGAGCGAAACAAAAACTGAGCCGGAGGAGGAGGCGGAAGCAAGATGTGAGGAGAGCAGAGAGGATAATAAAGAAGAACGGCTTTTGGAAATTGATAAGAAAGAAGAAGAAGAAAAGGAAGAAGAAGAAGAAGAAAGGGAACAAAAGGTGAGTAGAGAGTTTTACATTTTCGTTTTATTGTTGTTGAGATAATTTGTCAATAAGACAATTATTTAAGGAACATTTCCAAGATTAAATTTCATGGAGAACAAAAAACAAATATTTCCTCTGTTACTCCAGCGATTGAAAAGATAATTTGTTTGGTTTTTCTTGATCACAGTTTTTTTTTTACAGTTACTAGATATTGTTTTAATTAACATCCCTAATTCAGACATGTTGAAATCCTTTATGAACTCTGAGGGAAACTTGTATCAGTGTCTGTTGGAACTTTGGAGTTTTACTGTGTTTTTAAAGAAAGAAGAGTTTATTCCTCACCATTACTCGTGTTTCCTTTGTGTTTGATTTCCCTCAACAGGATTCAGATAATTCAGCCCCCTGTACAGATGAAACAACCCCTGAGGAGGAACCTCCGCAGAGGCCTGAAGAAGAACATGAAAAAATGAAACCGCCAGAAGTTGAAGAATCCAAGGAGGTGAAGCCAGAAGTTAAAGAGAAACCTGAAGTTCAAAAGAGAATTGAGGAGAAACAAAAGCCCATTAAAGAGGTGGGAAACTTCACTCTTTTAGGATGTAATCTTATCTAAAAACACCAGATCAGTCTTTAGCTTTTGTGTCCTGATTTATTTACCAGTATCCTGTTGTTTTTCTGTAATTTGCATCACTGGGTTTCACGAATGCGTGTCGTTTCCTTATCTAAGATAGGATAAGATGTTCCTTTGATAGTCCCACAGGGGGCAATTCCACATCTATCTGATATGCTAATGTCTTTCAAACAGCCAACAATTGATCCCGCCGCTGAAGACTTTGCGAGAAAAAGCAGGGAGCTGGCCGGTGAGTCACATTTTTAATTGAAACATAAACAGAACAAACGTGACGCAGACTCTCACCGTCCATGTTCTTCCTCTCAGGTAACGGAAACCGATTGGCTGCCGCCGGACAGTACGAGATGGCCGTGAAATACTTCACTGACGCCATAAAATATAACCCCAAGGAATTTAAGTAAGAGCTTTGACGCTTCATTGAAGGCCCTTGTCACATTGTCCTTGAGTTACTGATGTTTGCTCTGTGTGTTTCAGATTATTTGGAAACCGGTCGCTCTGTTATGAGAGGCTGCAGCAGTATGAAAACGCTCTCAGAGATGCTGACCTAGCACTCACCATGGAGCCAAACTGGATTAGAGGTTTATTTAGAAAAGGGAAAGCTCTCTGTGGACTCAAGGTAAATCACACCTCCTGTTTCTGATTAAGTCTTTCTGCAAATATCTTGAAAACTGTTGAAAAAAACTGCAGTACAACCAGACATTTGTCATTTTTTCATCCCTGTGATTCTCCCTTTACTCCTCCAGAGATACTACGAGGCCTCGCTGATCTATCAAGACGTCCTGAAGCTGGAACAGTCGAGTGACGCCATGCAGGAGCTGAAACGAGCGCAGACATTACACCTTATGGTAGGAGAAGCTTTCAGTGTTTGTTTTAATCAAGTTTCCCTGAGTTTAATCTTAATGGAGCCTCTTTTCTCTTTTCAGGAAATGGGATTCACCTGGGCGCAGAGCTCTGAGGCCCTGAAGACACACTCCACCTTAGAGGAAGCTGTGGAAGCGCTGTTTGGTGGAGACAGTAGTCCAAGACCTGCAGGTGAATATGAGGAAGAAGATGTTGAGTCCCTTCATTGATGCTCTGGTGGTTGATACATACTCCTTTTTTTCTCTCTCTAGCTGCCACTGCCAGCTGGACAATTACAAAGCAACCATCGCTGCAGAAAGACAACGACGACGAAGGCGAGTGGATTGTCCAACAATCGAGCCGCCCCAGAACGCAGCAGGTCAAAGAAACCGAAGCTCTTGACCAAATCAGATCAAAATCTCAGTCACCAACGCCACATTCAAGGAGTCCTGTGAAACCGTGAGTTCGACACAGTTCATTACTGTTTAATTTTGCACGACTCACAGATGAGCGTATGAATGTTTCTGAGATGATTTGATTATGTTTTTCTGGAGTGGAACAGGATTTTAATTGTTTTATCTCACCTGCGGTGCCTGCAGGGCTCTTTTTTCTGTTTGGGTGGGATCCTTGGCCCCGGCTATAACATACGCAACACTCCACGAGGTCTTCAGCAGGTGAAGCATCACAAAACCGATCCTCTTTGTGTCTTTTGAGCCTTTCTTTTTCATATTCTCTGGAAACAGGCTGTACAGAGAAACCAGAAAACATATTCTAGTTTTTGAGGATGTTTCAGAATATATTTCAAATATTTCAAAGTTTTCCATGTAGATGTTTGTAAAGATTTAAACTTATTTACTCACTCTTTTGTTTTTTTCCAGAGTGGGGACGGTGTACAGCATTAAGATGCTGCTGGAGCAACAGTGTGCCTTCATCAACTACACCAAAAAGGAGGACTGTGACAGAGCAGTGCAGTGTATTAATGTACGTATCTGATTATTGTTTTCACACAGTTAGGAGGGACTCAGCTGATGTTTTACAGAAATAGTATTTTAAGTAAAACAGCCATGGAACAGTGAAGATACAGTTTTTTAAACTGTAGGTACTGCTCAACAAAAGGAGTCTGGGACATAAAGCAAAGTCTCAAAAGTCGACCGATCAAAAAAACTGCATGTGATTGTAAAGTTCCGGTGACAGCAGCATGGATGATTGTCGGGTCTTGCAGTGTTTGTTGATTTGGCTGCAGTATCCTTAATTAAAGTCTTGAATGAGTTTGACCCCATAATGAACTTTAATATATGTGTTTCCCTCTGATGTTGCAAAAAGGCAACAATTAATATTCCCAGGGTTATTATTCCTGTGAGAAGTCAAATGTTCACATCTGGAAATATTTCAGGTGGTTGTTTTGAAAGTTTGAGATTATTTGTAGTGACTGCTGCTCTTTTACTTGGTAAAGATCTTCATGTTTTAAATTCATAATGTTGGGTCTAAAACCTGCAACATTTACCTGATAATATATATAAAGAAGAGAAAGACAATGGTATATACTCGAGGAGAATGGACCGAGATAGCTTCAGGTACCATCTCGAAACCACTCTGAAAGGTATTTCCGCCCAGTCTCTTTTATTTAGGGTTGTCCCTGGTCACACAATGTTTCTAAAAGGGTGGGGGTAAATGTGCTGCAAAGTAAGCATTTAATAATGAACAACTTGTGAATATGTGAAGGTCAAGGCGGCATCTAACGAGCTCCTTCTGATAAGCATGTCCTCCCCTTATGTCCTTCCCACGATTCATAGTGGAGGATACATCACACACACCTGCTGATAGGAGAAACGAGTTCACAGAGAAGTTAAGAAACATTCATGTGCTGTGTAATTAAGCTATTGGAGAGAGAAGTTAGAAAATACTCTTATATGATGTATAAAAAGAGGTCAAAGGAGTTTATACTTGTAGTATAAACTCTTACATAAGAATATGAGGAATAATGATAACTTCTATATACATTTATGCACATTATTCTAACACATAATTTTTTTTGTCAACATACAAAATCAGCTCTGACATAAATCCAGTCTGTCAGTTTAGATATAATGATACAGGCTTTTCTGGAGAAGTGCTTGAATTTCTCTCTTAAAAAGATGAAGTCAGATTCTGGTCGAAGTTTTCTGACATTTATACACAACATAATTCATCGGCTTCTTGGCCAAATAACTCAGATGTACCAACAAATGAAAGTCGTTTGTCTAATAAATGTATAAAACAGAACTATAAAAGCCGTAGACTTCGTTGATTTGGACTAAGTAATAACACTTAACAGTTAAATAGTGAAGCAGGTTTTGAGATTCATTAAGTATATTGGAAATATTTGTTCTGAAAAGACTGTGACAGTTTATCAGGAGAGTTTTGTATTTAAGGAGTGTTGATCTGAGGATGTTTGTCAGACGTTAAAGAGTTTGTTTCATCCACAGGGGATGCTTGTAGAGGGCGCGCCGCTGTCTGTGAAACATCCTGGTAAATTCAACACCGGACTCGGGTAAGAATGAACAGTTTGAACACATTTGATCTGACGGAGATGGAAATATTATGCAAAATCTAGCGGTGAGATTCTCGACTAAAATGTTCAATCGCTGGAGCATCTCTTAGGTATCCTGTCTAATAAAGGCAAAAATGGCAGTGCAAAATGGCAGCGTCTGTGAAGGGTACCTGCTCATATGAAGATACAAAAGGATAAGTTTAATTGAAGAGGAACAGTGTTGTTTTTTGGTGATTATGCACTATTTAAACAAACTAATGAATCATATATTCCATTTCCACCAAGCCTGTTCGGATAAATGCGCTAAACACCACACACTGCACGTTTTAAGATCAACTGTGTTTAATATCAGATATCAGGATTCTTCCCCCTTTTTCCCTGAAATTAGTTTATTTATCTATTTATTTTTGTCGTGATTGTAGCACGTACAAGAAAGAATGCTTCTTCTGGAGGACATCCGGATGCACAAGACAAGACTGCACCTTCAGACACGTCCCAGAAAACAAGAGCATCGACAGGGAGAAATTTACCAGCAGGCTGGGGAATTTTCACATCTAACAACAAAGAAAGTGTTTCCTTCAAACTTTGACAAACTTTTAGCTGAACTGGGCTGAGATTCGACGCCGTAGTTTAGTCTTCCCCCGTTCTTGTTCACAAAAAATCCCCTCACTTCTGTTTGGATTTGTTTGATGCGGATGAATGTTTTATGTTTGCACTTGGATGGTCCTAACACTTGGACAACTACAAACTATATTTAAAAGCTGTATTATGCAGATAACAACTTAAAATCAAGCTTTTGCGTTGTTTTACAGTGTAATCTGTCAGGGAGTGATCCCCTGGTTTTTACTGCCTTGCTTTGCTCCGTTTTAAAATTAGTCAAGTGTTCATGTTCTTATTCACCACTAGATGGCGCCATCGCCTTTTATCCCCAACACTTTGGGGCTGAAATTGTGTTTTTTTTTGGCTGTAATTATTGAGCAGTATTGTGACCAACTTTTTTAACGTGTCATGTTTTATTTTGAAGCTGTGCTCTGTCGTCTGTCGGAGTTTCTGACCAGTTGGCATGTCTGTGTTTGTGAAGATTGTTCGGACGAAGTTGTCCTTAAAGAAGTGCCTTTTTGTTGCACTGTGACCGCAGTTTCCTGAGGTCTGTCTTGACGGACTTAAAGTCTTAACCAGTTGAGTTCATGTTGTGCCATAATACATTCAGAACCAAAGACAGTGTGTCTGTCAAAGTTTGTCAGTACTTTTTCGATATTTTTCCAATCAAGAACCTCCTCATCAATGCAATATTAAGAAGAAGCATCATGTTGTACATACTGAAAAGTTTAATGCAACTGCAGGTGTACTTCTCACCCCCCGTAAGAACACATTTTGGGATGGTATCAGACTAATAAAACATTTTCTTCCTGATGCTGTCAAGTCTAAGTTTTGTCTGTAACTATCACAGTGAGGATTTTTATGACCCCGTTTATTATAGTGTTACATTAAAGGTGTCCTAATGAGGTTTTTCAAAAATAGTAATAGCCCATGAGAATCTTCAAAAGTGTTAATTCACAGTTATCCACCTCCACAGTAGCTCAGGCCCTCGTAAAAATGAGTGACTTTAACCTTTTAACTCATAAAGGTGTGTAGAAATAGGAATACTAAACTACATCAAGCATACCGGTTCTGAACTTGCATCATGCAGTGACGTTGTTGAGCGCATGGAGAAATAGGGGATTTTATATTGACAGTAACGAGTAAAATTGATTTTAAAAAATCGCTTCAGCTGCTGTTAATAGCGAAGAATAAGAACAGTGATGAGTGAAATGTAAATTTAAATAAAATGTGCTGTACATAAAAATCTTAAAATAATTTCTGTAGAGATTGAATTTAATTATCAATCAATCAATCAGTCTTTATTTGTATAGCACTTTATATAGTGGAGGAATAAAAGAAACAAAGAAAACCCTAATCCACCCAAACCCAACCCCTCATTCCCACCCCGCAATCTAATCACAACAGAAACGTTTATTAAACATTTATTTATTATAAATACATGAACTTAAAAAGGGCTCTATTTCATACAAACAGGTATGTGCGCACTGAGGAAATGGCGTTTTAAAATTCAAGATAAGGAAACACTGGAGGAATAAAATCTAAAAACAAAATAACAAAATGAAATTTAAGGAATAATAAATAAAATGAAATAAAAACAACAGTAAAAGATACTAAAATAAGAGCTCCAAAATAGCTCAATAAAAGACGATCCTGTAATAAAACTAGAAGAGATAAATACTAAAACACTTACAAAGTTAATTACATCAAGTTTAGTTAAAAGCAAGAATAAAAAAGGTACATTTTCATTATGTACAGAAAGTCAAGTACTAGTATGAGGTTACTGTCTGTAATCTCTACCCAGGTCTAATAAAAAATTAAATGTTCACCTATGTTTTGGCTCTTGTTAGTTTCAAATGTCCTTAAAATGTCTTTACTTTTGCCATTGCAGCACTACTGATCATAATTCTCCATCCTGCTACCCTAAAACAGAAAATAGATGCATACATTTATATAAAACAGGAAACATATTACATAGTACTTACTCAACAACATAAAAGTAATTAAAATAATCTAAACTAATCAATGAATTGGTGATTTAGTGTGAAATGTCAATATTGTGTACAATATTTGGTGTTGTCATGACTGAATAAACGACTACTACTACTAAACCACAAATAATGGATCAGAAAGGTGCAACAGGAATGTGAAAGGAAGTAAACATACTCAGTAAGGGAAATACCCTCTTTAAGTGCTACTCCGCTGTTGTAAAGTGATGACACTGAGAAGTAAAAGTTGCAACATTATTGTGGGGAATTTTCAGGATGGGATTTTTAAAAAATATTTTTTATGAGGGAATTTCAAAACATAAAAGTCTCTGGCTATTACAGAGGGCACACACTGTCCTGGTCATAAAGTTAAGAATGAAGCAGAAAACAAATAAAACAGCGAATATGGTTGATTTTAATCCAACAGTGTCTACCTCAATTTTCCTGGATTATCTATTGTGTAATATTATATTTATTTACAAAGAAAATAATACTATTTTAATGATTTGTGATTCAAATACAGTCTATTTTTAACATATGAGTAAGACTGTTTGGCTGCTGCTCTCTCGCTCTTATACACACATATACTCACTCTCTCACTCAGTCAGTTCACTCCCTCTCCATGTCCATGTGAACGGATTAGGATCAGGGATTAGGAGCAGATGTCAACCACAACTCGCACAGCACAGGAAATGTCACGTTCAGGGGTCAAGATTAACTACGCCCATGCACTTTACTGCCTCATTTCCTCCTGATTGGTCGCTTCGCTGATTGACGGCGCTGTCGTCCAATCGGCATAGAGGACGGGAACCCGGGGGCAACCGCTGCGCAGATGTGGTCTAAAAGACGACGGCGCAGCTCCTGACAGACAGAGGAGAGTTGAGCGGTTAGAGAGGGAGTCACGACCTGCTGGGACACAAAAACACGAAAGGTAAGAGCTAAACATGCGATTAAAAAGGCACCGAATTGACATACATGTGAATAAAAGTGCGTCATTGACTGTTTCAGTCGGTGGCAGCCTGTTTATCCGGTAAACAGGGATGACTTTAACAGGGTAGTGTCGTATTTTAATGTCAAAGTAGGTTGCAATGTGTTTTAACTGCGAGTTAAGCTTAATTATCGTTTTATTTTAGCAATGTTTGTTGTTTAATTTGTACCAGCCTTTATTATCCTTGTCTGCAGCCTTTCTTAAGTCCTCAATACCCTTTAAAGCCCTTTAGCAGCTGTTTTAGCCTCAAAACAGGCCACAAAGTCGATAAAACAACATATTTCACCTTTACAGACACATATGTTATCCTTATATTACCCTTACTGTATGTGTGCAGCAGTCTGAGTCAGTCATACCCATAAAATAATGTGTTTGAGAAGTTATTTCCTCATGCCAACACTCAAGTTTTGGTGACTTTGCTTTCACTTATATCCCACTTATGCAACCTTGTTATACCTGACAGCTTTTATGATCTGATCTGATATGACTGAAATTTGATCCACAGTCTTGGAAAGTCAAGGAGACTTGTAAGAAAGGGACTGCCATGACCGGCCTGTTTAGAGGTCATTCATTTGGCTTGAGTGAAGCTGCTTCCCCCTCCCACTCCCACTCCACTTTCCTGGTCTTAGTTAATCTGCAATCTCTCAACACTTGACGCTTAGATACATAATTGAAATATATTTGTAATGACTTTTCACTTTGACAGCTCGTACATGATCTCTCATTACCTTACAGTCAGTGATAGGGGATTTTAAAGCAAAACAAAATGTATACTACTCCCTAAATACTACTACTACTACAACTACTACTACCATAGACTGTCTTAGAATAATAACCAACATTATGACTAAAAATGTATGGACAAGAAAGTTTTGATTCATAGTTTAACCAAAAAATCAGCAGAAACAGGAACAGATTGAATTATGTGTCTTATTTTTGATGTTACAGCTCATTTGAGGAGTTTTTAGCAAGTTATAAAACACGCTGGGACTAAGGCTATGTTCACACTGCAAGTCAATTCAGATTTTTTAACCATATGTGACACATATCTGATATTTTCATGTAAGTGTGAACAGTGCAATTCAAATTTTTTTCAAATCCGACCCAGGCCTCTTTTGTATGTGAATATAAATTAGATATGTATCCGATATGACTGCAGTGTGGACGCTCAGGTCGCGTTCATCCGACCTATACGTCATCAATATGCGACAAACGTCACCATTGTTGTCACCATTTGTGCGTTGTGCGCATGCGGGTCACTTCACGGACGCATTCCATTCACATTAGATGCCGCATTTGTTGTTGTAATGTGAACGACCGCACAAAAAGATCCGAATTGTGCATCATAACCTGCAGTGTGAATGTAGTCTAATTCTGATGCCTCCTGATGGCCAAACAAGACCATTATCAACATTACTGATCATTCCTGTGGCATTAATGTGAATACCTTAAACTGCTTACAAGACATTAAATGCTAAACAGTTGAGTTTGAACTCATTCCACTGCAAAGAAAAGTGTGAAATTAAAACAGGATTTTGGAATTATTCACTATTCATGCTCCTAACCCTTACCAACAATTCCAGACTTCATAATTATCCACATAAACATAATCAGTCTTGTCACTAATGATCTTGTTTGCTTTTGTACGTCATATAAGGTTGTCAATATTAATGTCAGTCTGTTTTGCGATTATCCAAAAACTCTTTACTGTAGCTTTAAATAACAGTATTCTTGATTTTGTTGTTAATCATGATCTAAGAACTCTATTTACGATTGCTTTGGTCAGTAGTTGTCATATTAAGGCCTGATCATACAATAGAAACATCTAGCTATCAGGCAGCTGTATGCGTGTCTCACATAAACCATGTGGGCTAATGATACAGTGAGGAAGACTTTGCTCTTTGGCTGCTGCCTTTGACATTTATTCCATTTTTCAGACGCTGCTCGTCTCCCACGTTTACACTACACTGCTTCATTTCATGTGGTCAATGATGACAGGTTAGGCCGCGAAAACGTTCCCCCTGACTTCACCTGACAACAGATTACTGCACCTGACTGTTTGGGTACAAACAAAGGGACGGATTTAAAGTGTATTCAACACAAAAAAGGAGCTTTCTGTTTGACCCTGAAGCCCACAGCGGTGTGTGGCGTGTTGAGGGTGAGACAATTGTGCTGCATATTTAAAGTGCAGATATTAAAACGGAGTCTGAAGGTGATTAATCAGTAACTAACTAGTCGCAGCGTGCTCGGTTTCCTCTTACTTCAGACAGCTGCAACCTTGAAATAAAATACGAGCTGTGTCCTCTGCTTGAAAAAAGGAAAAAGGACTGAGGCTATGTTGAGTCACATATTTCTTCATGCTGCGCTGAAGGCTTTTCAGGCCAGCTCTGTCAAAATCTAGAATCGTTTCCATATCTAGATGTTGTGTTTGATGAAAATGTCTCCTTAACTGTTTGCTTAAACTCTGTCTTGCTGCTACCTTGACTAAACTTCCCCTGGAAACAAGATACTGTAAAAATAACGGGACTCCCCTGGTTAGATGAAGCTTGTACTGATCAATAATGAGGAAATGATGGTTGTTATAACTGAAGTGAAAAAGAAAGGGATAATTTTCCTTTTCCTCCTCTGCTGCAGCAGTCTGCCTGACCTTCACTTTCACTTTCAGTTTCACTGAGTGAAAAAATCCCCTTACTCTGATCTCAGTAGACAGTCGAGTTTTTTAGGTACTTTCACAGCTCATATAAAAAAGCAAATGTGTTGGAGTGTGTACAAATGCTTACTTATAAAATCCAAACATGGTAAGTTTTGATTTTCTTCAACGTCTTTCTGTTTCTCTTCTCACAGATGTCGTACGCTAGAGACAAACTGTACAACGGGTACCTGCGGCGAAATATGCCCACCATTGTGTCCAAGGTGAAAGTGAGGGAAGTAATACCTCACCTGCCTTGCTTGACGGATCACGATCGGGTAGGTTTCATTTGGTATAAAGACGTAAAGATGAGCTGGGGATTATTTGAATAATTTTGGAATAATCCCTTTATTCCTGAGCTCTGGGGCTCCACAGATTTGATCTTTATCAAGATACCAGAATTCATATTTCTATGCCCAAAAGGGAGGCTCAAAAATGCTCAAACTTGGTTACTATTTGTCTTAAAGTTAAACATTAAACTGAACTTAAAACCTCCATGTTTTTCTGGTATCTATCCTTAGTTGACTCTGGTATACTGATGTAAGATTTTTCCCGTTTGATTTCAGGAAAACATTGAGGCCAAAAGAGAGACTTATGGGAACTACGACGGCATGATGCTTCTCCTGGATTGTCTGAAGAGAAGAGAGAGCTGGCCAGAGCAGTTCATCCAAGCTCTGGAGGCGTGTGAGCACCCGACCATCGCAGCTGAGATCAGAGCCGAGTACGAGGCTCTGAGAGGACCCAGCAATGAGTCAGCAAGTCAGTTACTCATCACACCATACTACATTTCTTTATTGGGTCATTTGTCAGAAGTTTTCATGTATTTTCTTCTTCTTTCTTGGTGTTAATAAGGTTGTCATTGGGGATTTCCATAATGTTAACACTGATGAGCATGATCAGCTTTGGAGCTGCTGCCTGATATGGACAGATCAAGCAGCCGGTCTTATTTCAGAATAAATACAGATTAAGTTCAGCAGTCTGCTAAGGTGAACAGGATCACACTGTAACAGCCGGGAAAAAAGATAAAAATAAATAAAGAAAGAAAAGGTCTCAGGGTCAAATTTTAGAAATCCTAAAATTTAGAAAATATTGTAAAGAAATCCTGACGGTTACAGAAGATTCTTGTCAAATTTCCTGAAAGATTTGGATGAAAACTTCTGAAAATTTTAATAGAAATTCTCAAAACTGTCTGAAAGTCAATTATTGAAAACCTTTTAAGAAAACTTTGAAAAAAAATTTAGTTTCACTAGAAAACTTTTTAAAGTTTCAGACTGGCTGTTGTGATTATCAACTGTCTGTTTTGGGTTATCAGGACTGTTATTGACGTTTACAGTGCTCAGCATAAATGAATACACCCCTTCAGAGTTGTCAGAAAACCTTAAGTTTCCTGTCAAAATCAACATTTTCCATGTCAGACTTTACAACAAAATACTCCCCCAAATGTCAACCATTGATTACGAACAAGATTTTTAAGTTGCACACAAAAAAGTATTTATTTCACCTTAAAATCAGGATGCAAAAATGAGTACAACCCAATCAAAGTTCTGGGAGCAAAGCTGAATTTTAGTTACCATGTCATGCTTTTTTTCGTCTTATGGAAAACAAGATGTTATGTTAAAATCAGCTTTGTCAAAACTTTGGAAATTGTACTTTTGCTCATCTAGATATTGAGTAATACATTACTTTTCATAGGGGTGTATTGACTTATGCTGGGCACTGTAGCTGATTGTCTGCATTGGCCTCTTACCGTACAGATTCCTCAAATGTTTTGGCTCCACTCGGAGTGTGTCTTTCATTACTTTGTCTCACCCTGAGGTCCCGCCCGCAACACTAACACGATCCGGCTGTCTCAGTGTCACACAATCATGTGATGTAACTGGTTAACCCGGTAACTCCTGTGTATGATGCTGATACAGTTTTGATCAAACATTTTCTAAAAGCATTCAAGCCAAGTTTTGGGTCGGAGTTTATAATGATCTGAATTTTAAAGTTTGACAGAAAGTTTAACATTTATACAGACCAGTGTTTGACTTAATATCAGTCAAACTCTATTCCAGAAAGTCTGTAACTAAATAATGAGCAGATCTTTTCACTTTGTTTCTATTAATCTCTCATATTTCCAGTTTCTAATGCTGTCTGGACAAAGGTTACAGTCTGGTCCATTCCTAACTAAGTCCTGAACTGAGAGTGTCAGAAGTTTAGAGTCATATCAGTTCTGTCAGTTCAGTCATGCGTGGTCAATTTATAGGGGAGCAATTCCTACAGAGCTTTGTGAGCTTAATTAAACTTTAGAAGTAGAACATAATGTCCTCGATGTCTGACCCTCAGAAAAAAATCCCACAGCTTTGAACAGGGAGAGAAAGAGAGCGGTCTTTGGGAGGACGGTGGTAGTCTCCAAACTCGAGTTATTTTCATTTTTGTCAATGAGGGAAAAAAGTAGCTTCTCTCACACACTAAACTACAAATACACTAGATGTAGCGACTGCTTTCCTTCAACAGAAAGGCTGCAGGGGTTTAGGTCCACTTGCATCTGTGGCTCGTTCAGTTATCAGTCCAGTTTGAGTGTTAAAAAAGTAATTTGTTGCTCAAAAAAAGGAAAGAAAACACGTTGATACAGGTCTAAAACTTTTGCCTTCGAATGAAAAGGTGATATGATGAAAATGAGGTTAGGACAGGATGAGTGAAACGCTGAAAAATGATGAAAAACAGTTGACAAAAAATTATCAGCGCTTACCACAACCATTGTCTGACTATGGAAGTGACGTACCTCGTAGAAATCATACTTTATCAAATATATTTTAGCTCCGACACTTGAAACAGCACTAAGAGGCAGATCATACAGAATGAAGTTAAGCAGAGATTTAATTTTAACAAACTGAATAAAGAGTAATGAGTATTTTGATTGGAGTATAAAGCTGTGTTTGACTTTGTCGAGGATATCTGTCACTTAATGAATTTCTGAAATGAAAAGCTGCAACTTCAGACTTTAAGCTGATTCATCCCCAAATGCTGCAAAGCTTCACGCTCCGTATGTGATTAACATTCTTGGTTGAAGTATTTTGCATCATCTAACCTTTATTTTGAATGAATGTATTAACTCTTCTTAAGAATATCTGAATACACTACATTTTGGCTCCCAGCATTTTACATTAGACACATGCTTTAAATGTAGCTGCACTAAAGCTTGGACACAATTGGTTCAAACAAATCATTAAAGAAGAGACAAAACTGTCAGACATCACATGGGATTGAAACACACATCTTACACCTCTGACACATGTCTGCACTGATTCCTTGGCTCTGTGGTCTGAATAGAGAAGCGGATAATTAGGTTAATATGAAAATAATCCCGGTGTAGTTACAAGGTTAGCTTCATCAGGATGTGTTTAATTCACTTTTTAATGACAACATTGTTTGCTCTGACCCAGATTCCAACCCCAGCTCCCCTTCTACGACTGTCGTCCGGGCACACGTCCATCCAGCGCCATCTGCCACTCATCCGCCCGTGCCAGAAAGTGGTGGGAGCAGCCAGACTGCTGTTGCTCCGCCAGCTGAAGCTTCAGCTCCTCCTGAGCCAGCAGCACAACCTTCACCCTCTCTTCAAATCCCTGTACAGCCAGAGCCCCCCCAGAGCTCCACGGCTCAGGTTCCCGAGGATGCTCCTCCACCTGAGCCCGTCGCCGAGCCTCCAAAGGCGGCTCAAATTCAAGTGGCGCCTCCTCCGTCGACGCCTCCTCCTTCTCCTGCAGCCCCACACAATCAGGAGACTGAAACCCCCCCACCTCACCGCCACCAGGAGCCGGAGGAAAACTCTGAGTCAGACATCCAGGATATCGCCGTGAGCCCCGAACAAGTGAGCACAGAAAACGGAGTGAAATCCATCGACTCCACAGAGGCCCCTCAACCGTCCAGTCCTGTGGAGCAGAGTGAGACTGAAACTCCATCCAGCGAAGATACTCCAACAACCGTCACCGAGGTCAGGCCACCGCGGAGTCCCTCTCCAGCTGAGAACGACTCCGATTTGACTGATGGTGCCTCTGTCACCGTGACGACCCCAGAAAAGGCTCCAGTCCAGGACACCACCCCGCCTACTGCAGCCCTAGAGCCTGAGGAAACATCTGAACCTCCTACTGAACAGGTGAATACCCAAACATGTTTGTTTTTAACGCATTTTAACCAATTTCATACCTTCTCAAAACACAAAAAAAATGCAGCAGTCAGTTTCAGTATTTCTTACTTGATCACATTACACATTTATCATCATATTATGTTATATTTTGACGTACAAGATGTAAACACAAAGCTAAGACACTGAATTGACTTGTGTCCTACATTCATGTCATCTGCAGGCTGTTGAAATCAGTCCAAAGAAAGAAGCTGCAGCCACAGTTTCCCCGCTGCCTCCTTCTCCTCCTCCTCCTGCTGCTGCTGCTGCTGCTGCTGCTGCTGCTGCTGCTGATGATGATGATGATGATGATGATGATGATAATGGGACAGACACCCTTCCCCTTGAGGACAGCAGTGTGTGTCTGAGCAAACCTGGCGAGCTCATCAGTGTCCATCCACAGAATCATGACAGCCCTACCATCCTTGCACCCAGCTCACATGAGGAGCCATATTCGGGTGATAGCCGCCGAATAGAAATGAGCGAATCTGCACCAGTCACTGAGACCGCCGTCCACGCTCCTGCTTGCTCTGCTGCGAGCTCCACCCCTGTGAAATCAGCCTCTGCAGTGCCATGCCAGGAGAACGGCATTGATAACGGCCACAATGAACCGGAGGAAAACCACTATGAGTCCCCCTCTCAGAGTCTGGGTACGCAGGAGGTACTTGAGCATGTCGTTCACGTGTCCGGGGAGCCGTCTATCCTCGACCTCGCTGTCCAAAACTCAACACCGCAAGCTCAAATCGTCAACGGAGAAGCCGCCAAAGAGATGAAATCTGCCTCGCTAGTACCCAGCGACCCTTCTGATACTGTGTCCCCCTCGAAAGAGGACTCTAACCCCTCTGAGCCTGCAGCAGAGGAGACTTCCCCACAGCTGCAGACTCTGCAGGATTCACAGCAGAGGAAGGCCTCTCGCATACTGTCGGCTGATCCAAAGTACATTGTGGCTGCAGTCGGGGTGGGCGCCTGTGCGGCGCTGATGGCGTGGAAGTATAAGAATTAAAAGGATTGAATGGCTTTTTAAAGGAAGAGAAGATTAGGGTTTAAGGGCTTTGGACAGAGGATCTTAAGGGGTTCTGTGCCTTATTGTAGTCACAGGCTGGGATGGCGTTAGGCAGCTGTTTAATAATTACCTTTAGTAATAACAATAGCTGACTAGCCAGACCTTTGATCGTGTCATTAATTTCTCCTCTTTTGTTCAGTTGGACTGTGTTTTATCATTTAACTTCTATATAAGTCGACCATATTGAGAAGAAACCAAATCTGTCCTTTTTATTGTAGTTCTCTGAGCTGAGTTAGGACCTCAGGTTATTTATTTATGCACTTGCTGCAGTTACCCTGTTTGTAAAGGCAGAGCAAAGCTGTGTGTTCATGAAAGAAATGTTTGCACTCGTGTGTTGAGCACTTTCAAGATGAGACTGTGGTGAGGATCAGCCCATCAAAGATCTGATTCCTGTCACTGGATGTGGACTGGACTATCCTTTTGATGGTGGGAAACTTGGCTTCAAAGGATGCAGGTGCAGTCACTGTATTTATTTGTACATATAAACAGAAGCATATATATCCTAATAGTATTTTAATAAGAAGCTATGTGTCAAGGATCATTCCAAAAGCATTAATTATGTTTCAGAAATTGTGGACTCAAATAATGAGCGAAACATGGCGCTCGTTAATGTCCGTTCTCCCCCGTTTGTATCTGTGACATAGTCGGGATGCACCACTCAGACTCTCTCAGACTCTCTCAGTCTGGATCCTGTTACCTGACTTTGGGATATCAGCCAGAACAGAGAATCCGCTGGAAGATTAAAGGATCACTCCTCTTTCTCTAACACATCAGGCCAAACAAAAACACCGCAGTCTTAATTGAGAAAAGCATTAGTACTTGAGGAGTTAATCTGGATATTTGTAATTGTTCTGTGTGTAGAGGAGTCTTGTCTTGCTCACAGATGTTGCGACACTATCCACCTGTGTCTACCTAGCGCTCAGTTGTGGCAGCAGGTGAAAGAAGTCAACCCAGACGGCTCACCTGCTCGTCCTGGGAGACGCCAAGGTGTTCCCAGGCCAGATGGGATACATAATCCCATCTCAGTGAGCTCTGGGTCGATCCGGGCTGTCCTCCCTGTTAGACATGCCTGGAAAACCTCCAAGGAGAGGTGCCCAGGAGGCATCCTTGGAAGACGCCCTGATTACCTTGACTGACTTACGGACGTCGGAGCTCCTCGCCTCAATCCCCAAAGCTGAGCCCAAAGCTACCTAAAGTTAATGACCTGGGTGAAGGTTGAAACTGAGGTTGACTGGGAAACTAAAAGCTTCCCTCTTCAGCGAGACAGTCTGGTACTACGTCTGAGTAACAACTGATTCTCTCTTCATGCCTAAACACATTTTAATACTTCTCAAATCGCTGTTTACCACAATTGCTGGACTAATGCAATGTGTCCCAGGCCCCTCCTGATATCCTGTGTCTGTAAAAAGACAAAGGAGGATTTGGTTTTTATGAATTGTTTTTTTAAAGTCTCTTAGCTGAGCCCTGATTGCTGACATTTTTATGATTTACATTCCTTCACATGAGAATTCCTGATACCTTCTAGACGATTTCTGAACACAGGCCCTGATATTTTTAGGAACTTAAATTTTGCACTTCCGTAATCTCCAAAAGGAGATTAGCTGTGTCAGGCGCGTTGTGTCATCTCTACGCAGCCCGTTTGATTAAGATGGGAGGGGTGGCTGAGTAAAATGTGCTGGAGGAGAAGGAGAAGAAGGAGGAGCAGGAGCAGGAGGAGGAGTTTTCCTGTAATTGACAACATCACCACAACATTCAGACCCACATTTCCACAACACAAAACAGTGGAGTGCATTGGAGATATCACACACATGTTGATGAACATCTTGAATTTTTTTATGATATACTATCCAGCTTGTGATTGCCTTTAGACCTCACTATTTCTGTCAGAATCAGATGGAGTTTGTTTGGTGCATCCCTGTCTCATAATCAAAACTGCACCACCCCTCAAAAGGAACTGTCCTCTTTTATTCATACTTCCATGTGGTACACATGAACTGTCAGATGATTATTTGCAGATTCCACTGAGCTTTTGTGCTTTTTCCTTATTTCATCTGTCTCAATGTTTGAAGAGTAAGTCTAATAATGTAGTCAGTGTAAACATTTCCTAGAATTGTAAGCAGTGAAATGAAAAATATAAGGATGACGCTTTTGCTGCTCTCTGCAGGTCCCTCCAGATAAGCAGCTGTGCTTTCTGGGTATCATTCTGTGTAAATGTTTGAGATTAAATTTTATTTTTCCATGGTATTTTTCTCCTTTTAGATAGAAACAAGTTTGACTGTGTCATATTCTGAGATGAGATTATAGTGTAAATAACAATGTGTTGAAATATTTTTGCTGTAAAAGGAGTTGACAGATTTTGTTTTGCACATTTTAAAAACATATTTGATCTGCAAATATGTTGAGTTGATCAAACAGTAGAACTCATGTAAATTGTAAAATCTGTATGACTTTTAGCCAAGTTCGATGCACTTGTCTCTAGCTATGCACTCGACAATCACATCAATAAACCCGGGCGAGAAATAACAATCCAGTGTGCATGTTGAATTCCTTTAAATGAAATATAAGCTTTGTTTACTCCACTAAATCCCATTTTTAAACTGTTTAAGTCATGCAGGACAGGACTGACATTATTACACTCAACTTGAATGCATTTAATCGCTGTTGTTTTGTGCATTTTATATTTAAAACAATAAAGACTAAGAAGGAAAAACTAGAATCCATCAGTTTAAAAGGGTGGTAAGATTGAAACATGCAGATACAAAAAGACAGGCTGATAAATTAGAGATTTAAGACACCATTTGTACGACTATTTTACTCTTAGATTGTCCTTATTCTGGGTGAAAGTTGTGGTTTTTGAACATTTAGATAACTGACGAAAAATATTATTTATTATATGTTTGTTTAGATGCTCGTTTTATTAAATGTTGTCCGTAAATCTTTGCAAACTCATCTAATTTTGCTTAAACTGTGACATCAGCGTCCTGTTTAAACTGTATTCTGCCTGGCTGATTCGCATTCTGATTGGCTCTGGGCCCCGTCAATCAAATCCAAACCCCGCCCACCACTGCCTTGACAGCGAACATAAAAAGGACATGTACACCGAGCGTTTATAACGACACAGCTACTTAGCCCGCTAATTAGCTGGGACTTCATTTTGCACACTAATCATTGACATTCAATGGTTTAATTTAGCACCAACTGCAGCATATATGTAGCTAATCAGTCACTTAAATGGCGTTCAATGGCCACCAACGCGAAGATGGAGCTATCGACGAAGACGAAACGCCCACGAAGCAGCCGCGCTCCGACAAGGAGAAGCCCGGTTATCTCTCACACGAGCCCAGCAATGAGGCTTCCGCGTCCGCGGGGAGAGCGACATCCGAGCGGCGGACCTCCAACTCGACGGCGAGGCATCGGAGGGACTCGGTGAAGAAAACAAGGCCGCGTAGGTGTTACCGTTACGAGCGTGGGCTCCGTGTAGTTACTGGGAAGGCGCCGTTGCATGATGTAGAAAAATCAAAGGCGTTCCCCTCATAGACAGTCATTGATATAAGACAGAATTTACGTGAAAACCTGTAATTTAATGCAAACACGTCTCGCATGAAACCCTACACTCTATTTTGTTGCATGCTTTGATGATGTAAATATCACGAAATGATATGGGGATTGATACAACAATGTAATAAGGGTGAGCTGTGGCGGTAGCAGTAAATAGACGGGGTCTATTTTGCAACAAGATGGCGTTCCGGGTACACACTGTACTGTAACAACAGTAGATGAGGCTGCTTGTCATTATGTCGGCCAACAATAAGATATCAGCTGCATTTACATGCATTGTCAATGAGCATGATCATATAAATTATATTAATAAAATTTAATATTTTAAAAATGTGCAAAATATTAATTTGTGACATTTGTTTTGCATGTGTTATCTCCTGTTTTGCAGCCTTTCCCTGGTTTGGGATGGACATTGGAGGCACTCTTGTGAAGCTGGTGTACTTCGAGCCCAAAGACATCACAGCAGAGGAGGAGCAGGAAGAGGTGGAGAACCTAAAGAGCATCCGGCGTTACCTCACCTCTAACGTCGCCTATGGGAAAACAGGCATCAGAGACGTGCACCTGGAGCTGCAGGACCTGACGCTGTGCGGAAGGACAGGCAACCTGCATTTCATTCGATTCCCTACACATGACCTGCCGGCCTTCCTGCTGATGGGCCGTAACAAGCACTTCTCCAGCCTCCACACCACCCTCTGCGCCACAGGAGGGGGGGCGTACAAATTTGAGTCTGATTTCCGCATGGTAGGTCTGCAGTTGGTCTCTTTCTTTTGCTTTTACAGGCTGAGGATGGAGCGGAAGGACAAAACAGGGATGTGTGTGAAGTCATAATAGATAAACAGCATGAGGTTCAATCATGTGAAGGTAAAACTGACCCCTAAAAAACATATTTGGGCAAAAAAATCAGAGATTTCACTTATTTATTGCAGAAATCCTCATGTAACTCACAAAAAAACAATTTTTAAACTGCATGCAACAAAACATTACTTATAATTTTAATACAAAGATAAATCAGAATCACTTTGAGTCTATGATTTATCAAAATGTTGGATTTAGGATTGCATCTGCAATTTAAGGCACAAAAAAAATCCATGTTTTTAATTTTAATCACAAAAGATTCTATGTTTTGGTCGAATTATAAATAAAGTTCCTGTTTTTGTACCCCCTTGTGCTCTCCCTCCTACCCCAGTTTCCTGCCTGTGTGTTCCCCTGACCACATCCCGTCAGTGATGTTATCCATGTTCTCTTCTTTCCTCTCACTCAAACACTCACTCACACACAAACAAAGATGGCGGACCTGCAGCTCCACAAGCTGGATGAGCTGGACTGCTTGATCCGGGGGGTTTTGTACATCGACTCGGTGGTGTCCAGCGGCCCCTCAGAGTGCTACTACTTTGAAAATCCCACTGACCCGGATCGCTGTGTTCAGAAGCCCTACACACTGGAGAACCCTTACCCTCTGCTGCTGGTCAACATTGGGTCTGGGGTCAGCATCCTGGCGGTCTACTCTGAGAATAACTACAAACGAGTTACAGGGACCAGGTAATGATCAGTGACAGGGAATATTTATTGATCTAAAGTTAAAAGGCACAGTTATAGTACGCTGACTTTTATATGATAGATCAATTTTAAATAAATGTTTTATATATTAGAAGTGAAGTTATGAATCAAACCATTTAAATATAAAACTGTTTAATTTTTCTTTACTGTAATTGGCTGCCATTTGGATTGGCTTTTGCCCGTAACTGAGCAATTTATAACCAGCTCGAGGATAAAATGAGGGTCTCAGAGTTTGGGATACCTGCTTGAAAACGAGACAGTTGTTCTCAAATCTTTCAGGAGGACTTTGTCGACAAACTCTAAAAAGATTAATCTAAAAAAGAAATGTGAAGGGAGATGGTGTGCTCTTTTTATCCGAGTTGCGGGACAAAAATAGAAACAAAGATTAAAAAAAAGGAGAGATTTTCTGCACACTGAGACCGGGACTAACCTGAAGGATTTATCGGAGCGTTCAGCTGACTAAATCTTTAAGATTTGTCTCTCAAGCTGTCAGATTTGTCCACCTTGCTTTTTCTTGATGAAGATCCTGATCTTGGGTGTTTTAGTTTTCCTTGCAAACATGATTTAAGAGTAAAAGAGAATGAGATACATCCCAGTTTTTACACTGACAGCTTCACTAAAAAGACTCAGACCTCTTAAAAAATGCTGCTTAACCTGAAAAGTCATATTTTCTTTTACTCATGTTGGAGTTCGGCTTGTCCACAACCTTTTATTTATAGCTGAGTAAACATGTAAGAACCAATTTTTTAAAGTACCAAGTGGAATGATGTCTGAGGGTTAAAGGTGTCTTTTTGGAGGTCTGATCTCAGTCTACAGACTCAGATGAACTTCAATAATAAGTGAAAGAAAATTTTAAAAAGACTAAAAATTATAAACACTGTTTAGTTGTTGGTTTTGCATGTCCAGAAAAAGTAACGTGACACACACGCTGAGGTGAAACCACTGCAGGCTCTTTGTTAGGAGTTCACTTAATACATTTCAGTTCAGCTTTCTTGAAAGGTTGTTTTCACATGTGGTTTCTCTGTCTGCTGACTTTGAAAGGGACTGACTCATGCTTGGATGACCTAAACTCACCATAATCCTCTATCCAAAATCACAAAATATAAATGTTAAAGGATTATTTATCTTTATGATATACAGAGTAATGAGCAGACTCTTTCTCCCTGTTTCCAGTCTTGGTGGGGGGACCTTCCTGGGCCTGTGCTGCCTGCTGACCGGCTGCTCTACTTTCGAGGAAGCTCTAGAAATGGCCTCTCAGGGGGAGAGCACCCGTGTGGACAAGCTGGTGCGGGACATCTACGGAGGAGACTATGAGAGGTTTGGACTGCCGGGCTGGGCTGTAGCCTCAAGGTGCGGTTTACAGCAGCTTTTCCCTTTTTGAACTGCAGGTCACGAGTCTGTTTTTGTCGGACAGACGGCTTTAGCGAAAAGAGGAACTAGAACGACGCTAAATTTAGTCTTTTTCCAATCCCAAGATTAAAACATAAAGCACTTTATTTCAAAATCACATCCCTTTCATCCAGAGGTGGAATATTCAGTGGACTCAAACATCTTTTTTCACCTAGTTTTCAGAAATCTCATTTTCTTGGAGTCATTCTGTATTATTTGGCTGTTAAATTCTGGATTTTACCAGATTTCTGATAACCTAACATGGACTGTGGTTTGATTTGACAGTTTTGGTAACATGATGTCCAAAGAGAAGAGGGAGTCGGTGTCTAAAGAGGACCTGGCCAGAGCAACACTGGTCACCATCACCAACAACATCGGCTCGATCACCAGGATGTGTGCTCTAAATGAGGTGAGTGAAGAGGATGTGGAGCTGTTGAAGTACTCTGTGTTTGAGTTGACAATGGATTAAAGCATTCAGAGCGACTTAAACTGTTGTTAGAGCATCGAAAAGACAAAAACGGAGCAAGAGACTCAAACACAGAAATCTGAAGACTGTCTGAGGTTCCTGCGGTTGGTTTCTCTTTGCCTTCAGCCTCTTTACGGTGCTGCCTTGTGGCGTCTTGATCAAGCAGCATTGTACAGGGCTATGAAGGCGTCGAGGAGGTCATCAACGTATTCTGCTGTCTGTTACAGTCTCTGAATTTGAAAACAATTATTAGGAGATGCTAAGACTTCGATTATGGTCTGAAAATATATTTTCAATGTAGGAGATCAGCACTGAAACAAACATTTTTACTGCTGTAATTTGTTGAGGTACACATTTAGACTGATTATTTTGCCTCTTAAGCTTCTTTATCTTGGCAGTGTCGTGATGTTAATGAGTAATATCATAAGCTGTTATCAGAAGGAAGTATTCAACCCATCACGTTGTAAATTGCTCAGATATTAACCTCATGATTTCTCTTTCATTCACAGAACATCGAGAGGGTGGTGTTTGTGGGAAACTTCCTCAGAGTCAACACCCTCTCCATGAAGCTCCTGGCCTACGCCATGGACTACTGGTCTAAAGGGCAGCTCAAGGCTCTCTTCCTACAGCACGAGGTAAATGAGTCTTTATAGCTCCTGTCAGGGGAGGGCGCTGTTGAGGTGTGCCCTGTGTGCAGAGGCTGTAGCCTTCTGGTTTGACTTTGCTGCATGTTAGACCTCACTCTTTATCCCCCATATTCCCTGTCTTGTTTTTCTTTTTGTACTTAAATGCTCTAAAAGTGTTATAATTTGATGTTCTGTTATTTTTAGGGCTATTTTGGAGCCGTTGGAGCACTGCTGGAGCTTCTGCATCCTTCCTAACTCACATCCAAAGAAGAACTTGTCAATCTGCTGCAAAGACCAATCGCACTTTAGACTGTACGGAGTAATTCCACAGCGGGATGTTCATCCAGTCACCGATGGATCAGTTACTGGCAGGAAAACATATGTAGGTCCTTTAGTCGAGCCGGTGTGTGAAAGGCTCTTGATTGTCTCTTCCAAATGTTGATCCATGTCAGCTCCTGTGATCAGAACGAAGCCTGTGTCCGCCCCGACCAAACAATAATGCAGCTAAGTTGACACAGTCGTAGTTTGCAGGACGTTTTGATCTGAAACATCTCAAGGAATTTCACCACATTTGCCTGAAACACTATAGGTCAAACGGTATTTAGCGTTGCAGAGTTTTGTCTTTTAATGAAGTCCTGGTCCAAATGCTTCCTTGTTCTTTTTATGGTTCATCTCCACAGAGGTACCAGGTGGATGGGAGCTTGTTTAATAAGACTTGAGAAAAACAGTTTTATAGACGAGTCTCCTCAGCTTAAATGTAGTTGTGAAAATTGTGAAAACAATTGTGTGCCAGAGCCAAAGAGTAATTATTTAAAAATCCAAGAGACTCCTATCAGAACAGACCAAAACATACAGGAAGTGTCATGTTCAAAACGCTTGAACTGACTTAGTGAGCCACTAATCATCTTTCTGAGACAGGATTTCAGTCCTTGCAGATTGATTTTTGTGTGCTGTTGCATCAGATACTAAAAGTCCTCCCACCTATCTAATGTTTTTCAGTATTTATCTGAAACAAACACTGAATATCATTTAAAACCACTAAAAACACGTGGTGTGTTATCTTAATGTGTCCTCATTGTTGTGATTTAGACTTACCAATAATAGGTTTTCTTTACTAATTGTTGACAAAACGTCTTCAATAATCAAAAGAAATGCACCACATCCTAAGATGAAGCCCTAAATTGGGGCTCGAGGTTTCTGGTGAACTTGACAATCAGTGTGAAGGTTACTGTACTATACTGTACAATCTGAGTGGTACATTTGAAGTCCTTTACTCCATCCCTGCTGAAGTGCCCTTGAATAACTGCATCACTTTTCTAAGAGGCGACAGGTTACATAAAATATGGAGAGCAACAATGTGAAGACAGAATAGGGGGAAATTTATGTAGGCTATTAATCTTCAAGTTTTCCCTTTATCCAACAAAATGTTACTTTGATTCATAGGCTTACTGATTCCCTCCAGTTTAAGTTTGAAGTCCCGTACCTTGAAATTACTTCTGTATTTCTATGACTGTTCAGTTTGTACTTCATGTTTATGTTGTAATTTTAATTTACACCTCTGTCAGTCTCATAGAAGCTTTTTGTCTCAGAAACCTAGCAAGAAAAAAACCTTAAAAATCAATCCGTGCTCATCCACTGCATTTACTGTAATGTGTTTGCTCTGTTACTGGTCCAAAGATGAGTAAGAGGGACCACAGTGAATCACAAGCTACTGAAGAGGGAGATTTCTCCGTTTCTAGACACAGTTTTTAGCTGTTAATTAGAAGACATGTTCTTGTAGATTGTGCGTACAGTGAGTTGGTTTTAAATTAAGTGCCTGCCATGTTTTTGTATCAGATACATCAATGTGTTCAGCAACGTGATTTAAAATAGACAAACTGATTTGTATTTCTAAAGGTTTACTCTCTGTTTGCTTGTACGTTACAAAGAGGACTTTGTACTTTTGTGTGAAACAGTGATGACGCATTTTTAACTGCATTTCCCTTTGTTAAATACAAACTTTTCTAATTTTTAATACTCCTTGTGGCTTTCTGTTTTAGAACTTTAAAAAAAGTAGAGACAGCTTTTTTAGTTAATGTAAAGTAACCGCCAGGTGGCAGCAGCGGTCACCTTAGCGTTAGGAAATCGAACATCTATGGAAAAATACAAACGAACAGGCATCTACGAGGATTGCGACGAATGACCCCTTTGCTGCGCATGCGCATTCGCTGAACATCGCCAAGTTGACAGTCACTAATTTCACCGAAACACCTCACTACATTGAGCAAACTCGGCGCTTGTCATTACGTAGAGTAAGATGTGTTTCAAAAACAAGGTTTTATGATATTTAAGGAGACACGAGACAATTTCAGTACGTGAAACGTGAGTTGGGGTAATAAGAAACCCGCACTTTGAGGTTAAAAGTACTAGTATCAATTGACATGAGCTAATTAGCGAGCTAGCCGCTTAGCTAGCTTGAGTACGTTTGGAGAGATGCCTTCAGCAGGCGGGGAGAAGAAAGAAGAAGCAATGTTTTATTTTTTTTTCTTCAAGTTTTTTTATTTTTTATAAGAAAACCTTGTGAAATCAAAAAAAAGTTTCTCTCTTTTTTATATCTACTTTTTAATGATAAGGCAAACTATAGCTTATAGGAAGCAGTTGGGTCGAATGCCTTGATACCGTGTTTTAGTCACTTTAACTTCCTATCAGGCACCGAACACCTCCTTCAGGGCTGTAAAAAACCTAATTGATAATGCAGTCTATTTTCAATGCAAATAACACTTGTAGTCTCTTTCCACCTACAGAGACGGTGCGCTTCGTCAGGCACGTAGGCTATGAGAGAAAATAAGTCAAATTCACGTTTTTTTAGCGTTATGCAAGAGGACATCTGCCTGTTACAGAACGATCCATGAAAGAGTTAGTGTCTTTCCAGGGAAATCCAGCCCACTTCGGTCCAGCTCCCTCCTCCTCCTCCTTCTCCTCCTCCTCAGTGAAGGCTGCACAGCTGGCAATTTACAGACAATAACCCTGTGAGGAGTAATTGGCCGCTCGGTGGACCACTGTCCCGCAGATTGGACTCATTTGATGAAGAAGATGAATTAGCAGAAGTCCTGGGATATTTATCAATCTTCTGGAACCGGGGGTTCAGCTTATAAACTCCTGGATCACCAAAATCCAAGTCTGAGATCCCCCCTTTCTCCACTGGAACCGTTATAACCTCCTCATACTGGACACATAAGGTAAGACATGTTTGTCAATAGTTTGAGTTTTTATTAAAGAAAATGAAGAAAAATGTATGTAAGGATCTTAATTTAGCTACAAAACTAACATTTTAAGTATATTTCAACAGTAAAACTTCTTCACTTACAAGAATGATGTTTTGGTGTGCTTTTGTAACCTTGTGAGGCACATCCCATCTGCAAGCAGTGCATTTGTTCCACCTTATTAACATCTCAAACAAAGTCTTTGACTTTTATAATGCTTAATATAGCAAAAGAGTAGGTGTAAGCAGTGCAGCTACAGGACAGAAAATTTATCTCAAAAGCCAAATATTGACTTTGAAAATAGTTGGAGGTGCATTTACAGGATTTCCCTTGACGCTGAAAAAGATTCAGACACTTCCAATTCTCAAATGAAAAACCAAAAAAGTTCTAGTTTTGTTTAATAAGAGATAATGAGTTATTTAAAGCTCTTGTGAGGAAGTTTAAATAGTCAAAAAACAGGCTGAAATGATCAGTGATGCCCCTTTTGAGACCTACAAATGCAGACTAGACTGTTAGAAAAAAGACTGACAATTTGTTGTATGATTTTTAATGCCTGAAACAGCTTTGAGGGGTCAAGTGTCAGACAAAATGACTTCAAGCACAGTGAATGAAAACACTGTCTTTTACTTTTTCCACAGATCACCTTTCAGAGCTAGCAGAAATGTGATTTTTGTTTGGGCAGAAAACACTAAGTGTACAAGACAAGATCAGGAAAGAGGTATTAGTTTGTCTACAGGGGACGTCAAAGTAAACACAAACTGAAATTTCTTCACTGGAGCTTTACATTTTTGCATTTTTGATTGGTTTACAGTTTTTGACAATTTTGGGTGGTAATAATGCTTTCTGAGGATGCTCAGTATTGTTAACCTAATATTGGTATCAATAGAGTAAAGCAGAGGAAGTTAATCATCAGTGTTGACAGATATGATATTCAGCTGATATTTACGGCTGATAATGTGATGATCAACATTAGTTTTGACCTTAGTTTCAAACTGAGAGAGTACCAGCTCCCACAAGCAGCTTCTCTACAAAGTCACATGACAATTTCACATAACTGGAACAGGATTTACTCAAAGTGATATCAGTGATTGATGAATCTCCTTAAGATACCATGATAAACCTGAATCCAGTTCTTTAATGCTAGAAATTTTTGTGCCTTTCTAAACTTCCTGAGTCAGATTTGGGGTCCAAAACACATCTATATTTCATAATTTTTTCATTTCAAATGGAGCACAAACATAACTTTGTAGCATGGCAACAGCGTAGGAGGCTTCTAGAGACTGAAGCTGAACCGAAGTGTTCCAGATAGAGGCTGAAATGTGGTTTTTCAAAGAAAAAAAAGAAGAAAGCCATTGACTTCATTGCACTTGATAACCAGCCTGTCAGCATAAAATAGTCAGTTAATGTCATGATTTAAAGAGCCTAAAAGACAAAGGAATTGTCACACTAGCAGAAAATAAACATAAAAATTGGATAACAGAGCAAACCCAAAGTTGTTCTTATTAATCACTTTTAAGGGTCTGTCATTAGAGAGTAGAAAGTGGTGCTGTTAAATTTCACTGCTGAGTTTGGAAAAGACTACTCTCTTGTGTTTTGGTTTGGACTCCTCTTACTTAATTAAGCGGAGAAGAAAACCAATAAACTCTGGCTTCTCTTTCTTACAATTTCCAGGAACTGCTTCTGACTTTCTCTCCATTCGCAGTGACTTAGTTTGTACTTGGTCCTCCACATATTTGCTCTCAAACAGCATCCATCCCTACTTAAGATCCTTCTGTCATCCATCTACTCTCTCTTGCTCATGTTGACTGGTTTACAGATAGAGTTTCACAGAGTTCCTCTGAGGTCAACAACAATCTGCAGAAAGGTATGAAAATCTTTTCCTGTTGCCCACGCAGGGAGCTTTCACTCGCAGCTTGGTTCAGTCAACCAAAACCCAGCGAGGTACAGAGCTCTGGTAGTAATTAGTAAACGGATTCAGTGTGTTTTGGTGCACGCATGCATGTGGAGTCTCAGGTTTAGACTGACTGCTGAGCTGCTGCCTGGTTGTTAGAGCTTTTCACAGATTAGTATTAAGAATCCTTGATGGAGTGATGGTCTTCCTCATTCCTCTTCTGAACAGTAAGACACCAGAAGGAACAAGTGAGAAGAAAATATACATATTTTATAAGCCCCATTTTATTTCAGCAACAGCTAACTGGTCCACATGACCTCTGTGTGGGTCAGTAGATTGAATCATCCATCACAGTTTAAAGTAGGAGTTGACTAATATTAGTTTTTCACGTCCAATACCGATACTGGAAGTTTGGTATTGGTCTGAACCCTAAAAAATTTGTCTCAGTAATTCATGAGATTTAGAACCTACATTTGGGACCAATCTACATCGATGGTTAAAATGAAAAGTTAACCAGCTACACTTGCAGTACAGTCAATTCACGCTGGTGCATGTTGTGTGGCATCTAGCAAATCCAACAGTGCTGAGTGGGACGTTAGGAGGGAAAGACATACCAGCAAAGGAGCCAAAAGTTGCTCACTTTTTATTTATTTTTGTTTGCCGTCTATAAAATTAAAGGCCGATACAGACAGTTGACTAAATGTGAACTATCTGAGCTGAACATCAGCTGTTCAACCTCAGAACCAAACAGAGCTGCTAATGCGGCTGGGCGATAATCCGAAAATTTACAGATACCGAAATTTACGACAATAATGGACATCATTTTGCCCATATCGGTATTCTGTGTCAAAAAAATAAAAGTTAGTTTTGGATGTGTGTAGGTAGGCAATGGTCTCATGTTCCTTTAAGATGATATCCTATTTTGGAGACGTAACTCCACCCCATCCAGTCTGTAACAAAGAGGGAAAGACAAATGAGGAGATGGAGGACGGTTCATAGTTGTAGCAGCTGGAGTGGCGGCTGAAGTAGAGAAAGTTAATGTGGGAGGGGGTGAGCAGCTTGTGGAGTAGTTATCATCCATTTATCATTATCGAAGTGAACTGCTCAATATATCATGATATTGATTTGAGGCCTTATCGCCCAGCCCTAGCTGCTGCAATTCATAAATATTAATGTTAGTACTTGATCTGTTGACTATTCTTACAGTACACTTCTAGGTCATTTGGAGGTAGCCCTACAGATATCTGCACAGAAAACACGGCACCACATGACATTAGTTTAATCATTGGTGCCTTGCTTTAAAAACCTCCTGCTGACTAAAGCGTAGTGTGTGTCCTTCCATACACGTGACGCCGGACTCAGACGACGCAGTCAGTCTCAGACATGTTTTGGAAAGTGCACCTTAAGTTTGCGGTCGCTGTACAAACACATCACACTACTGTATTTGTGTCTCTAGAAGAACAACCCCCCACTCACTAAGAGCAAAGAGGGGGTGAAGCTGTCAAGGTATCAATAGCAGGCTTATGTTAGCATTCAGGGTTTACCCGAGCTGTACAGGAAGGTTTATGAGAGCAGAAGGAACACTGTGTGAGGAAAAGTGACTTATTGTACCTCAAAGTATGAATGAAGATCTACGCAGAGGAACATGGTGAACGTGAGAGTCCACAGAGAAGATGAGAACATTTGTAAAAGTGTTAATTTTATGGTTTTAATAATAATCGCCTCCATCTCTGGGTCTGATGGTGCGGTCAATGAGGCCTGCAGGTTTCTAATGTCCCCTGTCATCCCTCTTCCCAACATCAGAGTCGAGTAAACACTGACCAGATGGTTCGAATCAAACTGTCGGAGCAGCTCCACATGGTCACATCAATCCTTCCTCCATATGCCGAGCATATTTTCAGCTGCTCCGTCTGAGCCCTCTCGGTCTCAGCTACAAAAAAAGAAAAAGACAAAGTAGTTTTCTGCAGATCAGAGAGACTTTTAGGGGGAAATAAGATGTCTGTAGTCTTTCCTCTGGTATTATCTGAGCAGAAAGTAACATTTAAACTAGACGTGTCCAGAAATAGACAATGTTATTCTGGACAAACAGGCATTTGAGTTTAAGCTCAAACATCAACGTTTTTAGGATAGAGCCCCGCAGTCGTTAGCTCATTAGCGCATGTCAATCAATCAATCAATCAATCAATCAAATTTTATTTATATAGCGCCGATTCACAACAGTTGCCATCCCAAGACGCTTTTCAAAGAACAAGAGCAGGTCTAGACCACGCTCATTGTTTGATGAATTATCAAGAACCAACCTAAGATGGGTTTTGGCCCATCTCATCTAACATGAGTAGCAGTGGCAAGAAAAAACTTCCAACTTGCATGTGCACACTCATCGTTTTTGTTTTTGAGACACACAGGGATACACACACCCGCCTCCTCCTCCTGCTCCTCTCCCTGCTCTCCTCTCTCCACCTGTGGCTACCTGATGGTTTGTGCAACATGTTGCAGATAGTCCATCAAAGTTTAACTGTCAAAATCTGATAGATCGCCCAGACCTCTCAGACTGTCTAACATGGGTCTTCAGATGTCATGTCAAAGATAATCAGCCTCCTTTCTTCTATCAGGTCTGCCTCCTCTCTGACTGTCTTCAGTCTTACCTGGAAACTAACGTATACATGATGATAGCCTTTTAGTCCACATGTCTCAAATTAGCAGCCCCTGTTTTTCTTTGACTTCTGAGTTGCTTTGTCTTTCATGAATTGTACAGTAGTGCCTTTAAATGTGCTCTATGAACAAATCTGACATGACTGTAATCGTGTCCCCCATGTCCAGAGGCTACAATCCTTGCCTGGTTTGGATCCCACCCAGATGCCACTCTCTCCTCCCTGTCTCTGACTCTAAACTAATCCAATACAACAGAAAACATGTTAGGTGTTATCTAAAGCATCTTGTAAAAAGGGCAAAAATCAGATTTAATGAAAAGTTATGTGCTGGGAACCAATAAGCTTGATTTCAAAATCTTGTACTTGTCCTTTAGTGATTGCGATCTATTTTTCTTTCGGAGTAAAGCCACATTTGTGACCTTTGTCCCTGTTTCTTGGCTGCAGTCTCTGGTGTCTCTGGATTCTGCACCTTATTTGGTCTTTAATTGACCTTTCAGAATAAATCCTCAGCAGGCCGCTATGTCTTTCTTATATTTTCTAGACACATAATAAATGAGATCTACCTGAAAATCTGTCTTTTATGTCTCTCTCAAGCTGTCTCTCTTGTCTGTCTTTTCTTCACTCGCAGCTGAAAGAATGGAGAAGTCAAGACCCAGGCCTCGGTTAGCGTTCAGCCTTCTGTTTGGGTTGTGGTTACCCTACTGTTTAGCCCAGACTACACCATCAAGCACAGCCTCGCCATCACCCACACCCACACCCACACCCTCCCCATCCTCCCAGTCCCAGACTGAGCGGCTAAAGGTTAGACTGTCCGGATACCCACGAAAACACAACGAGGGTCGGGTGGAGCTTTTCTACAAGGGAGAGTGGGGAACGATCTGTGACGACGACTTTTCAATAACAAACGCCAACGTGCTCTGTCGCCAGCTGGGCTTCGTCTCAGCCACGGCATGGACTCACAGCGCCAAGTACGGCAAGGGACAAGGTGAGTGTGACCTTGATAGTTTCTACCAACCAATCATCATAGTAGGATAAGATAGTGCCCTGAGGCATGTAAAGGATTATGTTTATCTGATCTGACTTATGATTGTCTGAAAAGGTAAACACACCTGCTGCACATCAACATTTAAACATCAACAAACTTGTCAAACTTTTTGTCCATACACAAACTTTTTTGACTTTTTACTGCAGCTTTTTCCTTATTTCTTTTTTGAATAACAGATTTCTCAAAACTCGCCTGACATTTCACTCCAAAAAGTGAACTTATCAGCATTATTTTCCATATTTCACAGATATTTTATTGACAATTTGATGCTCTTCCAACATTTTTTGGAAGGCTTTTTCACACTTCACCAGAACTTAATTGATATGAAAACAATATTTTCCTTTATTTTATCAGCAATATTAACATTCGTACCTCTGCTCTGCTAAAATTTAACACAAAAATCTTTTTTTACTGATTATTTATGAACACCTCACCAGCCGTTACATTTGCTTCTCTGACATTTCAACCCAAAATGTTTAGTGAACACGTTTTTTTAGACATCTGGCCAATATTTTCCCCATATTCTATTCATGACTTAATAAGCTTAACTTTGCTTTTATGACATTATTTAACACATCACAATGCATTTTGGACTCTTAACCAACATTTCACCATGTTTATTTATAATTTATTAATAATACTGAAATGTTGTGCATGCTTCTCTAACATTTTCCTACATTTTATTTACACATCAACAACATATCATTTGACCAATATTTTCCCTGTAGTATACTTCTCAGTATTTATGACCTAGTGTTTGTATTTGGAGCTTCTAGCTGGTTCCTCTGTCTATCTTTTTACCTGGAATAGCAGTAGCTGTCATCGTTACTTACTAGAGCCTTAGCCAAGTGGACTGACAGCTCTCTGCAGGCCTGCGGGGTGTAGCTTGAGCTGCACTGACAGTCTGCTGCTTATCCAGGAAAAATCTGGCTGGACAACGTGCTGTGTCATGGGGGAGAGAAGAGCATCGAATTCTGCAAGTCTCGAGGATGGGGCAACAGCGACTGCACTCACGATGAAGACGCTGGAGTGGTGTGCAAAGACGAGAGGATTCCTGGCTTTGTGGACTCCAATGTTATTGATGTAAGTTTTACCAAAATACATTTAAAGAGGCTGTGTAATTTAGCTGCAGTTAAGATAACACCCAGAGTTCATTTAGTAGCCTTTACAAGCCCATAAAGGCTGTTATGTGCTAACTGCTGGTTCACAGCCTATAGTCTGTATGCTCAAACCCACATGGAAGACATGCAACGCCTCAGTGCAGCTCCACCTGTAGCTGCTGGACACATGGTACTGATAAGCTCCGCTCTATACCATGTGTTGGAACATGTTGAAAGCAGCAGCCTCTCAAAGTTTATTGTCCTGAGGTGATGCAGAGTCTGCAGTAAACTCGACGACTTCCATAGTTGGTTGACTACAGGGTGGCAGAGAAGAGCAGGGTCATGACCTCAGGGTCAGAGGTTCATTTGTGAAACTCTGCTCCTTTTGCCTGATCTCAGAAACAAAAGGAAACAAAACAAAACAGTGGTTTCTATCAGGTTTCTAATAGCTAAAGAGATTTTGTTTGACCTTGGTTTTCTCCTGTTTTGTGGCTAGTCAGGGAGTTTAGAATTGGATTTAGATTTTGGTACAGACAGGTAAGGGGTGATCTTTTGTGGTTAGATTTGGGATTTTTGTTTTTTACGTTCCCTGAGGTCAATTCTTCCATTTGAGGTTTTCACCAGACAATTCTTTGTCCTTTGCTCACAACTTGATTAACTGGTTTAGTTTTGTTATAGTTTTTATTCTCAAAATTTTTGGTGTTCTACCTCGAGAGTTTTCTTTTGTTAGCTTTACTTGTTTAATTCTAACGGGGGCGGAGTCACGGAGTTGCACAAAGTCAATTTTAAGAGTTTTCCGGGTCGGATCAAGTGTCTTTTGTGTGTTTCTAACTCAGTAGTCCAGTCCACGTGACACAAAATCGAAACTTACATACAAAGCCGCGGACATTTGAAGGATTTTATAAACTCCCCTGGACAACCTGGACAGTGCCCAAAAAAGAGGACATGTCCAGGCAAAAGAGGACATATGGTCACCCTACTAGATTTTAAGAAGGTTGAAATAACAAAGGACAGTTAGATTGGCCTCTCTGACCTCTGGTGGAGGTATTCAGGGGGAGTTTTTGTCCACATACTCACGGGTGGGAATGATGTGAAGCAGATCAAGTGTACTCGGTAAACCCTTCCTGTGTAAACACCCCCGAGGGAAACTTTGAATTGGACTCTGAAGAAGCTCTGTTGGGATGGGACTCTCAAGAGTTTACCTCTTTGGAGCGGGCTGTCATTTTTCCATTTGTCCTCTTTGATGTCTGTTCGTGTGGCTGACCAGTCCGAGGTGAACAAGGTTAGACCGGGAGCTCTCCTCCTCAGACCACTGCAGACGGCTCCAGCAGCTGAATAATGCGGCTCTGTTGTAAAAAAGGGACATCATTAGATTAAGAGTTTTCATTCGAGGGCAGACTTTTAGATACGATCACTCCGTCTGACTGCTGCTGGGAGTCGAGCTCGGTCAGATGTGGCCTCCAGACTCCCTTTAGACCACAGCCATTTCTTTTCCAAATAAAACCAAACGGAAGTGACTCATTCCAACTCTGGTGATCGCAGACGGTCACGTTTACCACTCATGAGTTGTTAGTGAGAGCGTTTGACCCAAATTACTCTCCATGATGGCTCTGACTCAGTGTTCAGTCTGCTTCTCTCATTCAGGAGTCTCATAGAAACGTGCCTGAGTGAGCACATGTCTGTACGTGGGAGAAATTGTAAGAGGGAGAATGACCAAAATAACCCTCATAGTTTCAGTTACTTTAAATCTGCGGCAAATTTTAATCTTATTTCACAAAGAAACTTCATTTTCTATGTCTGATTGTCTCTGCTGCACAGGCCATTGTGGATGAGAACAGTATAGAGGCGGTGCGGCTCCGGCCCGTGGTCGCCATGGCCAGAAAGAAGATGCCCATCACGGAGGGTGTGGTGGAGGTGAAATACAAGGACGGCTGGGCGCAGATCTGCGATCAGGGCTGGACCATCAAAAACACCCGTGTGGTCTGCGGCATGTTGGGATTCCCACATGAGAGGAAAGTCAACAAGAACTTCTACAAGTAAGTTCTCGACTTCAGACTAAAGTCATGCAGGTTTTCATGAGTGGGTGGATTGTTTAGGTCAGTCTGCCATCTTTTATAACAAAGGAAAGCGAGGGACGAGAGGAGAGAGTCGTCTGCTGCTGTTTTAGAGAAAGTGTGGACATTACCATCGAGTTTGGATTAATGTTTTCCCTGTGGACGTCTGCATATCTGGCACCAAAAGAGAGAAAACCATACATCCACACTCTCTTATTAAATGGAAACAGATAGCAGCTTTTCGACGTGGCATCTGAATGGTACAGCTTGAGGAGGTAGAGAATATACTCACCTGATTTCTGCAGAGAAAGAGATGCAAAGGAGGGAAAAACAGCATTTTAATAAGTAGCCATGGAAGCTGTTTACCTCTCATTCTTGTCTTTATTTTAAACTAGACGATTGAGGTTTCTTTATATTTAACAAACATATGAAGAATGATGTCAAGGTTGTTATGGAGCCAGGTGCATTATCTTCATTTTCCGTTGAATCAGACTGCCTTCAACTGTAAACTGTGTAACCTGGAAACAGTTTTAATGGACCTAAAAGGTTCCCTCAGTCTGCTGTGGGTAAAAAGACGCAGACGTACTTATAAAAAAGTGAGAACTATATCTGCTTTTAGACCAAACAGTTCTGAGGCTTTTTATCCAATCCAATCCACTTTATTTATATAGCCCATTTAAAAAAACATTCAAGTTTACCAAAGTGCTGCACAATAAAATTAAAAGAAGAAATACTGCAAAAACACTGCAGAAAACAATATTAAAAAGGAACCATCCTCTAAAGAGCTGAACACGATGGGGGCGTTTTTCTGTCTCCAAATACTTATCAGGGACCAATCTAAGACTACCTTTACACGTGCCTGGCTATTTTCGTTTACAAAAAAAACTGCGTGCACACCACTATGTTTTCAGAAAAGTTTTCATTTATGCTAATCCGTGTATATATGCCGTCAAGAGCATGCCAAACCTGTAGGTGGCAGTGTAGCGAGAAGCTCAAGCCCACGTTAGCCAATCAGAATCTGTCTGAGCAGGCAGGGTGGAACAGCACAGTGTGTGTTTATGTGCATGTCTGTGTGTGTGTGTTTCAATGCTGTGCCTCTTGCACTTCTGCAAAGCTGTCAATCACAGACTGGGACACCAATATTACGCACATGCAGAGTTCAGTCTGCAAGTATAAAGGTGCAGTGAAGGTGGAACTTAGAGACAATTGCATTTCATAAGCGGCTAATTGCTTTTCTTAATGCAATGCCAAATCAAATCACAGCTCCTCTCAGGACCCTTTACCTAAAAAGAAGGCCTACATAAGCTCTTTGTAGTATCCGACCATACATACTCAGATGTAAAGAAGCTGAAATGAAATGCAGGCAGCACTGAAAGTCCCTGCAATCCCTCTGGGGCCGAATCAATGTCCTACTAAAATGTTTTAAGACTCTGGGGCCTGTAGGGGAGAGACACTGAGTTCATCCAAAGTTTGTGCAGCAGAAATGTGGCGTGTGTTTCCCATCTCCAGAGGCAACAGTTTGACCAGATCAGAAGCAGGACTTTGGTCCTTTTGGTGGAAACTGACGGTTATAAGAGCTGCTAATGTGGGTGTTAATTTTTTCCACTGTGCAGCTTGACAACAGTCCACATGATGGAAATCAAAGCATCTGGATGCGACCATGATTGTTCTCCTCTGTTCCTTATTTCTTCTCTCTGAAGTTGTTTTTGTTTTTCCTGACATGACAGCAGCTGTGATTCGGTGTCCCTGCAGGGTCACATATTTCATGTCCTCTGTCTTTGTTCATGAATTAGCACAGGAAGTTAAAGTGATTGTTAACCACTGCCAGAGATGGAAAAGTAAGAGTCCAAGTGTTTGTCTTCTGTGGTTTCTGAGAGGACATGAGCTGGCCGGTGGGTTATTTAGTAGTTGATTTTATTATCATCATCTGTCTCAGTCAGTTTTTGAGATGAGTACAAGTTAAAAATTTCTGTTTCTATTTTCTAGAAAATTACTACCATAAATACCAAGAGGTGCATGGACGAGGAAGAAGCACAAACATCTAGTTTGTCCGATGAAGGTCCAGAACTTGTGCTACCAAATTAGAGTGTGAGGGAATTTGTTGACTAAATTAATTGGATATGAAAATTTGATTCAAGACTTTAAAGACCCATTCCGATGAAAATCAAGTTTTTCTTGTTACCTACATGTTAATATGGCGTTTTCCTGAAAACTTAAGTACTCTGCACTCAAATCGCTGTGAACCTCTGATAGACCCAAACGGCAGGTTCAGAGACAGTGAGATTTCCTATGTCACAGATCCAGGCTCCGCCCCCAGAGCCCCACTCTGCAGGCCAGACTCAGAGAAGTAGAGAGGATGATTTCGGAACAACCGTGTGCGTTAGCGGATTGCAGTGCTCACAAGAAAGCTAATCAGCTGCGATGTTACCTGTTTATTTTACTACAACAGCAATATTAGGCTACAAGCTAGCGTGAAGAGGAGTGTGCAGAGCAGTGCCGTCTCCACCCCCGACTCAGAGGTGAATTTCTAATGAGCTACTGGAGCTCTGCAGAAGAAAAGTCCTTAAAAATGACACAGGTAGCGAGATTTTGGCAAGTTATGGTTTTTGCTGCATCATTGTTTTTGTTTCACCTCAAATGATGGAAAATTGGAGAAAATCAAACGATCAGTCGTGCAGTTACATCACCTAAGTTCACACTGCTCTCCTGCAGTAACAGTGGACTTTCAGACCCCCACTCTCTTTTCCCAGTTCGCCCCTCCAGTATGACTGCACACATTCCTGGCTGCGTTCCAGCTCAAGGCGTCTTATTCATCCTCTGCAGATGGTTCTCAGTAGTTCGAGGGGAAATGTGTGTTTTCTCTCAAGAGTGTGTGAAGGCTGAGGCTCAGGGGAATAGTCCGGGGTTGGGGTTTGTTCTCTGTTGTCTCTTCTGTTTTAGTCTTTTCATTCAGTATGTGTGAGTGAGTGAAGGAAGGGCTGAAGACAGACAACCAGCTTTTCACCATGAGAACGAAAAATGAAGGTAGTAGGGCTGGGCGATAAACCGAAAATTTACAGATACCAAAATTCACGACAATACAAAAAAAATTGATTCGTAATATTCCTCCAACATGTAAAAACTGGCATAAATATGCAGACAATGCACATTAAGTAAGACTAACTATTGTCCTTCTCTTCACATAAGGGGTTAAATTTTAATTTCTACACCTAGATTGTCTGTTGTTTAATAAAGCATTATAACCAATGAATGACACGGGCAGTTATTCAAGCCTTTAGAGCATAACGGAAAAAGGAAACGGCTGTAAGGGATGATCAAATGCGGTTTTATTGCAAACAGAGGTATCAACCAGAGCGGGAATTTCACAGAGGCTCGGGAAACCATCGGAGACATGTTCACCGTGACCCTCAAAATACTGTATGACCTGAAGTCACTGTGGCCTTGATGCCCCTTTTTTATCTTCTCAACCTTCTTCTAATCCTGCAAATGTGTCACACGAAACAGTTCACATCCGCTACTGACAGTGAGATTTATTCAAATGGTAGTCATAGTGCTGAATTCTGATTGTCCACTGAAGACCTGCAGTCTGTAACATAACATCGTAGGGACTTGAGGAATGTCAGAAATGTTATTCACCCCTGACCCTTCAGTGCTGTACCTGAATGAAGTGTGTGTGCGCAGCCCAGAGACGTGAGAGTACATACTATATGCAGCCTGTGTGTGTTTACATGTAGTCTCTCTCCTGTGTGTGATGGAATTTGGCTGTCTCACTGTTGCAGACGTCTGAAAAAGCGAGCGGCTGAGAAGGTGTCCAGGCCAAAGGTTAATGTTTCAGCTGGTGGAAGGTACACTGTGAGAGAGAGAGAGAGAAACCCACCGTCCACCTCCGCCTGAACTGTAGCCTGACAGTGGGTTTCCTGTTGGAGTAGAATTTAACCCGTTAGCTCCTGGTTCTGGTTGGATTTCCCTCTCTTAGAGCGTGTTTTACGATGCGCAGCATGTGAATGGTTTTTAGATTTCTTCCACTCTCCAGGGTTGCATTTGGTGAAGGTTCTGTTCACTTCTTGCTTGTTTCTTGCTGAGCCAACCGAGGGCAGAAGCACCTCTTAATTGTTCATATTTCTTTACCGTAATGACCTGATAATGAGACAACCCCCACACATTTTTAGGAAAAGAATTTAAGCAGTTTTTATATTATGAAACAGATGCAATAAATAAAACAAGGTAAGAAAATAGTTTTGACAACAACTTTTACAGGTTAGCTGATTGCAGATACAGCCTCTGATTGGTTAGTAAACCAAAACAAAGAGTCAGTTAACAGGAGAAATGACACTGTTTCACTAAAACTGATCCATTATTTCCTTTGTTTTTTGGGAGGGATTGGATCTGTCCAGTCTCTAAAGATAAACTTATCTTTTCTATGGGATAGAGAGAGACCCCTGAATGTCACATAAACACAGATATTTGCTTAAGAGCTGGCGAACTCACGAAGCGAGTAGATTTTACAGTAAGTCGCCACATTCTACCATTGGTATTGTAAATGCAACAGTATAAAGTCACATACAGTGTCAGGGTATTGTCACTAAACCTAAACTATAAGACAATCCCATGTTTTCATTCGTTTTTCAAAATTTGTCTCATATTAGGGTCATTACGGTATTTCAAGTGTTACTAAATTCAAAAGGTGCTGAAAATTTTGCAGCTTTTCTCCCAACCAAAAACAACCTCACTGAAGTGATTTATTATCTAGACTTTGTAAAGCCCTTTTTGATTGGACAGTTTTGTGAATCTGTACTTTGCAACTAACTGGAAGTATCTATCTATCAAGTTAGTATCTCTCTTGTGAAATTTAACCCCATTCAACACAATGGCATGCTTTTTGGGAGAGGCTTGATGCTTTAAAACTTATTTTTCACAGGCCTCAGGCTCCATGAGAAAAGAACAGACCAGTGTTAGGTTGAAGCTCCTTAGATGATTATAAAATGCAGAATCTTCTCCAGTTGATGACTCAAGTTTGGAGTTGGGTAACAAAATACTTAAAACTCTACTGAAGATGTTGAAGAGCACACACTCTAGCAGACTTTGTGCAGCTTTGTGTGATATTACAAAAGTAGCACCATGCTTTTACTATCACATCAACATTTTATTATCGTCCTCTTAAATCAAAAAGCAATGCCATGATGACTCAACACAAAACAGTGTGGTACCTCGAGGTTCACATCGTTCAAAACAAGGGGAACGTAGTTGTTACTAACAGATATGTGATCACAGTTTACTTTGAGTAAACTTTAGGCCAAAAGTATGTGGACACACAACCAGTTTGAACTCACTCGGTTCACTTTAAGTTAAAATGAAGTTGAGTCAGCTCTTACCTCCTCAGTGCAACCCCGAAGATAAGCAGATGTAAGCAAAAAAATGATGATGATATTTTCAAAAAATTAATAAACTTTCAACGAGAAAAAAGACCAGCTGCGTTGGAAACTGTGTTTCAGTCGGCTGCAGTTGTTTTTGTAAATTTTTATCATTAAGTTTTTTTTCTTGCAAGTGCTGACATTTTTTATGCTTACTCATGAAACTTTTTCAAAATGACTCCAAACTGAAAGCTGTAAAAATTTTATCTAAAATTAAAGCTCCTGTGAGAAACTTTAAATTTGTTTATATTCGTGTGCCCCCTTGTGGACAAAGCAATAACTATAGCAGCTTTAGACATCACACACAGATCTTTGAAGAAAGGAGAAGTCTTATCACTGATGGTTCTGTTTGTCATAAAGCATAATCAGTATTAATTTCAGTCTGTTTTATTTACAGATTTAAAAAAAAAAAAACCTCACAGGAGCTTTAAATGGTAATTGTCTTATAATAGAAAAGCCTCTCATCAGACAGTGTGAAAAAGTGTTCGTCCAACTACTTTTGGCTGCACATATGGAAAAACTAAAAGCCCAAATGATCTGTTTGTTTGTTTGTCCAGGTGCTTTTGTAAAGGATGTGTCACTTTAAACAAACTAATCTTCTAAATATAACTATAGATATAACTACAGTAGAGATTATAGCTTATGTGCGTTAAAGCAGACACATCCTTTCAAACAGTGTGATTAAACTTCATGTTGTCTCGCTATGATTTCTCACTTTGTTCCTTTGTCTCTTGTCCTACCTTGTGTTGTCTAACCCGTGTTTACATTTTCAGGCCAGCACCCAAAGCTAAACCTAACTCTAAGTCTAAACAGAGCAGCCCTGGCAAAAGGTAATCTGAGGATAAACTATTCAGTGGGTTGATTTAAAGCGGTTTACAAAGACCCACACACATGCTGCATCCAAAAAACTTTAAAAGTTTACACCGATAAGAAAGTTTGCGGGGGGCTCTGAAAAAGTTTTGGATGTGCAGAAGAAGAGAAATAGTTTATTCTGTGGAAAAAAACAACAACCATCCTCTCTAGTGTGAGCACCTGTCTTACACATGAGTCCAGTTTGAAAGAACATACAGAATTTTTTAGACAAAAATCTACCTTGTAAAAAAAGTTATAAGGTGATGTAGACGTTACTATATGCCCTATGAATATATGCATGTTCTGAGCAAATTATTTCACCTTTTTTGTCAGTTAAAGCAGCATAAAAATTAACTTTATGTGAAAAAGTTGGAGGTCATGAACAGTTTTACCTTCATTTAGATATAAAACAATCGTACTTATGTGTACGTCTTTAAAATTGTACAATAATGTGAGATTCAAGCACCTCTAATGTTGTCCGTGCTCACCTGTCTCCACCTCCTGCAGGTTGTACTTGGAGCGTCAGAAGAACTACTTCCACGTTCACTCTGTGGCGTGTACAGGTACAGAGGTCCACCTGGCCGCCTGCCCCCTGGAGTTCAGCAAACGCAACGCGACCTCCACCTGCCAGGGCGGGATGGCGGCGGTTGTCAGCTGCATGCCCGGGCCGCAGTTCATGCAAAGCAGTAGCTTAAAAAAGAAACTCAAGATTTCGGTAACTTTGTCTTTGTCTGAAACTCATGTAGATGTTTCCTTTTGGTTTAAATGTGGGAAAACTGGTCAATTATTAATTATTGAATTTATCACTCAGATGTAGATTTTTATATGGTTTTGTGTGTCTGCCTGTTTATCTAGGGTAACGTGAGGCTGAAGGGAGGAGCAAAGCTGGGCGAGGGTCGGGTGGAGGTGCTGAAAGGAAACGAATGGGGGACGGTTTGTGACGATCGCTGGAACCTGCAGTCAGCCAGCGTTGTCTGCAGGGAGCTCGGCTTCGGCAGCGCCAAGGAGGCTCTGACAGGAGGCCGTATGGGACAAGGTAAAGACAAAAGACAGGAGTGTGTTGGTTTGTTTGGTGAAGAGATTTTTATGTGAAACTGAATCCCCCAAACTCCCGACCAAAGGCAGGATGTGTTTGTTACTCTCATTAGGGCAGGAGTTCAATCGTCAGCCGTCCATCTGCAGCCTGTTTTTATCTCTCAGGTCATCTTTTGACCTCAGAGCACTCACTATCTCTCCTCTACAAGCTCACATTCCTCTGCAGATCCTTCGGTGAGAACGCTTGTTTTAATAAGTGAAGGAATGTAGAGCATGACGAAATAAAAAGACACAAGAGGAGAACAGTTTTTTACAGCCAACCAATGAACTTTTGGTGGTTTTGTTAAGATGCAGCGATAATTAGAAACAAATCTTGGAGAACCATCAAGGTTTAAAACTTTCTTTTCTGTCTTTTTTGTGTTATTTTGATTCAGACGTTTTTCAGGCCAGAAAACCATGTGTGTTTTTCCAGTGAGACCACGGTGTACGAGTCTGTCGTGTTCTTAAGCACACCTGGTCTTGGCATTAGTAGCTATAAATCACCAGATGATTGAAAATGAGATACTTCACACCAGAGTCTTTAAAATCAGGTGCCAGATAGCTGAATTTTCAAAGAACAGCTGATTAACCTCAGCGCGAAGCTGACAGTGTTTAAAAAAAGCCTAATTATTTCAAATTCCACTTTTTATCCATCACAGCTTTGAGATGACACTCCTCCACTTTTCGTTTTTCTTGGACGCTCAAACTCTCACACATTTCACACACTTATCATATTAATTTCCTCCGTTGGCTGAAAACTGAACAGATATTTGGCAGAAAAAGACAAACTGACTCAGAATTTCCCGCTGAAGTATGAAAGCAGCCTGGGAGGTATTTGGAGCTCAGAGCAGCTGTGTTCAGCAAACTTTTAACAGCTAGAATGAAACACCAAAGTTAGTTAGCAAGGAAATGTAACTCTGCAGGAAGAATTTTGGTTCTTAAATAAATATTTTTCTGTGTTTTTGCCAAAGTAAACCATCCGCTTGTTTGGAGTTCGTTTAATTCCTGCTCTCTTTGCACCCAAACTGAAAAGCAAGAAGGGGCGTGACTTCTGATATCAGTGCTGTCAAAAACAGAGAAGAAGAAAAAAGGGGAAACTAACCAGATTCTCCTTTTTCCCTTTTTTTGAGGTTCATAATCTCACACTTGATGCTGTCAGTGTACACAGGCCCTAATTAGGAAAGCTATTTTTACATATATGGTAGAAACACGAGCGTTGTTTGAGCTCTGTCATGTCAGTCAGAATAAAAAGTGCAGGATAAATATTCAAATATTTATTTTCCTGTGTGTGTGTTTCCTCAATGGTTGTTCCATTCAAGGACGTGGAGGTGTGCGCAGATTTTCGGTGCCTGAAATTCCACCAAAGTGGAAACAAGCGGCCTTTTGAGCTGCCGTTCTCAGAAACGCTGGGTGGGGATGTCTGCTCTCGTGTTTGTACTTTTTCGATCTTTACCACAGAGGAAGTCGGTGGAGGAGGCAGCAGCGGACGTGCTCTGTGCCTCAGGTAGATGTTGGACCACCACCAGGCTGACAGGTCCAAGAAACATTCCTGAATGTCACTGAAACTGGAGAGAAGCAGCTCTGAGGGAATTCCTTTAGAAACAAAAATTTCACAGTCACCTCACGCTCTGACCGAGAGGAAGGGAGAGGGGATAATGAAGCAAGGTGTTCATGAGTCCACAGCTGCGACTTTTGCTAAGAAAAATACAAAAAATCGGGTTGAAGAGAAAGAGATTTGACTGAAATTCTGGGTCAACAAGGCAACATTTTTATCTGCCTGTTTCTGTACGAGACAGCAGTTTTAATAAAGTATTTTGACGGTAAAATAATCCGTATAATAGGATTAAATTGTAGTTGTTGCTATTGAACTTAAGCCAATGAAGAATTGATATTCTTCTACAAAAAAAACCCATAATACACGATGTCACATTTTTCTAAAAGTAGAAAAATCGGAGGTACTTGTTTCTTGGAGCCATTTCAAGTCCAGATCTTCGGACTGAAACAACTCGGATCGGTTTAATCTGATCAAATTAACTCATTACGTGGATTCAGCCCTTAAGATCTTAATCCAACCCGTCCCCAACAGGATAACTTGTGTCGGTGGATTAAAAGAAATCACCTTGTAACATCTGCAGAATGTACAGAACGGGTTTTCTTTTACAGTTTATAAACGCATTTTAGTGATATTTTCAAAATCATAATTACAGCTAATGGAGAGGAAAAAGAAAATAAGAGATAAGAGAAGTATTCTTCTGGTTAAATTCTACGGAAGCATATTGCAGTCACCAAAAAAAAGGCCCTGTATTTCAGAGTAAGTTTCTTTTTTTGACTAATTTTTCTGTTTTTCTGACTTTTTTTTTCAGACTAATTGTTTTTCCTTTTCTGTGGGATCATGATCATTTTACACTTTCATCAGATGCTTCTATCCCCTTCTGCTCATTTAGTCAGGGAAAAAATAGTCTGAAAAACAAACAAAAAAAATTTACCAAAAAATAAAAGTAAAAATGTCCAAAAAACTGAGAGACAGGAAAAAAAACGTTACCAAAAAAGAAAAAAAGTTTGAAAAACAGAAAGACTAAAGAAAAAAAAAACTGTTACCAAAAAATAGTAATAAAAACAAAAAGACAAAAAAAATGTTGCCAAAAAAAATTCATAAAAACAGAAAAAAAAGTTACCAAAAAAACAGTCATAAAAACAGAAAGACAAAAAATATTGTTACCATAAAAGAAAAATAGTTAAAAAAACAGAAAGAAGAAACAATTATGATACCATAAAAAAATCATAGTCTAAAAAACAGAAAGCAAAAACAAGCAACATTCTTTCTGTCTGTTTTTTCGTCTCTCCGTGCAGGTATGGGTCCGATCTACATGAACGAGGTGAAGTGTCTGGGTGTGGAGAAGTCTATCTGGAACTGCCCGTTTAAAAACATCACGTCAGAGGACTGTCAGCACATGGAGGACGCTGCTGTCCGCTGCAACATACCCTACATGGGACTGGAGAACATGGTCAGAGCTTCACTTTCTTTCTGACATGATTTTCATATTTATTTCTTCTAAGCTTTGAAAAGTCAGAAAGTTGCATCAGAAAATTATGTCAATGAAATATGAAATTGTTGTTTATTGTAACACTTCTGCTTCGATAAAGAAGAACTTGCCGTGTGTTGTATAATGTGTACAGTAGCGTAGAGTTCTGCTGCTCTTGAGGTCTTTTGTTTACCCTCGCCTTTTAGATTTAGAGCTGTTACTCACTCAACACTCTTTCACTGCTGTCCAAAAAAAGGAGGTTACATTTGTAAAATACTGATTCAGCTTATTTACAGTTTTACTCCTGGAAAGAAATACAAAGTTAAATTTTCTCTGAACAGCTCCTGTTTCTTTTTTGACAGCAGTGACTTCCTTTTAACTCAGAGTATTCCTGGTCGTACGTTTGTATTTACCAGATCGTACTCTTCCTCATTTCACTTAGATACTCAGAGAGGCCCGGCCGTGTGGAATAAAAACTCTGCCATCTTATAGACGTATAAGATTATGCGAATTTGAAACCATGACTAAAACCAGCAGAGTTTTTGTCCCGCCTGCTCCTCGTGTATCTACACTCTTCTCTTCCCTCTAACCCATCGGCCTCACACAGATCCGAATCACAGGCGGTCGGACTCGTTCTGAGGGTCGTGTGGAGGTTCTGAGCACAGACTCCAATGGGACTCAGAGCTGGGGTCTGATCTGTGGAGAGACCTGGACCACCAAGGAGGCCATGGTGGCCTGCAGGCAGCTGGGGATGAACTACGCTAACCAGGCGGTGAAAGTAGGTTATTAACACCGAAGAGAGCTGGGGACGGGGATCAGAGAACATCAATAACAATATCAATATCAATATCTGAGCTGATCAATTCTGCTAACGATTCCTGTTAGATGATCTCAAGCTGAAACATGGAAACTTTAATCATCTGGTCTTCTCACCAAATGAATTAGCAGTGGACTTGATTAGCACTCAGATGTTAAAAGGGCTTCTTGATTGTGTCAGTATTAAAGGGATATTCCGGCGTAAATTGAAGTTATGGTCAAACGCAACCAAAACACCACTCTATAGCCACAAATAATGCTCAGAACAGCACCTAACTTCATCAACAGGACATATAGGGTCACAGCCATAGTACTAGACACCAAACATCTCTTTAAATTTGCCTGAATTCTTTAGCAAAGAGACTAAACACAACTCACCTACTCTCTTCCAGCAGCCACTTGTTTGTAGTGAGACCTCGGGCCAGTCTGTTACGGACTACAGCGGGGTGCCGCAGCTCAAGAAAGAACATTTATGATCATTTCTTCATGGAAATACAATCAGACTGAGGCGCTAAGGTAGAAGAACTACTGTCTGCAGTGAAAAATGATTAATATGATGATTATTACTTCAAGGAAATGATAAAGAAATGATCATAAATGTTCTTCCTTGAGCTGTGTCACCCCGCTGTACTCAGTAATGGACTGGCCTGAGGTCTGCTACAAACAAGCGTGTGTTTATGGCTCCTCAGACCGCTGTGTATTGCTATCATGTGGTCGTTACTAAAGTTGGTAAAACTAGAGAAGCAAGTGGTCGGCAACATCTCTCGAGGGGGTGTCTAACTCTGTGTTATGTTGTGTTTGAACCTAAATTAATTTTACGCCGGAATATCCCTTTAATGAGAATTTCTGATCCCCATCCCTTACAGGGTTTACTCTCTTGTTAAGTAGATCTTTCTTTAACATCTGGTGTCTTTTTTCTACATTTAACCCATGAACCTACAACGTACTGTCTGAAACACTCAGAACCAGGATCTTTAAAAACACAAGATCTGTTTTTGTGGTCCCTGCACTTCCAGACCTCCACCATCGCTACAGTCTGGTGCATATATTAATGTCCTGACAGTACATTATAGGTTCCATATGGAGTGTTACTTCTCTCCCTTCATGGAGAAACACAATACTGTTTCTGGTTTCTTCTATGTGGGCACACCAAAGCAGACACATGAAGTTTCTAATCACTCTAAAAAAGTACTCACCACTGACGCCAAGTGGTGACCTCATCCGGAAACCACGTAGATATTTTCCACTTCTAGAAAAGTCTAACTAAACTACTGCTTAAACAAAACGACCTCCTCCGCCGCCGTAAGACTGAGCAGGAAGGACGATAGTTTGAGACCAGACAGTTGAGAGAAAGGACAGGAAGTGTGTCCCCTCACTGACTCCCTGCAGGACGTTTCTGCAGATCCGGATAGCGGGCGGCCGGACCAATTATGAGGGCCGGGTGGAGGTTCAGGTGGGGTCCAAGTGGGGCACAGTGTGCAGCACAGGCTGGACCACAAAGGAAGCCATGGTGGTTTGCAGGCAGCTAGGGCTCGGCTACTCCATGCATGCCATCACTGTAAGTACAGGAGCAAAGAGGTTAGGTATGACTTCATTCAAGTTTAAAGTAGCTCTAAAACTCTCCCATATAAGTGGAAAAACAACTGTTGGTAAGATGTGCGATTTTATTTTTTACAGCAAAGATCATCACAGGACTGTTTTAATTTTTCCTTGGACTGATAAGAAGTTTTGACAGAATTTGCAGCAAAATATAAACATTTCTTCGACTGTCCTCAAGGCTCCAGCATAGGGCTGGGCGATATGGCCTCAAATCAAGATCATGATATATTGAGCAGATCAACTCGATAATGATAGGTGGATGATAACTACTCCACAAGCTGCTCACCCCCTCCCACATTAACTTCGTCTACTTCAGCCGCTACAACTTTTGAACCGTCCTCCATCTCCTCTCCTGTCTTTCCCTCTTTGATACGGACTGGATGGGGTGGAGTCAAGTCTCTGATGTAGGACAGCGTCTTAAAGGGACATGAGACCATAGCCTACCTACACACATTTATTTTTTTGACACCAAATATATTGACATGGACAAAATTACATCGGTTATTGTCAGAACATTTCGGTATCGGTAGATTTTTGGTTAATCTCCCAGCCCTACTCCAGCTTTTTTTTGTCCAGAAGCGTCTCCACATCCCTTCCAACTCCTGAATCTCAGCTGTTGATGTTGAGTTTCAAAGCTGTAATCTGAAGGGAAAACTAGAAATTTGCTTGTATTGACACCCACAGAACAAAACAGACCAAAGTTACAGGGTAGGACTCACTCAGTTATCCTGCGGCTTCTTGCTAATGTGGTAAATCACCGAGTGAAGCAGGAGAAAATTGGCACGTAGGCATAGAGAAAGTGGACACAGGAAAACTTACATAGCTGTAATTTATCTAAAAAGGATGACTTAGCAGAGTGTATTTGTGGAGTTTGAGAGAGATGAACACTTTACTTAAGCTGCTGGATTTTAAATGATAACCCTACAAATATCTTCAAACTTTCATGATCCGAGAAAAACTGCAATATTCTTAAATGATTTAGTATAAAACTCCAGTCAGTAATCCCATTGTTGAACCCCTCAGTATCTGCACAAAGGATTGATCATAACCTCAGTATCACACTGTGTCCTCAGCGAGCAGCCAAACATGACTCATGAACATCTGTTTCTGACTGCAGCAGCTTCTCTGCAGCTCCACGTTTCAGCGAGTCTCTCCTGATCGATGCGCTCTTTTTGTTTGGTGTGTTTGTCGCTGTCTTGACCCGCTTTAAGGAGACCTGGTACTGGGACAGCAGCAATGTGACCGAGATGGTGATGAGCGGAGTGAAGTGCACGGGGAACGAGATGTCTCTGAGTCAGTGTCAGCATCACAAAACAGTCACCTGCCAGAAGTCTGCGGCCAAGTTTGCAGCCGGGGTGATCTGCTCTGACAGTGAGTGACAGAGACAGAGATGATTTGATTATCTGGTTAAATACATCAATAATCTGTCCTGATTTAACACAAACAAACAGTCAAGTGTAATCCTGTTTTTTTTCCTTGCTCCCAGCTGCCTCTGACCTGGTCCTGAACGCCCCTCTGGTCCAGCAGACAGTCTATATCGAGGATCGCCCTCTACACATGCTCTACTGCGCTGCAGAGGAGGACTGCCTGTCAAAATCCGCAGCCAAAGCCAACTGGCCCTACGGACACCGCCGCCTCCTCCGCTTCTCCTCACAGATCCACAACATCGGCCGCGCTGACTTCAAACCGAAGGCCGGGCGGCACTCCTGGGTCTGGCACGCCTGTCACGGGTAAAACCGTCTGAATCTCAGTCAGAGGACGCTGTTCCCTCCAGGATGTTTTAGATAAGATTTTTGACAACGTGTCTCTGTGTTCTTCAGCCACTACCACAGCATGGACATTTTCACCCACTATGATCTGCTGAACTCAAACGGCACCAAAGTGGCAGAAGGACACAAAGCCAGTTTCTGTCTGGAGGACACAGATTGTCAAGAGGGTGAGTGTGAGGAGTCGGATTCAGGGATTATTTTCACTCAGTTAAAAACAAGAAATCAAACTAGCTGCTTGTATTTAATGTCAGAACTGTCCCTGAATTAAAGAATTAGAGTATTACAAAGTTATTCGAAATTCCAGTTTTAGGAGTCATCCACAAGAATGAAGTGGTTTGAGCCGATCATTTGACACACCAACTAGGGGTGTCCCGATACAACTTTTTTACTTCCGATATGGTACCGATATTGGTCTGATATTAGCACAAACTTGCAAATGACTTTTTCGGACTTGAACTAAAAATACTTCCACAAGGCCGATATCACTCCTACTCCTTGCTGCTTTGTTTTTACCTTAGTACACACTGTTGTTGTGATCATGTGGGCTCTACATGCTTAATCCGGGCGCTGCTAGCTAGAGGTGTCGGAGCGGAGTCTGGAATGGACTGCTTGTATCGGAGTGCTGATATCGGAGGTTTTAGATGCAGGACGATATAATCCGATACGTGTTTTTTGGCTGATATCGGACCGAGATCCGATATCAGTATCATATCAGAACAGCCCTACCACAAACTCTTGCTTTTTTCTCTCAGGTGTTTCGAAGAGGTACGAGTGTGCAAACTTCGGTGATCAGGGCATCACTGTAGGCTGCTGGGATTTATACCGCCACGACATCGACTGCCAGTGGATCGACATCACAGACGTCAAACCTGGAAACTACATTTTACAGGTGAGCTTTTGTTGCAAAGGTTCTTCCTTCCCTTTTTAATTTCTCTGACGCCCTCATGTTGTTCTCTCGCCTTGTACTTTTCTTAGATCGTGATAAACCCAAATTACGAGGTGGCAGAGAGCGACTTCACAAACAACGCCATGAAATGCAACTGCAAATATGACGGCCATCGAATCTGGCTCCATAACTGCCACACTGGTGAGAAGTCAAAGCATTCTGTTGCTTCAAGATGTTCATTTCAGATTATTCTTTACTTTCACTGTATTTGACGGTATTTTTACGCTTCTTCCAGGTGATGCATTCAGTGAGGAAGCGGAGAGGAGGTTTGAAAAATACCCCGGACAGCTCAACAACCAGGTTTCTTAATCAACATGTTCAGCGACAAAGTGAGACCCAGATTGTTCGGTTAGATTAATGAGAACCACCTCAAAAGCTCAAGAAGTGGCAGAAAAATCCCCTTTTTTAAAAAAATGGATTCCCCTTCATATCTCATGGAAGAAACCAGCGGTGTTGTTCCACCAGTGAATGTGTTGTTTGTGACTTTTTATACTTGAATATTCAAGTGCGTAATTTTTTTACTTTTTCATTTGTATGTGAGCTTTTTTTTTTATCACAAGCCAGTCGTACGATCTGTGTGTGAAGAATGTACAGCCTTTTATTGACTGTTTTTGAGTATTAAATGAAAAAGGTTTATACCTCTCTCTTAACCATCTGCGTGCTACCTGGAGCGATCTCATTTTCAAACCGATGATCAGGAACAAATGGAAGTTTTACTGGGTGTTATGGACATATAAGACAGAGAATCCTGTCTTCCAAAACACCTGAAGACTCCTCAGAGCAACACGACATTATCACCTGGATGATTCACTCTGGATTGGACTGTTTATAATTAAGTGTTCACAACATCTCCTCAAAATAAAAGAAGCTTTTATCGTCAGTTTTCTGCCGTCATGTCTCGCTCCGAGTCCTCTCCCCGCCGCCGCCCTCCACTCTTTCTCTGTGAATGTATTTATTGCTAAAAAGGAAAAGAGGTGCTTTGCTCGTGAGCGTTTTGGTCAGTTTGCTTTGTGGTTTTCGAACTTGTTTAAGCTATCTCTAGCTTTAGTTTGTTTGTTTTTTTATGTGTATTCATGTGTATAGACATTTAGGGACCAGAATACGTGGTTTTTGAGAGAAGAAAAAACAACAAGAAGTCTACAATAACCCCGAGCGTTGCTGTATGTACAAGTATGCTGATATAATCACACCTGCTGCACCAAATAAAAGGAAAGGAATAATGTGCTGTATGTGAGTTATTTGATTAGTAACATGTCAAAGTGATGTAAAGCTGTAGGGGAGAGATTTCAAAGAAAAGTTAGAAAAAAACGGATCCAGAATTTCACATATTCAAGTAAAGCTATAACTGCATATCAAAAGAACACGGGGTGCACCCCTCAGTCCCTTTAGCAGACCCAGTCCCTGTGAAATGCTCATACAATGACACCAGTAACAGTATTTATAGCTCTGGTAAAGGGACAGGAAGGCCAATCCTTCCACCATACTCCCCCAGGATGTCCTACTAGTACATGAAATGTTAAAAAATGCCCTTTTTTGTTGCTTTTTCAGGGTATAAAATAGATAGAAAAGTACCCTTTGATTCCCCCTCCAGTGTATTACATATGAAAAATTAGCCTCTTGGTGCCTCTTGATGCCCTTCTAGTGTATGAAAAGTTCTCTTTGGGTGCATAAAAAGTGGTACAGTCCCTTAATGATGCCTTTTTAAAAGGTAAAAAAAAATTTAAAGGTAGGGGAAAATTCTGTGTCCTGATTAAATGAGGTCAAACAGAGTTATTTATAATTTACAAGAACATAAACCTATTATCTAGAATTATATGAACTTTTGAAGTCAAAATAGAACTTGGTTGAACTTGCTGTGATACCAGCTGAGTCAGAAGTCAACTGCTGGTCTTGCTGCTTGGCTGAGAGTTCCCTGAAACCCTTGGTCGTGTTTCCACTAATCTTGACCTTCGCTGTCATGTTTGAACAATCCCATTAACCTCAGATACCGATCGCATTAACTCTGTGCACCGCATTACCGCGACTTAGCCCTGGAGCCAGTGAACATCTGCACCTCGGACATGCGACTGTCCTAAAATTATAATGACCACATAGCAAAATTACTAAAAAAGAAAATGTCATATGTGCGGCTCATGCTCTCCGTTGTTGTGAAGTTGTATATTTAAATTGTTTCTTGTTTTTTCAATAACTTTGAGTCTTTAGACAGGAAAAAATTGCTTTGGTTTTTATCCCCTTCAAATGCAAACATTCATTTTAGTTTTAAAAGTCTGGTATTTCACATTAAGTTTATTTCAAAGCAGCAGAGTTTGAATTCTTTGTCTCTTCCTCTTCAGATTGCCTGTTTCCCTCCTCAGGTTTTCACCCCTGACCCTCATCATCCCTCCAACCTGCACGCCTGACCTCCCTGAGGAGGATTAACCCGGTTCTGCTGCACATTGGCTGACATGAGCCTCTTCAAAACACAACCAACAACAGTGAGAACTGATACATGGCGCCTCCTAGAGGCCAGAGGTTTCAAGTGCAGGAATGACAGTCAAGATTTCACATCTTAAAAAATTCCACACCTCATCTAGTTTTTGCATTAGCTTTGTAAATCAGCTTTCACATGACTTAATATGAAAATGAATTATTATATCTTCATGTTGCTCTTACTTAATTTTAGAGGTGAAGATGACTTGAATTTCCTCCATGGAGGGATGAGGAGGTACAAATCTTGATCAGATTTTCTTCAAACGCACAAAAAAATCTGAATATCTTCATGAAACTTTAATAAACATCAGTTTACTTTACATACAGAATATGAGAAGAAAGACATGATCAAATGAACATTTTAGTTCTCAATGAGACAAACCAGCCAGATTTCACAAAGCCTTCCATGTTTTCTGCTGATGGAAATGTCCTCTTTATTTTCTACTTCCACAGATACCGTGATCTCCTCACTGTTTTTCATGTTAGTTTGAAAGAAATCCTCCTCCAGGTTGGATTAGACGGACAGAACTGAATCCATCTGTCTATTATGTGAGACAGCTCATGGTGCATCCTGCGTCTCACTGCTGCACAGTCTGTTTAACAACCCGTCCTTGTTTGTCAATGGCAAAGTTGTAATTCTTTGGATTGTCCAGAGCTTCTTCTATCCGCTGATCCAAGTTCTCCAAGGTGATGAAGTTCTTTGCATCCTCCTGGAACAGACGGAAAATAACATGCAAGTCTGAGACCGAAATTATAGGACTGGAAATGTAGGACCATGAAGGTGGTTGATGTAAGGTTGTTCTGCTAAACTGATAGCTCCCGTAAAATGTTTTTTCATGTTTTTGAAATACTGAGACTGATATTTACCTGTAACTGTAAAATTTCCCTCTCTTTTTCTTTGATATGTTCTTGCTGTTCTTGTTCTCGCTGAACAGCAGCTTCCAACTGCTTGCGCTCTGCTTCCTCCTGTTCCTTCTGGATCCTCAGCACCCTGAAGATACACCAGAGGCGATGAGTTAGTCCTCCTCTTTAACCCACACAAGAAATTGAATCATTAGTGGTTGCACTGCTTAGTTCTAATTTTCTACCTGATTTGGAGCAGGCGCTGGTTCTCCTGGTTGTTCCAGGCCATGAGGATGCGATGCTCCTCCTCCTCCTGAACCGCTTTCTCAGCGGCAAGGGAACCGATCTCCTCCTCGTATTTCCTTCTGAGCACCTCCTCCTTAAACTCCAAACTGACACAGACAAAGAGGGTCAAACCAGATCAAAAAATGAGGTCAAGTCACTCAGTTCAAGCAGACTTATTTCTGGACACATTTTGCAACACTGATTAAAGAAATAAAAAGAATTAAGGTACTTTTTTATGTGGTTTGGATCGCACAGTTAGGGAGTATCTTTGTTTAGCATGTCTGTCAACCTTAACTCTCACTTCACCACCTTGTCTTGATAAAATCTGTGCTTTTACTCGCTAACATTTATCTTCAGTCCCTTTATTATTCAGTTTTTTTATTTATCTGCACCATTTTTTTTTCTTCGGTTTCTTTTTTTTAAATGCATAATTTCTGTTGTGTTCTTTTTTTTTTGCATCACCACTTTTTTTGCGTCATTAACTTCTGTTTTTTTTATTTTTTATTTTTATCTGCGCCTTTTTTTTTTTTTCATTCTTTTTTATTTTCAGGAGTGGCGGTTCTCGGCCACCGTAGTTTTGGCTGTGGTTGGTCATTTAAAAGCACACCTGTAAAATTTAACCTGTTTCATAACCACTTTAAAACCCCTCACAGTAGTTTTAAAGGCCCAGGTTTTGAACGGTATACCGAATTTGACACAACACCAGGTGGCCCGCTAACATCCGTTACCTTACAATTATAAGTGGTGAGAAACGTACCGTAGAGCCCTCATGATCAACTGGTACTCCGAGTATCTCTCATTGAGGGCGACCATCTCCTCTGGGTCCACGGGTGGAGGTACTTTGATTCGCCCCACTTTGGATTTTGCCACCGGGTCCGTGCGGGACTTTCTGCCCCTGACAGCCTCCACGAGCACGGCGCACCTCGGTGAGAGGAGCCGGGCCGCTTGGACGCTCCTCCCGCAGGTTACCTGGAACATGTCGGCGTTAAGACGCAGTAAAAGCTCAGTTCTTTCGATTCTAAGTGTAATGTTTAATCTGAGTATTCGGGTTTAAGAGTTAACATTGAGACAGGAATGTTATCGACGCAAGGTAGCCGCCATTTTGACGTCCTCTGACCGGGAAGTAGTTGTGAAAAGAACCAGTACTACAGTGTTTGCCTGTACTGCCATCTGTAGAGAGCAGGAAAGGTTTTTTGAGGACGTTTATGTACTGATAAATAAGTGTCTTCCTTGCCCACATCCCTTCTTCTCCTTCTAAAGCGTTTCTTTCTTCCTCTTTTAACTTAAAAGTCCAGTTTGAAATCTTGGCCCACTATAAAGGCAGATTGCTGAGTCATGCTACAAACTTAAAGTAGCTAGCTTGACGTTTGAGAGCGGTGCAACCAACTAGGGGTAATTACTTAAATTTAATCAAAGACTACACTTTTACAAAGCTTAGATGTACTTTTATTATGTTTTTTTTCACTTTCTGCTTCTTTTTACTGCTTTTATTATTAGCTTATTTAAGAGGGAGATAATTACTTTATTTCATAGCCTCTGTATTAGCATATGTTTTTTTATTAATTATCCCTAAAAAAAATCAGTCACATATAAAATTTGAAGTAGAATTGTAAGAAACTGATTTCTGGTTAATTTATTGAGATCCCATTTTATGTTGTACAGTGTGTTGAAATGAGAATATTTAAATATATTTGTGATTTCAGATTGAAATGCTCCCTTGCTCACCCCTCTCCACATTGAACCTACGGTGGCCATCGAGGACAAGATGACAAGTATGTTTTCCTATTTTCCATGTGTCTTTCATTGAAAATGTCTATCAGTAAATATGTTTTTGAGCATTTTCTTTATCATGAAAAAAATATACTTCGGATAATTCCCACTTCTAGCATGTCTGCTCTGCTAAAAGCCACTAAAATGTATTGGTGCATGTCTGCTATGGAGTATAAAAAACAAGCAAGCCTCACTGTTATCAGCTGCAGCTTAAAATTATATAAATGCAGCTGATTTAACCCTTTTAATTTCACTTATGATATTATTTAGAGATAAGGCGTTCAAATTTCTATTAGGCTTTCAAGCTTGGCCACTGACCTGTTTTAAATTGTGCTAAACAAAGGTTTTATCAACAGTACCATTGTACTCTTACAACGTCATTGTACTCTTACAATGTGGTACTGCTGTTAATTTCACCTTTGTGATATGTCATGCAAAATTGTCTTTAACTCAATTTTTCTCTTCCTTTCCAACACAAAAGCATAACCATAATGATGATGTTTTAAATGATGTTGGTAACGCTTGATGTTGCTGAGCCACTCTTTTACACATACACAGCAAAAATACAAATAAAAACTCTCTGTTTCTTCAGGGTTCAGTGGGATGTCTGGTGTGAGCCTGATGATGGATGATGCTGCTAAAGCAAAGCAACAACACCTCACAGCTACAGTCAGCTTGCCAGGAACATGGGATGATGGGAAATGGTGCAGTGCCGCTGTTTTTGTTGTTCCTGTGACATTGAGAGCTGTAAGTAAGGGGAAATTCAAGCAGGATAATTTCCTGGGGAGGGAAACGTCGACAAAAGCAGCTTCTTAACTCACACAACTTACAATTCAGAAAACAAAGGTGTAAAATATTTGCCATCCTTGGCAGATTTAGACTACCTTTAGCTTTTCCCTCCTTACCATCACTATAAAAACGCTTATTGTACTGTTGAGATTTTAATTTGCTTAAAAGTTCCTTTAAGGTCTTTAAACTGCATGCCTAATGTTGTAAAAGACAAATATATTTGGCAGATATAGTCATTAAAGAAGAGATGAGGTAAGTCATTGGAGCTCAAGCCTGTACATTTTGCAACTGTCTGTATATACTTTTATTACAGAGGATTATTCATTCATTAATATTCATTTGTAAGAACACAATACCAGCTCCTTGAACATACGGGTTAGTCACTTTCTGAATTGTTAAAAAGAAGGAAAGGCTCGTATTACAGAGATGTACACAACAACAAAAAGAGCGACTATAGCTTGATTTTAAAACCATGAAATGCAGTTGAAAAAATCACACAATGTGAGCTCATTTGCAGGTCAGTTTAATGTTTATTCAGCTTGCTGCCGGCTGTTACAGGTGCACCGAGTGTTGGTACAGATTTTGTATTAGTTTCTCTTAGTCCTAACATCAGCTGACAGACAACAAGGACTCCTGCGCTTTTCTTTCAGTTTCGTCTTGACGCTTTAATGAAATCACAGAACAGAATAAAAGCAACTAATACAGGTGAGCTGTGAGACACACTGCTTAAATACAAGGAGAACCCAGTAACAATTAGTCTTCCACAGCATTTACATGTCCGCACAGGTTAGCAAGAAAAGATAACATTGTTAGAAATTTGAAATAACCTGCCAATTATTCGACAGACACAAACTGATTCTGGTTTTAAAAGCTTGTCGTGTTTGTGTGGATGTAAATGCAGAGGAAGAACAACACAAAGGACAAAAATGGGTCTCTAATTTAATATAGTGAAAAGAAAAATTTTAAGGTTACTGGTTCGTTGACTGCTACTGCAGAACCAGGGGTGCAGGACAATGCATAATTGATTGGGAGAGTTCATGCAGGTGTATTGCATCACTTCAAACACTGATAAAGTCCAAGCAGTGAGAGATAAAGGATTAATTTGTCCTCCTTCACAAACACTTGGTCAAATGTTTGCACAGCGAGGGTCGGGACAGGTCTGATAGTAACCCTGCTGCTTGGGCCTTAACATATTTGACTGTGAGGAACTCCACCAAAACAATGCTGCTGTCCGACGTAGCTATGTGACTAATGCAGTGCGGCCACTCTGTCTTCATGATGTGGTGTCAAACGTGTGTAGAAGAAGGGGGACTTCTTGTGGACCTCTTGTTTCACACAAGGGCGCATCTGTCTTGAGGAGGATGAGCTTGGTTTGATGTTTGGTTTTGGGGGTTTGGGGAGAAGGAAGACAGTATTTATGGGGAGGGAGGAGATGATAGAGGGGAGAATGTTAAATAAATGAAGGGAGGAAGGGGAGATGTCTGGATCAGGGTATGAAGAATTCAGGTTAGTGCCAGGCTGGCGGCATTTTTAGTTTAGGGCTGGAAGGGAAGGGTACGCCAGTCGGATCTCCTCCCCCTCCAGAAGTTTCCTACAAGAAAAAAGAAAGAGATACTTTAAAATGTGTATTCTTTTTCGTGTTTGTAAGAAATCATAACACCCAAAACACATTTTCTTTCGGTCAACCCCATATAAAAGCACATTTTTTTAACGTGGAGAAAGTCATAAAAACATCAGCTTTTTCCATACTTGGGTGGATCGTCCTCTGTACTGACCATGTAGATTTTTTTAACCAGGAATTAGTTATTGTATTTTGGTGCATTACAGTCTCTTTCACCCCAGGATAACTATGAAAGAGGACGAGGGCCACATGAAGAGAAAAAAAATAATTACAGGAAGGAGATTAAAGTCGAAATTTCAGGATTAAAATCAAAAATTCGAGATGGAATAATCGAAATTATGTAAATAAAGTCGAAATTTCAAGATTAAAGTTGAAATTTCAAGATTGAAGTCGAAATTTCAAGATAAAAATTTTTTAAACTTTTGAGATTTAAGTCGAAATTTTAACTGGATTCACGTAATTTAGATTTTTTTAATCTTGAAATTTCAACTTTGATCTCAAAATTTTGATCTTTTTCATTTCGACTTTTTAAAATTTTAATCCCAAAATTGTGACTTAAATCTTGAAATGGAAATCAAAAAATCTCCCTCCTGTAATTATTTTTTTCTCTTCTTGTGGCCCTAATCCTCTTTCATAGATAACTCATCCTCATTACTCAATTAACACATATTTACCTCACACTCTGAGACTTGGTTCACATTTACTATTAACATCCACCAATCCAACTCTATATTTGTGTAATCTGAACAAGTATAACAACATCCTTTTTATTGCGATGAGGCTGTCTCACCTGTATGCAGCTATTTCGATGTCCAGAGCCATCTTCACATTGAGAAGGTCCTGGTACTCTCTCAGGTAGCGTGTCATCTCCTGCTTGGCTTCAGTGATGTCTCCCTCCAGCTCACTTATCCTCATCTAGAAACACAGAGCAAAACATTCAAACACAACGATTACAACATGTGATGCAAAAACAGAAAACATGTTTGAGTTGTTTCTCATGGTTGTGGAATTCAGTTTTTGGAATTCCTCTTCTCTCTTTTTTCGCATCGTAGTGCCTCTTCCTGTTCAGTAGTAATCTCTGATGATTTCTACCTCTGCTGTGAGTCTGCCACCTTCATCTACTACTGAGCGCTACAGTGAGGGAGGGTGCAGCTGCTGCAGAGGGTGTATTTTACTTGTATAGGACAAAGAAGTGTGGCTTCCTTCTGCTCTTGGTCGTCAAGCTTCTCTGCCTTTGAATCTTGTTTCTCTTTCGGTCTGTGTTCAAGCGGACTATCCCATGTTTCACTTTTCTGTCCTCTCTATTTTGACCTTTTTCTTGTGGACCTATTTCAGACCAAAAGAAGATTTCTGAACTCTCATCAAGGCAGCTGACCAGGATCTGAAATTCCTCTGTCAGTTTAAACCAGGATCCAAATCTTGCTCACTCACTCACCTGGTATTTTGTCACCTCCTTCGCCTGCATCTCCTCCAGGTCCTCCAGCTGCTTATTCAGGGAGTCGATGACGTTCCGGAGACCTTCGATCTCTGAAGAGCGGGACTGAAGCAGCCTCCGGTACTCCATGGTCTCCTCTTTGATGGCGTGCACGGCTTCGTTGTTCTTGGTGGCCATCTCCGCCACGCTTGCAAACTTTTTCTTGTACCAGTCCTCGGCAGCCTGCATGTTCTTGTTTGCCAGCCGCTCATACTGCACTCGGATGTCTCGCAGAGCGGTGGAGAGGTCAGGCCGTGACACCTCCACATCCACGCTGATGTTGGCCACCTGCAGCTGGGCCTGCAGCTCAGTTTGCTCCTCGGCAAACACTTTCTTCAGGAACACCAGCTCATCGCACAGAGTCACCACTGAAGCCTCGGCGTCACAGTTGGAGAGCACGGCCCTGCTGGCCTCCTCTCTGGCCCTCTGCAGGGCCTCCTCAGCATCCATCCGCCTCCTCGCCTCTTCCTCGAACCGCTCCTTCATCTGCTCGTACACGTCACGCAGGTAGACTCTCTCTGCCTCCATGCGCATCTTGTCCCCGTTCTCTGAGTCTATCATGGCCCTCAAACTCCGCACCTGCCCCTCGTAGAGCATCTGCAGACGGGACGGATCGTTTTGCCGCCTCCTCAGCGCCTCCAGCTCAGCCTGCAAAGCCCGATTCTGCAGCTCCAGGTGCCTCACCTTCTCGATATAGGTGGCAAAGCGGTCGTTCAGGTCCACCAACTGCTCTCTCTCCTGGGAGCGCAGCCCCAGCAGCTCTGTGTTGAGGGAGCTGGCCTGGGCCAGGTCCATCCGCTCCGAGCCATCAGGAAGGGAAGAGGAGGCCAGCCTGAGGATCCTCTTCCCAGACGGAGGAGCTCGAGAAGAGGAGAAGAGAGAGGAAGACATGGAGGATTTGGTGACGGTTTGGGAGCCTCTGTAGCTGTCCCAAGGGCGACGGTGGGAGTAGAAGGAGTCGTAGCTCATGGTGATTTTTTTTGTGGTGGATTTTTTGTTTGTATAAGAAAGGAAATGGATGTTTTTAGTTTCAGAAGGTTTCTTTATGTCCCCCTTGTTCTGCACACCATCGGTGAGGATGAGCGAGCGTTTTTGCACTGCACCAGCTCGGTGATGCTGCAGATCCCCGGCTTTTATAGAGAGAGGCTGCCCCCCCTCCCTCCTCCGACACAGGAGCATCGGTGCTGTCAGCATTCACAGACCAATAGCAGACTGCTGCAGTGAGGAGAGAGGAGGCTGGTCTTCAGACTCTCTCTCGCTCTCTCTCCGTGCTCCGGCAGGCAGAGCTGATGTGATAGAGCAGGCCTGACCTAAAAATGGGACCACAGTTAATTACTCTCTTTACTCTGAGCACTTCTGGAAGCATAATTTACTCCACTTTATGCCCTCAATGCAGACTCAGACACATCTCGAAAGCTATAAAAAAACATAATTGGCAATAAAGAGGATGAGGAAAGTTGTGAAAATGACTCTAAACAAAGTATTTTCTACAAACCAGCTGGGGAAAATCAATAAAGAGCACACAGAAAGCACTTCTTCTTTTTTGAATTATGTCTTCTTCCCTCTTGATCTCAACACTTTATAGGATTTTATTCCTCTGATGCCTTTGAACCGGCCTCTTTGAAGTCTCTGAAGTCCAAATTCATGTATATTTCTTAATATGCTGCCTCATAAAACACAATGTCTGCACAAGTTGGTAGCTTATGTACTCAATTATCTTTATGCTCCAGAGTTATAATTACACACAAGATAAGAACTTGTCCGCATCATATTATTAAATTGTGGGCACAAGTTGGCATCCTGCGGGAACAAATTGATTATCTTTTGTGCACATTTACTTCAATCAAGTAGATTTCTAATACAAGAATGATCCACTGGTCAGTCAATAGATTTTTAGTGTATATAAATGTATTTCATGAGTTAAAGCTTCTTCAAGGATTTTTTTACATTCATGAAATAATTTTATAAAAGCAAACAAGATCAGCAAGGATAAGACTTTGCAAGATTTTTATACTGCGAGACGGTAGGTGTCAGTAGAGCTGCTTAAGAAAAATCTGCTCTGACATTTTTAATACTAAATGTTTATTGAAAATGATAGATTGGACTGTCAAAAGTCAGCAGGATGAATTTTACCATCAGAAGATAATACTCAAGCATGCAGAGAGCAAGATGAGTGTAATCTGCTTTGTCCACAGGGGGCGCCAAAACCAAAACAAACCAAAAAGTCCTCACAGGAGCTTTAATAGAGAAGAAAAGAGGGTTTCAGTGTGAAAGAAAGCAGAATCTGTGACTAAAAGACCCTCAAAAAATATTAATTTTCTTGTATTTTTTTCGTCTTACCTCATGACTCTAGCTTCTGTAGCTTCTGTGGACGTCTTTAAGTAGATTGACAACCCTTTGTGATGACCTCTAACCCATCATCGATCCCACAGTATCTTTAGACTCATCTGCTTGATCTATTCAAGTTACAAACTGATGAGTCACTGATGTACCGACAGTGTGTGTGTGTGTGTGTTGGAGTGTGTGGGAGACACCGCTGAGAGAAGAAAGTCTGATCTGTATCTGCTGACACAGAGAAACCCTCCTGCTGCTCCTCCTAACATTCAGATGAGTCAGAGGGTACCCGCGCATCATCCTTTAGTGTTTCTTCTAAAGAACATGGACAGTCTCTTATAAGCTCACATTTATTCCCTCTGAGGCTGTTAGGATCACTATTTCATCCTTGATGCTGAGCTCTATCTGCAGATTATGGCCCTTCAAGCCGAATAAATCAAAAACCAAACATCCTTCGGCAACGTTACGGAGGAGTTAGTATTCCCTGGGGCTTGGCTGCTGTGGAGTTTTGTGGTGCCAATCCTTCTCTTGCCAGACAGCTTAGAAACCTGTCTAAGATTTACTCCTGTGTGAGGTTCTGTTCAGTCAGATTCTGTTTGCTTTTTGTTGCCTTCTCTCTCACTGTCTTCTTAGACCTTTCGCTATGATGCACATCCTGAAAATATCGAGCTAAGACAGGTGGCAGGAGTAGTTTGATTTCACGGTTTCTCCCACCAGCAACACTGTAAAGTGCAACAGATATTTTATGTAGAGGTGCTGACTCAACCCAGACTGAGGGAGGAGGTTGTGGTAGGGCAGGTTTTCAGGCCCAAAGAATCATCTTCATCACGAGTCAGTAGCTGCATTTACATGGGCACAAATAATCGGAATAAAGGCCTGATCTGAATAAAAATGTAATCATGTCGATCGATTCTGATCCAATTCAGCTCAATTGGAAAGAAATTATATTCTGATCAAGAGAGGTGGTTTATGTGTATTGTTATTCCGAAAGACATCCATGTAAACACTTATTCCGATCATAACTCTCAAACCTAAATTGATCTTCACTCTTTAGCCTTTGGGGTCAGTTCAGGAGGTTTCATTATTAACACTCAGGCATAAAACACAACCACAGGAGCCGTGAATGCTCCTACAGATAACTATATTGTTATGTCATGGTAACATAACAAGGCGTACATACAGAGTAATGATGTCATATCTGCACGAACAGTGCAACCTTTGACAGAATGGTAAAATAAGTAAGCAAGGGCGCCATCTAGTGATAACATTTAACAGCAGGAAAAAAAATCCTAAATTGGGCGGTGTGAGCCACTACCCCGTTTATTGGTTTGTTGACAGCATACAACTCTTCTTCCTCTGCGGTTGTTTTAGCGAAATTAGACAACTCTGCCCATGTCCAAATGCTTTTAATCTGAGTAAAGCTTGGTGCTTGTAAATGCACGTCATAATCGGATTTATTTGATTTTCCATAAACAGCATGTTGCTGAAACAGCCTCTTTACATTTTGTCATGTCAGATTTATTATGAGCTGCACCCTAGATATTTCAAACAAATTAGGATTAGATTTTTTTATTATCAGGAAACACTACTTTTTGTTTCAAAATTCAATCAAACATCTTTAAAGCTCCTGTGAAGAACTTTAAGTTTGGTTCAATTTTGGCAACAAAGAAGTCTTTGCGTATCTTGTCCTAGATATGTTCAAGTAGGTCTTCTCCACAGCAAACTAAATTAGTGTCATCTGAAAATAAAAAAGTTTTTTAATGTAATGGTAACTTCACATTATATCATTATCATAAAAGAAAAAAAATAAATAACAGTGGCCCGAATACTGAACCCTGGGGAATCCCAAGCTCAACCTTTTGCTGTCCTGGTTTAACCTGGTTTACTCTGACCATATTTATACATATTATATAAATGTTTAGGACAAAACTACAGAGAGTTGTATGCAGGGGGTGCCAAAATCAGCACAATAAGGAGCTTTAAAAACACAATATTTCTTGATTTTTGTCAATACTTTTAAGAAGTTATGAATCTGACAAGACAGCTGAAGAGAGACAGGAAATGTGGGGAGCAGAGAACAGGGGATAACATGCTGTAGAGCTTCACAGCTGGGAGTCGAACCAGAGGACTGTGTGCGTAAACAACAAGGCAAACCAGAGTCTCCACAAAAAGTAAATTTCTTTTAAAAAGGAGACGATTCATCAGCACAGGGTTGATTTAGTTCTTGATTTTATCGTGATGTTAAAAAACGCTTATAAAGCCTCAGCAGCCGACACTATTTTGTCAAAGTTTATGAACATAAATGAGAATTACCACAACCCTAAACAGAACACCATATATATCAACATGTTTTGATCTGTTTAAGAGACGAGTATTGAGAGTTAAAAGCCTGATAAGACCTGATTAAGGTTAACTCATCATTTAAAAGGAAAACTCTGAACTACTGGCAGGTTTTACTCTGTATTGATGGTCGTGGTGATAAGGTCAATTTATGCCTCTGCACTTCTTAGCAGCTGCTTTTATAGGTCAATAAAACTCATTGATTGCTCAACATTTTAAGAGACAGCTCAGTGAAAAACACAACCAAGCAGGGCTTTTCCTCTCTCTTGAATTCAGCTGGAACGACGAGTCTTTTGGTGAGACTGTGTGATTATTTATTAAGAAGCATGAAAGAGTTCCTTTTGAAAAATGAATGTGGCACAGTTACTCACAGGATCCCCCAGACCTTATTTTGAAAGTCGTCATTTAGAGATGTTTTTTCTAAAGAAGCACAGCGGGGGTTTTTCTCTGCTCAGACAGAATAAACTCACCCCGATTTAATCCGTCACATATATAAAGCGGAAACTCACAGGAATATTTACAGAAGAGGACATCTGAACGGCTTTTAAGTCCTGACTTTTAAAGTTTTTTTTTTCAGATACACATAAATCTAATAGTTTTCAACAAGATTTCACAATTCTTCTAAATTATTCTCTCAGCTGAGTCTCAATTATTTTTAATTAGATAAGGAGAAGAACCTCTTTGGCAGTGCTACAAAAGAACCTTATCATGTTGGTTTTTGAACACTAGGTGGCGCCTTTGCATTGTTTAAAGCCAGAGAAGCTACAGAAGTGCAAATACTCATTCAGAGTAATCTCAAAGGTCTAAGAAAATCCATTTTTGTCTCAAAAAGTCAAAGAAAAATGCAAATTACATGTTTATTCAGAGATCATTTACAGTGAATATATTTCCCCAATGATACGTAAGGTAAAAATAAGTACATAAAACATTTCTATGGACAGATAAAGACTTTGGAATGTCAGGCTTTTCATTGCTAAAATCATTTCACCTCTTTAAACATTTACAAGAATTGCAGGAAACACTTCCATGAGAAGAAGAAAATCAGTGTTTGGAGTAAAAGAGCTCGGAGCATGTAAGTGAACTGCATGTCAGATTTACCTTCCTTTTTGTTTTTACATTCAGTTAAAATCTGCAAAATACAACGTACATTAAGTCACATAAAGAATATAAGACATCCAACATAGAAACCGATACAGAAATTACCTTTCCATACAAAAAAGTGTAATCCTTTGGTAGAAAACATTTATCTCAGGAAAAAAATGTGCTCTATATAAAGAAGTATATCTTGCATCTTGCATGGTCTGTCTCTCTGACTTCTCATACATCCACTGGGCCAAAGGGACTAAACATTCATCTCGTATCAGGAGTGCTGCAGACGCATTTATGTTGGCATCTCATGAAGCCAAGGCTGTTCGCGCTGGAAACACAGCAACTTCTGATGACAGCATGAAGGTGTTCATTCACAGGTCGATCTGTACAGTACTTTGGTTCATTTTTGATCACAGAGTCCACAGAGTGCTGAAGGGGGGAGAGAGGGGAAGAGGAAGGGGAGAAAATACTGCGCGCAATGCGTCCAAGTGTAAACTATGTGCCCATAGAGTTACAAGAAAGACGAAAACAAACGAAGCAGTGACACAAATACAAATCTGCTGTTAGTCTTTCTCTCCTGACTTGTCTTGTGCATGAAATGGGACAGATTAAACCGCCATACACGCTTGTAATTTACAGTGCAACTCCGATCATCCTCCCCTCAGAAGATTTTCAGCCTTTTCCCGATCGCTCTGCCCCCCTTCGCCACTCTCTGGCTCGCCTGGTCCTTGGAGAGCGGGCAGTACTTGATGGTGTGCGCGTTGTCGCCGTTGGCACTGCAGAGAGGGCAGGTGTACGCTCTCAGGATGGGGCACAGGACTCTGCCGTCCGCCGTCTTCAGGATGTGGGTGCCGTAAACTTCCTCCGGCGCGCCGTTATTCCGACAGAAGACGCACACCTTCGGCTCCGGTTTGCTCCTCTGAGTCTGTTTGCGCCTCCTCTCCATGGAGAGCAGATCGAGGCCGGTGTAGCTCCCCCTGTAAGGAGGCGAATCTCTGTCTCTGAGTGGCGAGTCATTTGCAAGGTGCTCATACGGCCTGAGGAGGGACATGCGCTCCTTGAGATCGTAGATGGAGATCGGAGGGGAGCCCGGGGCCGCGCAGCAGCACTCCAAGTGTCCGTCACCGTGTCCAATTACGCACGAGCAGTCCGAGGAGTCATCCTCCAAGCCCAGCGTCGCTTTAAGAGACTCTGTGATGGAGTTGGGGCTGCAGGACGGGCTGTGGATTTTGTTTTTTGCCACGAGTGTGGACAGGCCGAGGTAGTCGTTCCAAAAATTAAAGGTGTAATCATAAGGAGACCGCGCTTCCAGGTAACCGCTGTCCAAAAAATCCATCCTGTCAGCGCGCAGCAGAGTTTTAACGTCCACAAAGGAGAAGAGGTGTTTGGGACAAAGTGTCTGTCAGCATGGGGAGTCAGTGGAGTGGATGTTTTCTCTTCTCTCGCTGGGTCTGGTTTGCAGGGAGCTGCACATGTAGGCGCATATAAAATCCCCGGAATAAAGCAGGGGGGCGTGGCTTGGTTCAAGTTGATTATCTCTCCGGACTCAGAGGAGGGTCTATCGTTGAGAGCAGGGAGTCACTGAACTGAGAGGATCCGTTTTTCTTCCAGGATGTGACAATAATCACGGATATAGACTTTCTTTGTCTTACAGCAGAATTATTTATGCTCTTATAGAGTGATTCAGACTTTCTTTGTCGATTGATTGGATTGTTTGTCTTTGTTTTTTTGACATTTTTATTTATCAAAAGAAGGTTTGAATAGAAATCAACCAGTCTTTGTCTATAAGCTTCTCTTTGGTGGGTTTCTAACCCTCAGTGGTCCTCACTATTGGAGTCAAATTAACCAATAACTGTGCTGAAGTTTGAAGCTAATTAACCCAGTTTGACCCATTCTGTAATTTTGCACACTTGACAGAAAACTTGTACTTCAATTGATCAAAATAAGACAAACAACAAGCAACAATGACATCAATCTGTAATATAATTCATTTACCTTGTAGCTCAGACCAGGAGCAGGGAGCAAAACTACTTAAAAAAAACCCATGTAACAAAGACTGAGTGATTCTGAGGAGTGTAGAGATCTGTACAGAACATAAAAGAAGGTAGCACATGTGGCATGGCCTTCTAAAAGAAGAAAAACCTATGCTCTATTCTTCTGCTGTGCAAGGACGATAGACATACTTTCTCATTCAAGGCCCAGAGTGGGGAAATGTAAACCAGAGAGAAATCGCAGTGTAGCGTGGTACAGTGATTCAAGTATTTGCAGAGAATAAGGCAGCATGCATAGGAAGAATATCAGTACTTTTGATCAAAAAGGTTACGCATGTTTCAGTAGAGGAAACAAAATTTCACCCATAGGGCAATTTAAAGTCCTCATATGATGCTTAAAAGACAAACATCCATAGGTGTAAATCTGTGTTGGGACACATCAAATCGCCTCACAATCAAAAGTACAAATCTGACAATTCTCCTTTGTTTTCTCACACTATGAGAAGTGCATAATTTTCTTGTCTTGTTGGCATTTAAAACCACCTTTAATTTACCGAAAAGTAATTGGTACAGCATAGAAGCAGATGGAAGTCAGACATCGAAGTATGTATGACAATATCGTCAGCATAGAAATTGAGCTTTTTATTGGTTACATGTTTATATGAATGTTTGACACAAATGAGAAAGGACCCAATGTGGAACCTTGCGGGACACCATTTTGTGAATTTGACAAACTGCAAGATGAACATCAATTTGGACTTTTCCTTTTTTTACACAGAGTTATCTAAGTTCTCTGACTCTCTGAATGATATTCTACACTGTCAGTGATGAAATCCACAACGTCCAATAAGTGTTTCGACAACTTTGGAGCAGCACTTTTGAAAGTGTCAGTTTTGCTCTGAGACGAGATGCAATATCACAGCTCTTTTTCTAACCTCGCTGGGGCCGTCATAAATATACTGGTCCTGACAATACCCATCTTTTGAAAATAATAAAATATTCATACTGTGTTAAAAATAAGCATACCGCAATTCCATGATTTTGCTGGTTGCCTCATATCAACGAAGGATAGGCAAAGAAGAAGCAGACTTCTTGCGAATTAGCTAGAAGCAGCTCTCCAAGAGATGATTCAGCACTTTAAAAATGGGAGTGTAATCAAACGTTCAAATCCCAACTGTACCTGAAGTAGTGTCCTTCAAAGTAAAAGCATAGTTTGACTTTGCTAAAAGAAAATAAAAGCGTGACAAACATTTGTTTGATCTGGACATGTCTATTCAGTCACACGGCTGATGGTAAATCAGAAATATGATTATTATTAGAAATAATTGATGACATAAAAATTGATTGTGTTTTTTCTGTTAGATAAGTTTGTCTTTTTCTTTCCATTTGTACTTTTTATTGGGTTTAATCTTCAGTCGTCATCAGTACAGACCGGAGAAAACACTCCACCTTTTCCACCCGCTCTTCGGCATACTGACCACTGCTGGGTGATTGATACTGCGCGCAATCTTTAGGAAATGTCCACTTCACACCCAGTTGTTGTATCTAACAATACAGGGCTTCCCTTAACGCCCCAAAGACTTCATACCATTGTGTTGAGACATAAATTTAACTGAGAGTATTTAAGATCAACAAATACGACTGGGGAGTTAGAATGAGAGGAGAATTCAGCGGCCAAAATACAAAGTTAAATAAAAACGATTCAAGAAATCCTCGTGTGCAGACCTCTGAGAGATACTGAGGACTTAATGTGCAGCATCTCTGGTACAAGAATAATAAAAGACACAAAGAGAAAGAGGGCCATGCATTCAAATACATCAACAGATCCGTCTTGCACCAGTGAACGTATAGTTTATTGTATATGAAGCTTTAACCTCATCCTTGCACCTGTTCTTCTTCCCCCGAATCCTCGGCTTTGTGCTCACGAGCAGCCCTCCTCTGCTCCATTGTCTCCTCCCTACAGTGGGCCGTTTAACTTCATTAATATGCATTAAAACAGAGTGTGCGGAGTGTGTGTGTGTGAGTGTGTGTGTCAGTCAAAGCTCAGTAAGACAGGCTCCCAAAAAAGAGCTTGATAACTGACCTGACTGCTGAGACAATGACTTTGTTACTATTTTTATCAAAGACTGGAGTGAAATATTAGAGAGAGACAAAGTTGAGACTAAAGTCATTTGCGCGTCTTAATTTAAAATTGGAGCTAAGATCCACTCTTTGAGCTGAGTGTGTGGGGGGTTTTATTGTAGAAATAAATCAATATGAGTCTTTTATAGCTGCTGAAAATGATCCAGAAATCTAGTGAGGTTTGGAAATGTATCCCAAAATGTAGATGCATGGTTGTATCTTCCAAATGCTCTCTTTGAAATCACTTTATCGCAACTTTATCGTCACATTTTGAAGAGTTTGTAGTCTAAATAAAGACATAAACAAGAGGACAGTGTTTGACAATTGACTCTGATGTTAAATACGTGCAGGAAAAATGTGCATACTAAATCTGCATGACCGTATAAATCTTGAAATGTACTCTGTGAAAAGAGGACACCCTGTCTGCTGCTGTAAAAGTTCCCAGCACGCGCAGACGGCACAAAGCATGAAGAAAATCATGTTAGCGAGACAGTTTTCTTGTATGTGAGAATAAATTAAAATCAGAATACACCACATGGTCCGTTTTCAAGGTCACCTCCGGCTCTGCATGCACAAAGGAAATCATGAGAGAGCATTTAAAAGATGAATGGCTGCCAAATCACAATAGATAAATCGCACGGGGAACAATATGACATGTGGCTCCTGCTGCTTCAGGGTGCATATATTGCTGTATCTCAATGCAAAGCATGTTTGGCAGCAACAAAGAAAGTATTGACAATGAATATGAAATACATTGAGTTTACATTTGAAGGCCTTTGTTTTATTTAAAAAGCAGCAGCTGATCTCAGAGGATACAAAGGCTGCTTCAAAACACAGACAAACTAAAAAAGTGCCAACTAGCTCAAAAACGATAAATCAAAAAAAAAGAAAAATATTAAAGGATAGAGGAGAATTGTACATCTGGAGAGCAGCCATAAATCATCTCAAATTTCTTAACAACTTAAGTGCATTAGAGAAATGAATCAAAGCCACATAAACAATACATTTACAAGTGGTCCCATCTGTGCCGGGGGATAATAGCTGAACAAAGCTTTAGCTTGCTTGAACAGTAGATACAGCAGTACGCTCACACAGCGGCAATCCTTCATTTTTAAGGATTCTGCATGGAAATACTGTTTGTTAGATTGGATGAAGGATTTTACACTAAAACCTCAGACTCTTTTGGTCGCTTTATTCCTAGATTTCAATTATATATCAGCAGAAGAGTCATTGTTATATCTTTATAATACTCAGCCTTCTTATTACCCAGCTTTGTAGAATGCTTGATCCTGATTGGTCAACCTCGTAATACAATAATATATTCTGAAATACAAGTGACACCAGTGACAACCAGATCCCACGCAGTCACATTTTTAAAATTTATGATTTCATCTCTTTCTAGGGCTGAGCGATAAACCGAAAATTTAACAACATTTACGACAATAACCAGTGTCGTTTTGCCAGTATCAGTATATTCAGTGTGAAAAAAAAAAAAAAAAATAAAAGTTGGATTTGGATGTTTGTAGGTAGGCCTTGGTTTCATGTCCTTTTAAGATGCTGCCCTACGTAGGAGATATGACTCCACCCCATCCAGGTGAGGTGATGGAGGACGGTTCACATGTTGTAGCGGCTGAAGTAGATAAAGTTAATGTAGGAGGAGGTGAGCAGATTTGGAGTAGTTATCGTCCATTTATCGTTATCGAGGTGAACTGCTCAATATATTGTGTCATTGATTTGAGTCCATATCGCCCAGCCCTACCTCTTCCTGTTGACAATGTGGCAACAACACTGTTTCTGATAGCGTCTGTAAACAACAACATGGAGGATATTTTTAATATTTCACTCGAGAGCTTAAAAGTTTACATTTATGGTTACCAGTCAGAGAAAAGACAACAAGAAGAGGAAAACAACACAGAAACTAGGGAGCTGAGTGAAAGAGACATCAGCCAAGTTGAAGAAAACAGACACAAAACAATGGAACAACAAAATGGTATGTAGCCAAGAAGAAAACCTTACACATATGCTGCAGAGAGTCACCTTATTTGCTTAAAAAGTGAGCTGTAAAGGTATTCTTCACTTGGTTTATTTCAAGGGTTTTAGGCCTGTATCCATGGAGAAGTAGAGGGAGAAAGCAGGAAATGGTGTGGCAGAGTGTCGCCTGCTCTAGGGCCTGTTGCCTCTGATCATGAAGCACATGATTTAACCACCAAGCTAAACTGGCATC